GGTGACAAAATAGTCATATTAAACTACAGTTGATATTCATCCAACTACAGTATTTTCTCACTGTGGTAACAAAATAGTCATATTAAACTACAGTTGACATTCATCCAACTACAGTAATTTCTCACTACAGTGACAAATTAAACCATGGTTTGATATTTGTCCAACTACAGTAATTTCTTACTGCAGTAACAAATTAAACTATGGTTTGATAAATTCTTACTATATAAATTCCTAAGTCTAACCCTTTGGAAAAAGTAGAAAAACCCTCTATAATAGTGAGATGTAGAATGTTAGATGTATTCTTGTTCCCTTAGGTAGTCATAATCAATATGTTACTTTGTTGACTTGTTTTTTGATTTTGAAAGGTCTTGCCTTGACATGATCCAACTTCTTGTTTGGTCTCTTGGATTTCAAGTTTCTACAGAGTAGGTAAACTTTACTCCCTTCCTTAAAGATTGGTCCATTTAATCTTCCTTGATTAACATATTCTTACATTTTCTGGTTTCTGAACTTGATCTCTTGTCATAGTGACTCATGAAGTTCCTTGATTCCTTGGCTATATTGTAGTTCCTGTAGTAACATACCATCATTCTTGATTTCCATTCTTTGAACTACTAGATCATATCCATAATTCACCTAGAATGGTGACATTTCAATAGTATCTTGTTTTGTACTATTGTACACATATTACACTACTAGTAACAATGGTACTCAATTGTCTTGTTGGTAGCTGATATAGTATCATAGATACTGTTTAACAATCTGGTTGATTCATTCAGTTTGTCCATCTGTTTGTAGGTGAGCTGTAGTTAACATCTTGTACTCTACTCTCAAGCTTGTTATCATCATTCTCTAGAACCTTGATGTAAATAGCTTATCTCTGTTAGTAATGAATTCCTTTAGTAACTGATGGTTTACTATTACCATTCATAATACTAGGTATGCCATTTGTTCTGCTATAGCCTCCTTTATCATTGGGATGAAATACATGTATTTCATGAGTCATTCTACAATTACAAGTAACACATTGTACTTTTGTCCTGTAACTAGGTCTGTTAATTTTAGTAAATCTATAATGAAGTCCATCATGACTAATTCCCATGGCCAATGTAGTACTTCTAGATTTTTCAAGTTCTCATATAGCTTATGTTTGCTTTTCTTGTCCTGGTTGCAAACATGGCATCCTCTGATTGTTTCTTTAACTAATTTCCATATACCTAGTATGTAGTAGTTTGCTATAATTTACACAACTGTCTTTGCAATTCCTGGATGTCCACTCATTGGTTCTTCATGTATTTCTTTAACCAATTCTTTTTATAGTTTCTGCAGTACATAGATTCATCCTTTGTGGTATAAGAGTCTGTCCTCAAGCAGTTCTCTTGCTTCATGTTTTGTAGTTCTGTTGTCTTGAGTTGCTTCCTGTATTTGTTGTTCCTAAGTATCATGACTTTTGATTTGTAGTGCTGCAATTGTTTTTGCTCCATACACTAGGGTTCCATCACTGTCAAGCTTAAGTATCATGTCTTGTACTGGCTCTACACCTTCCTTGTACTTTTCTTGTCAACTAAGTACATCTACAACTCTGTTTTCTTTCCCCTTTTTATAGTGTATTTAGAAGTTGTACTAAGCTAATGTTTCTGCCCATCATACTTGTCTTCTGTTCAACTTCTTCATTGTCATGAATGTTATAAGATTCTTATGATCTGAGTATATCATGGTTGTGCCTTTTGCTCTAAGTAAGTAGACTCTCTAATACTTCATTGCTAATACTACTCCAAGTAGTTCCTTGTTATAGATATCATAGTTTAATTCTGGTGTCAATAGTTTCCATGAGTAGAAGGCTACTAGGTGTCTCTTGCCATCCTCTCCTATCTACATCATTTGTGCTCCAATGGCAAAGTCTGATGAGTCCATCTTAACTTTAACTTCCTTTCCAGGTTCATACATCTTTAGTACTAGTTCTTCCAAGAATTTCTTCTTTAGTTCCTTAAATGATTTCTGAGCTTCTCCAGTCTAACTGAAGGGTATACTGTCCTTTGTCAATTCCATGAGTGGTACTGCAATTTCAGAATATTTTCATATGAACTTTCAGTAGAAATTAGCAAAGCCTAGGAATTCCCTAATTTCCTTTTTACTTTTCAGTGCTTCTCAATTCTATATGTCTTGGACTTTCTTCAGGTCCATCTTAATTCCTTTGCTAGATACAATGAATCCTAAGAATTCTACTTCCTCTTGATGAAACTTATACTTTTTGGGCTGAACATAGAGATCATACTCCTTGAGTTTAGTTAAGACCTTCTTAACCTGCTCTCTGTGTTCTTGTAATGTTCTGTCTATATAGACTATAATATTGTCTAAGTATGCTGTGACAAAAATGTCCAGATACTGGTAAAGTACATTGTTAATCATGCTTTGGAATGTAGCTAGTGCATTTGTAAGTCCAAATGGCATCACTAGGTACTCATATAGGCCATAACAAGTCCTGAAAGCTGTTTTTCATTCTTCTCCTTCCTTCATACAGATTTAGTAATATCCCTCCTAGATATTAAATGTTGTCATCTACTTAGCTCTTGACAATTAGTCCTGGAGTTCCTGGATAAGTAGTAACAGGTATGCATTCTTAACTGTTTTGTCATTTAGCTGTCAATAATCCATACATAGTCATAGCTTGCCATTCTTCTTTGGTACCCACAGTATCAGAGATCCCATTGGACTCTCACTAGGTCTGATGTATCCTTTCTCAATGTTCTTCATGAGATATTCTTTTAACACTTTAGCTTGCTATTGTGTTTCAAGATATATTAGTCCTGGTTTCAATATTGCCCCTTCCTTGAGAGGTATCTCATGATCCCATGACTTGTGCTTTAGTAAAGCCATTTCCTTTGGATCCTCAAAAAGTTTCCTAAACTCTTTGTATTCTGATGGTATCTCAGTTGTTGGTGTTCCTTTAACCTTACAGATCTACATCACATAAGCTCTACACTTAGTGTCTGATATTTCTTTCTACATGCATCTGAGACTTATCATCTTGATATTCAAGTCTCTTGTCAATTTCTTATGATCAATCTTCATTTATTGCTTATCCTGTCAGAGTCCTCAGCATCCTACCTTTCTGAGCAACTCAGGACTTTCTGATCTAGGCCTTCTAGTTTGTTAACTTTCTGTGACCTTTACAGTGGGAAAGTGAATGGTCCATCAACACTAGTCAATTCACAGGTTGGTTGCCTACAACTAGTCCATTCCTAAAATGAGGTCTAACTTCATTTCCATATCAATAATGTTAATAGAGCTATGCCAAGACATTCTGTCTAGTTACACATCAAGCTCCTCTGTATGCATCATGATGAATCCCTCACCATATGCTGGTGAACTCCCATCCACCATTTGCACTTGAATCAGATCTTTCTTGAGTTCCTATAGCAGATTTAGCCATTCTACCACCCTAGGTAATATAACACTACTTGTGGCTCCACTGTCCACTAGTGCACTGACATGTTTTCCTTGGATTTGAACCTGCACATACACCATGTTCTCTGGGTTTATATTTACAGAGTGTATAGCCATGTCATTCTGTTACTCTAGATTCAGGTGGCCTTCTAGTTTTTTGACTAAGGTTCCTTCCTAGGTCTCATGTCTTTGCCATGTACTGAGCATCCATTTGCCATGCAATCTTGCTTTAGTATCTGATAATGTCCTGGATACCTTGGATCATTCTTCACTACTTGTTGTTCTAGGGTATGTGGATAGCATTTGTCCTTTAAACAATCATACTATTTTGTTTGATGCAGGTGTTTGTCTTGTTGTTAAATCTAATTTAGGCATTCAATCTTCTAACATTTGTACCATGGATGGTAACATTCCATTGTCTCTGCCTTGAGCACTTAGTCTCTCCATTGGTTACTTTCTTTTTAAGCTTCTTGGAGTTTGCAAAATAAATACTCTTCATAATGAGCTTTAGCATCAGTAACTTTAGTTTCTAAATTGTTAGACTCCTCATCTTCTGAAATGAATGTTTCTCTCATTTTCAATTTGTGCTATTGTTGCTCCTCTTGTTGCCTCCTTAGCTGTTGTTCTAGGTCTTAGTGTTGTTGCTGGTGCTCTAGGGTCCATCCCTCAATAGCATTCTTCTAGATATTCTGTTTTATGACCTTTTCTTCTTCCATCCCCTGATAGAAGTTGTGTTGTTCTACTGTCTGCCTTTAGACTCTTCTGATGTGTTTAATTGCTACAAACTGTCAGTCTACATCTGCTAGCCAATCTTCATCATTGATCCTTGGATCATCTAGCCAATATCATTTACTCTACTCTCAGAGGTCCTCTCTTAGCTTTTTGAGTATAGCTTCTTCTGATATTGTACCTGCAATATTCTAGTGTCTTTTGGTTTGCTTGATCTCTTTAGCAATTAGATCTACATATTCTGTCATTTGCCTGTATCAGGCTAGGAACTTGTCTCTTGGTTCCTTTTCTGGTTCATCTGGTTCTTGGGTCTGTCATTATAGTACCCTGATTCATTTTGTGGTTTCTCCTTGGGTTATTCTGGTTTGTTTGTTAACTTCCTTCTCAAGCCATTCAACATAGTTCTAGTGTCATTCCATGACTACTTCCTGTGAGTATAGGTGTCATTGTGCCAAGTTTTTATAGATTACTCATTAGATCTTATTTTCTTGTTCTAATCCACTGGATGTTCCTAGGTAATGCATGTTCATTTTCCTGAACATATACTATGCATTGACTTCATGCTTTTACCTGTTCTGGTCCTACTAGTATTGGTCAAGTAGTTCATTTAGTCATTTATATGCTTCAATAATCAATACTGCTACTACTTTAGCTTCCTCTTCCATCTTGTTAATTATTAGTTCCTCTACAAATTCCATAGTTGTCCCTATGACTGTCTTCAGGTGTTGGGTTTGCTCTTAAGCTTTCTACACCCATTCAAGGTCTAGATCTAGTCAGTTTCTCTTGCTTTCCTTCCATTCCTAAGGTTTGATAGGTTCCAAGAATCTAATTCTAAGAGTCTATACATCTTTGGATTTCCCATGATTCTTTCATTTAGTGTTGCAATCCTTTCTCTAGTGTCTGGTTTTTCTACATCTAAGACAAGCTTTTTCATTAAAGTGTTGTTGTCTTTCTTCTTTGCTAATGGGGTTCCTGTGTCTTTGTTTCTGTATAGTGTCAAGGTCCATCAGGTCACCTCTGTCCAGTGTCTTGTTTCAATACTTTTTCATATTTGCCCTATAGTTGGCCCTGTGTCCTGAGTGTTGACACTTCTTCTCTTGCTCTTGTTTGTATTGGTGATTGTTAATTCTTACAGCTAGTTCTGCCATTCCTTACATGGTTTCTGGCCTGTCTCCTCTAGCTATCTTGTCCTTGACTCACTCCTTGAGTCCATTGTAGAAGATTGTGCTTAACAGTACTTGTCCCCATGGTACAATTGATGCTACTCATATAAACTCTACCATGTATAAGGCTATCAATCCCTTCTGTTACATTGTCTGAAGCTTCTACTCTGCTGCTTGTACTTTGTTAATCTTGCTGTAGACTTCCTTGATGTGTCTTTTGAATTCATCATAGTGGCTGAAGATGAGTGTAGTCTCTGCTTTCATTTGATTGTTTAGTCTGTTCCTCATGTAGTTATCCATGTATAGTTAGAACCACTCTAGGGCTTTTCCCTTCATGTACATTCTTGCCACTAAGATCTTGTCTAATTTACCTGGAAAGGTCATTGTATTGAATCCTAGGTATAGCTTCATAGTGATAAGCCATGCTTTAAGTGTCCCTCTCTTTCCATTAAATTTGTCTGGTGCTGCTACTTTAACATTGGCCTGCTAATGCTGTGTTGCCAATTGAGCTTGAAGTCTCATGATCTGCTCCCTAAGTGTTGTGACTACTGCTGTGGTTGTTCTGGTAGTGGTTGTTCCTAAATTGCTAGACATAGCAAAATGCCTTTGCTTGTATCACCTTTGTCCTAATGTTGGGTAGTTCTTCTATTATGGTGACACCTATGGATAGGCATTAGGTTGTATCTTCCTAGATAGTTCCTTGTCAGTACATCAAGGGTTCTCACCTAGTAATATAGCATCCTGTAATATTATTTAGTGATAGGAGTGATATAAGATGATAGACTTGATTTAGGTTTGGTAGATAAAGTAACAATAAGATTGTTGTTGTACTTGTATCTAAATACTGATAACTGATTACTATAAAGTAGTAATGCTAAAACAATAATGTCAAGAACTACACAGAACAATTCTAGCTACATAGGAAAACCATCCTCCTTATATAGACAATCTGTTCCATGCTAATTGCACCTGATCACCTTGATCACCTCATGATCACTTGTGATCACTGCAATCACTATTTCTGCCACTGTTCTCTACCTTCTTATCTTATCATTACATGACCCCTTGTCTCATGATATCATGCAGTGTACTGTGCCTCTACACTTCATAAGTAGGCCCTGCACCATCCATTACTGACCCTTGTAACCATCATTACAAGATGAGACTGGAACTTGTGGGGCAGATGCAAGGGCAGAGAGCAGAGAGTAACAGTAATCTTGAGGGTAGAGCAAACAGGTATCATATGAGTACTCAATACCATCCATTCATGAAAAGATGTGTTGATGTTGGCCTGAGGGCCACAAGAGTGTATTAAGTTTGGCTTGAGGCATAGGTTTGCTCCTTGACTTGGCACCCAGGGGAGACCTAGTGCACATTAGTCACATGGCTACTAGGCCAAAAGAGGCATTTACAGCGACGTGCTTAACTGTATAAAATGATAATGACCACGGCGTGCAGTCTTTCCTCTTTGGATGCTGTCCCCAAGCTACAATGTCTTCTCCTCTCCAACCGTATGAAGCCGTGGCTCTAACAACCCCGGTAGATCAACTTCATGTCGTCGTCCATACACTTGGCGCAGCTACACCTAGAACAAGTGACAATCACAGGACCATCTTCCTCAACACGCCGGACGGGAGTGCCATTCGGATCAACATGACCGCGAAGGACACAGAAAGTACCGAGGGACTTTTGAAGTGGGACAGACTGTCGTATCAACAAAGTGCATCTCAGATCCGAAAGTGGGATTTCCCACCTCAAATAAATTTCACGGTAGCTGATGTTGCTCACGAAATCTACTCTCGAAATCGACACCGTTACGAAATGTCGGGAGGGGGATCTGGCTGTCGCTTCTGGGTGTGGGTCTCCTTAAAGTTGATACACGCAGTGTAGGCTGATGCAAGTAAAGATACACGGTGATAGCAGACCTAGAAAAAGTGTCTTACATCGCTGCTGGCTCAGCGCAGCGGCTGTACAATGATCTACTTTTCCAATACCATACAGATCTTGATCGGAAACCGTTGCATATGGTTCGAGGATACTTTTTTTAGCTTAGTCATGATGGGCTCTTGCTTTGACTATCTATATTCCATGTACCACAATATGACAAGTATTAGATGCAGAGACAATATGGTCCGGCAAACAACGTAATCGTGAACTAGCAGAAAGGCCCGACAGATATTTGTATCGTAGCATGTAGCCACTAGACTGTCGCTGTAACCCTATGTAATATACTTCGTACGATGATTGCCGTAGGGGTTTGGCACACTGAACTGCTTTCATGGCGGATGGGATCGGAGTCAAAATGATGTAGGAAAGCGATCCAGGCAGTAGAATGCAGCCAAGGGTTATGTAGATACAAAGCAAAAGCCGAGTCACTAAAAATCGACATGACTTGCGCTCAATGACAATACAATTGTTGAGCAAATGGCACAATGGATGGTGAAGAGCACATTAATCCTGAAGCTAATCATATGCCGGCCGGAGCTGCTGTTGACATGTAGGCTAGGCTGGATACAAACTGTTAGGGTCGAGTTCTTTCAACAGAAACTTTACATTGACATGGGTTTACTGGGGAAACAGCTCATGATTCAAGGTCAAGGACTGGTCCATCTTAGATGGCTTCGTGGTAAGAAGTATTGAGCGGAACGACGACATTGAAAGTCAGTTGAAACAGCGAGAAGCCTGTAGATGGGGTTTCACTGTGCATTAAACTATAGCAAGAAAATTCACTAAGGGTTGCCTATGCTTGAATACATTGTGGCCGCAAGTCCCATAAGACAACGAATGATCCCATTGACAATTACAAGCATAATAAGCCCGTTAAACCCGTTATTCCAGTAAGGCAGATTGGTAGTGTTTGGGTTTTCGTCAGTTAGAAAATGATTGTACGTGACACGTATGACCAAGCTCATTGTGCCGGCAATCGTGCTGCAGACGAACTCCTTTCCGTCCCAGTACCTGTAACCTGAAAAGTTCCAGTTAACGGAGATGAAAATCGAGGGTATGTTGTTTTGTCGTTCGTGCTGTGGGCTCAAAGCTTGCAAGAATTCGTTGGTGCCTCGAGGAACTTACAGGTGGTTTGTGCCGTGTCTCCAGTGCCTCCTTTTTGGCATCTCTCGCGTACTAATGGTCTTTCTAAGTCTACTATTATTTAGTTCTGGATCATTTAAGGATGGTTGAGATTGTCTTTGATAGTGGGCAAGATTTATGTCGTCGGAGTATTTGTTACTGACCTTTTCCGGACATAGGTTTAGAATGGCTGTTCATGTCGAGATAAGCTGTGGTGTTTATGTGAAAATTTGCAGGTGAGCGGCTAGCTGGTAAGATTTTGTAAGTAAAGAGGCAAGAGGTGCAGTAGATAAATTCCCTACCAACCTTTGCATCGGTCTAAGGCATCTGTCTTCCCCGCACGACCCCTGTTTACATCTCTCCACGTTGCAGCATGTTTATGGGGAGCGATTCAGCTAGAAAATAAATTTGAAACAAGTACTTAGTACGATGATAGGTCAGCACACTTCGTGTATGAGTTACGGCAGGCTGGAAAATCTAGCTGTGGACAGGGATTGGCAGATGCAAGGATATCACAATTTCTTACATAATGCAGGAATGAGCAAGGTATGGATATACTCCGTACATTTAGGGAGACCTTTTTTTTTAAAAAAATTAAAAATTATATACTACAAAACTAAGTATATTAGCGGAGTATATTCTCTTATTCCAGTATAGGTTCGGGGATTAGAGCACACACTTGATGTTTCAAGTAATGCTTGATAGCCCTTTTTTGCCGTCAAATCTTGGCAATCCAATCTTCCTGACAAGGAATCTGGCAATGATGCGGCCCAACAAAAGCGATGGGCTCTCCAACCACTAATAATCGTATGATCTTTGAACCATATCTCACAAGGATTTAGAGTTGTGAATCAGTTGACAATACATGATATTTCAACAGGAGACACGTTCAATTCATCTAATTATGTACCGAGTGAACTTTCAAATGGTGATATCTTGCATCGATCTTTCTTTACCAAAAAATATATAAATATCGGATACCTTGGTTGTTGACTCTGGAACAAGTTCAGTTTTGGCGATCTCATATTCATTTTAAAGTCACATTAGAAATACCTCTATTTGGTTTTATTTCCTTGTGCAGCATATCTTTACAATTTTCAGAACTCGTCAATTTTATTTATTCATCAGCCGAAATGCATTTTTCTTTCTTTCATTTTACCAGTATTGGTTTCATAAGTCTTTTGCTGCCAATTATTCTTGTTCACGGAGTTCCTTTTAGTGCTATCAGTGATAGCATAGCATCTACACCGCCCCTTATCCAAACCACTTCTAGCTCTTCAACTGCTTCGGCTGCGCCGTCGGCTGCGCCGACAACGTCCGGTTCGCCGAATAAATATGACCAGCTCATCGAAACCGAAATCAACGCGAGCCCTCAACAAAACATAACTACACCTAGAGTTAGTGAAGTGATCAATTACATAAACAGCACTGGTCGTGGTCGATGGACCAATCTTGTGGAAGAAGCTGGCTCTGTGGTCTTCTTCAGCAATGAGGAATGGGCCGAAGCAGAGCAGTTGACCGCGCACATATCTTCAAAACAATAGACGCGATCTGAGCGGTGGTGGTTCGGAGTATACCGACAGGAAAGTAACGACAACTTGGAGCATACACAAGGCCCAAGTCATTTTTCATCAGCCAGGACGACTCTTACTACCGTCAACCCCAATAATGTTATTCATATCCTAGGCAAACGGACTGAAATAAATGGCGGCGTTGATCCAACTGGTGGCAACAACCCCAGACGCGCGTTTTTCTCATGCTACAATTCTGGACAATGGGCATACGACACTTCCCTTTCAGCAATAGCTGGCACAGGCTGTGGTGCTATCCTCGAAGGTGTTAGTGCAGTCGGAACTTGGGTTTGGGTCAGCCAGGAATTTCCCACTCCGGACCACAAATATGCCAAGCTTTTCCTAAAGTATACGGCTTGGACGACGAAGACTTTGGCCAGTACCCAATGTGCTACACTCGTTACAAAAATGGTCACATCTCAGTGCCAGGGCTCCAAGGATGGAGATGGCAACAATAGCAAATTCTCTACGCAGGGTGGTCAATTGCACATTTACACCAATAGTCCAGGCAGCTGGACTAGAGGCCCCGAGACCGAGCGGATTACAATTGATCCAAATACTTCTAATTAGTAGAGTGAGCCAGAACATGTGTCCACTGGGGCCCATAAAGGTAGAGATGTAGGATCGGTCAATTGGTTACTATTCAATAACTACATATTACTATCTTGTTAGTTCAATTATAACTCAACTAGACTATACAAACCTAGATTATTTTAAATTGTTTTACGGTAATTCTAGTTGAAACCAAGGGTCGTTTAGAATATCCCTTGCTGAGGCCCGTGCTGGAGGCTCAAACCGAAGCATTATATGAACCAGCTTGCCTAGCTTCAAGATATCTTCCTTTCCAAAGTCCACCTTTTTTCCGTCATGAAAGTAGACCTCTTCTAGCCAATCTTGCAGCGTGATACCAGATTCTGCGTTTGGATTTATGCCATTCATGATATGCCAGGTCGGCTTCCAACGTTCTGGCAGGTCTTCACCTGTAGTCTCCAGCATCTGAGAGACAAGTGATACGGGTTTTATCATTATACTATCAAACGGTGGCTGCCCAGTCACGAGCTCGAAAAGCTAGAATTGAAGTGTGAGTTTTTTTCACTAATAATGATGGAAAGGTCATGGATTAATTCCGAGCACGGGCAGTAGTGCGTTGGCGATAAAACTCCAAGAATGAAACGTACCATGCAGCCCATACTCCAAAGATCTACGCGATAATCTAGCCTGTCTCCAAAAATTGCTTCTGGCGCTCGAACAACAAGCGGGGTGTGGAGACGCTCCGCAACTTCATTACCCAAGAAGGACTCGCCAAAATCAGCGATTTTAATCCTTTGCGTTGACAACGATCGCTCTGCCGGATAACAAGTGGGTCGAACAAGGTATTCAGGAACGCCGGGACAGAGCACTTTGCCGTCTTTCCTTTTTACAATTGCTGTCTCCGGCGGTTTCAACTTCGCCAAGAGCTCTTGTTCTTGAAGACCCTGTATAGATGGGATAGTAAATAGTAGGTTTCGGGTATGAAGATCTAATTCCTGTAAGTAAGGCGAGAAAGAATCAACAATTGCTGCTGAAAAACAATGCAATACCTCCATGTGCGATTTTATGCTCGTGTAAGCAGTCCAGACCAAGAAGAGCCTGCCTCGCAATGCTTTTTGCAAGCGCTCCCGGAAGTCGTTCATCAGAATAGCGTCTCTCCACGAGCTCAGCGACACTTGGACCCAATAATTCGAGCACGAGGCAATTATGGGTTCCATTTGGACCATTGAGATGGAAATGGTTCATCATTGAGAGGAGATGCTGAAAGCCTGGGTGTCCGGACCCAGTTGCATTAATCGCCTCCATTACTTTGGACTCCTGACTGCACTTCTCTGGATCAGAGACCATGATCTTTAGGGCAACATATCGATCATCTCTAGTTGCTCATTAGCTCGCATCTGTCAAGAAGGCACAAAAGGTGTTACTTGAGATCCCTCGCAGCCCACACAGTTGAGTACCCTCCCCATCCCAGTTTGTGAAGTATCTTGTATCTCCCGTCGTTCAAGATGTCTCCTAGCCGAACAGCGTGATAGCCGCCTGGTCGATAGCGATGCAATGGTTCGGCATCAATGTCACAAATATACTCAGAATATTCCGTGGGAGATGCTCTGAGACATGTGGAGGCACAGCGACGAGATAATGGATCTCCACCAACGCTCTTTGCACAAGCAATACTTTGTCGACCCCATAGGAACAGAATGCAACTTTTTCCAATTATATTCATCATTCATTTGCAATCGATGCATATACAGTTAGCAGCGAAATAGTGCAGCGCTCTCGCATGGCCATATCGTAGTCTGGACTGATTTACGAGTAGGGGTCGCAAGGCAGATTAAAGGTTCGCCGACCAGGGGCAAAAGAAGGAATTACTGCGTACGAAAGAGATAAATATCTCTAGCACGCTGAATAGATGAGCACTCGATATTTGAAAGCCATGCCCGTCGAGAGTACACTACAATACTGACAGCCTCCCTACACGAAAGTCGACAGGATCTAGGCAGTAGAATAAGATTACATTCCGTACTCCGCAGGAGTAAGCACAGGGGCTAGACAATGGGGTTTACCGACCGGCTCAAGCTTCCCACGTGCGACACAATGATAAGGCAGAAGGCTACAAAGTACTTGGCGGGGGAGGGCCGTGTCATGATTGTTCAGATCTTTACTGCGCAAGGAAGAAGAAGGACATTTGGAAATCGGCTAGAGAAAAGTCGTATAGTAATCATGATGATCGCTTTCGCGTCAAAGGGAATTGTTTTGAGCGGAGATTTTCCCGTCAATCCTTGCTCCCACGATAGGGTTGATAGGATACAAGGGGATTCTTATTGGGGGAGAGAGAGACAGGGCGATACAAAATACCCGAGAAACCGATAGAGTAAAAGAAAAAAAAAAAGTCTTGGGGGGGAAACCTTTCCCTAACGTTGTTTGGCGGCTCAGTTGGTGCGGCTCTGAGCGGGTCTGGCCACACATTCTGGTCTGATCTTCGCATCGACCTCACCCCATCTTTGGGGCTCGGAGCATCACTGTAAATAATAATACCCATCCCACCCTTGAAATCCAAAAAATGTTTTTGGATTGTCGTATCTCTGCATTTCGCCCGGCTTGTCAAGGGAACCGCAAAGCATGAGCCCATAATCTCGATCGGTATCAGAAAGGCACCACGGTCGGATTAATCCTCTCTGTCGAATATATTTGTCTCGCCGGTATCGAACGCTCAAGATGAAGCGCGCCAGGACCGACTCATATTCGCCCGAGGCTAACGGCGTCATTTTCATGGCGAATCCTGGGGCTCATCCAACTGCGACCACAAACGGTCATACGACCACCAACGCCAATAATAATGGCCACGGTAGCACAGAGAACGGCAACGGCAACGGCAAGACCAATGGCAGCGCTCTCCGTCAGGAGCCAACTCACGTGATTGTTGCCGGTGCTGGCCCAGCTGGGGTGATGCTAGCGTAAGTAGCGGATACCTCTTCCCCCTTGCCCACTACCTCTCTCGCCTGCCTTTGTGGCTGGTTTTTCTATGTACAAATCTAGCTACATCTGGTACCTTGACCTTTTCACCTTATCCTCTACCAAGCAGCTTCATACAACGCATCTTCACAATAGTACAATGACTGCGTATCCCAAATTATTATTAACACATGATCCAGATCAAATCTCGTGCGGTTTGGAATCAAAACACAGATTGTGGATGATCGTGCAAACAGGACCTCGACCGGCCGGGCGGATGGCCTGCAGCCCAAAACCATCGAGACGCTGAAGCAGTTGAGACTGGCCGAACCCTTACTTCAGAAAGGAGCAAAGATTTTTGATATCTGCTTTTGGGTAAGTTCTCACGTAATGCGAATAAATTGTTTGATTTTTTTGTAATGCAAATGTCATTTTTGTATTTGTTTCCGTGGTCATTCTCCCATGGCTTTGTTTGTTCGGTTCTTCACCGCCCACGCTTGTTTTAAGCCACATGTTATCAGTGTTTTGCTAGGTGTCCTTTTTCTTACAACCCAAAGAATGCCACTCCAGATCAGACTTTACATCGGACCCACCGCGAGATCCATTACCCGCCATTCCTTGATGTCGAGGATCCATACATCCTCCTCGTCCACCAAGGCATGGTGGAGGAGCTCTTCATCTCCGATCTTCAGTCACGTGGAATTTCTGTAGCAAGAAATACTGCATATACTCGATTTTCGCCGCCGTCAAAGGCCACCTCCGATGTCCAAGTTGTTTTTCAGGATCGAGTCACCGGCGAGGAGAAGTCCTTGCGCGCCCAGTACCTTGTCGGCTGTGATGGCGCTCATTCGAGGGTCAGAAAATCCATTCCGCAAATGGAGATGCAGGGAGAAAGTGGAACTTCGGCATGGGGAGTCTTAGATGGTGGGATTTTCCAAGATTTGTCCGCATAAATCTTGTTACTGACACTATCGGGTAGGCATCGTCGATACCGATTTTCCAGATCTCTGGAGTAAGGTGGTGATTCACTCCGAGACAGCAGGGACCATCCTCTGCATCCCACGAGAAAAGGGCATGACGCGGTTGTACATTGAACTAACAAAGTCCGGACCAATGTCTGAAGCCGCGACTGAAGAGTTTGTCATGAACCAAGCCCGCGAGATCATGAAACCGTATAGTCTAACCTGGAAGAGTGTCGGTAAGTTGAGAAAGAATCCATGACTATCATAGTCCCAACGCTAACAACAATTGTAGAATGGTTTGGACTGTACAAGGTCGGACAGAGGGTAGCCAGTCGCTTCATGGACGAGTCTGGAAGGGTGTTCATTGCCGGAGATGCCGCCCATACACACTCGCCCAAGGCGGCTCAGGGAATGAACGTTTCCATGCATGATTCGTTCAATTTGTCGTGGAAGCTCAACTTGGCTATTCGCGGCTTGGCAGGTGCAAACTTGCTAGCAACGTACGAAAATGAACGAAGAAAAATCGCTCAGGACCTCATCAACTTCGACTATGAGCATGCGCAAGCGTTTTCCGCAGGCGATCCAAAGGCACTGGCGAGGAACTTTGCCACCAACATTCGCTTCATTGCTGGTGTGGGCGCCGAGTATGGAAAGAATGTCTTGAACAAGCCTGAGAAGACCCCAAGAGGCAAACTTCGTGCGGGCTCTCTCATCCTGCCGGCCATGGTTGAGCGATATGTCGATGCAAACCCGGTCCATCTGCAGCTGGATATCCCGATGCTTGGGCAATTCCGCATTTTCTTCTTTACGCCTAATGTGCATTTAGCGTCGTCCTTTTTGAAGAAGGTGTGCGCTTACGCGACCTCATTGGAATCCGTACTCGGACGTGTCACCGACGCTGCCGAGGAATCTTACAAGGAGCTCCCCTTCCCAGAAACCGATTCTGATTACTTTGTCCAGCCTGATCGCTATCTGCCGGTGTCGAAATGCTTTACATACGCTTTGGTTACTACGATGCCAAAGTCTACTGTGGAAATTGCTCATTTGCCTCCATTGCTGCAGAAGAGCAAGTGGACTTTCTACCTTGACAGCATCAAAGATCCGACACGAGAACCCTGCACGCGCAAGTGGGTTGGCAAGCTTGAAGAAGACGAAGTTGCTATTGTCAATGTCCGTCCGGATGGCTATGTCGGAAGTATTCAACGGTGGAATGCAAGCGCAGAAGACGAGGCAACCGAAGCTTGCCTTTGGTTGGACCAGTACTATGGTCGGTTTTTGATTTCATAGTTGTTTTCCCACAGCCAGGAGTTCATGCGTTAGATGATATTGGGCGCGGCCGGGTTGGAGCTTTGGTGAAACATTAGAGAACTTTGTAGATCTGAATCTCTTTAGCATAGGTTTCTATAGCGATCGTACGTCACGTCAAGAAATCATTGACCTATCTTATCATTTGTATAGCCTTGGTGCAAATAGCAACAGTCCACAATCAACATAGTATTTTATCATTTCCAAATTGGCTTTACCAATCCAAATAGACTTACAACGTGAAAGTTTAAGATGTCGAAATGTTTAATGCTTCTATTACAAATATATCGGCGAGTCTTTCCAGTGAGGTATTTCCAAGACAATTCACGACTGATTTATGTGATTCACCTAGAAGGAAATTTCTTGAGAATTGTTCAACATAAGGGCTAAAATGGACGAGCTTTAAACATGGGACGTTCCATTGATCGCTGTTTCGTCTTCACTCTCCGAAGGAGAATATGGTCGCTCCTCAGCTTCGCTGTCACTGGCAGCTACACCATCGACATCATTACCTGCAGTAGACGCACCAGTAGCTCTTCGTATTACAGGTCTGGCAATCTGTTCATCCGAGAGCCCCACATATGGATCAATCCGTCGTGGTGATAGTGGTGGCGACCGCGGCGGTTTCGAATAAGGAAAACCCTCTTCTGGCAGAAATTCTACAGTGTTGGGAGAGCGGTGAGCTCTTGTGATTCCGGCTTCTCCGCTATACGTACGATAGCCGCCGTCGCTTTCATCTGAGCCCTCTCTATCTCTTATAACGACTCTACGGGAACTTGGTCGACTAAGCTTTTCTTCCAGCGACCTGTGCTCTCTTGAGCGCGATCGCGTATTGAATGCTCCAAGTGGATTACGTTCTCTCGATCGAGACCGTACGTTGACTCGATCCCGTTCTCGCTGTCTGGGCTGTAGAATAATGTCTTCTCCAAAGATTACACGGTCACTTGGTGATCGTATATAGTCATCTTCGTAGTGCACATTGCGTTCTCTTGAATGCAGTGGTCGTCGGTCATCTGATCCTTGCTGTCCTCCCACGCGATATGTTGAAAAATCTTTTTTCTCGGAACGGCTGAATCTTGGGGGCATATAATAGTCGCGATCTAGAGAAAGGTTTGTCAATTTCGTCCTTTCAAGGTAGGCGAAGGTGATTTTGGTAAAGAAACCAACCGGTGTGCGCATATCTTCGGTACCAGACAGGTTTTGCATATTGTGTGTAAGCAGATTGGTACATACCCCGTGAACCTAGGATGTCATTTCTAGGATATGTCGAATAAGACTGGCGGGGAGTCTTTACGCCTAATCTTTCTACCATTGAAGGACCGGTACTCTCTGGCTGTCTCCGAATTTCACCCATCGAGTAAACCTCTCTTTCCTCGATCACAGGTCTTTGATAGGGATCATCGTATCTCTGATTAAGGACGTTGATTGGATGTGAGTGAGGCGCCGATAGATAGAAGGGGATTTCATAGTAGGAAGGACGACCAAAGTCGGCATTCGAAATCTCTCTAGCCCTTGTCCAATATGGATCGGGAGGCAACGTTGACGGATCGGGAGGCAGCTCAGGGGCTTGAGAAGAATCTTTGTCTTCTTTAATATTTTGGCGATAGTTTGGTTGCCTTTTGATGGCAACGTAGAATCCTTTGGTGTGCGTAATTTGCGCTCTGCGAAGACGCATGAGATTGCTGCATTCTTTGATGACTCTTAGATAGATCAAGCCCCAACTATAATTTTTGTCTTCATTTGTCTTCTCCTGGAGCCAATTGAATACCCCGCGTCGGCCTATGGGAGGGATTGATGACAGCCTCTTGCCGGTAGTCTCTGGAATCAACCACGCTGCCTTCAATTGTGGACCATGACCGCCAAGATATTTTGCGAGGAACTTCTCTGGTGATGCTATAGGTGTATAGTCAAGTTTTCCACTGCCGTCAACTTCATAGTATACATAATGTCTCGCCAGCATCACTACGTCTTCACTGTTCTTCAAAGACTTTGAGGAATCCATACCATTTATCATCTCCACCTCCCAAGTTTCTTTCCCTTTTTGTTTTGTGCTGCCACTGCTGAATTAGCCTTTCTTCTCCTTACTTTTAGCTCATTCACTCACTCGAACATTCGGGCCAACCAGGGAAATGTCCGTTGTTTGGCTGAGCTCTGAATTATTGTCTCTTGAATTGGACCATTTTTAGCATCCTTAGCAGCCTCGTCTATGGCTATCATTGTGTCTGTCTAGCGTGAGAGGAGGATACAAATCGGAGATAATGTCATTGATGGTTTCCGGTGCTACCTTTCTTCTCAGGAGCTCATTGTATATCTTTGACTTTTCAGCGTCGATGCTTTGCGCTTTCTCATCCAATTCTTTCATCTTTTCATCCTTCCAATTTTGAATGACTTCCTCCTGTAAAGCTTTCTTCTCGGCTGCTTTTTTCTCTTCTTCCATCTTCTTTTGCGCGACTTTTTCTTCGATCAATTTCTGAATCTCTGGATACAAGGGGTCGTCAAGGTCAAGTATATCTCCACGTCTCGATGGATAGGGTCCGTGGCTGCCAAATGACTGCGGCTCTTCCAGCCTTGGTGCAAAAGGATTGCTATAAGTGCCTTTGCTGCTTCCTTGGTTTTGCGGTCCGCTCTGTGACTGCTTGATTGCAGCTAGACGCCCGAGGACGGATGTTTTCTCGCGACGAAGGTCTGCAATTTGTCGTTGATATCTGTCTTGCTCCATTATAGAGCTTCGGTACAGACATCACATTAGCTTTTCTGTTCCCCCACAGAGAATTGTTGTATTGGGAAGTCAGGCCATTGAGAGGGATTGAAACTTACCCTGCGCTGACCATGTAGCTGGAGTGAAGAAGCAGTACATCTAGCTTCACCATCGACAATTCCTGTCGGTATTTCTCAAATTTGCGTGCATAAAGGGGCCAGGAAAGATGGCCAAATTTTGACAAGTCAATATCTTCCTGAGTAAAGTTTTCCGGCCTGACTGGGACTGACGACCGTTTCAGCAACTTTTGGAACTTTTCAATAATTTTTTGGCAGCTGCGAACACATTTTCTAGCATCCTGCACCCCTACATCGCCCCAGCAATGCGTCTTCTTGTTTTTCTCGATCAGCTCATTGAGCTGATGAAGATGGCCGAAGGTACTCGAGATGTCCGATATAAGAAGTAACACTTCTTCTTTTGCCCCTTTTGCGGTCGAGACGTACCATTGGAGAGTTTTTCCAAATTTCAGACCGAGATCGATAACTGCAATGATTGAGCTTGCCTCTCCGATGCCAGCCATAATATTTTCTCAATCCAGGCTGGCAGCCCTCAGAAGAAATTATCGGTCGGCAAGAACCTTTCATGTCTATATGACTTCCACCCCCTCATTATTTTTTGTGTTCGAGTGGCGCCGGCGCTGAGGCTGCTTGACCTCCATGGGCCTTGCTCATAAATTTCAGCCTTCTGGACATAATCCTTGTTCAGAATGTCAGCTCAACTTGCGCAACGCAGGCCGAGTAAACATATGCCAAAGTACTTCTACATGCCGAAATATCGACGGACTACAAAAAGTAGACATTTATCAAGTACCAAGTGCATGTAGTGTATTTCTGCATAGTGATTCGTTGTGTAAGCAGTGAATGACGCACAGATCACAGCTTACTGTCTTGGCATCAAGTATGATCCGTAAGCTGAGAAATTACATGGCGTCGACAATGCCAAGGGCCTTTCAATATTTTGCCCCGTAACAATCAATAAAATGGTTATTCAAAGATGGAAGGTTGGGCTCTCTGTGCGGGGAGGAAGTGCGTCACTCGGATAGTTATCTTTGACGGCCCAGGGCGCCGCCCAAAATACGTAAAGGTGTAGTGCTGAAATCGGGGCCACCTGTCAACTCCGGCTCGGTTCCCCACTGTTGTCCCTATCTCACTCTCACTTGACCTCCCGATAAGCCCCACCAAAACTTGTTCAATCTGAAGAGACGGTAGATCTAAAGGAGAGAAGAATGATGGAACCACAAAGCATTATACGCTATAAGAGATCTATCTCTCGTAATGATGCACCTGACATATACCCTATCCTCCGACCGGAAGGATCTTGTAACGCAGGATGTCTCCTTCCGTAACGGCAACTCCCTGGCAGGAAGTTGTCCTCCGTAAGCGACATCTCCGGGATACTGCTATTGCACCCTTTCTATCAAACGACAATAGCTCTGTAGAGGCCGAATCTCTGCGAATTCTTGAGATTGATGATCTTCAGAACTTACAGAAGGAGTATCACACCGGTACATACTCTGCCGAAGCTGTTATCAAGGCTTACATTACTCAGTATGTCAACTCTTAGCCCTCAATCACCTAAATATTGCTAATCCCTCCCAGAGCTGCACTCTCACACTCGAAAGTGAGCGACCAAGACTTCACCGTCCCGATTGCGGACGGAACTTCCGTACTAAGCTCATAACCCTTTTAGACGAATTGTCTGACCGAGGTCAACTTCGAAAATGCATTACGCGCGGCGCGAGAGCTCGATGAGCTGCGGGGAGCGAACGGCAATTTGGTGGGGCCGCTCCATGGAGTGCCAATGACGCTGAAAGATCAATTTAACGTTGAAGGCTTTGATTCAACCTTGGGATATGTGGGGAGAGCATTCCATCCCGCCACGGAGGACTGCGTTCTCGTCTCGATCCTGAAGCGGCTTGGTGCGGTCATTCTCGCAAAGACAAACCTCCCGCAGAGTATAATGGTATGTTTAACAAACTTGAGCTCATCTCCAGGCTAATATCTTCTCCCATTACGAAGTGGTGCGAGACAGAAAACCCCTTGTGGGGTCTTACTACCAGCCCACGGGCGGAAACGTTCACACCGGGCGGTTCTACTGGCGGCGAAGGAGCGTTGCTTGCCATGAGGGGTACATTGGTAGGTTGGGGTACCGACATTGGCGGCTCTATTCGTATTCCAAGCCACATCAACGGATTATACGGATTAAAACCTAGCGTAAGTGTAATTGAACATTGAACATTCTAGAAGCGGTCTATTACTCATTTTGTTCATCGCAGAGCGGCCGCCTCCCTTACCACGGGGTTCCTGTTTCAACAGATGGTCAGGAACATGTACCTTCTGTTATTGGTCCCATGTCCCGCAGTCTGTCTTCTCTCACACTGACCATGAAAGCTGTGATTGATGCTCAGCCCTGGCAACTTGATCCCAAATGCTGCCCTCTGCCCTGGAGAGAAGATCTTTTCAGGGAAGTGCAGACTAGGCCGCTCGTAATTAGGGTCATGGTTGATGATGGCGTGGTAAGACCACATCCGCCAATCCAAAGGGCACTTGAGGGCATGGTAGACCTGCTCAAAAAAGCAGGTCATGAAATTGTGGAGTGGAAACCCGAAGGGCATGCTGAATGCGTAGCCGTAGCGGTAGGTACTTCACAGAATGCATTGATTTCTCTTTGGTCTCCGCTAAAATCTGTTTTTAATAAAGGACGCTTATTATGCAAGTGATGGCGGCGAAGACGTTCGACGAGATGTTGCTGTCGCTGGGGAGCCATATATCCCCCATGTGGAAAAGCTTTTCTCCAAAGGAGAAGGCATATCCGTGTATGAATACTGGCAGCTTAACAAGCGAAAAATTGCTGCTCAAAAGGCGTACCTTGACAGATGGAACTCCACCAAGAGTCCGATCTCAGGGCGAGTGATGGATGTCATTCTCTGTCCTCCCATGCCTCATGCCGCTGTGCCGCATCGGGCTTGCAGGTGAGTTAGCTTTTAATCTATAGTCGCGCCCAGGTTTCTGATCAATGAACTTTCCAGGTGGGTTGGTTATACCAAAGTCTTTAACGTACTGGACTATCCGGCTTTTGTCTTTCCATGCTCCAGCATTTCAGCCACTCGCGATCAGGCTTGCGGGGCCGTGGCTCACCAACCGCGTAATAGTATCGATGAGTGGAACTGGAACTTGTACGATCCGGTGGCCATGGACGGTCATCCAATTGGCCTTCAAATCGTCGCTCGCCGCTTAGAAGAAGAAAAGGTCCTCGGCGTCACTGCCATGATGGAACAACTTGTGAAAGCGGCAACGAACGAACCAGTCGAAAACTAGTCAATACTTTGCATTCCTCGACATACATATATATATGTTTTTAAAAAAAAAATTGTTGATTCTCATAGATCTTCTATGCAATGCTCAGTTCTAATAAGTCCAAATGGGGTATTTCTTGACTGTCTCGAATCGTTTTGCATTTACAGTCTGGGTATCGTCATTCCAAAACTCTCGGTAGGGCCGGTAGCAGAAATTGACTGTGGCCAATGTTCGTCAACCTAATCACAAGTCAGAGATCTCTGTTTATCTGATGGGAAAGCCTTCTTCCTGTATCAGTCTCTGCGAAGCATAAACTTACATCCTTTACATGATGGTAACCGAGCAGCTTCGGTGCCAGCTCAGGATCACGCCAAGCTAGTGCTTCGCCAGCTACCGTTGGTTTCATTCTCATGCGCCTGTCTCGCTCTTCTTGTTCCGGTCCATCACGTAAATGATACAAATATTGCTGCATATTGCCACGCTCGACCACCATTTCGGTTCGTCTTTTGCGACAATTCTCATACACTTCAAGGGCCATCTTCTTAGAAGCGGGGGATTTGTCCTTGATACGAGAAAAGCATTCGCCAAGAACAGCACCATCCTCGAGCGCCATGCCTGCGCTACAAAATAATGTTAGATGACCTCCCCAAATTGGTAGGACAAAATTCAGACATACCCACTCGCAAGGTACGGCAGGGTAGCATGGACAGAGTCACCCAAAAGCGTAAAAGCTCCAGATGGATGGCTCCATTCATCCAGGCCCTTCCTTATACACAAGCGCCATTTGTAGACCGATTCGCAGAGTTTGAGAAACTTTGGTATCCTGCGCGCACATTTTAGAAAGGAATATAGAATGGAGTGCGTTGGATATCCAACCTCGGATCCCAGTCCTTATACATAGCTCTCATCTCCTCCACGTTTCCTTCCAATGTCGATGCGCCGGCTGGCATGTCGTCGGGCACAAGTAACACCATATTAAAAAGCTCTCCGCCACGAAGAACATAGTTGACAGCATGGGCGTCTGGACCGAGCCAATAATTGACCTGTGGATCGGTAACGAAACTGGCTAATTCAGGGTCCTTCATAATATCCTTTGCCGATAAAAGTAATCTATAAGCAAGATCACCGGTAGGAGTCGGTGGATCAGGCCGTCCCAGCATAATTTCTCGTAATCTGCTATTAATGCCGTCCGCACCAACAACCAAATCGGCATCAATCTGCTCACCATTCTCGAGTTTCACAGTTGCTGTCGCTCCGTCAGGAATAACTTCGACATTCATAACCCTAGCCCTACATCGAACGTTTGCGCCGAGCTCTAATGCTCTTTCCAGCAGACACCCATGCAGGTTGGCGCGATGAAAGTCCCAATAGCAGGTGCCGGGATATTGAGCGGCCGAGTCATGAAAGCTCATAGAGGAAATAAGATTCCCTTTCCAGCCCATCATGTTCACACCTCTTGGTCTCGTTGCGTACTTTTCCAATGCAGGGCCCATGCCCCAGGACTTGAGCACACGAGAGCAATTGGGTAGGACTTGGATCCCAGCCCCCACCTCGGCGATTTCGTTGGCACATTCTAGAACGGAAACTTCATGGCCAGCTAGAAGCAGCGCAATCGCTGCACCGAGTCCACCAAGGCCTGCGCCCACAACAATGATCTGGAACGAAATTATCAAGGTCAGTATTCCCAATGCTTTTCTGTATTGTGTGAACTGCTCAACTCACTTTTAATTTGCTTTCTTCGCCTCTTTGGGCTTTTATTTGGACTGGTACCATTGCTGTATGCAGCGCGTATGGTGACCTGATTATCTCGGAATGCTTTGGTGTATTGCGTTAAGTTGTTGTTTACTGAGGCGTCAATTCAGCCCAGCGTGGTAAACAATTGTAGCTCTGTCCGAAACAATAATGTATACATAAGGCTTTGTGCTTTGACTCTCATTAAAAGGAAGTAACATAGATAAAATCTTTGTGGAGCGATAGGTACTGGCAAGTCCAGAAACTATCGAAGAAGCAATTTCCAACTCCACCTTCGGGATATCGGCGTGAGTGTTGACGAAGTACATTTTCTTGTGTTACACTGACATGGATTGTGAGTCCCTTGTCGCATGGAATCTCGGGGGCCGAACATGTTGACGTAGAGCTCTATCACAAGCTTCCGTATTGAACCACCTGAACCCCTTTGCTATCAAGACGGGAAGCCGCCAAGGATCGTAATGGGTTCCTGATGTGTTATCTTAGTCTGACCCTCTCGATCCGCTAGTCCAGCTATTCAACAAAGGGGCAATTGATAAGCTTCGCGGAAGAAGATAACTTAGAGAGACGGTCATTTTAGTTTCCCGGCGAACTTTACCCGGCCGGGAATGGGGGATGGTAAGCAACCATGGGGGATTCATCTGTCAAAAGTGGGATCGGTCCGTCAGCTTTACCGAGTCGAAAAGTGGGGTTAGATGTGTGAGACAGGGAGAGCAGCGGTTGGCAACGGATATATCCACCTGCCCTGTATGACAACTCACAACCCCGCAAGTTTAGGTATGGGAATAGCTCAAGATGCTCCTCCATCCTTCCGTCAATGCTTCACATTTGTTCCGGCCAAGCCATAATGACATCCACGGGCAAAGTGGAAGCAAAATACTTATGAATTTATTTCAGAATATATATTACTGTTTCGTCTACCATAAATAAAATTCAAGGTCCAAAATGATCACACCTTTGCACAGGTCGATTAATACAATAGTTTTTAAACTTACACTTGATAGAAGTCCAATAAATATTTTGAATATTTTCATTTGGGGAAATTGAATTTTTCTCCCATTTAAAAATTCTTTGTTGTAAATTATGATATCTATAATTACTCGAACAAAACTCTAGACCCCTGGAGAAATTACTTGAATTTTATCGAGACCACATTAATTCAACTGCTTGTTGTCTTTTCTCAGGATCTCACCCGGCGCTGCAGGCATCATAGCCCCCTCGGGCGGGACATTTTTGGCCTTGAAATCATCACACATTTGTTCCATCGTAACCCATTCAACACCTTCATGCTGATTTATGTATTCAATGATCCTAAATTGCAGTTAACTATGTTGCCACTTGCTTATAGCTAATGCAATTAGAGAGAGATTACCTTTCATGCATCAAAATAACGTGCGGTCGGCCAGACACATCGGGATGAATGGTCATGGGGAAGATGAATTCATCATACTCGCGATAGAAGTAGTCAAAGTGGTCCTAAGTCTTCCCTGTCAACATACTTTGAATGAAATATTTTAATCAACTTGACGGGTGATTATACCTTCCAAATAGCTTCAACGTCGCGAGGGTTTACCCAGCCGTGGCTGTTTGGGGCGCTCTTGATGAACATCATTGGTGGTAAATCATCAATGTACCAGCTTCCTGGAATCTCCACCAAGCCAGTTGGCGTTCCTTTGACCAATGGTTTCATCCATTGTTCGGCTTTTTTCGAGTAATCAATCTTGGTCCAGGTGTCGCCTGTCCGTAACCAATACATCTTGTGGTCTTCGTGACTCATTGAGTGGTCATACTCAATGCCATAGCTCAAAAGGAGTTCTGTTCCTTCCTTGCTTGTTTCCCACCACGGGGCTACACTTCCCCTAGGTGGCTTTCCGCAAAATTCTGTAAGTAATTTGTAGGTTTTGTCGAGGACATCTCGCTGTTGCTCAAGCGTCATATCGGCAGGATTCTCGTGGGAATATCCATGAAGACCTATCTCGTGACCCGTATCCCTGATCATCGCACATTCTTCGGGAAATGTTTCCAGCGAGTGGCCCGGAATAAACCATGTCGCTGTGATGTTGTATTTTGCAAAGAGCTTTAATAATCGTCGTACTCCTTCAGTGCCAGCCCAAAGGCCTGGTAAAGAAGCTGTGAGACTCAAATCCAGAAATCACCACAGAAAGGAAGAAGTTTCCTCACCTCGACTTATATCGCTGGTGGAATCTTCGCCACCATATGATCCGAGCCAGCCAGCAACGGCATCGATGTCAACGCCATAAGAGCACAGAACCCGCTTCTTACCCATGCTCACAAGGAACCTCGGCAGTATTGTTAAAACCGTGATATGTCAGGAGAAACTGAGACAATTAGGCACGAAAACAAAAAAGCACAAAGGAGAGTGAAAATATTACAGACGGACATTGGTTAATCTAGCTCGAGAATTGGTCTACTACCCCTCCCAGCTAATTGTTATCCAAGGAGAGTGGGGTGTTCAGGGTCCATCGTTATCGTTTTGTTATCAGTTCTCAAGAGACCCGGAGTGACCGGTACCCACCTGGGCACAATACTGTTTAGCTCGGCAATGATGCGACAGTGTTGCAAACCCCTTCCATTCGTGAATTTTGTCCTTATAGTGTACATTTTATTGGAGGAGGTGCAAGCGAAAAATTACTCCGTAGGGTCGCAGAATGGAAAAGAGTGGGAAGGGATGTGCCATTTTGGCGAAGCTTTAAATTCGTGACCCTCGTCGTGGAGAGGCCGAGAGATAACACCAACACCGAGCTCGGTTGCTGCCTTACCAGCGTTGGACGTTACCTTTCGGCGCTCGAGACGATGTCTTTGGATAGGGTATGTAGTGTCTTTGTCTAATTAATTGCTCTCGAGCTCAGAATGACCTTGCATAGTTTTCACTCAAAGGTCGAACTGCATTAGTCACTGGTGGCGCATGGGGTTGCGGGCTTGCATTTTCTCAAGGCCTTGCGGAGGCGGGCGCAGATATTGCGATTTTTGATGTGGTACCTCCAGCTGAAGGACTTCTTGCAATTCAAAATAAATATGGAATAAAAATAAAGTCTTACCGGTAAGTACGGTCATGCGTTCCTGCTCTAGCTGCCGTGCTGCCTGGACTGAGATCCTGCTAGGCTTGCTAATGCTTCTTCAGTGTTGATGTAAGTGACCTGAAGAGTCTTCAAGAAGGGTTCGCGGAGTTTAGCAAAGACTTTGGAAATAAATTAGATGTATGTGTGCCATGTGCGGGCATAAATCGGAACCTGAGTTTCCTGGATACTCCATGGGAAGAACACCAGAAGTTGCTCGACGTCAACGTGCTTGGTGTCTATTATACTGCACAGATGGCCGCAAGGCAGATGATCGCAAACGGTACCAAGAAAGGGAGCATCATCATGGTGGCTAGTATTGCAAGTTACAGAGCTATCCGTGGCCAAATGTCCAGTGCATACTGCGGCACCAAAGGCGCTGTGCGTGCCATGTGCGCCCCAATTGCTGCGGAGCTAAGCCAATATGGAATTCGAGTCAATACTATCTCCCCAGGATATGTTCGGACGGAGATGACCGCACCGGTGAGTACCCTTGAATCGGATGGCGGCTCGATGGCTGATATGACGGTCAAGTTTCCTCACCTTCTCGAGAGCTGGAAAGAGGAAATAATGAACAATCGGGTTGCAGAGCCTGAAGACCTTCAAGGAGCCTGTGTTTTTCTTGCGAGTGACGCAAGCTCATACATGACTGGACAAGATGTTCTGATCGACGGAGGTGTAACCAGATGGTGAATGTTGACAACCGCTTTCTCTATCGGTTCGTATATGCTGTTTGGTTGCTGCACGGATCTAATAGCTGACAGTATAGAGAAAGGTATTCTATTTTTCTACTGGGTATTTTAGAGACATGTTCAATGAGTTACCGCATTTCTGGAAGCCTTGCAATTAGACCATTCCTTTTCGACCTATAAGCTTGGTCGAGCACATTCAACGGTCGTGAATTTTGTTCTAAGCTTTGGAGAACAATCATGCCCTCCCTGACCAAGGCCCACCGAATTGTGCTTAGATGTTTCGTCATGATTTTTGTAAGTCCAGCCGTGCCATAGCTCCCACGGCTTAGACGCATTTCTTCCATATTCGACCGTGTCATCGCGCTAATCACCATGTTCATCTCAGCTCGCGCATCCCAATCCACGCACTCCTCGTAATCCTCCTCTAAACTACTGTCATTTTGACTCTCTGCGGCTTCGCGGCGTTTTTCAGGCCTCATAGTTCTGAATCTCTGAATTTCATTGGCATTGCTGCCAGAGCCAGCGGTATGGAAAGCCCAACAAGTAAGTGTTGCAATGTAGAGGCACCAAGGATAATGGAAAACATTATCCACATCCCAATTTTTCAGCTTCCGGATACCGTCTCGGAGAAGATGCGCTGCATGGGAAGCGGCTTTGACAGCTGACGCGACATTAGTCTCTACCCAATTATCGATCCGCTGCCGAGACCTTGCATAGTCGGATTCAGTAACGGGACGACCAATGATATGTTTGGCACCGGCTAGTATTTGCAGGTCAATGATTTCGACCTGAAGAGAAATGTGGGCAGCATGATAAATCGCAAGAGAGGAGACGCGCAAGCGCTGAAACCGAGCCCTAGCTTCGGAATCGAACGATAAAGATCGCATTGCTACTTTGCAATATGCATCGAAGTCGCCCTTCCAAGCCTCATACGAACGCATAATACGTGATCGCCAAGTGTCTTCACCATCCGTGATCGCAAGTCCTTGGGTGTCATTAGTGCGACTAATTTATTGGCTCCGAGATCAAATGCTCTTACCAAGCGAAGTCTGCTCTCTTCTATTTAGGTCCCACGCCACCGACATAAGCCCATGTAAGATCAGAATTCTTGATAAAGCGTTGAGATGGGTGTTTGGAAGTTCGGTGCCCGGGTTGACATAAGACTTGAATACCGAGAGAAATTGAGGGGGCGACCCTTTTTGGCTGAGAGCAAACCACATCTCAGCAGACTCTGCTTCCCACATAGCAGAGTCCCATGGGAGGGCCAGCTTCAATTCCGATGCATTCATGCACAAGCTCTGGCTGAAGAGAACTGCATGTTGAGTATCCCACATGAAGCAGAATAGAGCAAGCCTTTTACGGTCAGCAGGAGAACGAAAATTGTTTGCAAAAAGTGCTTACCTTCGACGTTGCTCTGCGTCGACTGCAGACTTCCAGTAATCATTCAGGTCAAGAGAGCTCTCTGTAAACACCGGAGATCGAGCGGATTGGCAATCGCTTCTACGGATCAAACTGCAAACCAGTCGCTTAGTCGAGTCTTACACAGAATTCTATGATTGACAGAAAACAATCTCTCAAAGAAATCAAAATTTCACATTCCCAGGTTTAGGATTATTGCACTTACTTGATAAGCATGCCGTGGAAGAGGTGAGACATGTCATGTTGCACCTGACCGGCACGAGACTTCCCAAAACATTCCACTAGCAGTATAGTCTGCAGTATCCAAAGAGACGGCCGAGCACTAAAAGCTTGGTTGGACATGATTTCTACTCGCATTATATCATGTATACAGACTGCTAGGAGATGCGCCTCCTTATCACTATACGTCGCGCCAAGTAATAGCACAGCGGTCAGAAGAAGGGGATTTACGAGTGAAGGCTGGAATGTTGCTTGATGTAATAAAGGATATGAGAGGTTGAAGCAAGTGAAATATAGATCACTGTATGTTTGAAGTGCGCCGAGGGAGAGTAGAGGGTGTTCAATTGATATATCAGCCCCGTCTGGAGTTTGTGGTCGTGCGTGGTCAATTAGCAGCAAAATTCCCTGACGGGCCGTTTCGTCGATCACAGGAAGTCTATTTGCTTTTGCAGAAAGGTGCTCTCGTGGCCTTATTTCCTCTTCCGACGGCCACTCATACTGTGTTCCACTTTCGGAGGTCCGGTGGGGTAGGCGCTTCCCACTATCCCGTGCCACCGACAAACGTGAATTATTCAAGCTGCTTTTTCCAGGAATGTCAAGTGTTGAAGCCCCATTATCTCTGGACTCAGAGCATTCCACTTGGATACGTGAATTGGAAGAAGAATTCGAAATCACGCATTGACTTGAGAAGAGGCCACTGCCAGGAGCCAGACGCGGTGTTCCAATGGATAAAGGGGAATTGTCCTTGCAGCGGCTGGGCGACGAATTATTTTCAGCACCATTCAGGGAGCCTTGAGGAAAAAGCGGTTGTTGGTCAATTATATTGCCGGGAGCAAGAGTTTCGAGCGCAGAATATGAAATGGGTGTTTCCGAAAACCTGTCATGCGCAGCTTTGCTACGATTTTCTAGACCAGGATAATTCTCAGACGCTGCGTGTATGGATGATATTGAACGAGACATCTCGTTACTGAGAGTCTGGCCTTCTGTGGGTAAGTATTGAGCAGTTTCTGACTGGCCGGGGGACTGATGGGTCCACATCTTCGAATCAAAAAGCCAGTTGTAGTAGCTCATTGTCGTGAAGGGCATATTGAATGAGCTTGCTAAGAAATAATTTAAACCCAGATTCATAAGCGTTGGTTTAGCATGTTTCTTACCCGTATCTGGCGCAAAGATATCATCAAACAGTATGTCGTGGCCCGGCTTTTCCAAAGGCTGTATTCCCCACGATCCATTTCGCAAAAAGTCTTCATTGTCAAGACTATGCAAAGCAGATATGTCCTCAGACACTGACCACCGATCTAGACTTGACGAGGGCATATCTAAAAGGATATCATTGTTCAGTCCAGAAATGGAACCTGAATTTGATCTAGGCGGAGACAATGGCGCCTCGTTCAGCTCGGTCGCATAGTCAACAGTATCCGGTAGCTCACGCATCGGCTCATCCGAACTTTTGGAATCGCTGCTAATCAGCGATCTGAGCGACACTTTTCGTCTCTTCTGGGCGGGTCGAGCCGGCTTCTCGTGCTCAGGACGCCTCTTGGCCATAACATTTCCATTTTCATCCCTCCACAACCGTTTTCGGGTAGCTAAATGTCCCAATCCCTCTCCACCAGCTGCGGCGTCTTTCTCTTGATGGCGCACCATGTGGCGATCTGATCAAACGTTAGGAGCCTAACTCAATTGCCACGTAGGATTCGCATTTTACCAAGTAAATCGCGCCTTTTGAAATGGGCGCGGCACCTCAAGCACGTGTTTTCTCCTTCGCTGTGATTCAGGGCATGCCTTTGAGCATGCTCCGGCCGTGAAAATGACTTGCCACAGCCCTCGAAAGTGCAACGGTACCGTTTTGAAGAAGACTGGTCAGGCATCATGCTCACTTGCTATTACGCAGGGACGCACGAGATGCCAGGACGCTGTAACGAGCATGAGAGGAGCGGAGCTGCGGAGGGATGAGCAGCAAAAGATGATGGACCGTAATGCGGGGCAGCGGTTGACTTCATTGAAGCCTTTCCAATCTGCGTAACTCACCCATGGCAAGTGGCTGAATCTGGCTTATCGTGGATAAACATACGTAAAGAGTTGGCGTATCTATCCGCGCAGCAGATATCAACTAGTTCCAGGGACTCGTCGGAAGCTAAGTTTGACTAATTTTGTCCGAGCTGCAGCAGTACTTATCGCTGCAGGACCCCGCCATTAATTTGGTCGCTCGGGTCTACGACTGGCGAGCCGGCCGACACATCCGTCATCGAGTTACAGTTGTACATTGCGGCAACCAGGATAGAACGGAATAATGAAGAGACCTTATGCTCTATATTAAGAAGGCACAGCTGAGCAGGTTTTGGAGTCTTTAGGCACTCGTAGCTGAGTCCGCCAATAACATCGGCGAACAGAAAATATTTACATTTAGAATATTTGAATACCTCCATCTGAAAAGCCCCGTCCCATGAGGATTTTGTAAACAATAAAAAGCCAAAATGTAACAGCAATGCCAGAACACCTTTCATGCAGCCAACTTAACATTTTCTTGCCCATAAAAAGGGTAGTCGACATATCCCTTGCTTGGCGGATCTGCACCATAGAACGTACTTCGGTCGTAAGAATTCAATGGTAAACCTTCCGCTAGACGTTTAGGAAGATCGGGGTTGGAAATGAATTGACGCCCAAAAACTATGGCATCAGCTTCATCATCGGTGAGCTTCGATACGGCGTTATCCCTATTGAAATTACCTGCCGCGAGGAATTTCACGCCACCGTTCAGTAGGATCTGGCGGAACGGGACAAGAGAGTGGCCAACGGGCCCAGCTGTTGCTTCAGCTTCAACCCCTTTGTCTTGGGAAGTATAAGCAGATAAGGCATCCATCTTGGCCTTCTCGTCTAACACCTCATCGAAGCGGGGCTCAACCATGTGCACATAGGATAGCTTGTTCTCCTTGGGGAGCTCCGCAATCTTGGTGCAGAGATATGCCCAGTTGCCATTGGGATCGGAGTCTTTGGTATCTTGGAAGTAATTGTATGGCGAAAGTCGAATGCCGACGCGCTCGGGGCCGATGGCAGAGGTCACCGCCCGTATGACTTCCAAGGGAAATCGACACCGATTCTCGACGGATCCACCGTAGGAATCGATTCGCTTGTTGACGTTGTCGTGCAGAAACTGGTCCAGAAGATAACCATTGGCCCTAATTTTATTTATCAAGATTTGTGATTAGACTGACAACCACGACATACGTGGATCATTAAGCTTACCCGTGGATCTCGACTCCGTCAAATCCAGCTTGCATCGCTCTCTTAGCTGCTGCTGCGAATTCATGGACCGTTTCTTGAATCTGATCAATACTCATGGGTTTCGGGGGGTTACTAGCATAATCGGTCCCATCAAAAGCCTTTCCGCCGATCGGAATGTCGCTGGAGCTGACTGTGTTATGTCCATCCAAGAATGACGGGCAAGTGGCCCGACCTACGTGCCACAGCTGGCAGAAAATAAAACCGCCCTTTGCGTGAACCGCATCTGTGACCCTTTTCCAGCCAGCAATTTGATCCAATGTAAATATGCCAGGCACTCCAGGATAGCCACAAGCCTGTAGTCTGTTAGTATCATGTTCGATGCCGAATTTTAATGCTACACTCGGATGGTTGACATTACCAGACGGCTGATTGGACAAGCCTCTGTCAATTGAAGACCACCTTTGGTTGCCCTTTGATTGTAGTATTGTGCCACCAGGTCTTCGCAATGCCATACTCCATCGGCCTCTTTCGTGCCTCGCATGCGTGTTAAAGGTGCTTGGACGATGCGATGCTCAAGCTCCAGCGTCCCCAATCGAAGCGGTTTGAAGAGCGCAGTGTCAGACAGCGGCAAAAATCCTTCAGGGGAGATTCTAGACGGCATATTTCCTTTTCGAACAAATATTTTCAACGCAGAAGAAAAATAAGGAAATCATGGTGGTAAGTTAGAGGGTGGAATTCTATTAAATATCTTGCCCTGTCCCCCCACTTGCAATATGAACAACGCTATCTGAGATGGTATCAGCTTCCCTCTCTGACAACGCTTTGCCCTCTTCCTTCTGCGATTTGCTTCTGGCTGCGTCTGCAGGGATGGAGGAATGGAAAGTTCCATGGCCTTCATTCCCGGTGATATTGAGCATCACAAAATAAATTGGCCGTTCATAGCCCGCCTGACCCTCCGTTCTGGAATGATCGCCTCTCCGTCGAGTGCTTCCCCTGGCCGTATCGGACTACAGGTCATCAAGGGTCAATGTTGTCCTTGATGGCTGACTTTCGGAACCGAATTCCATGTGGAGTATTCGGTGGACTTGGCTTAGACAAGCATGTGGATCTATGACGATGCTAAGTTGCAACACATCCTTCCTTCAGATTGTTCATCAAGGGTGGGGGTTGCTCAATCAAAAGTGGGATAGTAGGTGGGTACGGGTCTTCCCTATCGCCAGAGGCGAATAGGCCACCCATATCCGCAGTAGTTACCGGCCCAAGTAACTCGTACACTGGACACATTGGGAGACTTTTCTCGCACCTTGTTCCAGTTTGCTTTTTCGTTCTCCGCGCCCACTATTCTGGCCGGTGAAACCTCGACCCACTATTGATTCGCCACGAAGATACGGCTTCGGGTAAGCTAACGTGAGGAATGATCTACCCTCAATAGGGAAGCTCCAAACGGCAGAGGCGTCCGCAAGTTGCTACCTGCTGACTGGACGGAAATCGGATGTTACGACAACGAAGCTACGACCAGTGAAAGGTTCATATTCGGGCGTCTAGTCATGGCTTCTTCTCAAGCTTTTTACGTGCTGTTTAGCCCATCCAAACTGTCTCGTTGTCATGGCTTCAGATCTAGAAAACCATGCGGCGTTCAGTGCTCTAGCCCACGTGATTCATTCGTTTGAAGAAGATACCCTACATTTCTATCTGAATGGATCTCGGGTTGATATTGCAAACCCAAATCCAAATTGGACGTTGCTGGACTTCATACGCTCTCAGCATGGCCTTAAAGGTACCAAGCTAGGCTGTGGTGAAGGCGGATGCGGTGCCTGCACTGTTGTGCTTCAGACTGTTGATGCTAGGCAAAATGGGCGGATTAAGCACCTTTCAGTTAATGCTTGCTTATTTCCACTTGTAGGAGGTGTGTGTCCCCTCTTCAGGTATATCATGCAAAATGTGCTTATAATTATCAAGTTATTGGCAAGCACGTAATCACCGTTGAGGGTCTGGGAAATGTTGAACATCCTCACCCGTTGCAGGAGAGGATTGCCAAATTGCATGGCTCACAGTAAGTTTGACGTCCTCAAACCATCGTACTCTCTTCCTTTCTCTCTCTCTCTCTTTAAAAAAAAATATTGGCGGCCATATTTATCCGATACTTTGGTGGATTGCAAACTTTTCTGTGCTTCTTTCTCTCAATAAAGCGGCGGAAATATTCATTCAACTAGTATTATCCTTCAGAGAAACTATTGCGAAGCTTGATCAGACTCTTTAGCAAATATATGGCTCTTGTTCTAACATTATCTCAATACTAGATGCGGGTTCTGCACGCCAGGTATCGTCATGTCACTGTACGCTGTTATCCGGAACGCGTACGACCCTGTCATGGGGGTATTTAGCCTTTCAGATCACGAAGTTGAAATGAATGGGCATCTTGACGGAAACCTTTGCCGCTGTACTGGCTATAAGCCAATTCTTCAGGCCGCAAGGACATTCATCACTGAGGACCTGAAGGGACGCTTGGCCGCAGGCCCATTAATGAAAGACGCCAAAATATCTATCGATGAGCAAGAGCTCCGGTCGTTTCCATACAGCTCTGAATCCCGCAGTGACGAAATCCCCATTGTGAAATCGAATGGCTCATGTGGGCGACCCGGCGGCTGCTGTAGGGATCGACAGAAGCTGGAAACTCTCACCACCACTAATAACGGCAGTCCAGGGACAGAGTCTTCGCTAGAAACATCTTGCGATGGAAGAGGGCTTTTCTCCTCTACTCCTAGCTCTCGGGGCTCAACTACATCAGACGGGGAGAATATTGCTACAGAAGAGAGCAAAATTCCTATTGCCGGTGCCACTTACGCACGGCCCGTCAAATCACGGGAAAGCAATTTGGCAGGTGCAGAGGGCATCAAAGCCCAGACTAGTCTGGACGCTCTGCCTCCCGAGCATGGAGATGGTGTCCCGCAATTTTCGTTCTCTCCCTATGTACCCCAAACGGAACTGGTTTTCCCCCCACGTCTCAGAAAATTACCAAAGTCTGCTGTCTGTTACGGCGATTCAAAGAAAATCTGGTTACGCCCAATAAACTTACAGCAACTTCTCGACATCAAGCAAGCTTTCCCGTCTGCCAAGCTCGTTGGAGGAGCAAGCGAAGTCCAGGTGGAAGTGAGATTTAAGAATGCTCCATTTGCTGTCTCGGTATATGTATCAGATGTTCAGGAGCTTCAGACTATTCATCTCCCGGAAAAGGAAGAAGAGCTTCAGTCGATGACCGACTTTGTTATAGGCGCAAACGCTCCATTAACTGAAGTGGAGTCAGCCTGCAAAGTTCTCTACGCGAAACTTGGTCCGCGCGCGTCGGTTCTTGAAGCTGCACGCAAGCAACTTCGTTATTTTGCAGGAAGGCAGATACGTAATGTTGCCTCGCTTGCAGGCAATGTAGCCACTGCATCACCTATCTCTGATATGAATCCTGTGCTTATGGCCGCTGGCGCAACGGTAACGGCGCAAAGTAAGCAGGCAGGGGTGTTCAGACTTCCAATATCTACATTTTTTGTGGCTTACCGTACCACAAGTCTTCCAGAGGATGCAGTGATTACGAGTATTTCCATCCCGATTCCTTCTTCAGGGGCACGTGAAGTACTTAAAGCCTACAAGCAGGCGAAGCGGAAAGATGATGATATTGCAATTGTCACGGCAGCTTTTAGGGTCAGACTTGATTCTCGAGGATTTGTGGAAGACACGTGTCTAGCCTACGGAGGCATGGCTCCTATGACCGTATGTGCCAAGGAAACAATGCGTGCCATTTGTGGTAAACAGTGGCAGGATTCACGGACATTGGACGAGGCTCTAAGATCACTGCAGAAAGAGTTTGATCTTCGCTTCGGGGTCCCAGGTGGCATGGCAACATACCGAAAAACGCTGTCGCTTTCGCTATTCTTCCGCTTTTGGCACGAGGTCGTTGTTGATCTTAAACTTGGTCACGTCGACACTAATTTGATAACCGAAATTCATAGGAGTATCTCCTCAGGCACACGAGATAATTTTAATCCCCATGAGCAAAGAGTGGTAGGTAAACAGATCCCGCACCTCTCCGCCTTGAAACAAAACACCGGTGAAGCCGAGTACGTGGATGACATTCCTCATCAAGAGAGGGAGTTGTATGGCGCTCTAGTCATGTCTAAGAAAGCCCATGCGAAAATCCTTGGAGTTGACTGGAGGCCAGCTTTCGACGCTGGCGCTGTCGGGTATGTTGATAAGCATAGCATCCCAAAGGCCGCAAATGTTTGGGGAAGTATCGTCAAGGATGAGCCATTCTTTGCTGAAGAGGAAGTTCTCTGTCATGGTCAGCCTATCGGTATGGTGTATGCAGAGACGTCTTTAAAAGCTCAAGCTGCGGCACGCGCAGTTCACGTCGACTATGACGATCTCCCTGTTATCCTCACTATCGATGAAGCCATTGAAGCTAAAAGCTTCTTCAAACACGGCAAAGAGCTGAAGAAGGGAAGTGCTCTCAATGACTCGATGGATGAAGCATTTAAATGCTGCGATAGAATATTTGAGGGAACAACTAGAATTGGTGGCCAAGAGCATTTTTACCTTGAGACCAATGCTGCTTTGGTTATACCCAGTAAAGAAGATGGGTCAATGGAGGTTTGGTCTTCAACACAAAACACGTTAGTGCCCCCTCCGAATCAAAATTCTCTCAGCATCTAACGTTTATCAGTATGGAGACCCAAGAGTTCGTAGCTCAGGTCACTGGCGTTCCGAGTAATCGAATCAACGCAAGGGTCAAACGCATGGGAGGCGCGTTCGGCGGAAAAGAATCTCGAAGCGTACAGATTGCTTGCATTCTTGCAATAGCGGCTAAAAAGGAACGTCGGCCAATGAGATGTATGCTTAACCGGGACGAAGATATGATGACGACGGGGCAACGGCATCCCGTTCAGGTTCGCTGGAAAGTAGGAACTACCTCCGACGGGAGACTGATTGCTCTTGACGCCGATGTATATAACAATGCCGGGTACTCCCAGGATATGAGTGGGGCTGTAATGGATCGTTGTTGCACCCATCTCGAGAACTGCTACGAGATACCGCATGTCCACATTCGAGGACATGTGTGCAAGACCAACACGCATAGCAACACAGCATTCCGAGGTTTTGGAGGGCCACAGGGTATGTTTGCAGCTGAGAGTTACATGACGGCAGTTGCTGAAGGACTGAATATTCCTATTGATGAGTTGAGAACCAAAAATCTCTACAAAGAAGGGGACCTTACTCCTTTTCTGCAGAAGATTGACGAAGACTGGCACATTCCAATGCTGATCGAGCAGACTCGGAAAGAAAGCGCCTATAACGAGCGTCTGGCCAATGTGGAAGATTTTAATGCACAGAACAAATGGAAGAAGCGGGGGATTGCAATGATTCCCACCAAATTCGGTCTTAGCTTTGCAACAGCAGTTCATCTGAACCAAGCCGGCGCGAGCGTGAAGATCTATGCTGACGGCAGTATTTTGCTGCACCATGGGGGAACTGAGATGGGTCAAGGACTGCATACTAAGATGGTTCAGGTTGCGGCCCAGGAGCTCGGCGTTCCGGCTGATGCGATCTACGTTCAAGACACAACATCATATCAGGTTGCTAATGCTTCGCCCACCGCTGCATCATCTGGGAGCGATTTGAACGGCATGGCTGTCAAAAACGCGTGCGATCAGTTGAATGAGAGGTTAAAACCATACCGAGAAAAGTACGGCTATAGCGCACCTATGAAAACCATTGCCCACGGGGCATACCTCGACCGCGTCAACTTGACCGCTAATGGGTACGTGAGCTGGTCCCCACGATTTATATTGGTCAGCTGCGTGCTAACGCTATCGGCAGGTATTGGAAAATGCCCAAAATAGGATACCAGTGGGGCAATTACGACGTGAAAACTGTGAAACCTATGTATTACTATTTTACGCAGGTAGGAATCCACCATGGCTTTGTCAAATGATAGGTTGGCTAAGAGGTTTTAGGGAGTTGCTGTCAGCGAGGTTGAGCTTGATCTCTTGACTGGCGACCATACTGTTCTCCGCACGGATATCAAAATGGACGTTGGTCGCTCGATCAATCCAGCCATTGATTATGGTCAGATTGAGGGGGCTTTTGTGCAAGGACAAGGTCTCTACACGATGGAGGAGACTCTTTGGGATCGTAATGGATTGCTAGCTACTCGAGGGCCCGGAACTTACAAAATTCCTGGGTTTAGTGATATTCCGCAAGAGTTCAACGTGAGCTTCTTGCAAGGTGTGCCATGGAACCATCTGAGGTCAATCCAGAGCAGCAAGGGCATAGGTGAACCTCCATTGTTTTTAGGGGCTTCGGTTTTCTTTGCACTTCGAAGCGCACTCGTAAGCGCCCGAAAGGACAACAATCTCCAAGAATACCTTGCATTGGACAGCCCCGCCACCGCTGAACGGCTACGTTTGGCCGTCGGCGACAATCTTTTGAAGCTTGGCACCGTGATGCCCGAGAAGGGCGAGAAGAATTTCTTTATTGCTGTTGCTTGATCTCATTACATTGCGCTGTAGACCATGCAGTTGCTCTATTTTTGCAAGTTACTTTGGACATCAGATTACGCTAGCTTCTGATATTCTACATCATGACATATCCGGATAGAAGAGTAACGATGAAGCAAGGTCTATCTTGAAAAACGGACCGATTTGAAATTATCCGGAACTTCAAAGTGACTTCTCGAAGGAATTTTTCTAGATGATTTACATTTTCTTGCGCTAAGACTGCGTACATTGACAATGGACAGATAAACAATCACCGGGAGGGGAGTGGAAATACGCTCTCGCTAGGGCCTATTTTTGCCACAACAGAGGTTGACACATCCATATCATGTTTCTTGAGTCAGATCCAAATCTACAATCAAGTTCACAGTTGGCCGAATATTTGAGCAATTATCATTGGTCCAGACTAATCCTACTTAGAGCATAACAAAAGCGTCTTCCTTTAGATTTAGACCAAGCATCAATGACCAATACCTTTCAGCATCCATACACGAAAAGATAGGTGTCCGATGGGGCTAGTTGGTTGTTTAGTTTACGATACCTCTAACTGTTGGGAGAAACGCGGTTAAGGCTTACCCGAATCTGGAGGGGAAAGTTCGAAGCGAAGCGAGGGAGACCACCGTGTACTTAAGCGGGAACCTGCCTATATAAAGCTGTATAAAGATCGGTTTTTGTCAGCCGAAACTGAGCGAGTGTCTAAACTCTATCCTTTCAGAAAGTCGTAACTTGGGATCATCATTCGGTTTTAGCCCTCAGAAGATCGAAATTCATCGTCAAAGATTGGGATTTAAACACTCGCCTTTGCAACACGAGTGCATTAGGACAAAGATGATCTGAGAGCAGGAACCTACAAAGCAACCAAGATCGGTTTTTGTCAGCCGAAATTGAGTGAGTGTTCAAAGCGGGATCTTCAAATAAAAGTCGAATCTATCATCATTGGGTTTTACCCCTCCGAAAGGAAATTTGTCATCATTAGGTCGGGATTTAAACACTCACCTTAGGACAATGATGATCTGAGAGGCAACCAAGAAACATATTGATGGAGCACCAAGTGTGAACCGCAAGCTGCTGTTGTTCCTCTCATGACTGAGTCCGACGGAAGCCAACCCTGGGGGTCGAAGTGAGCAAAGACAAAGTAATATCTTGCTTTTCAATGAAGGATAAAATAGCGAAGGCAGAGAGAACTCCAAAACAGATCTGGATGGGGTGGGTAAACCATGAATTTATAGAAATTCTGGGCAGCTTAAACCCTCGAGTGATCTGAGGAGCGCCCTGTGATCCGGGGCCTTGTCTTGACAACTGGTACGTTCTTTGCCTTGTTATTAACTCGTTCCTGCTGTTTTGATATCTACAAGGAAGGAGCACCCTTCAGTGGTGGGGGATAGCACATAGAACTCTTTGCTATTGTTTTCATTTAGGGGGAAGGAACGACACTTGAAGCGAACATCTTGCCTTTCTTTTTGGCTGATCCTACTGGCAATGGGCAATGAATGAGAAGGTCGTCTGCCCCGTCTTTTGCCTAGCTCACAAGAAATCCGACTATTTGCTTCAGAATCAACTAAAAGAATGTTTTCAACTGGCCAATCAAGATCTTGCAAAGTGGTGATCAGGACGGCAGTTTGATTTTATATAAATTGGTAAATGAAGAGGGACGCGGAAAGGGATCACACCAGCATGTGTTCGACCGCAAGTAGAGAGAGCCTGTCCGTCTGCAATCATTTGATGACGGAGCTTTTGATTACGAATGGCGAAAGCAGCAGGAAGTGACTGTCAGTGGACTTCACGGTGAGGTATAATGGGGATATGGCACTCTTGCTGGAGACCAAATGGCAGCTCCTCTCAATGTCCAGTGATGGTGCTGGCCTCAGAATAGACGGAGTCATTCGAAAGCTTCCAGCCAGCGATGCCTTGATAGGTCGCGATGTGGCGCTTAGCATTAACCATGGCAATTTCAAATTCGGATCCTTTACTGGGTTGTACGGGTTTGATATGATGGCTGTTTCAGGGGTAATAATTCGAAGCTAGATAGAGGACGATTATATACAACGGTCTAGGAAGCAGTAACTTCTAAATCAATTTCAAGCGGCTCCCAATGGCATTACAGTGTTCGCTAATTTCCTGGGTCTGAAAGTTTACATGATAATATGTCAATTACTCTAAAGCAAGGGTATCTGCGTCTATCGATATAACTATATCTCTATCACAAAACATTGTAAAACTGTTAGGACACAATACGCCAGTCACTACCCATCAAAGCGGCAGATTGCCTGTTTCCCAGCCTTATCGCTGAGTATCTTTCGATCGAATCGCCATCTTCGGCCATTGCATATGAATCCAAGCGCATAGCTCTGGCTAATAAGATTGACCATCTCTTCCTGAAATGTTTACGGACGTCTGAACGCGAATGCTCTTCGGTCCGGGCTGTTTCTCCATCTGGCGTAGCTGCATATCATCGGGGCCCAAAAGGATATCATCACTCTCGTTATCATTTGTCGTACGTCCTTGCCCACTGATTGACGTTGTTCGGTGATAACGGCCGTCAAACGTGTTCGGAGCGCCAGAATGCTCTACTTCTTGACGACTCCATCCGGTCGTGGCACTTTTGCTTCGGGATGTCGCGAAATGAAAGAAAGATCCAAACAGAGGTTTCAGAGCTGGCACGGAGAGCGCCGTAATAGTGCCGGCGACTTCAGATGTCTCGACTGCCAGCATAGGACTATACGCCCAAGACATGTCAACAAGGAACCCGCCTTGGATGACAAAATCAAGGCGTACGCAAGAGATGCTTTCGAAAGCCTGTTAGCAATTTTGCATTCGACAAACATGAGAATTCAAAGGATGAGCTTACATGATGACTAGAACACCGGGGAATAGAATGCAAGACAACTTCAGCTTCTCCTTCCAGCGAATTTGAAGCATCTTGATGATCATTGATGGAATGATGAACATCAGGAGATCGCAAATTAGTGAAATGACTGAGTTTACCAGATAAATAGTTCCCCAATGCAAGCACTTATATTTCTTGTATTCCTCCTGCCATTCATATGGCCACAACCCCGTGACGGGTGAGCAGTGAAATATGAGGAGAAATATTTGCGGCAGTAGTGCAAGGCTCATGAAAGCGCCAGCCACATACACGAAACGCTGCAAAAGGATGTTCATGCTCGCAAGCCGGTGATAGAAGGCGAGACCAGACATTCGACCAAAATAAAGCGCTAACGTATATACGAGGTGAGCCGCAAAATCTTCAACTTGGGTCCTGTTCACAATGGAATTGCTGAGGACATAGTGGATGTAATCAAAGTGTCGTCCAGAACCGTCCGCAAGGAGAAGTATTGCTAGGATAATGAGAATTACGTAGAAGACCTAAGAATCCGTCAGCAAAGTCGAGAGTTGAACTATGCGAGGTATACACTATAGCGTTGCGATGTTGTTCACGTCTCTTTATAAGGATTACCCACCAATGCAAGTACAATGAGAACGTCGTCAAGGCCAAATCTCTTGGTCAGAATCAGCCGGGCATAGCAACGCAATGACACGAGCAGCACCACAAACACGCCGATTGTCAGCATGGCAATGATGGCCGGTCGATCGCGACTCTCTGCAAGATATTGCGGAGAAATATCATTGGGGACACGACCGGCAGCAATGGCATCTTGAATATCCTTCGGAATCATAGCTTTGGCGCCTCACGCCTTGTTTTTCAGGACATGAACTTTCAAGCACTCACTGGCAATGCATGAACAGCCGATTGCTACACGGAGGATACGAAAAGATTCCGCGGGGTGGGGTTCAAGAACCTAATGAATGCATCGATCTACCCTAAAGACTTGTTGGCCCAAGTTTGGTGTGACTGATTTCAGCCCTGAGTGGCATATCTGCATGCCGGGGAACCCAAGTCGGAAGCGGCAGGTTGCTGCTTATCTGATGAAATACTTGGGCATGAAGGATTCCCGTGGCCCAACACCAGGGAAGCATCTATCAGGGTTCATCGACCAAAAAAAAAAAATTTTCTGGCCAGCGGACGGCTGATGAGCGGCTTTCCGCGTGGCAAGCATGCCGAGTAACTTTGACCTCTTGGCAGTGAGGGCCTAGCTTGACAACGGCGGTCAAATAATGGCCAAGTCTGGACTCAGTCACGGATCGTATCTTAGCTAGGGAGTGCCGTAACGCACAAGGCAAGCATCATTACTGGAATCCGTCGAGCGCTATTTTATTTCGCAATTGAATGATCTGCTTGGTGATCAAACGTCGGCAATTTTGCCACGTGTTGGACATTTTCCAGTAGGTTTTTTGCTAGGTAAAAGGGGTCTGTTATTCTCCTAGTAAGCTCCGAGTTCAGGCCATTGAACTTGTGGGGCGATTTCCATAGAGCAATTTGCTTGCCGACGGCCATGTGGAGGGTGATCGTTTTCCCCAACTTGAACGCAGCCCGATGAAGATGAAGGCGTGGAGACCCTGTCTTGGAGTCGCTCCGAAATTGTCAATGCACCAAATTAGCGGGACGAGCGCGCGTTTCACGGTCGTTATGAAGTGGCTCTTGTATGCAAGGGGACTAGGTTGACGATTCATAGGAAAGCTGCTGTCAAATCAAGTAATTCGGTCGAATAAACCAATGTGTCATAGGAATTATTTGTCTCGTCCTAAAAGCTCATTATCATTAGCCAAGGAATATTCAGTGTTGTATGGAGTAGTTCGCCTGGAAAGTTTCGCTTGCAGACCTTTTTGGTGCATCTTGGCTCATTCACCGTGGATGCCAAGGGCTTGGATTACCAGGGGAAACCAAGACGTGAGGGCTCCCAGAACAAATGCCAAGCAAAGCCAACGACTGGGGCTGAATGAAGCCATCGAAAATAGTCAGGAACACGCTGCAGCCATCAGCTCAGGTTCTCGCCAGGAACCACTTAACTACTAAGTGAACCACGACCGCCCATGCATCATCTCTTCGGTGCGACAAGGATTGTTGATCCCGGAATCCACGATATGATCCCTACTCCCTGCGCTACAGAGAGTGTCTTGAGAGCAGATTTCGCCGATATTTCAGCTTGCTTCAAGATGGCACTAAGCCCACGTTTGCTCTGATTAGACTGCTTCTTCTCAAGGGGCACGACCATCAGCATCTTCAAAGTTCGAGATGTGCAAATGAGGGGATCCACACAGGGAAATGGCAATAGTGAAGTGGAATAACCACCATGTACTGTGTACTATTATGCATCCGACCAAAGTCGCCCCACATGGGTGGTGTTGATGTTACTTACTGCGGTACGCCTTCTGCCGAGCGGTGGGGATACGATCTCGTCAACAACGACTGCAGTGCCCTGGCAGTCAAACAACAATAGGCTTCTTCTATCTCCGGGGGCTTCTTGGGACTCGGCTCAACCTGTCGATTAGGTTAATCGCTCTTCTTTCTCAGTCCCTGACCTCGGCAGATACTTTGTTGATGTTTTTAATTGCAATTGCACTTTACAAGGTCTCGCCTGCAGCCTTCCATCGGCCCACTACATAGTAACAGCTTGGCAGGACTCTGTGGCTTGGCTTTTCCATGGGATTATACAAACTCAAAAGGGGGGTTTCACATTTTCACTTCACACCTCTGATCCCATAAGCGGACGGAAACGCTCGCAAACGGGCGCTAGAACCGCATTTATTCTTCTTCTATCAGCGGAGTCGGGAACACCAAGGCGCAAGGAGGATGATGTATCTCACCACACCTTCCAGGTCTTCCATGAAGACACTCGCGCTCTCAATCCTGTTCTCCGGACTTGGGTCAGGTATCGCTGCGTCGGCGCAGAATGATTCCTCCCTGGGTTCTGCGCAGGTGCTAGAAGCTCCCTATCCCTACTATTTCCCCGTTTTGCAAGATGAGCATGACTCGAACAGCGGACTATTTCCCATGCCTCAATGCAATAGCTTTACTTTGGCCGAGGCAACGATTGATCAGCTCCAAGATGCTATGAGTTCAGGAAAACTCACTGCGACTCAAATCCTGCACTGCTATCTCCAGCGGATCTATCAGACCGATTACTACGTCAAGTATGGATATCTTTCTCCACATCTCGGGCGCAAGCCCCGTCGATCAATCGCAAGCTAACCACGTCAAAAGTGCAATCATGGAGCTGAATCCCGACATGTTTGAGATTGCTGCTACATTAGATGCCGAGCGTGCCTCGGGCAAAGTCCGAGGCCCTCTCCATGGAATTCCCTTTGTTGTCAAAGATAATATCGGTACAAAGGACAAAATGGAGACCACTGCTGGAAGTTGGGCCTTGCTTGGTTCAGTCATTCCCAGGGACGCCCATGTCGTAGCCAAACTCCGCGAAGCGGGCGCCTTGCTGCTCGGTCACGCTACCCTCTCTGAGTGGGCAGATATGAGAAGCAACTATTACTCCGAAGGATACTCCGCTCGTGGCGGCCAGGCCAGGAGCCCCTACAATCTCACCGTCAACCCGGGTGGAAGCAGCTCGGGAAGTGCTCTTGCGGTGACTTCAAATCAGTGCATGTTCGCCCTTGGCACGGAGACTGACGGCAGCGGTAAGCAGATAAGACGTGGATGAGTGAGATCGATATCCTGACATTTTGCAGTCATCAACCCTGCTGAAAGGAACTCCCTGGTTGGTTTCAAGCCTACCGTTGGTCTAACTTCTCGCGGAGGGTAGGTCTTTGAGCAAAGCGCTCCAACTGTTCTTATGCTCTCAACTCGTGCAAAAGCTCATCAGCAATTAGTGTTATCCCCGAAAGTCTTCATCAAGACTCTGTTGGCACGTTTGCCCGAACTGTCCGGGATGCGGTCTACGCACTGGACGCCATTTATGGCGTCGACCCTCATGACAATTACACGTTTGCGCAACAGGGTCGTACGCCTGAAGGCGGTTACGTTCAATTCCTGACCGACAAGTCTGCGCTCAAAGGCGCTGTCTTCGGCCTACCATGGAAGTCCTTCTGGTCTTTGGCGGAACCGGAAATGCAAGAATCTCTTCTCGAGCTTGTCGACTTGATTGAGGGCGCTGGCGCTACCGTCATCAACGGCACTGAGCTTCCAAGCTACGAGAAGATTGTCAGTCCTGATGGCTGGGACTGGTATGACCCCTGACTCCATGGATATGAACTGCCGCTTACAGGACCAGGGATTTTGGTACAACCAGAGGTTACCCCAACGAGTCCGAATATACCGTGGTTAAGGTAGGTCCACGTTCTAGATAAGCCGCGGATCACACGGGATTATACTAATCCTGTTTAAGGTTGACTTCTACAACAATATCAATGCTTACCTTGCCGAGCTGAACAACACCGATGTCAGAACCATTGAGGATCTTGTTCAGTCAGTTTCTCCTATCTACCCTTCTCAATTTACAAATACGCTGACTATAATCTTAGATATAACATTGACAATGCCGGCTCCGAGGGAGGTTTTCCCTACGTTCACCCTGCATTTAGCTCTGGCCAGGATGGTTTTCTCGCGTCCCTCGACACGAATGGTATGTCTACTCCACCCACACCCTAGGCATCGCTGACATTTTCTGCGGCAGGTACCATGGATGAAACCTACTTCCAAGCTCTCAGTTTCTGCCAGAAAGCGACTCGCGAGGACGGTATCGATGCCGCTTTGAACCATAACGGAACTCAGCTGGCTGGATTGCTGGTGCCCGTTGATCTCGGGCAAACTTATCAGGTTGCCGCCCAAGCAGGTATGTTCTGGCTCGTTCGTGGCACTGGTTCTACATGCAACTAACGCGCGTACCAGGGTACCCCGTCGTCACGCTCCCTGCTGGCACCCACTCCGCGGATGGAATGCCTTTCGGCCTAGGCATTATGCAAACCGCGTGGGCCGAAGCGACTTTGGTCAGATACGCTTCCGCTATTGAAGACTTGCAGTTCACTTCCAACACGACGCACAAGAGATCGCTACCGAACTGGTACGAATACAGAACGCGCAATATCCCAGTGGTCATGTGATTTCATCATAGATTGGTGAAGAAAATACTCGACTATTTGTATATAATCTTAATCGATCAGCAGCATGGCATAGATGGGGACTACTCCCTATGGTGTTTAGTCCGGTATGGAATCAGAGACTTAGTATTAATCAATTTTGGCATCTTTCCAGCATAATACCTCGAAATCAATCATAGGTGTCGACTTTCGGCGTGCCTGATCCGACCACAACGTGGCTCAAAAGCTTCCCTACACAAAGCGTCGCATTTTTCAGTAATACATAAAATGTTTACGGCAATGAATTGAGCTCATTTTTAATTATCGATTATTATTTATTAAAATGATACTAGACATTGTGCCAAGTGCAGAAAAAGCATCCAGCATGACAACAATGACGAGTCAAAATACCTACCATCGATGGAAAACCAGATATCACTAATGCAGTAACAACCTCGATGCTCGCAAACGCCGACCGAGAGAATATAACCACAAGAAAGAATGGTATCAAAAATTCCACACATCCCAAAACCCTTCCACGGGATCATTCACTGCGCACCAGACGCATAGGCGGCTTCATTAGGGTGAGAATCTTCGCCGCCTCGCTCAAGCTGCTGAACACCTCCTCCGCCTGCCTCATTGTTCTTTCGAATACTGCGAGCACCAGGTTCGAGATTAAGGCGGTCGGCAGTCACAAGGTCCTCATTGTCTGGGGGGATCCACTTGCTGCTTTCCCAGGGCTTGACATGGAGAATGTACATGGTGTCAATTTCTTCAAGGGTCTTGCCCTGAGATTCGCAGACGAAGAAGTAGACGACCACGGCGCCGAGGAAACAGCAAGAGGCAAAGACGTAGCCATAACGGAAATCAATCACGGGTGTGATGAACGGCGTGAAGAAACTAATCAGGAAATTCCACGTCCAGTTGGAAGCGGTGGCGATTCCCATACACTTGGCTCTGTACCTCATGGGGTACATCTCACCGACAATCGCCCAGACAATGGGTCCCCAAGTCATGGCGAAGCCAGTGATGAAGAGACAGGCAAACACGATCATTGCAGCGCCTGCATGGGGTGTATTGGGAGGGTTTGCTCTGTCTAGAGCAAAGTGACCGACGGAAGCAAAGATCATGAAGCAAACGAACATCCAGAGCGCGCCGATTATGAGCGACTTGCGACGACCAAAATGCTCGACGACATACAGACCACCAAAGGTGGTGCCAAAATTGACACCTCCCAAGATCATTTGGGTGACGTAACTATTCTTGATTCCGGTCGCAGTGAAAATTGATGTTCCATAGTAGAAGAAGAAGTTGGCTCCCGTTAGCTGCTGCAGAGCCTGGAGCGCGATTCCGAGAAGCGTCCTGTATGCCATGCGAGGCCCGGTGAAGATCTCATACCAAGGGTGCGCTCCACCCATATGCTCGATATCGTGTTTCTCCTTGATCTCTCGCATTTCGCGATTGATCTCGCGGTGATTCAGCGGGACGCCATAAAGCTTCGCCATTGTGTGCCTAGCTTTCTCGACCCTTCCATGGCGGAAATCGAAACGCGGCGTTTCTGGGAAGAATAAGACTCCAATGCCCAAGATCAGGGCCCAAATCCACCCAACCCCCATAGGAATCCGCCATGCGCCTGTATTGGTCCGCTTTTCTGTGCCAAAGTTGATGCAGTTGGCAGTAAAAATGCCGAGCGTGATAAACAACTGGTACGCGCTAGAAAGGAAGCAATGGGTCAGACAATGCTAGGACTAAAAGAATTTTGGAAATATTTTTATCCTACCTGATTAATGCTCCTCGGACCTGGCGTGGAGCAGACTCGCTCTGAAACATGGGCACAAGAACGGATAGCGCTCCAACGCCGAAACCAGCTACCAACCGGCCGACGGCGACTTGATACCATTTATGGTCCGTGGAAATCTGTACAACAACGCCAACAGCAAAGATACAGCTCCAGAAGCTGATTGAGAGCCGTCGACCAAGGCGATCGGCGACGGGCGCTCCCATCAACGCCCCAATCAAGGTACCGATTGAAAGCTTAAGCATGTCAGATTAATGGTTAAGGAAGAGTCTGCATATGAAGACAACCTACCAAAGCAACAATGAGACCGGCGCGGACATTGCTAAAGTAATATCCTTTTTTGGGGTCGTATTGACCGAAGCATTTCAAGAAATCCTTCATTTCGAGGAATCCGGAGATTTGACCTGTATATTGCAAAGAAAATGGTCAGAGGTACCCCTATACCAGCGGCAATTGAAGAGGGGGGGGAGGGAGCAAATGAATGCTTACCCGTATCATATCCAAAGATGAAACCGCCCATGGATACCAAGAGACCCATAAAAAAGGTTCTTAGGGTCAAACGATGCACATGAGAGTGGTCCTCCGGGCCTTCCATCTCCACCTTCTCCGCATCATAGTTGTTCTCGGTGGATTTCTCCGTCGATGGTCGGCCCGTCGACGGAGCATTCTCATGATGTTGGAATTTGGCGAAGAGACCCATGATGCTCCAGGATGATTTAGTCGAGCAGTATAAGATAGTTCTTCAGCCTCGCTCGAGCATGGAGAGAGGTAAGAAGCGAGCTTGACGGAGGAGGAAGGCAGGCTTTATGTTCGGCAGACATTTTGGACAAACTAAGCCCGTTCTAATTCGAATATGCCATGTGCCCAAATTGGGTGATGGGGGAGCTGGCACCGTCACATCATCAGCATCATCGTCACCATCCATCAATCTCGGACGCTTACGACTAAGCGGTTCCGAGCATTGGTGTTGGGCTAAAAGGGTAGACTAATCAACCAGCAACCAACAAATATCATCCCGTCGTTATTCCGTGAAAGAGTATTAGCAAGGACCTGTACACTCTACCTACTTTTACCCTTGGGACCCCCTAAGCGTATCTTGAGTGATACGAAACCATTTACAATTTGCGGGGTTTGGGAGATACTGTAGAAGTGAACTGGGGTCCCACGCGACAATGCGGAGAATAACTAAGGTACCTAAGAAACAAGCCCTGTCCTAGGCGAAACTTAAGGTACAATGGTAGGTGATAGTTAATATGAGAGATGTATCGACGAACTGTGCGGAGATGGTGTATCGATACTTGTGGGGAACTGGGGAACCCCACATGAAACTAGTATATACTTGTACCTCCACCTTCCCATCTGAAAACTGCTGCTGCATGCGTGGCAGGGGGGTAGTTCTACCACCACTTTATTACGTCAGGGGGGCTCTTCTACGGGCGCTTCTCTATTCTGGCTCTCGTAGGAGGTGCCTGAGGGAAATTTTGGTCGAAAGAGCGCGGGAGGTCCGGCGAAGTGAGAAATTGGTGGGATATTTGTTCCCCCCAAAGAAGCACTTGCAAAAAGGCAAAATCGGATGGTCATGGCGCACCTTTGAGTCCATGTTGAGGCGTCTGCAAGCGAATCAAGTGGCCGACAGATCCGGGGCGGCATCTGTAATGTGCCGTCCTACTAACCTTGATCCGTTCAAATGGCTTGCAGGCGTTGTGGACCCCAATGACGACGGCACCTCACACTGGACCTACGTACGTCATCCTCTTCTTCAACACGCCCAAAACATGAAAATCTCGTAACAATTATGCACCCGAAACGGCCCAGAAACCAACAACTCAGTTGTGGGTCTCGGGCAACTCACTACTACTCCGTACAAGCATCAGTAATCTGCTTTCTTTTTCTGCTTCTCCAGACTCGCTCTCCACATATCTCCACTTTTTCCCCACCAGATTGTCTCCGGATCTTCCTTCTCCACGAACTTTTTGCTGTTGGGCAAGGGCATGGCTGAGACAGGGCCAGGATCTGTCAAGCAGATTGAACCATAAAATGTACCAATTGGATCTGATCGTCTTCAAGAGTTTTTCTATGCCCACCAGTTCACCTTATTATCAGCATCATGTGACATCCTTTTGTAAGTGTAAGATTTTGGATCTATCGGAGTAATCAACAGGGCGATTGTGTTCATAGGAACATACGAAGCGCTACTTTCTGGCCTCCCACAAATTATAAGCTCGGGAATATGTTAAAATTTCGTAAAGGCCGAGCGGAATTTTGTCGTAAGCTGCTCCCGAAGTCTTACTTATTCCGTCGCTATCCGCCAGGACGCCAACTCCGGACCAAATAGTCAGAACACGTCATGTCACTCACACTGATAACTCGGGGCATAATTCCACCATTGCGGAGTATTCTCCGGCTGATAAATACGGTTCCTGAATTTCTCTCATAAGATATATTGGTTCTCATGGCATTTTACAAAAGTGTCGTTGCCTTCCCCACAATCAGTCCACTTCAGACTGCTTTCCCCGGTCCTCGGTCGTTTCTCTCACCGAAAGGGTGTGCAGTCCGTGAAATGACAAGTCTCGACACGGCCTGGACAGCTTTGTTCCTGGTTGTAAATTGAACCCCTATCTCTCCTTATCTTGGATTTCAAAGCCTTGTCTTTGCTCGTTGCATGTGAAATGCCGCTGCTCGGTGTCTATTTAAGACTTCCGGCAACATTGGCTGATTCATACGTTGGCAGTGTAAGGAAATCGCCCCCAACTCTTCCGACAATATTTATATTAGGTCAATTTCCGTCAACTGGCCAAATATTTGGAACCAAATCATTGCTATCTGACTTCCCTGGCAATCTTTCTGGGAAGAAATGAATGATTTTCAAAATTAATATGAATTTAAATTTTTATTTCATACCCGTGATGTGGTTTTATTTCGAGGAATTTCCCAAATATTTATTGACTTTCACTAATCATAATTATAGATTACACCCAACAGTCGGTAACTTTTACTAGCCTCCGGTATTAAATATCCCTTTGATTGCAAAAATTATAATGCAACCATGAAATTTACTGGTCCCATGGACTTTTCTGTTCTCATTGAGCGGCTTATGAAGAGCACTACTTTTTGTGTCGAATCTTTAACCTCACCAGGATGCCTTCGTCAACGTTCATATTCGTACACCGTAGTAGGTATGTGTTACACCTGACGTCAATTAACCCCGGAAGATTGCAAAGTGTGGAGAATACACAAGCTAGGTAGGTATGTATGCCGACATTAAATTATGCAAGCCATGCACCAACATAGAATTTCCTTCTTCAAAATTGGTAATCATGAAACGTGAAACTATGAACATCGCAGAACTTGATAACAAAAATTTTCTCACCAGCGACAACTGCAAGTTCACAAAGCTATCAACTGACAGAGAAGTACAAACTTAATCCACTTGGGTGCATAAAAGAATGCAATTCATTGCCATGTTGAAGACTTTATGATACTGTTGAAAAAGCGACGGGCTTACAAGACTTCATCAATTCTTTCCACGTCGTATCAATATCATGTAGGCAGGTAATGGCAACAAGTCTGTGGAAACGCAAGATACGTGATCTTCGACGCCAAGCAGACAATGGGCAAGGTGGTGGAAAAGCGAACGATATGCAGGCGACCGTGATGCCTCTACGATCCTTGGGCTGTGTGGAAATGAGAGATAATGAGTCCAGGGTGCCGAAGGTCACGAGGATATATATACGGAGCGGGGCTGCAAGAAATATATGAGAGTCAATAAAAGCAAGGATCCCTAAATGGACAAACTTTCGGGGAGATGCTCCGTTAATCCTTGCTCAATGGGCGCCACGATGCTCTGGTTTAGACGCATAAGTTTCCTAGTTCATCAAAGAACCATCAATAATTGTTCCGAAAGACGTGGCGCGAGAACCCCCGCGCTTAGCTGGTTGGTCAAAGTATACGGGGAATTCGGGTTCCGGTTGTTCAAGATATGCAAATGCGCTGGGGTTGGAGCGCCTTGGGGCGTCTGGGGGAGTACAGAAACCGGAGAAACAAGGCAGCCACCGGCCCGCAGCGACCGAAGTCATGGTCTCGTCACTGTGGGGGCTCCATTGCGCGGCCAATGGGTATGGGAATTGGGAGGAGGATACGGGACTCATCTTGTTTGCGTTGTCTAATAATTTCGCCCCAGGCCCCATCCGTCCGACAGAAACAGGCATTTCCTTTGCCTTAGGCTGGTTTCTGCGCCGCGTCACAGTACGGGGTGGACCAGGTGCTCGACTACTATTGGCTCAACAACTGCGGGATGGACCCACTATCGACCTCCGCACTGGAGAATACTACTCCATTACCTACCGGATTATGGCAGACCAAAGACGTAACTGGAGAGCTGCTAGCGAGCCTCTTCAATAATCTGATCCTTGACGTTGACTACAAAGCCGCAGTGCGTCCGCCCGACCACGGCTGTCTTCAACTCCATCACTCCCTCTTCTTTTCAATCTTTCTGCTTCACTTTGACGGCATTGCTGTCTTTCTCATTGAGCTTTCCGTCTGTTGAAAGGGCGCCGGCGACTTCATCAGCATTCGGCGTTTCGATGATTCTTTGCCATTAAAAAACCACGCAGAATCGAACTGAATCATTACACTCCGCCAGAGTTTCCAAAAGGCCATTGAAAGATTGCAATAGCTGGAAATTATGGCGGCACGTCAAGGACGCAGATTTTTGAGGCCATTGCTCTATACCTCAACAGCGGTCGCTGTAGGTGGCAGCGTTCTCTATATTTCCTATCGTCCGAGAGAAATCCCGGGCTCAGAACCTGCAGCTGTACCTCCTCCGACATACGGGGAGGGAGGCACATTCTCTCCGCCACGCTTTCCTCTTGTAAAGTCAAGAGATGAGCAAATAGCGGCTTTGAAGGCGAGCAGTGGCGAGGTTGACCCCGCCACTCAGAAGCATGGAGTCATGGATTGGTTCCAAGAGCGAAAAGCCAAGGGATTACCGGAGTCCGCCAAAAGCCCGGAAGAGCCATATGATCTGCTAGTGATCGGTGGTGGCGCGACGGGCTCAGGTATTGCGCTTGATGCTGCCACTCGAGGTTTGAAAGTCGCCTTGGTGGAGCGAGACGACTTTAGCAGTGGAACGAGTAGCAAAAGCACAAAACTTGTCCACGGTGGTGTACGATACCTTGAGAAAGCTGTTTGGGAATTGGATTACAATCAGTTAGTCTTTTGCTCACAAAGCTCCTTTTGTCGGCGGTAAGGCTAATCATTATTTTAGGTACAAACTTGTCAAAGAGGCTTTGCGCGAGCGGAAGTATTTCCTCGACACGGCCCCCCATCTCTCGAATTGGCTTCCGATTATGATTCCGATTGATAAATGGTGGAAAGCCCCATACTTTTGGGCGGGAACAAAATGTTATGACTTCCTCGCAGGCTCGGAGAACATTGAGAGCTCCTACTTCCTGACCCGAAGTAAGGCTCTTGATGCATTTCCGATGTTGAAGAAGACCGGTCTGTTTGGAGCGCTTGTATACTACGGTAAGATAAAAACTCCAGGTGCTTACGAAGATACCTGGCTAATTTCAATTTTCGTCTAGACGGAGCCCACAACGACTCTCGAATGAATGTCTCCCTGGCCATGACGGCCGCCTTGTATGGCGTCAATGTTGTTAATCATATGGAAGTCACTGGACTCGAAAAGAACGAAAATGGACGGCTCTGTGGTGCAAAGGTCAAGGATCTCGTCTCCGAGAAGAACGGTAAAAAGACGGACGAGTTCACCATCAAAGCCAAGGGTATCATCAACGCGACTGGACCGTTTACTGACTCTATTCGAAAGCTGGACGAGCAAAAGGTTCCAGAGATTGTCTCGCCCAGCTCTGGAGTTCATGTTATTCTGCCTGGTTACTACAGCCCTTCACACATGGGATTGATTGACCCCTCCACATCTGATGGTCGTGTTATCTTTTTCCTTCCTTGGCAGGGCAACACTATTGCTGGAACGACTGACGCACCGACTAAAATCACCCCTAACCCTGTTGCCGGTGAAGAGGAAATCAGCTGGATTCTTTCCGAGATCCGCGGATATCTTGGTCCTGATATTACCGTTCGTCGCAGCGATGTCCTTGCCGCTTGGTCAGGCATTCGACCCCTGGTTCGCGATCCGGAAGCAAAGAATACAGAGTCCCTCGTCCGAAACCACTTGGTCACCATGTCTCCCTCGGGCCTCCTCACTTGCGCTGGAGGAAAATGGACTACTTACCGTCAGATGGCCGAAGATACTGTCGACGAGGCGATCAAGGCGTTCGACTTGAAGACTGGCCCCGTCCTTGATGCTCCCAAGATCAGCGGCACTGAAATGATCGATGATGGCGCGGCGCTTGACGGTTCTTGTCAGACACATCAGGTTCGCTTGGTTGGTGCTCACGGCTATTCGAAGACCCTGTACATCAACCTCATTCAACATTTTGGAATTGAGACCGACGTTGCCAAGCACTTGGCGGAATCGTATGGTGACCGAGCATGGACGGTTGCAGCTCTCTCTACCCCTACCGACAAGCGGTTCCCCGAGCGTGGCATCCGCATTTCTGAGCAGTATCCCTTTATTGACGGAGAAGTGCGCTATGCTATGAAGCACGAGTACGCACAGACTGCCGTTGACGTGCTTGCTCGGAGAACCCGTCTCGCCTTCTTGAACGCACAAGCAGCTCTAGAGGCTCTGCCTCGCATCATTGATATGATGGGCGAAGAATTGAAATGGGACAGCAAACGCAAAGCCTTGGAGTGGACAGACTCTGTCACATTCCTTGGTTCTATGGGTCTGCCCAAGGACAAACTCACCGTGACTCGCGCTGAGGTGGAGAAAGGCAAAGTGATACGGCATGAGTCGCCGGAGGCGAGCTTGATTGCAAAGCCAGGTGAGTTTAATAGATTTGTCGACCAATACATCTGTAACAATAGACTAATGAAAAACCAGAGCCGTCAAAACAGACTCTTCCTACCGACTCCAAGTTTGAGTCAGGACACAACCCCGTTGTGGGAACCGATTCCCCCGCGAATAAATAAAGCAAGCAAAATAGTCTTACGAATCTTCGATAACTCCACCTTTTTTGGGGGTTTCGTTGTGTACATTGTATCTTTGGATATCCCTTGTAATGAAACGAATAGATACTTGAATATGATACTTTACAATACTCCTTGATTCCTTCAATCGCATTGTCGCTTCGATGATTTAGTGACGGAAACTAATCACGTGAACAGTTGTGACCTTTGGCCTGATTCAAGACTTTTGGAAGGCGACGAAGGGGGGAAAAAAGAGCAAAAAATTTACGTTGCTCTGACCAAGAACCCTTCGGTCAAGTTTAAATGAGGAATGGGAAAAATCTTCCCATGCCGAACAACTTCTGGGGAGGCAACTCCGAGGACTCGCCAGTTTTGTTGGCAACGGGCCGCCCGGGCCCCTATATGCTTTTGATGGTTTGTAGGCCACTTAAGTTAGCAAAATCATAAACTTGTACTGAAGTGAATTGCACTTGGCAGAAGTGGCTCTCCCGCTCACGTGGGTGGGCCGCGCAAGATACTTGGCCCAATGGGGCAGATGGGGGCGGCAATTCGGGAGATGGGGGGTTGCGCCATTCCATTTAAGGGATTTGCTGGCCCAAACACTTGCGTACTCCGTAGCAGAGTGCGTAGGGACGTCTCTTACCTTACCTGTAGGTAGGTACGATAATATCGCACTGAATATCTGCTGCGTATGGGGTTCTTGTGAGCTTACGACAAGTGTGAAGAGAAGAGAAAAAGAAAATTTTCTCGCGTCGAAACTGGATCGGTTCACAACTCTTGAACGCGCACAACCCACGGCTCGGGGATGGCAACCTCAAAAGGAGAAGTCGAATTGCGCCAAAACCAAGGATGAGACGCAGCACCAAAGGGGACCATTCGTTGCCCAAGTGCTTGGGAGCTTTTCTTCGCTTGCATCGGTCCACCGGGTCCTGGGCAATTCAACCCAAACGCGCGGTGTGATTTGCAATAAGCGAGCTACTATTCCTACTGACGACATAGGACATGGGTCCAAAGAGCCACCATCCAACGAAAAATACGCGGGGTACAGCCAAAAAATGACTTTTAGGAGTTGGAGCCATAACCAGGGCAGGAAAGGTACTGGATCCGGTCCATTTCCTTAGTACCAGCGCCCTTTTTTGTGTACGGGACAAGTAACCACTGCGGTCTAGTGGCTTCTTGTGAGTGAGTGCCGCTCAGGAATAAAACTCGCCCGCGGCTCATGGCACCTGCTAGAGTTCCGAAATGAGGAATTCCTGGGGAATCTCTATTATTGAGCCCCAACCCCATCTTGTTCGCCGCGTGGGCCCAGGCCACCGGGTCACTTCTATTCGATCCCTCTTCTTGTCCAACAATATCCTCTCTTCTTGCATCTGAATTGTGTTGCTTGTCCTTTCGTCCTTTTGCCGTCGATATCCCCCCACAGTATACGCTGCCTTTGCGCGTTCTGCGACCTGCTCACTGTGTTACTTCTTGGTTGTCCAAATTGATCATGTCGCACCAGGAAGCCTCTGGCGTATAGTATGTCGTCAGCGGTTGGGGGTCATGTCAATTCGCGGGGATCGGCCGTGTTGGCCGTGACCATTGTGACCATTGCAGTGGCATCGCTCTTTGTCTTTTTACGCCTGTTCTCTCGTTCTGTCATTGTGCATCGCATCTCATGGGATGATTATTTCATCTTCATTGCTTGGGTTCGTCGATGATGCATCGTTCCGAACGTTACACAGAATCCCGTTGACTGACAACCTTGCGCAGATCTTCGCTTGCGGTTTTTCCATCTCTGTCTGCTACGGCGCTTCCGTCGGACTGGGTCGTCACGAGAGCGATATCCTCCAACAATGGCAGACGCCACTCAAGAAGGCTATCTATACATGCACTGTTTTATACGTGGGTTCAATGGCGCTTCTACCGCGAAATGGAGACTTGGTGTCTAACTCTATTCTCAGAATCCCGCATTAATGGCTACCAAAATGTCGATTCTGCTCTTCTATTTGACGCTCTCAAAGACACAAACGCTCTTTCGATGGGCTTCTATTGTTACATTGGTCGTCGTGGACGTGGCCGGAACCGCACTTACCTTTTTGAACATTTTTCAGTGTCGCCCCGTATCCGCTTCGTGGCATGATGTCGGTGTCGGGAACTCCAAGTGTATCGATATCGTCACGCTGTGGTTGTCATCTGCGCCCGTCAACATTATCACGGATCTGGCCATCCTTTTCTTGCCGATGCCGATCTTGACGGGAATGCGAATTCCTCGCAAACAAAAGACCATCCTTGTCATCACCTTCGGTCTCGGTGCGTTTGTCACAGTCGTCGATGTAGTGAGAATTGCGAATCTTCAATCAGCCTCCATGACGCGGCTCCTCGAAATCGCCAGCCAGGGACACTCGACATCTGCAGAAGTAGAAACCGACTTCTCCTGTGAGTAGAAATGCCATTTGCTCCCTACTAGGAATGCTTTGCTGATGAACTCATGAAATTAGGGTATGCGTCGCTTTCGTTTATGTGGTGCGCCATCGAGATCAACGTGGGCCTCCTTATCGCCAATGTTCCTGGCTTGAAGCCTCTTGTCACCCGCATCATGCCAAGGATGTTGAAGGACTCGGCCGATGCGTCGACCCTGAATGCTTCGCAATCCTCTGCATTGGCGGTTCCAGACCTAGCTCTTCCTCCTCCATCCATTGTCAACCCGGCAGCCGTGCACTCCGCGGACCCAGCTTCGATTGTTAATCCTGCGCGAGTACACCCACAGTTAGATCCAACCGAATGCGATGCTCCTTCTCCAACTGATAGCGAGGAACCGATGGGCATGATGGATTTCCTGACGACACCTGGAGATATGCCTGACCTTGCAAACTCGACCACAGCGGCAACCGCTGGCGGTACCCTGAGACTTTCCGAAGCAGCTCGACCTACCTTCTTCGACTTTGTGAACCTGCGGAATCCCAAAAGTATGGTGTTCATGTCCAACAGAGAGTCACTCATTTCTCTGTCTGTGGTCACCATATTGTTTTTCCTCTGGGGGTTCGCCTACGGTCTCTTAGATATTCTCAATAAGCAGTTTCAAGCGGTGGGCAGGATCAGCAATGGAGAGTTTATGGGCTGTCATGCCGCGTATTTTGGCGCTTATCTGATCGGGCCCCTCACCATTGGCAGGACTGTCCTAAAGAAATGGGGGTTCAAGCCCACGTTTGTCTCCGGTCTATGCATTTACTCTTGTGGCACACTCATCTTTTGGCCATCTGCTGTTTTAGCGTCCTTTCCTGCGTTTATCATTTCAAACTTCATTGTTGGCTTGGGGGTTTCGATCCTGGAGGTCGCGGCAAACCCTTTTATCGCTCTTTGTGGGCCGCCAGAATACGCAGAAGTGCGCCTGAACATCTCGCAAGGGATCCAAGCGATCGGCAGTGTCGTGTCCCCGCTTCTTGCGCAAAAGGTTCTCTTCAAGAGGGTCCTTGATGCACCGTCGCTCATCGATGTCCAGTGGACTTACTTGGGCATTTCCCTCTTTACCTGCCTGCTTGCCGTCGCTTTCATCTATTTTCCTCTGCCCGAAGCTTCCGATCAAGATTTGGAAGCAATCGCTTTCAAACGTGCCGGCATAAATGCTACCAAGTTTGCCGGTGTCCCTATCATCTATTGGACGTTAGCGCTCGGCGTCTTCTCACAATTCTGCTACGTTGGGGCGCAGGAGTCAGTCTCAATGTCTGTCACCAACTTTGTCTCGATAGATGGGAGAAGGTCAGTAGGGCGAGTCTCTCTCCCGGTGTCGCTTCCTCTCTCCCCTGCTAGTCTTGTGCTAACCAGAGGTAGGACAAACTTGAGTCCGGATGACATTCAGGCAATTGGCCATACAGTCTTTGCCGTGGGTCGATTTCTGGGGGCCCTAGCCACTATCATCGTCAACCCTCGTTGGGTACTCATGTTTTGCTATATCGGAGCCATAATTTGTTCGGCACTGGTCATGAACCAACGCAACGATGCCGGAATTGCTGTTCTTATGCTCGTACATTTCTTTGAGGTATGTCACCCCTCGGGATGTCATCAGATTTGCGTCGCATCAGCTTTGTATGAAAAGGTATATCCCAGAAATTAAACATCACTATAGGCTGCGATATTTTCTCTCATTTACGCCATCTGCCTACGTGGCTTAGGCGCTCGCACGAAAACGGGAGCAGCGTTCATCACTGCTGCTGTCTGCGGTGGTGCCGTTTTCCCACCTATCCAAATGCCCTTGGCAGTCCATCGCGGCATCCCATATACCTTCTCTGTGGTGGTCGCACTGTTTGCCTTTGGCTCAATCTTCCCCCTCTACTTGAATCTTGTGCCGGCCGCAAAGAGACAGGTAGACCCGAGGCTTTCAGAAGACGATGAGACGTCTTCGACACGCCGACCTTCACTCTTGTCTGCGCGCCGGGCCTCTAGATTCTTTCAAGCTACAGCATTGAAATGGAAAAAAAGGTTAAGCGACACTCCCGTATCCGAGCATGTCGAAAAACAAAACTCTCAAAGCTGACCTCCAAAGATCAAAACACTATTGATGTCTCCTGGGACGTCGATTATTATTTCCTTCTTCTTTTTTTTTTATCATATCCTTTCTCAATGGGGACTACTTGTATAATTATTATTTCTGGACATGAGCAACGATCGGTTTCTGAATTGAAAAAGAGACCTTGTACAAAAAAGGGGAAAACTTGGGGATCACTAATGGTTTGGGAGGGGGCATTTTGACAGCATTTACAACTGGTGTTTAGGTTCGGCGTTTTTATATCTCTTCGGACGGTGTTGATCCGTTGTCGTCCCGTCTCAATCGGCTTGGTCGACATGGTCAACGGATGAGAGTGAACGTGAGGGCTTTTGTTCTCCTTTCCTTTATTTTTGGATGAAATGGGGAGGGAAAAAAAAGGTTCATTTCAAAGCTTTTGCATCATATTGCTATATTCGAATCAGGGACCTCCTGTGTATATCCCGGGGCGGCAACCAATTCTGTTTTTATTTTCTATCGGCTCGACCAATACCGTTCATGTCTGAGTTTACGTCATACGTCATTCATCAAAGGAGAATCGGAGTGGTTGATGTGCGTACCTTGTCTGTATGACTACTTTCAAGACTTTGTAAATAGATGATCAACGAACAAGGTGGCTTTTCTTTCGCCTTACTTTTATCGCACTCGTCGATTCAGTGACATGATGTACATGGTGGACATGGTATGCTGTGTACATTATGAAACCAGAGTCTTTCACTTCAAATTTATATCAATGCTTTCAAGTTTTCATAAAGAGAAAAAAAGACTCGCGCACAGAAAGTGCCCATTTCGCAGTATGATTTAAAGTACATGTCGGAAACCATTTTAATTGAAAAATTGCGATAAAAATAAGAGTGTATGAATATGCTATAGATATATCGAGAGAGGGAAGAAAAAAAAAACCTTTGACTTGTGCCGTTAAACATTACTTGTAAGTAGATCGTCCATCGTATCCTAAAATGAAACAGAACTTTGTAATCAAATAGAAGTTAAAAAAAAGGGAGAAAATTAAAAATAAAAATGAAAAAAGGGAAGGAAAAGAAAGAGAAAGGAAAGACGCAAAGACGCAAACATCCATCAAGCAAGTAAATGGAGGAAAATGGATGTACGCCATGATAAAAAGGATCCAAGTGAAGAGGAAGAAGTGGAACAAGAAGAACAAAAAAGTAAAATGAAGTCAGCAATCAGATAGAGAGGCCATCAATCATCCAAATCATCTAAAACTTCCGTCCGTCCGTCCGTCCGTCCATACATGAGCGCGTGCAATTTAAATGTCTAACAAGATAAGGTAGGTTTGGAGCGTTGCTGGGGTATAAAAGAGAAGAGAAGGGGGAGTAGAGACGAGGTTAAAACGAAAATAAAATTTAGGTTTCGAGAAGAAGGGGGAAAAAAGGGAGGGGCGCCAGTTAGTACGATTCATAAGAACAAATAGGTCCCCCCACGAAGTTTCCGAGCAAGCTGTAAAGGGTAGGGGAAATGATTACAAGGAACAAAAGGAAAAACAGTAACAAACTGTCTTTCGCCTTTTGTATTGTGTGAAGTGCACAATGAGGGAATTGCTGTCTAAAAAGAAGAAGCAGTCTAAATTCCCGAGGGCGTGGAATCCATCATTCGGCTTTCTTTTCGGATTCTCTAGGCTTGGATTCAGGGTCTTCGCCCGCCTCACTGTTGGCTTCGCTGACTTCTCCCCAGTTCGAGCTTCTTCGGCTCAATCGGCCAGTCGCAGAGGCACCGACATCTCTGGGAGCAGGTGTTGCTGGACTGGCTGAAGACACCCCTCCTCCGCCAATACCACTTATGCTACCTGATACACTATCGTTCCGACCGTGCTCAAGGATACCGCTCCGCATGCTTGCACCGTCACCTCCAACCGTACCCTGCTTGCCTCCATAGTAACTGCTGCGGTCACCAGTTAGTTGTGGTGCAACGACACCAGAGGAAGAGTAAACGCTGGCTCGTTCAGCGCTGGCAACTCCGCCAAGACTTGGTCTTGGTTGATAGATGCCGCTCGGCGTGGCGCCGCCCGGGCCGCTCGAGTCTGCCACGTTACCACTGAGGACGCTCAGGGGGAGAGACTCGCGACTGCCTCCCCAGAGCGAAGAGGGAGCCAGAGCACGCACAGAGGCATCTGTATCGAGCGAGTGGCGACGTCTACGTTTAGTTGAAGAGGCAAGCGTCAAAACTGATGCATTGTCGGTCAAGAGATTGTTGGCGGTAGCAGTAGTATAGGTGCTCGGATGGCCGCCGCCGACCTGAGGAGCAAGGTGCGCGGGGATCGCAGTCACCGGCTGCGTGGGGAACTGGTGGGTAAATTGGGTATGAGATTGATTCTGATTGCTGGGAGTGTGTTGATGATAGGAATGGTTATTCTGCTGCTGCCCCGTAGCAGTTGTGTTGGTAGATGGAGTGTTACCTCCACCTGGCAAAAGGGTCGAAGGAGCAGTAGATTGTATGGTTGTCAGAGTCGTTGTCAGGGACCGTACTGATGGCGCTGGGGACGAGAAGGTGCTTCCACCGCCACCCCCGTTCAAGCCAGTGCCTGTGGTACCGGCTTTTGAGTATGCAGCATCTGAGTTGACGGTATCTGGATTCGTGGCCAGGGTGGGTGCGGCTGATCTGTTGCTTGCCATTGGAGCTTGGGGACCATAATCGCCGGAATCATGATCGGATTTATGGCTACGCTGCTCCAGAGAAGGAACACTATCTCCCGGACGGGGCGGGTCGGGCAAGAAGGATAAATGGCCATTTCCACTCGACGCTGGGGTCTCAGGAGGCGGCGGTGGCAGCGCAGACGAAGGATAAGGGTTATTCTTGGTTGCGATCTTTTTGGATTTTGATACAGAGTCCGCGTTATGGCGTTTCGAAGACCCGTGGTTATTCGATTCCGACGAGAGTCCCTTGAGATTTGTAAGTCGTCTCATCCATGCCGAGAACGGTCTTCGACGAGATGGCCGATCTGTGATTTCAGATTTTTGATCAGCTACTGGTTCTAAAGTAGTACAAAAAATCACGAGCTCCCGCAACGCTTTGAGATGACGATGAGTTCGAAGGTGATGGTGAAACTAACCATGGTGTCCGGCAGCGACATCGGCAGCCGCCATAGTGGATCGGGGCGAAGTCGTCCAGTCGAGAAGGCAGCGATTGAGGCGGATCACTTATATGAATGCTCGCAGACAGCGGAATTCAGGCAAAGTAAAACCAGCGTAGAAGATGAATCTCCGAATTTCATAGGAGTTGTAGATGAATTCCTTGGGCAATCGCACGCTGAAGGGCAGCGTGGACGTCTCGATGGGAATTCCCAAAGGAGAAGGAGTAGCGTGGTACGACAGATAAGGTCGATCCACTTTGCGGGGCAACCCCAGATGAGAGAGCTTTTCTAAGCTATTGGCTAGCAGCTCACACAAATCGTTAGGTAGCTATGAGATCAAATATTGACCGACGAGTTGGAAGATCAATGGGATGGTAAATGTGAATGTCAACAGCTGGAACTATGGAAGACGCGCTGAGTCGTTTATCTCCGGGCAGATTGAATGGGATGGTTATGGGTGGATTGGCATGCATTCTCCCTCAATCCGGCCAAAGGGGTGTCGAAATGCGCGAATTAGGTATTCAGTACCTCTTCTTCCACTAAATCTGTGCTAGATCAGAGTATACAGTACTTGAACCGCCAAAGTCACCTTTCTTCCCCACGTTAGAAGCTTGCCCTTCGTCATATCAACAGTCATCGTGTGAATCCATCACACTCTCACGGATACCACATGAAATATTAATGAGCTTGATCCTACCTCAGTCGACACTTTGGATCCTCACTTTTTTGCCATGGATTCTTGATGCTTTTACCTCCGTATAGCATCTGCTATTCGTCACTTCCTGCTGAGTTCGATAGCTTCCAAGTCTGTCGACGGTTCGAATGAGGATACCACGGCCGTTGCTGTTGCCAATCCGCTCACGCAAAGATTGGAACCCACCTTGAAATGGCGTCAACGATAGCTTTGGATGCTGTCATTGCTGCCTTTTCTCTTATATGGTCTTTATGACGGTTAATCTCGTCGAACCAATTACAACCTCTTCGTTTATATCTGAGTCTTTAGTCTAATGTCTACTTCCTCCGGACGGATCAGGCCTCTGCCCTCTGAAGTTGCGGCTCAGATACACTCCTCTGCTACGATCAATACGCTCCAGGATGTCATACTAGGCTTACTACGCAATTCACTTGATGCTGGCGCCACAAGGGTTGAAATATTTGTGGACTTCTCTCGTGGCGGCTGTATCGTTGAAGATGACGGGTGCGGGATTCCTGCTGAGGAATTTCACGAAAAGGGCGGACTGGGAAAATTCTACTGTGCATTCTTCTCCACAAATCTTTTCGATGCTGCTGTAACTAATCGCAACAAATAGTTACATCCAAGTATGGCTGCCCTGCTCAGGTGCATGGCCAGTATGGCACCTTTCTTGCCTCCTTGTCATCCCTCGCCATTGTCACAATAACATCCTGTCGTTCTCTCCAAGAGCCGTCGAATTCTCTTGTACTTCACCGCGCCAGGCCCATTGCACGCTTGACGCCCGTCTCATCTGATGATGACATACTTTTCCGGGAGCGCGGCACGCGGGTCATAGTCCGAGACTTGTTTGGAGATATGCCTGTGCGCGTTAAGCATAGAGCCGCTCTCTTCGAGGGACAACTATCAATGGAACGGGAAATAGATTCCCTCAAATATCGTATTATCGCCTTATTGCTGGCTTGGGCTCAACCAATTGCGGTTGTTATCAGAGATCGCGATAATAAAGTTCGATTTTCTTCTCGCAGCCTTGTTTCCAAAAGGCGACAGTCGCAACTCTCAGGCATCACAACCCTATCCGAGACATATCCAGCTCTGGTTCAGTACTTGCTCTACCAAGCGTCCTACATCCCAACCCGGTCAGTTGATGACTGGGTGCCTGTTTCGGGCTCTACCTCATCCGTTTCCGTTAATGGTTTGATGTGTCTAAAACCTGCGCCCACTCGCCGTGTCCAATTTATTTCACTCGGTATCAGCCCTGTCAGAGGAGACTTGGGATACAATGTGCTCTACGAAGAAGTCAACAACCTTTTTGCCGCATCCAGTTTTGGGACATCCGCCTCTGACGCTACGGGACGTCGCCAGAAATTTGCCAGAAGATCCATCAACAAATCGCCCATGTTCTGCCTGCGAATAGACTTTGAAAACGTTGCTGACAGTAACAATGTGTTCAAACAGGAGCTCTTTCTCAACGATCAACTGTTAAAGATCGTCTTAGATCTTATTACAGCCTTGATAAACGGCTTTCTCAAGGCTCATGGCTTTCGCTCAAACTATGATATGCCCAAAGTATCTCCATCAATGCCGGTACCTTTGCCGGACTTTGATTCGACCCACGATCAAGAGACCGCTATCGAGACAAAAATTCATTCAACACAGGGTGGGAATGCGGGCTCTGAGTCTCGGGCGATTTCGAGGCCATCATCAGCGACGACAGAAATGTATTCAGGAATGGCCGGTCGGGACCAAACTATATTGACTGGTCTTTCGTTAGGCCAGTTGCACAATCTAAACGAGTTTAGTCATTTGAGTCGAATCAGAAAGGGCGAAGAAGGCAGAAGATCCCAAATCCGTACGGATATTAGCTCTATCCTAAGGGTAGAGGGTTCATCACCAGCCAGTACCAGCTCTGAAGCTCTTCCTCTGGGGCAGTCCTCGTCGGAAGCAACGCCAAGTTCCATAGATTTCTGCTCGTCGATATCTGTTCCAGACCCCGCCGTGTCTCCGGACAATCCTACATTGCCACCGCCCTCGGTTAGAGGCGAGAGTGAAGACTTATTACAGGACGAGACGTTTACATGGAAAAATCCTGGCACCGGAGAAGTGTTTCAAGTAAATTCAAGAACAGGAATGATAATATTTCCAAAACCTTGGAGCTCGAACTTATCGCTGCGTCATCGAGCATCCTCGGAACCCTTTTCTCGTCCAACTCGGTGCAGGTCCATTTCGAGTACAAAGTCCGAACAAGGAAGTCCTGCCTGTTCCGGCCATGGTTCATGGCTTCAAAGCGTTTATAGACGCTGGCAGAATCCTGTATTCCAGCCTCCTGAGCTTGACGTCCCAAAGGTCGCGCACGAGAACAATGACGGTTCACACTTGCCCGCGTATTCATCGCATATCTCAGATGCCTTCACGCCTGCCGATAATATCAAAGTCTCGAAAGCTGCACTCCAAAATGCGCACGTCATCTCTCAAGTAGACGGAAAATTCATTCTTGTCAAACTCAAAGTCAGGAAAGGAGAGTTGAATCCTACAGCCCGAGCGGCATCGGGAGTCAAAGAGGTACTTGTATGCATAGACCAGCACGCAGCCGATGAGCGATGTCGATTAGAAGCGCTTCTCGCAGACCTGTGTGCCTCGCCAGAGCCTTTGGTCAGCGTTCCTCGTTCCAATCTTGGATACAGTCCAGCCGTCAATGTCATATTACTCAAGGAACCCTTGATCTTTTCAGTCTCAGCAAATGAAGAGCCTCTCTTCCGGACAGCTGCCAAATATTTAGCCCGCTGGGGTATCCTCTACGACCTTTATTCCTCCAACAAATCGAGATCTCGTAACCCAGCTAAGCGCCAATGCTTGGTCTCCGTGACAGCATTACCCCCAATCATTGCCGAGAGATGCAGACTCGAACCGCATCTTTTACTTGACATTTTGCGTGGAGAAGTCTGGAAAAGAGCTACTGCTCGCCAATCTGAGACGCAAGCTCCTACGCAGCAGGATGCTCGCGACTCGAATGGCACATGGCCTGATGCTACAGCAATGACAACACCCCTAGAAGATGGAGATAAATCCAAGGATGATTGCAAGTGGCTGTCGCAGATTGGATCCTGTCCCCAGGGCATCCTCGACCTGGTAACGTCCCGCGCATGCAGAAGCGCAATCATGTTCAATGACAAATTATCTCACAAGCAATGCGGACTCCTTGTGTCTCGACTCGCGACATGTGCATTTCCGTTTCAATGCGCGCATGGACGACCCTCTATGATTCCCCTGGTGGGAATCACTTCACCTGCCGAGTCTGAGTGTCTGGAATCCTCTAGTGGAGATATTAATGCAGAAGGGGCGTGGAAGTCGGGCTCAGAGCTGGGTTTTGGTTTCTCTGGCCTTGTCATGTCCATGGATGATACATTGATGGAAAAACAACACGGAGTGTCACCACGAAAAAGTACGATGAGTGCGTTTCAGGACTGGATGTTGATGTAGCATTCTTTTCATCACGTTTTGAACCTCATCAAGATACAAAGATTTCATTTTCTTTTTTTTGGTTCGATAGTCTTTTCACAGTATCTTTGATAAAATCTCACTTTTTGATTTCCTCTTGAAAAATAGATGAGAATGATAGATGACAAGTGATACATTGTTGTAGAAGAGTAGATGCAAACATGATGGCGTTTCTCATCAATGGCATCACTGCGTCGGTGCGTCGGTGCGACATGGAAGAGAGAGATCAGATGTAGATTGCCATGAGAAGAAAGAGAGCAAAGAGGTAGCAAAATAGAAGGGAAAAAAAAAAAAAAAAAAACAATGAAGAATAGAAAAGAAAGGAAAAAAAGGGACAATAATATTAACGCCGCCGCTCGCCGATCTGATCCGATCCGATTGGATCCGGTAAGTGATGATCCGTTGAAATGCTTCTCAGTGAAGTCAAACCAGTACCAGCAGTGCAGTGCCCGGTGGGTATACCCTGAATTTTTGCCCATTCGAAACAAGGAACAGAAGAAAAAAATAAAGTAAGGAGTCTGGTAATCTAAAAAAAGAAAAAAGAAAAAAAGTTGTAGATCAAATAGATGGTAGAAGATGAGCAAAGATACACAAAGAGGTAAAATGTGAAGAGGGGTTAGATTGAATTGATAGATGGTGAGCCGATAGATGGTGAGAAGATTTTCGAGCATGGTGGCTAATGAATGAACGGGAGAAGAATGACCAGATATTCAGTTAAACGGCGAATTTGTCCTTGAAGCCAAGACCTCGCCAGAATGGAGCAGTTTCCTTGTGGCCGGTCAGCGCAGCTAGTGGGGCCGGAGGCGGGTTATTCTTTTGGGTGTTGGGGAGGTCGCGAGGTTCGAGGAGTAGAGATCGACGATAGTAGCTCTGGACGTTTGCTCCGTCAGAGGCGCGGACTCGCTGAATCTCGCCTTCGATCCAGTCCTGCAGTTCCGGAACAGGCATGAGGTTGTACGGCGCCTGGAACCGCTGGAGATCGCCAATGATGCGGGCTGTGCGGAGGTGCTTGTCGAAATTGATGACGGTGGCGCCCTCTGATCCGGAATCACCGGGGAGTTGGCGGGTGGTTTGGTTGCCAACGTCGTTGAAGGTCAGATCCGTCAAGTATGTGCCGACAAAGGGGATGCATGGTGGGATGTGGTTGCTCAGTCTCTGCCGGAGGACGGCGTAGTTTTTGGAAACGTCGACTACCTTTTTCAACTCGTCCAGAGCGGCCTTTTTCTTCTGAGAGACCAGTTCCCAGGTACGTTTGAGGCGGAGGATAGTGGACGAGTTGAGAGAACAGATGATTGCCATCAAGGAATCGTAGTTCTGGAGGTTGAGGCACTCTTTTGCAATCTTGATCCATTGCTTGACGACAGCAGCTCGCTTCTTGGGTTCGCCCAATTGGAGAATGGTGTCGGCGACAAGGTTGGCTAAATCAGTTGAGAGGGTCGACATTGCTCGGACATTGACCGCCATTGACCCACGGCGCTTTGTCCATTCGGTTCCAAGAAGCTCGGCTGGCTGAATGGCGCAGAAGACTTTGGATTCCTTGAGCGTAAGCTGTCGAGCAACCTCCAGGCAATCAAAGTCAATAATGCTTGCAGTTCCGGTACCGGCTTTCCAGTTTCGAAGGACCGACAATTGACTCTTTGATACCGCAGGGGGTGGCGCCGGCACGGTTTCACTTGAAGAAGATGGGCGGCTCGACTGTGTAGACTTTTCGGCCGTAAACTCCATACTTCCATTCAAGGCAGCATCTGATTCCATGGAGACTTTATTCGCCAGCTCACCAAGTCGCTTTCCCGCCGAAGGAATACTAGTTTCCAACTTTTCGGATGCAAAACGCAAGATCAAATCGAGGGCTTCGCTATCGCAATCATGGCGCCATTGGTTTTCAAGCCAGTATTTAAATACTTGATAGATTCGAAACCGCACGGGTTCTGCAGCTTGAGGACTTTCAGAAATGTAGTCATATCTGTCAATCAAGGCTTTGGCAAACAGAGTAGGTGTGGTGAAAAGACGGAAGGTAAGGACAAACGTAGAGATAAAGGTAAAGTCAGGTGTGGACTCGTGGGTCGTTAATCTTTCAATGAGTGCAGGCAACGAGCCCCCTGTAACATGGCCATCCTTGCTATAAGTGAGCTCGTGCGCATATGTCTTCTCCAAGACTTTGGCCTCGGCGTCTTCACATTCCTCGGCCAAGGTGGTTTGGCTATCGGACAGGTCGCTAGTGAAGCTTGTGCAAGGAATGATTACGTGCTGTTCTGATCCGCGTTCAGGTGTTGTGACTCTAGTGCTAGTCTGTGATAGCGCTGTATCTCCTTCAGTCTTGCTCTCGCTTTCCTTTGCACAGATGCTTTGGTCAGAGATACTTGCATCGGCACAAGTTTCTAATTTCGATTTCTCTGTGGATTCGCCTCCATTGACTTTGGACCCTGCACAATTTCCATGCACAAGTGTTGACGGATGTGGCCTATCAAAAGAAGGAAGAGGGAATGACTCAACCAGAGAACTCGCAGATGCTTCAGTCACGGTAGCACCTGGAGATCGATCATTGGCAACAGGTTTCCGGATAAGTGCTTTCTCTTGTCGGGCAAAATAATAATCCCTGACAGGATCTGGATGTCGAGGAGTTGGAGTCGCATCTGCATCCCGCACTGCATCCAACAAGTCTCTGTTGGCTTGCACAGGTGTTGTCTGACCAAACACCTGCACTGATCCGATTGGAGAGTCAGACTTTTCAGAACCAGATAGAGATACATCAAGTGTAGAGTTCGACTCAAACTCAAAGTCTCCAATTCTCTCAATAACGAACCGCGCCTTTCCCACACAATCGCCTGCACTCTTGACGCACATGGTCGCCGCCGTAACCAGCTGTTCGCCATCGCCAACTATCAAAACACCCTCGTGGGAATCGGGATCTGTAGGCCGAAAAATATGCTTTGCTGCTTCAATCAGATCATACATTCGCGCAAACATGGTGTCTCTAGCGAGTTTCAAGGCAACCGAGCGCCGCAGATCACGGTCCCATACAGCGTCCACCACCGTCAACAGTGTCTGGCACGAATCCGCAGCTTGAATGGTGGTCGAGAGAAGTTCAGAAGGAGATCGAGACTGAAGGTGTAGTCCAATGAACCAACCCAAGTATCCGAGAAATGCGTCATGAGCGGAACTGAGCCGAGTGCAGGCAAGGTCGCGATTTGAACCACCAGAGTCTTTGTGTCGGTATGACAGACGATGCGAGACTGCCGGCCGTTTGCTTGAAGACTTTCCAGGATGAGAGGACTGGGGAAATAGTCTGGGCGCTGCTTTGGGGGTCTGAGCGCTGGAGCCCTTGCTTCGCTTTATTTTGGGCCGACTATCTGGCACAAGCCTAGCCGACGAGTTGCAGCGAGAGATGTCGCTACCCATGGCAGCTCTCACATAGCTGTGGGAACTAACAAGCTGAGGTCCGCTGGCAATGCCGTACTCGATTTGATCTTGCGGCGGCGTCGGTGGGTTGTCATTTTCCCAATTCACAAGCTCCTCATAAACTCCATCCTCCATGCCGGTCTCTTCGTACCACATATCGAGAAACTTAATGGACCGTGTCACAACTTTGAAAGCTTTCAAGACCATTTCGTCCAGTGTAGCGCCAACATTCTCGGCGGGCGCGGCATCTGTGATAGACTCCTCGACTTTCTTCGCGCATTTTACGAGAGAAGATAAGTGCGCTAAGAGCGCCTTTCGATTTCGGCGGAGACATTCATGCTGAACTACCAAGGGCGAATCTCTGTTGAGGCAACTCGTCGTTTCCTAAATAATAGGTAAGCTCGTCGTTAAAAGTCGAAGGGAGAGTGAGGTGGCGTACCAGTAAGTACCGGACCCCCGCAATGATCCCTCGCATGGACGTATGATCACTGAAATTCCGCAGACTCGCAACATGACCATCGCGAATAAAGTCCCAGAAGCGCATTAACGCATGCAACAGATTCCGGATGGGTTCATGTTCGTATGTCTCGCAGTAGTTGGTGGGTAGCCAACCTCGGGCTCCAGAAGTCAATAACGTGCCATCGGCCCAACCATTTACATGAACAGAGTGTACTAAAATAACGTCTCCAATATTCAATGGTAAGGTAATGGTCGAAGATTCGGCGGGCGATGTTGGATAATAGGAGTGGAAAGCTCGAAGATAGTTAGGAAACCGTCCTTCGGATGTCGTAGAGTCTTGGGAAGTCTGCGGTGTTAGAGGCGGTGTCATTTGTTGGTGAGTTTGAGGAAGAGCTGCTTGTGGGTTCACTCGAAGGGCTGTCTTTGCTCGATCGAAATGCTCGCCGGCCTTTCTCATTCCCCTTTGCCCTTGCCAATCGGCGCTTCTTTTCATGCGTATCGTTTGTTGATTCATCTTGTGTAAAGGTAGATGTGATGGTTCGGATACCTCGAGGTCGGTCAGCTGCGACAAGCAAGATCTCCACTGTATGTGCCCTCAGGAGGATCAGGCTATTCGTTTCTAATCGTCTTTAATGGATTGCCAATTCAAAAGTTCGTCGCTTGCCCTTGAATCTAAAGGTCTCGAATGGATTGAGTGTCGAAATCAACGCGTATGCTCTTGAGCTGGCAGGCTGAAGCTCACTTCCTACTGGATCGTCACGGGAATTGAACCCTCCTCTTCAAGATCGTAATCACCATATAAGGTCGCTGAAGCTGGCGTTGGTAAAAGATTCGTGAATTGGCGCACGTCGACTGTCCAAATGTCGATATCTGAAGAGAGTAGATTCAGGGTTAGTGCCACTTTGCAGGCCAGTGTATTGTTGTTTGTTGGAAGGGCGGAGAATGAAGCGCGTCAAGGGTGAGCGCCGCATGGAATGTCACCACCCACGCAATGATTGGAGCCGAGGGACATACCTACCAGGATATAAATACTCTTATTGCGCCCTGTTCCCAGCAAAGTGCAAGAAAGATTGGTTTAAAGGGTCTGCCACTCGATACTTCGTCCTCACAGTATCCTCTGCTGTTATGACCTCTCGCAGCAAACTCGCCAGGAGCTTGTAAAGGTCGGCCCAGGAATTATCTTTTCAGGACGTTGTGGCTTTCGAAGGAGGGTTGCAGAATGAACGGGCCCTTCCAGCTCTCAAATAACGAGATTCGTAAAAGGATTAAGCCCTACCAGCTGCTTAAAGCCGTTGTGCGGGGTAAAATCTGGGACGAAAAGTCTCACGTTGCCGGTCACGACGTTGAGCTATCGTCTTATCACTGTAGCTCCGCAACAAGACAATGGCCACTCTGGTCGTATCAATTCTCCGAGTGACGTGTCTTTCCACGATTCTTGTGATCCGAAAGGGTTGCTCCTCTCAGGCTAGGTTTTTGGATGTAAGGGCAATGAGGCTCAGACCAGATCGTTCAAGGTAGGTAGGTAATGGCTCTGTAGTTGTGGCGAACCGAGATGCTCACGCAAGGGCGTTTTCTCGTCACTTTGCTTACATGCAAAGACAACCGGTGCGGCGCCGCTCAGTGCAAGGTCGCGAGGGAGAGTCCCTGTGATCCAATGCGGTGCATGATGGAAGGAAAGCCGACAGACAAATACATGTTGGATGCGAGGTCAACACCTTGTCAAATAACGGTGCAGCGGGAAACAGTCGAGGTGCAGGAGATCGGGCACAACAGCAGATAATACAACGGCACGATGTCGACCCAGAGCCGTTCTGGGACCCTGGATGCAGCTTCATTTTAGGGCGCAGAACGTTTGTGGGCTAACGGCGTGGACGGCACAGGCGATGCAAATACGGGAAGATCATGTCTCCATCGAAGATGACCGGGGGGGGGTGGGTGGAGAGTTTGTGATAATAGGGTGTGGTGTTGGAGGAGCCAAAGGGATGGGGGTTGGGCTGTGGTTAGAGTGGAAGCATGGGATCATCAGCATCAGCATCATCGTCGTCGTCGTCGTCGTCCTTCTTTCTTTCTTTACACCAACTGTCGCTGGTGACCCGGCTTCAGGGGACGTTTAGTTAGCGTCGTTACTAAAGAAGGGACTTGAGACTCTTTAGGTAAAAGTACCACAGTAGAGGGTACCGACGGCGTACCTCTCCACTAAACTTACCGGCAATCATGCTTTTCCCCCCTCCCCAAGGCAGACGTCTCCTGAAAAGGTTCCCTGGGGCTGCCCTAGTTTCCTGCATCGATAACCGTCGCGTCTAGAGCCTTTTAGTGATTATTGCTCGTGCACAAAGCTAGGCAGCCTCCCTGGACACCCGCCTCTGCTCAGGGAGAAAAAGGAGATGAAAGAAAAAAAAGGGACTTGGAGAGAGCATTGGAACCAACTCCGTCTTTCGGTCCCATCCAGCAAGTGTTCCTCTGCGGAGCGTTTAGATCTCCGACGAACGGACAAGTGTCGCTCTTCAAGCATGAAGCTAGGAGTTGAAAATTACAATTGGAGCAATCACTCCACTTCTCTCTTGCCTCTCTATGGGAGCCTCAGGCTATTGTAGTTTCACACCCGGTCCCCGGAAGCTGGGCCATTAATCTTCCTCCAGTCCAGACCTGGCGTTCAAACGGATTGCTCGAGTCTTCAACGGGAAAGTTAGTCGCTTGGCGGCTCTTGGTGGCGTTAACATGGCTCGAAGCCCATCCTGCCGTCGCCGACACCCGATAGAGTACCAGTAATGAGCCGAAAAACCACCGCATGTTTCGGTCCGTATAATGGTCAAGGCGTTGATGTCGATTAGGAAAGCTCATGCGTTCGGAGACCCAGATCGCCACGGAGCATGGGGACTCCTTGGAAGCCATGAATCAAATTGGACGATCGAGGTCGATCAGTAATTTACCAGAATCACGATCCTGGTTGAACAAAGAAAACTTCAGTTGGCCCATTCCATCATCCCAACAACCAGATACCTTTCTGTTTCGCACCTTCCGCTTCTAATTACTGTGCCTCCCCCTCTCGTTCTTTGCCTCAGCAACGTAAATTTTGGATTCGAGACCTGGACTGGGTGTGATGTTCACATCGTCTCAACCTAGAAGGTACTCTGTAATATTGTCAAATGTTGAGACCCAAACCCATAACCCTGGTTTGACCTGTCAAAAACATGGGCTCAAGAATACTCTGAGGTTGTGCTGTAAGGTACTGTAATAGATCCCGTGCCGTCATTGCATTGATCCCTGCCAGCCCGCGCCATTGAGATTGGTTTCTGCTTCTTTCGTCGAAACCAGAAATTTGTGCATTTCCCAGCCATTTTTGACTCGCTTATATGCCCTCAATATTAAAGAAACGGCTCCCAACCGCTCGTCACGTTATTCAATTCAATGCCTCGGAATTATTTCCCTCGAGGGACCGGGTCAAAGCAAACACCAGCCTGGCAGATATCGCCACATATTTCACTCTTCCGATCGTGCAAAAAGCATGTCTGGGGTAGAAGTCAACCCTGCCTGACGGTCATTTCAGTCAGTTCTTGCGAGCAAGAAGAATTTCCTCTGAAGCTAGACACCAGATAAAGCTGTATAGCGGTACCGCATAAAACAACCTTGGTAATAAGAGCGGACCCTGGGGCGTCCACACCGTCGTTAGTGGAGTGATGGTCTGGAGTCGGCTGTGATAGCATGGCCGATTCTGCATGAAGCGAAATCGGACAAGAACCACCTTTCCATTGAGAGGTCAACACGCTCCGCTTATTGTTATTATAATCTGTGGATGCCCCAGATATAGGCAGGGAAGAGTGCAGTATTTGCTTCCGGTGGTTCGTCATGCAGAGCAAACTAATGAGCATTGCGACCCAGGCCGAAATTGCTGCTCAAGCACCATCCTGGTCTCTATCCAGCTGGCATTGTCCGACTCCTAAATTTGGGCATCGAGCACAGAGCTCCTCCCTGCAATGCCAAATGACGGCAAGCCATCATCTGCTGTGTTGAAAAAAAAAAAAATATTTATTCTGCCAGGAATTTTTCCCATCAAAATTCTTTTGGCTCAGAGATGTATCAGGCCACGCTTTAAGGACTTGCGGGAAAGGCATACTCTTTCTCGGCGAATAGTATCCTGACCTATCCGTCCGCTATCAGTGTCGATGTGATTCACGCGCAGCAGTTCCAGGTCACTGGATCAGGTTCGGTGACGATCGTCCTGATCGGGTAATTGAAGCCGGGCAGTAGAAAAAGGTCTCCGTGTAAAAACAAAGGGCGATATATGAACCGCTCTCTAGCGTTAATACCCAATGAAATGTACCGTCGTAATTATTGATCATGAGGGGGAGCCCTTTCGCCATACTGCCTTTCTCCACAAAGCCCACCTATGCCATAAGTTTAGTTTAACTCGTTGATCAAAGGTGCCTATCATACCCATACTCGGGGCCGACGTGGGTTTCCCAATACAAAGACCACGTCTCGTACTATCATAAAGCGGGATCCGGCATGCAGCATCATACGCATTGCATTGCATTGCATTGCAGATCTGAATGAGAGCCCGGCGCTTCCCATCTGCACGAGCTTGAATCTTCAGTCCAAGAAGAGACCCAGAGATGTGGACGCACCTAATTGGCCTTAAAGCTATACTACTTGCCAGATCTGCCCCAAATCCTATAAGCTATAAAGTCCAGCTGCGGCCGATTGATTTGACAATTGGGACATAAATGCATCGCCTGCACGTGCTTTTGCAAGGCAACGTGGGAGGATACCATCGAATTGTATTCGCAGCCAGGGTCGGCCACAAATTATTGTCACACCCCAACTCGTATCCGAGCATGCGACAAGACAGATTTTGCTGCCATTAGATTTTGGATCCGGCAAAAGGGGCAAGCAGCGCAAACCTTAACGACGAGACCTTTCAGCAGCCCGCATCATCCATCGCTCGGTCAATGTTAGTGCCAAAGTGGTTCCTTGGTCCATTGCGGGAACACTTCCTTTAGTTTCGGCTCCGAGTTCAGTTGGTTGTTTGTTGCCAGAGCAAAGTTTAGAGCGGTGCGTGTACCGACTCGACGACATGTCGATCTCGTTCTCGGCACAACTTGCGGGCTGGAGGGCCGGAGGTTGGAAATCGTGGGTCCGCCTATGGAGCCTAGAGAAAATCATAATACGTCGCACCATGATCATTGCCGGTACTCGTAATCTCAGCGTCAATCGAGAGAGCTCGGACAGTTTTGGGCGGCATTATATTGCGGTTGTTCATCGCAGATGCAAAATCCAGACCTAGTTGGTTGGTTGTTCCTTGATTTCGGCGTTAGAGCCGCGCCCGTTGCTCGCCGGCCTCAACGCCAACGTGCGCCGAGGGCATCGCAGTGGGGCGTCGGTAACTGAGTGCTGAATCCAAAGGGCTACAATGCCGTCAGTGCGAGCTTCGTTATTGACCCTTTTTTCCTTGCTATGACGGCTCGGCCACTGATGGTTCCAATGTAATGTACTATAACTCGACATTGATAGTGTTCAAGCAATCGTGATTGGGGTTCCAGTCACTGTCTTTCTCGCCCCAATTGCGATATTCGAATTTGACGCGTATCTTCATTTGACTGAGAAAAGGACTATAATTCTTAGCAGGAGTCGAAGCATAGCTAACAGCAGTAGCTCAGGTGGGATATTCCCGCTGATAACAAGAGGAGAAAACCTTGTGCTCCTCGCGTTTCTCAGATATTCCGCGAAAATTTTGGATGGGCCACCAAAAGCCTCCTCGATGAATCATGCTTTGAGAAACAGCGCAAATTTACCATAGACACGCTACTCGCACCTCTGTCAAGCCATGTAAAAAGCAGAGAGTTTTTCCCAGACGAAGGGCACAATTAGCTTCAAAAATTTTTGGACCCTTGGTGGCGCCGCTCGGCTTCGGGATATTATTACGACGGCGCTGCCCTAATCCGATCCGTGTTGCCATCAAAGGAGACAATTATTCCGAAGCCTAAGAGTCTATGACCCTACTCAAAGAGCATTTTGCTCCACTGCATTAATTCGCATCTATTCTCGGAGCCGTTCCGTACGGAGTATTATTGGTCTCTAAAACAACCCTCCAGTCATGAAGGTCTTCACATCCGTATAGCCCATTAAAAGCGTCCGTCTGAAGTATATAATTTTTCCGCGTCCTGATATTCCAAGCGTTTTGTTCTCGCTGACATTGCCGCTCACCTAGACGATGGCTTGCTACTTCAAGTCGTCGAATTGGTGCCCCCTTTTTCCCGTGCGTTGTGCCCTGGGCCCTTCAGCTGATGACGAGCCGCAAAAAGCTATCCAAGTTAGCTCAGCAATTTAGTTTCTTCAATGCGCACCTCAGTACCCGACAATCTGGATGTAATTATTTATACGTACAGTAGTGGTAGAGGACCATTATGGGTTGTGATTATTGCACCCGACGCAGTAGTACGGAGCAGCTCCGTCGTTTGTACTACCGTATGGATTTATGGGCCTCTTTGGCTGAACCTTGACCCACAACAACCACTTAACCCACTTGACCCGCTGGAGCGGATCGTGCCGCGGAGTGGGACCTTTTTAATTTCCAGCACAGTCGTTAGCAGTAGCACCTAGCTGGTTGGCATCATTATGACTTATCATCAAGTGGCATCTATTTCTAAACCTAAAGGATCATACGTATATTGTAGTTTGCATTCATCGTTAAGCTTGCTGAAATTTGTCTATTTTGGTATTTCAGTCGTTTAACTTGGTTGTAATTGAATCATTTTACATGAGATAACCCTAACCCATAATTCGGAAATTTCCCGGGGGAGAAGAATTGTACAACAAAAAAAAACAGAAAAGAGAGGTAAGATAAGAGGAAAAGTAATGGCGTAGGGTAGTTCAACAAAAACAAAAAGAAAGTCCATACTCTAGTGAAATATTGTATAGGAAGATTTTTGTTTTTGTTAAAAAAAAATCGTAAAAAGATGGAATAAAATAAAAACCTCACATATGAAAATATCATCATAGGGGAAAAAAAAAAATCCTTGACATCAAATGTGCTATGCATTCGTAGCCTCTTCGATAAAATCTATATTTATGTCACATAAGCCCAATGACTTTCGAATATTTGGGGAGGATAATATTCTACATTGTGTGATCTTTGATCATCGATCGATTCCGAAGTGTCTGAAAATGCTTGAGGCACAACAACTGAGAACCTACGAAAGGTCTAGGATAGATCCATTCCGGTATTATCAACACCCATCAGATCCATGCCGCCAAAACCCATCACCACCGACATCGAGCATATCCATAGAGGCACCTGCTCCAGTGAGATCCATGGTATCTGGGCCCGCTCCACTAGCAACACCAGAGACATCGATAGAGCCCATCAGACCAGGTGGAACAGGAATATTTGTGGCCGTTGTACCCTGTCCTGCAGCAGTCATGCCCGAGGGCGCCGCTGTTTGTGCTTCGACGCGGCGGTGTAATCGGACGACTAGCTCGGCGCGAAGAGGGTCTGCCGCAAACGCAGCCTCGGCATCCTCAACTTCAAGCTTGAGGGCATCCCGAAGGGTGAGACGACCCTTGCTTTCGGGAGATAAGGATGTCTTCAGCTCGGCACCATCAGTCGCAGAAGGTGCAGAGACCAGACTGGTTGCAACGTCCATTGCCAGATCTCCACTGCCGTTTTCACTTTGTAGTCGCAGCTCATCAATGATCGCCCGAACGGGAGCCTTTGCACCGAACAATTTGACTGCCACGAGAAGTTGGCGATGAGTGTAGCTTGGAGGGGTCATGTTGATCTCAGCAGTGGAGGACCACAACACCAGCGACTGAAAGGTGTTGCGAATGCTTGCAAGAAGCCCACCGCTCTGAGGTCCCATCCATTGCTCGTACTCGGTATGGTAACTGTCGACTGTGCGCTTGAAAGAGAGGTGCGGTTTCAATAGATCTAGAAGTGGGTCAATGTCTTGCCTGGGCGAGCCAAGTCGGCGGAACTCTCGAAGTGAATGTTCTAGTGGTTTTGCCACAATGGACAAAATAGTGTTGTGCATCGCCCGTGCGTCGCCAGATATGGAGCTAGGGCGAAGCAATGTATGCAGCATCTGCATCAGGATATTGATATCGTCTCCAGATTCCCAGAGACGGTCCGCCAGCCAAGTAATAGCGCCTACGAGGGAAGGAAGTAAGAAGGTCTCCAATAAATCTAAAGAAAAAAAGTATTAGTAAATGCATGCCTTTGAAGCTTTTGTTGGAAATGACACACATTCCAGACCGCCTTTAACGGTCTCTATGTCCAGAACTTCAAGCTTGCAGGCTGCTAAGCTTTGCTGGAAAAGAGTAGGTACAAGGAAATAAAATTCCTGCGGCCGGCAAGCAGACATGAGTTCATCACTGATACCCTCGGCATCAAATAGCCCACGAATCCAGCCGCCAAGGTAGTTCTTTTGCTCTTCTGTCAAGTCCTCCATTCGTTGGCCCAGTGATCGTTTGTTGAGAAGGCGAGCGATAAAGGAATCAGGGTTGGTGGCTCCAACCTCCGCGGCAGTAAGGTCATATCGATGAACAAAGGCCAGCACAAGGAGAAGGACACATCCAAATTCATCGTAGACTGGTTGATACTCGCCTGCAATAAGGTCAATGCTCCATCAATCCAAATATATCTTGAAAGGAAGAAAGACAAAGGTAGAGGACGAACCTTGGTCCTCTTCAAATCTCCATTCGTCGAGAAGCTGGCACACTGGCTGAAGGAGATGAGATGGATTATTGAAAAGTAGCAATACATCTAGAGACAATGGCCTTTTCGATAACGAGCTGCAAATTGATTTGAGCGACATGGTCTCCTTGGAAGCACATAGATTATGGATGATCTGAATAAAATCATTAGTATCTTGAATTTGAAAGATATATTGAGGCCCGCTTACATCTGTTATAGCACTGACAATCGCTCCGGCGTTCCCATCCATTCCTTCAATCTCGCCAAGCAATTCTTCGATCTTTTCTGAGTTTGTAGAACATTGTTGTACAAGGTCTTCTTTAACATATCTTCCTCCAGAGGGTAAAGTTTGCATGGGGATTTCTCCCAGAAGACTTTCGATGCTCTCCTCTGGAATTAGTTGATGCAATGCGCAAGCAAACAGAAACTCCTGCCGAACATCCGAGAGCATACCGCTCCCGCTAAGAGGATCAAACATTTGGGAAAATGACGGAAAAGCATTGGGGTCGACGTGATTTAAAGCTTGGGTGATGCAAAACTCTGCGGTAAGGGGAGGAAACATTGACCCGGCCAGTATTGCGACCAGGACGGGTATCTTGTTTACTAGAAATGATCGGAAAAGAAACATGGTCTGGCTAGTCTCATTGCGATACATGGCATTGGACAAGACGTCAAAGGAAGCGGTGATCAACTCGATCGTAAGGCTGGAAACATCCGCCTTAAGTCAATATCAGCAACCAAAGCAGTATTTGGTATAGATTCAGACCATACCTTGTAACGGGCGTGCAAATAATTAAGAAACGCAGTATCATCTACCAAAGGTCGTCCTACAAGCTACGTCCATCAGTAAAGATTATAAAAAGGGAGCTGTCACGGCCATACCACAGCATTGAGGTAAATATAGAGTCCTGCTCTCGAGTTGACGACCGGGCCGTCAATCACATCGGCCATGCTCTGAAGTTGCAAGCTGCCGCCAAGACCACTCATGACGCCGCCATCAAGTGATTTGAACGCGTTATCGGACACACTGATCAATTTATGAAATGCGTCGAGTCGATTTGCAATCTGAAGAGCTGTCTGGGAAAGAAACGGCACAAACATGGATAGCGAATGGATGAAAGCCTTCTTCAAGTCTGCCTTTCAGTGAGCGAGGGATCTCTACTAGGATTGTGTAGCTATTTGAATGGTAAAAAGCAGTCATTGAACGGAATAGTCGCGAGGCATAGCTACGAGATGCACAGCTTATGAGGCTCAATCCATAACTTTTGTGCTTGGGCGCAGAGGTATCTTTGCAACTTACCTTTGGGACACGAGTCATTGATAGTCTCTATGAACGGCAGATTCTCAGTGAGAGCTAGGACAAGAGTCCCAAGCGCTCCTCTGAGAGCAACAGTTTCTGGATCGACCTGCCTTGCAGTGCCATCCATATCCTGCATCATCTCGTCCCGGGTCCCTGAGGAGACCATTGCGGACATCCATTGTGCCAGTATCTTGAGGGTTCCCAAAGCCTCTGATTTGCTCTTCGGACTCTGCTGTATGCTGATAGCTCTCGCTATCCTGTACATTAACGTCTCCTCCACCTCGGCGGAATTGTACCACTTCTCTGCCGGCTCCCCAACATTTCGAGAGTCTTCTATCGCTTCGTGTGCATGATGGAAACGGGAAAACTTGAGCAAGGCCCTCAGAGCATCAGCCGTATTGATCCTATCTCGGTCTAGGAGCTGTTCCACGTAAGGTAATAGCAGCGGATCAGCCCGTAGCGAAGCCGGAGAGCGCGGCTTTAGAAAAATGTCAGCAACTTTGGACCCCGACAATGGCGTCCTATGATGCAGAGCCGTCGAGAGCGTCGCAAACTTATCGGGCCGGATTCGTGCGTCCAGGCTTCGGTCCAAAAACCTTGTCCATTCAGTGTCCGACGACATTGCACATGACGAGCTCCTAGCTAAGGCTTTCTTTCGAGAGCTTGAATTGGCAGCTCTCTTTCGAGCAGCTCACGAGCAACCAATCGAGGCGCCAACACAAGGCCACGGAGAAAGACGAGAGCGCCTTTGCTCAAAACGACGTCGTGTATGAAGCAAAGATGGCCTGATCTTTGCTTACTCGCAACTCGCGTGGAATCCTAGAAATGTGAGATGGGCGTCTGGGATGGTCGAGCGGGAGGCGGGTGCTTGGACCGGGCGAGACCGCGCTTGACTGAATTGGGCGGAAACGCTTGGATTCTCGAGTGGCCCTCAACAGTAAGCCACACATGGCAATGTCTTGGATCTGGGGTCAATGCCGACCTTACAGCACAGCAACTATTGAGCCAGGTGTGTAATGCTGGCTTCCTGTGCCCCTCACTAAGTTACGCCCATTCTCTCTATACGCTGCCTGGAACAAACAAAAGCCCCTCCAGAATTAAACCCCGGCTGTTGTATCTTAAGGAACGGGTAACCCCCTTCATAATGTTCAAGGCTTACGTGCCCTTTTTGCACACTGCATAAGGCTCGTCTACGATTGCCGGATCAGCATGCAGCATCTAAACGAGAGGATCCAGATGAGTCTAAATTCGTTTAACAAATAACGGCCAGGTTTCAGAATGTAAAAAAGAAATAATGGGAAACAGAAAAAAATTTCAAAGGCTGTATTGTGATGCCATACTCCATCCGCCCGACCTGCCCTTTCTGACTTGAGGCTGTAAAATTTCGCCAAATTGCAGAACGGTGCACATACACATGGGATCACTCGCATGAAGCCATCCCACTGGCACGCCAACTCCTGCATCGCGGCTCCCGCGAGAGGAACAAGGAAGCGAAGAAGAAAAGAGGAGGGTAAAAGGAAAATTAATTAAAGGAGAGGCAGAGGTGTTTCGGTGCGGTCTGGGTTTCAGTCAGGCACATCAAGTGATACGCCCCATGCGCCGAACTCCGTCCTTGCAATGGATGCCCCCAGCAGAATGATGAGAACCCTGCGCCCATAGTAAACGCCTCTGCTTTCTTAACGTATTATTGCTGACTGTTTTGTGTTGTCGTCGGATGACGCCTGCGCCATTCGCCGGTGATACCCTAGTTTGGATTGGAGCTCGCCTCGGCTATCACTTCGGGCGCTCTCGATCCGACCATCCAATCCTCCATGGCGAGCCATTCGCTCCAAGTCTTCTCGGCCGCTTCGATTTCGGGGTCCAGCGCTCCCTGCAGTGGACGAAGGAAAGGCACGCTCTCGTGAGGGCTGATGTCGTAGTCCCTCTTCACCGACGCCCACCCACCGCTTTTAGCTGCAAAGAGATAGTTGCGGCGTTCTTGCTCATGCATCGGTCCCACTCCCTTGGCCCAGTCGTCGCCAAAGAAGCCATGGAGAACACCAGGGTAGTCGAATCCGGTGGCGACCAAGCGTCGAATGTAGGGAATTAAGGAGACCCAATGCGCCGGTTGGGCCCGCGCTCCTGGAAACGCGGATCCGGCCCGATTTTGCGGAGTCCAACTAAAAGAAACGCCGGCATGGGAAGATGTAGTTGACGAATAATTGGTGACAGGGACCTCTCGCTGGAATGGTAGGCTGATATTTAGGAAGGCGGCAACCGCCTGGACTGGCCCACTGTGTTGAGCATGGTCGAGAAAATAACGCTGGCAGCTTTGGTAACTTGGATACCATTCGAAGATGTCAATGTGCGGCCCTTCAGCTCTATTCGCACTCCGCGGGTCTGGACTCGTGAAACCGGAGAAAGCAGCGTGTGCAAATGGATTGTGGGCTGCGCCGTCGAGCCCGAGCCCAGTTGGAAATGCCATGACTCCCTAGAAATGATTCAAGTTCATCAGTACGTAGACGGATCAAAAGCGTGCGGCTCAAAGCCTACCAACACTTTTGGTTCTCAACCCCCGCCGAATTGCAGAGTTTTGTAGCGGGCTCGATGGGCGCGCCGAGTGAGGCCAAGATGCCCAGATTTGTCTTGCGGATTCCAAGACTCCGCGGGATCTAGACAAGATAGTGTGACTATGGAAGAGGGATTTGAATTTAAATTTTGTCTTTTTGTCTCCGTTCCTTCTTAGGCACTCCGCTCGTGCACCATGACGGCGCGGATATGAAGCTCTTATAGAAGTCGTTTCGGAGAGGTTCGGTGGAGAGGATGCTAGCTAGTCCCTGGTAGGTGCCAAGGTTCTGCTCTTTCTCAATTTTTTCTCGCGCCCTCTCTCTCTCCGTCACTCCTCTCGCGAATAGTCAGGGACGAGCTGAGACTCGGCCGTAAAGTTTCCTTCCAAGGGTCGGATGTCGGCCGCCGTCGCAATCCATATCCATCATTTAGGCAAGGCTTGACATCGGGGCAACAAGGTTCGTGGGACCATGGCGGGGGGACCGTCGTTGGCGCCATGGCGCAATGGGAATCTCATGTAGTCATTGACTTCCAATAGGAGTGCACATCCGGGATGTCAAGGAGATAGGTGTGTCCGGCGGTCGATGTGCGCTCAATGTGGGTAACCTGATTGGCACTGGCCCATTTCTGATTCTAATTACTTGAGAGATATGGATTTTACTTTGTCGCAAGCGACGCATGGCTCACAGCAGGAGCAACGAGGAGAGGTGAGGGAAGCAAAATAATTGCTCATATGGGTTTGATGAATCTTACGCTATGAGAGTTGGTAACGGACCAATTGATGGGCGTTTTGGGCAACTCTGTAGGAGACTAGATAGAGACTTTACTACATCGTCGACAATTAGAATAGAATTGGGGCTTCAGGGCCCCAAGACCGCTCCGATTCCTCGGTCGGGGCCATGCGATCGTCCCAGCGGACCGACAACCCCGGCTCACTCAAGCATTCCATCCAGGGGGGGGTTCCTCTTTCAGCCAGCCACGGCGTGCATCGCATACGTTCCTGCGGTCGCAGCCAGTCATGAGACATGGAAGCACGTCTGTCGCGCATAGCTGTACAAGGCGTTGTGCTTTTATTTTTTTTTTTATACAACGATCTGAATGATGGTAATGCAAAGGCATCCAGTGCTCGCCTCATCCATTCTACGGGACGGATAAAGTGCGCATGCGGCTGACGGAGAGAATGGTGTGTGGTGGGGGCAGGCCTGCACCTGGGGGGGGGTTTGAACCGGGAAGGGGTTGAGCGACACGACAAAGATTAGCTAGCATACAGTAGTAACAGTCATTATATTACTGGTATTATTGCAGAGAGATATTGACTCGATCCGAGGAGCCAGTCGATCCCTTTTTTTTTCTCTCTCTTCCTTACTACTCTATCACTCTGACAAGCCTTCAGGCTGTAGAGGCCAACAGGCGTGTCGACAAATGACAGTGCCAAGCAAGCGAAGCAAGCGAAGCAAGCGAAGCAAGCGAGGCCAGCATGATTCGTAGTCGGGTAGACCTGGTATGAGTAGCAGGAGTCGTAGTCTAGTAGGAGCATCAATTCCCCCACGGGTCGCCTATTACGATGGTAGTTATTCCTTTAGCACAGAAAACAAGCACCAAGTGCAGGCGAGATCGGGTCGCAGTCGTGGATCTCTTACGTAGCGTTCTTACCTCATATGTCCATCGCTGACCCCAAGTAATAATGCATGATTAGGAGATGCGCACTAACCTACTGACAGCTCTTTTTTCGTTGCCAAATGTGGTTTATCCCACAGGATATACAGTTAGTTGTGCAGCTCTGTTGAAGGCACCAGGCGATCGGCCCCTGAGACGGCACCTCCGTGGCGCTGCTTCCGCACCCGAAGTAGTGGGTCATGATCCTGCCGGTCAACACTGGGTTGCCCACAGCCGTGCACATGGGTAGCACTTCTCCTCTTTCCCCTCCTCCATCTCCATCCACCTCGCACCTCCCAAGGCTCCTTCCACCGACATGGCATCGGCGGCTTTTTGCATCCGCTGGAACGTGATGCCTCCTCCCATGGCGCACGAGCCATGGGAATAATTCCAAATATGCAAAGGACAGGGCGCCATGGGAGCACGAGAAGCAGCCGGCCTACGTCAAGAGACCCGGCGACCTCAGGCTTGGGACGAGGCAGACCCCGTAAGACTCGACCGACAGGAGCCACCTGCCAGCGCCTTTTCCTCCTTCTCCTCTCCCTCGTCCTCCTCCTCCTTGGTGATCCCCAGACTTTTTGCTCAGGCTAAACCCTTCATTAGCAAGAGGTCTAGACGTGGCTATTTTGATTACCCCCCCTTTTACACCCCTTTCATCCCCCCGGGAAGCTTTCTTTGTACGTAGTCAAGACAAGGACCAGCATCCATATTCAACTGCCCCCCCATGTCATTATTGAAGCGGAAGTCGCCAATTTCCTCTTTGATGATGTTGACGATCTCCTCAATTAGGACATGCTATTGCAGAGGATAGCATGGAATAGCGCCGGTTTATTTAGGACCGTACGAACCGTAATAACAAACATTCATGGATGTTCAGGTGAAATATAGTGGTTAGCTCTACTCCGGAGTAGGATTTAATTTACTTCAGCACCATTTTAGACTTTGGCTATAGCTTCAGGGACCGGACGGCTTTGCCAAACCCGTGCCTGACTGTTTTATGCTTACCTTTGCTCGAGATCCTGCTCATTTCATTACTTGACTTCTTTCGGCGACTCCGAATATTACCCGCCTTGGCGAGGCAAGGACTGCGGACAGGCAAAAGATGACTAAAGACGGCGAAATTTTCGGCCCGGCAGACACCGAGCATCGACGTAATTGCTCGTTCCCCATAGCACCATGGATCTCTACGTAATAGTGATCCTAGCTACTCCGTAGGTCAGTTATAGGTTGTAGAACGCTGTCTGAATCGAGAAATTACTCTCAAAAAGAGGTTCTCACCAAGTCAATTCAATAAAATATATCATTTCATTCTATCATTTTAGCTCCACAGAACTGAGCAAAACATTGTCTGCAAAGGACCACTAGTATCACCATGGCCCAGAAAACATTCTCACTTGCAAGTCGTGTCAAGGTGCGGTCTATAGACCCCCGTGCCAATGATCAAGAGTTGACCAGGATTTTCTTTTTAGTTGAACAATGGACTGTCTATGCCACGCATCCACCTTGGTGTGTACATGACAGAAGGGAGTGAGACCAAGGATGCAGTTAGATGGGCCCTCGAGGTGTGTTGAGAATTGTGGTCGAACGGCTTACCTGAGTTTGTGCTGACTTTCTCGTAGGCTGGCTATCGCGGGTACAAGCATAATCTCTCTTCGCAGCGAAACGTGGATGGTGGCTAACAAATGGTGTGCTTGCAGCTTTGATTCGGCTCAGATGTACTACAATGAGGCTGAGGTGGGCAGCGCTATCAATGGTTTTCTGTCCAGTAGGGCGAATACCGAGTCCTTGAAACGGGAGGATATTCATTTTACCACCAAATTGTCATCCAATACGAGTTACGATCAGGCGCGAAAAGCCATCAAGTCGTCTCTCAAAAAGAGCGGATTGGGGTATATTGATCTCTTCCTCCTGCACAGCCCTTACGGCGGCACGCAGAAACGGCTTGATTGTTGGCGCGCTGTTGAGGATGCCATTGAGGATGGAGAAGTCCGCATTGGTGGCGTCAGTAACTTTGGTGTGAGACATGTGCGTAAATCATACCCTATTTATTTTCATTGCTCAAGAATGCTTATCGTTCAATCAGATTCAAGAATTGATCGACTCAAAGCCCAAAATCCTTCCCGCTGTCAATCAGATTGAGATCCACCCCTTCAACACGCGGACGGACATCGCGAGCCTTTGCGCTCAACATGACATTGTGGTTGAGGCGTATGCACCCCTCGCTCGTGCAACCAGAATGAAGCACCCAACCATTGTTTCGGTGTCCAAGAAGTATGGTTGCACACCAGCACAGCTGTTTGTTCGATGGAGCTTGCAGCATGATTATGTGCCACTTCCGAAGAGCTCTACCAAGGAGCGGATCATTGCCAATGCCGACATTGGAGGATTCGAAATTAGCGCAGATGATATGAAGACCCTGGATGGTCTGGACGAATATCTTGTCACCGGTAAGCTTTCCCATCTATTCTCTTGGTCGTGATCTATGTCGCTGACTTTTCTCCTCCTCTTAGACTGGGATCCGACCGACTGCGCGTAAAGCCATAATTCTGCCGTTTCCTAGCTTATGATTACTTTTATGATGATAGATTGATGAATGTATATATCTACAGAAAATTCGAATACAGTATTTGAACAAGATTCACTGAGACATCTACTTAATGGCAAACAAGGTCGAATGAGGATGTTACGTGGGCAGTGTATCTATTCCTTCTCTCACAGTACGGTTCATTGTATACTTACGGTAAGCACATAGCCCGAGTTTGTGAGTCAGTGATCTTCGTCTATAAACGTTGTCTACCATTTCCCCTCGGACCGTTCTAGTACACTTTCCGAAGAAGCATTCATCGACAAGTGAGGAATGACTGTATCCTACGTGGTGATGCGCACATGAGACCGGCTCAGCGGGATTGGTCCCTATTTCCGCAGCTAGTTCCGTCCTCCCCGACGAAAGACCAAAGACCCTCGGTTTCCAAAGATACCAATGGAGATCGGACGAAGAGTACTAAAAGCCATCAACAGTGATAGTCGGAATCCAATTCATTTTGCCCAAAGAGAAAATGACGTTTGATACGTCCTTTTTGAGACGAATCAGAAAGCCGACCTTCACAAATTTCTCCCCAAAAAAGGGAAATAAATGCTGTTGGACGCCTTAGAGTCATCTTTTGAGAAATTGTATGTAGTTTCCTGGAGGAAACGGAAAAATTTGAGGAAGCAAATGTAATGCTAATGGGAGGCCACACCTGGTTGATACAAAAGTATACCTGCACGAAAATATTGAACATTTTGCCAAACTCATCCTGGCCAAGGGAAAAAGGAACTTAAGTCCCTTGGGTGCAGAGGTTTGAAGGACATCTTCAATTACGAAAAGGCCATCAATGAGTATCCTCCGGCTCCGTGAAGTGGGTTTATGTCTTCTGAGGGTCGCTAGTTGAATGTTTCTGGGGCTAGACAAATAAATTCCTGGAGGGCTAGGAACCTGGGTCAATTGGCACCACAATCATGCATGCTAAACAGAAGGCTCCTAGAATTGCGCTATGGGACGTCAATCTTACAGATTGCTCAAGGGGAAAAAAATATGGGGGTCAGGACTTAAATGGCCAATTCAGACGAAAATCACATGCTAGCACCCATGTGAGTGAAATTGCCAATATTGCTTGAAGTTTCTAGTTAAAAGCCTCCGTTGAGCAACAAGCAAAGTGGAGCTGGGAAAGGAAGAATTCGCTTCAGGTATTTGTACGAATGAACACCTTTAAGAAATAAAACACATAAAAAATTTGCTGAAAAATGGATCCTCGCAGTTGTCGCTGGACATGCTCATTTAAGGAGTACATGTTGCTTTGCGTGCCTCCGCGGCCGGCGTGTAGACGACTCACTTGCAAGAGGCAATCGAAACAAGAAATGAAGGAGCTAGCATGATAAGAACATCCGAAGCCGCTCAGGAGCCAGAAATGACTTTTAAGGATTTGACTAAGAGTTATCTGATCTAGCTAGCAATAGAACCTTCACTTCGTGCCAAATGACTCCAGATATCGGAGGTCGAATGAGTCGACACACGCGGCGTACTGAGATGTTTTCTCGAGAAAATTCGGCCGGTTATCGGCGCCCTTTACCCCACGCCCTTCTAGTGTCAAAGATGCATATCTAAACTCGGTTTAGCGAGGGGTACTTTACGAATTTGTTTCACAGATGACTTGTTGATCGATTGTTTCTTATCAACCGCTGCCGGAGATGTGCCAGACGGCACCTCCCCGCCCAAGGGCATAATCCTCCTACTCGGTAGCTAACCCATTCGTCATGCAATACTGATGGGGTCTCGGTCAGGACCCTCTAGGTCCAGGCGCAACCACGCCATGCACATCCGTGATGGTTTCTCCGGTGGAGATGTTTGCTTTGCACACCAATTTCTTTTGCGTATAAATTGCCCCCCTCCCAAAATTTTCTCCACCCAAAAAAAACTGCTTTGCTCCCACTGTGCGGTGACATTATCATAAGCCCATTCCTCTGTGTCTCTTTTTGCGTGAACTAGATTCTACCTTTCAATATGTCCAACCTTCCTTCTGAGCCTGAGTTTGAGCAGGCATACAAGGGTAAGAGACGACCAAAGCCAACAGCATCACCCGCTCCTCCAACGTTTTGTCGCTGACCTATTTGACTTTGTAAAGAACTTGCGTCCACCATCGAGAGCTCCTCTCTCTTCAAGAAGAACCCCGAGTACCGTACCGCACTCGCCGTCGTTTCCGTCCCAGAGCGTGTCATTCAATTTAGAGTCGTCTGGGAGGACGACCAAGGCAAGGTCCAAATCAACCGGGGATACCGTGTGCAGTTCAACTCGGCCCTTGGTCCCTACAAAGGTGGACTCCGTTTCCACCCTACCGTCAACCTCTCGATTCTGAAATTCTTGGGATTCGAGCAAATCTTCAAGAATGCCCTCACCGGATGTAAGTTCAGAAATCTTCATGTCTGGCCTGGAGCGATGGAAATGCTTCCGTTCAATGATATGCAATTGCTAACAATGCTTTCGTCCATTAGTGAACATTGGAGGTGGAAAGGGAGGTGCTGATTTCGACCCCAAGGGCAAGTCAGACAATGAGATCCGTAGATTCTGTGTCTCTTTCATGCGCGAACTCAGCAAGCACATTGGTGCCGACACCGACGTTCCAGCTGGTGATATCGGAGTAACTGGACGTGAGATTGGATACCTCTTCGGTGCCTACCGTGCCCAGCGCAACCTCTGGGAGGGTGTGTTGACTGGCAAAGGCGGCTCTTGGGGAGGAAGCTTGATCCGTCCTGAGGCAACCGGCTATGGTGTCATCTACGTAAGTTCCTTCAATTTGCTGACATTGTCTATGGCCCCTGCTAATAGAAGTGGTAGTATGTCGACCATATGATTTCTTATGCTTCTGGCGGTAAAGAGTCTTTCAAGGGCAAGAGAGTCGCCATCTCTGGCTCCGGAAACGTTGCTCAGTATGCTGCTCTCAAGGCTATTGAGCTCGGCGCTACAATCCTTTCGCTCTCAGACAGCAAGGGTGCACTCATCTCTGCCGATGGCAAGGGCTTCTCTCCTGCCGACATTGCACTTATTGCCCAGGTTAAGGTTGAGCGTAAGCAGTTGACCGAGATCACTAGCCAAGACGCTTTCAAGGGCAAGTTCAAGTATATTCCTGGTGCCCGGCCATGGATCCACGTCGGCCAGGTCGATGTTGCCCTTCCCTGCGCTACGCAAAACGAAGTGTCGGGCGAGGAAGCCGAAGCTCTGATTAAGGCCGGCGCAAAGTTCATTGCGGAGGGTTCTAACATGGGTTGTTCGCAAGCGGCTATTGACGCTTTCGAGGGCCACCGTAAGGGCAACCAGGCCCAAGGTGTCTGGTACGGTCCTGGTACGTATTCAGCTCCCAACGTCCGGTTTCTAATTTGCATGTGTTAACTATTTCGTACAGGCAAGGCAGCCAACTGCGGCGGTGTCGCTGTTTCTGGCCTCGAGATGGCTCAGAACTCTCAGCGTATCTCCTGGACTGCAGAGGAAGTTGATAACAAGCTCAAGGATATCATGGAAGCTTGCTTCAAGAACGGTCTTGAGACCGCCAAGGAATACTGCGAACCCGCTGAAGGCGAGCTTCCCAGCTTGGTCGCTGGAAGCAACATTGCCGGATTCAAGAAGGTTGCGGCCGCCATGCACGACCAGGGAGACTGGTGGTAAATGGTGATGGACCGATGCCTGTAAGGCACCTGGTTTCAATCATCTTTGTGAATGAAGTAAGGTGTGGCCCTTGCATTCAACGTTGAGCTGCGTCCCTCGCGCCACCGCACCCCACTTCGTATAACGATGTTTACTTTCGCTTGCTTAATTGAGCGGGTTCATGTTTTAACGACTTCCATTTCACGTATTCTACAGCGGAGTTTAGAAAAAATATTTAGAATTTTAGATTTTAACACATTACTATTGAGAAACTTCACCGTGATAGATCAGTGCGCAATGGGCATAGGATTATGATCGGTAATAATGATGACTTTAACGTTTTACCTATACACAGTGGAAGGAAGATTTTTTTTTTTTCCTTTCAGGCTTGTCCCATCTGCGAGGGGATCAGCACTCCTTGCTTGGTCTGAAAAGGACCCTGGCTTTTTCAAAGGGAATTGCGAGTGCTGAGCCTTATCTGATTCACTGCAGTATCGTGTCAAAGGAACCCCACGGAGATAAACCAATACTCCGGGGCATGCAATTGATGGCAGGGTTGGGGCTCCGCGAAAAATTGGTCTTTTTCCCAGCTTCAACGATCAGATAAGGGAGAGATACTTTGCGGAGGGACAAACGACAATGAATGATCAGGCAATGTTGGAAGTGGATCGCGCAAAGTCGAGTGTTTCTGAACGCGACACGCGAGCTCGTGGCTAGCGGGTAAACAAAGGACCATAGCTAGGACTTATAGAATCCCGTTTCTGCCGCCGTTGCACGATCCGGTCCACCAGGAGAACGCTCAATAGGATGCTGTGTGGTCGGCGTAGGGAGTCTGAAAACAAGATCGTCCGCGCTCAAGAAATTTTTAATTCGTCGGATCAGAGAGCAAGCAGGGACTGGGGCCAAGGAAAACTGGGCACATTCAGCCAATTTGAGGAAGGCGTGCTGAGAGCCACCTTCCTATCAGGCACCGAGGTCGGTCGGTACCCTCACGTGATCACGCTCCCCCTTGTCTGTCGCGCCACGTCGGTACCTTGCTCTGCACATTAAATGGGTACGCGTAAAAGTACCGTGGTCGTGTCAAGTCCTCCACCTTAATAATGGGGAACGTCACGATATGCAAATTAAACGCGCTAAAAGCACCGTGTTCCTCTCGTTCTCCTGCACGTCGCGTCCTCCAGCAACAGTCACTCGTCTCTCTTTTAAAGCTTCTGTTTTCCTTCTCTCTTCGTCTCTTCCTTCATCATCTCTGCATCTCTTTCATTGAGTTCCCTGAAGGTTTGTCGATTGATGCGGGCTTTCATCACGACAGCTTCTTTAACAATCGTCTACTCTTCAACCCTCTGATTGAGTATTAAGAATTGATCCCCGCCATAACCCATCTCGTCGTCTTTGAAAGGACTTTTACAGACGCGTCCTTTGGTGAAGGACTTTGACGAAGATGTTCGTCTACAAGCGCGGTGAGTAGCATCTCTACCCAATACATCCTCGAGGATGCTCCAATGCACTTGCATCACTGCCTCTGCTCAGTCTCTGGTGCTCGCCATTGACACTCGATGGCGAATCACGCATCTCACGCGAATATACACGCAACGCGTCTCTTCAGCAGACAAAGTCATACTAATATGCTTTCCTCTTTTAGATGGCCGCAAGGAGCGCGTCCAGTTTGACAAGATCACTGCTCGTGTCTCTCGTTTATGTTACGGCCTCGACGGTGACCATGTTGACCCTGCTGCCATTACCCAGAAGGTCATTTCGGGTGTGTATCAGGGTGTCACAACGGTTGAGCTTGACAACTTGGTAAGCATTCATATCATCAATTGGTTGATAACCACTTGTATAGATCTCTTTTTTGCTGACAACGCTGCGTTTTACAGGCCGCCGAGACTGCTGCATACATGACCGTCACACATCCCGACTATGCTATTCTTGCCGCTCGTATTGCCGTTTCGAATCTTCACAAGCAGACCAAGAAGCAATTCTCTGCAGTGATCTCAGATCTTTATCACTATATCAACCCAAAGACCAAGAAACACTCCCCGATGATCTCGGATGCCACATACCAAACAATTATGAAACATGCGGACGAGTTAAATTCGGCCATTGTTTATGACAGAGACTTCAACTACCAATACTTTGGCTTCAAGACTCTTGAGCGGTCCTATCTCTTGAAGATTGACAAGCGGATTGCTGAGCGCCCGCAGCACATGATTATGCGTGTCGCTGTTGGAATTCACGGTGAGGACATTGAGAAGGCTATCGAGACTTACCACCTCATGTCCAACCGTTATTTCACTCATGGCTCTCCGACCTTGTTCAATGCTGGTACGCCTCAGGCCCAGCTTGCCTCTTGCTTCCTCGTTGATATGAAGGAGGACAGCATTGAAGGTATCTACGACACCCTCAAGACTTGCGCCATGATCTCCAAGAATGCCGGAGGAATTGGATTGAACATTCATCGCATCCGTGCAACCAACTCCTACATTGGCGGTACCAATGGTAGCTCCAATGGCATTGTCCCCATGCTTCGCGTGTACAACAACACTGCCCGCTACGTCGACCAGGGTGGTAACAAGAGACCAGGTGCCTTTGCCATCTACCTTGAGCCGTGGCACGCTGATGTCTTTGAGTTTTTGGACCTCCGCAAGAACCACGGCAAGGAGGAAGTCCGCGCCCGTGACCTCTTCTACGCTCTGTGGACCCCTGATCTTTTCATGAAGCGTGTCGAGAAGAACGGCGAATGGACTCTTTTCTGCCCGCACGAGGCCCCTGGTCTCGCGGATGTGTATGGTGACGAGTTTGAAGAGCTCTATGAAAGGTATTTCTTCCTCATTGCATTCGTTCTCTAGGAGCGTCGAACTGACCATCGATTCAGATATGAGCGCGAAGGCCGCGGCCGCAAGACGATCAAGGCTCAGAAGCTTTGGTATGCCATTCTCGAGGCTCAAACCGAGACTGGCAACCCATTCATGCTCTACAAGGATGCTTGCAACCGCAAGAGCAACCAAAAGAACCTGGGCACCATTCGCAGCTCCAACCTTTGCACTGAAATTATCGAGTACAGTGCCCCCGATGAGGTTGCTGTCTGCAACCTTGCATCAATGGCTCTTCCGACTTTCGTTGACATTGTCAATGGCGAGTACAACTTTGCCAAGCTTCACGAGGTTACCCAGGTTGTTGTGCGTAACCTGAACAAGGTCATTGACGTCAACCACTACCCCGTTGAGGAGGCCAAGCGCAGCAATCTTCGTCACAGACCGATTGCCCTCGGTGTCCAGGGTCTTGCCGATGCTTTCCTTGCCCTGCGCATTCCCTTCGACTCGCCCGAGGCTAGAAAATTGAACACTCAGATCTTCGAGACCATGTATCACGCCGCCCTCACCGCTTCTTGCAGGCTTGCTCAGGAGGAGGGTCCTTACTCCTCCTACGAAGGCTCGCCCGTGTCTCAGGGCACCCTTCAGTATGACATGTGGGGAGTTACGCCCACTGATCTTTGGGATTGGAGTGCTTTGAAGGCGGAGATTGCAAAGCACGGCATTCGCAACAGTCTGCTGGTTGCTCCTATGCCGACTGCTAGCACCAGTCAGATTCTTGGCTTCAACGAGTGCTTCGAGCCTTACACTTCCAACATTTACTCCCGACGTGTGCTTGCTGGAGAGTTCCAAGTTGTCAACCCCTGGCTCCTGAGGGATCTGGTTGACATGGGTCTTTGGTCGGATCACATGAAGAACCGTATCATTGCTGACGGTGGCTCCATCCAAAACATTGCCAGCATCCCCGCAGACCTCAAGGCTCTTTACAAGACCGTCTGGGAAATCTCTCAGCGCACCATTGTGCAAATGGCTGCGGACCGTGGTGCTTTCATTGACCAGTCCCAGTCGCTGAACATTCACATGAAGGAGCCTACCATGGGCAAGATCACTAGCATGCACTTTGCCGGCTGGAAACTTGGTCTCAAGACCGGCATGTACTACCTCCGTACCATGGCGGCCGCTGCGCCCATTCAGTTCACCGTCGACCAGGAGCAACTGAAGGTGGATGACATGGCTGTGGCTCAGAATGCCAAGCCTAAGAAGAGAGGCACCCCCTTTGGCAACTACTCTTCGACTGCTCAGCATGCCATTCCTCGCCCAATGTACATGTCAAAGCCGACGAGGGAGTCTCCTGACCGGAGCCCCTCCACGACACCCCCACCCATGCCTCAGTCAAAGATGGTTCCTCCGTCCCCGCACAAGGATGCCATCACCGCCCCTCCATTCAAGGCTGATCTCGAGGAGGGTGACAGTCCCCGCCTTTTGAGCGCTGACCCTTTTGGTATGCCTGAGAAGGATGAGTCGCTTCCCGACCCGGCCATTAAGCAGGCGAGGAAGCAGGAGGAAGATAAGGAGGATGACAGCAACGGTCGTGAGGGAGACATTTATTCCGACAAGGTTTTGCAATGTAAGTCTTTTGCCCCGGAACTGTCATGAAGCTCTTTTGATAAATTACTTACAATTATAATAGGCAGCATTGAGAACAAGGATGCATGCGTCATGTGCAGTGGTTAGAAGCGATCATTTGAGCGGCATTCTGTAATTGCCTTTTTTTTTTTCCTTTTATTCCATTCTTTTTTTCTAGGATTCTTTTATTCATTGGCGGATGGGTGGTTTTCTGGCGCTTTGGATTCGATTCCATTTTCTTAATCACGGTTCAAGCATTTTTCTTTTAAGTTTTCCTAGTCATGACTGATTACTCCTATTCCCACTCATCATTTGTATTTTAGCCTAGTTTCCACTTTTCCTTTTCTCCACTTACTCCGCATGGACTACTTTCATTTCTTAGAATAAAATTGTAGACAGCGGCATGGTAATTTCAAACTCCTTTATTCATACTATTCTTTCCTGATCTTGTTATCTTGTGTTGTTGTGATCTCCTCAGTCTGATTAGTCCAGCCCTTCTCTACACCAAGAACAATGTACAGCATCAATTTCGAATTCATCTTATCTCCCCTATCGGCTACAGTGTCATAATTTCATGCGGGGCTACATCCAGTGCCAGATCACCAAGTTTTCGCCCAAGAACAGCAAAGACTGTATCGTAATTTAGGGAGGTAAAGAGTTTATTATCATATGTATACTATCCTATATCTCGCCATGTACTTTGAATCCCCGGATCCCAAGGGGACAAGATGTATCCTTGGGATCTCGGTCCAATGTACACTTGCTTCATCTAGACGAATAAAGAAGAATATCAAGGGAAACTTTTTTCTTTGAAAAACCAAACAAGCAAACAATGAATGGATAAATGAGAAAAAAGGTAAAATAAAATAAAATAAAAGGAACACCGCAGGTCCTGCCTGGCTGACAACATACGACATACGGCAAACAATAAACAATAAACATAGACACGTCAATCAGAAGCTTCTGGACATAACAGCAGCCTTGCGCTGGGGTCGCATATACATATCTACTGAGTGGGCAGGGTCTGCTTCAAGGGCGGGAGCAAGCTGCGGGCAGTATGCCTCGCTTGTTGCGCGAGAAGGGAATCCATGATGACGAGAGCGGCCATGGCTTCGACAATGGGCACAGCGCGGGGGACAACGCAGGGGTCGTGACGGCCCTTGGCTTCGAGGATGCCTTCTTCAGAGGCGTAGGTGGCTGTGGTTTGCGCTTGGCCGATTGTGGCGGGGGCTAGAACAACAAAAATAATTAGTTAGGGCCGCGGGGGTTTGTCTTCGAAATGGTAAGGGAAATAGAAACGCAAGGGAAGGGTCTGGCTTACGCTTGAAAGCGACGCGGAAGTAAATCGGGGCACCGTTGGAGATGCCGCCTTGGATACCGCCCGAGTTGTTCGTCTTGGTAGTCAGACGGGGTCGTTGCTGCTGCTGAGGAGTGGATGTGCCAGGAGCAGGCGTGGAGGCACCAGATGCCAGGGGAGTAACGGGAGTGCTGCTGGCGATAAAGGGATCGTTGTGCCTTGAGCCGGCAACTTCGCAGCCGCCGAAACCTGAACCGACTTCGAAACCCTTGGTTGCGGGGATACTGAGCATCGCGTGTGCGAGCATGGCTTCCATCTTGTCGAACGCGGGCTCGCCGAGTCCGGTGGGCACGTTGCGGATCACGCAGGTGACTGTGCCGCCAATGCTGTCTTGGGCGTCACGGTACTTAGCGATCAGCTCGGACATGCGGTCAGAAGCCCCCTGGTCTGGGCACCGGACGGGGAGGAAGGAGTCGACAGTCTTGCGGTCAATGGTATCGAGGAGGCGCAGGAAGGCGGGGTTCGTAGAGCAGGTAGGGTGCTCGGGGGTAGGAGGGAAGAGGTGCTCGTTTCCGACGGAGCCAACGAATGCGACGATTTCAACGCCGTGAGCGAGACGAAGGTATTTCTCGGCAATGGCTCCAGCGGCAACTCGGCCTGATAAATTATTAGTATTTGATATTCCAATGGTACTGCACGACTTGTGGAAAGACGGGCTTGGCGTGTGATGTGAGTAATTAGGGGTATTTCAGCTTACCAATGGTTTCTCTTGCGCTGCTTCGGCCACCTCCACTGCTGGCCTTGACACCGTATTTCTCCAGATAGGTCCAGTCAGCATGGCTGGGGCGAGGGTAGAGGTCCATGGTGCTGTTGCCATAATCCTTGGGTCTCTGGTCCTCATTGCGAACCATCATTCCAATGGGCGTGCCCAGGGTGACTCCGAACTCGGTGCCCGACTGAATCTCGACGCGGTCCTTTTCGTTGCGCTGGGTCGATACGTTAGCAAATCATATTTATATGTGTATAGCTCTAAAGGGCGCATACAGGAGTGGTGATAGCACTCTGGCCAGGTCGTCTCCGAGTCATCTGAGGCTGAATGTCGGCTTCGGTGAGCTCCATGCCCGGCGGGCAGCCGTCGACAATGCAGCCAACGGAGCGGCAATGAGACTCGCCATAGCTATAGAAAGGGTATTAGAGCTTGATTCCGTAGAGACCTAGCACTGTTGGTACGTACGTCGTGACTCTGAAATATTCCCCGAAAGTCGACATGGTGACTCAGGATGGTATGAGAGTGCAAATATGAGGAGGGACACTGCTGGACAAGTCTTCAAGTCGTTGAAAGATGTCTAATGTTCGATCGATGGGTTATATGAGCTCTGCAGAAACGTTCAGAGTCAAGCCTGTGAGTCAATGGTTTATTATTTGCGAAAGTCGTGGTGCTGACCCCTCCAAGCTGGGGAGTCCAAAATTTCGTGACTCGGCGGTTTAAAGGCCGACGGGGGTTGCCGTGGCTGGACCCCTCCACATCCGACATCGCACTAGCTATTGTACGGAGACAACAATTATAGATCTTGAGATATCTCTGCATTAATATATGTAACAATGGCTCCTTCGCGGGGATTGTCGACAGTCTTTTCCATATTATCATACAGGACCTCACATTCAAATCGAGTTTGTTCTTCTATACGACCTCAATTTATCTCCCGAGCGTATACATCGATCCCTGCATCCTCATTTGTGGAGCTAGTAACCAGACCTACCTCCAAGCACCAGATCTACATTTCACGGAGTCTAGATCCCTACTTGAACCTCTCGATAGAGCACTTTCTATTACAGCGCACATCTCCAGAGTCTGTTATTCTATTTTTATATACCAATAGACCTAGCATAATTATTGGACGAAATCAAAACCCATGGGTTGAGGTTAATTTACGTCTTTTAAACGCAGCAAAGAATGACAATAACGACATTGAGACCGAACCACCAAGTCTTGGTGACGTATGGCTAGTACGCCGCAGGTCGGGCGGGGGAACGGTATTTCACGATGAAGGAAATGTCAATTACAGCGTCATATGTCCACCGGCCGAGTTCGCGCGAGACAAACATGCGGAAATGGTCGTTCGTGGCCTGAGAAACCTGGGCATTGATCGGGCCAGAGTGAACGAACGACATGATATCGTGCTCGATCAGGGTTCTCAAAGGAGTCAGGTTGACGAGGCAGATACCCATGTGACTCCCTATACGAGCGACGACAGACTGCGATCACTAAAGATCTCTGGCTCCGCGTTCAAACTCACGAGACACAGATCGCTGCATCACGGAACGTGCCTCCTCTCGTCTCCAAATCTCAACATTATTCCCGACTACCTACATGCGCCAGCAAAGCCGTATATAAAAGCGCGAGGAGTTGAAAGCGTCAGCTCCCCCGTTGGCAATGTGGGGTTGTCAAATGGCGAGTTTGAGCGCGCCGTCGTCGAGCAATTCTGTCGCCTTCATAATGTTCCACTTGACGCGAGTAGGGGCGCCATTGAAGGAGTCAATACTACCGTTTCCGAGAACGACAATAAGTGGGTGAGCGCGGTCGTTGATGAAGAATTGGCCAGCATTCCGGAGATAGCCAAGGGCATGGATGAACTAAAGGTGACTCCGGCCCAAATATCTGCCTGATCTACATCACAAGCTAACACTTTTAAAAGTCATTAGAATGGACGTTCCTACAGACCCCACAATTTGTGCTCTCAAGCCATCCAACGCCTGACGATCCCCGAGAACGACCTACCCTGGATAGTGCAATTCCTTCTAAAGTACGTATTACACGATTCCTGGGCCCCGAGAAAGGGGAAGGAAGGCGGTACATAAATAACAATAAATATGCTGACTGAACATAGACACAAATATCTCTAAAGTCCCGCTCCGGAGTCATTCTAGAAAGCGACATCCACATTCCTTCAGACGGCCCTCTGGCAGAGACGCAAGCAGCCGAGATCCACAAGGAGCTGGCGAACAAAAAGATACACGAAATCGACAACTGGGAAGCTTTGCTAGGCGGATCCAAGGGTATTGAAGACTCGAACCACACAAAAGCAATTGGAAACTGGCTAGCGAAAATGTTTGGAAAGGCATGAATAGAGCATAGTACTGCATTGAAGGCCCATATTTCCCCCTCCCTTCCCTTTCTTCCCTCCCTTCAAGCAGAAGGATATCTCCCATTGAACTAGAAGAATATCAAACAGCTCCCAGCGCTCTTGTATACTCTGCAAAAATCTCGTGCACCTCTGGTCGCGGGGTCAAAATTTTTGGAATCCACTTGTTACGCCATTCGCCATTGTATGCGCAGGTATAGGCAGCTTTGCAATACTCCCAGTAGTCCGGATACCATCCGCAATGAGCCCAGTCAACAATTGCCAGCACACGAGGCGGATCTTCCGAGGAGACAATAACGTTGCCTCGATGCAGGTCACCATGTGTGAGTTTGATTGTCCCCACGTCTGGCAAGAATTCTCTCCAGGGATCTTGGATCTTTTCTGGATTCGGAAAACGAAGCCACGGCAGTCGGGAAAACCAGTCGTTGAAGTGTTTGACTGATGTGAATGGGCCACCAGGGGGTTCGCCCTCAAACACTTTATCCAAGAGATGGCCGCGATCAATCGAGCCTGCTTTTTGTTAATTTTCAATCTATTTATTTTTTTCTCTCTAAATTTTTTTTTTTAATTATTATTCATTAATTATTCTTGGTCTTTTTGTCTTTTTTTTTGGTTCTTTTTTGGGGAGGGGGGTTCGGTTTTTGGTTTGTTTTCCCAAAAGCACAAAATCCCAACCTTTCAGAATCAAATTTCATTCATAAAGAAACGTTCCACGTACAACGTACCAATAAACTGATCCTCAGGATCTTGCTGGACTTGCCGCAAAGACGCTATCATCCGACGTAGCTGATCACAAACAGCACTCCTATCAGTAGTCCCCAATGTTTTCCATCGGTCTGCTAGTGTCTCGCCCCGCACCAACTGCATGTAGATAAACACTCTGCCTCCGTCGATCCGCCATCCATAGACCTCTGGAACGGGTACTTTGTCCCCGAGTACTCTCCTGATGGCCCAAAGACATTGAGCTTCAGCAGTTGTGACATACGGACCGAATTTGACAAGGAGACCGAGCTCCTCGAATCGCACCGGAGGCGGTTGGGGTCTTCCCCAATCTTTACCCGATAAAGCTTGAATCTCGGAAGGTGTGGGGAGACTTCGGCCAGATCCATCGGCTTTGAAGAACGAGGAATCAAGAAAGTCCATTCTTGGATTTTTGCCATCTGGCAGCTGCAGCGCAGAGAAACTGCTGATCTGAAAGCTGCATGGCATGGTTATTGACCAGAATATTAGTTGTGTGCAATTACAAGTGAACCTGTCAAGCCATGTCTTTTGTCTAAGGCAGGTATGTAAGTTAGGTAATGGAGGTATATACAGGTGCTCGAATACTTCTAGTACCAGACCAGTGGGATTGAATGGTGCAGACACTACAGAGTATATAATATTCAAAACTTCGGCTCATCCACCATTCTTCAGCAAATATGATTAACCAACAAACCTAAGAAATAAGAAACATAAAATAAATGAATCTAGATTAAACCTAAAACTACCTAATACATCTAACCTAGAATCTAAAATATATATACATGAAAACTGCTGCCTAAGATCGCTACCCAACTATCTGCCACGTAATATCTTTAAAATCGTCAGAGCATACTTGCGTGAACTGCATAATCTCGTTCGCTACCGAGTCTAGATGACTCGGATTTCCAAAACTTCCCTTTCGTTGTAAAGTAAAATAAAGAGCAAAAAATTGAACAAAAAAAAAGAAAAAAAAAAAAAAAAAAAAAAAAACCAAGAGAAAGGGAAAGAAAAAGATGTTAATAAAAAAAAGTAACGAGAATCTGTCCAAATCATGGCCTCAATCAATCAGCTGCACTCGCGACTAAACTCCTTCTAGAAACATTGTGAGATCCGAAAATCGGCATTTGAAAATACTCCTTCCTCCCTTACCCTTCGGAAATGGACGGGACCTTGAGGGCGATGAATATATAAACTGGCAAACGGACAAAGGAAACGGAAAAGGCGAGATAGTCAGCCTTGAAGAACTGCAAATGAACAAGGTAAGAAAGACACGAAAAGAAGAGAAGATAAGGGGGGAAATAAATAACTATGTCTCAGCCTTTCCCTTGCCTTTAGATTCACTCATTTCTGCTGGTGCAGTACTTGAAGAGGGTTCACCAACTTCACTCACGCTGAGACCATCCGAATCTGCATTGACGACTCGAAGTTTCTCCCGTGGCACGGTAAACATGACTTGAACCACTCGCCTCTCAACGGCAGCTTCGATATCCCATTCTTCGTCATCATTCTCCTCTCCGGTTTCGTCCCACAGAGTGTGCCTGTTGGTGCCGAGAGCATGACTGGTTCTTCGACGAGGAATGTCGACATCCCAATCGGCAGCTCCCTGGCGGCGCTGTTGCCACAAGGCGGCCGAGGCACTTGCTGCGCGGCGAGGAAGAAGTGGGTTTGACTGGACATTATCTTCGTGATCATGGTATCGTGGTGGTTGATGATTTTTGGCAGGGGAATATCGTCCGCCTCCTAGTGATTGGAGTGAATTGCTGCGATCGCTGTTATCTCCGCCGCTGCTGCTGCTGCTTTCCCCATTACCACCTATAAATGGCAGAGCGCGGCGCATTGACCCCATCCAACCCGTTCGGCGAGATGACTTGTTCGGTGCGTCAGACCATGAGTGATCATAATGGTCGGGACGATGCTCTCCGAGGAGAGCTTCGCCTTCGGTTTGCAATAATGAAAATGACGTTTGCGCGGTCGTAAAGGAATCATTCGTTTTAGATGCTTCTGGTCGTTGAGCATAAGATAGGCTTTGTGTTCTTCGATTGAACGTGGGCGAAACACGTCCAAATGATCGGTCAAACGTAGGCGATGTGCTGTGGCTCGAAAAAGTGTTGCCCCGGGAGAAGATCCCGTTTGAACGAACTGAGACGCTTCGGCCCAAGCTGCTTGCGAGGTGGGAATGTACGGAATTCACTGAGTGTGCAGACTGGTCGCTCAGTGTGGATGAGGTCCGGTCAGACTTATCTGGAGAGGCACGACCAGGGTTGAGAAGGATAGTATCTGCCGCAGCCCAGTCGCTGACCCATCCTTCGATATCTCTCCGGCGTTCAAAATCCGTGGGAGATGCTCGATTGATTATCGGATGGCTGCCTAGAGGAGCCGGGTCACCAAAAGGATCGAGAACGGGTGCAGTCGCTATAATGCCTGGATCCGAGGATTCGAGAAGTCCAGAGGCGGACATAGCGGAGTCCGCCGTCCCAGGTGCCATCTCTTCTTCGTCTCTTTCCTGGATAGGATGAATGCCGCTTGATCCTTGGCTTTTTCGTTTATCCTCATGCCAGGAAGCCGACTGATGGGATGCTCGAGAATGCATATTCCTTCGTAGGCCTCGCGTCGGACTAGGTATGTCGAGAAGGAGCCCCGTTCGTTCTACATCCGTTCCGCGATTCTCCCTCCACCCAGATCCTCCTCCGAATGCTCCCTCGTGAGGCTGGTTTGCCCAAGGATAAGCCGCATCTAGCATAATGTTTCGCTGTTGTTCCATTGCTGGCGGTATATAAGCTTGACCTCCGCGACCATCGAAGCCGCCGGCCACAGAAGATCCTACAAATGGCATGTAGCGCGTTCCCCTCATGAAATCTTCAAGCTCCCTCTTCCGTGCATTGCGCCGACGTTGCCTTCTTCGACAGCATATTAAGCAAAGGAAAGCCAGGATAATCGCCACAATGACCCCGAGTGCGACGCCAACACCAAGACCCGCTTTTTTCGAAGTAGAGAAGTGACCAGTCGTCTTCGATGATTCCGGATTTTTAGGCCGCGCTTGAGCAGGAGGAGTGTACGAGCTAATCCACTCCATGGACGTCACATTCAGAAAGTAAGAGTTCGTGTTTTCAGTAGGGGAAACATCCCTGCGGCCCGTTTTTGTTGAAATTGGGTAACCTCCGACAACCATCATGACGTCTCCGGGTAGCATAACCGCTCCATGCCCATAAAGACCGACACCAGTCCCCAATCCATTACCTGACGCAGACGGGATCTCCCAAGCCCAATTGCCAGCCCCACCATATTCTTCACCGATACTAAGTATTGCAAGCTGGGGATCTGCAGGAGTGTTAGTGTCCCCTACCCAGCCACCAAATACAATAATCCTCTGCCCATCCGAAGTCAATGTAGCGGTGTGGCCGGATCTCGGCTCAACCACGACACTATCGCGGACGCTTAGATCTGTTTCGGCGTCGACTGAGGGTGAATTGACTGCGATAAACGTCCATCCTTCCTGTGGTAGTGAGAAAAGTGCGACCTGTGACATGTTTATGAAGGCGGATTTTGTATGACCGCCAACCAGTACAAAATCTTGCTGCTTGCTTCTGGTTCCGCTGCTTGTGTTCGTAAAGGATGGCGGCAATGGAGTTATGGTAAATCCGGCTTCTGCTATTGGAAGATCACGGCTACTGGCAATGTCCTCGTCATATTGTACTGAATCTGACGATGCGTCCGAAGTTTTAGGTGAGAGTATCACCATGTTGTTGCTATAATCTGCCGCAGACTGTCCAGATCCAGGGTAGGATGAATTCGGGCACATTCCACCAAAAACATACATGGAAGGGTCATCGGCATCCACCGTGCTCGAATAAGTAATGGCAGCTGAGAGGAAATTTGCTCCGGTGAGCTTTCCAAGGCCCTGCGCTGCTTTGGGATTGACGCTATCCATCACCCATGTTCCCGGATCGGTTCCTGATGTTGAGCTTGGAATGTATCGCCAAATACTTGAACCCTCGGCGCCAGCAGTGCAGTTCCCTGAAAATATTGATATGACGCCTCGATCGTCTACCGAAGGAATGAAAGAAACATTCACATCATTTCCGTTGTCAAGGAAAGGAAGGGAGGAAGAGATCTCCTTGTAAGGCAAGGCTGAAGCATTCATCGATTCCGTCGCATTAAGTGCAAGAAGTTCGAAACTAGAGCCGGAGGATAATGCTGGTGTAATTGCGTAAACAATCTCAGAACCATTGTGCGATGAGATATATAGTCTAGTGGGGTTGTATGGCACTGCTGAAATCGCAAATTTGAAGAATAGGCTGCTCAGGCCAAAGGCCAGTCTAATTGTAGACTTCATTTTCAACGACGTAGATCCCAACAATGACGGCAGAGGTATGGAGCGGTGCCCCGCGAGGATCGATTAACGGTTTCTCAATGCATGGAGAACGATGTCCGTCGAAGATACCGACTCAGCCTGAACGATACTCGAGCGGATCTATTGACTTGGTTTCTGGCAGTCGCTTTTATTGATAGGTGTAGTCTTCACTCCTTAGGGCCCGGGTATTGGCAAGAGCGTATGCACTATAGCAGGTTTCCAGATTCGAATAATAGTTCAGGTGAAGTTGGAGGAGAAGCAGGTCTGCATCCTGCAACCCAAAATGAGGTGGCCGGGAAAAAGGTCAACGGGTAAACATTGTGTTACTGGAGGCTGGGGAAGACCGGCAATCGCACGAGGGGCGATCACAGGGATTAGCGCATAATAGCAAGGGTCCATCCTGAACGAACGCAAGCCCTTTTTCTTGAAGATCCAATAATTTGAGGGGTAGCTCAACTCCTGCTCGTCGTCGTTGCAGGTAATTACGAATAAAAGCGATATACCAGGGTCTTGCATGGATTGAAAGTTGAGGTCGCAAGCCACCATGAGCTTAGTGGAGGGATTTTGGCCATTTTAGGAAAGGATCTATTGACCCGCAAACACTGTCGCCTAGGCAACGGAGCGCCCTCACCTCATAAGCCTACGGAAGTGCGGCTAGAATTGTCCATTTCACGGGAGATAATTTGGTCGCGCAGAAGAAGAAGAAGAAGGCAACGATAAATATTCGATTGAGGGGGGGAAAAAAGGACAATGAATAACTATAACCGTATTTGCAAACCAAGCCCGAATAACCATACAATAAGATTATTGCGATAATGCGGAAGACAACCGGTGAATGGGGGGCATCTCATGAAACCAACCAGACCTTTCCCGTTTTGCCAGCTGAACGTAACAGGATTTATCCAAAAACAAGGTTTTTCAAATGCTGAAACATTGAAATTTTCTCTTTCTCTTCTCCACCGCGCGCCTTCTCGAGCGCTCTCCTCTCATCCTCGTCGTCGAATGGCCGTGCGGTGCTGAAATCCATCTCGGCTGCTTTTACAATTTTTGTTTTCCGGACAAGCTACCAACGTTAATGTCTTGCCACTCGTAGCAGAATCTGGAAAGGCATGCTCACCTTATAGACAAAGTAATCAAAGAAGAATAATGGACAAGCGAGGAAAGTAGCGAAGAAATTCTTGGCAGAAGACTTTGCCCCAAAAGGCCATACGGCCAGATAAAATTCAAAGCCCAAGAAGAGAGCGCAAATTAAAAGGCCAATATACTGAGGAATAGGTGCCCCCCAATTACGGAAGGGTAGTCGGCGATAGTCGATACCTTGTGCCTTGAGTCCCCTCCGGAACCGAATGTGAGAGATATACAATGAAGCCCATTGAAATAAGGCGGCAATCCCGACCTTTGAATATCCAGATTAGCAATGCCTCAAGGTTCGCCCAATATGTTAAAATGGAATCCTACCAGAGAAGAGAACCAATTATATACGACGGCAGAGGAAGAGTTGCAGTTGAGATAAGTTAATCCGCCCCCCAAAACGCTGCAAATGATCAAAGAGACATAGGGACGACCCCTGGAGTCCTTTCTTCCAAAGAATTTGGGAATCAGGTTGATATCTGCCAAGGCGGTCAAGCTTCTGCTTGCAACGTAGAAGCTCGTGATGTTACAGCTCACGACTGCAATAAAGATGAATACATTCAAGACGTGGGCTAGCCAAGGTACACCAGCGTCTTGAATCGCAATCACAAATGGGCTTCTCAAGGTGCCTGAAGCGCTGACAAGCCGCTCGTCATCTGGGTTGACACACATACCAACGAGCCAGACGTTGACCACAAAAAATGTTACCATGCGCCAAAAGACTGGACCAATAGTCTTCTTAATGGTGCGCCTGGGGTTTTTCGCCTCTCCAGCAATGACCGCAATATGTTCGCCTGAGCCACAAGTCAGTCATGGATTGGCCGACACACGAGTGAATGTTGATACAAGATCCTTACCTCCGCCAAAGCTGAATCCGGCTTGGATGAACGCCTTACCAATGCCCTTGGCTCCGTTCCGGAAGGCGCCAGGGTGTTTCCAATACCGAAACTCAATAGGTCCATGGGTTGCTTTGATACCACCTGAAGTCATGATGAACATAAAGAAGATCATCGCAAAAATAGCAATGATTTTGACAAACGACATGCAATATTCAATGCGACCGTAAAATCTCACAGGAAACACGTTGACCAAGGCGCAACCAACAAAAATGATCGAAATATACGCGGCGATTGGAAAGTCTCTCGCCGACGGCCAGAAGTTGAGAACAGATATAGCTGCTGTAATTTCTGCGGGGATGATCATGACCCACTGTAACAGAATAGTAAATATCAATGGGATTTAGAAGATACTGTGAGAAGATAACTTACCGAAAACCAGAAATTGATACCAACGGCAAAGCCTAGAGCGGGATCAACGTACTCCGAGGCTTGTCTAATAAAACCACCGTGAATGGGCTTATAGGCAGACATTTCTCCGACGGACATATATTGCGTGTAAACCAGGTAGCTAGATCAAGGTTAGAACCATCTCAGACAAGAATTTGAGCAAACGAAAGGAGGCAACATACGCAACGATGGAGTACACGACGGCAACGCCACCAGGTCCCGCTACAAAATTATTAGCAGGCTAATAGCAGAATCAATCGCATGCAATTGCTTTACCATAATGAAGCGCACTTCCGGTGCCTACCCAAAGACCAGTCCCAATACCGGCACCGAAAGTCATCATCATAATTTGTCGACGACCAAGCTGACGATGATAACCTGCCCTATCGAGATCTGTCTCGAGGACCTGGGTGGTTCCGAGCCCGAGAGTGGGTGTCTTCTCAACATCATGTTCGAGATCGGCCATCTTCTCCGGATACTCCTTGGATTGAGAGATGGAGCCCTCAGGGCTTTCTTCGGCAGGAGTTGTTGCCTGGATATGTGCCATTACTTCTGTGAGCTAAAGCAGGTTCCAGTAATTCAAGCTTCAACTCAAAGGCTTGAGGTCTGAAGAATAACAGGAAGGAGAAGGGAATTAAATCAGAATTTCGTCGATTAGTATATGGCTTTGATATCTTGTAATGCATCATCGTTATCTTGCTCTTGATGCATCTGCCACGTGCTAGACCGGGAAGTTAGGTCCAGCATCGCCATTAGTGCGGAGACAGCGGGAACCCAACATTGGATACATGCCCTGGAGTTCTAACTCCGTCATGGTTGTAGTATAAGGTTGCGCTAACTCTAGAATTATCATGGAGATTAGGATATGTCGTAGTGGTTCACCGGAAGATCGACCCCGATGGTGTCCGGCAACTGACCGGAAGCTGCGCGTCGAAGAAACTTCCTTGTAGCAGAGTATGGGTGGGAATCTCTTCCGGACATAATTGAGTCTCGATTGTCGTTATGGGCCTCATAGTGGGAGTTGGGAGTCGATAACGCCCTGCAAGGTTATCATATTAGCTTGAACACGACCATATCAAGTCTAGATCAGGGACGATCAGTTACCTATCCAGAGCTAGTTGTCCGTAGCATGTTGGATTTGATAGGGGAAACCCGCGAAACCTAATTTATTCCAAAGCCTGGGGTTCGTTCCCACATTTGTTGTTGAATGATGCCTGCCAGTCAGCCAGTGGTTAACGGCAGAAGTTGGATCAGGTAGCTGAGCCATTCGGTCCGTCGGATATCTGGCCGACGCTCAGCCGGCAGGAGCAATTACAATACTCAAGTTTAAATACGTATGAGGGTTTGGTGATAATCATGGATCTCGACCACAGAGAAAATAATCCTTGAGTTTTCTGATTTGATTTATCTACGAGATACTTGACTTGAGTTCAGGGTCTTTTAAGGGTTGAGCAAAAGTGTCAGCATTCACAATGGCGGAACCCAAGAAGAATATCGTTTTCGACGTAGTCGGAACTTTGGTGTCGTACGACAATCTTTTCGATGCCATTGAGGCGAGAATGGGAGACAAGTTGCGCGCAGAGGGCATCAAACCACGACTGCTGGGGTACACATGGATTGACGCCACGGAGCGCGAATATACGTACATGAGCTTGTCGGGCAACTACAAACCTTTCAGTGTGGTATTCCAGGCCATGTTCTTCCGCATGCTGTGGCAAGCAGGCATCTCTGAGCCTCGACAATTTGCAACCGACGAAGATGTGCAATTCCTGATCGACGCGCATGACAAGGAGCCGATGCGCCCGGGGGCAGCTGAGTGCATCTCCAAATTGCGAGACGCCGGGTTCACGGTGTGGGCGTTTACAGCAGGCGATTTGAAGCGAGTAGGTGGTTACTTCAAGAGCGCGGGGGTGGATCTGCCCTCGGAGAATCTCCTCTCCTGCGACACCAGAGGCGTTGGTAAACCTTCGCCGGAGGCATATCGGCCTCTGCTCGAACAATTGCAGAAGCACGGACAGCCGTGGTTTGCGGCTGCACACATGTGGGATGTCTCGGCCGCCAGACGAACAGGGTAAGTTGATTTCCTCTGTCAAGCTACCTACGCGGAGAGTTAATGAGAAATTTACCCTATCTCCCTAGGTTCAAAGGGGCATACTGCACAGTCTTTGAGAAGGAGCCGTTGTTGGAATTGTTTGGAGACATGGAGGTTGTGGCTGATACGTTACCCGAGATGGCGGACAAAATCATCTCAATGTCATGAGCTATCAACATGCCTACCTACCTTACCTGAATTACCTTACGAACCTTGCCCATATTATAATCTAAATTGGGGGTCTTAAAGTAGCATATCGACGCTGAGATTAATCTGAATTTACCAATCTACGCAAGCATCAATAAAATCGTTCATATTCATACTGTACTTTTAATTTTATTTACCCTAATTTTCTTTGTATTTCCATCATTGATTGGTCATACTATGCAGTATACAACGTCCCGGTATCACATGTAGGCGTTGTCTTGAGAAAGCAATTGTTTTTCTGCCAGAACAACAATCATCTTGTGCGGCATGTTGTCGATAACCATTGAAGCTGATAACCGGACCGGCATGGTGACCGGACCGGCTGCAGGAACATACCCTTTAACCCCGGCAGTAGTGACGGCAAGTTACAGATATACTGATTTATCTACTAGGTAGCTAAGAGTGGCACAGTGGCACAGCCAAGTATAACTCTGTATTCTTATCGAGAAGGGTCCAAGCTTAGAGAAGCGGGACGACTCCAACTAGTTAGTCTTATCAATTAATTTAGCCCATCGACCCTTATCATTTTCGGGCGAATGCAACGACGTCTACCCTGCTACGCATAGTATTCTTGGGGTAATATGTGTCCATTATCGGGACCGCCGCCACATTCTCCGCTTTGGACCCTCTTTGACCGCACAGATAGCTGCCTACTACTAGGTAAGGTAGTCATCAAACCACTGCACAAAGCATAATGCTACGACATTTTGTTCGAGGTCGCAATTGGTAGCCTCCACGATACCTTGCCTCTTATGGACACCGGTCTGATAAGCACTGGGCCGATCACGGCTTCAGATCGACCTGGTAATGAAGTGATTAATTTCAATTGTTGAAGCTCAAACGCTACATCAAGGTCTATCTGCAAATCCCATATTTGTTTCTTTCCCTCTTTGATTTTCAGTCCATCAATTCCGTGTTTCTTTTTGTCAATGGTAAAGAGATTGGCTTTCGTTGACTCCAACCACTCATACTGACGCCGTTGAATCCCACGGCTAAAGACTGTAATCTGAGCAGGAATCTTTACTGACACCAATTCCTCATCATGTCTCAGCCCGCGCCTGCTCGCAATGGCATGCTTTCGTTCTGGCGGACGCAATTGGATGAACTTGATAGTCATCGTTCCACCCCAGAGCTCCCCAAAGAATGTGATGTCTTGATTATCGGTGCCGGCTATTCAGGCGCTGCCACAGCATACCATTTGCTCGAGGGCAATCCTTTTCCGCCCTCAATGGTGATGTTGGAAGCAAGGCAAGCCTGTTCGGGAGCGACTGGTCGAAATGGTGAGTTCTGGGTGTGATCTTGAAGAGCAATGAGTGTTTGGAGCTGACGGCTGCTGTTTTATCTACAGGTGGCCACATTAAACCCGACCTGTACAACACCTGCAGCAGTCTCGCTCCTGTCTACGGGCTCGAGGCAGCCGTAGAGATGGCCAAGTTCGAAATGGATCAGGTCAAGGCAGTGAAGGCGGTCATCGAAAAGGAGAACATTGACTGCGACTTTAGCCTCACAAGATCTGTAGATCCCCTATTGAATGAAGAACATTGCAAAAAGGTCAAGGCCGCATATGACAAGCTCAGAGAGGCGGGCGCAATCAACGTTCAAGATGTGCATTTTACCCCCAAAGAGAATGCAGAAAGAGTGAGCACCTTGACTCTCATCTTTTTTTTCGCCTGCTTGGAATATTCACAGAGTTTACGTCTAGGTTTCCGGTGTCAAAGGTGCCAAGGGTTGCTTTAGCTTCACCGCAGGCCATCTATGGCCGTATAAGCTGGTGATGCATCTCCTCAGACTTGTCGTCTCCCGTGGCGTCAACCTGCAAACATACACCCCCGTAGTCAGCGTTTCCGATGAACCAGACCCTGTTACCGGAGCTTGGACAGTCACGACCGAGTCAAGGGGTTCCATTAAAGCAAAGAAAGTTATCTTTGCGACCAATGCCTACACTGCGGGCCTCGCGCCAGCTTACGCCCAAAAGATTATTCCAGTTCGTGGTATTTGCAGCCGCATTGTGACACCAAAGGGAAAGAACTCTCCTCATCTACCGAACACATATGGTCTGCGCTGGAGCGGCTGGGAGTACGATTACTTGATTCCACGAATGGATGGGAGCATTGTAGTCGGTGGTGCTAGAAGGAGATTTTATTCTGATCCTAAAAAATGGTATAACACGACGGATGACTCGCAATTGATGGAGTCAGCGAAGAGTTATTTCGACGGATACATGCAGCGACATTTTCGCGGATGGGAGGATAGTGGAGCATATACCGATCAAGTTTGGACAGGAAGTATGTTGCAGCATCACAACTTTCCGCTCTTTCGGTTCAGCGGCTAATTATTTTGAATCAGTCCTTGGATACACGACGGACTCGTTGCCCCATGTCGGCGCGGTGCCGTCGAAACCTGGCCAGTTCATCATGGCTGGGTTCAATGGCCACGGCATGTGCCACATCTTCCTTACAGCCAAGGGAATAGCATCCATGATCCTTGACGGCAAGCCTTTCGAGACGACTGGCATCCCGCGGCTATTTAAGACGACACCGGAGAGACTGAATAGTCGGAGAAATAAGATTCTCGAGTCGGTTCCTACAAGGGAAGAATTGATGGCTAAATTATAATAGGACAGGACGGACAGATAAAGATTTATTGTTCTAAGAATCAGCGCTTGCATACAAATTTCCGCCCCCAGGTGGGCAGTTCCAACAATAATCATTAAGAGAGAACAAGATATTTTGCCTGAAATTTCATCTTACGATAAGCTGGCTATCATATGAGCCAGCCATTAATCTATGAACTTCGTCCACGATACCGTGTGTCCTATTAACTTTAGATGACATCTACACGGTGGCTAAAGTTCTTCTAGCTGAATGGCTAAGGATTGTTGGGGGAAGAGAACGACAATCCTCACAGAAATTTCACATCTGCAGGACTTGGAAAGTACCTTTGGTATGTTGAAACGATACCCCAAGGTGAGAGAGTCTGCCGAGAGGTGTGTTTTAGTTTTGGAATTCTCTTAGCCAAGTCCCCTAGCGATTGTACGCGTATAAACGTGATATTATGAAAAACAAGGCAAGGATCCTGTAGTAAGTACGGCTACAGTAACTAGACTAGACAGCCTCCGACTCCTTTTTTTCCTGCATTAGGGGGCGCATAAGGTAAAATCTCGGCTGTTCCGGCAGCGGGAAGTCGCACTTCAAACTGGAGGGGGTACCCGGGACGGGAGGGATACCACGCGAAGGAGAGAGAGGCATCAAGGGATCAGGAGGTTTGTCTACGTCTCCATGCAATTTTCTGATATTTCTCTCTTGATGCCCAAGCAAAAAAAGAGATAAAGGCATTGTGCCCGGGGAGACGATGTTAACCCCTCATTGCTTGCCGTTGATGATTTCATGGCATTCATATTACTGGCTGGGGGCCAAAACGACCCCTGAATATGACTGATCACTTTCTTAAAGAGTAGCCAAGGACCGCATGTTCTCGTGTATGCTGTTGGTCATTATTGACGGGAAAGAAACAAACTGTTCCGTAGTAGGCGAGAAAGATAGACGGGTGGCAAGTACACAGCAGCCTTCAAGAATGACCTCAAACCTTGGCGGCCTTTTCATTTGACAGAAGATTAATGCAGTCTTGAGCGGGATCACATTTTAACCTTTTGACATCAGATTTTACAAGGCGCACAACATGCAGCATCGTCATGATGAGGAGATACCTAGTTTTCACAGAAAAAAGGTGGTGCATAGCGGAAACGTTGGCAGGTTTTCGTCAGGCGATGGAAACAGGAAGCAGGCCACGGGAAAGCAAAGCAGATCCACTGGGGCGTCTCCGTACGTTGTCCCTACCCCGCCATCTCCACAATATTCTCTCCACACTTCTCTCCACCCGCCTTAGAGGGTATATTCAAGCTTGAGCATCAACCAAATGGCTATCATTAAGGTAGATATCTAGCGCTGCCTAAGAGGTAGGCTCCTTGTTCTTGCTCCAAAACATTTGGTCTTGGGAATCGGACTGGCCCACGACACTGTGCCTAATGCAGCGATGATGGCCCCTCTCTGAGCATACCTGACACGGGATGTTTAACCGAGTTTATCGCCCGACGAAGCGTTCGAACGGAGGGACCCATCGAGCCGCAACTGCTCATTCTGGATAAGAGGTGCTGTTTCATTACCGAGAATGGCATTCGAGCGGTCGAGATCCTGAACAGAGTAAGCTCCCAGAGAACCTCATAGCGTCATGCACGAAAGCGACAATGGTTTTCGCTAGAGCTAATGAAGCATCGCGGCTTGTCCGTGCACACCCTTCGAGAGTTACAACAGCATGGGGATCCCTCCGTTCCTTGGATCGAACGATGATGTGGGAAGGGCATCTACCATGTCTGTTTATTCTGTTCCCTAGTGCCCGAGTAATGCTATCTTATACATGCTACGCAGGGTTCATTCACTGTATATGAGCCAAATGTATTTGCGGCGGCACCTGCGGCATATAGATGGATACAAGGTTGAGCCGACGGTTGCGCCATGTGGTACCTACCTCAGTCAATTCCTTCATCTTGCAGAGAATCCCGGCACGCTGTCAATCAGAGGACGGCAAGAAACAGTTTGCTGGAGTGCTTTTCTGTCTCTTTAGCCATCCATGTCCAAAGCCGTCAATCTCCCGCATGCTTGTTGCGCTTATTGCCGGGTTTCCGCTGCCTAAACGGACATTGGGAAACCACGGACAGCACTGCCAAGAGGAAAAACATGCGCGAGACAAAAGTTGCGTAGAAAAACGAGCAGGATATCCAGCACCCCAGCGGTTGTCTGAAATTTTGATATCGAACATGCTTCTCAGATCGAGATCTACTCTTGTGAAAAAATTCTGCTTTACCTAGGTATACTGAAGTATTGGACTGGGTGAGCCCAGTCCTGGAAGGAATAAATCGCGTGTTGAGAATAAGGATAAAAAGAGGTTCTCCGAGGGATCCCCCATTTGAGTGAGCTTAACGCACTGGGAAAGGCGTCAGCCACCCGCCTTCAGGTGAAGGTACTGGAAACTTCTTTGAAGAGTATCCGCTCGGCCACACCTACCCCACCCAAAACTTGTTTAGCGGGTACTTTGCACTTCCATTTTTGGTCGCATGCCCAGCTGTAGGAGAGGTCGGGCCCAACCACAAGGGCCACCAGCTTGGACCCCAAGGAAGTAAAAGCAAATTGGAGAGAGGTGGCTGGGCCAGGTCTGGCGTTGCCTCGTCCCTTGGGATTTCGTCTGTAGTTTTGAACCAGAACAGGTAAGGTAATTGGAAGAGATGAAAGAGGAGAGAACCCGATCAGGTACAGCTACAGGTACGGTAAGTTTTACGGCTGCAGCTTGCATTCTCTTTTTGCAGCGAGAACGTAGCAAGCTCCAATAGGTCTTGTCGACATTTGCTGCAGGTGCAAGGGGGTTAGAGTATGCATGTTCTACCGTTGAGAAGAAAAATTCCGTTTCTTCCCTTCTAGTCGCGGGGCAATAAATATCCAGAAAAGGTGCTGGTGTGGAAGACAAGGAGAGCGAAGTACAGCAATTGTACCTGCGGCACTTAGCTGCAGTTCCAACGTTTAAGGTACGGCTGGAGAATACTCAACAGCCGGGGCAGACTAATAGTAGAGCACGCCAAAAAAAAATGGAAAGATCGGGTTGCGGAATGAACAGTCAAATGCTACAGAAGACGGTGACGGAGTAGGACTACAGTCACAATGTCATTGTGATTGTGGCAGGTGCAAGCTGGGAATAAGAAAAGAAAGATGGTCGTCGGTGGCATCAATTAGCCTCACGATGATGGTGGACGTTCGTCGACGATGACGAGACCACTCAACAGGCTCGGACGTCTTCGGACAGTGGAGCCGTGACTGATGGCCATGATGCCTGTCTCTTGCATGGTTTACCTGAAGGACTTGCGCCCTCTTCTTCCCCCCCCTGCCCAGTCACGTTCAACGTAGAACTCACGATGGTCAATGATTTTCAAACCACCTCTGTACTCTTGCTGTGCAGCATAGAATTCCCTCTCTCAACCATCGGGTGTTCAGGAGGAGTAGTTGGCCGGAGTCACGCCCAATGCGTAGTCATCCCTTGGGGCAAGTAACAATGCAGGAGGGTTTATTTTGAGCTCGAATCACCTCACACTCAAGCCAAGCAGTCAGAGTATCTTTCTTTTTATTCTAGAAATGGAGATGGCCCGTTCTGGTCTTTCTTCCCCAAACGCCCCCCAAAAATTCCCTTTGGGCCAGGTTCAACAACGACGTATGAGGACGAAAGGGAAGCGAAACCGCAAGAGTGGAGCCCTTCCGTACAGTAGCGCACGAAATACTAGGCGACCCCATACTTCTTCCATCGTCATGATCCCAAAGAGGCGAAGAGCCACCCACCACCCACCCACTTACATCCACACCCCTCCCAATCCTGCACCCACAGCCAAGTCTACCTACCTACCCACACGATAATCTCATTCGCTCATCTTCTACTCTCCCTTTTCCCTTCAAATCTCCCTCCCCACTGATTTTCAATCCTCTTCCCGAGATCATTAAACTGATCCTCTCGGACTCGTCTCGAGCACCACTGCCTAACTGTGCTCCGGTCGACCTTTCCCTGCTCGTTTCGCTGGCCGTTATCCGCCCCGCTCACCCTTACCTGATCGTGGTCTTGGCTGTTTGACGCAGCACGGCCCGCTCGTCTCGCGGCCTTTCTTAACCGACTTTCCCACGGTCAAACCAAGTGATATTTTGCCCACAACTCTTCAGACCGACTCGCCGTCGGAATTTGCAAGAGGGAACCAGCACCATCCGACGTTCGGCGTTGAAGCACCTCCCGCAGTGGCGTAGCTTTCGTGCCACCCGTTCACAAGCGATTGTCGTGCACCCACTCTCCGATATCCGCTCTCTCAACAGCCTCTCAACGCATCTCCTTTTGATACTGAGTTAATTGGGTTCAATGCAGAGGAGGAGGTGGTCGTGGAAAGGGACATGATGATTAGCATTACATCCATTCTCGCCACCTTCGACTCGGACCATCTTGCGACCAGGTCAGATTTGGAGTAAAACTCGTTGGAATTGGGCCCTGACTAAAGGTGCAACCACGACTTGCGGCCCCTCAAAGGAAAAATGACCAACAAAGATCTATCTCCCCGGGCGGAGCGTGCAGAGGGTCATCGCACATCTCCCGGACAAACCCGCGGATTAGCTCCGCCCATGTCGAGTCATGCTGAACACCGAGTATCAGGCGTGCCTGCTTTGACGAGACTAGCACCTTCGAGCGCAGACGACGAGAGGTTGGCAAACAAAGGTTCTGTTGAGCATGACCAACGAGATCTGCTGGCACCTTCGAGTGCGAAGCTCGATCAACGCTCCCGTAGTGCGGAAATGCGTGAAGAGCTCTGGAGTTTACATCGACTCCGCACCAAACCACGGTCGCGCGCCAGTTCGCTTTCGAAGCATTCTCCACAGAGTGCAAATCCTACGCCGTTTGGCAGTCCCTACGCCAGTCCATATGGAAGTCCTTATGCAAGCGCAAATGCGAGCGCCAACGGGAGCGCCAATGCAAGTGCGAATGTGAGCGCAAATGCGTCCACCACTTCGTTGCACGTTGTGCCTGAGCACGCCGAAGCCGTCATTTCACCTATATACAGCCAGGTTACCTCGAGGGATCGCTCGACTCCCTCAAATGCCACCGCGGAGACCTTGGTGCCCTTTCCCCCCAGTTCGTTTCGATCGGCGTCTGCGTCTGCTAGCGGCCGACATTCGCGCTCACCCTCCCCTAATCCATCGATACGGCAGAAATCAAGAGACTATCCTGTATACCCCAATCAAGCCCTCTCCGTCTTACAGACCCAGGTCTACCCGAGACCCTATCATCCCGCTCCTCTCTGGTCTCGAAACTCTCACCATTCCCTCTACTCCTCCGACTCAGGCATTGGTTCGCCTCGTCATTCGCGAGAGCATGGTCGCTCTGACGCCCGGACTGCTGGAAACTCTCCCGCGTCAAGTCCGGGTCTCTTTACGCCCTCTTTGCCTCCTCCACATCCCGCAATCGGTACTACAGATGAAGGGCATTACAGCAGTCCGTACCTGCACTGGACTCACACGCAAGCACCAAAGGAGTACGTTGGAGACCGTGCCTAGCCCTTTCTTGTCACATTGATCCCCTTCGTCCCAAATCGATTAACCCCGGCTTCTTTGCTTTTCTTGAGAATCATCCTTGACTGACACACGCGTTTTTCTAGGACCCACGTGGCTGACGTTGACATTGATCCTATATCGGGCCGGAAACTTATCAACGAGTATGAAATCATTGATGAACTAGGTCGTGGCGTGCATGGAAAGGTCAAGCTCGGTAGGAATCTGAATACCGGCGAAGAAGTGGCAATCAAGATTGTCGAGCGGTATTCCAAGCGTCGACGGCTAGGAAAAGCTGGGAATCCTGAAGACAAGGTGAAGAAGGAGGTCGCTATATTGAAGAAGGCCCGCCATCCCAACGTGGTCAGCCTCCTCGAAGTTATCGATGATCCTGCCAAGAAGAAAGTGTACATTGTGCTGGAGTTTGTCGCCCTGGGCGAGATTCAGTGGCGAAGAAAGGGTCTCAAGGAGATTGTCACTGTTGAGAAAAGGCGCATCGAGCGTGAGCTCCGCGGTGTTGAAGACACACCGCTTTATCTCGCCGAAGAGGAACGAATTATGCGGGAAGGCCAGAAACGACGGAGACGGCAAGCTAAGCGTCAAGCACAGTTGCAGTATCCAAAGCAGAGCAATGCTGAATACTGGAGTCTTGAGTACGGAGGAGAGTCCGAAGGTGAAGAAGAACACGATCTCCGACGACCTTCTGTCGACTCCAGCGCAGATTTTCATTTTGGTCCTCCCGTTGTCGGATCCTACGCCTCGTCGCAATTTTCGAATCCTTTCCGGACAGAGCAAGACATAGGACCGCTTGATTCTGACAATGAGGATGCTCCAGCCCCTTCGCGCTCTCGGGCACCCTCGAATGCGGTCGAGCCTTCCTCACACTCGTCCTCTTTCGCTGCGCTTGAAGGTACCATGTACGGAGCTTATGCCTCTGATCAATATCGCGGCCGCACCCCCAGTGTGGCAGATAGCGTGATCTCTCGCATGTCCTCAGACATTGTTCGCGACACCGGAGATGATGATCTCGCGTATGTGCCTTGTTTGACGTTGACAAATGCTCGTTCAGTATTTCGCGATACCGTTTTGGGGCTCGAGTACCTGCATTATCAAGGAATCATACATCGAGATATCAAGCCCGCGAACCTTTTGTGGACTGCCGATCGCAGGGTAAAGATATCAGACTTTGGCGTGTCCTATCTGGGAAAGCCTGCACGGGACATCGACGAAACTGACAACCGTTTGAACTCCGCCGGAGAGCTCGACGAGGCCGTGGAACTTGCAAAGACTGTTGGAACACCTGCATTCTATGCGCCAGAACTTTGCCATACGGACTACACGAGACCAAGGCCTCCAGTCACTAGTCAAATTGACGTCTGGGCGCTCGGGGTCACGCTCTACGCTATTCTCTTTGCCCGGCTACCTTTTCGGGCGGAAGATGAGTTTAGTCTATATAAGGCCATTTGTGACGACGAGTTGGTCATCCCGCGAAGGCGGCTGAAGGCAGTTGACAACCGTCCTACCTCTCGAGCAAGTTCCCAAGCGCGCATGGCCCCTCGTCGACCAGATAAGCGCCTGGAGAACGAGCTCGACTACGAACCAATCGATCCCGACCTGCATGATCTTCTTGAACGGCTTCTGGAGAAGGATCCGATGAAGCGAATCACGCTCAAAGAGGTCAAACATCATCAATGGGTCCTGCGGGACATTGCAAACCCGATCTCGTGGCTCGAAGAATCAGATCCGTCCCGGCAGAGCCACGGTCGGCGAATCGAGGTATCAAAGGAAGAAGTTGCCGATGCCGTTGTCCCATTGACTATCATGGAGAGAATGAAGTCTGGGATGCGCAGGTTAGGCGGAGCTTTAGGCATTGGAAAGTCAAGTCACAGTCGTAGACCAGGCAGGGAATCGTCAACGACAAGCGAACGTCTTCCAAGTTCTTCCGCTGCATCCTCTTCGAGCAAACTCAGTGTAGACGGGAGACGAATGAGCATGAGAGGGGAAGAGTCAATACTGTCCGCGCTCAAAGCTGCGCGGGAAGAACATCAGCATGGGCACAGTTCGGCGACGGCGACACCTGGAATCACCAGGGCAGATCAGCCATTCTTCCAGGGATCATTACATTCTGAGTCTACGTCCGCTATGCCCCATGGCACTCCTTTGCCGCCAGATCCCGCTCAGAAAATAACGGGGACACCGTCCCGGCCGTTTATGCCAGAGCGCGCTGTGTCGGCAACTGGTTCCATGAAGACGATCAAGCCAGCTGAAGTACATTCTGTGCAACCCTCACGGCCACTTTCCCCTGTGCTTCCAAGTACGCCTGTTACAGTCGATTCTCCAACGGTCACAAACATTAGTGGCATCTTTGGCGGTGCCGGACGCCGTTTAGTCAAGAAGATGCGAAGCAGAGAACCTCTTGCTGGAGATGGATTGAGTGGGAAACGAGAGCAATCTGTCGACCGCTTGGCAATTAGTCCTGAGGATCCTCGTGCGGAGCCCACTATCGCCTTCAGTAACACGCTGGCCTCAGGGCAACTTGACACTCCTCCTATTCCCGTGTCGAATTCTGATCAACACGTTAGTCCGAAGAGCTCAGTCAGCGGGACTAACTTGCTTTTGCCTCCCAATGTATCTGAAGTAGTAGAAGCTCCTACGTCAACTTCTACTAATGGCCCACCGTTGCAGAGATTGTCGCCTTCGGGAGCCAAGCGCCGATCATCTTCCCGACGAGAGAGCAACATCCTTAGGCCGATTATCATTCCTTCCGAGTCAAGTGCAGAGGCAATCGATCGCGCTCACGAACAATTGTACCGGCGACATCAGATGCAGGATGCCATCGATAGCGACCCTCATCGTTCAAATCTGTCATTACATCCGCAACGTCCTGTTTCCGAGCTAGTAAATAGTTGCCCGCCCAGCCCCGATGATGAAATATTCATCAAAGGGAAAGGGAATGATGAATCTCGAAGAGAATCTTCCTCTCGATCGCCTCCAGGCTCCGGGCCCGCCACTCGTCGATTGGAACACGAGCTCTTGAGCTCTTCTGAGGAGCAGCTCACTTCTGGAATATCCCAGTCGACCTCATTCCCATCCATCCCTTCAGTGGTTTCAGCTAGTTCTTCGGTCTCGGAGGATGATTCATCAACGCAGAAGGAAGGGGTTTCTCCTCTCATCCTCACCGATGACACGGTAACACCACCTCGGCAACGGGGTTCTGGGTCGAGATTATCTTCACCTAGATCTGAAGATGAGGCGGGCTACAATGGCGACCACGACCATGCCGTCGAATCTGACGACGAAGATGAGAATAACGGCTCAGATGACGATTTTCTCGTCATGCCTACCCGCAAATCGGGACCCGAACGCCGGCGGAGTCTGATGACCGTGTCCAATGCTGCGCTTTCGCGGCGCTCCATCCGACGGACCTCGACCAGCCGCCGTACCAGTCGCAGTACAAGCAATGGGACGGTTAAAAAGGTTGTCAGTAACGAGGAAGACATTGGTCACCATGATGATAGCAATCGGATAGAACACGCCATCTGACCAATGTGATTTTCGCGCACGATTTACGTCTGCTAGTCGCTTGCTCCTCGGATTCTTTACTAAACCTCGACCAGCATATTCTTTCTTGAACATAATTTTTTATTCCCCATTTGGGGGCTCTCTTATCTTCTTTGGTGTCTTTTTATTGTTTCTTTTCAAAACATTCTTATCTATATCAAATTATATCCTGGCGTCGGTATTGGCAGAAGAGCAGCACTTATCTTGGGAGAAACACATTTTACACCATCTACCTCGCCTTCCACGTCTACAAATACGGGAAATGAAGTGCGATTAGGCGTTAGGGGCGAGTAAAAAGGGAAATCCGGATCCATCATCTCGCGCTTCTGTGTTTTTTTAATTTTTTTAGTTGTTTTCATTTTTTTGGAGGGGGGAGAGACGGGTTCTGGGGATTTGAAAGGGATGTCTCTTTAGGCCCCTCTTTTGATCCAAAGTCCCCTGCGGGTGGATCGATGTTGTAACTTGTATATCTTTTGTACAGCTGAAGTGCGTTTATGATTTTTACCATTAGACTACCTACCTATAGGTACTATAGTTGTTTGGCAACTGGGGTTGGTATTTCTGGGGAAATCCGGTCATGCCTGCGGGGCTTGGACGGGTGCGGCTGTCGTCACGAGTTTGACAACCTTATGGGGGCCCTGTATGGGTCCTTGAGTATATGAGTCTCTTGACAAGTATATATTTTTGATAATCAAGTTTCAATTATTGTATATTGTCTCCATTTACTTTTTCACTGTCCCTTTTTCTTTTCGAGATGTTCATCTATGGAACTTGTCGGGCGTTTGTAATAAAATAGACAATATCGACTGATTGACATGTGTTACTTTGTCTTTTCTCTACTATACCTGAGCTTGCATATTTTACTCCCAGGATGAGCTACGTGTTGGCTGGGCTATGACGTTACGATTCTTGAATCAAGGTGACACTACTCTAGTCAATAATGATAAAACGTACGAAAATTGTGGGGGAGAAACTCGGAGCGACTCCGCCTCAGTGGTGGCTGCTGTTGGGTAAGTGGAAGAGGACGCCTCGGAAGGTTTAGTTGATTGGTTTGTCAGGTTAGCCAAGTGGGGGGAGATGTCGAGGGGGACCACGGTACTTGGGTGGCAGTGCAAATAGTCGTCGATATGGCGTAGTTACGGAGCGCCTTTTCCTCTTCCCTCACAATATTTTTTCCCCCTTGGGTGTATGTACCTTGTGTTAAGCTTGAAGGTTTGTTGAGTGGAGAAGTTTGTCCTACGGCGGCAATGGAGTAAGGGATCTTCACTGTGCAGAAATGGTGATATTTCTCCTTTGGGAACAACTTCGGAGGCTATGCTACGATCAAGTTAGGTAGGTATTCGTGCTCCCCTCGTCCGTTCACAAGAGTCAATAATAAGGAAATACAGGTAAATGCTTGGGACGATAAGCGGGGAGCGAGGGGAAGGAAGAAAAGCAGCAGAGTGTGGTGGTTGGTTCATCAATCGAGTCTCTGACCGCCCAATTGTGGTGAAATGGTACTTGATCGTGTCCTTGTTGCTCGCTTGTGAAAGAGTTTCAGCTGTCATGTCACTGTAGTGCAGTCAGGCCAGGTAAAAGGTACATGATAACATGAAGTACATGAGGTACTTTGAATCAAAATGTTCAACATCTCGTGAACGTTGATGGTGGTATCCTGCCTGTCATCTTGGCTCAAATAGTCGGTGAAGAAGAATTTTCTGGATTCAATCCAAGACCAATTGTTTCGTTGTTTGATCGGCGCCAAAATAAAAGCTTGGTTGCAGCCAGGCACCGGTTCAGGCACAGGCACAGGCATCAAGGCGGACAAGCCTCCCCTCCCACCGGTGTCACCAATTCATCGCCCTCCCCTTGTTTTAGCGGGCGTAGCTCCAACTCCACCCACGAGGCTTAGACTGCCCGATCACGCCCGCTGCATCTTTGATGATGATGATGATGATGATGATGATGCTGGTGATGTGGATGATGTTGTTGATGCACGAACCCCTCTGCGTCTTGGACAATTTTTGAATATTTGACCCTCTTTGGCTGTGCAACAATTCAATCATTGTGCATTCTTCACATGCACACATCCTTTATCCTCTTTTGGCCGTTATAAGCTTTCCTATGACCCCATCGACGGCGCGCTATCAACATTCATTACTCAAAAAGCGGGAGCCGTCGCTGCTTGCCGCCGACCAGCACCCGCAGCCGCTCAACTGCTGTCAGTCGATCCCCTCCGTACGACTCCGCCCACGAACCACGCGGCTTCGAACACACCGTCGCAAGCTGATTGCGGATCTCATACCGATTGTCGCCATCCCTCTGGCGCCGTTCAAGTGGGGATTAGCTTGTTTATCCGACATCAGTGTGGTATGGTACTCGGGCGTGCCATTTTCCTTTTAGATCGGTTTCTCTTGATTGCTGCCTGGCGCGATAGCATGCTAACTTTTTGGGCTTCCTTCTCCGTCAGATATTTTCGTCGTCTGCATAATTGGACACCGCCTCCTGTCCTGCCTGAAATTGTCTACCTCTATCATCGTTCCTTGTCCGACAGGGGTTGCAAGACCCAGATCAGATTCGCGATCAGAATCGAGCGGCCTTCTCCCTGTTATCGTGCTCAGCCCTCAGCCCTCAGCGTTCGCACATTCGTGGCTGCATACAATTCGTTGGCTGTTGTGCCTTGACTCCTTGAGGTTCTTGCGTCGGGCCAAAAAGACAAGGCAAATACAAGGCTGCCAGCCAGGTTTCCTACATCATGGACTCTCAACACCAGCCACAACGCGGGAGATCCCCTTCAGGCGCCCACCCCAATCGACCTCTGAGCCACTCACCATCGCCTCACACCTTTCAAGAACAGGTTCCAGGACTAGGGATCAATTCGACCCTTCTCTCGGACCCGTCTGCTTTCAATATCAACACGTTCAACAATGACCTCATCAGCCCGACCTCAACCCCATATGATATCTCTACACCCTTTCTCACCGGCTCGGCCCAAGCTCAGCACCAGCAGCAGCACCCACAACAACAGCCGCAGCAGGCTCATCAGCAGTCGCATCAAAACCAGCAGCAACAACAATCACAGCAACCACAGCAACAGCATCAACAAGGAACGCCTCAGCAATTCGCGTCTTCCTCTGATCCGTCCTTTTTCCAGACATCAAACTTCCCTCAATCATTTGATCAGTCCGGATTGGGTTCAGAGAACGCGAGCCAGTTTTCGCAGTCACCGCATTCGCAACAGCAAACATCGCAGGAAAATCTCCACTTTGCATCGGACTTTCTGAATCCTAGTTCCATTTCAGACAATTTTAATGATTTTTCCCTCTTCCAGGACGCCGGTCTGAACCAAAACAACGCCTTCTTTGATCAGAACGCCATGGTGAACCAATTAAATCAGCAAGGAGGTCTCCAGCAACAGGAATCCATTAACCCAGCCGATCTCATGGGAGAGATGCCCTCGCCGCATCATCATAGTCCTACTCCTCCGCACCTGCTCCAATCCGATCAGAGACAATACTCGGCAGGACAACCATCGTCGTCCCCAGGCATTAACCAAGGCGCTTTCCGCCCCACGACGCATTCGCGCAATGCTTCGCTCGATCCTGCCAGTGCGGCCTTTCCAATGGGCCAGCCTCCCGTAGACTGGACCGGCATGCTTTCGGGCGCCTCCTTTCAACCTGGCCATCGCCGCACACCTTCAGAACATTCGGATGTGTCGTCTGTCGCACCTTCGCCATTCCTGGGCAACAATGACGGGTTCGACCCACTCGATCAGCAGCCGTCACCATTACTAGGCGCCCAAGATTCGAGCATCTACCATGATGCGGGCTTGGGGATTGAGCAGTTCACTTTGTCGGACCAACAGCATGGTCTCAGCCCTGCACATAGCCCGCACATTTCACCACATCTGGGTCCTTCTCACCCATCTTTACCGTACCAGGGTGGTGCTTTCTCTCTCAATGAAGATCCGAACTTTGGCCTTGGTTTGAGTCATGGACCAGGACCTGAAACCAGTCAAGATCAAATTGAAGCCTTTCCGTCCTTTTCTCAGCCGCAGGCGCAACGAAACCACTCTGGCGATCTCGGCCAGGCTGATCAAATGGCGCCGCCAGAAATCAATATTCAGTTTGCCGCACCGTCTCGGCAGTCAAGTTTTGAACCTCCAAAACCACCTGCGGATGACAATGCCTTGAGCCCTCCAGACCGGGGTATGCATTTCTATAATCGCTCGAGCGGATGAAGACGCTGGTATTCTGGTACACTATGCTAACATGTCATGTCCGTGATGTAGGAAGGAGACACCGATTTCGTGATCGATCAAAGTCAGATCCATACGGTACGCCTCTAAGCCGTCCATCGAGCCCATCAGGGATGCAGTCTCTGTCATCTGTGGTCTCGTGTTCGCCGAACCGGCCCTTGTCTCCTATCGGACTTCATCCAAACGCCGCTGCTTCATCTTCTTCGGACCGACTTTCGCCCTCACCATCTCCATCGAACCGGATCAGTCGTCGTTCGTCCACCTCGTCCGTGCCCAATCGGGACTACATTCTTGATCTAGCCGACCCCCAGCGACCTGGGTCGAACGCGGGCGAATCGAGACGTACACAAAGACATCCAGCCAATTTCCAGTGCCACCTTTGCCCCAAGCGTTTTACTCGGGCTTACAATCTTCGATCGCACCTGCGCACGCACACTGACGAACGGCCCTTTATATGCAGCACATGCGGCAAAGCGTTTGCGCGGCAACACGATCGGAAGCGCCACGAGAGCCTACACAGCGGCGAGAAGCGCTTTGTCTGCAAAGGCGAGCTCCAGTCCGGCAATTCATGGGGCTGCGGCCGGAAATTTGCTCGCGCAGATGCCTTGGGCCGACATTTCCGTAGCGAAGCCGGTCGGATCTGCATCAGACCGCTGCTGGACGAGGAAGCACTGGACCGTCAACGCGCCGCCAGGGAGGGTCGGCAACTCCCACCACAGCAAGGCATACTCGGCAACGGTCTCGACGCATCACAACAACCACCCGGCATTGGACTCGCCAACATGCAACCAAACGCCGCCAATAACCTTCAACCTTTTGGCAGCGGCCCCGGCGTCAATGCCATGGATACAAACCCCGCGCCCTCGGCAGCCTTTGCTGCCTTCCCCGCCGCCCTCCTCGCGCAGTATCCCGCCTTGGCAAATATCCCTTGGGACACCATAGGCGCCGACGACATCTCTTCTGGTGGTGGCGGTGCTGGTGGAGGTGGAGGAGACATTAGCGGTCGAAGCAGCTTCGACGCCAGCAGCGGCGCCGAACTGTGGGAGCTCGACGACGATCCAGATAGCGGCGGATACGTCAGCGGGCCCGGAACGGGCTTTGCACCTACTGCCTCGGGCTCGGGCTCGGGCTCGGGCTCAAATCTCCACGCGCATGTCGCTGCGTGGTCAGATGCTGCTGCCGCGTCGGCCGACTGGGCCAGCGATTACGGAGCGAGCGATTACGAGGGGAGATAGCGCGCCCTTGTCTGATATCACAGTAGTGATCATTGTTTAATTGTTTTATTTGGTTTAGCTGGTTTACTTGATTTATATGATTTACTTTTGGTTTTATTTCTGGGCTTAGTCTTTTCTTTTCTTCTTCTGTTTCCTTCTCTTCTCTTCTCGTCTTTCTTTTTGTTTTATTCCCTGTTGATTTGACATCATTACCGTCCATTCGTACGTACCTAGGTATGCCTATTTAACGTATGTAGTGTTTTTTTCTGTTTTGTTTCGTTTCGTTTTTGTTTTCGTTGCGTGTGTGCTTTTTTGTTTTGGGTCTAGTTACAGTTTATATCCCCGGCCTGTATTGCCCCATTTGGCTTTGTTTCCCGTCAGCTTTTTTGTTTTCAATCTTCTGGTCTTGAGCTATTGATTATATACTTGAGCTTAGCTTATTTATCTACCTTATATATTCCTGGTATTTATCTATACATTTACCGAAATATCTTGATCCTGCCTCAAAATCTGAAGTCTGTTAAAGTAATTGTATCACCTACGTTCGTAGTGTATGGTATGGTATGATATAAAAATGTCAATGAGACAAACCAGTCTATGAATCTATTGAGTATTGGGTACGGAGAACTTCTGATCCCTGTGATATGTCGAGAAAGACTATCGGAGCTCTATAGTGCATATTACTTTATCTTAAAACAAGTGGTAACTACCTAGGTAATTAAGGTGCGTCAAGAGTAATTAAGCTAGGTATGTTTGTCAGAGGGGATGGCTTTGGCTACCGAAAGGGACGGTAGTAAGCAAGCAAAGCAAGCGGGCAAGCAAGTGTGTACAAGTCCTCAATACAGGTGGGGGATGACGAGCCTAGCATGAGGGAAACAGAGCACGACAGTAAAAGAAAAAAGAAAAGAAAAGAAAAGGAAGAATGCAATGCAAAGCAAAGCAAGTTCTAGTACTTGGGGACAAAAATGAGGGGGAAAAAAAAGAGCAAGATGTCTACACGGCACGACGATTACGACTTCAGCTTTGTTTGCAACGCGACTAATTGCTCGACATGGTAGAGCCAGCGGGAGGCGAATTCGTCTTCGGAGAATCGTTTGGCGGAAGCTCGTGCGCGGAGGCGCATCGCAATGGTGTCGTCCCGGGAGAGCGACAGGGCTTCGTGGAAGCCAGATGCGAATTCCGAGGGGGTTGTTGCGTGGAAGCCTAGACAATAGGATGAGCATGTACTAAAGGGGATGTGGAACGTAAATATCTTACCGGTTGGCTTGCCTTCATACGGCACTACAATATCATGCTTTGGTCCTCCGCTGTTATTCACCACGCTGATGAGTCCTGCGGCTTGGTATTCGACGACACCGATGCCAAAATGCTCGTTCCACATGCCATTGACACCGACTGAGCTGCGGCGCAGCCAGTCAATGACTTCTGGCCATGACGCATCGCAGATAAACTCGACATGGTCCTTGATGTCAAGCTCTCGTGCCAGCAGTCGTAGTTCATAAACTCGAGTAGCGTCGTCGCTGTGTCGTACCGAACCAATGAGCACAAGCTTCGTTTTGCTGAGTTCGGCATTCTTCTTTGTCTTTTCAGAACGCAGGAATTCGGAAAATGCCCGCAAGATCAGAGTATGATTCTTCTCTGGTCGGAATTGAGCAATGTATAATAAAACCTTCTCGCGCACATCTTCTGTTGCCGGTGTCACCTCGATTTCTCGCTCCATCTCTTCAACCGCTACTGGTGGGAACACTACTCCGACTTCTGATGTTTTGCCCCGCTTCTTCCGACTGCCGTCCCACAAAGCACGGATATGTGCTTGCGTCCAGGATGAGTTGGTCATCACGACGTCAACGTTTCCTCCGACCCAGCTGTACATGTTCGCAAACAGATGCCAGTATTTTCTCTTCAGATAGCCCTTCAAGCCTGTCCCCGTCCCGGCATTGACTCCCTGTCCACCTTCGTCGAGCGAGCCCAACATGTCCGTGGAAATGGTCGGGTAATGCACATAGGCTCCAGCAGGCACGTCTGGGAAGAAATATTTGGAAAGTGCCAGCGTAAAAGCATAGCCCATAGTGTCAATGAATATATCAGGCACAAGGAGTGAAAAGGCATCGTAGGCGAGAACCAAGGATCCCAGGGATTGGCCAAGCAGTGTGAAATGAGGGTACGTGCTGCTCAAAACGTAGTGGCGAGTTGAGAGATAGATGAAAACAACGGTAGGCGCGTGAATATGTATACCAAATCGTTCCTGTGTTCCTTCGAGTCAGAATTTGTCCTCCTGTAACCTATCAAGCAGGCATCATTTACCTCTACCCTTGACAGTATCGTCGCTTTCTGAACATCATGGTCACCTGTATAAACTACACAAATAGCTTTCGGCCATCTTTTCTGAGTTGCTCTGATAGCAGCCCAAAGGACTCTCTCCCCTCCTCCTCCAGCATTGCTATCATCATTAGCCTTCCTGCTCGCGCTGACGTTTGCAGTTTCTTGTAGAGCTTACCAGAAGGGATGGAAGAACCCCACTATTCCTTCCCACGAATCGCCGGTCTCCCTGCTCTCTGAGGACGCGGCAGGGCGCGAAGATTCAACTCTTTCCCAGTCTTCATCCTCGATCCTCTGCAACACTTTGGATGTTCTCGTGTGCTGTTGGTCTTCCAATCTGACCTGTGCCACAAGAGCTGTTCGTCTATCAGAGCTTCGCCGTCTCAAGTACAAGCCTGCAAAGCGGCCGGCCAAACGCGCTGCCCACGGGGCGACAAGCACGCTCGAGAGGATGAGGCTTAGGAAAATTGAAAGCAAAATTCCCAACATTGTCAACGCTCGAGGTTGCTACTGACGCATCGTGGTATAATATGAGCGAATTTACAATCAAAACAGCTAGCTGTGGGGTTGATGTTTGGGCATTGGATACGTGTAGAGACCGATAAGTGGAGCTACCACTGCCGGTTAGTTAATAGGCCAGTTGAGTGGTCGGAGTTTAAAGTCACCGACATGACACAACTTTCGGAGTAACGTTAGGCTCTGGCACCCCCTGGACCCCTTTTTGGTTGCTGGCCGTCAAACGAGAGTGTCTCTTCTACTGAATTTCTCCATATCAGCCCTATCGGGGCTTATGTTCTACGATTTTAGGGTATACAGATGTCTAGAAGAACAAAGTCACATGGCAACCGTTGTGAAATCATGCTATAACCATGTACAAGTCGCACCTAAGACATACGCTTTTATGTTCCTGGGTGACCAACATGGCAGAGGGCCCTAGGTATCAGAGATCTAGATCCGGTTAAATTTGAATCTAAACTGCATCTCCCGAATATGTACACTATAAAAAACCTCTATGAATATATGAATATGCACTTGGGCCTGCCGTATGCTTTTAGGGTTAATCGAGGTCAGAGTCGCTCGGATGGATAATATTGGCCACCTCCGCCTCGACCATGCGGCGAGCTTCTGTCCCAGCCTGCTGGCCCAAGGTTTGGAGCCCAAAGTCTCGAAGATGGGGATATGACGTTGCCATGTCGGCCATCAATTCAACAAAGTTGTCATGCGCGTCGCGTTGATCAACAGTCCAGTTCTCAAGCGCTGTTCCGTGTTCATGGAAAGCATCAACCATTACCAATAACTCGGAAGAAAGAATCTCTTGACGAATTTCATCTTCAGCTTCCGGATCATCTTCGAAATCCACTTGTTCATCTCCTTCTTGCTCCTCAACCTCTTCCGAGCCGTGTTCTACATGCGTAGCTAAAGCAGAACTCTGGAGCATATGGTTAAGCATCGCAATCTGATCCCCGACCGTGCCGAATTCTCCATTTTCGACCTCAGAAGCCTGTGATCGCGAGCGCAACAGCTGTTGATATGCTGTTGCATAGCGAAGGGCTTGCAGTCTCTGCGCGCGTTGCATGACGGCCACCTCATCAACTCCAGAAGCGGCAATGGCTCTATCCATTTCTTCTGGTGGGAGATTTTGCGGGATCAGGGGATCATTGAGCTCAGTGTACCATGGGAAAATGCGTTGAAAGAAGTGATGTAAATCTCTCATCTCCTGGTGACTCTCTTCAGGAACATGGATTCCGGACCCTTCCTGGACAGATGAAGCACTGTACGAAGCTTTATTGTCGGCCGGGGGAAGAGGATCTGAGGCGGAGGTTGCTTGAGTGGTATAAGCTCGGGGAAGATGGCTAATGAGAGGCGGAAGATCGGTGAGGAGAACATGGCGGGCAAGATCCAAAGATATCGGATCGTGGTTTTCTGGAATGCTTTCTGAACTTTTCGTAGTCTCGACGACCTCTACAAGGAAAGTAATTGTTTCTGGAGTATTCCAGAGGTCCTTTGCTCTTAGAGCATAGAGCTCTGTTTGCAAGTTTTCCAAGTCTGTCCGAGGTAGTCTACCCCAAATAGATGGCGGTAGGCGATCAAGATTAAGCTCTTGAAAGAGACGGGCAAATATCCAGGGATATTTCTCAACTGAAGATTGCAGGGAGGCTCGAGCATCCTGGGGATGGCCGAGCTTCTTTTGCGCTAAAGAGGTCGAGATCTGAACATTCGGAAGCTTGTCCCAGTTTCCAAGATATTGCTGGACTTCAACTGCTGCTAGCAGAAACTGGGGCTGGTTCGCCCGCAACGCTATCTGGTCGATGACGGTGGCCATGCAATAATGGTCGCCAACAGGATCCAGACTGAAAAGAAGCTTTGCCCATTCAAAGGCCGTTCGCCATGTCCCACGCATGCCAAGGTTGTTTATATATCGCCAGCCAGCGAGCCAAAACTCGCGGTTCTCTGGTCGCCGGAAGTCCAGTCTGGCCTTGCCTTGAGACAGATTGCTGGCAAAGGTTGAATGTACAGCTCGGCCAAAGGAGAAAAGGGCCCGTTCGAGCAAGTCGCCAGATAGAGCATGATCACGATCTTGCTTTGCAATTTCTGAAACTTGAAGAAGGGTCGAAATATGATATGCTACATTTGCCATTAGTCAATCTTAAAGCTATAAGAACAAAAGGGGACATACGATTGTACTGCAGCAGACGCACCATCCGCGTCGGATCCATGGATAACACACATGAATCGAACTGCCTCTGCACATCCTGATATGCAGTATTGTGCACGAAGTTATAAGTGACGGTTCCATCATCGTTTTGGCCCTTCTGGGCTTCCATGCCTAATCCTCCACCTGTTGCTCGTGGCCATTCTTCCTTTCCTTGGAAAAATATATTTCTGCGAAGCCCTAACGAGCCTAGCCCGCGTCCACCGCGTCCACGCGCCCCTGACAAAGCGTCTGCCAGGCGCAGTTCCTGTTGACCTCTTCCTCGCCTCCTTCTTATATCTTGACCGTCTTCATCCTGGGCATCGCTTTGCAAGGCGGCGCGGCCGAAGAGCCGACGCATTTCATTTGTCACATTTAGCTGCGCAGTGTCGATAGAAAGCAAGTCAAAAAGCTTATTCCGAGCTGTCATTCTTTCACTTGCCCGTGCCATTTCATGATCACCTGTACCGCTGGATAACGATTTAAGGGCGATATCAATCTCGTCGAGTTGCGCCGCTCCTCCTCTGCCGGTATTGGGCGTTGCCGGCGACCTTGTGCTGCCGGAAGCATTACCGCTCTTGCCTTTCTTCTTCTTTTTGTTCTTTTTCTTCGTTGGGGCATCCTTCTTTCGTGTTTCGGACTCGGCTACGACCGTAGGAGGTTCTTCGTCATCATTGCTTACGGACTCTGGATAATCGTCTTCATCTCTGTCGCCTTCATTAAGCAGAGCAAATATATTCGGCTTCGACGTTGATCTGGACTGTGTTAAAGCTTCCTCTTCTTCCTCTGATTGCTCCGCCTGAGAAGATTCCGGTTCCGCTAGCTTCGACAGGATCTCTTGCTGTTCACGCTCCTTTTGAGCTTTCCGAAGGGCTCGAGATGACATGGCTAGAGACACAAGACGAAATTTATCTGCAAAGTGACACCGGCCCACACCAGGCTCATCCGCCGAAATAGAGAGGCTTGCGACTTGATGCTGATGCCGTTGGTATGAAAATAATAAATTGTTGCATCAACTGCAAGTGCTATGACGCACCGCGGGGTGAAATTTACCGATTGCATGGTCGGCTCGCTAATCATCTCTCCGAGTGATTCCCTGGTTCCAACTCTATCGCCATTTCGACAAGTTCGTCAGCTAAACGTTCAATTTCCTTACTGGACTCTCTTAGCTACATCAGATGATACGAGTAGCAATTGAATCTTTATCAACAACCTTGAGAGGAATATCATGAAATGATCAATCCTCTGGATTACCTTTCTAGCCGTCGCCATTTCATTTTTGCTTGAGGTAGTCTTAGCTTGCTCTACACTGCTCAACCATTAACAATGCCCGATTTTTTATGAATCTGTCCTGCGAAGTTGTGCTTTCTCCCTTCTTCATGAAAATTAATACAAAGCTGTCTTTTCTCCAAATTCTCAACATTCTAGCATACGTTGCTGTCCTCATGACTTCAAGATTCTCAAATTTCTGATTAACGACCATATCTGCTCTAACAAAAGCTGCTCTTCTTCATCGCCACTGCGTGGATTGGAAGTCCCAGTATACTCTCTGTACAGGATGGAGAAGAGTGGGATGCGGTACAGCAAGTAGTCAACCCGGTGGTACTGCTGGACATTTGGGAATATCCTCGGACGACAAATTCCCTGTATGGATGAACGCTTGCCATCTATGCTCTTGCATCCATGAGGTCTTCCGCTCCGAATTATTAGCGTGTCGTGGCACGATCATTTTGGTTTGTCATCTGACAGTGCACGAAATCTTGACGGGTAAGCGGGGTCACGTTGAGTCTACGATAGTGCTTGGCAGCAATGATTGCCAAGCTAGACCGCCAATTCATGTTGTACAAATTTTAAGCATAGTGGTGTTTCATGGCCATGCTTTCTTTCAAAGACTCGCACGAGGTGGCGTCCCACTATTATGCCTAATCCGACAGTTTGCATGCTCAGTTTCAAAGTTGGAGTATTTTCTCCGGATGCCACGAGTTGGCGGAAATGAGCTTCAAGCTCACCACTGACCTTATAAGAAGCGGCTTGCCAATTTTGCTGATTAGAGATATCTCATTTATCGAATGACTTTGGTCGCAGCTGATATAGTGACTTTGTCGATTCTCTTCATGTTTTCAAGAGGAGAAAATTCTTGAATTATCTGGGCACCTTTCGCTGATAACTTCTCCGTTCTAGCGCATAGGTCAGAGTGATTTTCGTTGGGTCATTGCGGAGACTTAACTACGACAATGCTCGGAAAGGGCGCTCAGCATTTGGTAAGATATATGAGACATGATTCAAAGCTCCAGAATCATTTTTTTCTTTTTAGTTCAAAGCGGTGATCATTTTCCTTTTCGTTGTTTGACCGCCAATTTGCGCACTCTTTGTTGAGGCATGTCGGATGAATATCATCGTCTGGTTGGGCGTCATTGCGTGGCGTGAGGGAGCCGCAGTGCGGCCCGGCTGCCGGATGAAACAATGCACAGTCCAGATTGATAGTTCTCCTCTACCACATCACCTGTTCCAGCCTCAACTTTCGACAAATACTCAATGTTACTCGAAGATCTGAGATTCTCAGTATTCTCGACTGAACTCCTTCGAAACTTAGCCTCCCTCCTTTCCTCCACCTTACAGCAGCTTGGAATTTTTTTCGCCGGAGCGGCTTTTGCAGATAATATGCAGCGAATTCTGAATTCCTCGGCCACGCGGTTCGCAGAATTAGCGCAAACTCTCCCATCCCTCATGCTCATCCTTTTCCTGGAAACGCTGCCTCGTAGATTCGAGAGCGAGATCCGATAGGGAGGCTGCAGGAAGCCCCTTACTGCGATCAGATCCACTCATTTTCCAAATTCATAATTCTGTCGCAAGCGCAGCCACCTCAAGATAAGGGTTGGGTAATGGACTTGTGCGCAACACCCCTTGAAGCTTTTAGATTCAGACTCTCGACAATGCCTGTGAACCAGTGGTTCACGCTTGAAGGGAGGATGGCTATCTGCCGATTTGCTCAAGTGACACAGAGCGCGTCCCATTCGCGGCCTCCTTTACTCCTATCATGTAGGATGGATTGCACCGAGATTTATCTATGTATTGCCCGCTGCTCCCTATTTCTTTAAAGGACTCTCCGCGTTGAGCGTGCCATTATTTTCATGAGACCCGGCGTCTGTTCTTTCAGTACTGCTTGACAATTCTATTTTATTTCTTTCTTTGTATGTCAAGTATTTTGCAAGTCAATGGACAAAGCTATTGAGGCTGGTCCCACTGGGACTTATACCATCCAGCCTGAAATCAAAACTCCAACAGACAAGGAAACGGCTATTGAATCAACCGGATCAACCCCTCTGTCAGAGACGGGGAATGAGCTTCGGACAGCAGCAGATGGAAAGACAATATTGATTCCACAACCTTCCAATGATCCGGACGACCCTCTAAACTGGTCGCCCGCCAAAAAGCGTTGCATCCTAGGCGTGCTCTGTGTGGCAGCCTTGCTGACAGATTGGGGTATGACCTGGGGAGCGCCATTATTTCAAGCCCAAGCTGTAACCTGGAAGATGAGCGTTCAAAACGTGAGCGCAAGCTTGAGCGGCGGTATTTTTCTTCAAGGTGCTGGCGGTCTTTTTGCTGTTCCCTTGACCCAGAGATTTGGACGGTATGAATCCGATGAATGGCGTGTCCAAAATGGTTGCACTCGGAGACTGATTCAATCTTTCACAGACTTCCTGTCCTATTTTGGTCCCAATTTCTCTCATGCATAATTGTGATAGCCGCATCTCTAGCTCCCACGTACGCCGGCTTCACTGCATGCCGCACTATCCAAGGAATTGTCAATACTGCTCCGCAAATTATCGGTCTCTCCATCATTCATGACATGTACTTCTTTCATCAGCATGCCCGAAAGATCAATATATGGGGTGCATCTTTCTTGCTTGGTCCATATCTTGGCCCCTTCATCTCTGGCATGATTATTACAAAATTAGACTGGAGAGCTGATTTTGGTATCCTGGCGGCCTTCTACGGGTTCAGCTTTATCCTGATCATTCTTCTTGGAGACGAAACGTTGTATGATCGCGGCGAAGAGAAACAACAGCTTACGTCTACAACTGGCGTTGTTCGAAAACTCCAGCTCCTAAGTGGCTTCGCTGGAGCAAGAGCTAAAGGACGGCCAAGTGTTATCACGAGTTTCCTGCATACTCTATCTATTGGCATCCGACCTCATGTTTTTCTCATCTGTAAGCCCAGGATATTGTTGAACTTTGGGGAAAGTAAAAACTGACTCTCCACTCCAGCATTCACCTTTTATATGTTGGCCAATATGTGGGCAGTCGGCCTTGCTACAACTATCCCTGTCCTGGTCCATCCACCCCCGTATGAGTTTGGCCCTAAGGCAACGGCACTTCTTTATCTAGCTCCTGCAATTGGGGCTTTCGTTGGTGAGGCATGGGGCCATTTCTTCAATGAGTTCATTTTCCGATCTTACTTGCGTCGCCATAATGGTAAATGGCTGCCGGAACAAAGATTATGGGCCGTCTACCCCTCGGTCATTGTCACAGTTTGCGCTTTGGTCTTGATTGGACAATGCCTTGAACGGGGTCTGCACTGGGTTGGCCTGGCTTTTGGGTGGGCCATGTACAACGTTGCGGCGGTCACTGCCACTGTCGCCATCAGCGCTTACGTCTTGGACTGTTTTCCCTATCATGCCGCCCTCGTGTCAAGCATTGTCAACTTTTGGAGAACTACAGGCAAGTCATGCATTCATCCTATATCATTTCTTATCGGGTTATTTATTTTTTTTTAAGATATCTCTGGCTGACTCGAATAAATGATATTAGGTGGGTTCTGCGTCGTATATTTCCAATTCAAATGGGTTGAGCACAATGGTGCTGCGGTGACGTTTGGATGCCAAGCAGCCATCGTTGCTGGCGGGTTCCTTGGTGTCATTGCAACCCAGATATGGGGACCTAAATGGCGTGAGATGTTTCCGCCTCCCGCAGCAGAAAACTGAACGCACGCATTACCGGATTATACAAGATATAGAGCAATGGACGAATTAATTACTAGTATCATTATCGTCGTTCGCAATCAGATCACCGTAGATAAATTTGCTGTTTAGCAGCCTCACAATTACATTGAAACCAAAATATGGGAAATACACCGCAGCCAGTTATTCCCAGCTGTAAACTGCAAAAGGCATGAGGTGCCACTCTTACTATGAGTTCGAGTTTCTGATTTGAACTTTGATCGGATCTCTTCCACGGTCTACTCTTTCTTTGCCGAGGTTATAGCTAAGATCTAGGTAAAGAAGGCTCCACGGGTGTCGTGCAGCGGAGGATAACTTTAACTAAAGTACCTGGGAGTTGTAGTCTATCTAAGGGGAAAGCTTGAATATTGTCGCGTGCCTTTTACCTCGGTCAGAGGGGTGACAGTGTTCACGGTACTTCTGTGTACCAGGTCTTCACCATCGTTAAAGCTGACTTCCAAAGTACAAAGTACCTCGGTGGACAACTCGTCAACTTTAAACCACCCGAACCCGGGATTACGTACCAGGGTATCGCCGCCCCAGTAATCCCCAGAGTGACCTAAACGGTTGAGAACTGAAACACCATCAATAATCTACGAGTACCATAAAGGACATCTCCACCCAGGAGCACTTCTTCAGCAGCACAGTCAACTGCCAATCTCCACTTTGACTGTAGCCGCTTCGTCGACGGTCTTTGATCCAAATGCGTCGTGCGACGGTGCAGGCTTTTCGCACCGCTCGTCGCGCTTCCTTCCACAGGAAACTCGGTCGCGGCCGGTACGGGCCGGTTTCATCATCGAATCTAGTCCAGGGGCTCCGATCAATTTCATCTGGTCGAGAACATGGACGGCTGTCACCTTTAGCATCATCGTCATCAATGTACTTTCGGAACTTTTCTCTCGCTCTGATTTCGACCGTTGTGCTCTCTGGAGCCTGGTACTCCTACCGAGATAACCCCTCCATCCTCGAGAGGGGTCTGCACGACCGAGCCAACGCATCTACGAGTGCTTCGAGCGCACAGCATTCAAATAGTGAGCTAACCGCCTCCAACGTCTTTTCGACTGCCCCCAGCTCCGGACCAAGCAAAGCCACAGCTGACGAGGCTGCCTTGGCCACCCGCCGCGCGGTCGTCGTTGAACCCGATCAATTCTATACCGGTTCTATTGTCGGTGATGAGCCTTTGTCCAAGGAAACCGATGACGCGGGCCGAAAACTCCTGGAGATGTTGACACCTGACCAAGCGACCCAAAAATTACGAAGAAATGAAGAGTCTTACCTTGTGGGACGTGGAAGAGGTGTCGTGCGTTACGACGTTGTCCAGATTCCCAGCAACGACCCGATCGAGGACGACCACGCCGAGAAGATCGTTGAGGTGCCCCAGACTGTTGCTGCGACAGAAGATGGCAGTGCAAGCAGCGATTGGATGTTTTGGGGCGTCTTCGATGGACACAGGTTTGGAACCCTCAGATCTATCCTATACTATTGAGATGCTGACCAGGTATCAGTGGCTGGACAACTTCAGCAAAGCTTCGCCAAGTGTTGATCTCATTTGTCGCGCGTGAGCTGAATGCAACATACAAGTCCGCATTGACTAACCCTGCTTCCTCTGTTCCGTCTCCTGAATCCATCGACACAGCGATCAAGAAGGGTTTCCTTAAGTTGGACCACGAGATTATTCACGAAAGCGTGGAAAAGGTTATGAAAGCGAACGCTAAGCGTGTTGCAGCTGAGCTTCTTGCGCCTGCTCTTTCTGGATCATGTGCCCTTCTGTCTTTCTACGATAGTCGATCAAAGCTACTGAGAGTAGCATGTACCGGTGATTCTCGGGCTGTGCTTGGCCGGAGGGGGGCAAGCGGCAAATGGACAGCGACACCGCTCTCTGTGGATCAGACAGGCAGCAACGAAGAGGAAGCAGCTCGACTTCGACGTGAGCACCCTGGAGAAGAGTACGTTGTTCGAAATGGCCGCATTTTAGGAGGCTTGGAACCTAGCAGAGCGTTTGGAGATTCATTCTACAAGTGGACCAAGGAGACGCAGGAACGCATTAAGATGTCATTTTTCGGTCGCACACCTTCGCAGCTACTACGCACCCCTCCTTATGTTACTGCTGAGCCCGTCATCACAACAACTCGCATCGAACCCGAAAAGGGCGATTTTGTGGTCATGGCCACTGACGGATTGTGGGAAATGCTTTCCAATGAAGAGGTCGTTGGACTTGTCGGCCAGTGGCTCGAACATCAAGCTCAGAATGGGAATGCCAATAAGAACAAGTCATGGATAAAGAGCTGGTTTAGCGCCGAAAAGGGCCTTCCCATTGAGAAGGACGACACCGACGCGTCCAAGAGCGGCCAACGGGCACCTGTTCGACAACGTCAATGGGGTGTCAGTCCATCGCAGGATGACCGGTTTACTGTTGAAGACAAGAATGCTGCAACGCATCTCGTCCGAAATGCCCTTGGTGGCAAGGACAAGGATATGGTCTGCGCGTTGTTAACATTGCCCAGCCCTTACTCCAGGCGATATAGGTAAGTTGGATTCTAGTAATCTCATATGTGAGACATATTTTATATACCCCTCAACTAACGATTGATACACCAGGGATGATCTTACTGTTGAGGTTATCTTCTTTGGTGAAGGCGACAAGAGTGGCAATGTGGTCTTGAACGAAGAAGCGAGTGCGTCAACATTTGATACCAAGTCGAAACTCTAGATGTGTTTACTTTGTCTTCTTATCTCCCTGCCTCTACAAAGACTTAAATTCCGGCGGTATTTTCGATTATGCTCAACAGCGTTTTCGTCATTCTATAACGATCTCCCCGACGGCCCTGAGTGGCGGGTGTTCGGCGTCATGGATTGCGCCTTCTAAGGCATGCCAAAGATCAAAGTGAGATTATACTCTTGATTGATACCAAACTTCAAGATCATCTTTGCCCTGCAAGAACTATCTAGAATATCAGACGGCGTCCCATAACTTTTTCATGTATAATTTTAGCGTGCTAGCTCTCTGGCACCTTGCAAGTCTTAGACTCAAGCTGTCTCCTTTTTTTTAGGCAACAAAATACCTGCGTTAAAAATAGACAAGGATCTTTCTCATGATAGCCTAACAAGAAATGTGTATTTCACTGGTTCATCTATTGACTTCTTTCTCATGGGAAGTTGCGTGGCTTAAGCGACGTCATCTTCCGACCCTCTCTGGCGAGACTCCCGTTCGTAAGTTTTGATGTTGCACCCCGCGATCAACAAGCGCCTCAGGGTCCTGATTAGATCCGCCCACCTCTGATCGCGAAAAGTTGACCACCTAGAACATCAACCCGACTAGAAGAATTGCCGACGTCAAAAGCAAACTCCTGCGCAGGAACCTCTCAGAGTCGAAAGTCTCACCAGTCGCGTTTTTGAATCCGGCACCATAGCTGCAGAAGCTTACACATAATCTGCCCGGTATCCTATCGCTGATTGAGACCTTACTGTTGACTGCGCGTCACTCAAAATGATGACCTCGTAAGTGACAAGACAACAAGATTACTATGTACTCGCTCTGCGGCCATGAAAATGTGCTTTCCAAGAGGAAAGCCTATTCCAGCCAGGATAAAGGTCCAAGTACCTAGCTACGAGGCGCAGGCCGATATGCTCGCATCTCCTCCTTCCATACGAAGATGCTGATCTGGATTTATGGGTTTTTTTCTAGGAATAGCAATATTCTCTATATACCCTTCCGTCGTGCTACTCCCGTCACTTTCAGCAATGCCATCAAGCAATACATTTCAACTAAATATGACCAGCACCCGGATATGTTTGCGCAGGACCTCGACGTGATCGATCGGTTACGCAATGATGCCATACATTCTCTCGAGCCTCATGTGAGCGGTGTAAGAAAGCTCATGGCGTATGCTGCGCAGCTGGTCTGGGTTTCGGGGAAATTCCCTATCGATGTGAGTGGTCTCTGGGGAAGTTCTGTGGGCTGTTCCAGTTTGGAAGACTGATGAAAGATTTCCATAGATTGGTGTTGATTTCACATGGTACCCGGCACTTGGCTATAACACGCAACGGCCTGGTAGGTTCTTGCTCGTGTAGAGCATTCCTATATCCGAGCTTACCTTTATAGTTTCCCAGAATAATCTCCGCTTTGAGCTTGCAAATGTTCTTTTTAACTTAGCTGCTCTATATTCGCAGCTTGCGATATCCGCGAATCGAAGCACGCCTGATGGCCTTAAATCGGCCTGCAATTACTTTTCTCTTTCGGCCGGTGTCTTATCTCATATTAAGACGAATGTTATACCCGACCTACGGTCAACGCCGCCCGAGGACATGGATATTATGACCTTGGAAAGCCTGGAGCATCTGGCCCTTGCACAAGCGCAAGAATGTTTCTGGCAAAAGGCAGTAAAAGACGGTCTGAAGGATGCTTCCATTGCAAAGCTTGCTGCAAAAGTTTCCGACTTTTACAATCAAGCGGCAGATTTTGGAACGAGATCCGATACCATCAGCACCGAATGGCTTCACCATATGACTGCGAAACACCATCATTTCGCTGCGGCTGCTCAGTATCGAGCGGCATGTGACTGTTTAGAAAAGCGAAAATACGGCGAAGAAGTTGCAAGGCTAAAGGACAGTCTCACTTGCGTAAATGAGGCACTGAAAGAATCAAGATGGGTCAATAAGGTTGTTCTCGAGGACTTGAACGGTCTAAAGAGTCGAGTACAGGAAGATCTCAAGCGCGCTGAGAAAGATAATGATATTATTTATCTAAGTAATCACCCCCAATCCCACGGCCTTGTAGGCACTAGCTAACAAATACAGTTCCTGTTCCACCCAAGTCCGAGCTGAAAACGCTTGACCGAGCTAGCATGGTTGCGCCAAAGGTACCAAAAGAAGTTTCGGACCCGCTCTCCTCTCTTGGCGATCATGGTCAATTTGGACAGCAGCTCTTCGCTCGGCTGGTGCCTTTCGCTGCTCACGTCGCGGCAAGCATCTATGTTGAAAGGAGAGACAGGCTCGTCAATCACAATATAATAGGTGATCTTGAGATTATGACGGGCAAGATCCACGAGTAAGTACTCGCTCAAATACCTAGAGAACCTTCCTCTAGAAATTTTGCTAAAGTTGGACACAGCACACTTCAATCACATAATCTGCCGGGCTCTCTCCAGGCTCTGGAAAGGCCACTAGGCCTGCCTCCTGGGCTTGTTGCGCATGCCGAGGAAGTACGTCAACAAAATGGCTTTGCTCGTCTGCAAAGATCAGTCCAAGACACGACCACGTTGAAAGAGAATGACAAAGGCGTCTTCGCAGAGGGCGTAGAGCTCCTGAAGATTGAAGCAGCTGAAGATGAGAAAGCGAGGCTAAAGCATGGAACAGCTCGATGGACTCGAGAACCCTCGAAAATAGCTGCAGCGAAGCTGTATGCTCAGATTGATGAAATTGATGGCTATTTGAAATCAGCCAACAGCAGCGATGAATTGGTCAAGAACAAGCTGCGCGAATGGGAGGATATCTTGCGACTTTTGAGCGGGACCGATCATGACTTGGAGGAGTTCGTGCCGAGCAGCAGAAGAGCTAAGCTGACGCCCAAGGTTGAACGGGACGCGGCAAATCTTCGGGCTGTTCTTGATGATTTGAGCCGTGTGGAGAGCCGACGGAGGCGGCTGGTTGAAAAATTGAAAGAAAAGGCCAAGCTGGACGACATCAGTGAGTGCACACCACACTCAAGTTCATATTTTGGGGCACAGGAAACTGATTTTCAATATACATAGATTCAACAATCCTCGCGGAGACAAGCCGTCTAGAGAGAGAATTTCCTATGCAAAAGATTGAGCCGGGCCAATTCGAGAAAATCTTTGATGAACGACTAACGCGTTATGACGCGGATCGAGCGTCTCTGACAGAGGAACAGGAAGTGCAAGATCAGCTATTAGCGCAATTGGAAGAAGCAAACTCCGCACTCCTTGCCGCTCGGAAAGGCGATCCATCAACAAAAGAGCGAGAACAGGCTTTGCAAAAGCTCGAAAATGGATACTTCAAATACAAGGAGATTATATCCAATCTCGACATTGGGCGCAAGTTTTACAATGATCTTGCCAAGATTGTCAACCGGTTCAGAGACGAGTGCAAGAACTTTGTGTACCAGCGCCGCATCGAAGCCGGTCAGCTTGAGTCGTAAGTCTTCTCAGTCATCATCTCCCCACTCTGTAACAACCTTCTCTTTCGACTCAAGCAATTTTGAGTAAACCTTCACTAACCAATTCGCTCTCTTGGTTCCTTGGAAACAACAGAGATCTGACAACAGCAATGGCATCCCTCAGCGTCTCCCAAACACCCTCAGCTGCATCTATGCTTCAGGAACAAAAGCGCCAAGAAGCAGAACGACTCTCACTCGCCTCCTCAAACTCTCCACGTCCAAGTACTGACCCCATGGATCTGGATCAGCAACACCCGCCATTGACGGCCCCTGTGCCGACAAGAGCGCCCGTTGCTCCTCCGCCGGTCAACGCCGGAATCTGGTCTCCGGACATGGGCATCCGATTCGGCGGCGGTCCACCCGCACATCCCTCCCCTGGAGGTGGAGCTCTATCCACCTCCTTTGCGCCCCATCAACAGCCGCCAGGTATAGACAATTCGACTAAACCACTGCCCAAGCCCGGGACTTGGGATCCTAGTCGCGGGTGGCAGTTTAGTTGATGGCCTTTGTGATTTTATTCTTCATCTCAATTTATCTTTATTTTAAAAAAAATTTTATTTTATTTCATTTCATTTCAAATCTCTTTTTTTTTTTTTTTTTTTTTTTCCCTTAAATGAGTTTCGCTGGTCACTTTTTCACTCCCCAAGTTTCGCTCATTGTGGCTGAGTTTGTGCATTTTGTATGCCAAGGGCCGGAGACTGATGTACCTCCGCATGCTCGGCTTGGTCACTTGTTTACCGAGCTTCTCATAGAAGCGACGAACCCTGAGAGTCGTTGACCCGCGGTGGAGTGGTGTGGAGTGGTGAGGGGGTTTCAAATATATCCTGTCCCAAGGGAACTTATCTCCTATCCTATCTTCTGGCTCTTCCCGGGACCAAACAAGGGCCTTATTTGGATTAAAATTCAAAGTGGTTCGGAGGCATAGTTTTGGATCGTTGCAATTTTATTCTCGGTTTCTATTCGACTTTTTCAGTCTGTAGAGCTTACAAAGTTTGTCCGAAAAACCACATAGACGATACCATTGTACATATCTAGATATAATACAGTTTTACAAGATGCGATGTAATATTGATTACCTCAACTGCCGTACCATTGTCTCACAAAGGCGCATAGAGAGTACTTGTTTATAAAAGTTGTGAATTATCATTGCACGTAGATTACTTGACTCTAGAATCAGAGAAAAGATTACAAGCAAACTAACAAAAAAACTAGCCATATAGAAAAAAGAAGAAATTCCAATTCCAAATACAAGACTAGTCATTCACAGCAACAAGAAGAACAAAAAGGATATATCAAGGAACTGCAAGTATATGGGCAAGAAGAGTAGATAAGAAAAGGGTGGGGGGAATAGAAAAAAGAGAATCGTAAAAACTGGCTTGAAAGATACCTGACAAGATATATAATGAGATGAGAAGCATAACCACATCTAGCGTCTCAGGTGAAATACATGCGACGATGGCGTGAACGCCACCGAGAAAACCGCGCTCCAACAAGCGCCAAGAAGCGAGACGAAATCAGATATATCAGAGACGAATATATCGATTTATAAACTGGACGAAACACCAACTTTTAAATATTTTTTTCAGAGGGTCTGTGGAAGCGGCGCGACGACCTTAGGCGGTCTCTGCCTTGGACTCGGCCTTGAGGTCGGCAGAGGTGCCGACGCCGTCTTTGCCGGCAGAAGTACTTCGGGAGGCATCGTCTGCGGACGCAGCGTTGGCGGAGTTGAACTTCTTCCACATGTCGGCGATCTCGTCCTTGGAGCCATTCTTCTCGGTGATGAGGTTCTTCAACCACTTGTTCTCCATCTCAAGCTGGCCAATACGAGTCTCAAGCGAGGTGCACTTGTCAGTCATCTCCTTGGCGGTGCGTTCGAGAGCCTGCTCTCGCTGCTTCTTCTTGACCCGGAATCGGGCGCTGGCTGCGGTGTTACGACGGCGCTTGTCCTCCTCGGCCGCGAAGCGCGATGTATCCTCCAACAGAGAATCGTTCAATGCACCAGCCTTGCGCTTGTCTCCAGTTTGAGGCTCGATCGGGCTGGAAGCCGCAGGGCTGTGAACAGCAGAGTTGGGGTGGTATGGGCTGGGTTGAATAGGCTGGTGTTGTGCGTGGTGCTCCTGAGCGCGATAGTGGTGAGGCTGCTGGGTGTTGGGCATAATGTGGGCCATGCCGCTGAAGTCCGGGAACTGGAATTCTTCTACAAGACAAGTCAATAGGCAGCGCTTGGAGACCCATCTCTATGGGGTCTTAGTATATCATGCTCTTGAGGCACATACCACCTAGGAATTCGGCTCCTTTGGCAGCCGGCACATTGTCCGGTGAAGATGCTTCCTGAGCATTGGCGCTGTAGTAGGACTGCTGGTTTGGCTGCTGGTTGACAGTCTCGCCAATATCAAAGTCGAAGAATTGGGCGTTGGTGAACAAGGCCAAATCGTCGTCGAGATTGAAGTTCTCTTGCTGTTGCTGCGCAGCGACCTCGTAGGGAGATGGAATCGTGTTCAAGTTGGCAATGTATTGCGAGACATTTGGGGCTCGACGTCCGGTGAAGTTGGACATGATGAGCACAGAGGCCCTTATTGGGAGGTCCTTTGAGCCAAGATGATGAGGATGCTGACGATGATGCGAATAACCGTCCTGATGGCGGCGATGAGAAATGTCTTGTAATCTATTGCTAATGGTGCGGGGGAGGGTGGATGAAAGAGCAAAGAAACGGATGTCGAATGGCAGCGGCGGAAAGAAGGGAAGGATTAGGGCGTGAACGTATGTGCGTGTGTCCCAGCACGAGGCGAGGGCAGGGGGGGGGGGGGGATTGTGAGTGGACAGAACCAGCAGGATCAAAGAAACTGGTGAGTAATAGTGAGGGAAATGGTGTGCCGATGGTTTAGCCGTAGTGGGGCAAAACGATTTCGTGATTGATCAGCACGGTGGGGGCTTCTTTGCCTGTTCCAACAACTTCAAGCAATCACAGCACAGATTAGCCGACTTGATCCCTTTTTGTGCACAAGTATAACCCGGTACGTACCAATTGTACAAGGCCGCTTGTAATTTTTATTCGTCATTAGCTTGACATACACGGAGGTACCCGGCACCATGAAACCCTTTGCCCCACCGTACGTGTATAGAGCAAGAGACCCTTCTGAGATTGCTTGGAGCAAAGACTGGACAGCAAGTAGAAAAGAAATGATGACATTATTTCTTTTCGCATCGAGGTAAGTTATTTCACAAAAGATTCAAATCCACTTGATAAACAATGACGATAACTCTGAGTGCATGGTTTCTTTGAACATTATTGACAAAGTATTAGCCCTACAAGTCACTAGAAGACGAGGAAGGGCGCGATTCTAGTCCGGGTAGGCATTTGCGAAAAGTTTCCGAATGCAGAGGGTCGAACACGGTCGCCTTTTCCCGAGATCGGAGACGTTACCCGAGCCTTTACATCTAATCAATCTATTCGGTCAGAGATCCCTATCTCTAGTGGAAATTCAAAGTTCTCCATGCCGGAGTACTTCGGATTAGTCGATGATGATGATTACGACGGCTCAACGTCTTCTTCTGCTTACGAGGAAACAGGATCATGACAAGCGGATCACTTGTACTCGTATTCCATGCTAGGGCTGCTGTCCACGGAGTATCCAGAAAGTCGATCGCCGAAGACCGTTCATTTCGTGGGCTCCGCGAGAATAATACCTGCCTCGTAGATTATTGCTGAGTTAAGTCTAGCACATTGAAAAGAACCACGCAATGGCTTGCATATACAAAGGAACTACGGAGTATACCTGCTTACAGAGCCCACTTGTATCCCAAAGTCAGAAAACATACAGAGTAGGGGAATCCAAGTTCCGCGCTGGGGGCTGCCAATCTCCTCGGCCATCACCTGCCATGGAATATTTGAAAATGAAGAATGTCATAACTTAGCTAGTGGGCCCATTATTCCCTGTTCTCATGGCCCAGGTCTGCACAATCTGTCTGGTTACCTTCGTAAAGTACAAAGTAATGTCTTTTAGCATAACTTTGTGTCGACTTATGACAAACTAAGTGCTGACACATCCAACCGTTTGATTACATAATTATCGCACGCGTTCATGGAAACTGCACGCGACGCGATCTGGGGACAGGTGAAGCACAGGGCCATACAGCAACATGATTCAATGTTAATAAAAACACATAGGAAGATATCTTGTTGATGGCCACGAAAACGGTACCCTCGCTCACAGGACCGATCAATTGCCTTTCTTGAAACTCCGTCATCTCATGGAAGGGATGCGCGGATGGCCCCGCGACCGCGCTTGTCACTGCCCACGGCAGCGCCTCTTCCACACACTCTTCGCCTCCCCGCCGACCATTCCTCTGTTTTACGAACGTTAAGCAAGCTTTCTCGGTCATCATTACTTGCGCTTGTGCAACAATGGCTGCGACAGCCGGATAAGTCGCTATGTTCGCCTTGTCTCGCCGAGGATGCTGAAAATAATGATGCCGACGATGACATTTATCCATTAGCACAGAATACGGAAGAGTTGCAAGACTTGTATTTGAAGCTACAGGAGCGGAAAAGCGGAAAAAGAGACGTTATTGATCGCATCCTTGAGGGCGACTGGCGACAGGGTATTACACTATATCAGCTTGCTACAGCTGATCTACTTTACCTACTGGAGCACAACTCCTCTCAAAAATGGACAGCAATGAAATTGGCATCAATTGCAGGCCAGGATGATAACCTTACGAGAGAGGCCAAGGAATCGCTTCCCCGGTTCCATGCTCCTACATTTTTACGCAATCTCCAATCCGAAGTGGCACCACTCGTGAAAGCACACTATTACCTTGCGCGTGTAGAGCCACTGTCACTGGCTATTCTTCGGGTTCATATTCATGACTCTCCTTACAACAACCAGCGATCCATGCTTGACCACCTATCAAATGGTGCTCAGACATCTGGAGACGGATCTAGAGTTCTCTACGTTGTTTTTCCTGACAATTGTCCAATGGTTTACATCTCGTTGATTTCATCTCCAGGGCAAGCCGCTGGAGTGGAAGGTCGTAATCTTCGAAGAATGGTTATCGAGGTACAAATTACATGTTTAATCGGGCTTGTTTCAATACTAACAACCTCTGCAGGCTTTACCAAGAGCATTCTCTCGCTCAAGAGCTCGATATAGCTTGGAGTCAACTTCTCTCACTGCGAGGTCCTTATCAGCACTTCTTGCCCTTCGGGGCCCGGGACGAGGTAATAATGCGGCTGGCGGGTGGAGCATCTTTGCCGAGGGGACTGTTGAAGATAGCCCGCTGAATCATGTCGAGCCAAGTATGCGAGAACCCATAGCGAATGAGGATTCAGAGCATAACTCCGACAATGAGAAAGTTGGTGACTCCATCCCAGCCAAACTTCAAGCAATAGGGTTGCCGGCTGCTGATGAGGCAACCAAAAAGCGACTCATCGAAATTGCAGGAGGGCGCTTTGGCTGTACCGGATTGGAAGGGGACGGTAAAGGTATCGAGCGGCTGGATATTCGACTTAAAGATCAAGGGTCTCGTGACGAGCAGCCGTCTGAGTCTCGATTGTCATTACAGCAAGGAACAGAACAAGATTCGCTATTGAAAACATGGAGTCCACAGGTACAATTGGCTTTTCACGGCTCTCACGTAATCGCTGGCATCCGTCGGCTTGTCGAGACTGGCGCAGTCGATGGTGAAAAGATGCCAAGCTGGATGACTGGCGAAGCAGGTGTTAGTGTCGGTGTCGTACAGGAGGGAAAGATCAAAGATGACAATCCTACCGTCTAAGTCCGGCGTGGTGACGCATTTCAATCTGATTTCGCTGTAGACTTTTTTGTACATGGCGTGGTGGGTAAACAATAATGGGGTCCGGCGCGGGCATAGCTTTTCAAGGATTCACTTGGAATTTACTGCTGGCAGGAGGCGCTCTCATATCGGAACACCATAGATATTTATTCAATTTCTTGGACTTTAGGTACATTTTGTACTTGCGACGCCTCGGTCTTATCGCTGCCGCTTCTATGATGTAGTATGACGGTTTTGTGTACGTACCTTAAATTTTGCCGCTGTCAACCGAAGGCGGTGAGACACTCACGCTTCCCTTGTTCAAAGCGTTTCGCAGATAGACACTGTTAGTTTAAACTTATTGAAGACATAGGAACTGCGTTACTCAAACGTAAAATTGTATGTCTTTCCTTTTACGCGGCTCTACGCGATTTATTTCTGCTTCAAATCTTCGAATCACCGGCAGTGAGAAAGCACGGATTGCGTCGCAAGTTTTACCTCTTCACCTTCAGAAAGCGCAGTTGCCGGCCGTTGCAAGTTACACGAGGACGAAAAGTTGGACAATGGCACCACCCTACTATTTTTCTGGATACTGGCTGACATGGATTCAAATAGTGACAAACACAGCACAACCGCCGCAACAGCCGGAAATACCCGATGTCCTGAGCGAGAAGAAGCTGAGATATGTAGATGTCGGTTCGCACCCAGCTGGTTGATCATACGCCATTCCCTCCAGCTCATAATGCTCGCCGAATTCTACAATATAAGAAGAATATACGCTGAGTCTTAAGTAATACAGATTGGAATCAACCTTGGCGATCCCATTTTTCGAGGCGTCTATCATGAAAAGCAAGCGCACGACGATGACTTCCATGATGTCGTTCAACGGGCTGTCGAAGCTGGATGCGAAAAGATGATGGTTACGGGGTCCGACCTCAAAGAATCCGAGCATGCAGTTCAGATCGCGGTGGAAAATCGTAAGGCCATTATGAATTGCGCTTATTCGTTGCCCTTGCTAATTATACGTCTCCTTATTCCAACAGCCGGTCTCTGTTATGCTACTGTTGGCGTGCACCCTTGCTCTGCTAAACAATTTGATACGCATGCTGGCGGGCCTGCCGCACTGTTGTCAGCCCTCGAGGATCTTGCCATTCGCGCCAAAGCCAGTGGCCACGCCGTAGCGTTTGGTGAAATTGGACTTGATTACGACAGACTCTTTCTCACGCCAAAGGAGCCGCAGCTAAAGTATTTTGAAGCACAGCTAGATCTTGCTGTGAAAGTACAACTTCCGCTATTCCTACACTCTCGTGCTGCGAGCGAGGATTTTGAGCGGTTACTGGGTGCGAGACTCCCAGAGCTGCCAAAAAGAGGTCTTGTGCACAGTTTTACCGGGACAATAGAGGAGATGCAGAGGCTTGTGGCACTGGGTCTGGATATTGGTGTAAACGGCTGTTCCATGAAGAGCGAGGATAACCTGGCCGTCGTCAAGGAAATTCCGCTGGAGAGATTGCAAATAGAAACCGACGGACCCTGGGTAAGTCAAAAAAATCCCTTGGATTCCAACGTACGGAGCGAGCCAATTCGCTCTTCAGTGCGGTCGGTTCTGCTGCTACAAGGAAACTTTAACTGATGATGACATAATATGTAGTGCGAAATCCGGCCTTCTCATGCTTCTGCTAAATTTCTAGCCGGTGCACCACCGATGCCGAAAGCCGTGAAGAAGGAGAAGTGGGCAAAGGGTCTTATGGTGAAGGGCCGCAATGAGCCTGCTACAATTCCGCTCGTTGCTCACGTCATTGCAAAAGTAAAGGGTGTACCAGTAGAGGAGGTTGCCGAAGCGTAAGTTCTGGAATCCTCTTCGAACTCTACTATGGTAGATTCATTTGGTCAGTGAGGAGTCTGAATAAGCTGACAATGCATATGCAGGGCCTACAATAACTCGATCAGAATGTTTGGACTTGGTTCCATGGAGAATGCTTCATCATAGCGATAAAAGAAGTTTGCAAAGTCATCCGTTTTTAGTCCACGAGAGAAGCGATTCTGAGATTTGAGCCCTTCTAAGCATTGTTTCCATTTTCCCGGTGATGGTGTTCATCATCATCACTGAAAATTCATGTTCTGCGATTAAACTTGTTAGAGCATATTAAACGTCGTTATGGGTATAAACAAGAGAGTTCGGAATACGGCACAATTGAAAAGCCAAAGAAGATGTGCATTGGAGTTACAGAATTCAGCTTATATATTCAATTTGCTAGCATTTGCCATTATCAAGATTTCCAGGGGCGATTTAATGGCATTTCAGGCATCCTTAGCGGCTTCGAACATGCAAACCGAAGACATTTTATTCTGTGCAAGAATTCAAACATAACTTTGTTCATTCCTAGTTCAATGATATTACCGGACACATGCAGAATCTGTTCAGAGGCGCCTAACATCGCCAGAGACGGAAGCGTACTGGACTTTATCATTCATTCGCCGGCTTCTGCCATATAGCTGATACAAGCACTTAATTATCCCTGACAGATCACCTTCACATGCCGTCAGCCAGATATACGCTTGGCAACTTCGTGTTATACAACGCTAAGACCCAGCGAGAAATAGATGTCGCTTCATCTATCCAGCTCAGCTCGTTGCAGGAATTGCCTTCAGGCTCTGAATTGTTCCAAAAAATAGAAACGAACGACCTCGCAATAGTGTATTCCCGACCAATACAAGTTTGCTTCTGCCTGTACACTACAGGAAATGGGGGGACGGTGGGACGGGAGATTGTTTTCCGGTCATTGGAGAATGGTTTGCAGCAGACACAGGTTCGATACAACATTCTCTCCTGGACATAAAGGTCTACTAAATCTTGCAGCTCTGGAAGGATTTGGGCTTCCAGGCCTCAACTATTCTTCAGAAAAGCGGAACTAAAAGGTCGAATGACGGATCAGAAAGTTTCTCGATCTGCTTACGTTGTTTAATGTCAGCAGTTACCGAGAATAGGAGAAATGGGCTGCCTGAAGACCGAGATATATATTCCCTGCGACCGCCCGAAGGCTTCTGCACTGCTTCGTTGGATACGGTAGATATTGCTATTGACTTGAGACCCAGCGGAACATTACTAGACGAATCTGAGCTCTGCAACGACACCGTGGGAATCCTTGATGCGGCGCTACGACATGTCATTACGGACAAGCCTAGGCTGTTGTCTCAAACTATCTCGTTGAAGGCTGCTCATAAGATTAATACACTAGACAAGATATGTCCATTATTATGGAGTCCTGGATACGCGGCAGTCAGTGATGGTGCGAGGTCTGTGTTTGTAAATGCTGACACTGTATATTTAGGGGATTAGAGATCGTCTTGAGTTTCTTCCAGTCATTGGAGATGCTCTTTTCGGCATCGCAAAGCGCTCAAAGTGTGTCGATATTAAAGAGAAGATTAGAGATGTATCACATATGCCCTATTTGAGCCCAACAACAGGACGTGGCAGTGCAAGATCGATTCATACAGGCATCAGAACGCAGCTTTGGAAGGTCTTGGATCGCGCAAGTCGGGATTTAGGAAACACCAAATCATTGAAACCGGTTGGTACTTTGCGCCAAAATAGACGTCACAAAAACGAGGAGTCATCCCATGCCACTCGGAGGGTAGAAAATGCGTCCAAGAAGATCCTCGCTGTCCCAGTAAACCAGGGCGAAGAGATCCTCGAGTTCACACCTCTTGAACACGACATTTCCTTGGACCCCGATTTTGAAGACCTATTCAGCGATTTTGAACCTCTGGACGAGGCATCTTCGTACTCGGGTGAGAATAAGTTGTGGGATGACGAAAGTCTTCTCCTGGAGCCACTCCACAAGAATGAAGAACGACAAGTACCTGGCGAAATGAGTGTGACTGGTGATGCCCATGATGAATTTGTTTCTCTAGAAAAAAGTCAACAAAGTCAGGGGAGTTTTGATCTCAGTGTCGCCGAGACTGCCGCGCTTTGTAATGACGGACTGTCGTCTCAAACGTCGCAACTGCTCGACTGTGACTTGTTTTCGGGAGCGGGAATTCTTGATGACTGCATGTTTTCATGATCAATATAATACAACATCATGAAAGCAACCTGCAATAATCAGTGGAATTATGAACATGGCCAACCTGAAAATGCGAATGATTATCCATCGCGTTGGTCGCCGTGGGGAACAGTCCACAGAACGCCCGTTCGCAGCCACGCGAGGCATACATTTCCATCAATAATCATTAAACCCAGATAAATTCCCTTGATTCTGACACCAACGTCAAAAAATTTACAAAAAATCATCCAGCACATGCATGTACTGTAGTACGACGTCATGTAATTCAATAAATTATAGCCCGGTTCAAATCGCGTTGGAGAGGCCTGAAGCTCATAATACTGCAAGTCGTGACGACATGAGACCCTGAAACCGAACCAGGCAAAACAACAATAAATCACGCCCTTTACTTTGCCATCTTCAAACAAACCCAGCCATTTCAACATTTTTCTTTTCCCGTCTCTCATCCACCATCATGCCCGTTCTCGAGAACTGGTTACCTCCGTCCCGCGAGAACTGGGAACTTGTTTCCTATCTCTGGCGATTTTTCCCACTCGTAAGTTTTTTTTTGTTCCATTCGGCCTTTAAGTGTTCCTCTGTGGAAGTTTATAGACACAAGTTCCCATTGGTGCGCAATTTGGCGCACTGCGCATAATGTCACTTTTCATTCTTTAGTTTTCACCTTTCAGTTTTCAGTTTTTATTTTTTAATTTTTCGCTTTTGTCCCAGTCACCGTTCCCGTTCCCGTTCCCGTTGCCATTGCCAGTCCTCATTGTCAATTCCCTATTCCCGTCCCTCTTCCTTGCTCGCATGTCCCATTCCCATATGATCCCACTGCACTAGACGTACCTACCTCTCCTCTCGATACTTTCCATTTACTCCATTCCAAACGAAGGAGGTGGAACTTTGGGGTGGGGGAGAGGAACTGAAGAATCTGTATAACTACGTTTTATAACTGGACCAAAAATAACGTTAGCATATAGGTCACGACAATCCAATGGCTCGTGGACTTTTACCCGCAGGGCAAAACATCCATCACCTCTTCGCTCAACATACCCGGTAAAATCGCCTGGGCGACCATGGAAGCGCCGGGGTTCATGATCCTGGTGTATATCGTGTACACTCTGCCCGCGAGGCTGGGTATGGGTGTTACGTCCCTGCCGCTGGCGAATTGGATTATGGTTTTGCTGTTTGTATGTTTACTCCAGTAGTCTCTTTGTCTCTTTCGACTCCCCCTCCCCCTCTCTTTATCTTACTTTAATTGTCTTCTTTTTTTATACTCTCTTTCCATTGGCTATCCAGCTGTTATATTTCAGTGTCCGAAATCGCAAAGGAAGAATATCACAAAAAGAAAATAAGCGGGGAAGAGAAAGAAAGAGAGGAAGAGAAAAAAAACTAAAGATGCACAGGTCATCCATTACATCTACCGCGCTCTACTCGCCCCACTGGTGTTCAACCCGACCATGTCGCCTATCCATGTCCTCGTGTGGGCAGCCGCGCTGGTATTCCAGATATGCAACGCGCTCAGCATTGGCGGGTGGCTGGGCGGGTACGGTCCCGTGAGCGATGCTGACTGGACAGCGATGCGTTATGGGTATTGGATGCCCCTGGGGCTGGTGGTCTGGGCGGTGGGATTTGCGGGGAATGTCTTTCATGATGAGCATTTACGGCAGATTCGGCGCGGCGCGAGCGGCGCGGTGAAGAACGAACGGAGTGAGTTCGACAAGGCGGGTGGGCAGAGGGAGTCTGATGGGCGAAACGGGTCTCAGACGACGACAGAGGACAAGCCTGAGGAGAAGGTACAAGGCGAATCTCAGAGGACAGAGGAGCTCGAGACAAGTGTGAAGAACGAGAAGAACGAGAAGAACGAGCGAAGCGAGAAAAGGAAAAAGGTAGATAAAGTCTACGTGATGCCACATAGCGGCCTTTTCCGAGTCATCTTGTACCCGCATTATCTATGCGAGTGGATCGAGTGGACAGGATACTGGATGATGACGGGATTCACGTGTGTGCCAGCGCGGAGTTTCTTGCTGAATGAGATAAGCACAATGTTTCCCCGAGCATTGCAAGGGAAGAGGTGGTACGTGGAGCGGTTTGGGAGGGAGAAGGTGGGCGCAAGAAGGGCTGTCATTCCGGGGGTAGTGTAATGTAATGTTATGTAGCTTTTACGGGAAAGGTAGCGGGTATTGTAGATATGGAGGACAATAAAAGTCTGGATAAAAGTCTGGATTGTTTGCTACTGGTGTTGGGTATATGGACAGGCTTATAGAATGTGTTGGTTCAATGGGAGCTTGGAGGAGGCTACTGATAACAACTTAGATGAGATGGACTGATGGCAATAGATGTTTGATATAATAATCATTGAGATGAGTTGATCGCGGGAGTGAAATTAAAATATTATTAGGTGCTAAGTGTTAGGTTATTCTTCAAGAAACGCTTGACACAGGGAGGGGGCATTAGAACGGGTTAGACGAGTTCCACTTCTCAAAAGTCTCAGATGAATTCAGAAGCAAAGACGGATTGATCATGCTCGGCTTGCGATTATCGTACGATCCATCCCAGCAGTATCGGCTGAAGCACTGAGAGCACTGCGCGGTGCGGTTCAAGCCAACCTTTGTCAAACTGCGATCAATTGCAGCGCAGCCGATACAACTTGCCCAATTCGAATCCAGTGTACCATTTGCCTGTGTGAATAGGTTAAAACTATTGACAAGAATCTCCTCGACTTGCTGTCTGGACTCGCTCGACTGTGAGTAGGAGAAGTTGGTGTAGGCGGTATATGGTGCGCTGGCGAGGTATAGAACAATGGGCGAATTCAAGCTCTTGGTGGTGGTCAGGTTGGCATTGCAGCCGAAGAATACCGGATGCAGAGTGTAATTCTTATTGATCATTGTCGTGGCCGGTGGGACAATGGGGAACGGAATACCAGAAGCGTTGGCCGCCAGGTATGTATTGTACAGGTTTGTTCCATTGTCCCAATTGTATGGCATAGCATCTTCACTGCTGTCCCAGGCGATGATGAAATTAGGAGAACGCGCTGGCTGAATCTGACCCCACAGAGGGATGGTTTGGCCGGACTCGGAACCATCTACAACAAGAAGATCCTGCTCCTGCTGGACAAAAGGCGAAGAGGATGGAAGTCCGGCGAATGGATTGGGCCAAATGGCATAGGCCGATTCAGTGACGTTTTCTCCAAATGTGTCGTTGAATGTTGAAACGATTTCCTCGAGTATCGCCGGAGGGAAACTAGCCCGCTTGGACAGCGATTTCTTTTGTGCCAGTGACCTCTTCGTGGGCTGCTGCGAGCGCTTTGCAAAGCCCCCAACAGAGCCATTGGACTCGGTCTGCACGTACCACAAGTTGAATGCATCACCGGAACTACCCATGATGAAGCTAGAGCACGAATTAGGATCGTTGATACAAAAAAAAAGGAGGGAGATCCGAACCTAGCTCTATCAAAACCTCTAACACAGGCACTTTTATTTACGGCAGTTCCATTGTCCAAATAAGTACCCACCCACTCCGTTGGGGTAAAGCTTGAGATGGACCCGTTCCATGCACCGAATTCAAGTGGTGTCACTTCGAGCTATTAAATTCTTGGTTAGTAAATTCATCCATTGCAGCATTGCGCTCTGGGCACTTGATACTTACAATTGTATTATTTTTGGTCGGGATTTGGACACCAAAGGCCTGTGGATTATTGGGTTCGATGGTAGCAAGTTGAATAATGGGAAATGGCACTTCATAGTGCTTGAACTTTGTCATATTAACAATGCTTGACCAAGTGACGTTGAGACCACCGTTTTGTCCAGGAAGGAATTCGTATCCAAGGACACGGCCAAAAAAGTCGGCAAATGTGACATTAAAACCCGCCTCTGCTTTTTCAGCAATAGACTCAAAAATTTGATCCGGAGGGGAAGCGTGAGGCGTGCTGTTTGTTACACCGTTTAGGCGGTCGATCTCCGGAAACCAACTATTAACGATGTCGTCGACTGTAGGAAAGTCGAATGCCGGAAAAGACACCGTTGCAAAGGAGCCGCCAGATAGTCCAGATATATAGGTCAAGCTCTGAAGCAATCCACCCGTCCCTTGGTCATTTGCAGCATCGAATCGATCGTCCATGGCCCTCAGAATTCCACTCCCCGTTAAGGCAGACGTCCAGCCACCGCCGCTAATGGCAAAACCTATCGTAGGCACATTGGAAAAGTTTGAGCTATGCAGACGATCGAAATAGTCTGCCACATCGAAATTTTGCAGGCCTAGACGTTCTAGGTACGAAGCAAACGAGAAGGCGGCCACTCTCTTGCGACCTTGGACCCAGTCTCTTTCTGCTGGAGCAAGACCCTTTGCCGGGCGAATAAATTGTATCCCAGAAGGACAGGTCTCGTATATCGGTGCATAGCTCTGCGAGAGCTCATTTTGAAGGGACTGGCCGAGAGCGTTGCCCAGGAAAACTTTTGAGCACGTTAGCGCCTGTCCCGAGGTCGTTCATGGCCTGTGATGGGCTCTTACCAGCCAAAACAAGGCTCAATATCGTATAGAATTTCATCTTCCAATTGCACGAATTTCCCAGCTCCTGTAGACTTCTCGTCCGTCAATATTTAATTTTGCTATTGAAAGACAGTTTTCCGAATCCTATGCCCGCCGCACTCCTGGGTATTTATGCTCGTCTGCACAATTGAGGCCCAGGAAGGCCCGGTCCGGCCCCATTTTGAACATTTCCCCCGCATTCGACAATTGCGTAGCTTTCGGAACTCGTGGAAGCTACGGCCTTTGGCCCCCAACTACTGTGTAGACGACTGCATTGGAGATTTAAGCTTGAACCGTTAGCGTGAGCAGTTTAGGGTTGAAGATTCGCGGCTAAGAAGAGCTTGTCTGCTTACCTTGGTGGAAGATGTGGAGATCAATTCCAGATAGTTTCGCGCAGCGCCGGTTGGAGTGGTTAGTCTATCTCCTCTTGGCTAGCTAGTTTTGATCATCCGGAGAGATTAATCTCCTCGTCACGATAAACGTTTGGGCGCTGCTAATGACTGGATGCAGAAATCCGCCAGAGACTCTGTCATCCTCATCTAATATCGCCGATTTTATGACGCCATGGAAAAGGGTTGTCTTGCCAGCACAGCCTCTGTTGTCGCGAAGTTGTGCACAGTGTTGTCGCAGCAACTTTTGTTGACAGCATTGTATAACCGGTAGACGTCAGAAAGTGTTGCAGTGGCCCCGACGAAGGACACTACCTTTCTCTGCAGTACTAATACAGTTCTGCGCAACGAAAGGATTGGAAGATGATATCTTTGACAGGCTTTGTCCATTAGACCTCACAATTGTCTATTTCAGTCTTTCAGCTCTTCTGTAACCCAGTTTGCTATACACGCTGTCGCAACACTTATTGTTCCTCCGTGGGTCCTTAAATGCAACCCCGCTTACTGCTTAACAATGATCTGCAGGCCTTGCCCGCACGCACCACGTCAGCGTCGGGCCGTCGCTCAGGATGCCTTATTGAGATGGCTTTGCGAGCTCTGGCAACGTTAGTTCAGCCTCATCGTCAGATCAATATTATGTTCAAAGAAGTTACTCTGCCACAAGTGGAGACACTCTTAGAAGTGGGTTTCGCACCAGGGGCTAGTGGCCTATAAGCTTCAAACAGCAAAATCCAACTAAATCCAAAAATGGTTTATCGAGGAAAGCCATCCAAAGGGTGTGGAAGATGTCGGGCCAGAAAGATACGGGTGCGTTTGAGTTTCCTGATTGCTTGGATTAACATGCATTTAAGTTTTTGTTGTGTTGACATTTGAAATAACCTCTCCTATAGTGCGACCAGCAACCCGGCGGGTGCGCCAACTGCGCTAAAATCAATGCAGAATGTCCAGGCTATAGGAACCAAGTAGACTTGATGTTCCAGGATGAGACTGGTCAGGTCATCAAAAAGGTAAAGGACAAGACGTCTCCAGGGACAGGAACCGCTGCAGGGGAGTCTGCAGCCCTGCCGACAATCACCTCTCAAAATGGCAACCGCGTGTCGGTAGTGAATTTCGCCTTCATGCCGTTGCAATATACTCTCTCTCCGTCCATTTACCACAAGGCTACCGCCTTCTTCTTTACCCACTATGTGGTGGGAGGGAAGACGGGGCTGATGGCTGAACGGATTGGGGAGACTGTCCTAACATGCATGAGGGCACTTGGCACAGCTGGTCTTTCGAGTTTCGTCTACGACCCAGCTTTGATGAAGGAGGCCAAAAAGGAATATGTGAATGCTCTTCGATTGACCAACAAAGCGTTGGCTTCACCAGACAGTGCCAAAGAAGATACTACTCTGCTTGCGACGATGCTCATGGGCTTCTACGAAGCGAATTCTGGTTACGGTCCGAATTCGCTTGAGGCCTGGACGAACCATGTCAAAGGATCTGCTGCCCTTCTCAAATTACGGGGTCAAAAGCATCTGAAGACGCAGGAACAGGTCCGAATGTTTATCCAGGCAACTTCGAGTCTCATGATTACTTGCTTCAAACACGGTCTACCATTGCCTGAGGGTATGGTGGACCTCATAGCACAAGTCCGCCAAAAGGTCAGAGACGTCAACGATCCAGCGTGGCGTCTTTTCGAGGGAGATGCGGAATTTGTCGACTTTTATGCGTTGGTGAAGCAGGGATATGTCGCTGACCCTCAATATATTGTGATGAGGGCCAGAGAGATTGACCATCGCTTTGCGGCAGTCTTTGACAACGTGGACCCCAGTTGGCAGTACGAAACAGTGTATACGACGGATGATCCGGACGTTGTCTTTGACGGTTATTATCACGTGTACAATGACTTTTTGTCCGTATCGACTTGGAACGGCGTGCGAAAAGCCAGAATTTTGCTGAATTACCTCATCCTGCGTACCTTTCAGAGACTTTTCAGGGCTGATCCAGGCTGGGCCATGCACCAGGAGTACGCTTCACAATATAATGAAGCGATTAACAATTTATCTCAGGTGCAGTCGGACATTCTTGCCTCTGTACCTCAGCATATAGGATATATTTCCAAGGTCCAAGGGGAATCGTCATCATCATCATCATCCTCTTCACAATCTTCATCTTCTTCGCCATCTGCATCTTCTTCCTCTCCTCCATCATCTTCTTCATCTTCTTCATCTTCATCATCCTCGCCTCCAGCGGAGCAGCATTCCCACATTTCACCAAAAACCCTCCTTACCAAACACCGATTTTTCTGGTTGGATTTCAACCGACCGAGATGCACATCGTCCTCGTCTCCATGGGTTCCGGCGCGGCCTTCTACGCTTCCCATGATTCGACTGTTTGGCGGCAATGCACTTCCTTGGTCTCTCTATCTTATCGGCACGCTTCCGACAACCGGCCCTCTTCTCCGAAAGAGAATCATAGACACGCTTGACTTGATGGGACAATTTATGGGCGTTCAACAAGCGTTTGTCCTTGCAGAAGATGTGCGCAAGCATGATTCAAGTCCACATCCTCATCCTGATTTTGCAGAACCACACTATGCTATTTAACTGTGAGTTATTGGTCTTTGCTATCGTTCATTCTAGACTGGATTTGGATTAGATAAATGAAGGTAGATTGTATTCTCGTGGATGTTATAGCATCGTGATTTATTTTATTTTATTTGTTTTTGTTTTTGTTTTTATTTTTATTTTATCCTCTTTATTTATCCATCTTGATTTTCTTTATTCTTTCCCGTCACTCTTTAACCCGTATTTATTTATTTTTATAGAAAAGCAATTATGCAATTATCCACGACATACTCAAATTGTAATAACAAATGTTCATACACCCATCTTCCAATATATCGGCAGCCCATTTGCCTTCTCTCATAACTAAGGTAGGTATTCAATCTATAAGGTACAGAGCTCTATATTCTATACCCCCAAACCCGACTGCCGATATCGCTAAAACATCTACATCTACAAGACTGCAATATTCCTGTCTTCTACACTACTCTATCTCCGCAGAACTGCTACTTCTTCTGCTGCCTGCCCAATTTTCCTTCTTTGTTGCCTACACATTTTACCATGACATATTTTGATATACCTGACCGTAAAGTACTTACTAACCCAACCATTGGAACACAAGAAGACAAAGAAGTGAAATGTAATTGTTATGACGACAAGACTCGGGGTCCTCGACTCTCGAACCACGGTTTGTGTATTATAGCGCGAAGACGACTCGCTCCGACAGTCGGCCCGCAGCGAGATCCGACGTCCTATATCCCGATGTCTTGATGTCCCGATACCATATAAATCTTTCGGTTCCGGAGCCAGTCCTACTTGGTAACCTTTAACCATGGATGATTACCTCTAGTGTACGTAGTATTGTACCTTAGATCTCGCACGTACTACAGACCTTACAAAGTTTTCTCTGTTATTTACAGCATCTTAAGATGTTAATACCCATACTGTTCGCACTAACGAGACTCGTCCATTTCTTTTTTCCCGTTTTAGGGTATCGGTATCCTTTCAGCCATGACCTTAGCATTTGCATTATCTTGTTTCTACTTCTCATTCGCTCCGTTGAGGAAAGATTACTATATTGTCTTGCTTCTGGGAAAAGCGTTCTAAACTTCTAGAGGTTTACACAAATGCACAGAGATGGAATGAAGTATAAAATACGAAGCTAGTCTTACGGAAAACCGTAAAAGGAAAAAATAAGGTTCGAATGAGAAAGAGGATAGAAGAAAAGGAAAAGTTGATAAAAACAGCCTGGGTGCTTGTTACTTGTTACTTTCACGACGCGTATCAACCTACCTACAAGTCATACCTAACTTATCGCATTGAAGCTCGATGACTCTGTGAGTTACGGATAACATAACACTGACGCGACTGCAAAGTGACTAAAGTCCCTAACGTTAACTTGCCTCTAAGTAGGCAGCAGGGTATATACCTGGTAGTAAAGTTCTATAGAAAGGTACGTAAAAGGTTCGATACGTACAGAATACGGCGGACCTTGCCCCTGCTCCTGCTACTGCACATCATGCAGCACACGGCGGATATGCATTAATACTAAGCACTACGCATTTCGCCTACGCGTATGTCTACCTCATGTCTAAGACTCCAAGGTATGTGTTATGCGCTATGTAAAGTGTACATGTGCTTCAATAACGGCCTCACTTCATGCCCCTCTACCGCTGATCTTTCCATTTCCACTTCACTTAACTAAATACCTTGCTGTCACTACTGTCCTGTCGCTGCTACTGCAGCACATTACGGAACTTACCACCCTTACCACAATACAGTGTTGTTCTTCGTATAGCACAGGCAGTATAGAGTATACATAGTCCTCCAGTACATATCCTAGTCTATCAGCGACGGCGACGGCGACGCAAACTGTGCCACCGCACGTTCAATGCAAATTACAGAACATACTATCTCATTTTGCCAATAAGGTGCCTACGGTAGGTAAGGTAGTTTACGTATTCGTACCTCGACCTCGTAGCGACATCTGCGCAGGATTCAGGATCAGATGCAGATGCAGTGCAAATCGCAAGGCTCTGGCCAGAGGATTATGTACATTATGCTGCGTACTGCGTACGTACATATGTGATAACGTTTTGATTACATACAGTACACTACTTTACCTTAGTTAGTTATAACCTAAGGTAGACAGGCAGGCAGGCAGGCAGGTAGGTAGGTAGGTAGGTAGGTAGCTAGATGGGTGAATACGTAGCGACCTTAGGACATGCATACCCAGACAGGACAGGGACAGGGACAGGGACAGGGGACAATGATCTGGAGAGAAAGGGGAACAGAGACAGAAACAAGGACAAGGACAAGAGAAGAGGGCGCAGAGAGGCCTTAGCTTACACAGTAACCTATGCACGGTAGGTATTGTAGGATTTTTGTGCCTGAGAGACAGAGACAGAGACGTATACGGCGTAGAGACGGCGGGATCAAAAGGTGCGTGGTAATCTCCGTTGAGGCGTGCCGCGTCTAGGTCAACTCAGACTCCGCCACCGTGTCGGCCGTGTCGGCCGTGTCAGCCGTGCGCTTAGACAGTAACAGTAACAGTCGAGAAGAGGCAGTACGCAGTCGACGTCGAAAATCGACAATACCTACCTTGGATAATAGACAATACAGGTAGACAATAGTCAGAAATGGAGTGGGTAAAAGGGGTAAGGTAAGCCCAGACAGTCAAAATGTACTACGTAGAGGTATAACACGCGGTATATGTGTTCGGCTATCGTTCCTTCTCAAAGGAAATTAGGTAAGTTCACAATGGTCTACTCGTATGAGTAAAGTTAAATGAATTAGTAAGTTAATAGTGATATACGGAGAAATGATATAATGATATAACTAGCGAAAGAAAGAAAAAAAAAAAGACAGAAAGCAAAAAGGAAATGAAGGTGACGCAGTTTCGGAAGAATATCCCAAAGAAGCGAACCGCGCCGGTTCGCTGAGACGGGGGTATAGCTGAGATATGTTATATTACTACAGAGGTAGGTTCCGTAGAGTTCAAGGCAAAGAATAATGGCGCGAGGCACAGACGGCACAAGAGGCACAAGAGGCACAAGATGCACAGAGCACGCAGGCACATAAGCGCAGAAGGCACAGGATGCACAGAAAGCCTCGAAAAAGGCGGTGGGCGGTGGGTAGTAGGCAATGGGTTCGCGCAGCCGTGATAGGGAACGTATGGGTAATAGATCTAGCCCCAGGATACCTGGAGACTATCAACGAATACTTGTAAGATGTGCCTCTGGGCCAGATTTAACGCGCAGGGACCAGGTATATTGTACGTGGTAAAGTCATCGAAAGTACTCGGGTAATTCAGCGATCGACCATTTTGTGATCAGTGCGCGTAGTAGCGTAATTTAGTGTCGGATACTAAATGGTGATCCTTGGACTGTGCACCCCGGTTGGAACGATCGGTAGATCTCGGTCGCTTGGACAAGGGCAGTGTGTAGCAACACCAACCCAACTAACATCTCCAACCAAGGTGATTGGACGACCATATTGTGCATCCGAATACCTTTTTCTGCTGATATCGTGCATAAAATAGAAGATTAAAAGGAAGAAAGTTATTCGAGCGTATACCGGCTGCCCTGTCGGATCTCTTGCCTCATCTGAACAAATTTGCAACTCTCATTCTGGGGTTAAGCCGAGACGGCGGGAGAGGCGATCCTCGGTTAACAGAGCAAGTACCCGTTGGACTGCGCCGTCTGCTGGTGCCAGGGGGTGGTGGGGGAGAGATGGTGGTTGGTTGGAGGCTTTTACATGTCTACAAAAAAGACAAAAGAGTGCTAGGACCCCTTTTCCCCCTTCTTCTCTTTGTGCCTCTCACAGCCGCGAACAAAGAAGAAAAGGAAACAGGCAAAGGAAAAGGAAAGCGAGCCGGTAATATTAATATGCTTTGGAACTGTGTACCGACGTCGAGTCAACACACTTTCCAAGACACACACACCCACACCCACAGACACATAACACACGTATACACAAGGACACGGCATGCTCACCTGGTGGAAACACAAAGTCCAAATGGAAAAGGGGGGCCGAAAAAGGCCTGTTCGCACTGAGATCCAGCATTATTGCGCCAGACCCTTTTCCCCAAATCCGCCTCACCCCCCTCCCCAAAATGGGCAGTCAATGCATCTCGACGTTGCACGAGACTGTTTGGCGTAGGTCGACACGTCGAATCAGAAGAGCCACCGCCCTCCTCCAGCCTAAAAAAACCGCCTCGACTCACCACCCCCTCGCGTCCTCCATTTTAGGGTGTCGTCCGTCCCACTTCTCTCTTCGCCCCTCCCCCTTGATCGCGACCGGGGGTCCCGTCCCCAAATTGCGTTAAAGCCAAAGAGCAAACGCCCCTCCTCCGCCTTTTTTCCTACCCTTCCCTTTTATCCCCCCCCCGTCGCCCCTCTATACTCTGCACGCCATGCAGTGGGACCCTGGGTGGGCAAAATGCATTCGGAACCCGCCCACCAGGGACGTGTTATTTTTTCTTCTCAGTCTGTGTGCGGTGTCTCCGTTCTGTGGTGGCAGTAAGAGGTCATTGCGGTGGTGGTAAAATGGTAATACCCTACCCTCCGTAGTGGACTTAGTAGTCGCTGTATTCCCGCCCATTTGCAAACAAATCTCCATCCTTTGTGAGACGTGACGATATACGCCCCATCCTAACTACAACATTGCATGTGAGCTGACAAATGTGACCTGAACAAGGCGAAAGAACACTTTGAACAATCCAAAAAGCTTTTGAGATTTCTCGCCCGTAGCCGTATCTCTCGCTTCGATGCAGCAATTGCTCACGGTTGCGACCATGGCCAACTTGCTTTATCAGCTTCAAGCGTGACGCGGTGTTGGATGCTGCATACTATCTTCAACTAGGAGAGCAGGGGGAAAGGGCGGTAGTAGCTGTGCATCTATCGCTAGAACTGACTCTCTATTATTCTTATTTTTTTTCTTTCATTGGATCTCGACTCCAGTCCAAGGGAACGCGGATAGCTTTCCCGGTCACTGAGAGGTTGGTACGCGCGCAAGGTTGGAGATCGCTCTCTCTCTCTCTTTCTTTTCTCACGTATCACAGCATTCCTCTGCACCTCAGATCTTGTCGAACGTGCGCCGCGCTGGATGTCCCTGACTGTGTTATAGTTTTCCCCCAACGCGCGCGCACACACATCTAGAGAGTAACTGTTGCGAGACAACAGAAGCCCTCATAACTCTTTTCCATGTTGACTAAGATCGTACAACCACAAGTGAATTCAAGGCCCGCGAGAGCTCAAACATCGTCGTCATTAGATATTCACTTAGGTTCGAGAGCCCGCCGGAAATAAGTCCGGATTCCAAATCCTCCTTCCTTTCTCACCTTAAACTCGGACACATCACTCTCTCAAAAAGAGGAGAGTAGAAAACTATCCACTTTTTTTTTTTTTTTTTTTTTTTATCACGGGGTTATCTTTGACTTGGTACACTGTTTGACGTGGGATTGCTCCCGCCATATTCGCCTCGAGATCGGAGACGACCCGATTGAGAGTTGTCCCTGCCAGCCCTAGCTGACTGGTGACCACCGCCCCGCTACCGTACACAAGACTGAGACCTCTCTCTCTCTCTTAGGTGGGACCTCTAAGGAGCCTTACTGCTGCTGTCTTCTATGCAAGGAGTGGCCCTGTAGCGCAAGCGACGTCCGAGCCACTGGCCTTCTCAGACAATTGCAAAAGTCGTTGCTTGTCGGCTCGCGGCCACTGCAAGAGCTCAGGGTCCGACTTCAGCGGCTGTCACTTGTCAGAGGTCAGCCTTTCTCCATTACCGTCTTCCAACCATCATCATCATCAATCATCATCACTATCATCACCACCACCATAGCATATCGATGCCCATTCGCGTTCAACATCTGACAGACTTGCTGACCGCGATTCGCGCAGACTATAGCAGGACGTCTTCGTCACGATGACTCCAAACCCGGATGATCTGAAGGCGTGGGAAGGCTTAATCGTTCCTCGATCTTTTCAACCATGGCTCGTAGCAACCTCTTGGGTTGTCAGTCTTGTCGGCTCACAAACAACCGTAGAGCTTCTTTCGAGATTGACCGCTGGTCGTGGCTGGTATAACATGTACGTTTGAGCAGCCTGGTCCCCTATGGCTAGAGACAGAAGAAGAGGGTAAAAAAGAAATGAAGAAACACTGCTGACAATGTCTTTTAGTTACCTTCTCGGCGGATCTTCAACTGTCATGGGAAGCGTTGCGATCTGGAGCATGCACTTTTTAGCGAATCGTGCCATCTCTCTCAACCATGGACGTCCCGGATTTCAGATTGACTATAGTTACGGGTGCACGGCAGCGTCGATATTCCTTCCAATCACAGTCCTCCCTTTTGCTTTCTGGGTTGTTGGTTCAACTGAACAGTTCAGCGTCAAACGAATGGTGATTAGCGGTACGGTCGTGGCCGGAGCCATCTGCGGAATGCACTATCTTGGCCAGCAAGGTATCGCCAATTATGACTGTGTCTATCGTCCTGAGCTGGTCGTTGTCTCCGCCCTGATTGCCGAAGCTGCAAGCCTTCTGGCGTTAAAAGTCTTCTTCAACTTGAGAAAATCCTGGACAGATCATTGGTACAAGCGTGTTCCTGTTGCAATTGTACTTGCAACAACCGTCTCTGGCATGCACTGGACAGCATCTGTCGGCACGAATTATCGCTTGAGAGCATTTGATGATGCACCGAAAAAGAATCTCTCTGGATGGCAGAGTATGATTATTGTCATTGTTCTGGTAAGCATGCTGCGAACCAGACTCACGCCAGACATTTTGGTCACAATTTTCAGAATACTAACCAGCAACAGTCTATTTCTGCATGCATCATTCTCATGACGATTGCGATCCTTTGTCAAGTGACAAGGAAACGAACAATGAACCGAGCTCAACAAGTTGTTGTTGCTTGTGCCACTTTTGACAGTGAAGGTCGACTCATGACCACAGCAGAGGGCTACCTTCCCAGCGAGAAGATCACGGATGCGTTCGAGGAACAGGTGCGTAGAGCTTTGCAATACCCTTTTTTGCATGTGAATGATCCATGTTGTAACTAACCTGCAATATCGTATTAGTCATTGGAAGATATCTTTGGCATCGGTCATCCGGTGTATACCTGGTTATTCCGTGCAACAAGAAACTGGCGAACAATTCTGAAATTGATCCCGCGCATGCGTTCACACCTGCGTGCAAACTCAATCCTAAAAGACTCAAGACCCGGAACTTCTTCAGATGATGCATCTAACTTTCCCAATTCACCCTCAGATACCAGCTACTCTGTGACCTTCCGTGAACTTTTCTGTGTGGCAGCAGCTTCTCTCGCAGACCAAGTACATCAGCCTCTCGACCGCATTGGAGTTCTCTATGACAAGATGATGGTGACCGGGACAACGAAACGGTTCAGGGATCACGGAAGATTCTCACAGCGTCCAATTTTTGCTTCGGATGATCTTGAAGCTGCGCCACCTCAACCTCCACCCGTGGTCTTCGGTCGAGGAAAGCTGCTTTTTCTTGTGCGCAGAACAAACAGAGCAGACACTGCTAGTCTTCGAGGTGCCGGCTTTAGATTTTCGCGTATCGACTACGTGCTGGACTTTCTCGCGAGAAGTATGCAAGTCAACCGCGATGAACTTGCCAACTACCTTGCCGGCATGTACGAATACTCAAAGACCCAAAAATATCTCGACCCTGGTGTGTATATTGCCTGCTTCGCTCTGCGTCCGATGAGCCTCACCAAGTCATTTGAAATCCTTGTACGGAAAAGCGCAAGGGCTCAGCTCCCAGCAATCTCTCTTGATCTGGCCGAATTGAAGCCTGGTCAAGCTGACTTTTTTGCGCAATTTGATGGCATGACTGCCGCCAAGGTAGTTGAATCGCTGGAAAATTATCGATTTGGCAGATATTCTGGCGATAGCGAGCTCGCCCCAGCTTTTCTTCGGTACCTGAAGCAGTTGTTGCGGTTGGTCAATGATCCCTGTTTCTTCAGTGCCGTTTTTTATGGCAGACCTTGTTCAGCACCATGCTCTCTTTCTCAGGAAAACAGTGCACGTCAAGCCACGCTCTTCGCCTTCTACATAGCGGATGCTCATTTGACCGCCAAAGCTGCTGAATGCGGCCAACTGATGTTTTCGCCTTTCAATTTGTTCAACGACCGCCAGAGATGCTACGACGGTTGCCCAGACCATGAGGCTTTTGCTCGCAGAATGTTCCGAGAATTTGCCCCAGTCCTGAAAAAGGAAAAGTCGATGAATGGCAGCAACTCGGAAAGACGAGCATCAAACATCGAAAGTCTGGCAAGACCAGCCGTGAAGCGGTGGTTTTCGTTTTGGCCCTTTACCAAAAAGAAGACCACGGATGCGAGCAACACCATTCATCCTGATGACGCTTCAGACTTGAATCTTGTCCAAGTGAACAGCAGCCAACGTCACAGTGCCATAGTCGTCCGGTCAGACTTCGCAGTCGAAGAGAGCAGGAGACCAAGCATTGAAGAGATTCAGGAGCTTCGCGCTTATGGCTGTGCCACTGGCGCAGAATTTGACGATACGAAAAACTTTGCCGATGTCTTGTGGGAAGCCGCGCTTGCAAGACGAGGCTCTAGATGATCCTGACGTCGCATGAAAACGATTTCGAAGTTGCGCTTGCTTTCTTATGACTAGACCTTTTTTAATCATTCATGGCGTATTTTCGACCATTGTTGATACCAGTTTGGCGTCACAGGGCGTGCTTTTTATTTCGAGATAATCTTTTTTCTTTTCCTTTCTTCTTTTCAGCTTTCCACGTTGATGGAGGTTTGTCTATCACAAACTCAAAAAAAGCAACCAGCAAATACGGCTTCCTGAAAAGAACATTATGCTTTACTTCATATTAGACTTTCTTCTTTCTAAAAAGACGGCGCTGGCGCAGCTTCCGAATTCAGGTTCTCAGCTGAGCATCTGTTCCAGTAGGCAAGGCGGAAAATATGCCGATGCAAATGCTTCAGAATTTGCCGCGAATCGAGCTTTGTCCATCTTCATTGCTCTATTTCCTTTGCCAATGCGGGCTCGTTGCAATGGAAACCGAGCCAGACTGGGCACATCAGATTGAGAGTCAGAATTCGGGGAACTTGAGCCAGGAGGTTGTCTTTGCTTTGTATCACTAGATTCCATATATTAGTCTAGGCGTAATTGATACAGTCCTACCTTGAAAACAATTCTTTTGCATACCCCATCTTCAATCTTTAAGGGCGGACAGGGGAGCCTGATTTTCGAACCGCTAATGCAGGGACCGAAAAGGGGTTGCATAGATCGCCTTGGCACCCCATGTGAGATAGGAGAGAGGTTCTAGAATTTTAAAACACGCATGTTATTTTCTAACAAGATTTTGTCTGATAGCACCAGAGAAGGTCATCAAAAGTTTGCCTATGCTGTACGAAGTATATTCAAGAGATGTCGTTGTCGTTGGTTTACTGTGTATATTTAGGGGTTCGCAGCATCGCTAAGCCGCTAGATTGCGGAATTGGCCGAAGGAAAGATTAGACGTCATCCCAAAATTTAACTCTGAATCGCTTTTGGTTTGCCCATCATTGATTTGACTATCCAACCGCCGGCTCCCTTTTCTCCAACAGGTTCACCGATTACACGATCAATTGCTTGCAATTGAGCAAAGGATATCCGGTGCTGCTCCTGCACCTTTCTTCGACTACGGTTACCCCTCCAAGTCTTTCGCCCCACTATGGCCGCCAGCCCGACTGCCCCTCCAACGAGTGCTGGTACACTTAAATTGATTGCTCCTTTGACCCCTCCAAGCAGCACACGAACATGGCTTACCGTTCCGCATCATTCGCTACCGCTTGTGGCTACCGCGACTTCCGATAAGACCGTGCGCGTCTACTCTCTCCGTTCATTTACCTTGCATAGTACAGTGTCTGGAGGTCACAAGCGCAGCGTTCGATCATGCGCATGGAAGCCTGGGACAAAAGGCGAAAGCGTTTTGGCGACTGGTAGTTTTGATGCGAGCGCAGGAATATGGAGACGATGGGATATGGATATGGGAATGGCCCGCGAAAGAGATTTGACAGGAGGCGTGGATGAAGGGGATGAAGAGGAGGACGAGGGATGGAGATTTTCCGTGATTTTGGACGGACATGAGTCTGAGATCAAGTCGGTTGCGTGGTCCGCCTCGGGGCAGTTCTTGGCAACATGCAGTCGAGACAAGTCAGTATGGATCTGGGAGGAAATGGAAGACGATAACTTTGAGACAATTGCTGTCTTGCAAGAGCACGAAGCCGACGTCAAATGCGTAGCATGGCATCCAGAGGAGGAACTGCTTGCTTCGTCATCCTACGATGACACTATCCGTCTGTACCGTGAAGACATTGACGACTGGACCGGCATCGCCGTCCTTTCAGGTCATGACTCAACTGTATGGTCCATTGATTTTGAGCCGGCAAAACCGGCTCTCAGTGGAGACAGCCAGGCGGACGCCAGCGATCGCGCCAGATGGATTGAAGCGCGGGAAGCTTCAGGTCCGCGTCTGGTTTCTGGTTCAGATGACAGAACACTTCGGATCTGGCGGCGCCGGCCGAAACAGAAGCAACCCGCCCCTCCCACTGGACAAGGCCGAATTCCAAGCATCATTCGCACTCATAGTATTGAAGAGGATTGGTACGAGGAAGCTAGACTTCCAGTAGCGCATGAACGTGCCATCTATTCGGTTGCCTGGAGCAAACGCACAGGGAGAATAGTCAGCACAGGTGGCGATGGCCGGATTGTCGTCTACGAAGAAAGATGGAGCGAACCAAAGGGAAACGAAGAGAAGACAGACGGACTGAACCCTGAGGGGACCGAAGCCTCAGATCTCCCCGTGGCCAGGACCACTTGGTCAGTGGTTGCCTCTATTGAGATGGCCCACGACGTATTTGAAGTAAACCATGTCACCTTTGCTCGGCGCTTCGATTCCGGGCGGACATCCGATGATGAGGAAATTATAATCAGCACTGGTGACGACGGGCAGGTCAAGGTTTGGACGGTGGAGATATGATTTGATGCCGATGATTTAATGAAGACAATTGATGTGAATATCAAAAGGCCACGTTGTGTTCAAAGGGAGCGGCAGCCTGCATATCTCATTTGTTTCTCTTAGACATAGATTGGAATATCTGTGCTTGTTACGACATTATTCAGTTCCTACCAGTACTTTCTGGAAGCAAATACTACATACCGTTGATGTATATTTCTGCATCTTCCAGCCTTTGCTCTTTGTCTATTGATCTTGGTTGTCGAGGAAAAAAGCATATGCTTGCGTTACGGACAGACCGGATGGGTGAGTAGGGAGAGGCAATTCAACCCTATGAATCTTTGATGGAGCATTATGAAGCATGCTGCATGTTGAATCGAGATGCATCTGCAATGACTTTATAAGAACAACGCAGGTACCCGCTCTTTCATGTAATTTTATCCAGCAGTTCTTTGGACAGTCCTTTACCATGTCCAAATAACCTATCCTTACATGTAACTGAGAATGACATGGAAATGAGTGTCATGAAAGCCACAATAATCCCCATATCCTCATGCAGCTAACGATTGAAAGCTACATGCTTTGAACAGAACTGCATATTCACAGCCTCAAAGAAACATGAATGATATACGTATATCAAATAAATTACGCCAAAAAATTCACTTACAAGTTTATCTATATCTATATCTACATATAACAACATCATATCATCCTTCCTTTCCAGAGATCCTCTTGTAATAAAACAGCCTCATTTTCTTTAATACCACGAGCAATCCACCTTGAGCCCTGATTCAATATAGTCTCTGCTCAACCACGGGACTATGTGTCAAGATAACTCCCTTTTCTGGGCCTGCGGATGCCTAGTCGCCGACAATTGGATCTACTGCGACTCCGCACGAGCCGGCGAAAAATGCATCGTCGTCAAGCAATACAATACAGTCGTGCAGGAATGCGCCGGGTGCAAGGCAGCAAAGAGTCTCAAAATGGCATTTGCTCGCAAAGCGGAGAAGGAGGCTGGGAAGATCTGATAAAACGAAGATGTCCATTTGAATCGGGTTGCCGTGATCATATTCAGGTACGCTTTGCTCCAGATACGAAGTAATAGAGACAAATCCAGTATCATTTTCCTGTAGTCCGTCAAGACTGTCTTCTCCGTTTGGTATATTTTGGCTTGGACAAGTTCTATTCTAACAGTGGACAGGGGGGGGAAGACAAGGGCTACAGTGTTTATAGGTGGTCATGCAACGCAGTAACATAAGCACGTCATTTCAATAAATGCAAAATGTGGAAAGACAATACGGTAGCTTGAATAATACGGAGTACATCCATGTTGAGAATCAACGGCAATAATACTATGATCGGGTGTGAAATAATGTAAACAGTCCCGTTGAGCCGGGCAATCGATAAGAGATATCTCCGAACGACAATTGCCGAACATGGACTCTTTTTAGTGATAATATCCCCGGGAGCTCGGCCCGAGAGAACGAGGAAGAGTGCAGGCAAAACAATTGATGAGATCATAACGCCCATTTAGAGTTAAATCCTCCGAAACTACAAAGGTACAGAGTACTGTTGATGCAATAACATGCCCATGACATCGGATTTCCATCATGTCCCTCCTTAATCCCTGTATCCCATTCCCTTCAAGATAAGAAAATAAATAATAAAAATAAAAATAAACGAATCGCATTATTCAATGCGCGACTAAACTCTAACATCAAACTACTTCGACTCCGCACACACCCTATCCATAGTAAACAAAACACCAGAATTCAAACGACACAATGGACCCAAAGGCGCCTAATGCAGAGTATCGCTCTACTCCGCAATACGCAGAGTATCAGCGCGAGAATTTTTGGAAACCCAATACCGGAGAAGTTCCTCCGTTTAACACAGGTAGCATTACCCCAAATCAGCCAACAGGAGCTTTAGACATTGATGCTAACAAAATCCAGATCCTGCAAAGCTAGAAGAGCTAGCCAAGACAAAGCTCACGCAGAACGGATGGTAATTTTACAAACAGCCTCGCAAGCCCCTCAACCATTCTCTGCACGGCTCCTCTATAGCCCAGCATCTGCTAATACAGGCCCGACTTCCAGGTTCTACGCCTCGTCCAATGCCGGACAGAGCTACACCCACACGGCCAACCGGCAGGCATTCTACCGGCACCGGATCATTCCACGCATGCTGGTCGACACGAACAAGCGGGACACGCGGACATCGATATTCGGGCACGACGTGGCGGCTCCCATAGGGATTGCGCCTATCGGGATCAACAAGATCTACCATCCGCAGGGCGAGCTGCCCGTGGCGAAAGTCGCCGGGGAGCTCAACATCCCGTACTGCCTGAGCACAGCGGGCTCAACGCCGATCGAGACCGTGGCTGACGCCAACGGGCAAGGCAGCCCGCGGTTCTACCAGCTATACATGCCGCACGACGACGAGCTGACGATCAACCTGCTAGAGCGGGCATGGAATTCCGGGTTCGACGTGTGCATTCTGACCGTGGATACATGGCAGCTCGGGTGGCGCCACGACGATGTGGCGATTGGGAACTACGCCTTCTACAGGGGCATGGGCGCGGACCTGGGTCTCAGCGATAAAGTGTTCCAAAAGCGCCTGGCTGAGGCCCGGATCGATCCGGAAAAGGAACCGGAGAGGGCATGCGCAATGTGGATCGACAGTATCTGGCATGGCAGAGCGCACTCGTGGGAGAAAATCCCGTGGGTGATTGAGCAGTGGAAGCGCATTTCCAATGGCCGCCCCTTTTGTCTCAAGGGCATCCAAAGCGTGCAGGATGCGAAAAAGGCCGTCGAGGTCGGCTGCGATGGGATCGTCGTGAGCAATCATGCGGGAAGACAAGTGGATGGGGCGATTGCCAGCCTGGACGCTCTGGAAGAGATTGTTGACGGTACGACTTTTATTCTTTGTTTGTGTTTAAGCTAATCACTTTTTATATCTTTTGTTGCGTTTACGATAATCACTTTTTATATCCTTTGTTGCGTTTTCGAGAAACGTTGCTAACTAATCTCCATCTTAGCCGTTGGATCTCAAACATACGTCATGTTCGACAGCGGCGTCCGCGGCGGCGCCGACGTGTTCAAAGCACTCGCCCTCGGCGCCAAATTCGTCTTTGTCGGACGTCTTTGGATCTGGGGGCTTTCCATCATGGGCGAACCGGGCGTACGCCATGTCATGAAGAGCTTACTTGCCGATTTCGACATTTTGATGAACGTCGCCGGCTTTCAGAGCGTCGAGCAAATTGATCGCAGCGCCATCGGTGAGTTGCTGTCCTTCCTTTTTCCTCTCCTTCTTCTTCTCCACAAATCATAGTTATATGCAGGGTCTGTCTCCGAGCGCGAGGCTAATCGCAGAGTTCATTTCCAAAACCAAGCAGAATCGTATCCAAAGTCTTATAACCTCCCTACAGAAACTTCTAAACTATGAAATTAGCTATGGACTCACGTTTTTGAGGGGGATCATGTCTTAGGCATTTGTGGGAAATTTTTGTAGCAGGAAAAGGAAAAGGAAAAGGAACACGTGCGTTTATTGAAGCACGGTTAGGAATATATATATTTTCGGAAACAAAAAAAGAAAAAACAAATGTCAAATAGCCACCGTCTAATCGTACTATTAATATGAAAAAGAAAAAAAGTCAAATCTATAATCGTTCATTGTCAAACAAGGAAAAGGAATAAACGCCCTGCTCCGTCCCATTTGTTTCTACCCTTCTATTCCTTGTAAAATCCTTGCCCGAGAACAAAGTCTGCTACATCATTTGTGACGAGTTTCTTCAACGCCTCGGGGTCGCCCCGCTGACAGGCTTCTCGGACACGTGTCGAGCTGATAATTTGATTTTCAACAGCTCCTTCACATTCCTTCTTCTTCTCTTCAACTGGATTGCTTGATGTTGCATCACCTTCAGCGCCGGCAGGAGATGTCGTCAGTCCATCGCCCGCACCGCCGTCGTGACTGCTCCCGACCACCAACTCGATTCGTTGTGCCCATTCCTTTTTCCCGCCCTCATGTTCTCGTTCCCCGGCGGCAAGGTTGTGAAGATAGGCTTCCTGTTCAGCACGTCCGCCCCAGCTATCGCCCGGTCTGAGCGTCGCGCGGATTCTGTGCGCGGACAGGAACGGCTCGAGCGGCGCCAGTGTGTGTGTGGGTAGATAGTATTTCGGGTCCATGATACGAGTGAGTGTGTCGTAGCCTGTGAGCCAGACTTGAGTTGCTTGCGCTTGTGGTGGTTTAGATGATGATGATGAAGGTGCTGTTGCTGTCGCTGTTGTTTTTATGGTTGTTGATGATATTGATGACCGTTCTTTGGCTGTCGAAGGAGAGACTGTGGCGGAAGGAGATGAGGCTGGTGTTGGCCCAGGTCCATATACTTCTGTCTCGGTAATCGCATAGCTCTTCTCCACAAAGTAGGGTTCTTTGGTGATGCCAATGTCAATGGCAATGGCGACGTCGGGGACATTGTGGAGAAGCGAAGGCGCGGTGGACGAAGGCGTCGTGGCTGCACTGGGCGCAGCTGAGCCCGTTGGTGAAGAGATGTCGAAGAAGGATGTAGTAGATGGTGGAGTCAATGAGCGTAGTAGATCTTGAGCAAAAAGTGTCATCATGACGAGACGGTCTTGGAATTGTGCTGGTTTGGGTGCTATATCCAATGCCCCAAGAAGAGCACATATTAGCCTTTTGCTGTGACTTCTTCTTTATGTAGTGAATTACTGTGACTGTAATATAGATTGGCAATGAAGCGAAAAGAGCCAAACATGGCACACGCACTGAGATGATGGTTTGAGTAGGGAGAGGATTTAAAGGATGAGCGACGAAGACAGCAAGCAGGATAATGACAAAGACATCTGAAGACACCATAAAACAGTTGCAGAACTTAATTTGATACCCCTGCAGTTAAAAAAAGCAGCAAGAAAAGCAGAAGCAAAGACTTGGATTGTTTCTAACAAAGATTGCGATAAAATCTTTCTAACTTTGAATTGGCTCTTTATTTTTCCTTTTTTTTTTTTTTTTTTTTTTTCGAAACCACGTGAAAATTGCGATTTGAGAAAATAAAAGCAAGACAATTAAAACTAAAAGGAAAAAAAGAAATCACGGAAATCACGATGAAATGAGAGACAGCTAATTGCATTACGAATGAGCAGAGGATAAAAAATGAACGAACCTTTATCTGCATTTTGGGTGGCCAGCAACAATAGTAACCGCTTAGGTTCTTGCCCGCGCTCATCATCTCGCAATGCTGAGAGAGCGAGTTGCCGATGCGCTCTGGTTGGAGGGTTAAAGGACGAATCCAAGATATAAAGGGTATGAGGGGTAGGCCATATCCTAGGATGAGGGGAGGTCGAAGATGATATCAGCGCGGCAAAAGAATGCTCGCCATGACTCGTGATTGTGCGCAGCAGCTGGAATCTTGATGATGATGCAGCAAAGGCAGAGAGGGCTTGACGAAATTCATTTGACAAATTAGACAGAGCCTGGGGAGAGGGCATCGTGGGGGAGTGGATCAGGCTCTGGGGGCCGGTGGTGGGGGATGCAGTCGGTGCTGAGGGATCCGAGGAGGGGTGGTATCCGCTGTGGTGTTGAGTATCAATGCGTGAATTTGTCTCGGGTAGATGAGGCGTAGATGCCATGATGGTATGCCAGGGTAAGCAACAGTCTGATATCACAATGAATTGGTGGTGATGTTTCCCGATACGGACGGAACAAAAGAGAATGGTCCCAAGTAGAATTTATAGCATGTAGTTCTTCTGGCTGGCTGGTTTCACGTCAGCTTCTTCACACAAAAGGGGAGTAATGGCGCATTTGATCTGGAGATGTCCGGTTACGTCGCTGTGGCTGAACGAGGGTAAGCCCCGAGGTCCGTCTTCTCGCTTATGTGTCTCGCTCTCGTCGTTGCGCCACACCACACCAGTGGATCAAATCCGGCATAGTTTCCCCTTTTAATTTCCGCGCACCGGTCACTTGCTGGCTGGAGTTTGTTTCGCTAAGTGAGCGACCGGTCCCTGAGGCGCCAACCCTAATGTACGCAGTAGAGAACCATGGGGCCACTTTCGGGGGCTGGTAATGATAAATCTCGCGCTCTCGTGAATCCATGTAATGATCATTGATTAAAGGGGCATTGGCAGAGGGATACCTCAGCTGCCCATTCTCCAGGAGTATAGCAGACGCAGCGAGTCAGAGTCGTTGAAGTGCGGCCTGAGAGCCTACTGTTACCCTTGTGTTAAAGGTAAGAGAAGGTAACTTAATTACACCTTTCTGAGCAAATTGAAATGCAAATTATATGATTACGTGTATATACTCTGTACTTTAGGTAAGGACAATATTCAAGTTCTAAGGTATTTAACCGAGACCAGGCTATGGGGGTACTTTGACACTATAGCCCTACTCGTCCTCATCTGCATACGCATCGTCCAGTTTAACAGGTGCCCGAGCTCTCCGCCGTTTCTCGTGACGCCAGAGGATAAAGAGCACCGCAACAAGACAGAGCAGAACAACGACCCCCAAGGCAACAAATCCACCCGTATGGGCAGTCTCTTTTCGATGATTTTTTGAGCATTGCGAATTAGGCAGGGGTTTTGTGTCGTTAGAAACCCTGTACATCTGACTCATTGAATCGATATGGAGTTTATTCGTAGTGAGCCGCATTTGGTAGTTGAGTGTCACGTCAATGTCGGCAGGAATCGTCCAATAGTAAACAAGAAGCTGGCATCCCACCACTGGACAATCCTCATTTATAGGACGCAATGCGCCCAAGGCATGCTCCCCATCAAATTTACCAAATGGTAGACCGGAATTGAGAAATGCTGTGACGTTGGTCGATGCTAATAAGTGTGGTTAATAAGTAGATATGTTAATAAAGTTTTGATAAAGATGAGGTTACTGACGCATAACGTTCATTACTTTTTCGCAGCGATCCGCTCGATAAAGGTCCAGAGTGTAATTGAGACCTTGCTGGTGAATGTCCAACTCGTGGTCTCGGGATCGTGGATGCGATGGGTTTTTGATTGCCCAAAACCACGGAATTTCAATTGTCGAGTTTGGAGACACAACTGGAGCGACATCTTCGGTTTTGTTGATCTTGGTTGGCTCGAAAAAGTCTCCAGGCTTCGCCTTGGCAAGGTCAAAGTACACATCTGAAACGTCTCCCTCATAGACGTCGTTCAGGTTTGCGGCGCATTTAGGAAGTGACATTGTCACTGCGGCAGTGATCGGAAAGAGAGAGAGAGAGAGAGAGAGAGAGAGAGAGAGAGAGAGAGAGAGAGAAACCGTTGAAGATGCAACAATGTACAAATTTTTAATTTATTCTGGTCGCCTGAAGAGTTAAAATGGGAGTCACAGAGTCACAACAGCGAGTGGCCCCGCTGCAGGCTAGAGCTGTGCCGCTTTTGTGAGGTGGAGTTGCATGGGGTGTTGCACATCTTGCAGGAGCTCACCCCACTTTCGTCCGTTTAATACGAGGTAGCAGATAGAAAAAAGATGCTGGGATAAATATACACTGACTCTAGGATCTCTCGAGTGCCAACTCGGTGAGAAAACAAGTGTTGATGTGTGCTGCCAACAACCAGTTAACACAATACTAGGTAGATATTTAAAAGGAGTGGGGTTAGTATTAGTTGGAGCTAGTAAGAAAGGTTAATTCATAGGGTCAAGCTTAGGTAGCTATATACCTATCTAAGATAATAAATTCGATTTAGTTACACTTAATTTTCATTACTTTCCTAAAGTAATCTGAACAATTGAGATCGATGGGTTTTTCATACTGTGGTCGCATCATTCGAGTTGAAATCACCTCTTGAATGAGCTTTGCGGTGTACCCATGCAATTTCTCGGGGCTGAGTTCGAGGTATACCTGGCTGTATACCCAGAGGTTTGGTGAGTTGGATTGAGTCTTCCAGGATGTTCAGCTCAGAATCAGGTAGGTTGAAGTACAGTTTCGAAGCTGGTGTGTCGTGGGCTTTCCCTGAGTCCGCAGTACAGTTGACCACAGGCATCGTCGCGATTGTGAAATGATGGTAGGCTTCTCAACGAAAAACATGGATTAAAGATAAGATTAGAGAGAAATGATTATCTAGATCGCAGCAGTTTAGTCCATATTGCAAAGGTACGATTGTCAACACACAGGAGCTGCAACGGAATAAATCGACATGGGAAGTGACTCAATGATACAGAATGAGGGTGGCTGAGTTACCTAGGTTCTGATATCTGCATGCTGAAACCTCAACCCGGGCGGGGATCTGGCGCAAGACTTGGATGTTCCTGTCTTAAGTTGCCGCGGCCGATTTCCGCGGCCGATTTGATCAATTGCGTGCCTGATTGGAGAATCCTAAGCGACGGCTGTACAGAAGTAAGTGGTGGTCAAAGTGCCTAGTGATGGCGCCCAATTGAAAGGGTTTCTCAGGACGGAGTGAAGACAACCTTTTTTCGAGATAGTAGCAGTGTTACTGAGCTGGTAATCATTTTTATTGTCAAAAATTAAATAGAGTTGCATTGATTAAAGCTGTTGTAAGGTTCTGATATTGCTACTAGAATCCTTGCAATTGAACGCCTGATGGCACTACTCCGTAAACGCGGTGACTTGGTGGCGGCTCGTAGCGAGGATGATCGTGTACTCTGATAGTGCCAGGTTGATGTCGGACAGCATATAAAAGCATTTCATAATGCCTGCCATTTATACCTCACAATTCACATTTTTGGGACAAAGGAAATACATATAAGGATTGGAGATGTGTCAATCAGATTGGCGGGTGCTGTCCAAGAGAAAGTTGTATTTGTCGGAGCTGATGGTGCTTTTCATTGACGCACATCACGGCAAAGCAGCATACACGAGGTACTTCGTACCATATTAGATACCTGAATTAAGGCAACTCTCTCGTTATTGCAATCGTCAATTGCTTGACTCCTGTGGTTCTCAGATTTAAGGATGAAACGAGTTAAAAACATTGAAATAAAATAAGCTGCCTGTATTTTGTATGCACTTCTTTCGCGGTTGTCTTAGGGCAAAATTCTCACGGAAGTGGCCTGCTGAGTCGCTTTCGAGTGGTACCATGGTTCTGTCAATCTGCCGGATCCATAGCGACTAATAAGATCATAAGACGCCATACTCAGCCCCATCTGAATCGCTTCAAGGTCAGAACGACTTTCTTTTCTCACATAGAACCATGGTTCTGTTTAATTACACTTCCCGTTCGCTCTTCACGTAGAACCAAAACGACCATACGCTCGGACGAGACACGAGGGATCAATAATTCAGCTCTCGCATGGTTTTGACAATCTTCGTGGTTGTTGCCCACCACTGCATCGACTCTGAGACACGCATGTGTAGAGAGAGAGAAGAAAATACGAGATTCACGAGCATTTCTACTGAAGTTACAGTATGCGGTCATCATGAACGACTCTGGATTGTCTCCTCTTCGTCCGTGCCTGTTTCACTGTTTGAACTGATTCTCCCCCCTCCGTCAGGCTCGTGGTGGGTCATCATTATTGATGGGGTTACTCAAACAGCGCTCGGTCGTTTCGGGTACCTGAAAGTCCCTGCCTAAAACGGACATTTCGCACCACCTCACCTCCTCTCAGGCATCATGGGGGACGCACCTGCAGCCGAGCTTTGGTGAGCCCAGCAAAAAGGAGACGAAGAGAGAAATAAGGAGAGTACGGAGGTATAGTGAAGAGATTCTGGATCGACGGAGATTGTGGGAAATAATTGTTGCCATAATGTAGGACGACGGTTCTTCTCTTTGACTTTGAATCAATCGAGACCGCCTCGCTCTCCTTTTGTCGAAACATCTGCGGGAGATCTTCATCTCGCAAGTTGTAGGCTCATCGTAGTGATCTGATGGGCGCGCGCCACACGGTTGGTTGGTCTAGACGCTGTGCAAAAATGGGCCATTTGTGGTGTGGAGACATTTCTCCTCTGGCTCTTGTGGGCAAATGAAAAGTAATTTGACTTCATCTCCGGGGGTGTGTTCCTAAGACGCCGGGAGATTTGAGGGCACGCTGCATTGACAGATGAGGTATTGGCTACTTTGCTTAGACCAGTTTCAATATAGGACGGGTGGGCGAAACCCAGACATTGGCTAAGTCGTCGGTACTTAATTTAATCTCTGGGCTTGGTCTAGAGTACGTGTACCGTCCAGGTGCAAAGCCGACAAATTGCGAGGCGCTAGGGCTCGACCTAGGGGACTGGCGCATGTCACCTAACTTAATGACTCTCTTTTCTCCTCCCATGCATCTCTCTGCGTGGGTTTCTGCGAGGGGGAGAAAGAGACTTTGATTGGTGATTGGCGTTAATAGCGTGGTATAACAGACAGAAGAAGTGGTAACGACGCCTTTAGCACTGTGGGTGGATATCATGAGGAGAGAAGACGCATGGACCAGTCATGATCCTTCAATCTGCTATTCCACCTGCCAACCCTGGTCCAGCCGCCGCCATCCAGCCAATCACAGTGCTATCGTGCCTGATTCCTGTCTGGATGCCCCTGAGGCTAAACAACGGTGTCGCCATGCGACCTTGGGAGAGGTGAAAATGGCCTGCCAAAGTCAGTGCAGTAGTGCTTGTCAGGTCTGGAAAAGCGAATCTAATCGGGTTTTCATGCCGTCGCTTTGATGCATCTGGCTGGCTCTTTGGGTCGTTTGGCCCCCTTTCCCTAAATCCCCAAGTCATCAAACCAGGCCTCCTCATACCCTGGTTCCGCCAATTCACTGTCATTCACCACAAACCCACCGCCCCCCCCATAGACACTAATTCGCTGACTGGGTTACTGCCAATATGAATTATCCCTCCCGCCCGCCCACACTTTTCCCCGACCTCTTCTTCTGCTTTCTCTGGTCTTTCTCTTTTCTCACCACCAAGGCTTTTCGTTCGTGATTCCTCTTTGCGTCTCTTTTGAGCGCTTCCGATCTTTACCAGGCCTTTGTTAAGTGTCGTCACTCGTTCTCAAGAGATCCCTCAGACTCTCCTTATCCTATCTGTGATAGAGATTGTCCGCAAGCAACCGGCTTCCAAGCAAATATCCATTCCTTCGGTCGCGATCAATCAACTCAGTCCTTACTGTGTGATACCTGTTTCGCTGTTCAATCCGTACTACTTCACGGCTTCTGTCAACCGCTCCTCCGTGAAAGCATCTGAGAATATCGTCATTGTGAAAGATTGTTATCATCGATTTTCGAGATGCAGATTCTTAGCAAGTTGAGCGTCGCTCTCGTTGCGGCCCTGGCAACCGCCTCTCAGGCGCGCCACCTCCACAGCCCTCACCATCTCCAAGCCCGGGCCTTTGGCAATGGAACCAGCGTGGCTGCACCCACTGCTCCGTCTGCACCCTTGGTTACGGCTCCCACTTCAGCCCCGGCCTTGACCACCTCTACCGTCTACTCGACGCAGGAGTTCACCGTCACCAGCTGCGCGCCTACTGTCACCGACTGCCCTGCGCACTCGACCAAGGTCATCACTTCTACCATTGCCATCTCGACCACTGTCTGCCCCGTCACCGAGACGGAGGGTCCTGCGGCCTCGTCCACCGCTGCTGCTGCTTCTCCCGCCTCTAGCGCAGCTTCAAGCATCATCACTTCGAGCCCGGTCCCTACCACCTCTGTGTCCAGCAAGATCACCAACAGCACCTTGACCTACACTCTTGGCACTGGCTCCTCCACCAGCGTGGTGACCACCACGGTCAAGCACACTTCTTATGAGACGGAGACTTTCGTAAGGAGATGCCACTCAGAAATACCATGGTCGAATATAACTAACATTTTGACCCAGACTGTTTATGCCACCTCGGCTGCCCCTGTCTCTTCCAGCACTCCCATCACCACCGTGCAGTCGACCTCGACTTCTACCCGCACCGTTACGGTGACACCCGCCGCAACCAGTGGCTCCGTTGGTGCTGCCGCCAGCTCTGCCTCTGGCTCTGCTGCCTCTGCTGCCTCTGCTGCTTCCGGATCTGCCGGTGCTGGCGGTAGCTGCCCATCTCAGGTCACTGTCACCGTGACTGCACAGTCGACCGTCACTGTGGTAAGTAACTTTCCGGCACTTTAACCAAGTGCTCTCAGCTCACCATATATTTTAGACCGCTGGAGCCAGCACCTCCACCCCTGCCACCATCGAGAGCTCAAGCAGCTCAACGAGCGCTCTGCCAACCGTCTCTTCCAGCGCTCCCTACGGCAATGGAACCTGGACAACTTATGCCAGCACCGGCTTCGTTACCCTGACCCAGGGTATCAAGCCCACCGGCTACAGCCGCCGTTAAGCGATTTTCATGGTTCTCTAAGCGCTGATTCCTGTTGCCATTTGCCTTGGTTGGAAACATTTCGTAGAGGCAAACTTCGCGCTGGACGTGCTGGAATGGTTGTTACCGGGGCTGAGCTCACATCTCATATGTTTCTCTTCTCTTGTTCAAGATTTTTGTCAATTTGACGGGGAATCGTGCTGTTCGGGATACGTGGACAGCATCGATAACTCATCTGTCTATATCTTGAATTCTTTGCATCATATTTTACCTTTACGATTGCTCTCCTATTTTTATTCCATTCTTGATTGCGGGCGGGCTCGCTGGAAAAGAAGGGGACAATATCGCACCAAAGAAAAGAAAAAAAAAAAGATTTCAAAAAAGCGAATTGCGTCGAGGGAACGAGTGGATTGGAACATGAGAATGCAGGTTCCGATGCATTTCGACCAGCCATGCGATATTCGTGTACACTGCCAAATATTTTACTGTTTCAATTGGCGCTTGTCGTTTCTCTCAATGCCCAACAGCTTTCCACACCTCAATCGCAATGCAACCGACAACGTTCCTTTTTTGAAATCATCATTGTGCGTTGATCTTTCGTCCCACACTAATGCCATGCAATCGTGCTGGATTTAGGTCCTTCACTGTTTATCTTATTGCACCACTTCAACAATCCCCTTTGATACGGCGTATCACCTACATGATGGAAATTTCATCTGCGACAGGAGCTACTAGGATCTGGAGTCGGAGCGTTCCAAGTTTGTTTCATTTGTATTACGTGTGTCCATCAGAGCGATAAGCGCTGCCGGACCGTTGAAATATTTGATACCATCCTTTATGCCTGTGTGATCCAAATGCTTGTGCTTCATGGTGACTTACTCTCTCCGCATTTAAACCCCTTTTAACTAGTTACGGATGCGTTTCTTTCTCCAGCCCTTTCCAGCACTATCGTCCAATAGCGTAGGTAAACCCGATAGGAAACCATGGCTCATTCAGTACGGCAAAAATTGCCTTGGTGGGCCAATTCTCGCACTTTGAGTGTTTATTTTGTGGGGTCGTTTTTGACAACAAGTGGTTCCCGAGGGCTTGCTCATGCGTGTATTGTACAACAGTAAGGGAGCTGTTCTTCCCGAAGACCCGATGTTCCTCTCTGGTTGATACAGTCGGTGAGGTTAGTCTTTGAAGCAAGGAATGACACAAAACGCTGGTGCGACGGCCTGCGACAACGGGGCGAGCCGTGACCCGCCTCTCGAAGCGAAAAAGGCGACGAACGGGGAAGACACCAAGAACATTGGCGAAGCACATGATGCAAGGTATGTATATATATTTCTTCGAAACAAGGGAACAACAAGTCAAGATTCTTCAGGGAAAAAAAAAACATATTCCGTAGAAGGAATGGGCTTAGGGATGAGCAATGTTTGCTGGGGGTATCTTTACAACGCCTCATCAACAGAATCATAATATATTTTCCCACAGACGCTCACGCCCATTCCGAGATGGAGGGGGGAAGAGAAAAATCTTCCGATTCATGACAGGGAAGCCGTCAAAAAAGACAAAAGGAAAGGCACAATGCGACAAGATTCGTATAGGGAAACCTGTTCCGTCAACGGAATTAATCACAGCTCTTAATGACTAGGACCGTTACGCACAGGACAATTCCTGGCGGGGCTGGGCCTTGTGGGTTATGCATTCTTGGTAAGAATGATGTAGCAGATCACTTCTAGAGTAGCAATCTCAACACCTCATTGTGGCCAGGACGAAATAGACGCGCAAGAAAAGCAAGTAAGAGAACATGAAAGAAAATTTTAATACGGTAACTGAGAAGCTTGCACTCAAAACGGACCAGAGGGATGAGTGGGCGGTTTGGACCGAGCGATCCGATATAAAGACGCTGCGGCACTTGTGTCCAATGGCAACTGGCAGATCTCCCTCGGAGATATTCCAAAAGTAAATCGGAATTTAAATCGTCTAGGCGATGTGTAACCATATATCAATACTGAACGTGATCCAACATATTGTTGAGTACGGGGACTGGTACCACTGACGTAAGATCATCATGGTCTTCACCTACAGTCTCCCCAGTCTCGTGACAGCAAGAGTCAGGGCCAGGGGGTTGCGCAGAGTTGGGACCGAACAACTCAACCATGGACAGCAAGATATCGTCATTCTTCTCATCGCCGGCCCGGACCTCTCGGGTCTTGTTTTCCGCTCTTGTGTGCGGCGTCGGCGCCTGCGTCTGTTGCCAGTGCCGCTCAGACTAGAGTAAGACATTGAATACAAGTACAGCGCTGAAACGCAAATGATAAGACTCTTAGTTCAACAACGCGAACAAATTGATAGCTCAATGGACGAATGAATGCGCACTGAGACGCCCTCTTAAATCATACATGGCCAATTATTGATTCCGACCCTACAGGGATTGTCTCTCGCACCCTCAGTTGTCGAAGCTGGTTAGCTTGACCCTTAAGCATATCGAGGTATGGCACTTATGCAAAAGATGATCAAATTTTAAGCTCCGTCACGTCACATGAGTCTTGTTTCAGAAGACCGCATCTGCCAGTGAATAGCAGAGCGGGCGACTCGGGCTCTTCAAAAATAGTAGCCCATCTGGATGACTTCAGTCATCAGCACAGTGAGGAGCATGTCGTTATTCCTATCATCCAGACGAGAGCCTTTCACGGTGATGACTCCAAGCTGATATTTGCTGAAGCTTAGTTGACCGAATTTTATGAAATACTCCTTTTTCAGTAATCACAATACGATATCACTGCTTAAGTGGCATATCGATACACTTCTGCTTATAAATTAGCCTGGAAACGGGTCGGTTCCCGGCTGTGGCTCGGGCAGCTCTAACACTTGAAACTGGTCGGCTCCCGTCCCTCGTCTCCAGTCTTCCTCTTTGGTCTCCATCGCTGGAGCTGCGTAGAAGGCCAAAGAAGGAAATTCATCGTTACGCATACATATTCATTCAGGGTCGGCCTACCTAAGTTTATCGTCCCCAAGAACTTCCAGCAATACGCTTTAACATTTACGACGATACTTGGTAAGTGCTGGGCGTATAGAGAGCCAGATATCCAATTTTGCTGATCTGGAGGGGGCAGGTCGCTTAGCTGGACGATAAAGCTAATCCTCAAGATTTAGAGGGGGTTGGGTCGCCGCATGCGACAGGCATCCCACGCACGCGGCCAACGGAGGTCCCGAGACGGTGACGGACTTGGTTTGGAAGCCTCGCGGGCTTAATATCAACTCTGTTTCGACGGAACATTTGGAGACGAGCCTCTTCAATCCTTGGATAACTCCATCCTTGAGTGGACGAACAACAGACGGCACTTAATTGTCTTTGGAACTAGACCTCTTACTCTTCTTGACTTGAACCAAGTCCCTGGTGGGCGAAAGAACCGCCCCCCATTAACTTAACAGCCATGCGCCCGCCGTCGCCGAAGCTCGAGCTCGACTCGCAGGACTCCAACCTCGAGCTTGCTTCTCCCGGATTGTCAGACGTCACCGACCTACTGGTTTCTGACGAAGTTAATGCAGAGGACGACCCTGCAATTAATCCCGCGCTACCTCCGCGCATTGCCGCCCGTTTCTGTCGGCTCACAAACGTACGGCGATCAACATCGAACGCCTCATCTCGTCGCACTTCTATTTCGTCTACACACTCGCACCAGTCCAGTCGCTCTCGTCGCGCTAGAGAGTCGTCACAGAGCACTTGTGTCGCGCAACACCTGCGCCGAGCATCCATTCTCGAGGACCGTAAAGCACGGCTCGCTGATCGGGCTGCCCATGTAGAAAAGGTCCGATTGCGGGCAGCTGTAGCTAAAGCTGCCCTGCGTCCGTCAAACCTAGAAGCCAGAGCGCTGGCCGCACAAAAAGCGCGAGAGCGATACCTTGCACAGGTGACCGCCGCCTGCGCCGAGGAAGTGAGGCGTGCCAAGAAGATTGCAGAGGAAACAAAAGAGAAGAAGGCGGCAGAGGAAAGAAGGCTCAAGATGGAAATGAAGGAGAGGCACGCCGAAGCGGAGCGAAGGAGGCTCGAATATAATCGGCGAAATGGCCGGAGGACAAGAACCGCAAGTGTCCCATCATCCACAGTCGAGGTCAAGCCCATGGCGTCAGAGGCCTCTGGCTTTATAGATGAGGAGACTGCCGCTGCCCGAATACAAGGGATGTGGAGAGATCGGCGCCGAAGACGTGTGATTAATGACTTTCAGTCGCTGGAGCTCAGCATTGAAGCAATTCACGACACAACATTTGAACAGGTTGGCGCTTTACTCTCGCAGGATCGAGTCCTTTCTGCAACCTCCAAGCTCCTCAAGCTATGTGGAGTCCGGGATGAGCAGGGTGGACCACTCGGCGAGAAGTTGGCTGTGAGGACGTTTCTGAGCTCCTTCCTCATCTTAGGCCATCCAACTCATGTGCTTGGCAACGATGGCGAGCAAGAAAAGGTGAGCTTCTGGACCCCGAGAAACTTTTAAAAATTCAGGCTGTCCAGATGGGATATCAATCTCACTAATTTGGTACAGGATCTTATAACTAAATCAAAGGACTTGCTCATCTCTTTTGAGCGACTTCTTTCAATGCTCACGCCGGAAAATCACTATACACCACCGGAACCAGAGCTCGATGCACTCTCCCACGCTTATGCCGCATTTCTCTCAGCATTCAAGGCATGGAAGTCTTGTGATGCCACTGCACTGATAGAGACCATGGTTGCACAATTTGTTGAGCTTGACTCTATTTGGAGCAAGGTCAAGGACGACCATCCCAGCGTGGCGGCGGAATATGAAAAGGGCATCCGTGACAACCAAGCAGTGTTATTTGCTAGGATGAAGCGCCTTGTCGGCCATGAGAAGGCCCGATCTCTTGTCCTGCAAGCAATCAAAGAATCGCGAAAAGTACGTGGTCAGCGGGCAGCACCAGAGGGGGCTGTGGCCACGCCGCGAGGGGTTACTGGATCCTCTGAACAGCGTCAACCCACAGAGGGGGCTCAATCATCGGCTGAGATGCAAAGCCCTTCGCCCCAACCGTCATCTGCCGCAGCAGAAACCTTGCAATCCCGACTAAACCCACCTATAACTGCGTCTGCACATGCCAATTCGCGCCGACGGTCTGTACAGTCGGACCAGTTACAAAAGATTGAATCGCCCATTCCGGAGAACCGGACTTTGCTCCATGAACTTGCCATTAACAAACGCTTTAGATTAGAAATGGAAGTCCCATCAGAAGCTATGCTCCAAATGCGACGTGCCATCTATCAAAGCATGAAGAATGATGCGGCTGCGCAAATGGGGCACCCTTGGACGCTCGCCATTGCAGATAATATTCGACGGCGACTGCTCCGACTCCTGATGCACGGTAGCTCAACTTACAAGCTAGTTTCGGAAGTCCTTGACCCTACTGTGATTGCAAACGAGACCTCGAGGGGTACTTTTTCATTTGACAAGTTTTTTGCTTTCATGTCGACGATGCTGCCCCGGCTCTGTGCGCCATTCCGGGATGAGGAGATCAAGCGCCTTACTCAGGACGACACCGGCGACTGGACCGACCGTTTGGCTCGCATCATGCATGGGCTTGACCTCCTCTGCTTGGATTATTGCAATTTCCTCATGCACGAGAGTGCCCCGGCTCTAATCAAAGATGCTCCTGGTTACGAAGCCAGACGCTTTGCCGAAGATTTGCAAAACGGCGTGCACACACTCGAAAAGACACACCGATGGTGGATGGCATCACGCACACAGCTTATGGAGGAGGCAGAGCGCAGAGATCCACAAGGGATCATGCACCCTGGCAGTCGTCCGACTGCGGAGAAGATTTACATGCACGGTCTTGTCAACCTGGCAATCTCTGTTGGGCCCTTGCCGGTTTCTGATCTGCCAGAAACCCTGCAGTTGGACCATAACCGTCTCGAAGCCTCCCGCCGAGATACGCTGAGGATAGTCGTCGTCGGAGCCATCCTCTTGACTGCGAAGAATCTGCTCAAGCGGGACGTTCGGTCACAATGGAAACAGGAAGCGGTTCGGATATGGGAGACCTTGGCCGGCGGCGAAAGAAGCGAGATGAGAGAGATGAGAGAGCGCGGCGGTCATCATCATAACAGCAACCACATCAGCGCCAACGCTCCAACAGCAGCCCTTGGGCTAGCACCTTATCGCGAAGACGCCGGTACCGCAACCCAGATCCAGTCGATTATTGAATCATCACACGCCATGCCGCCCCAAACGAGAGCCCAATTGGCCAATACCATTGCCAGAGTCCTAGGCCAAGCCAGACGGGCAATCGGACTTCTCCCGCCGTCCTCTTCATCTTCAACTTCATCCTCTTCCTCTGCCTCTGCCGCAACGTCACCAACCGCACCATTCTCCGATCCAGTCATGCGTCTCCTCCTCCAACGCCTGCGCACTCACGTCTTCAGTCGCCTCTCCGCAACCTCGGCAGGCGAGCGCGTCCGCCACGCCACGACCGCCAGCGAAGGACTCGCTGGGTCCGGACTGCCCGAGTTCGTCAGCATGATTGGCAACATTGTCGAACAGCTAAGCAAAGTCGCCGACGTCGACCGCAAAGCACATGGCATGTGGTATGATGCTGTTGCAGCACAAGTTGCTGGCGCACCGCCATCGTCGTCATCATCCTTCACATGACCCACATGATCCACATAGTAGTGTCGACTGTGTCTCATGTGGTCCCGTTGAAGTCGTGTGGTTTGATTTTGTCTTATAGCGGAAACACCTAACGACGGATTGATGATACTGTACTGATACCGATAGAGAAAGTAGATGAAGTGTAGTGGATGTTTCAATTTTTTTCTTTTCCAATCTTCATACTTTGGGAATCACCCAATCCACCGTTTTCGGGCGTTTTTTCTCTCTTTCTTCCCATATCATTCTCGACTCGGCGCAAGTTATTACTCTTTGTTCTGGGGGTTTTCGGGGGGAGTTTGTTTTCTACATTCTTTTCTTGGATTTATCTCATGCCATTCATCGTTTTCACTTTTTTGTACAGACAAATCGACAGACAAGACTTATTTTGGATTTGACACGGTAGGAGGCAATGGACCTCGGCCAGTCGATTTGCAGTGCGGTATATGCAAGTACATAAATAGGAGATTGACTACCTTGTGTATTAACGCGGATAAATACATGAACTAGGGTGCATATTCAACATGCACGGTGACAACGTCACTCCAGACGTGGAGACCATTTGAGAGTGATTTGAAGTTTTTCTAATTTGTTCATAATAGCTAGAAAGTCTTTCTACTCTAGCCTCCATGGATTAAAATGGGCATGACGATCATGAAAAATGACCTTGCACTCCGGGGATGAACCGCAAGTGATATCGTTGAGTTGAAAAAAATGGACAAGAGGAAAATAAGCAACATAAAAGGGGAAATCATCTAACAACAAAAAGACAAACGAGACTTTTCCCTCGGGAATGGCTTAAAAACGCAATAATATTCCCCCAATATCCGCTCAGTAAAACGCCGATGTTGAAATCGAGCCCGCACACCCACACACATAGACAACAACCCCGCTTTTGTGTGAATCTTAACCCAAAATTTAAATACTAGCAGATATCTTTCCCAGTACCTGGCTGATTCCCATGTTGAAAAGCACACTTTTTGTTTCATACAAATCGGCGTTAAGGAATGACATCATATCATGTCACTTCCAGAAATTTGCAGCTGTTGCGAGCTGACTTAGGCAGAGAACTTCTGGCGGTAGAACTTGGCCGCGTTGACCATGTTGGTCAACTGGAGCTTGGTCTCAGCCCACTGGCGAGTCTTGAGACCGCAGTCGGGGTTGATCCAGAGCTGCTCAGGCTTGAGGTACCTAGATTGATCATGTTAGTTACCAGGTTCCTTCTTTCTCAAATGGTTTCAATAAAACTTACTGGATCATCTCCTCGATGCGGGTCTTGATCTCCTCCTCGCTGGGAACACGGGGGGAGTGGATGTCAAAGACACCAGGGCCAATGTGGCGGGGGTAAGACTCGTCGACGAAGACCTTGAGGAGCTTGGCATCACTCTTGCTGTTCTCAATCGAGAGGACGTCGGCGTCGAGAGCAGCAATGGCGTGGAAGAAGTCCTGGAACTCAGAGTAGCAGAAGTGAGAGTGGATCTGAGTCGAGTCCTCGACACCAGCAGTCGAGAGACGGAAAGACTGCACAGCCCACTGGAGGTACTTCTCACGCTCAGTACCAGCACGGAGCGGGAGACCCTCACGGAGAGCAGGCTCGTCGACCTGGATGACGTAGATGCCAGCGGCCTCAAGGTCAACGACCTCGTCGCGGAGGGCAAGAGCGAGCTGCTGAGCCTGGACAGACTGGTGGACATCGTCACGGGGGAAAGACCACCGCAAGCAAGTGATGGGACCAGTAAGCATACCCTTCATGGGCTTCTTGGCAACGGAAGCAGCAAACTTGGACTCCTTGACGGTCATGGGAGCAGGACGGGAAATGTCACCGACAATGATCGGGGGACGCACGCAACGGGATCCGTAGCTCTGAACCCAGGCGTGGGTGGTGAAAACGTAACCAGTAAGGCGCTCACCGAAGTATTGCACCATGTCGTTACGCTCGGGCTCACCGTGCACAAGGACATCAAGGTCAAGCTCCTCCTGGATGCGGACAACCTCCTCAATCTCCTTCTCAATGAAGCGCTCGTACTGCTCAGCGGTGATCTCACCCTTGGCGAATTTGTTACGCTGGATACGGATCTCCTTGGTCTGAGGGAAGGAACCGATGGTGGTGGTGGGGAAGAGGGGCAAGCTGAGGTGCTTCTTCTGCTCAGCATAACGGACGTCAAAGCCGGACTTGCGGTCGTGCATGCCCTCAGTGACCTTGGCCTGACGCTCCTTGACAGCAGGGTCGTTGGTGCGCTTGGAGCTGGCACGAGACTCCATGGACTTGGCGTTGGCCTCGAGCTGCTCGCGGACAGCGGCGGGGCCCTCAGTGACAGCCTTGGCAATCACAGCCAACTCACCAGCCTTCTGGATGGCGAAGGAGAACCAGTCCTTGACCTCAGCGTCGAGCTTCTTCTCGCTGTCCAAGGTGTGGGGGACGTGGAGAAGCGAGCTGGAGCTGGAAACAATGACGCGCTCCTTGCCGAGCTTGTGGATGGCAGCCTCAACGGTGGCAATGGCTCTCTGGAAGTTGGTCTTCCAGATGTTACGGCCGTCAACGACACCAACAGACAGGGTCTGCTTAGCGCCGAGCTTAGCAATGACGGGCTCAAGCTGTTCAGGGTGGCGGACAAGGTCCACGTGCAGAGCGTAGAGGCTCTGCAGAGCAGGGAGGACGTCAAAGTTGTGAACAATGTCACCGAAATAGGTGGCAAGGACAACCTCGGGGATCTTGCCGCTCAGGCTAGAGATCTTCTCGTAGGCAGGCTTGAAGGCGGCCTTGATCTTGGGAGCAAGGTCAAGAACGAGAATGGGCTCATCAATCTGGACAGTCTCGGCGCCAGCCTCCTTGAGCTTGACCAAGAGCTCCTCGTAGACGGGCAGCAGCTTGTCGAGAAGGGAAATGGGGTCAACAGACTGGCCACGGTCGGCCTTACCAAGGGCAAGGAACGAGACGGGACCGAGGATGACAGGGCGGGTAACAACACCGGCCTCCTTGGCCTCGAGGAAGTCGTTCACAGGCTTGGGGCTGGGCTGGAGCTTGAAGGTCTGGCCATCCTGGAAGGTAGGCTTGACGTAGTGGTAGTTCGAGTCGAACCACTTAACCATTTCCTGTGCAAAGTGTCAATTTTTTTCGTCTTTCCCCGCCAATTTGGAGATGAGGGTGAAATACCAGAGCAGGAACGTCAACGGCAGACTGGTTCTCAGTAGCGGGCTTCTGGTGGCCACGGCCCATGGCGAAGAACTCGTCAATGGGAGCAAGCTTGTGCTTGGAGTATCTCTCAGGGACAGCCTAGATGTGATTGTCAGTGACTAATCCAGATTTCGGAAAAAGGGACACTTGAGAGAAAACGCACAGTGAAGAGCTGGATGTGGTCAAGGACGTGGTCGTAGAAAGAGAAGTCATTGCTGGGGATGATGTCGACACCGGCAGCCTTCTGGATCTTCCAGTGAGCGAGACGAAGTCTCTTTCCCTCAGCGAGCAGGTCCTGCTGGGAGATCTTTCCACCCCAGTAAGCTTCGGTGGCCTTCTTGAGGTCACGGTTCTCACCCATACGGGGGAAACCGAGAACTGCGCTGCGAGGACATTAGCTTGAGCTCATTCATACCATATATTGTTCAGGAAGAATTAAAGAATTCATTTACGTACGATTGAACCATTGTGAAAGGTGGTGGGGTATTCAAATGAAACAATTTAACAAAAACTAAAGACCTGAAAGTTGCTCTGTAACCTCCAGGAAACAAAAAACCTCGCGGCCTTGGAAATGCGAGGGAAGAAAGGAATTTGAGGATGGTGAATGAATGGGAGAAGGATGGAGAGAGAAGAGAGATGAAAGGGAAGAGAAGGTTTTGAAGAGGAAGAAAAAGATTTCGGCCGGCGTAGAAGGAACAGCGTGTTTTGGGTGGGGATGGAGGGGTCTGAGGGGTGACATGGAACTACTGTGTACAAGGGCGTAACCGGAGTAAGCCAATAGTGCCGCCGTACACCGGCCCACCAATCAGGCCCCGTGCTGCACGTTTATCCACCTATCGTGGAAGCAATCTCTAAGTTACTCGCCCCTCTACGGAGTAGCACACCGCTGACGGCCAGAAAACGACGGTCGAAAGAATGGGATGAGTGTCAAGTAACTCCCCGAACGGTCCCTGAACAAGATTATCCCTCTTTCTCGTTCCTCGTTGCCCCGCCACTTTGTTCGCGGCGTAGTCTACCTCCGTATTTCCTTTACGAATGCTATTTGCAACATGATAAATTCGTCCGGGACTAGCCGATTTACTCGTCTCTCACTCTAGCTCTTTTCACCGTATTTTGTACCTACCTGGCTCCTAACACCGAGATTGATATGATCATGTCAATGTTTTCTACTCGTTTCTCTACGCTTTTTAAGTGCGGTGATCACAGGGGCCTATGGTACCTTATGTACAAATAGAGCTATAAGCAGCCATCAACACTCATGAAAGGTGGTCAATTTTACTGGCCGAGCACGCAAGCGCGGCTAAAGAAAGAAAAGTGGGCCCTACAAATTAAATCTCAGTAATTGGCTGACGAGCGATTCCCGGAGAGAAGGTCACGTGCACTCACCTCCGAATCGGAGAGCTCGGCATTTTGTTTGTCGACTGTATAACCAATGGTCGCAGATTGGCGATTAGATCAAGCTGCGATTCGCTCCTTCCCGTTGCAGCTTTCGTGTGTTTTACTCTTTCCCTTTTAGGAGAACATATTGGTCGTTCCTCCCCCAGATTCTATCGTCAGCCACAACATCATCATCGATACAGGTCGTGTTGCTACTGAAAATGGACGACTCAAGAGATCAACAGAGGAGAGGCGCGTCGGATACACCGGATCATGTCTACTCTGGGTTCTTCGTCCTCAACTCAACTGCTTTCCAACTTGATTCCGCCACAATCATCTTTCTACCGTTTGCCACACTTCCACAACTTTCTTACCCGTATCCCACCAAGATCCCTTGGAATATTCCCCTGAGGTTGATCAAATTCCTTGTCACAAAGTTAGGCAAATCACTGGAGAGTTGACGTCACTTTTTACTGGCTCTACCTAGGTAGTCTCTTCGAAAGAAACACCTCATCCATTTGGGACGCGTAGATTGACCCTGCGCTTCATATGCGGGGCTCGATCGAGTCGCAAATGTCGTCGAATCTCTGCTGCCCTGCGCAGTACGGCGCCACATCGAACGCGCCTCTTTTCAAGTCCACAAATTCCCCGCATGTGCGCTATATGGACGAATATGTCTACGCTTCTAGTAGAAATCATGGAGGCGAATCAAAAAAGCAGTCGTCCCGATCGGCTGCTCAACTTTCTCAGTTCAGAGGATTTCGCGCCCACTCTATGCGTGGTCAGGCCGGAAAGGCGTACACGGACAGGCTTCGACAGCTACCGCGAAAGAACCTAGGATTTACAGGAATGTTACGTCGTATCAAATACAAGCTCAGCGGCGATTCCAAAAAAATCTCCGGTCTCGTTAGGAAAACATCTCAGGCATTTCGTGAAAAATGTCAAGATTTAGACTTGCGAAAATACAGCACGGCATCAAGAGCACCAGCCAGCATGTCGCATGAAGGATCTCTTTACATGCGCCAAGGTGAAGAAAAGTTCCCCTTCGACGCCGATGCAAAATACGTTGGGATGCAGCAGTCTGACGAATACATTGTTCCATCTCGATCGTACAACCCAGAATTGCCTGACATATTGTATGAAGCTGCACCAGTTAAGGTACCTCGCCATCGGAAGAGTACTATTCAATGGAGAAGGCAAGATGCCCGGCCCACAAAAAGATCCAGCCAGTCTAGTTCCTTTCATGGGAAGTTGCCTCATACCCCTGATCGCCAGCGCTTTTCGGAAGAGCAACCGGCAATTCGAACGATCATCGTCAATGGTCGAGTAGCTGATATGTCATTGGGTTATGTGCGATATCATGATGAATTGACGGAAAGCGAACTCAACCAAATTCGCCCCTTTATTGAGAAGAAGCATGATTCTAACCCAGTCATCTCGAGTATGGAAGACGAACACAATCCGTGGAGACAACGAGGTGCTTCAGATAGCACGTCTCATTCCAGGGCTATGCCTGCGCCGCCCGTTTTACGCCCGCACCATTTACCGAGCTTGTCAATGACCGCCGATCAGAAAGCATGGCGCCTGTCGGAGGGTTCTCGTACGACATCGGACAACACAAAGCGTGATAGTCGTACTTCAAGTGGTCACTACCATACTCATTCGAGAACGAAATCTGAAGGACAGTGCCAGAGAACAATTCGTGAAGTACAACCACCTGCAGTCTCAAGTCGTCTTTCGAGTAACCACACTTTCAATGACAACAGCGCTAGATCTATTAATCTCATCAGACCTGAAACTGACGTTATGCACCATGCCAAACGCTCGACCAACGGGGAAACAAGTCATATCAGCCAATCAATTGAATCTAAAAATGAGGATGCAGAGTCTGCCAGCCAGCAGTCGCTTCACCTGTATAACATGCGCATTTCCCAAAGACTTGCATCCCAGACATCCCTTGTCTCCATGCTTGGTTCACAGGAGATGCGAAACTGTGGTCCTGCAGGGCCAAATCGGAGCAACCGTGGCAACAAAATGTCTAATGGCGCGCACCATTACTCTATGTTGCGGGACTCAGACCCCGAAGGGAAATCTACCTCCAGCTCTAGGAAAGTTTCCACAACAGCGCCTTCATCGTTCGCTATCTGGGACGACCAATCCAACCCGGCAACAACAAGCTTGGCCACTGGATATTTGAAGGAGGACGTAACCCGGAAAGAAAATGCTTTCACCGAGGGTTTAGATGTCAACAACAAAGAACGAGCAACAGCTGGGAAGCCGACAGCTCGGAGAAGAGGCAAGGATCGTAGCACCGACTCGACTATTTCGGATGCCGCGCTGCAATTATTGGACAATTTGGACACAAAGCGTCGGCAGCCAAATCAAAGGTCATCTAAACGGTCCGATGGCGGTCTTGTAACAAAAGGAGATGTTTTTTCCCTTGATGGGGGTCATGATGAAGCTTCTCTTTTATGGGAACGAGCCTTGTTGGCCCACGCTTCTCGGCAAGATTCTCAACCAGGTAAACCCAAGCGACTGGGAGCCTCAACTGATTTCGGAAACAGTTCGAAGACAGCCACATTGGAAACGAGCAATCAGGTGAAGCACTATCCTTACCATAGATATAATGAACAAGCAGGCAACAGTCAGATATCCGACAGGAATGTTTCTAAAGCACGTCAATATTCGGAATCCAAGGGCGAACAACTTCAGCCACCACGATACCCGAGCGAGCAATCTTCCAGGCCTGATGCAGCTAATTCCCATAGTGCTTGGAGTAGATTCCCTTCTCATACCAAGCCCGAGCGTTCTGCCACTGCAGGCGCAACTGATCGTGTCATGGGTCGCGACTTTGCAGCCCGGCCTTCGTGTGATATCTCTGGACTAAGCCCCGAAAATAGCGAACATTGCACCCAAAATCAAGCACACAAAAAGACTCGCAGTATGACATTTGGAAAGAACATCCTCAAAAACTGGGGCAAGCTATATAAGACTCGCAGTACTGACCTGAGACGATCTGAAGCAGGGCATCGGTCCTCGATTGCCGTTGGCGGACTTTTGGAGTACCCAGAACTCGAGCTCCTACCACCATCTTTGCCTACCACCGTCGAAAATGTATCTTCCCGAATCCAAGCTCCCTCCAACGCCATACATGAGGAGTCTTCTTCTTTCGATGGTCATGCGTCCTCAACCGATGGATCGCTCGCGAGACCAGAAAAGGTTGCTCAGGCAAGGCTCAGCGCCGAAGCGTGGGCTGACATGTATCAGCGCCATCTCCCTCGATTTCCCAGAGGATCTTCACAGAGCTCCTCTACAAGTGTCAGTTCTGAAGCAAGCTATAAACAAAAGCTAACTCAAGAGGAATTGAATTTCTTAAGTTATCCTCCCACTCGCTCTATTGCGACAGAGCAAGGATCACCGAAAACACCATGGCAATTCCAGCAGGAACGACTCGATGCCTTGCGAAACCTTGAGCGGCAAAGAGCATTGAAGTATGTGGAGGAGACTTTAAACGGCCGACGCTAACTTTGTCTGCATGGACCATGAGGCCGGATTGGGCTCGTTCATAACTCCTTTATCTCCAATGGTGCCGTTTTTACCCAGTTAAGAGTACCTGTGCAGTCAATCAAGTACTCCATTTTTCTCTTCTGTCTATTTTATTTTATCCTGTCGTCGTGGATAGTCCTGTCTAGCAGAAAAAGATGCTTGGAGGATGATAGCTTTCTAAGCACATACGCTTAGAAATTTGTTTTCATAACCGGTTTACCAGAAGAACTTCGACTCTTTCCTGAGTTCTTCAATGAGTTTGAAACTTTTGTTTTCTCTTACTTTTTTTGTTTTATTGGCACTGGTTTAGTATTATAATGGGGTCGATAACTTATGACTCTTTATTCCCCAACCTCAGGTCTAGAACTTGTTGGTAACTGGGAATGCTTCTATTCTACAACACGGTCATCAACAGCAGGAATTCACAACTTCATCACTCTTTTAGGTATACCTTAGACTAGAATAGAATCCACAGTGAAGTATTTCACCGTTCATATATGGTCTCATGCATGAATTATGGTTTGGTGTTCTGAAAGTGATCATTGCATACATCCTACTGGAAAGGAGACATCTGTACACTTTACTGTAGACATGAGGAAGATCCGCTGAGCATTTGAAGTATTGCGTTAAGTTTTTATCCAGGGAATCCATTGTATCATAGTGAATGTGATGATGACCGCCAGGCCGCCAAGCTGTAAGCTGCGCCTCTGCGTTCGGGCGCAACCGAGAACGTTTGATTTCGGTAGATTGTTTTGCTTGTTTACTCTCCAGGTTATTCACAGCTCAGTGGGTGCGAGCTGCATCAGCAGCGTCTGCATAATTAGCCCGATTGCAAGACATTATTCGCTGCACTGCTCAAAGTTGAGCTGTATCTTACTCAGGTTCAAAGACGCCTGGCTTGTGTGGCTCACAAGACTCTTTGACCATGCTTTCGCTGGTCGCCCAACGACTCCGGAGCTCCTCTCTCAGTTCTGTCGCCCCTCGTCCAGGGTCCTGCGAATTTGATCCAGAACTTTTCAATCTCGCCACAGAAATTCTCTACCGTTCACCTTCCTCGTCTCCGAGCGGGCTTCCAATCTTCGTTCTTAATGCCGCTGCGTTTCCGGATGCTAACGAGATCGACTTCAATGCTCTCCTACCCTACGTGCTCGCCAGACTTCCCGACGAGGAGGAGTTGCTGGAAGGACGAGGATACGAACTTGTATTCTTTGCAGGTGGAGGAGGCGATGGGCCGACGGCTGTGAGGAAAGCTCGGCCGGGCTGGGGCTGGTTCGTGCAAGCGTATAATGTCCTGACACGGGCTACGAGAAAACGATTACAGAGACTCTATATTGTACATGAACGAAGTTGGGTTAGAGTACTTGTAGAACTCTTCTCTACAATTGTCAGTCCAAAATTTAGGAGGAAAATTGTTCACGGTAAGTGGCAACGTTTGTCTGAGAGTTGTCTGCGGCATTTTCAATAATATCTCACTGTGTTCGGCTCACTGACAATTTCCCAAATAGTCTCAACTTTGAGCGGATTGAGTGTTTGCCTACCCCTGGAGGACCTTCTCATTCCACCATCAGCGTACTTGCACGACCGTAGACTCTCACCGCAAATTCAATCTCCGAACATCAGAGGAAGACGAGCGTTTAACACTCGGGCGCCGCTGCCGAGTTCCAGCAATGGACGACTACGGTTACCAAGGGTCCTGCGGGAGGCATCAAGCTTCGTATTGATGATTCCGAACGTTCAGGCTGAAGGCATTTTTAGAATATCAGCACATTCCAAGTTATTGGACATACTGCGAGAGGCCTATAGCAGGGGTCAAAAGTGGATCATATGGAAGGAAGGAGGAACGTACTTACCTCCCCAAAGGTTGGCATGGGCATCTGCATACCATACCATTGAGGAGTTTGAGCGCATGGACGGATATGGTGTGCATCTTGCCGCCGGATTGATCAAGCTCTGGTACAGAGAGCTCCGAGAGCCTCTCTTTCCCAGCTCCTCATATCTGGAACTGAAGAGAATTTTCGGTAATGATGAAGAGTCGATAGACCAGGTCCATTTGATTGAATTACTATCGAGTAATTCACAATGGTCAATATTGCCGGAGAAGTCTCGTCAGATTTTGATCCGACACTTGATCCCATTGCTCTCAAGGACAGCGGCTTTTCAGGATCACAATCAGATGAGCCCGCGCAATCTTGCCATTTGTTTCAGTGCAACATTGCTACGTGGGACTGATCCAATCGAAGATGCGCGGATGAACCGTGTGATTCAGCGTTTAGTCGAGGCTGCTGTTTTGCAATGGGACAATGGGCTCAGAGAGGCTTGCGGAGTGCGCGCTAACGAATTCACCGAGGCGTTGCAGACACCTTCCGACGATTACGACTACGAAGACCCAGCTGAAGAAGACGAAGATGACCTTAAACCAGTGGAAGACAGGGACTTTCCAAAAGATGAACAATTAGAGGGTATCCTTCTTCGCGATAATGATGTTGCCGAGGAAGAAGAAGGCCCACGGCCACCTTTGCCTCCTCGTCCAAATCAAGTTTCTCTCCAGTTAAGCTCCGCGGAAAGGCCTGCGATTCGTGTTCCTGGTCCTAACAACCCTGTGACAGAAATCAAACGGAAGCCCGCACCTCATCAATCCGTTCCTCCACAGCAATCAACCGTGACCGATCCACGCAGTAGCCTCGGGCCTGAGTGGCTGGCAAGGATGGCTGAGAGCACGAATGCGATTCGAAACTCTCGTCATCGGATCAATGGGTCCATGGACTCTTCGGACTTTGAGGGCAGCATTAGCAGGACAATGGCTGCCACGGCGACGGAGGCGGGCAGGGACGCGGAAACAATCCCAACCGGCAAAGGTGCACAGATTTCTCTGACGAGAACAGAATCCATGCCGAGAAGAAAAGCTCTAACAGCCGAGCAGGCCAATAATGCCACCCGAGACGGTTTAGTGATTGGAGCAAGAACTCGCTCGCAGAGTGCTGCCTCACTTTCGGGACAACCCAGCGGAGCAGATACCATAAAGAGAAAACCGGTACAATTATCGGTCACGACGCACACATCCTTGCCCTCGGGTGATAATGATGAAGGTAAAGGCCAGGGTCAGCACTCACCCTCGTCATTTGCCACAGTATCTCCGTCTCTGGTCTCCAATCGGACCATCGGCATATCCCCGGTGGCACGGGAAATCACGCAGAGAGCTCATCCCGGCAGCAAACAGAATGCTTTGGGAAATGACGACGGCGAGAGCATGGAAAAGCAAAGGGCTTTGGCAGCTTTACCCACTGGGAAAGCTTCTCCCCATGGGCATCAATCTCATTCTCCAGCCTCGCATACTCATGAATCTGCCGGCCCACGGGCCGCTCCCTTCCATCCCCAACACTTACCCCAGCCTCAATTATTCTCTCCCTCTCCCCAGATACCCCGGCATACTTTTCCTGTTTCCTCAGAATGCAATTCTACAATCCATTCTTCTAGCCGTGGCTCCAATGTAGAGCCTGGAAACCCCCCAACAGTACCAGCCCCACGGGGCACCACCGCACCAATCGTACCTTTTGTTTCCTCTGCTTCTGTAATCACTCCAATCACTATCACAAACAATAACAGCAAAGCCCCTGTAATCCCAACAGCCTTGGCTAAACCCATCTACCCTCCCCCTCCTCTCCCTTCACCTCTTCTCCGGTCATCGTTTTCCACGGGAACTGTTCCTACCACTGCTACATCACCATCTTCTGGCCTAACCCCCGGACCTACGGGAAGCCCGGGCACCACGGGCACCACGGGCACTACGGGTATCCAACATACCCACGCTCACGCCCACGCACCCACACATGTTTATCCGCGGACTTGGACTCCTTCTCCGGCCCTGACGCAACGCGTCGCCATTCCCCTTGCTGCTGCCGCAGCCGCTGCTTCTGCTACTCCGTCCCCAGTATCCCCAGCGACGGCACTATCTCCGTCTTTGTCTCTGGAGGAGGGGAAAGAGATGGACCCCTCCACGGATAATCGATTCGATACTGCCCGCAGGAAATCCGCTCCCATGGCATACAGACCGCCCTCGGAACTGCTATCACCACCGCCACCGCTGCCGGGTAAACTCCGCTTGGGTAAAGGGTCCGTGGACAATCTGCGGAGATTGTACGAAGAGCGAGCCGGCGCGGCGAGTAGTCTTGTTGCCGTGGGCGTGTCGAAACAGAAGAGTTTTGGGGCTTAATTATGTCTACTTGTATTAGGATCTGTCCTTGTGGCATCTTTTTCTTTTTCCTCCCCTTCTTCTCCTGTCGTTGTCCAAGGCGACTTTGTCCTACTTGTTCCACAGACTCCAATTTTCATTCGTTGGTCATAGACTCGATACCTTTTTTTTTTTTTTCTATTATTTAGTTTTTAATTATTATTATTATCTTCAATTCAATTTTCGTTTTCGTTTTCATTTTTATTTATTCTTATTTTTATTATTATCGTTTTCATTTTCATTTTCTTTTTCATTTACATTTTTATGTTTCTTTTTTGTTTTTTAAATTTCTATATTACTTCATCTTTTCATTCTTAATCCTTTTCTCCTTTCTCATATCTTCTTAGTCCCCCTTCTTTTCCCCCTTCTCCTTCCATTTTTTCTTAAATTTCTCTCATGAACATAACATATTTAACACTCTTCCTCTCTTTCATTCCAATCCATTGCATTTCATTTCATTTGAAATCCCTTCAATTTCATTTATCCATTTATCCCTTTATCCCTTTTTTTCTCTCTTAGATTTACAGAGTAAGGCTCCATTTGTTCATCTTCCTCTCTTCCTTTCTCTTTTTATCTACATAGTAGACTTACATACTCGAGCTATATTTGATTTACACAAGTGACAAGCTTGTTACTGATCTGAAAAAAAAGTTGTAAGGCATAAGGTAGCGAGCATTTATGCATTTGTTTGAACAGGTTGATTCTGCAAGTACATATATTTTATCTCTGAGGCATGCTGCATAGCATACTCATCATACTACCTACCCAAACCTTAGATAGCATGGTACCTAGATAGTCTGGTACCCAGAATCCAGATAGTCTGACTCATATTGACATATCGTGTCATTTGCATTATGGCATTACTGTATTATTGCATGCACAGTGTGCTATATTTCTTTTTTCACATAGTCACACTGCACATAAGGTAAGCATAACTTGTCATATGTTTTAATTTTTCATACAGCAAGTCTTTGTGTAAGCCGACGTATAAAAGGAGTATACTAGTAAGAGGACCTTATTGTCTTGCTGGATAATTATTAAGTCGATGTTAAATGAAAGGTGACTCAATGCTCAATGAAACTTGGCTCAATGTTAGATATGATTTAAACTCAATGTGACTGTATGGAGTACAGCATGTGATACAAAAATGATTGATTACCCAACAACAACTACTACTCGTCATCAGCATCGACCATTTCGGCCTCACTGCCCAGTTCCTCCTCCACTAGATCCCCCTCCTCCTCATCTTCTTCTTCACTAGAACTGCTTCCCTCGCCTTCACTCTCGCCCTCGCTGCCGGGATCATAATCCTCCTCTTCCTCGTCTTCTTCATCTTCAATCTGTCGCTGGGCCTTGACGAGTTCGCTCTCCTCTTCTCCTTCGTCCGCTACGTCTCCTGCCGCTTGTCCTTCGTCCTTTGGTCCTGCAGCAGAACCGCCCGACGGAGCGCCGTTGATATTCAGTCGCTTGGCGCGTCGCTGTTCGGCCATACTGGCGTCGTGCAGTTGATGGCGACGAATGTACTCGTCTATGCCCGGGAAATCGGCCTGGTCGAGCATCGAGAACTCAATCTCTTCTGCCTCGTCTGTTTGTGTTGAAGAAGGAGTTTGGGTGCTGGGACTGGTAATGGGAGTTGAGGCGGAAATGACGAGGTTGAATGTGCGCTGGAGCACAGACGTGTATGAGACCGAGAGAATGCAGTCGAGCGGGAAGAAGACGAGGGGCTTTTTGAAGCCCCATACTATACCCGTCGAAAGGAAGAAGAGGTAGCCTGTCTTACCTGTTAGAACTGGATTCGGTGTTTCAACCGCTAGGGGTCCGGGTCCAGGTCCCCAGGTGAAATGAAAAGGGGGGAGGGAAGTAGATGGAGGATAATCATCGTAAGAAAGGGAGAGAAGGGTCGGTAGGGGAAAGAAAAACCAAGATGATAAACGCACCATCCTTATTCCCTCTAAACGCTTTGACATGGTATGCTTTTTCGTGTTTCCTGTGCGGCTGCACGAGGGCGCTCGCGAATTCGTTTTCATCCGTGTATATGACCTTTTTCCCGAGCTTGGACAGGACCTGGTTCAGAGCGCTCGTGACTGCCTTGTCGGAGCTCTGATGCTGGCTGGCTTCCTCGGGTGTTGCGTTCTTCGGGATAGGCGCGTCTGTGACTGTCCAGACGATGGGCTCCGCGGGCGACGCGGTGCGCTGGGCGTCCAAGGTCGGAAACACGCAAAAGTTGTGTTGTCGTTGGGCCTTTTCAGGAACGGGAAGACATATGATTGTTTCTTATTGACGTTGTCAGTTTTAGTGAATGTTCCAGAGGGATATGTTTGATAGAGAATAGCTGGGAATTCAAACAGGGGGGAGTACGAGCAGATGTGTCCAGGAGAGAGTGGGATCCGAGAAAGGAGATCTACCTATGGATTTCCAGGCAATACTGAGCTCCTGCTCGCCAGAAGCCTGATTGATGGCGCGAATGCCAACGTTGACATCACCTGATACTTCGAGCGTCATTTTCTTCCTCAATGGGACAGAAAATGAAATGTCCTTGGAGGAAAAGGCGAGACTCGTGTTCTTCCAGACATCGCCATTGGCCGAGGCTGAAGACAAAGCGTTCTTGTCCAGTTCCTCTTCTGCCTTTCGCTTTTTTGAGTTCAAAGTGCTGCTAGGCCCCTGGGTGTCCAGCTGTTGATGGACTGCGCCATTGGACGAAGGGATCTTTCCCTGGAGCTCAATTGTGAATGCGGCTATTCTGTCGAAGAGATCCGCCTGTTGTGGTTGACTACCTGCATAGAAACATGGTCAGATAATTGTCTCATCATTTTGCCAGATTTTCTAAAACAATTGCCTGAACAGATGGATGATGAAACGTAGGAGAAAACGATAATCATCTGCATTGCGAGCGGGCCTTGTAGGAGCATTGCCCAGATAGCTAGTGAAGCGCAAGAAAACGGTGAACAAAGAGAAAAAGAAAGTACAGCATGCTTTCATGAAACATCTCCCGGGCCTGCCTCAGCTAGTACAGGAAGCACTCAGTTCAGCAAGACATTATACATCTCAGCTAATCGCCAGCATTGAAGGGCACTTCTCAGACTCAGGACCTGAGTTGAACAGCTGATACTCTGAGCCAGACAATTATAGACCTCGCAATGCCAAGCACTTCATCCATTTTCTCAGCAATGACATGCTGATAAGCGCAGACAGCGATAGTCAAAACAAAACAAACAAAAAAGAATTATAAAACAAACTCAAAACCAGAAGACATGTGACGGCCAAATAAAAGATGACGTAGTTCGAAGGCTCCCGAGAAAAACATACGAATGATTTCAACAATATCATTCAAGATATCCGATCTGGACCCAAACGCTTGCGCATAAGCCTTGGTCCTGGGCGCTGATGAGCCCCGGGAATCCGACGTCCGGAGCGGCTGCTGATTCAGTGATGCATTTTGTTGCGCGGAATTAATGACCGCAAACGCCATGGTTATCAAAGCGCTAATATAGAGGGGAAAGAGAAAAGAAACGACGGGAAATTCTTTTAAGAGTTTTAAGACGCGGCAATATATCTTTCTTTGAGTTATCGACAACTCGGGATGCAATGGGTGATCACGTGCCGTGTGATAGTCGCAGAAAGAAACGGAGAGGAGAGAGAACGAAATGGACGAGCAGTAATAGAGTTTGAAAATCTAGTCAAGCCACTTGATGTCAAAGCTTGAATGACTATGATGATGATAATATTTGATGGGCAAATTTCCTGCTGGGCCGGTACAAAGTATCGAGCGACGCGTTTGAGTTACGAGAGGTAGAGCAGACGTTGCAGATCTAACGTGCGGTTTTGCCGCCAGTGTCATCATCGACCAAGTCAGAAGTACTGCGGGACAGTTAAATGCTCGGAGTAACATAAGGTAGTTACTGGATGCAACGAGCAAGCTGCACGTATATTACGGTAGGCGAAGTCCATCTCTATCTTCGTACACGCCAATATTTAAGCAGCGCACAAGTTGATCCTTTGATTGCATTATGATAATGACCAGTCCGATCAAAGGCACGAGATTCTTGCAATCCAGTGTACTCTACATACTCCAGTCTGTTATAGGTGCAGAGTTGTTGACCACCCTTTTGGGCACAACGTTCTAAACCTAAATCTGCAAACTCAGATTTATACACTTGTGCGATTTACAAAGAAATGCGCAAAAAGTGCACAAATCCTGACACGCATCATAGAAAAATGTCACAGTTTATCCAGCAGTAGGTCGTCTATTCCGATACTCTTCTTCGTAGTTGAGGTGGCGCCAGACTAGCGTATGAAGCACTACCAGTGTGTACTACCGCCATCGTAACAACGACAAAGGAGCCTGAATTCGAGTGACACAGTAGTTCGCACCGTCGATGGATCAAGTTGCAAAAGAAATATTCATGAGTTGGTTATATTCTATTCACACTACCAACAGACTGCGCCCACCACATGCAGACACGATTTAAAATCGCGACAAATCGGATGTGATGAGCCGCCACAAAGAAAAGAAGAAAAGGAAAAAAAAAAAAACAAAGAATTGATGCCGGCGGGCGGTAGATGGGTATTGTGAAGAAGTCTGATAAGCAGACCAAAAAAAGACTATCGCAACATGATATATGATATGTAAGACCCAAAAAAAGGAGATGCCGTCCCTTGGTAGGCTCTTGACTTTGCGCGTTCGATGCGCTTCTGAAGCCTGTCTAGTAAGGGGCGGTATCAAGAATGAGAAGCTCTAAGTCGTCACGCTTCGTCGACCCTCCCATATTAATGGAGGAAAATTGCCAAAGAAAAAGAAATATTGTCCTGAAGAGGATGTGGACTGCTCGCAGTCAAGGTAGAAAATAAATAGTATCAAGTGTAGCGGCGTTGTAATCGTAGTCGTCATAAGTTCATAAAGCGGTCTTGAGGTGACTGTACAAAATCGGGAAGTTTGACAGAGGATATAGAAAATGGTAAAGGCGATAGGTCCTGTCGAGACAACAAGTTCCGGTCAACGAAAGGGTTCATGAAGATGGCCTTCATGTAGTGAAACTACGCGAAGCCGATCGCACACGACCAATGACGCCGCTGGCAGGGGCTCGAATGTCCTGCACGGCCTTGAGGAAGACAGCCTTCTTTGAAGGTCGTCGCTGAAGTTGCGACGCAATCTGCACCATTGGACCAACAATGTCCTCATCGCCTAGCTTAGGAAACTTGCCTTCGCTATGTGGGTCGTTGAGCGAGGGAAAGCTGGTCACTGGAGAGGGCATCGTGGCGCTCTGAACTGGGCTCAGCAAAGTACCTGCCATGCTATCCGGTGTTCTTGACGCGATAATTTCATTCTTCTTTTTCCAGTCCTCGTCAATTTCGGTCCACTTCTCCTCGGTTAACTTATATGTCTTGGATGTGACACCATAGTGCTCGCCAGTGCGCACTAGGTGTTTGAGATACGTGCAGCAGGCGCGCTCCCAGCTCGCGCGAAACAATCTGCAAGATTCGAGGTCAAAAGACTCGGGAAGGTAGGGTTCGGGCTGAATATGGAAATTCGCATGGCCGAGCTTATCTGCCCATTTGTCGCTTGGATCGGCCATGACAATCGGCGCAATCTCTGACGTCGGAGTAAACTGGCCAGTGCGCTGTTTTTGGAAAGATGCAATTGATGGTTTTGCCGAGAGGGACGGCGATGACATTCCCGGAGTTCCTGGAATTCCGACGGGAGTGTTACAACCAGAGTACACATCCCTTGAATCGGCGACGCTCGGCGACTGAAGAGGTGATTGCACCGAGGACATGTTTCCATTGTTGGTTTCTAGCATCAACGGCGGCAGCAACGGAGTGGAGGCAAAGTTCTCAGCATCAACATCACTGTCGCGATTTGCTCTTTCAATGTCAATTGGTGCGACGGACCCTTCATCTACTCTCTCCTCGAGGAAGCTTGCAGATGGCGTAAACGGTGAACCAAGATCGGAATGGCTCAATCGCTGGGTGCTTGAATCGGTCAAGGACGATGATCGGCTCGAAATAGGCTGGGAAGCAGGAGTTTCCGAGGTGGCATCCACGGCCGGCGTTTCTCGATTGTTCTTTCGGCTTTTCCATCGCCGAGAGAAGGATGGAAAGCGATCACTGATTCGCGTGGCAAGTCCAGCCAATGGTGACCCTATCTCATGCTGCTTCTTAACAGTTGAGGTACCCTCATCCGCAAACGGATTGTCATCAAGATCGTAGTCCGTCTCCAAGGTGATTGTATGGTGATCACAATCGAATTGATGGCCTGCAAATGTTGCAATATGTCAGCTTTTGCTCATATCACTCGGGTGGGCTGAAGCTTGTTTCTGAACAGCCCCGAGACAAAAGGAAGCCTTACAGAAACACTCTGAAAAACACTCTTCCACGTTCACCATCTCCAGGGCATCCTCTTTCTCGTGGGGTTCTTCTTGCAGATCAGGTAGTGGTCTCTTTATAGAGACAAAGGAATCGCTTTGGTCGTGTAAAGTAGGTGAAGAAGCCAAGGATGAAGTTGAGCTCGAATAGCGACCATGACCTCGGATGGAGAAAATTGGGGAGACCGGCGATGGGTATTCCGAACGGAAAGAGGCTAAGGTGTCCACGGAATCTGATCGCTCGCGTGAATCCACCTCAGACTGTACCATTCCTGACGAACGTTTGGCCTCGACGAGCTTTGGCAAAACAAGCGACTTCAACTCCCTCATGATGGAATGATGGAGTGAAAATCGAATTGAAGCTACCGCGGGAGGTACATATGAGGTCGAGGCGCGACAAAAGGGCGGTAAGCAAGAATTGGCCGGGATCGACTTTGCTGGCAATCGGCTGGCAAGGAAGCGAAAGTCCAACAGGATAGATCAAGAGACAAGTACGTGGCGGCGTGCCAGATTATTTGGACTTCCAATGAGTGTCGTGCGCTTCAGCCTGGCTGTAGATTGCTGGCGCGAACCTGATTGCCGCTGGTCAGCAATGATTGCATTGGCCAATGTGCCATCCACGTGCACGTCACACTTGTGAAGTGGCAGTTCGCTTCGCGTGGGCAGGAAGAGAGCAGCAAACAAGATAGACACTTACCGTATACACGACAGAAACCCTTTTGATGTTGGAAGAGACTGATTGCAGCAATCGCAAGCCAAGCAAGCAAATAGAAGACGCAAAAAGAGCGGAGAGGTTGGGAACGTTGACAAGACGGGGAAAGAAAATGTTGGAGAAATGGGGGAAGGGACGGGGGATATGTGTGGGCAGATGCGGGCGTGCAGTTTTCTTTCATGAGGCGCACCCAGCCGCGACTATGACTGCAGACTGACCTGCCCTGTGCCTGATGGGAAGAGATCTGGACAAGGGAAAAGAGAAGCTAAAAGGGTGGGTGCGGGTGGGTTTGTGAGATATACGCTTGGTAATGACCCCAGGTGGCTCCGGGCACACCCACACAGATTCTCTCTCTCTCTTCTCTCCCACTCTTCTCACTTTACTTCTCTTCTCTTCCTCTTGCCCTTCTGCAGTCCTTTTTCGTCAGTTTTCGTCTGTTGGTTTTTCCCGATTGCGTAGGTTGCGTGTACAGGGACAAGCAGTGATGCCACAAATAGACACCCAAGAACGTGTCTGCCAAGGACAAACGATGAATGATAAAACTCCCCACCCACCGTGAAACAAGGACAACTTCGGGTTTACCAGATGACACAAGAAATCATAAATGCCTAGGTCAAACAAAGAGTGGGGAAAGACAAAGATGCGCACACAAAGGGAGCAGCGTGGACGAGATGAAAGTTGCACATGAATTTGTTCCCAATCTGGTGGCTCACTTCGTCTATTGTGGACGGGATGGCAACATTTTTTACACCAGGTAAAAAAAGGCAGGCCAAGAGCCTTTGGGATGAAAGAGCCGAAGAGAAAAACGCTATTGACGTTGCCGGTGGTTCTTCCCAGGGAAAAAGCCCAACTTCCATAACTGTCCGTTGCAACAACGTGCCAGTGACGCCGACCCGTAGGTGAACCATCGGCAGATGTCCAATAATGCCCTTTGTGTGCCTTGAGAATTGCCTTTGACACTACAGAACTTTGGTTCTCTCAACTCTGACCGAAGGGCCTAGTCTAGACGAGGCATGGATGCCATTGAGCTTGCCGGGTAATCGCTACTTCCGCACACCCCCAACCTGCTGAAAAGCAAAAGTACTCAGTACCTTCTTGCACACTAAATATCGCCATGGCGCTCACTTATTCCATGGATCAATCGTTGAGAGAAAAACCGTGAAGAAAAAAATGGTAAAAAGAACGTGGCTCTCAGGCACTAAAGGACCGATGCCAGTCGACTACCCGCCCATTAGCTCATCCGGACGCTGTTCCGACCACAGCCCCGGCATCGATCAAGTCTTCGCCGGCCGTTTACCCAGCTGTCTCTGGTCAAACCCAAACTCGTCTGCCGAGCAAAAGTCTCGCCTGTTCGGTTCTCGAGGCTTCGAACCGTGTGGTTGGCAGGTCCTAACTCAAAGGTACCTTTTTGAGCAATCACCCCCTCCTTATTGTCATCACAACTGGCCATGACGGAGATGTGTGACAGAATAAGGACAAGATCCTCGACTGTGGAGGTTTGATCCAAGCTGTAGGGTCCAGCGGAGGAGAAAGTATCACTGGGGTGCAGGAGATCAGGGGACAAAGCCAGCGAGCGAGGGGCACTATCTCTGGGGGATCCTCAGCGGAGGATGCGCGATGGCCTCGGATGGGACGAAAGGATTGCACCCGCTAACGCAAGGCGTCCCCCGGAGATGAGGGGGGAGGAAGTCGGTATCTTGCCCATTTTGTCTATCTGTTCTCATCATGAGATCTATCGTACCGTAGTATGGAGACAATACAAAGTAGAACGTTGGAAAATTACCTGATAAAACGGTGCTTGCCATATCGGAGGGAGGGCCCTTGCACCAATGTCCAACAAAATGAGGCCGACGCAAAATAGTGCCATTACATTCAATAGCTCCCTCTCTTCCATACGCTTTTTCCTGCCTGGATTGGTAAGGCCAGCGCGGCCGTCGTTGAAGGTGTAGATTGGTTCGGGGAAACAAACCCTCGCGTCCGCGCCGAGCCAGTCATGAAGCCTTTTGGGACTATTGAAATGATCGTAGGCTCCCGTCCATGGCTGGCAAGGGAGAAAATGCCCAAAGCTGGTTGGCCCTTCGTTGAAAAATCTTCATGGAAACCCCTGCAAGCTCACAAGCTTCACCAACCGAAAGAGGTATACTTTTCGGTGTCCTAGGAAGAACTGCTTGTTCCCTTTTACCCGAGTACCTACTAGTTATGGAGACGGCCCCCCTCGCCCCAAGGGCATGAACGTTGTTATCCTCACTCCTGCAGGCACCGTACGGTCAATAGCGACACCGCCGTACCTGATCATCGTCGGGAAGCCGCACACCCCCATCCCGCTTGTCGTACCAAGACTGCTTGTCCAGCAGCACAAAATATATCTGTGCACAGTACCTCAGTATAGCGCGGTACACGGGCACAACAGTGCATTTGAAGCCGGCACAGACACCGAATTCACGTCTTACTTGGACATATCAATGCAAAAGCACTATGAAAATGATATGCGCAACCTGTAGAGGAGGCGGTGAGGCATATCTGCGTAATATGCTTTCTGCATCAAGCAGATTATCGTAGATGACATTGTCGCGCCTCCTGAGGGCTTCATTCGCTGAGAAACCCTTCGCATACATTTCCTTTCGTACGGATACCTATCTGCGGTAAGTATTCATATGAGGAGAAGCGCGGACGTAGTAGTGCAACTGTCATGGTGCACCGCAATACAGTAATGCCCACAGGACCTGGTGAAAATTCATTAGTCAGAATATTGCTTTCGATTTGAACAGGACTGGCCTGAAATCCCGGCTATTATGTTACGGTCTAGCTCTTCTTTCCCAGCTTAGAGGGGCTGCTTATTGAAATCTTCTCGTCATCGTGAGTAACCCATTTCTTTGAATCTTGGTGGAGCAGTTGGACGGTTGTAGTGCGGGAAGAGTGGGCATGTACACGTACTCCTTTTTAGTACGGTGGGGTACGCCGAGGGAACGCCGTTTGGAGTCCTCGTGAAAATAACAAATTTTACGCCGAAAAAGGGACCCCAGTCTGAGTACTGTTCGTACAGTAGTGTTCATCATGACTGGTTTGACGATGCTAAAATAAATTATTGGCTTCTGGACCTTTGGACGATCACCCGTTCGTTCCCCACTATCGCCCATTTCTACTGAAGCTTGTGCCGGGTACTTGTTGAAAACGCCGCATCGGACCCAAATATGCACAAAGATAACAGCACGGGTCAGCAAACATCTCTGTTTTACTTGCAAATTGTGTGATCAGACTGCGACCGGCTTCGGTAAGAAAGTACAGTGAATTTCACCGAGAGACCGTTCAAGGAGATCCAAGGGCTCAGCGAGGTTCTCCGCTCCTGCTCTTCGGAGTTTATTGAGCGGGTCCTTCTCTCTTTCTGCCTGGGAAGAGCTGAACGGTGACCGAGATGAGCCTGAGCAAAACAATTATCCCGAGCCCGGAACCCCAACCTTTGCAAAGATCACGGTGCCCTCAGTGGACGTTCCAGAAGGCTGGGTGCTCTATACTAGGTAATGTAGGTATTACTTCCCCGCCTAACTGGGAAACTCCATAACCAGGATCCCGGCTTGTAATTGGTATCATGTCGGTTTTTGTTGCTTGCTATTTCAATAACTTGGTGCTATCCGACCCATGCCTCAGTCCATTTGAAAATATATAGCGGCGGTCCCAACAGGATCATTGTTATTGTTTTCATTGGCATCAGTAGCTGGCTCGTCTACACGGCGACAGAATTGGGTGTTCCACGGAAAGCATGAATGCAACAGCAATCCGCAATACATAGGACAATTTTGAGTTCATTACGCGCTTCTACCCAATTCTTCCTGTGATCATGTCTTCGTGTCGGGCATTCTGATACATCTAAGCCGCACGTGGCCCCCGAAAAGCTTACTCCTGCGCATATGTCTCAGGGTGAGACGAGACCTCTTGCAGCGATAGGATGCAAGCAATGAACGTTTCGGAGTCTGCGCCATCCCCATGACGCCGGTCGCCTTGCCAAGCAACCCAGGAAATCGCACGTTTGTATGGTTCACACTCCTTCTACTCGTGCTGGCATGGTCCAACCTCTGATCCGATTTTCTCAACATTCATATGCCCGGGACGGAAAGGAAAGCATTAAGCAGCTAAGTCTGCATGGGGAATACCAATCGCTGCCGCGTCCAGGCCATTTAGAGCGGGGTTTGCACCTCGATCCTCTGGCCCAACTTAGTAAAGATACCTTCCCCATCAAGTTATTCGGGTCGATCAGTTCGGGGATCGACATGGCCCACGCAGACCTAAACCCAGTATCTGGCCCAGATAGCCCGCTGCTGCTCATTACCCTCAAACTGCAACTCGACGAAAATGAATGAGTCCGGCAAGCCCGTGAGGTTTAATATCGGTATGGAGACGAGACGTACCTGAAAGTCCACTTTTATGATATCCTCGAACCCTTCCTCGAGGGTAGGTTCCCGGAATCTGGAAGTAAAACCAGTGAATGCAACCTTGGGCAACAGTGTTCGCTTTTCCGGATTCATCTGCATGTGATCAGTACTAATTTTCAACAAAGGATCCCTCTAGATCACAGACAAGAAGCCCAACCATTTCATTTGTAGAATTCAACGCTGGTTGAAAACTTGGAAATGTAACTTACCAATTCCCCGTTTAGAGATCTCACAATGTCATTGTGCTCGCACAACCTCGCTGATGCAGTAAAATAAACGCATCGAATGGGTACATTCTTTGCTTTTGCTAGCTTTATCCAGTGAGCTCGAGTCTCCACATCCGCGTTGGTATTGTCTGAATACCGTACACAGATCAGTTAGAGATGCGAATTCAAGAAGTAGCTCGAGCACTGACCTATTACGACCGACTGCTTCTCGCCGAGCAACTGTGCTGCTCGTTGGAGGCATTTTTCGCGCTATCACATGGTGAGAAATACTCGGGCAACCCCCCAGAATCGGCGTGCAAACATACTGTTTTCAGAATATCTTGATTCACTCGTACATATCCCAAAGGTCCAAGCTGGCGCCAGAAAAAAGTCGATTTCCCAGCTCCAGGGCTTCCGCAAAATAAGACAATTTCCAGTGGGCTCTTTCTAGAGAATACTGCGTCGGGTAAATCATATTTCTCGTTAGTAATGTGTCCAATACTACTTTCGTAAAGCAATTTCTTTGTTTGAAAGGCAAACCTTCTAGAGCGCGTGATCCCTCGATTGAAAGAAATGTCACAGGATCGAATTCCCGGGTAAACGGTCTTGGTTTCTCTTTGAGAAAGAACTCTTCCGGAGTATAAAATTTGACTCCCACATTGGCAGCGAAATCTCTGCAGGCACTTAGTACGCTGATTTCCCAGGCAATTCCTGAAGTTGTACCTGTCTGAACATGAATGATCTTTCACAGTCGCTTTTGCCGCAGCTCTTCCACCTGCATCCCCCACAAAGAAAGATTCATTGAAATTGATTGACCCGGAAAACCTGAGGTCAAATTCCTCTAACATTTCATCCCACATGCCAGCTCTGGGTTTACGAAAATGATCTTTTTCAGTAGCTGCATAAAGCACAAGGGGAATTTGTAACTGGTTGAAGATGGAACAGCCCCTTTCCTTGAAGTCGTTCAACCGTTTTCGGTCGCTCTTCGGAGTTTTGGCTTTGCTCTTCAAAGTGATTCCACCTTGGTTGCTGAAGATGACAATGCGGAATCTTCGAAATTTGATCGTTCCGAATTAGCTTGAGGACTTGCGAAGTATAGGTGGCATGTTCAGAAAGACAAACCCCTGAGCATGAAGGTCTTTTAGACACCCTGGGACATTTGGATGCCACCACCTCCAGTCCTTTCCGTCCCTTGGATGCCTATTTCCTGACTTGGACTTGATTAAGGTCCAGTCCTAAAATCATATCAAAGTTAGATCTCTCCAAAGACTCGGGAGCTTCCTCATCCACCGCCTACCAAGTCAAATCCTGCAATTCGAGAAGGGCGTTTATTTGGATTATTCGTCTTATCTTCTGTCTCTGGTGCATATCGGCCAATGAGAAGGCTATCGCGTAGTTTTGTCCAGGAAGCCTTCTCGGGCTCCTTTTTGGATGCGGGGGTAAAGAATTGGGCAAGAGCCCCTTCTTCAAGAAGATCAGTATATAGAGCATCAGCACAAGAACGCAGAATAATGTTAGCATACTAGTTGTTGACGATTGCACCTTTCGCTTTAGAGGAGGTGGGCTCACAGAACCCCCGGTGCTTAAACGCCGTTTAATATTCTTGGAATCAGCCATGACGAACTTTTGCGGAAGACGGAAGCCCAGAATGTCGGCTTGTGAAAAGGTTCTAAGTTTGTACATAAGAATCCATCATAACAATCGACTCCAAATAATTACGGATTTGAACCAGGAAAAAACCAAAATGAATGTGAAACGGTCTATTGACGATGCTTTTCTCGCGCTGTCATCAAAAGTTGGCGTTACACGTCACGTCGATATCGATAGCACGAAGTCACGTGTCGTTAATCACCGACTTGGATTTGGTCTACATGTGATGATACTAAGTAATTACCTTACAAGTTAACAGTGAGAAGGACGTTACAGTTTTATGAATTTATTTGGGTGGTGTCTTCCTTCAATTGAGGGCATTGATTAATTTGGAAATATTATAAGATAAAGCTTTGTGCGGGACTGTACAAGCATTTAGAACCAGGCTTACCAGATCGGATCATCCAACCCTCTGATATGCTTGTCCGTGGAATAGACCCTTCTCATCGGACATGAAATCAGCAGATGAGACCAAGCTGCAGGCTCACCAGCTTCTCGGCGTCCCTTGAGAAACTATCCACCAAACCCAGATCTGGTCTGTGGCATAAACCGTTTCCTATCCTGGGAGATCAGCAAGGTTCAATGGAGCTATAGCCGTAGATCCGGTAGATTGCTTCGACCAGGCATGAAACTCAAATATTCTCATCAAATGACGAGTTCCTATTCTGCGTACCTGAACAGGAATTGAGGAAGTATATCAGAACATCAGATGAGTTGACATAATTTCTACTCGATATCACAAGCTATGATAATCATCCATATGAGAGTGCAAACCAATTATTGATTAGCACGAGACATTTGGCCTGAAGGGACTTCGAATATTGAAGATAGAAGCATGGTCTCTCAACCTTTGAGCCTACATGTAGAGGGATCTGGTCAGCATACCACCCAGCCTTCAGCAGCGACAGCAAAGCAATCTGCCACTTTGAGTAATATATCACCCACGGCCAAGCGACAGAGACTCAATAATGAGGTATGACAGATTGTATTCTGTGTATTCTTCAGCTAAACAACTTTTAAGGTCCGGAACGAGGGTCTCAGGCGACCCAGAAATCACGAATGCCGCTTATGGCCGACGCCCCGCAAAGCAAAAGTCCAGAGGTATGCATTCCGAGCTGACATGATTGGATCCCAGCAACATCTCCTAAGATCTCATTCTGATCTTCCATGAAAGGCTCCCCCGGCTCCCCAAAGGGTCCTTGAGGCTGCTCAGGATTGTAATTTGGGTAAGGAGAGAAAGCCGACGCACTGGTTCCCAGACTTGTAAGGATTTGATCGGACGTTGCTTGAATGCGAGAATAGCATTGTTGCTCAAAATCGTTCGGCATGGCATGCATATTTAAGACAAGTATCTCACTTAGTCTGAATTCTAAGCAGCTCATGGGTATATGGAGTCAATCGTGAGAAAAGAGCATCATCTGACACGCGTATCGAGTGAGAGCCTGTCTCCAACATCAAGATCGACAGCTCCCCTCATCAAGTCTTTGAATGCTTTGAGTTCTGTGATGGCTAAAGCCATGCTTTCAGGCTTATTTCCATCTTGTACCCGTATTGAAGAGTGTAGCATGTAAGCACCGCTGGGATCCAGGGGCCTTAGATCGGTAGGTGGCTGCGGCTCATGCGCAGGAGTATCTCTGGGCTCCGTACCCGGGGGTAAGCGCAAAACTTGATGGACAAGGATAATCACATTATGATAGACAAATCGATATCCTTGCAGGTAATATTCGGATACAAACCTATCATCGTTTAGTAAACAGAGGGAATTATTTTGGGGTTTTAGGACTTACGTGTAGCCTAAGGCGTGCATGAATTCGAGTGGATCTCCATCCATGATATCTACATTTGACACCATTCGAGAAGTGACTGGTCGACGCCCGCCAACTTCTGGGAGGTCGCTGAAGACGAGGCGCCACAGACGATCGTTTGCACTTGAATATTCTTGCGACTCTTTATCCTTGGAGAGTCTCAGGTCCCCGTTGGCCCCATTGGAGGCTGGCGGGCCATCGAGTTGGCGATGAGCTTCTGTGGCGCTCTCCTCTCCAACCATCAGACCCAGTTTGTGGTTGATGTTGAGCATATGAGATGTCTCACCAACGCTTTTGACCAATTGCATGTAATAAAGTTCGCCTCCGAGCTGTCCCTGTATGGCTTGTACGTGGGCATTCTGAACACCTTGCGAGCCCCCAACTTGGACTGTTCGCTTTCCTGGTGGACGGATTGGCTTGAAGACGAGGTGACGTTCAAGAACAGCTTGAGGTTGCATGCCAGATACCCCGGCCAAAACCTTCAACAGTTGATCATGGCCGCTGGGCGGCACTTGAGCAAAGAGGGACAGCTCGTGCATAGCTCTTGAGCCTAATGGCTGTTATGCCAGCACCTTGACAATACTAGGTATATTTGCAAGCAAGCTAAATATCATGCTGAGATTGAAAGTCGACGAGCCAGGGTGCAATCATGCCCGGCAACCCAAAAAAAAGGGCCTTTCACAAAAAGTCGAGTATCGCTCCGTGTTCCTTGTCAAGATAATCCCCAGATACAATGCTCGGTGGTCCTAGCTCGTCTTCTCAGGCAAACAACTTAGGTTGGCAATAGGATTTTGTGTGGCACCCCGGGTAATTTGAAGGGGCGGTGCTTAATGCAGCCTTGTAGAGGCAATAACTTCCTTATCTCGATCTTAGGAGTGGCTGGCCGAGCGGGCTAAGGCGAGTGCCGAGCCTCTCCGATCACGACTTCACACTCCAAACGGCTTCAATTGGCTCCGGGAATCGTTCTCACTCTGTCAAAAATTTCGGAGAACCCCCTCATTGATTCGCTCTCCCATCAATCTAAAAAATCCGTCGCGGTCTTTCGGTGACATCGAACATAAGTCGACATGAGAGCCACAGCTATCCTCCGGCAAGCTGCCCACCGCACCCCATTGATCAAATTTCTGGGGAAGCGCTCTGTGCCCAGTAAGTTAATTTTTCTTCGCCATTGGACGCTTGCTAATGCTTTCTGGAACAGAAAACATTGACTCTACCCCGCATGTGCACCCAGCGTCTCCGACTGGGTCGTTGCCAGACTCGTTTGCCTCCTACAGAGAGAAGGCGTCCCAACACGGCCCTCTGTCGCGATCTTCCTTTTCTACAATAAGTGGTGGAAGACCCGCAAAGTCCTTTGGACCTGTTGCGCCTCCTCCTGGCCAATTTTTCGACCGAGACGAGTTACCTTCCAGATTCCGCCGAACTGCTTGGTCAACGGCTGAGATAGAAGCAATTGAGTCTGGTGGTGCCAGTCTATATGCGTAAAGCAAGTCCCCGACGAGGAGCAATCTAGCAAAAAAGACGTGGTTGGAGCTCATTGTATATAATATACCTCCATTGGTCCAAAATTTCTTGTGGTTTTCAAAGTTATATCTTGCAGAATGCATAGCGTGCAGCTTGGAGGCGGAATTATTTGTATCTTAATAAACAAAGATTTCGCCAATTAGATGCTATACTTCTAGCTTTGCTTCATGGATTGATGATGGGGGCTATTGTATTGGAAAGGTGCCAGTCATGGTCATCCCCGACACAAAAGTCGTATTGAAACCAGGGGAATATCGTTCGGTCAATCATGTTTACATCGAAGCCTATATATTATGTTCATTACTGGCTGCTCAGACCGTGGCGGTCGTCACTAATAGAAATCATTCTCTTGCAAGTCTCATACTAGGTTTTGGCTTCGGGATCGGGGATGCGGCCACAACCATTTCTTATGTCACACCAAAAATGGCTTTAGACCACGTGGATCGCGGCCGCTCTGGATTAGATATCGACGATTTCAAGGCAATAGGACAGGCATTAGATGTTCTTATTACGGAGTATGTCAATAGAGAAAAGTATCTAAATAGTGTTTTCTGCATCAGGTGTTAGCTGCAATGTGCTTAATAACAGTAGGATACCTACCTTCCTTGCATATCAACTGGTTTCGCTTGACGAATATGTTCACATGCATCAAGGAGGCAGCTTGCCGGATTAGACGACGACATCTCCACGCGACACTCCCGCACCTGATGACAGTTTTCGAACACCAGTCGGCAAAAGTATAATGAGTTTGGCAACTGGAGCTCCGTTGGAATATGTCGAGAAAGATCAGGCAGGCAAGCCGACTAAGACATATGTCGAGTCTCCAGTCAAATTTGGACAAGAGCACCTGAGCAGATTCGATGTCATTGTAGGCCAACGTTGGCGCAACCAAATATACGGTGGTGATAGGAGTGATTGACATCATACTAGCCACATTCTTCGAGCAGCAAAGGATATCGAACGCTTTCATCAGTGATCAATGCATTCCTACCAGCCGGCTACCCGCAAAGTGTCACGGAAGATTATTTAGAGTATTTCAATTTCTTCCAGTTCTTAACTTCTCTGGGTACAAAAGAGCTGATATTAACTCCCTCGTCAAAACCAGATATCAGATCTACGTAAATTACCAACTTTTGTATGCCAAATAAAATCACGCAAAGGATTGACATGTTTAGGATTCTTTGCAAGCTTTCTCAAGCTCTATTGCTGGGCTTCTAGCTTCTCGAGCCGTTCTTCAAGGTTAATCTTCTCTTTTCGAATTTGATATGGAACGTTGAACTGATATTATTGTCCAGGCGTTGGTGTGGGCGATGCTTCTGCTTCGCCTACCGCTGCCCTTTTGCTCAATGTTCTCCAAGAAAGCATGGGTCGGGTGGCAACGATCCTGTTCGCACACAAGCTTGGATCTTCCTTGGAACCTGAATGCAAAATGTATCGACTACTCGCAGACATTTTCAATGACTGCGCCATGGTTCTGGACTGCTTGTCTCCAGCATTTCCTAGATTTTCCCGTGTCCTAATATTCAGCACCGCGAGTGTTTTACGTGCTCTCTGCGGCGTCGCAGCTGGCAGTGCCAAAGCCAGTTTAAGTGCTCACTTTGCTCGGAATGGAAATTTGGCAGAATTAAATGCGGTAAGTGGACTATATCAGCAGTTCATGAAATATAGAACTTTGTTTTTGAACCGTGGATTGGCTCGGGCGAGGATCGACCTCGACAGTCATCCTCGACCTAGCCCATTGAGATATTATTCGCAGCCGTCGAACAACGCCGGCAGAGTGCGTTCACTCGCTGACCAACTATTAGAAAGATGCAAGCCAGGAAACCATAATATCTCTCTTTGGGATGCTGGTAAGAATACATTCATTTCCCGAGCAGAGTAAACTAAGTGCCAATGGGATCAATTAGGTTGGTAGCATTGTGATATCTCACGTGTCAACACCCTTTTCTACGTGGTTGTGTTTGTTCTTGCTATTGAGCATTCATCTGGGGACAAACTATGCAGCGGTACGCGCCGTAACGATGCGGACATTGAATCGTCAAAGAGCGAATATTGTGGTTTCTACTCTCATAGAGCATGACCGTATATTGACACCAGAAGTTGTTTCGAGGAGGGAACGCATATTCGAACGTGACGGCGTCGTCCGCTGGAATCAATCACAAGCCTTGGCATACTGCCAGATTGGATGTCCGCTCGAGAAGCTCCTTCAATCACTCTGCCGAGACGATGCTCGACAAAGCCGTGTAAAGTATGCCACGGCCAACTTCGGCAGGCTTTTGAATATCTTTCAGGGTCAAGATTATATTCTTTGGTACGACTGTAAAGCGTCACAGGTTTTCATTGTGTTGAAAGAAGGTTCTTCAGTGAAGTCCCAACTAAAGGCCTGGATGCACAGTCTTCTTGTTGTTCATGGGGAGACGTCGGGCCTGCCCGATGGGACAGAGATAAGCTTCGATTCCATGACAAGCAAACAGTTGGAACAAATTCGGAATTCTCTGGAATTTCTATCGAACAGGTTTGATAGGTTCATGGAGACCCTGGCCGACGCCGGATGGGACTTGGCCACGGCCGCTCTTGAAGTGCGCCCGGGATATCGGCTTGCCGTGGGATCACGATCTTATTAGTCGAAATCAGCATTTATTTGCCTCGCTGCTTGCACTTTCCTTTATCGCAAACTTATTATTGAGTTAGCATGGCGAAATGAATCCTTTGCCGAGTAATCAGATCAAGCGAGATAATGGCCGAAGCCGGATCAAATGCCTCCCAGGGCTCCCCTGAAATCGTCATCGACTAGCGGGGCGAGGACCGATGTTGCAATTAATCATATCTAAAGGTCATTCTCTCGATACCGCCGTTGGCTTGACAGACAAGCTCATGAAATCGAGTGAAAATTTTTCTTGTCCAAACTAGTGGAATTATATTGTTGCGGTGAGGGAAGATCCAAGAACTCCACAAAATGTGCACTTGCATCGTTAGCAACCTTTGGTTGTCAAATTACTCTCGTACATAGGCGATCTCTGGAAGCATGCGGATTTAGGCAGCAAAATCCGATCCAGAGAAGACATCTACCAAGTCGGTACTCCGTAGAAAGCATGAGATCGCTCGTTGGACATCACATGTCAATTTGTGTCTTCTGATTGGCGAAAATGAGCACAGGCGAGGGAAGACAGAAATAGGAAATCGGCTAGAAACGGCCGCCGAATGGCCATCGAATGTCTCGGGATGCAAGGGACGATCCACGCACCATCATCGAGCCTTAAATGGTTCGGCTCTACCGGGAGGAGTTATCTCCACCTGCCGTGAAGAGTCACACATGAGCTTATCAGCGCCTGAGATAAAATGCACTGAACGAGCCCAAATGGACTAGACTGTAGAAGTAGATCTCTTTGGGAGATGCCACGGAAAATAATGAAGCTGTAAGTCGGCAGCATTCCTTTTCCTATGGCGGTGTTATGGCCGATTGGTACGTTTCAAGATTTTCGTCATCTCCGGTCGGATCGTGCACGGTTGACAATGTGGACCGGCTCTCACGTCCCACTTGATAGAACTAGGGAAGGATCTAAAAAAGGCCATCGTCGATGATGAGGATTCGTCACGATCTCTTTGCAAAACAAGGAAAACAAGGAAATATTCCTACTATTTCTGCGCGAGTATTTGTTCATAGATGACTGAATGGATCAAAAATTCCCGCTAATATGGCACAGCTCTCGTTGAAACTAGGCTGTCTGAAAGGGAAGCCAGACATGTCGCATTGTTTAAGGGGCCAAATATGTAGGAAGATGAAGGGAAATGGCCTTCAAAGCACATCAGCGAATCAAAAATTAAGTGTCTTAAAAAAACAGATCAAAGCTGGCGGGTATTCTGGAAGTTGATGGCGCATATCCTCGAACGGGTGCCCTGGTTGCGCGCCTTCTAAGCCGCCCAGTTGCGACTAGTCACGCCTTCACGTGATGATATTGTGCCAGCCCGTCAGCCTTGCTGTGCCGCGCTGACAGGTGCATCGTGTTCATTATTGATTACATGAATCTCTTATGCTTCATCTAGCGCCCGGTTGTCGCCCGGGTCAGGGCGGTTTCTCCTGTCTTAGTCGTCTCATCTACAAGGAACGGACTCCACCCCAGATTATGATTTTGACGTTGGGGTTGGATGTGACTAAGGATTACCTTATTAAAATTGAAAACAATTTCCCTTTTTGGCTATCTTGGACGGATGCGGTGAGAGCGGCGCAAATTGTCGTTTCGGTGAAAAGAGGAGAGAAAGTCACGTGTGGAAATTTAAGTTGTTCGATGAATGGGATATCGAACAATGAAAGGACCCTGGCAACGAACGGAGGGTTGCTCTCCGGGAGATAAGGACACTCTGACTAGTTTACTCTCTACTCCGGAGTACAGGACACTGAAAAGGGCGACTCTCTTTCACATAGGGAAGGAGCGAAAGAGAGTCGAGATGGTTACGACAAAATGTTCAAAGATGATTGAATTTGGGGAAGAAAGAGCCAGCCAATCCGATTCGCAGGAGAAGAGAACAAGGGGCACGCCATCAGAAGTGTTTGGACTTATGGGGATCATCCCTGAGTCAGCGTTTCTTCGTGTGCGCTAGCGGAGTTCTCCGCACGCGACATCTGACCTCAAGCGGGAAGGTGCGGAAGAATGGTGTGGTCAACGTCGACGTGTCCGGGTGAGGCCATGGGCGGTCAAGGACGACAATGATTGGTTCAATCTTGCAACGGCGCATGCCCGATGCTCTTCTAGAAGCACTGGAATCGTGCCTTCCCGTCTTGGATCGCGCCCTCCAGATGACCGGCCACTTTTTTTCCCACCAACATCCGCAGTCGGAACACCCTTCTGGTTCCCGCTTGCCTTGGCTGGAGAAGGGATTATCAATGAAATCAAAAATTGCATCTCGAATAGATTGATTAATTAAAAATTCCGATGCGGCGCAGGGGACACCCTTCGACATTTTTGAGTCTGGCACCGAAGGAAACGACAAGAAAGAACAAGCCACGAAGCCGAACCCCTTGTCTCTTCTCACACATTTTCTCTCGTGTGGTCCCCCAGCCCATGAGCGGGAGCGATGCAGGGAAGACTGCCTTCCTCTGTTTCGACGTGTTCCCACCCGAAGGCCGAAGGGGACGTACAAAACATGCAGCCTCTCCCAAGATGACGCCTTGCAGTGCCCTCTTGTTCGCTTCCTTTTGCAGTTTCTGCCCCTGTCTGTCTGTCAACAAAACTGTTTGAACTGGTGAGACCTCTTTGTGTATGTTTTCGTTGGCAATGCGCGTCATGACAGACGTCAGTCAGTCGATTACCGTCTAAAAAGTGCGGAAAGGGAGGAGGTACCTTGCTGTACTTGTGGGTTATGCATTCAAGTGGAGACGTGGAGCGAGCAGAGAAGGTCACGGAAGGTATCGGGCGGGACCCAGTCCACGTCGGCGCTAGAGGAAGGCCGACTGCAGCCACCGTCGTGATGGTCTGCGAATCGGGGGGCGAAACTTGCCTTTCCCACGACCAGATAGAACGTCTTTTTGGGCCCCATGAACGAAGCAGCAGCCGCCAGCCCAACTCGTTCCCCCCTCGTCTGATGGAGACTTGGCTCGCCCTTACCTAATTCTAATTAATTCTTATCCTTGAGCCCATTCGACTATGACCATAGTAGTTCCCAAACTTCCACTCCGACTCCCAAGCCCGCAAACTACTTGCTGTCCACGAGAATAACGCAATACCTTGCTCCTCTCCCCCAAAGTGTGTGCTAGAGAGACTCTTCAACTACTGCCTTTCTGCCCCTCTCTTCCCATGTTCCTCCTACTGTTCTCCTCCCTCATTCCTCCTTTACAATTCAACGACCTCTCTGCCATTCAGTCGTAACACATCGACCCTCTCGCTCCTATCCTTTCTATTCACATACACTCTTTCGCCTTTGCTGCGTCAGGAATCCTTATCGCTTAGCACCATCTGCTTAACCCAACGGCGAACTCCAATTCGACATCGATAACGGAGCATCTCCCATCACCAGCGTGTCACCAGAACAAGACGAGTACGAACGTCGAATTCGCTCCTCGCTCCTTTGTTGGCTATACGAGGGACTGGATCACTCTTGGTCTTTCCGTGCTTGACTTGAACGTTACATGTCCATTGGTGGTTCCGCGGAAACTTACGTTAAGAACCGGCAAGGTTCATCGGGGAAAAAACAACCACAGGGCCTTTGTGTGAATCAGAAATTGCTGTGGCAGCGGTCAAGTTTTGTGCTACTAGGTGTTCGCAAAATTGCTTGGCCGTGAATGTGCAAAATCACTGGAGGAAACCCAAAGTGATTGAGACTACTGGTACCATACATTTGCGGTTGACTGAAGCGGATGTGGATACTTGCAGGCGGTTCCAGTCCTTGAACGACCAAAAAGCGTAAAGCATCGCGGTTTTCCTTGTCGTCGACTGGGCCGCAGCGTCTTCAAATTGCTACGCAAACATTCAATCCTTGATACTCCTTCCGGGTATAATTCTTCACCGCTTCATTTGATTTGAGGGGCGAGGCTGCGCGAGCAGAAACTTCGTCCCTCTTTATTTCTTGCAGCCGTGGCCCCCTCTGCTGTGGGCGTCGGCCCATTCACCGATTTAGCGTGGAAAGCTACTCGCTCCGCTCATCGTCTTGATCGTCCCCGCGGGTTCAATCTATCCAAGGGCTCGTGGGGAGGAAAGTGTGGTAGTCGGTTTGGAGGAGACGTCATGTTCAGCAGTCGACGTTCGCGTCCTCCATCTCCTCGATCCACCATTATTGTTTCTGGCGATTCTACGCCCATTCTTTCCTCTGCGCTCTCCGACTGTGACGCCGACGACGAGGCGACCATGTCGGCGGCAGAAGAGTTCCTTGCCTCGCGGCCTCCTAGCATGAGTGCCCCGCAAGGCCCGTATTGTCCGCGCGTGCCTACTCTGGCAGATGTTCTCAACAATTCGGCCCCGCCACCTTTCACCCTGACGGCTTTTATGGCATACTTGTCCCAAAATCATTGCCTCGAAAACCTTGAGTTCACCATGGACGCGTCGCGGTATCAAAAACAGTATGAGGAGATGATTGGTCCGGCTACGGAGGCCAGCTCTCCTACGAGTAGCGATACAGAGTATGTGAGAATGTTGTGGCGTCGGTTGTTGCATGCATATATTGTACCCAACGGACCTCGGGAGGTCAATCTACCGGGTGACGTACGGGATGATCTTTTGGCGCTTCCGGATGACGAAGATCCTCCTTCGCCGGAAATGCTGGATCCTGCCGTCAAGATTGTATACCAGCTCATGGAAGAGTCGGTCTTGGTTCCTTTTCTCCATAGTGTTTCGAACGCGGGTGGCGCTCCGAGTATGGGCATCATTGATACGATGGACGAAAGAGTCTCGCACCGCCGCCACAGTCGTGACGACCGTCGCACCGGTCAGACGCAGCCGACGACGGCGACAGAGCAGCACTCATCCTCGTCGTATGGTTCTGCTAATCTGGCGCATCTCGGACGTCTCTCGACATCAAACCTGGGTTCCACGCTACGGGCTAGTCGGCTTAGCCCGCATCGCAGTCACAGCTCCAACACCAGCGGCGACACGCTGACGACGGATGACTCTCAAAGTTCATCAAACCCGGTCGGCGAACCAATGACGCCTCCGACGACGCCTCCGACCAGCGATGCTGGAGGACTAAGTCCCAAGTTACGACACGATAACACGTGGAAGAAGATGACGACCAAGTTGAGCTTCAAGAAGAAGAAGAACAATTCGGGGTCCTTGAGCCGGCACACTACGGACTCGATATCCGAACATTAATGGATAATGGTTGCGATGAACGGGTTCTCCTTGGTTCCCGAGGAACATGATGAACGGGACAGTTTGACTGTTGGGGGATTTGGAATCTCGCGTTCAACTGATCCGTTCTCACCTGGCACATATAACACATATTGTTGTATCGATACCCGGGCACTTTTTTTCATTCTCGACACCGACACCCTTTTGTTTGAAAGGTCTAAAAAAAGGCGCTTGGGTTGATAAAAAGTATGCCGACTCTGAGTCTCTAGTACGAATGGGGCACCTTTTGTTACGTCTTTATGTTGCATCTATGGCGGGCGTTGGTGGGGGATCAATTCTTCCATTCGAATTCTTTTCTCTTTATGTGCTTTTTCGTTTGAGGTCTTTTTTTTTTTTTTTTTTTGGTTTTCGAAAACGATTACGATGCATTGCAGGACGGGAATACGAATACATTGGCGGGGGTTCCACTGGCGTTTCATTCTAATGTTCCTACATTCTTTTCTGGTATTTGGGGATTATGCATTTGAAACAAATCACTCCCATGGTTCATTTTTATTTGCATTGGGGATGGGGTCGTTCCTTTCTTTTTATTCTCTTGTGTATTTTTTTAACCACACATACATATTGGTTAGATGTCTCGAGGAAATGAGGTGCAGTAGCCAGATGTCATGTACATTACACCCTATCTCAATGCTACAACGCTAAATATCACTTTCTAATGATTATTGCTCACGGCCTAGCATCGAATGAAGGAATTCGATTCTTGTGACTCTTCAGGTTTAGTGTGGCCACCCAGCTTTATCGGGGAAGTATCTGAAGGTACTGTCTCGAAGCAATTGTCGTATCCGGACTGTTGCATATGATAGTCCTGTGTTACTTCAAAGGCTTTTTATTTAACTGTACTAAAATCTTGTTTGCATTGACGCTGATTATACTGTGGCGTTGTGGTCCTGTAGTGAGCTAATACTGAGCTTATCGATAAGTTAAAGATTGTTCGGTTGAGCGGGGTTCGGTAATCTATAACTAAGACAACTGCATTATAGCTCGTTCTGTAGTTGAGCCACAGTTGAGCCATCCGGACGATCATTTCACCACTGTTCATCTAAACATGTCGTTGTCCATGGCAGCCCAGACCACCTCAATAAGTCCCTGGCTGCCATGTTGAGCTGCTCAAGAGTGCGTCGCTTCCTTACCATCGGCCAAACGCCAGGACAGCTTTCTATTGTCAGGAGGTGTTCTTTGCTCTCAGAGGCCATCATTAGGGAAAAGCTGCAATCTGACGATCTGTTTCGATACACCTCGGGAAGATGGTTGTAAGATGTTTCGATAGCTTCTGACCAGAATGGCAAAAGCTCTAATATGTGTCAATTGAAGGTACAACGAGTCAAAGCGCCTTCAAGAAAGACAATTAAGCTTCAATCTCCCAGCCCTCGTGAAGGCCGCAGCAATTTCCATCGGACGAGATGGCAGCGATATTCGGTCCATACAAAAGTTAGCTGAAGGCGGGTTCAACCGAACCTTTCAGTTGACTATGAAGGACGGATTCCAACTGATCGCCCGCCTACCGTACCCATCAACCCAACCGAAACGCCTCGCCGTAGCTAGCGAAGTGGCCACCATGGATCTCATCCGTAGCTATGGGGTCCCGGCACCCAAAATCTACGGCTACTCATGTGACGCTCATAATCCTGTCGGCGCCGAGTACATACTAATGGAAGAGGCCCCAGGGCGGCTGTTAGGAGATATTTGGTTTTCGCTCTCTGAGAAGGACAGGATTAAAATTCTATCGGAAATTGTGGATAACGAGGCGAAGCTCTTTAAAATTGACTTCCCAGCGTATGGTAGCATTTTCTACGATAAAGATGTCCCTTCTGGCATGGGACGAGAAACTTTTCAGCCAAGTAGTTCAGCAGAGCCGTTCTGCATCGGTCCGGATGCGTCGTTCAAGTTCTGGTTCGAAGAGCGAAGCGCTTTGGATATTCAAAGGGGACCTTGTAAGCTGAAAAACATGTCTCACTAAGGTGCCACGACTAACCTGAGTTTGCCTACAGCCATGAGCGCAGTAGAAGTTCTTCAGCGCGCGGCGGCTAAAGAAATGGCTTGGCTCCGAGCATATGGTAAACCTCGCCTGCCGTTTGAGCGAGTTCACAGGGACATCACAAATTACGAAAAGTCCAACCCTCAGGAACATCTTCATAACCTCGAAAAATACATGCAAGTGGCTGCTCAACTTGCTCCCAAGGATCGATGGCTTCATAGGCCGATCATCCGCCATCCGGATCTTAATCCAAACAATATCTTCGTTTCCGAAAGCCTCGATATCGTAAGCATAATCGACTGGCAGCATAGCACCATCCTTCCTCTATTTTTGCACGCTGGAATTCCGGCACACCTTCAGAACTACGGGGACCCAGATTCTGAAAACCTGGTTCGACCCCAGCTTCCAGGTGATGTCGAGGAAATGGACAACGACGATCGGGAAAAGGAGCTTGAGCTATATCGCCGGCGTCATCTTCACTTCTACTACGTTGGAGCCACGGCCAAGAAGATTGATTCTCATTTTCAAGCCCTGACGCATGAGGGGGGTTTGTTCCGCCGCAAAATTTTCCAACATGCCGGTGAGCCATGGGAGGGAAACAACTTCCCGCTCAAGGCTGACCTGATTCGTCTGTCGCACCACTGGCGGGAGCTGGTTTCCGAAGAAAATGAAAGTAGTACTCCACCGCCGTGCCCAATCTCATTTAATGAGCATGAGATTGAGGAAACGCTACAGACCATGGCGAAGCAGGAGGAAGCAGATCACCAAATGGAAATTCTCCGCAACGTCATTGGAATCAATGTCGACGGGTGGGTTTCTACAGAGGGGTATAAGGAGGCTGAAGCCCAAGCCGCGGAAATGAAAGCCGAAGCGATAGGGTACGCGGAGAATGACTTTGAGCGTGAGATGACAGTGAGGCATTGGCCTTTTTCCGACCACGACGAGAGAGAATAGAGGGCTTTCCTGAAAGACTTGGAAATTCTTAATGTTGAAGCTGTGGAAAACCAGTCTGCATAAGGCCCGGCGACAAGCATAACCGGAGATCTCGGGAGAGAAGATCAAACAATCGGCTGAAAGTCTATAAATGGCTGCCAGGTCTCTCGAAGCTTTGCACCCGATAGACATTTCACAGGTGCTGATCCTCCTTGTCATACAGATTTCTAAGGTGGAATCCGCTGCGTGTGCATTGCGAATGTGGAAGAGGACTCAGCTTGCAATCGCGCCTCTTAAAATGATTTTCCTTGTTGGGTTGCTACTTCAGCTAGATTTGCACGACTCGAAACAAGCATAGCACATGTATAGGTGAGAACTTGAAGTTGAAGTTGGATACTGGTTCCGAACAGAGATTGACGCCGCGTACGAGTGGTACTCGATCGGTCAACGAATGACATGGTTGTCGTCCGCTTCTACCAATTGATCAACTTCGTGTTTGTACTTGCTCCCGTCTTGCATCTAGAACATTGGTCGATCAGCTTTCAAGCATTTGCGGTCTGCTGATTAGCATGCGTGGAGTTGTCTCCTAGCCGCGGCTAATAGAAGCAGATGCAGATTTCAGCTGCTGACGTGCTGTGTATCTCACAATATGATCTGAAGTTTAGCCTTGAAGCAGGCAATCGTCACCTGTGGTGGCTAATGGCTGGAAAGCGATTAATTTGGACCTCCATTGGGCACTGGGTGTATTGATGAGTGATAGTCTGATAATGTGTGCACACGTGTATGCCATATCGGATATTTCAAGGAAGTATCTTCCCATTTATATTGCTAGCTATCTTCTAAATATATACACATATTAAACTAAAATAGAGTTAAATATAAAGGACCTTATCTCATGTTAAGAGCTATTATGAGCTAAATCTTATAATAGTAGAACCCGTTATCATGAGGAATCTAGATATTATTGACCTTTTTTTTCCCCTAAATACTTATGCTCAACTCCAACTCTAATATCCAATTGAATTATAAAATAGTAGTACATTTTATCATGTTGACGGGTGGTGTTGAAGGTGACGTCCACGTCCTGCTACTTGACGGGAAAGTTTAAACGAATTTATCCAAATTATGCATGTTTATGCTCACTGTTTTGGCCGCAAAGCACCCCAAGTATTCCTGTGTTATCGCGCACAGTATCGCAGCTGGTCGGCACCATACACTGCCTTGTCGCTGAGCGGTTCTATAGCTTTGTGCTCCGTACATGAATTCCAGTCCTCTTATCTGGCAGAGAGCAATTACGAATTAAAAACAGACTGGCAGAGTAATTACAACAAAGCAGACAGGAACTACGACTGCGAAGGAGGACAAACAAAGATAAGACTAGAAACTACGGAGTATGGCAATACCAAATATATGGCACCAGCGCCGCGTGGCCGAGACCGCGAGCAGGCCGTGCTGGATCTGCTTCAAGCCGACTTCTGCGGTCTTGCATAACCCGGAGAATAACGTACGTTCCTTACCTACTTTGTACGACGCATTTATACGACCGCATGTCTATGGGACTGTGTCTACAGGACTGTGTCTATAGAACTGCATATCTACTGCGCGTCTATACAGGATCCGTATGCAAGATCACTAACACGTATTCGTCAAGGACTTCTTCTACATATGCCTAGGCCATCTCAAGGACAAGGGATTCGCCGCGCCCATCATCAACGAAGCGGACGTCGCGGCGCGGCGCAAACAAGAGGAGATGGAGGCGGAAATACAGCGTCTCAAGACGGAGTACGAGGAGAAGCAGAAACGGAAAGAGGAAAAGGAGAAGGAGAAGGAGAAAGACAAGAACGAGAAAGAGAAAGAGAAGGATAAGAAGAAGGAGGACGAGGAAGGGGAAAAGGACAAAAAGGATGAGACGGACAAGGTAGCGCATCCTGCTGTTATGCTTCATGTCTTTACTGTGTCTTATTCATCTTGTCTTATTCGCCGTGTCTCTTGACCTTTCGTGCTGATTGGTAATACCAGGCAAAGTCGTCGGAAAAGTCACCAAGTGGGACAGCTACGCCAACAGCGTCCAAGGATGATACCCCGCGGGTATTTTCCCTGCAAAAGTAAGCTTGTTCTGCCGCCCTACAACAAAAACGTCCTCGAACCCTGCTACAGTGGTTTTCCCTATATTTCAAGCTCAATGAGTACACAATGTTATTCCAAGGACTGGTCTGATTTGTGGCAGACACTTTTACCAAATGCGCATCGACCGGCTACGGAAAGCCGAATTGGCAAAACGCAACATGCACCGATTACAGAGTCCAAATGTTTTTCCGTCCGTCCCAAGCGGCGAGCCAGGACCAGGTCCTTGATCGTATCCTTGATCGTATCCCACCTTGATCGTATCCCGGCCTTGAGTTATAGTCCCAACCTCCATGAATTGACTAGCACGAGTCCAGACTCTGTTGTCGAGTCAGCAGTACAAACACACCTCTTCGGTCTTGGTGTACTAGACACGGTCCCGTTCCAATGAGCTTCTATGCACTGTACCACACCAAACCACGGCAACCTTTTCTGTGCAGGCCACTTTTCCTGCGTCTACTGCGGTATTAGTGCTTGCATACCGCACAGAGATACATTCTCAATTACTATCCAGTAATTGCCAACCACTTTGACTTTGGTCTTGGCTTTGGTCCTGGCTTCAGACACAAGCTTCCCTTCCCCTGTGTCTGTAAAAAGACAAAGAGCAAGGACAGACTGCCAGCATGCCAGCATGCCAGCATACGAGCCATCAGGCCGCGACAAGGCATCTAAATTTTAAATTTGTTTGAAAAAGGGCAGTGAAGAGGTTGTTAGACAAGGGACACGAATCATCAAATTTATCATATGTATCATATGTATTAAACTTATCACGTTTATCAAAATAATGTTTAATTAAAAAGAAAAAAAAAGACAAATATCTTAATGTAATGCCAGTAAGGTAATGCCATTTACTCGAACCAATGTCCCAACTCCAAACCTACTTTTTAAAATGTTTAATTTAATGACAATGACAGGAAAGACTAGAGAGAGAGAGAGAGAGAGAGAGAGAGAGAGAGAGAGAGAGAGAGAGAGAGAAATAAATAAATAAATAAAGATGGTTGGACGTAAAAGGGAATAATCGGGAAAAAAGGATGGTTGAATGTAAGAAAAGATGGTTGGAAGTAAGAAGATTTTGGAGAAGACAAAAAAAGAGAGGGAAAAAAAAGATGGTTGGAGATAAGAAGATTCTGAGCAAGACAAAAAAAGAGAAGGGGAAAAAAAAAATAAACAAGGATGGTTTAGTATAAAAACAGGATGATAGAGGAGAAAAAAAAAGGGATGGCTTAGTGTAAGAAGGGTACTGGGGAAGATAAGAAGAAAAAGGACTGGTTGAAGCCGAGGGGTACAAAAAAGGAAAAAGAAAAAGAAAAGAAAGAAAATGCTTCAAGAGGTGAGATGAACAATGAAAGATACAGAGTGAATCGAGTGATATAATGATACGACGACAGGGACGAAATGAAAATGAATGATATAATGACATCATGATAGACGAAAAAATGGCAGGATATAATGAACGATATGGAAAAGAGGACGGATATAATGAAGGATATAAAAAAAATGGATATTCAAATTGTATAGAATAATAGATATAAAGTGGAATGATATAATGAAATGATATAGTGGAATGATGGATTGATATAGAATTGGAAATGATAGAAATATAATATGGAAATAATAATAATAATAATAATAATAATAATAATAATGTGGAAAGTGAAATCAAGACTCATCATGCACCTCATTGATAACCGCGCCTCGTATCCGGGAAACAAGGCCTGATCTTGTTCCATTGCTGATCCCACTGCCGCTGCCACCGCCACCGCCGTCTATTGCGGCAGAAGTACTCGTACTTGGTGGGCCGGGCATGCTTATACTGCCTCTTGAAGGGGCCGTCGCACTGCCGCCTGTAGTAGAAGTAACAGGAGCAGACGAAGAAGAAGAATTAAGGACTTCTGGTAGGGGTTCCTCCTTCATGCACGCGTTTTCCAGCATGTTTGTCCACTTGCCGCTTGTGCCGGCATGGCTGTGCTTGAGGTGCTGGCGGAAGTGGTCTGCGCGGAAGAATTTCTTCGACTGGTTGCATTCGCCGTACTTGTGCACGCTGGTGAGATGTTCGACGCGCACGTCCCATTGCGCGGGATTGGGAAACTCTTCGCCACAGTATCCGCAGACGTCTGCTGCCGAGGGCATTGTTGAAGAGGGATGGAATGCAGTTTCAACGCCGGATAGTGCGGCGCAGGACCATGAATGACGCCGTAGGTGGAGCGAGTTCTGATGACGCTCTGCCTCGTTCTTGTTCTTGAACCGGTTCTGACAGTACTGGCATGTGTATTGCTTTTCCATTGCATGAAGTCTAACTTGTCAGAAAAGATATCGCAGTCAGGTGAAAATAAAACAAGGCTGACTTACTGTAATTCCTCTGCGGTGTCAAACTTCTTTGGCTTCTTCGGACAACATTCGCAGATATAGTGCCCTTGAAGGCGCGGCGCGCCCGGCTGCTTCGCCTGCGAACTGGCAGCAATGTCCCCAGCAGGTGCCGGCATTCCTGGCAATGATGATGATGATGATGGTGGTGGTGGGGGTGGCGGTGCCGTCGTGGCGGCGTTGGTCTTGGTTTCAGACATTGTCCGTTGACGGTTCGATCGTGAGAGCGAACCACGCGGGCTCGGGTTAAATGAAGCTACAGAATTGGCAAAGTAGGGAGAGTCATGACTAGAATCGAGCTCGGAAAGAGGAGAAATGCCTCGCGGTGATGTTCGGTCTAGTGAGGCGTACGATGACGAGAGGCTCGTGATGCTGCTTCCACCAAGCGAAAGGCTGGTGGTGGAGGCATATGAACCATTACGAGCTCCATATGATGATACAGAAGACACAGAGCCATGATTAGGGTGTGTGCGAGAGACGGGTGATGTTCGTGTCAGTAGAGGAGGGGGCCCAAGAGAGCCCGAGGACACTGGCGGCGGAACCAGTCCAGGCAGTCGACGCAGCCCCAGACCGTCACTTAATCCACTAGCACTGCTCACCGAGAGCTTATCGTCTCTGGTCACTTCTCGCGGCGGAGACGATGCCCGTCTCTTCTGACCCGCTCGACATAGAGCGGCCATGGGGCCGTCAAGATTCGGAGGCGTCCGATCTCCTAGACGCAAATTGCGCATACCCGACTCATCCATGGGAAACTCAGTCTCTGGCTCAACCAGCGATTCCCGGTCATAGCTACCCCGGTTTGAACGACTGGCAATGCTAGACACGTCATCAAAATACGTCGAACCGCTTCCTGAACGGCGAACTTCTCCCCCACGAATGCGAGCAAAGGGGTCAACCTCTGACATGTACGATACAGGATGACTAGTCGACGGCGTGCGGGCAGAGTCCGTAAAACCCCCATGGCTAGGATACCCCGAAGGCGAAACGCCAGCCGGTGACATGCCGGCCGAGTGTGATGTGAATCCCTTCCAGCGATACAGCGAGCTCTCCGGCGCGGCTGCTCGAGCCTCTGGGAGAGACAAGGCGCGTAATTGGACAGGCTGCCGTGAAGACGGGACATATCCAACCCCTGAAGTTGGAGAAACATCCTTGTTGAGGTCTGTTATGGGTGGAGAACGGTGGTTGCGGGGAGGGGTATTGGGATTGCCTATCCGTGAGAGCAGCCGCTTGTCATAGTCCTTTGACTTTTCTTCACTGTTCCTCTGTTCGAGTTGTCTTTCGCCTTTGAGTCTGCCGTTGTGGAAGAACATGTTAGCATATCCAGTTCGCTACGGGCTTGGAGCCAATGATAGTCCATCTGGAAGAGAGCACGATTCTCGAGAGACGGCGATGAAGAGATTCAAAGGAAAGCAGCAACGCCATGAGGAAGGTACGGCCAGGGTTGGACGTCCAGACGACCAACGATGACGAGGAGAATTAAAGGTGGAAACACGATAGGGCATAGGGCTCAAAGATGACAAGGGGGGGGGCGGGAGAGAAACAAGCAGTTAGAGCAAGCAAAGGAAGAAGGGGGGGGGGAAACAGCAGGAGCACTAACTCGCAGTTTGTAGGCACCGCCAGCAAAGGAGCTGGCAGTTCTCTTGCCGACAATTGAGACCCGGGTTCTGCCATCTCAAGATCTCTTGTTGGTGCGACTATGGTTGAGGTCGAACTCTCTCGTCGTACAGGCTTTTGGTCGGCGTCTGCCCACGGCCGGCGAAAGGAGCTGCCACCACAGAGACTCGACGACGGGTTGACGGAGCCAAAGCTACCTTTGGCAAAACCTCCACTAGTATCCCTATTGCCCCATTGCCAACCCGGATCGGAGCCATGAGCGAGATCGTCAAGGTAGCGCGGCGGTGGCAGTGCGGGCGGGGCCGGTTCTCTCGCGTTGGGAATGGACATGGGACCAGACGAGCTCGAATGGACCGTGGCGCTGTAGGCCAGGGACGGACGACGAAAGGGGTCGGTCTGGGCATTGAAATCACAGACACGAATTGATGGAGTCATGACGGCAGTGACGCGCGGAACATCCATCGTGGTGGATGACGGAGATTATTGTTTGGTGGTGAGGTCGCCACCGGCCTTATGGAGTCAAACTCCGCCGTCAAGACGCTGGGCGAACAACTAGATCTCCCACCTTTTTTTTTATTACACCCAGCCTATGGGAAGGGTGGAGCAGTGTTGACGCCGGGTCGTCGTTCTGCCGTAAATGCCGAATAGGCAAAGGGGAAAAAATGGGTTGCGGCGAAGCTTTGTAAAATGACGGCCGAAACGCGAAGGAGGAGATTTTGAGAATAGTAATAATTGAAATGGTAGTTTTCAGTCAAACGTCAGGGTCTCGAAGCCGGCGGCCGTCGGGGTTAGGCGCTGAATGGGGATGTGGTGCACATGCTAGTTGGGCCCTGCGAGGAACGTCGAAGGCAGTCTGGAATCGTCGCAAGGGTTTCGCAGCAAAAATGGGCAACCTATGGTTGGAAGATCATGCCATCATGATGATTAAGTTGCTGGCAGGCGGTTCGAATTGTGGAGATGGGGTACCGTGTACGGGTACCGTGTACGGGTACAAGAAAGGACAAGGGTATTTGGTAGTTTGAGTGGTAATGGGGAAAGGTAATGTGGAATAGTAATAGTCGTGAGAGGGGCCTCTTTTGTAAAGATGACAAAAGAACAACGACAATTGTCCGTCGAGAGAAAGAGAGAGAGGGAGGAAGAATCAGGATTGGGGGACGAGGGGTGGGAATATTTTGGGTCAAGCAAGAGTAAAAGAGGACAATAGGAGCGGTAGTGAACCAGACAAGTCGTCAGAGTAAGTGGGGAATGTATGTTATGGGATGGATGAGTGGGTAAGTTCGAGACAAAGGAGCGTCAAGGAAAAAGGCAGAGGGAGGGAGAAGAGTGAGAGCGACAGCGACAGCGGCAGCGAACACGTTCAGCCCTACACTGGGAAATCGTAGCGTCAACGGGAACAAACGGTGGGCTCGTGGCAGGACGCACACAATCAATGGAGGGGGGAACGCTTTGAGGAAAGAATGGGAACCGCCCTACTTGTTGATTCGAACTTTTCACTTGTTTTTCTTCTCTTGACCATGTGAGATTTATGAAGAGTAGATGCTAGCTCACGGTAAATAATTTGATCATAAAAAGGAGAGAGAAGTCTAAATGTACCATGCTTGTCATTATCGACCAGGGAATATCTCTTAAGAAAAGACAAGAAAAGAGAGCAAACAGGACAAGGCATCCCTCAATGGAGCCGTATTATTTTCCGACTCTTTACGCTGATAAGCTGAACCATCGGCCGCGTACAGTAAGTCACCTACAGTAGCGCAGTGGTCACGGTACGTAACTCCCAGGCCTCCGTGAATACTGAGGGATCCTCCAAGAAGCTAAGGCTACACTGAACTGACCCTTAACTAAGGTACTTGTGCCACTAAGCTACCTACGAGGGGGGCTACCACTAATTCACTAACGAATCTGACACACTTAAATTTACACGCACGCACTTACACACACCCTTAGACGTACATGGCTCATCCACACACGCACACGAAAACTTCCCTCCATCGGCCAGATTGGGAACCCGCAGCGGGACGGGTATGCCAGGCTAAATCAAGCAAATCTCCAAGTTACTTCTTGCGTTGAATTGAGACAAACCACAAAATTAGCCTCCCAGTCCACGATACAATGGGACAATAGAACAAAAAGTGTTCTTCGTGCATTGCCCCTAAAAAGCTCCCTTTGGTATGAGATGTAACCAGCAAGTTGGGAGCTTTACTCGGCCAAGATCGGATTAGCTTGGTTTCTTATGTTGTCAAAGTCACACCATTCCTCATCCCATAGGGATGGGAAATGACGGGCACGAGATGGTGGGAGGAGCACGAAAATAAAAGGCAGAACGACGAGCAAGGAGAGACAAGAGAGAGACAAGAGAGACAAGGCAAGTGAGGCATGGGTTCGCTATCGGCGGTGCCAAGGATGGCGGGGGTGCGCCAGGCCTTGTAGTCATGGGCGGAGACTTTATCCTTTTCTTTTCTGGGGGTAGTGGCATGGACGTCAAACCAATAGACATGCCACTCCAGCGACTGGGGAAGGGGAAATGAGGAAACGTGAGGCCGAATCAGAAGCAGAAATTAAAAAGAATAATCAGTTCAAAGGCTAATAGAAGAAATAAAAAGGGAAAAAATAGTAGAGGAATGCCTGTCCGTCAACGATTCAACCTGTCCATCATCGTCTCTTTGCTTTTCTCGTCTCCACGTGCTCTTGAGGACTTTTGTTTCTTGCCCATACCAGGGCTTCACAGCTACTGTAAGATGACCATGGGTCAGAACCAGGACCAGGACTATGACATGGGTTAGCTACTCGCCGACATCGTTGATGGGATCATTGGCGGGCTCAAGTCTTTGTCCATGAAGAGCGCGAAAGAGAGAGAAAAAAAAAGTGCCTAGCTAAGGGAAAATGAGCCACGACGATCGCGTGCCGTCCTCAAAGGTTGATTATCTTCTTTCCTACTACTGTACTATACCCAATTTATTTGCTCAATGATAACGTTATACTGTACCATAAATCGTCTCCACTTTTGAATCCCCAACGCAGGAAAAGGCAAGAGGACTGGAAATCATCACAAAAAAAGGGCGCCGAGGAATAGCGGAATTTTGCCATTCCAGCACTAAAAGGGAACAGACCGGCTTTTTGATGAGGCTTTCGTTAGCCTGCGGGTTTGGCTTTCTCTCGTGATATGGCAAATTCCGGGCTGCTAGAGTATGGTAACACTATCGTCATCAGCAACTGCTGTCTGTGTCTCCATATCAAATTTCCCTTTCGTCATGCATCGCGATGGTCATTTTGTTATAATGGTTGTTGCTATCATAGTCGCAGTCTCGGCCTTGCTCTTAGTAATGTGCGAACAGACAGTTATTAGACACTCTTGATGACTGATCATTGCTAAGATCTACTCGTACGCATTCTTTGCGACAAGGAAACCCACCCGGGAGTATGCTAGCACAGGGGTACCTTCTAAGAGCCCAGTATGGTCGATAACTTAACCACGTTGAACCCGTCAGGTAAATTTCGTGGGGCCCTTTTTTTTTCGCCAGGGCTCTGAGCGCTCCTGGCAGTTAACCGTAAGGAGACAAGTTAGTGTGTCCTCGTAGAAAGGGGAGGGTAACTAGCGATCCTATCTGTGAGCCATGGCGGTCATGCAACCCGTAGGGCGACATGGGACGGCGTTCTTTCTAGGTTGGACCCGCCCAAGAGGAGACTAAAGTGCACGAGCGCGGCCTTAGGGATCCAGTTCTGGGAAAGTGAGCGAAGCGGAGAGCAGAGGAAGTGTCAACTTGCGCGACAGTAAATTAGTTAGCCCAGTTCAGTCCTATCTCAACCACAGTAAAATCATAATTCAACCCTTGCCCGGCGGTTTACCCTCGCCCTGGAGCCAAAAGACGCAATGCCGAGGAACAATGGCCCCTTGATCGGCTTCCCGAATTCCCGTCTCTCTCTCGATCCCCTCTCGTCTTGAACTCAACGCAGTATGTATCCTACGCCAATACTGTAATCCTTGTACTCGGGGACAAAGCACCAAAGTAACAAGGGGGGTCAAACCCACCCCTGGGGATTTTCCTTGGTTGTTTTGACAAGGGGAAATTTGAGTCCTTGGATAGATTGACCCTAAGGCTACGTACCACTTGTAGTTCGAAAAGCTGGGAGCACGAGTGCCACCAGTGTGTGCACTGACGCATGCTAAACCCGGCCAAATGGCCGGGGCCAGAGTACGAATTCCATCCTGCCCGCGGTATTTGTCCGTGATGCTTAGACACTACATGCGTCAAACAGCTTAAGCAATAAAAAACATGAAGTTGCAGGTGAGAATCCAAAAAAGAACTTGAGCAAGCAGTGTCGCGGTAGAAGCGGCCGCACTCCCGTCTCCTTGATGACTGCCCGCTCTTATTTTGGCCTGTATTTCGTCCGTATTGGTGAGTGAGTTCATATCGTAATCGCCATAGCACCAATGAATACCTTGATGCGATGAGTGCACGCCATGACTGCATAAAAGGGCTTGCCAATGGCGGGCTGGGCGAAGCAGCGAGCGGACGGAACTGCCGGGCCACGCGCGCACACGCGCTGCAATGGACGCCGCGCATTAGATGAGCGTAAGACGGAGACTATTTGGGCAAATGAAAGTGGGCGAGAAAAGCCGTGGAGAAAGAGGGGAATGTTGAAAAGAGCGGGTCAATAATGGGTCCAACATGGAGCTCTTTCCTCCAGCATCGTCTCCCTCATCACAAGCTCCAATTCAACTCGCGAAACTTAGCGGCCGTCAATGACGACCAGCATCTCAAGGACAGCTTCGAACAGAGAGATGGCCTGCTAGGCCATTTTGATCAAGTCCCCAAAGAAGGAGACCCGTAGAGATCGGCACTGCCCTCTATGAACATGTTAGTACCTCTTGTGCAAAATTAATGTTTTTGCTCAAGGGCCCTTGAGACTATTGTGCAACTTTCTCTATCGTACTGCCCTGTACCGCCTCGTACTTTTACAAGTCTGCCAGCCCCGTCGTCACATTGTGGTCCGCCTTTCGTTCGCACTGCCAGAATGAGAATGTCCTCCGTGCCTCATTCAACCTCGACTCGGCTGTAGTGCTCGTCTTGTCGGCAGAGCTGACAGCGTTCAGTGGGGTGAACAGCAAATGCAGCTTATTCGGGAAACGGCCTGCGAACCGAGGGGTCCAGGATGATGATGATGAGGATGGCTCCCGGCCGGAAGCCTCCAGAAGCTCAGACGGCTCATCCTTTCATTGGTTGGGCTGGCTACAGTACGTCTACGGACTTCGGAGCTTACTTCTTACAAATGTGGGATGAAGTTCGCGATCCCTATCGTAATGCATCCCCGTAGGGATAGGGGCATGGCCGTCCACGTACATTCCCCAGCAGATTGTGATAACCGAGACGACTTGGATACTTGGGTAGTTCGCTTTTGACATTTCACCGACATTGGTCATCCAGAGACCCAGGCCAGTGTCTCAAATGGAACTCTTGTGAGATTTCCGCTGTGCATATTTCCGTAAAACACCGAACGAGATACATTTGGTCGTTCCAAGATGGAGGATCCACTTACGCTAGAGAAGCGTGATGTGACAGTTCAGGCTGCGCCAAAATATGCAAAGAGGTAAGAGAAAAGGCCAAAAGGAGCTTGCCGTGCCCATGATGGTTTGGGAGATTTTCTGATGACGACCGGGGGTTTGTGCTTAGACCGTCAGTCAAAGCCTTACTAGATCTAAAGTTGATAAACCGTATCGATGATGGTGACGATGAAGCTCGTAACTTGCAGTTTGTAACCCTTTTCTGTCCATTCCTCTCCTTGCGCTCTCATTGTCCAGACCTGTCCAGAGCAGCCATTCCGTCAAGACAGGCAGATCTTGGACGAGAGAGGGAGAAACGGCGCAGGGAGACTAAATGACAACGGCGCCTTCCGTGGAGATCGACGGGCACACGCCAAAGTACCGGTACGGACAAAATCCCGCATCGCAATCTCCAAATCCGAGTAGTAGTACGGCCCAGGGCAGTCAGTCGGTAGGAGTATACCTCGAGAACTCCATCGCTTGGGCCCAGCTTCTCCAAAAACCAGCCCTCCCTAAGCTTTCCTTCCCCCTCCCCCCCCCAAAACTGTCCTTTTTGTTTTCTCATCAGGGTCCCGGATCGAAATATCCCCGGCTCGGGCCCGAACTGGTTTCCCTAGACGCCAAACCTACAGCCTAAACCTCCGAAGGCGGACTTAAACCAGCGACGACGAGCCCGAAGAGGTTCGAGCGCCATAAGATTCTACCGCCAGCTGACCACTCTCCTTTTCTCTTTTACGATTTACCCAACCTCACAGTAGATCCAGTAGCTAAGGTAGTGAGCTTATGCGGCTCAGACGGCAGGCGCACATGTGTAGATTTTGATTTCAGTCTGAGCATGTCATGGAGTATGAGCTGGTTATTTTGGTCAAATTTCCAATCAGACAAAAAAAGAAAAAGGGAAACAGTAAATAACGGTGGATGTTCCTGTTCGATCTTATAGCGCATCCCACCTCTTCCGCCATTTCCCATTCGGATCCAGAACCCATCACTATCATAGTCATCCGCCGGCGGAGGTTCCCATAAGACATTCGTAGTATAGGGGGTTCAGAAGACTTTCTGTGCTCGGGACAGGAGCAATAATATCATGGAATCACAGTCGATGAGGACGGTGATGCTAGTGGGTCCTTTGCGTCCGTAGGGGTAGGAACCGATGCAAAAATCGACGATCCCCAAACCCTTCTGGACATGGCTGTATCGTACTGAAATTACCGATCTCGACTGCCGCCTTCTCTAAGCTTGACTAGAAAATTATACAGTAACGAGGTGTGTGATGCAGAGGGAAAATTACTACTACGGTATACCCAAAGCAGCGGGGCATCATTTTGCAGTGCCGATCCACAGGCTACCTGGTTCTCACCCGCACCGGTGAGGCAAGGCGGTTGCCAAGGGACGTGGCAGGGCTCACACTACGGGCCAAAGGTGCGTAAACTGGGAAAAGCTACCTTCAACTTTTTCCACGGCGGGGGGAGGAGAGAGAACTGGATCGGTTCGCTACCTATAGGTAAGAAACTAATAGCTATCCTAGCTAAGCTGCCCACCCTATATTAGGTATCTTACCTACCTAAAGGTACTTGGTGAAAGACATGCATCCAGACATGCCGTGTCATGACACTTTCACTCCCTTGTTCTTCAGGTCCGTTCGCTAGCATTGTCCATCACTTTTACCGAATAATGGACCTGCTGTCACGCACCCTTCCCAAGTTGAAGGAACAATCCTTTCCGTCAACGCTACCAGGTTTGGGGAGCAGAGCTCAAGGTCCACGCTCGGCCGAGGGCGAGCTCGGGCCCAGCTGAAGGACGCGTAAGGGGCTGAGCCTTCGACACACTCCGTAAGCTGGTCTTGGTCAGCCTTAACAGGCGCTCCCTTTTCTCTTTGGGGCTTGGCCATCGCCTCTGACGCTTACCATTAACGTTACCGCGCGGCGTAGACTCCCAAATGGGTCATGCTGGCCGCGCCGGACCGCGATACTTCTCGTTTCTGACGCTTTCAATCCACGCCATGCACGGCTCGATGTTCGCTATTATTTTCCAGCGAAACAAACAAATTGTCAAGAGGCGTGCGGTCTGACAAGCGGGGGTCGACGCGGCCAGGGCGGGGTCGCATGTTGTCCCCGAGAGCCAAAAATTCCCCAATTGCTTTGGTGACACGGCAGATACATCGGCCACGGGGGACTCCCCAGTATTGGATGAGCAATTGTGGCGGGAAGAATTTTCTTTCCTGGGCCCAAACCAGCCTGGATACCAGATCCTGATGCTCTCATCTGCTTCAACCCTTACAAAATTCCGTGAGAGGAACCCGGAAAGCACCGGATTCCTGCGTTGGGAAAGATTGGTTTGGCCGGCACAACGACCCACCTTTCCAATGTCCTTCTGCTCAACTTGTCTCAAAACTCAGTGTTATTGCATGGCAAGACTGGGGTGCGACCCGGCGCCTTTTTTCCTATTCACCATGATTCGCCTGGGGAGCCTCCCTACATCCCGTTGTCGCACGATGACGGTTTGTTGAACAAGTACTCGTACATCGTCAGCAGCTTTTTGTGTTACGTCTATCCAACCCTTGTATGGGGGCATCAGGCCGAAGGATGAACTCAGCAAAGTTGATCTTCGCCTATAGAATGCCGCACCTCGTTACCTATTCATCAGGTCACAGTGTTGATTTATCCAGATGATCATTGATGAATATAGCCGCACAAGACTTTTTGGGTTATGGCTAATGGCTGCACAGGTCAAACACGTCCTAGTCTCCGATTTGTCTTGGTATTATTAACAGATTTTTTTTTCGCCTGAGCAACGCATTAATTGCCTTCAGCGTGACAACAATGACTTTTTAATTTCGCAATCACCCTCGCACCAAAATTGGCATGTCGTTTATCAATATTTGGCGAGGTGGGCCATCTGAAACCCTGCCAGGGAAGCTGCAAATCTCTTTAAGATGATAGGTTCACAACCTCGGAGCAGCTGCCATAAGTAAGTCTTCGGGGGAATTCGAGTCGGTATCAGAGGGAAATCGAAGAAAAGTATGCTCGTTTCAGGGAGCATCCCTGATAGCAGCCACCGATCAAGTCTAGAGAGATCAAGAAAAAGGCGCGAGGACGTAGCTGGTGAGGTCAGGTATGCTGAGGTCTCAGTTGTGTGCTAAGATGCATAATTTACGTTTTGGGCGCAAGTATGAAGAGACACGAAGCGGGGAAGATCTCTATTCCCGTCTCCGCCAGTATAGGTTCTCAACCGATAATACCCCCTCATGAAGTCATGATAGTGGGTTTTACACCAGGTCCACGACCTGACCCAGAAAGGAGAGCACCTCTCTTGGTGCTGTTTTCGTTTACCTTGACAGTCATATCCGGGCTGGCCAAGTTGACGAAATATTTATTGCTCGCTCCCCCTATCTCTATGCATTGAGCTCCCCATTCCTCTCTTCCTTTGGACAGACTCTTTGCTCTGGGGCTCAAGGGGCAATGCGAGATCCTTCGCATACTCGTCTAATTTTTCCGAACTTGATATAGATCACAGTTGGATTCAACACCTTCCTAGCTGAGCACTTTATTCGAATGATCAATGATCCGCGAGTTGTTTCAAGTCTCTGCCTCCCCAAGCCACAATCGAAGTATATCAATATCAGATGTTTCTACCTCCGCGTTTTCTCCAGTCAATCCAACCTTATCCCCGCTAAGCCCCGAAATCCGCGGTTTGGAGCTCGACCCCGCAGATCTGTCGGACGGAAAGAAAGACTGGCCGCCTATCAAAATGTGCCAGCGTATGGCACAATAGTACCTTTACTGTACTCCTAGCCAAATCGCCGACCAATTGACGTGAACTAATCGCATAGTCGTACGATGCACTCTAGTCTGTTTTTACTTATAAGCTTATCCTCCGTGGAGAAGAAGTAGTATTACTACGCTGCAGGAGGCAACTCCGCAAGCGAGTTTATGCATTAATCTGCAATTGTCCAAGTTACTCAGCACTGACTTGTGGCCATAGAACGCGCCGCACCTGTAAACAAGAGTGGTGATAGAGCTTATCGTGTTACCTGGTTTTATTTGGATTGTGTACACCACAGAATTCCGATTCTCATAAGTAAACATCTTTTATGAGTTGATCCTTTATTCCTGGCCAGTATGTAATGGACAATGCCAGACGGCGATATTCCCACCTTATGAACATTCGCCATCATTAGTAATATAGACCACTGTCATGTATTGATCTTTCCATGGTTGTGGCAATGAGTAAGCGTATCATGTACATTAGAAGGGAGATATCTTTGCCTTTTTCCTTGCAGTTCTCCTTTCCGCTCCCTTTTGGTCATACGTCTGACTACGTCAATCTACCTTGAATTCTTGCATGTACATTTACGCAATACAACATCCATATAGGATGAGTGTCATGTATCTTGTTTCAGGATCCAGTGTTCTGTCAGGCATATCCAAGGTACTTCTCTGTAGAGAGTAGAAGCAAAAGATGTTCAATGTAGCAAATAATTTTGGCCCTCGTTAAGTAATAGAACAAGGTCACGAAAAATCAATTATGATATGAATGCGGCAGGGGAGGAAGGGAGAATATGTTTGTGTTAGTGTATAAGGTGAAATATATACGTTTAAGAAGAAGTGAGCAAAACAAATACAATTCAGTCATCCTGAGCTTGCAGGGAATTTGATAAATGGGAATTTTATGCAGATTTTGTTCTAATTTTGAGATTGAGAGCGAAAGAAATAATAAAAGAGGTCGAATATATAGGCTGTCCACTTCCAGTTCTTTTTTGATATAGGATCCACCGAGTCAGTGATGAAATAGGTGTGATTGCTAGATTTGATCACTGTTGACACAAATTATAACTATGTACTTGGCCGTGCTTCTAGAAGGTTACGGACAAACTTATCGGAGGTTGAGGTTGGTCCCGTCCGCCGGTTTCCACTAAGCCTAATTAATAATGAGAGCTGGGGGAACTTTCGCGTTGATATGACGGAGCATTACTGACACAATCAGCAGCCACGGAACGACGTTTATCTGAGGCTGAGAGCAACTTTGTCGCGCCTCTGAGCTTCACTTCCGGAATTTTTTTAGATACTTCCAAATCTATTTTTCTACATATTGTCTGCTGCGTTCTTGGCGCTTCCTTCAGCGCTTGCGACTGGATTGTGATCTCTAGAAAAGCACCATGGCCGACTCGATGTCAGATGCGGACAAGGTGAGTGCAACTATTTTATGAGAATTACTCCTCCGCAATAGATTATTCCCAATACACACCTGGAAGTCACTCGACAGGGATGCCCGGGGAATATACCAGCATACTGTTGACAAAATAATTCATCGCTGCATCACGGCAACTATGCTTGCGCCACCAGCCAGATATGTACATCTGTTTTGCTCGTGACGACATTGAAATCTTGGCCGCAAAACCAAAGCAGGAGGACAATAAGACGTTACAGGCTAAGCTCTTGCGGTGATTGCTGCTCGGAGTTTATGCTGCTGAGACGCTGCTTCTGGGTGCACACCGGCCATATCCTCAGCCATTGACTGCAAGCGCGTTCTCTGTTTTGCAGCCTCTTGCTTCTGGGCTATTCTGTCTTACAACACCAACCTTTACACACTCAAAGGATTTTGGAGTTCTCGATGGCTGATTATTTCTATTTGCTTTCCAGATCCGCATGAAGCGCCTCGCAAAACTTAGTGCGAGCACGTCCACTCAGCCTTCGTCGTCTTCGTCACAGCTCCAGCAGGAGGCGAACAATAATGATACAGAAAGAAGCGCAGGAGTCTCAACACCTTCACAAAAGGAAGCTGGTTCTTCCACTTTGACTTCTGAGCCTACCTCGCCTGCAAATCAGGCAGAAAAGCCAGCGGACTCTCCTTCAGCATCTTCTAAACCTAAGATCAATATCACCAGCCCTCAAGCTAGCGGTAACCCTTTTTCACAATTAGGACTCTCCCAGTCAAGTGGAGGAACACCTCGTATCAACATTACATCGGTGGACCAAGGAAAAACGACTCCTTTGAAGCGCGAGCAATCATCTCAGGCGGGAACGCCTCGATCGAAATCCCCCCGGAGTCCTCAAGAGACATTGGCGGTATGGGAAGATAGGACACTTGGCAGCATCTTCAGGTTGACGCTCGAGGAGAATTACACTCAAGATGCACATGGAAACAAGCTTCACTACGTTCCCGGAGTCAAGAGCGATCTTGAAGAAGACGGAGGGACCCCTCGGTTTACTACATCTGCATTGGATCAAGCACTGCTTGAAGCAGCGTCGAGCTTGGAGAATGAGACACCGCTAGACTATCTTTTGGGATGCTGGAAAAGGGTTTGCAGACAGTACAGAGCCGTCAAATCCAACTCTACTTCTGATCCAAAGTTTCCCATTGTCAAGGAAGCACGACGGATATGCATGAGTTATTGCATCTTTGCTGCAACGATGCCTGATATGTTTGGGTAGGTGGAATGCCAAGGATTTCCCCCAGTTGTCGTGCAGGTGCTGATTCTATGACAGCCATGAAGCTACAGCGTCCAACCCTCTCGCAAGCCACTTGCTCCTGGATCCTGACGATGACAGAGGCGTCTGCGCGGACTTCTTAGCAGAAGCGGTGATTCGGTTTGAGGAAGATGAATCCATTAAGGAGCTACTCGTTGGCGCAATCGAAGAGCTGAGCGCTCGTCTGGCTAAAAAGACAATGAATGACGACTATAAGCCTTATATACTTGTATGCAGTGTTCCTTACCAAGCAGGCAGTAAGAAAGGATCAACTAACGAGAGCAGGCCCTGAGAAGTATTGTTAGATATCCAACGCTTGTGGAGGCGATGACGCAGTCGCCACTTTTCCTTCCAGAGAATATCGCGGCTCAGAATATCGAAACGCAGACACTGCTTGGGCCATTTTTCGCCATCTCTCCCCTGCAAGGTGATGTAACCACGAGTTACTTTTCCAGCCCCAAGACGCGAGACAAGGGATATATCATCAACTCGCAGAAGTCTTTGCGCATGACCCTGCAGACCCACCAAATGGAGCTACTAGAAATCGCAAACTACATTATTCGAGCCTCCAAGGATTCCAGAGAGAAGATTCTAGACTGGTTTGCATTGACAGTGAATGCAAACCACAAGCGGCGTGCGATGCAGGTGGATCAAGCGGTGGTTTCCTCGGATGGTTTCATGATCAATGTCACAATCTGTTTGGATCAACTCTGCGAGCCGTTTATGGATGCAACGTTTTCAAAGGTTGGTGTTTTTTTTACTCTTCACTATCCCTTGTGTGAGTTTCTTTTTTGCTCATATGTATTACAGATTGACAGAATTGACATTGATTACCTCCGACGGGCTCCTCGGATTACAATTGGTGATGAAACGAAGCTCAACGCTGATCAGAAGACTTCGGACGAGTTTTATGGTCATAAAGTGGATGGGGCTTCGAACTTTATCTCGGAGATCTTTTTCCTTACTCTCGCTGCTCATCACTATGGGACGGAAGCGACGAACCAGAAGCTTAGTCAACTTGAAAAAGATCTGAAATGGATGGAGAAGCAAGTGGATAAATTCGAGCTTGAGCGACACAAATATGTCACCGTGAGTTTAGCCGCACTCCACTGAAAAAGTTGCTCTATTTGGGCGTGATGCTGATTGCGGGCATCAGAACCCGCAACAATTGAGGGTGTTTGAGACAGCCTTGAAAAAGTACAAGGATCAAATCGACAAGGGTCTTTCCTACAAATATGCTGCCCAGGGTGTGCTGTTGAATGAGCTGTCCCAAGCTCGTTCAATGCAATTTATGCGCTATGTCATTGTCTGGCTTCTCCGAATTGTTTCTCCCGGTGTGAACTTCCCCAAGGACACTCTCAGGTATGTTCGCGCTCAAACCTTTTGCAATGGCTTGAGCTAAAGCTCGATAGATTACCTTTATCGCCCGATCAATCGGTTGCATTCCAATGTCTTCCCGAGTACTTTCTTGAGGATGTGGTGGCAAACTTCAAGTTTATTATGAGAAATATGCCTGAAATCATCACTTCGACGCAGAGCGATGAGCTTGTGATGCTATGCATTACATTCTTGCAGAGTTCGGATTATATAAAAAATCCATACCTCAAGTCTGGCCTCGTCACAATACTTTTTCAGGGCATCTGGCCGACCTATACTCGCTCAAAGGGCGTGTTGGGTGACCTCTTGAATTCTCTCCCTTTTGCCACCAACCATTTGCTACACGCGCTGATGAAGTTCTATATTGGTTCGTTGTGAAACTATTTTTTTTGGGTAATGGAATTGCACTGACAAGTATCCACAAACAGAGGCCGAGAATACTGGCACACATACCCAATTCTTTGATAAGTTCAACATTCGGTATGAGATATTCCAAATTATCAAATGCATTTGGCCGAATCCGTTATACCGGAATTTACTTGAGCAAGAGGCAAAGTAAGTATTTGCTCTTACCTTGATTTTCTGTTCTGAACTCTTGCTCACATTCTGTAGCAAAAATCTGGATTTCTTTGTCCGGTTTGTCAATCTGCTGCTAAACGACGTCACATTTGTTCTCGATGAGGCCTTGAATGGTTTCACAAAGATACACAATCTCCAGAAGGAATTGGAAAGCCCTGTCGCAATGGAGCCAGCCGTTCGCACAGAAAAGGAAGAGTCTCTTGCGCAGGCACAAGGCCAGGCAAAGTCATACATGCAACTTACGAATGAGACTATGGATATGCTCAAGCTATTCACGAAAGCGCTTGCGGAGTCGTTTACCATGCCAGAGATTGTGCAGCGTTTGGCCGATATGCTTGACTTCAACCTGGACGTCATGGTCGGGCCAAGGAGCATTAACCTCAAAGTTCGCGAACCGCAACAGTATGGTTTCAATCCAAAACTGCTGTTGAGCGCAATTGTCGACGTCTACCTAAATCTCAGGGACCGCGAGAACTTTCGCCTTGCCGTCGCGCGAGACGGGCGATCCTACAAGCCGGAAAACTTTGAAAAGGCGGCCCTTATCCTGTCCAAATGGAGCCTCAAAGCTCGAGAAGAGCTCGACTCACTTGCGGCTCTGAGTAAGGTTATCAGGAAGCTCAAGGAAGAGGACGAGCAGGCGGAAGAAGATTTGGGCGAGATTCCAGACGAATTTCTGGGTGAGTGCACTTCCAACATCTTGCAATGCGTTAATGCTAACACCCCCATGACATAGATCCTCTCATGTACACGCTCATGGAAGACCCTGTTATCCTCCCAAGATCTCGCATCTCCCTTGACCGATCAACCATCCGCTCGCATCTCCTCAGCGATCCCAATGATCCATTCAACCGTACTCCTCTCACCATGGAGGATGTCATTCCTGGTATCCCCCCTACAACCCTAATCCAGCACAATTTTTGCTATTGGGTACTAATGTATTTCTTTTGTAGACACCGAGCTCAAGGCCAAGATACAAGCTTTCCGCGCAGAGAAGACGGGGAAAAAGGAATTCACCAATGCAGCTTCGACTCCTGCCGAGGTCATGGACACTACTGAGGGATAGTGCGCTTTTCTCTTTTCTCTTTTTCTCTATTTTCATTTCTCCATTTTTTTTTTTTTTTCAACCTTTAAGCTTTTGTAGATAGAATGAACGAGGAATACTGATTTTTGGGGGAGCCCTTGAGTTATAAATATATGCACATACTGTGGAAGCCAAGTTGTCTATGCAATGTGGTGTGGATGTAATCTTCTCAACTTCGTCCTTTCCTCTTCCTCTGGTCCTCCTCTTTTCTTCCTCTTTCCCTTTCCCTTTCCCTTTCCCTTTCCCTTTTCCTTTTTTCTATATTTTATTTTTTCTTTTCACTGTATTTTCTTTTTGTCTTTATTTTCACAATCTTTTTTCTTTTTCTTCCCAGTCAAATCTTTTGTTTATCATGCCCGGTTCAATCTACATCGTCCTTTCCACGAGTCTGATGTCCCCCGACTTGCCCGACTCGTCCCCTTGTGCCCTATTATCAGTATACATTGAAATACAATACAGACATACATACATATATAGTGTTTATGTACAGCATTGTATGGCACACTGACTGCGTCCTTGTTAGTCTATACATGACATTAAAATGCATGACATTGACTTACATTACATTATATTAAATAACAAATGACAAATGACAACTATCAAGGTCAAGGTCAAGGTCGGGTCAAGTCAAGGTATTTAAACAACTCTAAAATCATGGACATACATGATACATCTAGTATAAAGTATACAACTGTACAGAATATACAGTGGTATAAAGCATGTAACTATACAAAGTGTACAATGATAAATGATACATGATAAAAACTACAGTCTACCTGGCTATGGTTATAGTTTATTGGTTTACGGGTTACAGGTTATGATTTATCATTTACCTTACATATAATGATGAATTAGCAATGACATGACATGAAATGACATGACATAAGTCTATAACATGACATGACAAGAGCAAGTAGACAACGTAACCATGTAAAGTAATGATGCAACAACGACGACAATGACAACAATTACAATAATGACGAGGACGATGATGATGATGAGGATAATGACTACTCCACCCTATTCTGCATACCATGCTTGCTGTTCGCTGTGCTGGTTTCAACTTTCAAGTAAAGCTTGAGAACGGCGGGGGAAGAGTACTGTAACCCTGATTGTATGAGAAAAATAATAGACGGAAAAAAAAAGGAAAAAGAAACTCTACCCCTCCCCCCGAGTGTATGGAAAAAATAACAGATGGAAAAATAACAGATGGAAAATGAAGAATAATTTAAAAAAAATCAGAAAAAAACCACACTCCCACCTTACCTCCTACCTCCCCTGATTGTACGTATGGGAGGAAAAAATGAATGAAAAAATAATGTAAATAAAGAAAAATGACTACACGCCCACCATCACCCCGATTATGTGTATGAAAATAAGAAAAAAGAAAATGAAAAATGAAAAATGAAAAATAAAAGTAAAGGAAAGAAAAGAAGAAGAAAAGAAGAAGAAAAGGGATAGGAAAAATGAAAAAGGGAAAATATATGAGACTAAATGGAAATATAGACTTCAAATGACATGGAGACAGAATTGAACAGATTAAATGAGTAGAACGAAATAGAAATGAAATTGAAGAGTAAATGACTAATTCCTATACTCTGCGCGTCTAATATGCAAACCATCCAGTCTCGAACAACTCCGCAACTCCATGTCTCGCGCGCGCTGCATCTTGTCCGTGTCCTGGAAGAACCAACCCTGGGCCTCCTGGGCGAGACGGGCCTGGTTGTCCATTTCGAGCCGACACTCGGACTGGAGTCTATTTACAAAGCGGACCTCGACCTGGTTATCCAGCTCCTTGAACTTTTTGGGACTGTACTCTTCCACGTCGTTGGGGTTGACGAAATAATCAATCTTGATATGCGGGGTCGTGCGATGCAGCGTGTACGGCGGCGCAGGGGTGTCGAAGCGGAAGGCGGGGACTTTTGGAGCGGCGGTGGTAGAGGAGAAGATGGAAGACAGGAGCGGTAGGAGGAAGAGCAAGAGGAGCGGTAAAAGGTTCGGCAGGGCAGATGCGAGTGTCGATGCGGTTGGGTTGTCAGATGAAGAGGTATTGTTGGCTTCGCGAGGTCGTCGACGGGGTCTCGCGCCGCCGAATTGGTGAACCCGGAATCCGGGACCCCCGTTGAGATTGAAGACGAATTGGGGACCGGCATCGAAGAAGCCTCCTCCGCCTTTGAATAAACAGTTAGGAGAGAGATGTTCCTTAAAGATGGGAGAGAAGGGACGATTGAAGACTCACCAAATGGTCCAAATCCGCCGCCTAGTCCGCCGCCAAAGAAGCGGTTAAACATTTCTTCGGGAGATATTTCCTCTTCCCACATGCCTCCCGGCCGCGCGCCGCCTGCGCCTCGTGCGAACTCGCTGAATGGTGAAGCCCCTGCTGAGGCAGACGAGCCGCCGAAGCGGCTGTCTGGGTCGCCTCCAAATCTGTCGAATTTGGCTCTCTTGTCTGGATCCGAGAGGACTTGGAATGCCCGTGAGACCACTGGAGATTGAAACCAACGTTAGTTTTCCGTTTGACGCCTGTAGTTGTGCCTGTGCCTGTCCAGTCCATTCACACATCCATTCCTCTGTCATCCCAAAGTGCAGCAAACGTCTCAAGCGTTCCGCAGAGAATCCCCAGGAACAGGAACCACACGAGGTATAATCTCTTCCACATCAAAATGTGCACGTCCAATCAATGCTGGACCAAAGGAAGACTCACGTTTAAACGCTTCATCAGCACCGTCGTAGCCATTTTTGTCCGGATGCGTCAAGAGACTGAGTTTGCGATATGCCTTTTTAATTTCTCCGTCCGTCACCGTCGTCTTAACTTCCTCCAGACCAAGAATGTCATAGTACGCTGTTGGCGAGCATCGTCGCACTCTGATTACCGTCGCTTTCTGATCAACCGTGTACTTGCGGTCCTGGTTTCCCTGGCTATGATCCCGCGATTTCGCACTACCACTGGGTCCCGTGTCTGCGCCAGAGGCAGTTGCAGAGGGCGGCATTCTTGCGTGAGGCCGTCAGATTGCCGCGACCCTTTGTATCCCTCTCCTCGTTCGACTTGTTTGACCCTCAAACCAGTAGTAGCAGTTAGAGAAAACGAGTAGCACCGCCGGGCAGATAAGGTAGACAGGTAGACAAGCAGTCTAGAGTAGGTATGTTTGAGAGCAGGCCGTGGACGAGAGGAGGGGGTGGAAAGTGTGAATGTGTGAATGTGTGAAAGTGTTGACTTGGAATTGCACTTTGTAACTGATAATGGGGTTTCGGGGATAATCTGAGCGGTATGTCGCCAAAGTGTCTCGCTATCAAATCGGATTTCTCGATGTGTTCTTTCCGCCACCACTTAATTTGGACTAGCCCCGTCCGGGAACTTCCAAGTTGTCAGGGTCTCGACCCATGACGGTCGATGATATTATATCGCTGAGCTGCCCTCTGCTAAATTGTCTTGCGACACTGATTTTCTACATACTCGGAGTATTGCTTGCAATCCAATCTTCAGCACTTGTATACCCTGCCAAGTCATTGAATACATTTTCCAATTACTTATTCAGATAATCAATTAATTGACCAATTTCACACCAAGTGTGTCGTTGCACAGACACAACAATCTCAAAGTCTAGCCTGACTTGCTACATCATGGCCGACAAAGTCACCGACGAGACGGCCAAGGCCAAGTCATCTCTGGCACTATCGCTGAAGAAATGGGGCGGTAAGTATTCATCATTGTCCTTTTATCTTATTGCTCTATAATTTCTCAGCTACATGTATACTGTCTTTACTCTACCCTTAGCTATATATGCTGTATCCTGTGCAGTACTACATCCCAACGATGATTTCACATCCAAGCAGAGTACTAACGTCTCAATCAAACAACTCAGACTCCGCACTCCCACCAGCTCTCCTCTCCACATTCATCGGCGCCCAGCATTTGCGGCCGCCCCAATATCTCCCGCTCGCATTCGCTCCGATCCTCATGTTCAGCAGCTATCTGAACGTCAACTCGTACGTCAAAGACAGCGCCGGAATCACTGCAGCCTGGTCGGGGCTGTACCTTTTACTCGCGGCGCGGCGGAAACAGACATTTAGAAATAAATGGTCGCCGCGAGGTGCGCTGAGAGGCGCGACGCTGGCCTTGTGCGCGGCGAATGTGGCGGGAGGCGGTGTGAGCTATGTTTTTGGGAAAAGAGATAACGAGGGCAGCAGCACGTCATGAGCCTGACTTTGACCTGGAGTTATGTTGGAAAAGGGTTTTTGTAATAAAAGCAATTGTGGTGTTTTTTCCCCCTGTCGGAGAGATTAAGGGATGATAAGCGCTCCATGATGTGTGTGCGTTTTTCATAGCGGCTACGTCAGGAATGAGTAAAGAAATCAAGCGTGATAAGGACCGTCTCCACGAACAAATGCACGAGGCAAGACACGGGGGAAAAGGTACGAAAGGCCCAGTTAGGTCAAAAGCGCAGTACATATTCGCTTTAGGTACAATACGGTCATGCTAAAGATTTGAGATCGCCATGGTGTGACCATCTCTCCGTAATGGCGAAATGTTTCAATTGGTCATTAATCTCTTATGATCCGCATTGAGGATAGCATCAATACCGAATGTAAAAATTTGATACATGTACAGCCGTTTGAATGGACGTGTTCTCGTCAGCCCAAAGGCTGTTCTATCTCTATGTTACCAGTGATGAGATGACAACGTTGGCCACCGAAAGAATTCGTGACCTCCTCAAAAGGAGATGATGATAACGCCGACAGGTTAAAATATCAACAACCCAGCGGAATAAAATTCGCGGCTGCCAGAGTTTTGTAAAACGCCTCGTGTCAAACGACTTCAGCCCTCCCTCCGGACCACCTTATTATCACAAAATTCTATGTCTGAACCTATTCCACAGTTACCGATAGCCTTTGCGCACTGCATTCTGGGCTCCATGCGGGGAAGTCTCCTAATACGCCAAAAACTCCTCCAAACAAACGAATTCAAAAAAATTTAAATGAAAGACCCTTGACTTTAATGGCCGGCGGTGTATCTTAGACTCGATGAGGAGGGGAAAAGACGAATAGATGATTCGAGCCTCTGGTCGACGTTGAGAAGGTATATGGGCTGACAAGGCCCAAACAGGTCTTCGTACTGGGGAGCTCAACGGGATCAGACCCCAATGAGAGCGGCCCCGCTGGTGCGTTGGGTGAGGAACTCTGAAGCTGCGAGAACTTCACCAGCTCCAGTGCCCGTGATAGGAGGTGAGGGATTTGCTGGAAGCTGCGGGATAAATCCGTTTTCTCGTGCAAAGCGGACAAGACATCTTTCATCAAAAAGCTCGATAAACCGTTCGTCGAGCAGACGTGCTTTTGCGCCAGCATGGTCGCGATACTCGACGAAAATAGATGCTAGAGCCCACTGCTGTATCTTGCGAAAGCAGCCTACCACGCAGCCAGTTCGGTGCTAAAAATGGCATCAGTATATTTCTTGATTAAAAAAAAAATTGTAGGCAGGGCATTAAAAACTCACCTTTCCTTTGTTGCAGTGTATAAGGATGGGGTGATTTCGACGATCCAAGACAACGCTGAGTGCCGCTGCAATGTCATGAGGAGGAATATTGACAAAAGGCTCCTTATTTCCGGGCATAGGAATTTGAAAGTGCTTGATATTATTCTCCTCCAGAAATTGTATATTGGCCTCGGGATAGGGTTCTGGCACGAGTGTCCTACATCGCATCAGTGTTAGAAGGATAGTCTTAAATTTTGGGCTGCGATTGAGCCAAAAGAAGACACGTACAATATACTCCGAAGACCGAGGCTTTTCAGATGCTCAAAGTTCTCGGCCTTGGGAAAACTACTCCTGTATATCCCCGGTGTCACGGCCGCAAAGTTATCTGGTGGGTTAAAGACTCTCATAGATGCTGTTGAGCACAGATCAAGACCGAGGCTCGGTACTGCAGAAAATAAAGTCAGGCTCTGACGCAGCCGCAAGATGAAAGTGGTAAACGGAGTTAAGCAATAGAAGAGGGTAAAGAAAGTAAAGCGCAAGAGCTGTAGTACCTCCATCTTTTGGTTCCGCTCGAAGCATCGCCGGAGACCGCCCTGGTGCTGCCATTGATGATCGCAAGTAATGATGTTGATCCCGTGCTCTTTTCTTTGCCTCGGCAGCCAAATCCCGGTCCCGTTGCGACAAAAGGGTATCGTCAATGTCAGCCACGCCTGGTGACTCAATATTGGAACTTGGAGCCATGGTGTATGATCTGCTGGCTTTTCGACTTGACCACGTAATAATCTGCCGGTGCAACTCTATGTGGGCTATTTTTTCCTTCAAGGTCCTTTGGTCCAGGAGAATATCCGATGATCGAGCCAGTCTGCAGAGAGAGGATTTGCTTCACAAGGAGGTTATTGGTGTAAAGAGATTAGAAAAGTGGTATAATAAGCGCTCAAGCAAACCCTGCATATGACAGAAAGTTGTTAGCATGCTACTCGACCAGAGTTCTAATTTGGGTAGAGCAGTATAATGATGATCATCAAGAAGAGCAAAGTTCCATGCGTAGGCAGCGACATACCATGCAAGCCCAAAATCACAGCCTACATCTTCCAGCGTCACGTTGGAAGCGGAGACTTAAGAGATTCATTTTGAAGAAGAGAATAGGCTGGTTCAAAATGGTCAAGATGAGTCTTAAGGTCTTCCAATGCTTGATCAGTCCTAGACCTGTCTCTCTGGGGGTGGAATCACTAGACAAGACGTTGGAGGGAAGTGGGAGGTTGAAATTCAATTTGATACTTCTGCCTTTTTGGCTGGGGGGGAAATGGCCCCAGGGACTCAATGTACCGTAGAAGGCTGCTGCCCAGTACCGAGAGGCGCACGATGGGGTACCGGTACTTGGCCTTGTATGGGCGCTTCGGTGGCTTACATGTTACCAAACCCGTTTTGGTGCTGACACTTGTGCAGTGGAATAATTTCCGTCGGATCTAGATGTCCGATGGCATCCAAGTACCATCATTCGCAGCACGAGGACATTGCCAACTGGTATGGATACTTCCTGTCGCTACAATTATTGGCCAGCACTGAATTCATTGAAGATTTCAATCTCTGGGCAAGGGTTCCGGGCCAGGATATCCGACATTCAGCGTGTTCATGGTGCCTTACTGTAGAAAGTTCCACCTTGTCCCTTCTCCTTTTCCTTTGATGTCACCCCACACCAGGTATGACGCTCTGGTCGCTCGTCTCTTGCCCCTCTCTCATTCTTCCCTCTCTGGCATGATTTGACTAGCTCTGCCCTGCGAAATGTTTATCTACTTCAATCGCACACATCTAGCAAGAAAAATTGAGCCAGAGACACTCCTCCTCACAATGTATCTCTGTATGGAAAAAGGATTCCAAGGGTCTCGTGCCCAGAGGCCAAAAGGGGGCTAAAGCAGGGTATGCAATGCTAGTCAACAATCGTAATATAACGGGAAAAGTAGCGATACTTTTATTTGAGGCGACAGGGTTCCTTCCCTGTTTGGCCAAGTAATAGCCATCACCACAGGCGACCCCCGGCCCTAGGAAATAGCCAGATCAACCGCCCATCTCATACCTATCTTAACTACCGTAGGTACAGTGTGATCCTGTACCGACTTGTCCCGATATCATGCTTTCTTTTTTCTGCTTCCCATGATCATTGATCGTCATTTGACTTCTTTTATGAAAACGAATCCTCGTAGAGCATCCCTACGTAGTATACATCAATACCTACATCGTCTCCAAGTTAACCGTTTTACGAAGCTTGGTCAAGTGGCATCACGTCATACAGTATGATAAAAGAAATCAACAGGTTGAGATTCCCTCCGATATAACCCCACGGCCCCGTTCCTTCTTGCCGTGCTGCTTCATCTTTCTCCGCTGCTCCTGATGCTCATATGAATAAGACATAAATAACATGAAACATTGCCGTATCACCCGGGAATATACGCCATAATTGACATTACATTGAACGCTTCAGATCAAGAATAGATACCAAAAATCTTGACTAATTCGTAAAGGAAAGACTCCGTGCCTATATGCTGATTAGAAAAAGAAAAAGAAAAAGAAAAACGAAAAATAAGGGGGATTCAAAGTCAATGACATCAAGAATATAAAACGCTGTGTAAAATGCTGCCAATGTAGCAATCAAAATCTCCCCAAGGCGCGTCTAGATGAAGATCGAGTCATTCTTCCTGGTGTCATGGCAGGAACAGAGGCTTCTCGATCTCTTGCACCGAGATATGGACTAACAGGATATGCTGTTGACACAGTCGAAGCAATTGAAGGAGTAGGTGAAGCCGCGCGATCCGAGTAATAATCAGGTTCAAAGCCTGGATGATAATCCTGTGATTGCAGGTTCACACGGCGAACTGGAGATGTCGCTCTTCCAAGCAAGCCAAAGCCGCCATCTGCTTCGTTTGACAGTCTTCGCTTTGACGGGGATGCCCCAGAAGATATTGAAAGACCTGAGAGTCCTTGTAATCCTGGCGCTGGCCCAACCTCAGGCTCTTGCGACCTGAGAGCACGGGAGCGAGTCATGACGAGATGTGGTGCAGCATTGCCTTGCAGGGTGCCATTTTGGTTGTAATGGCCGTATCTGGCAGATGTCGTGGAGGATAATAAAGGTGACGGGGAGAATGTCTGTTGTAGATGGTGCTGATTATGCTGCACTGGTGTATTTTCGTAAGATGAGAACGCAGAGGATGAAACTGGGCTACCGATTTCGGAGTCATTGTAGCCATCAATTGCGTGGCTCGAAGGGGTGTCGGACGGGGTGGCGGAAGCGTGTCGCTGATTCAGCGCTTCCTCAAGGGCTTGCCCCAGTACGTTTTGAGACTGTGGCACAGCATGCCAAGGCTTTTGGGCAGCAGTTTGTTCAGCAGCCTCATCAATGTGCGAGACTGAGAGAGGAGGGGCCGTCTGCAGCGAAGAAAGCATCCAGATTCCATGCAAAAGCATGCATCCCAGCAGTATCGTTCCGCCAATTTCAATCATTTCCGTGTGACTTTGATAAGTGACAACTGCATTGGCGAGAAACAAGGTACAGAGAAATTCGACGCCTGAAAGGCCCAAGTCCGTTGGGCTAGTTCTGCCGCGGTATCCTTGCAGCCCTTGATAAAAAGTTCTCACCGAGGAGCCAATAGCGATAGTAAGGGATGAAAGGCGAAGCTGAACGCTTAGGAGAGGAATAAGGCCGGCGAGCTTCCAAGCAAGTAGCGAGACCCCAAGGAAACAACATCCCAGTACTTGCGGGGATGTAGTAATGCCTGTGGTTTGCTGTTGGTGTTGAGCACGCTCCTGTTGAGCACGGAATGCAGTGACCTCATGTGGCTCATCTTTGAGGGAGAAAGCGGCATTGAATAGACCCTCAAGTCCGGTATCGGCAGAAAAATCCGAGGCAGGGAAAAACTTGGGTTGAGCAAGTTCGATTTGACCTTTATCTTTGCCCTTTGGCATTCGTTCTTTTTCATGCTCATTTTCAGCTGAACGCCCGGTTATGGCGTTGAAAAAGTTTTGCTGTCGTTCCGGTGAAGTCTTTTTAAACGATGATTGAATCGGAGCGTTTGAGACGCGTAATCTTTGCGCAGCGCTCATTGGCGCAGGAGGCAAAGTTCCATGAAATGGGGAAGGTGTTGGAGCCGCAGTTTGCGTAGAAAGTCGTCGAGAAGGGTTCGGTTTGAAAGCTTCTTGCGAAGGTGTCCAGTCCATTGCATCAGCGTCATCATCGGGTGGCGGTATTGGAACGTCCGTGGCGAACAGATCGTTTTGCTGAGGCTCTCGTGGTTGACCGAGCTGGCTGATAGGAAAACGTGGGGTAACGACACTGGAACCCTTTTCTCCCTCTGATGGTAGAGCAAAGGGGCTGCCTGGTCGGGCATTCGATGACTCTGGCCTGAGTAGCTCCTCCTGCGAGTGTTGTGTAAACACCGGTGGCAAGCTGACCACCTTCACAGTCCGGAAAGAGATGACGGCCGTCTGCAAAAATTAGTCTTCCACCAATAGAAAATGCCGACAACTAATCTTGTGTCTATAACATACCAAAATGTTGAAAAGAAGCAGAAAACAGTGGGCACCTCGGACCGCTCCCTGGACGTCGAGGCCCACGTCCAGGCTCTGGAGCGCCCACCATGCGATTAATCTTACTAGTAGCGTAACTATTTGCAGCTTGTAGTAGTCATCAAGCCCAACCATCCGGCCTTGAGCGCCGTGCACCTTCTGTTTCAAACATTTATTCCACCAAAGCGACGCGACATTGAGAAGAAGGGAATACCCAGCAATTGATGACATCCCAGTAAAACATGCCTGAGCCAGTTCCTTCTCCGTCCATGCTTGCCACGCACAGAGAACAATAGGTGCAGCGACTCCTTCTTCTGAGCGCAATCCATCATCTAACCCAGCCCGTGGGAACGCGCCGCTTGCATTCCATAATAATTGACCAGTCAGACTAGTCCACCACCAGAATGCTCCAGCCGCAAGCACAACATCCCTCCAGCCCATGACTGTGCTCGTTCGTTTCACTCCCCCAGATACTTTCGTGCGATCAATCATCCGCCGTAGGTGGTCCGTCTTTGCTGCATAGCCTGCTGCGTTGATTCGCGATCGCACCAAGGGTTCGCATCGGGCGCATACTTGCGGAAATTGTTCTTCTAGGTTCCGGCGGTACTGGTCGTAGGAAGCTTCGAAAGCAGGGTATTGTGGATCGTCAAATGGTGGTAAATATTCAGCAAGTGCTTGCGTCAAGAGCTGCTGGTTTTTGATGCATGTCGAGCAGAATAAAATCTTCTCCTGTTTATCGCCCGAAGGCAGGCTCGGTGCTTGATGGAGAGTGTGTGCGAATCGAAGTGGCGGCACAGCGCTCGAAGCTGGTGGGTCCATTATATTCCCTTCCTTTTAGAGGGTAAGGGTCAATTTCAATCCATCATGGAGGAGCAAGGGCAAAGGAAACCTACATTATCGAGATAGTTTACCGCTTCACACTTTTCACATTGCCAGCAAGACACAGAGCCATTTTGTTTTTGAGCGGATCGAGACCCGCAATAAAAGCAGACAAGGTGCCTCTTGAGTAATGCCACCATCGCATCACAGTGAGAACAGGCTAGCTGCGTGGGTTCAAAGTTCCAGCGGATGCAGTACGCCGACGTGATTTGTTGTTTTGGCGTCTGACCGAAATGTTGCTGGGCTTGGGATTTCCCGGGAATCGGCAGAATCACAAAGGCGGTAAGATCGGTCATTATGTAATCACCGCAGATCATGTTGACAACATCCCCAGGACGCAACCAGGTGGTGTTTACAACATATTAGAATAATAAAGCAGAGTAATTATATCGAGATTTTCATATCTAATTCATTATTGTGTAGCTTCAAATAGTATGATATACATTTCTTTGATAAGAGAGTGCATTCTGACAATGTGAATTCGTTTTTATCTGGACTATTCGACTAAAGACACATTGCCTGCACTTTTAACAGTGCCCACTATAATAGCTAGACTGGAAATGACGAGGAATAAATTCAATAAATTTATTACATTCACTGAGATGAAGGTCAAATCTGTTACTATGTACCAGACATAAGGTAATTCTTATCGTAACGGCTACAAATCAGTGGTCTCGGCCAATGCATTTTAGATCAAAACAAATCTCATCTCAAGCCTACCCAATCTCTACCACTCTTGACTGCGCCTAAAAAGTAGCTTCGCCCAACAATGCCGCTCGTCCACGAGCTCAAAGCTGCAATTTTGGTCGGAATTTTACTCTTTGTAGTAGCATCTGTATGCCACGCTGCCATTGCCTGTGCGTACTAGAATTTTTGCGGCACTGCTAACGCTCTCCAGCTTCGCCTTCTTTATATTCTTCCCTCTGTACGGAAGACATGCCCGGCACCACGCAAACGTGGTGCGCCCACACGGCTACTCATTGTCCTTGGTAGCGGAGGGCACACAGCTGAAATGTTTGCAATTCTATCCAAGTTAGATACTGCCAGCTATACGCACCGCAGCTATGTGGTCAGCGAAGGAGACAACTTCAGCGCGCAGAAAGCAATTGAGTTTGAAGATCATCTGTCAGCGAGATTGACCAAATTAGAGGCTCGATCTCCATCACAGTCACCTTCAGCGAGACCACCAGAGCAAAAAAACCGGCAGGCTCCGGGCAAATCACCGTCTTTAAATTACGACATCACGATTATTCCGCGCGCACGACGTATCCATCAATCTTTGTGGTCGACGCCCATTTCAGCCGTCAAGTGTCTCCTCGCATGCTTTTCTGTGCTCCGATCTCCTTCATGGACAGCTCTGAATAGCGCTGATAAAGAGATGGTCGCTGCTAAAGCTACTTATACCTATCCCGACCTTGTTCTTACCAATGGCCCCGGCACTGCAGTATGCGTCGTGTTGGCGTGCCTGCTGCTCAAATGCGTTGGAGCGCGTGGTACGCAAAACAAGCTGCGGACAATTTACGTGGAGAGCTGGGCCAGAGTGCGGGGATTGAGTCTGAGCGGAAAGATCCTAGTCCGATTGGTCGACCGTTTTCTAGTACAATGGGAGGCACTCAAGGGCGTTGGCGGGGGACGAGGGGAATACTTGGGCGTTTTGGTCTGAGATTACCATTACCTATGAGCAAATTACGAAATGCCATTCAACGATAAAAAGGTTAGAGACGTCTATAACTCTACGTAGATCTTGCCGGCAACGTAAGATATAAGAGACACATCACGCATTTCTGGAAGGTTACCACGTAGTCGCAAACGCTATATTGTACATCCATCCCAATCGCGATATCGGTACGGTAAAACTACAGGTAAATTTTGAGAAGTGAGACAGACGCCGCTGATGCCCAGAAAATATGAAGAAAGTAGAGTAAATCTATACATGTATCCGAGAAAAGAAGGCGCATAGCGTCAACCGCAAAGCGCCATATCAACAATGAAAAGAATAGGCGCGCAGTTATGGGTAATCAAAGAGAGTTTATGCTGCTGGCGACGCAGGATCGATGCCTTGCTTCTTTGCCATAATCTCACCAATCTTCTCAAGCATTTCGCTCGTGAGTCTGGGCTTGCCGTTCTTCTTCTTGGCTTCGCGCTCAAGCCGGTTCAGCTCCTTTACGGGCGAACGCATGAGATCAGCTGCGCGCTTCTTCTCCTCGTTGGCACGATCCTCAGCCATCTTCCGCTCAATATACTCGTCATCATGACGGTCACGGAATACGCTGTATTTGTTGCGCAGTTCGTCAATGACGGTGGAAGGCATGGGCGGTCGGAGCAAGGTTGGTACCCAGGTCTGAGCTTCGACGTCCATGCGTAGCGTATCGGCATCATGCTCCTCTTCCATGGGTTCCGGGCCCTTCTCTGGCCAGGGGACTTTCACGCCGAGTCCAGGCACGTATCTCGACCAGCTCTTGTCTCCGGTTTGCCGGTTATGCCATACTCGTCCGCGAACGAGTTTTTTGATGATGACGTCTTTGGGCTCGCCCGACTCGGGGTCCGGGAGAGGATATACCAGCTTCACAGATAAGGCTGAGACCGGCTGCTCGACAGCGCGGATGGGACGTTTATCGTTATCCTGTAAAATCATAAAGGCAGGGACGGCTACATCGACCTGTGCATCAAAATAAAATTAATAAGTCGCAAGGTTTTCAAATTGAAAAAGTCTAGCAAGGCAGTATTCCGCCATGCGGATGATGGATATTGACCCCGAAGAGCCAAAAGGGACGAAACATTAACAATTCCAACCTACCAGATTCAACCCTGAAACAACTAATTCATTTGTAGCTGCTCGGACCTCCCGTACAGATCCAATCTTGCCTTGGTCCCGGCCCTCGGTAAGAACAACGCGGTCGCCAGCAGCAAATAGCATCAAAGTTGACTCTTTTTGCTTCTTTTGAGTTTGCAGCCGCCGCGCATCAATTGTACCGTAGGTCTCTTTTGCATCTCCAACATCTCTCCGTGGAGCAAGAGGGCCTAGCTCCCAGTTCTCGCGTCGCACTTGGCGTGCAGTACGGATGTCGTCAAACACTCCCTTGTAAATGACATTGTCGTTCTGCCGGGAGATCTTGCGGTTTATGGCAACATTTTTGTCGGCGCGTCGAGCTGCCTTGCGAGCGTGCTGGGTCTTGGCCAGCGCTGTCCGACGAATGACTTTCTGCATTGTCGCCGACTAGATCCAATTGGGTTGACAGCGGACCGGCGAGGATTTTGGAGTTCTTGTGGTTTGTTCAGTCCCGAAAGTCGAATGTAGTCGCTGCAACGAAGTCGCGATGAAGTTTCAGCAAAGGGACCTGGATAGGGACACGATCGACGTCTCAGCCAAAAGAAGAGCTGAGTACGGGCCAATCAGTAGATCGATAGCGGAGATTGAAGGTACTCCGGCGTAAACTACGGCCACGACCTGCTAGTGGAAATATGAGAATTCTTCTCTTGCAAACCTGCGATAAATCCACAGGCGCAATTACCTTTTTAAGCTATTTTGACGAGAACCCATTACTCCGATCCGGTTGAAATTTGTGCAGCTGCTTAGCCACGAGCATAATCTCCTCTTAGATGTATCAAACATCAATCACAGAACTTAGCTGCCATCATATGGAATTTACTTCCTACTCCGTAGGATATAGAAGAATTTTTTTCTTTTTAACACCCCTAGCTGCTCATCAAAAGTTGGCAGCCTTGGAATCTCCGAACAAAAGACACCTCAAGGAGTCTCCGGTCAATCATCTCGCATTTTGTCTGATACAGTGATGTGTATGGAAGTCCCTTTCAAATAATTCTTCAATGTTTGATGTATTGTTCATTCAACAAACATCGGAAAAGGAAAGAGTAGTTCACCATTTCCAGAGATGGCATTTGAGGATTGAACAATAGAACCATAAGAGTGAGGCGCATGGGAGGGAGAAGTACGTACTGCGTAGTCCTTCTTCCGCCACTAAGGCAAATTTAAATTTAAACACGCCGGATCGTTTCACCCCCTTTCCCTCCGCCGTTACATGTAGGATACTGCCAAGTACATACCTCGTGCACGACCCCCGGATCGCAGACCAAGAAATTTGATTTCAGTGAGGCTCATTTGAAGCCGCACGAGGCTCCAAGACTTGCTTTGCTCGAGGACTCTGTTTAATTCGTTGCCAGGCCTAGGCAAAAAGTAAACCAAACCAGGGTCTCTAGTGAAGGACCCAAAAGGACCCTCACTTACAATGAAAACGCCTCTCCAACCCCGGTTCAATTGCCCAGCCTCGGAGCTTCGAAGGAACCCGTTGCTCGCGGGTTTCAGTAGTCTTGCCCCGATCTTTAATTCCACCAACCGCCTTCATCCTGTCTCTTACAAAAAACACCATCCTGGTCGTAGTCCCGACGCTGCATGTTTGTTGTTCACTGCGCTCCTGAAATATCAGTAGACGTACTGGATTTTGCCGCGACTCTGCGATGGTCACGCGATGCATGCATAGTTTCAGCATCTGTTGCTCACTGTCACCATTATCGTCAAAGTGCAATGCGTTCATCCATTGGAAAATCTGTGCAATTTGATGATGTCTCCGTTCGGGGACGATAATCTCCCTTCTTTCTCGCAGTTCCTCAACAAGGGCGCCAAGTCTCACCGAAGCCAAAGTTGATGCCAGTAAACAAGACCTGTCCAGGCCTGTGGACCGCGAATAAAAAGTTCTTTCTGCGTATTTTTGATACTATCCAATGGGAAATATAACAAGAAAGAAGGTGAGAGAGCGAGTGAGTGGGTGAGTGAGTGAGTGACAGAGAAAAGGCAGTCGTAGGACTGCAATTCAGGTTTCCGAGCGCAGGCTCGACCCCTTTCCTATGCTTCATCCCCTAGCATCATTATCCGGCTGCACAGCTGGTCGGCAGGGCGCTGACCGACAAAAGCTGACTCGCTTCATATCCAATACAATCCTGGACTCCCTAAACTCGTCAGCGCAAGCCGATTCGATTGCCCAGCGAAAAAGATGAGGAAACCGAAATTTTTGTGAAAATTCACAAGTTGGGCTCTTCGAAATTCTCAGATGCAAAATGAATTTTTAAATTTCAACACACATTTAGCCATGTTTAGGGCGATGGTAACGTCGTTTATTGCGGCGTCACGACTGTTAGGTGACTTGTTGCTAGTTCAGCATTTCGAAACATCGTCATCCCCTTACCCTTGGGACGCCCAGCAAAACAGAGAGAACCCCAGCCATTCATTCCTTTTCTTCGTTTCCGTCGTGGGATCTGCCGTTGGCGCCCTCGTGCTGCAGCAGCCGGGAACGCCCCCCAGGCCAGATCTAGAGGGAACAAAAGGTTGGTGTTAGTACCCGGCAACGAGGGAAGATGAAGAAGCAGATGAACTGGACGCGGGTGAACCCTGATGCTCAAGTACCTGAAAGTATTCTCAAGTAACTGCCAGTCTGCGCCTCGTTGACAAGTTTTGAAGCCAAAAAAGAGGCGGTACCCGCCCCAAGTACAGTAGGTTTTTACCCGAAAAGGTGCCTGATCGTCCCTTAACAACCTTTTGCTCCACACGCTGTTCCTTCATCCCAGTCCCAGCGACACTCAGCCAGCCGGGGCCAACGAGTGCGCTACCGACCACTACGACCACCACTACAACTCACTATTCCTCTACGACTATCCACTCGTGCTGCTGCTGCTCTTAACCACCTTTACTCCGACGACAATACTACTACCACAGTACTGCTTGCTGCTGCTGCTGCTAAACTAAACCAACTACTTACTGCCATCCATCTATCTGCCTGCCCATCCCCATCAATCATCCATCATTGTCGTCACGCAACGACTCTTCAAAACCACCCTCTTTTCTTGACCAAATCGACCCTCTTGGTCACGCTGTGCACGTCTTTATTCTCTGCTCTCGAATCCACTTGATTCTCCAAACTTCCACAGTCGGTCTCTCCTGCCTTTGTTCCTTTCTTCTTGTTCCCCTAATCTCTCCCACGTCCGTTCAGGGCCTTTTCGGCTGACACCATCATCGCGAATATACAGACATGGCTGAACTGCGACGTAAACTCGTCATTGTTGGTGACGGTGCCTGTGGAAAGACCTGTCTCTTGATGTAAGTATCCCACCGTTGATGATGCACTATCCGCTATTTGTCGCTTTCGTTCGTGTCACCTGGCTGACGCTTATCTTTTTCGTTCTGCAGCGTCTTCTCCAAGGGTACTTTCCCTGAGGTTAGTTGTTCTCCAACCGACGAATGCCCTCTACGTTGAGCCATCTTGCCCAAATTTACGGCTGCCTGTCCTCCATCGCCGAATCAATCTCGTTCGCAGGATTCGCGATGTCCTTTTCATCATGATCCCACCGCCCGGACAATGCTAATACGCATCGCAACAGGTCTACGTCCCCACCGTTTTCGAGAACTACGTGGCCGACGTCGAGGTCGACAACCGTCATGTGGAATTGGCTCTTTGGGATACTGCGGGCCAGGAAGACTATGACCGTCTCCGACCGCTTTCCTACCCCGACTCACATGTTATCCTGATTTGCTTCGCCATCGACTCTCCCGATTCGCTTGAGAACGTTAAGGAGAAGGTAAGATAATCTGATCGTACCAAGTCAAAGGCCCGGATGATCCGGTAGCTGACCTTGATTCCGACAGTGGTATGCTGAGGTTGACCACTTCTGCCACGGACTTCCCTTTATCCTCGTCGGCTGCAAAAAGGATCTTCGAAACGACCCCAAGACTGTGGAACAGCTCGCCAAGTTGGGCCAGAAGCCCGTTAGTCCGGAGATGGTAAGTCAAGCACTCTCCATCCATTATGCACACCCTCCTGAATGCGACGCTGCATGTATTTAAGACATTATGCTTGCTTGCGTGCTTCAATGACGATGCAACTTTGGGTATCATCATAAAAATGTCAGATAGGCTAACAATGATCAGGTTGACCCCGTGATCAAGTACTGCCGTTTCAACCGCTACCTCGAGTGCTCGGCACGGACTGGCGAAGGTGTCCGGGAGGTCTTTGAGCAGGCGACTCGTGATGCTCTTCTGAAGCAGACCAAGCCTAAGCGGAAGTGCTTGATCCTGTAAGCGATATTCCATCTTACTTGAATTGTTTGGGCCACGGCCATGTCGGCTGCAGAGGTGGAAGTGTTTCGGTGTCGACTCAGATGTTTCTTTTTCAGCCATTCTTGTCATCATTGAGGCATCGCTGCGGATAAATTCGGCAAAGCGCGACTCTTTTGTAGGAGTCCAGTCATTCGCGAGCGTTCGGTGCATGGGAGAGGACAAGAGCGAAGGATAGGTACCAATCTCTTTCTCAATCGCTTTTTCGTATGCGCTTTCGGAGTGTTGTTACGGTTATATGGGGCGTGTGCACAAAGACACACGCTTTTTCGATATGGGAAAGCATTCACGTCAGCCGGTTGACTATTTTTTGGCCCGCGGATTGCGTACAGCTGGCGGATAGGGGGGAGGTGGGGCGTTTTCAGCGTGAAAGGGAGAGAAGCAAGTAGCAAAACGGCCAAATGTAGGGGAGCAGCAAGCAACAAGCGAAAGCGAGCCGGCTGGTTTATTTTTGTTAAATCTGGGCATATAGCCTTTGTTGAGAGGTTGTTAAAGAGTCTGTCATCAACTGTCTGTTGTACTGTGTCGACGACACATACCCACCTCTGCAAGGATGTCCCGTTTGACTGTATACATCATATATGCATTGGTCGGCTGGAGCTGTTCACTGCGTCTTTGCTGTCAATTCGTTTGCGTCCATTTTGCCTTTTTGCCTCTATAAGTTTCTGCTTCTTCTTCTGCTCACTTGATACGCTCTGCCTCTTTTCCATAACTGTCTCTGCATGTTCATCTTTGCGACCAAATTGTCCTGGCACATCATTTTTGCTGTTCTCCATTTCGTTATTCCGTTCTTGTCTTTTTTTTTCCCACCCCTTTTCCCTTCACCCTTGGTTTCCCCCCCTTCTTAGCCCCATATTATTTTTTTTTTCTCTTAATTTCATTTCTCTCTCGTCCTATCCATTTCAGCTCTTTGTCCTCCTCCCTGCCCTGTTACCGTGCCTTACACACGTTCCCCCCTCTTCTTATTTGGTTGTCGTGCCCTGTTCATTTCCTTGTGTTTGTCTCCCCTTTTTATTTTCTATTTAACTTATCCCTCTGCGTCATCCTCTTGCCCCTCTTGTGTGAAGAACTTTTATTTTTTTTTTGCACAATTTTCCCGTGGTTGTAATAGTTTCCCATAGGCGCGTCAAGCAATAAATCAATCATGGTCTGAACAGATCCTCGTATAGCATTGACATTTCCTTGTGTAACAGCACTGTCAAGTAATTCCGATCATCGTGATGCCATGGATTTTCTTTTTCTCTTCATAACGTACATATAAAAGACAACAAGAAGACCTGAAAAATAAAGAAAGATGAAACATTTCTTTTCATGACCCATCCCAACCCAAACGCCCCACAGCTTACTAGCCAGTGTATGTAAAAAAGCCATGAGCATAGTGCAAAAGAAATAAGTTGAAAAAGAAAAATCATGCCAAAAGACGAGACATCAAAGCCAAGGGCACATGATGAGGATACTGTACAGCAGTCGAGGTGAAGAACACAACGCATGCAACGTCGTATTTAAATATGCCGAATACAGTTGTATTGCAAGAACATAACTGACGAATAAAGTGTGTAGCAGGAACATGAGGAATAATTCTACTGCAAGAATCATGATAATGACAATAAAAATGACAACAATCTGATGACGACGGAGTCGTCCTCACTACGTAGTCTCAATTGCATGCTCCGGCTCCGCTTGGGCTGCAGTTTCTCTTGCAGTTCTAATCTCGGCAGGCGTGAGGCCCATATGTTCGGCATACTCGCCAAACGCGACGAGTAAATCTTTCAGACCACTTCTGAGAGCGCCAAGCAAGATTTCGACTTCAGGCACTTTTCTCGAGCTGGGATTCGTTGGATTAAACTGAGTGTCTGACCAGTGGGGCGCAGTCTGGCGGACAAACGCATCGAGATTGCGCGCAGTGGCGTCGAATGTGCGAATGAGTGTTGGGACGTCGGCCTGGACACCTCCGTAGCGGTCTTCTTGCAGGCTGGCCACGGCCAGGCGAGTGAGCGCGTCAATGGAATCGACTAGTGAGCCGAGATCACCGTGGGGAGTGCCGAGGACAAGGGCAACGATGCGGCGGCGGAAGGTTTGGCGAAAGGGATACCCGATGGGCGAGCCAAGGACTTGGAAGAAGTACGTTTTGAGTGTATCAGTGAGGTTCGTCTTGGACAAGGCAGCCCGTTGCTCGGGTGTGAGGGTCCTGTCGGCGCCATATTCGATGAGTTTCCTCGCATTCTTTGAAAGCGGGGACGGCACTCTCGGCGATCCCTTGGGAGGATTGTGGCTGTAGGATTTGGCAAAACTGCTAAAGCCCGCTTCGGCAATGGCACGACGCGAGGTCGGTGGAGGGGAAGAAGCATAGATGTTGTCTTGTTTCACAGGGCCAGTGAGTTTTGCAAGTTTCTTGGGCGCTTCTAGAGGGCCGGAGGGAAGAGGTTTTCTCTCGATCCGGGTGCTGATACCCTGAATCAGGCCCGTGCAGATGGTATATATTTGTGACCATGTGCTGCCGTTGACACGATCAATATCTTGGAAAAAGGACTTTCGTCGATCTGGAAACCGTTCGCTGATGCTCACAAGCTCCCAGAAAGCAAATGCCTGGAAAAAGGAAAAAATGAAGTAATCAGCATATTGCCATGCGTTGGTGGTCGGGACGTGAGCTTCTTACCCTTGGTAATTCCTTCTTGGCTTTTAGACCGGTAAGCAGACTTCCATTTGGATCCTTGGAATCCGCAGTCAACGGCTTATCGCTCTTCAGCGGCTCCTGTGCCACATAAGCACCGAACGCAGCATTTGCTACTTCCCACAGCAAAAGGAGCAAAAAGCTTGCAACAACAGAGCGGATAATCAAGGAGATGTGATATGGCGGAATAGACGGAGGCCCAGACGTCTTTGGAAGTGCCCACAAGATCTTTGACACAGACAGCATCCACCGCCAAGCGGTCCGACGGATGAACATGCTGTAGATAATAGGGCCGACAATTGACAGAGATAGGGCTCTGAAGAAGGCAATCTGCGCTAAACCAAGGAATTTGTATTTCAACTGGACGATCGGCGAAGCAACAAATTGGCTGCGCGGATTTGAGCGGGACGTTTTCCGGGTCGGCAGTCGCACTTGATCGTAATCGTTGAAGAGGTGAACAAACGACTGGATAAACGCAAGAAATATGAAGATACTTCGAAGATAAATTGGCCGCTCATTCAACCGAGGCCTCTCGTAGGATCTAAGATGTCAGCAAAGCTTGCGTTGCAGAAGCATGGAAATGTTTACTTACTTTCCCTCATTGATCCAATTGAGGTTGGCTTTCTGCGGTACGGACCATACGTAAACTTCACTGAACCACCATGCTGAAAAGTTGTACCAGATGAGGGTCTGGATAGTATTATAGCGGATGAGATATTGCCTGAATGTACTCAGTGGAGAAGCCGTTGTTCTTGCGCCAACTATTTCGCTGCTTGTCAGTAATTGAAGAAGCTTTACTTCATAGGAGTTACCAACCATGCAATTGCGCAACTCGTAATATGAAGATTGAAAGCCCGCTTATGAAAAGAAGACATGCTCGAATGCCTGCTCGACCAAGTGGAAACCATGACCAGAAAACTAGACGACGGTGCGACATTAGCCTTTTTGCAACGAAATTTAGCTGTTTTCAGCAGAGGAGAATATTCATACAGGAGGTTTTCTCTCCAATAAAGACAGATTCAGCATAGCAGAGCAGTAATAATACACCGGCCGCTCTCATGAAGCGTCGGTGGAGAGCAGGTGTTAAAAAATCGCGGTACAGCCGCGGACCAGGTCGAACGGGTGCAGCCATGGTGATCGCGGCCGTGACTGGCGCGGGGGAACGGCGAGAAAATGAGGGACGTGAGTAGAATTGAAGCTTATTTCCAAGGCATAGCACTGAAAGGAACGAAAGCTCGGAGATTTGCCAGCTGTCTCTGCAGCTTTGTTTGAAAAATGGTTTCGACGTCGACAGCAAAGAACCAAAACATCAAGATAGATCCAGTTGGTTACCCGGCGAACGTCGGCGATCGGCAACCCGTCCAGCAGGCCAGGGTCCCTAGCAGTCACTTGCTATCTCCAACCTCATCTCTATAGCTGTGAACAGGCAGCAATCCTGTCTCCTCTTTCCTCTGAAGACACCCCAGACTTACAATCTACCGACTGCGTTGTGATCGCGTTCAATACTACAGCATTTTTCAACAGCGTACAACATGTCCTTCGATCGCCTTCCAACACTTGAGTCACAGCCGACTACATTCCGACGTCAGGATGATCCTCAGTACAGCGACGACCCGGATTTTCAGCATCTTACCGAGAGTCTCTTCGACAAATTGCTTGGGCTCACGTCGAACATTGGTCGCTTGTCCAATCAGATTGGCCTTATTGGCACAAAGCGCGATACCGAGCGAGTAAGAGAGCGAGTACATGACCTGTTGGAGGAAACTCGAGAAGGGTTCAAAGAAGTCGGGGATGGCATAAAGCACGTGCAAGCGTGGGAGGATGTCAATGTCAGTATTTTCAAGCCCTGTTATGTCGTTCGATAATATGGAAATCTCGTAATATTACCATGCAATATGATAACTAACTTGTACTGCAGCCTTCCCAGAGATATACGCAGGATAAGCTCTCCACGGAATTCAAAGCCTCCCTTACCGAGTTTCAAGCCATCCAAAAACGAGCTTTGGAGAAACAGCGCGCCTCAGCAAGTGCGGCACGCACTGCGCTTGAAGAACAATCAACCTCGCCGACTCAGCAACAGTCGTCATTTGGCCAACTGCAGCAACAGGAACAGGAGCCGCTACGCCTTGCGAACCAGACGGAGGTAGATTTCCAAGATTCTCTTATCATCGAACGAGAGTCAGAGATCAGAAACATCGAACAATCAGTCGGCGAACTAAACGAGTTGTTCCGGGATGTGGCTCATATCGTCAGTGAGCAAGGCGAACAATTGGACATTATCAGCGAAAACGTGGAGGGTGTCAGGGAGAACACTCATGGCGCCGATCGTGAATTGCGCAGCGCGAGTCGCTACCAACGCAATGCACGCAATAAAGCTTGCTGTCTATTGCTGATTCTGGCCGTTGTGTTGACAATCGTGCTATTGGCGGTATTTTTGGGTTGAAGGGGAATGGAATGTTTGTTTTGAAGCCAGCGAGATGCTTACCTTTCTTACGACTGATTTGATACCTTACCTAAGGGTTCTCTTTGACTTTCAGGGTTCGGCAGCGTTGCATGGGCGTTTTTGGAGCAGCATTGACAGGGTTCATTTCCCATATCATCCACGGTGATAGATGTTTAGTACGTCATTCTTTCTTTCGGGTCAGGAGAAGATTGAGTGAAGATTATTGTACACAAGACGATACGCTACGATATAGTACAGTACCAGATAATAATATACAATGGCCGACCTAGTAAAATGTCCTTGAAACTGATGAACCTTGATGAACGCCAATGCTGCTATGCCAAATGCCTCTCGGCCATCCAGAGTCCATGAGAATATATTCCCCTTGGGCAATGGTTTGATCCGTTATCGAAGCCCCGGGGATTTATCCATTTAAAATCCAACGAACTTGGACATGCGCATTCGCCAGCCTTCCCAGGTGTTGAGTTTGGGCCTGACATCGAGATAAAAGTTCAAGCTCTTGCCGGCTTTGCCTTCATCACGACCAGAGTAAAAGTCAATGACGTACTCGACCCTCGTTCCGCAGCGATCCACGATCCAGTCGTGTCGATCAAACGGAGCCTGGTATCCCATGAGAGTATTGAGGCGGGCACGAGGGGTCATTTGGGTTGCCATTCCCGAGAACGATAACAATCGAGGGCCACCACATCTATTGTCGCAGAAAAAGCATAACGTTAGTCGGTGGATTTTCTCCAACTAGAAGACTACTCTTATATCTCGAACAACATACTTATCGCTACCTTGTCCCTTTTCCCAGTCTTTAATCTCCTTCCACGCGCGCTCGTTGACGGCATTATGAATGGGCACAATAGCCCTCATGTCCTCCGCATGGGGGTCAAAGTTCTTTCGGCGCATCGCATTGAAGAACATTTGCTCCGAGGGATAAATCCAGTTTCCCGAGGACTTGTCTGAGCCAGTTTCCTGTTCATTGTTTGCCATGGGCGAATGCGAGCCTGAATCGTATGCCGAACCCTCGGCGTCTTCGGAGGGAATCGCCCGGGGAATGGTGGACACTTCACGGCCTGTAGCGAGCAGATTTTCCGGTCGCACAGGGATAGCTACAGGAGTGTCTGCCTTTGCCTTGGTGTTGCTGGTGTTGCTTTCGCTATTGTTACCGCCCCAGCTTCCCCATTTTGGAAAAGAAAAGAGACGCCACGAGGAAGAATTCTGCGTGTCTTGTGTTGCTGCTACTGCAGGGATTGTGTTGGCGCCTTGGCCAGGGCGCAGGGAGGAGTGGTGATCGACCGGGCATGATTCAGACGAGCCAGCAGGATTTTCAGACACAGGACATGCTTCTGGAGGCGCTGGCTTTTGCTGTGGTTGCTGCTGTTCACGTTGCTGGCGAGCCTGCTCGAGCCAAGCGGTGCGGGTAGTATGGTCGACGGGACAAGCACTGGCGTCGCTGTCGTTGGCCATGACGGGCCAATTGTATCAAGAATTGATCTCTGGTTGAGCGAGTAGATTTATTTTCGTCAACTATGTTTTGGTTATAATAGGAATTGAGCGAGAATTGAGAGAGTATTATTGTCAGATTGAATGAAGTCGGAACGGAAAGAGTCGATATGCGGAGGAAAATCCGAAATGGACTTTGTCCGATTCGCTGCCGAACGAACTTGCTCGGTTCCCTTGTTCCTCCCCCTTTCACCGCCTTTGGAGACGAAACGTGAAAGTCAACAGTCCATGAGGACCCCTCCTTCCAATTGTCCCCTCCTCCTCCTGCTTAACTTTTTCCTCTTCAAGACCCATTACAACCAATACTTTTGGGGCCGGTTTGAAAAGAGTCATCTCGGCTTGATCATAGACAAGTAAATCATGGGCGATAATACGATATACCGTGCAAGCACGACTGCACCCGTCAATATCGCGGTGATAAAGTATGTCTTTTTGCAAAGCTCCATTTCCTTTTTCCATGCAAATATGCGTCTTCAACGACACTCAACTTCTAATTCCAATTCTTCCTACATACCTCTTGATTTCATCTCAACGAATAATCGCTAAGGACTAGAAACGCAGGTACTGGGGCAAGCGCGATGCGAAGCTGAACCTTCCCACCAACTCCTCTCTCAGCGTGACTCTTTCGCAAGACGACCTACGGACGCACACCACCGCTTCATGCTCGTCTACTTTCTCCGGCCCAGACACGCTCCTCCTCAACGGCAGCCCGCAAGACGTCTCCGGCGCTCGCACCCAAGCATGCTTCAAAGCTCTGCGCGGCCTTCGCGCCGAGCTTGAGACCGCGAACCCTTCTCTTCCCAAACTCTCCACCTATCCCCTGCGGATAGTCAGCTCGAACAACTTCCCTACCGCCGCAGGGCTTGCTTCTTCAGCCTCTGGCTTTGCCGCACTAGTCCGCGCCATTGCGAATCTCTACGAGCTGCACTCATCCCCTACCGCACTCAGCCAGATTGCACGCCAGGGCTCGGGATCCGCGTGCCGCAGTCTTTTCGGAGGATACGTCGCATGGGACCAAGGCAGCGCGGCCGACGGCAGCGACAGTCTCGCGCGCGAAGTTGCTCCGGCGTCGCACTGGCCGGAGATGCGTGCGCTAGTCCTGGTCGTCAGCGCGGCCAAAAAGGGCGTCAGCTCCACGACGGGCATGCAGACGACTGTTGCGACGAGCGCTCTGTTCCGCGCTCGCGCCGAGGATGTCGTGCCCAAGCGAATGGCCGAGATGGAGCGCGCCATCGCCGAGCGTGACTTTGACGCCTTTGCCCGCCTGACCATGCGCGATAGCAACAATTTCCATGCCGTCTGTCTCGACACGGAGCCGCCGATTTTCTACCTGAACGACGTCAGCCGCGCCGCCATCCGGCTGGTCGAGTGCATCAATGCCGCTGCCGGAAAGGCCGTGGCGGCATATACCTTTGACGCGGGCCCAAATGCCGTCATCTACTTCCTCGAGCAGAACGCGGGCCTTGTCGCTGGCACTTTCAAGACCTTCCTGGGCCATCTCGACGGCTGGCAGACCGAGCTCGGCAACAAACTTGCCGGCCAAGCCGGCGTTGCCGCCGACGCACTTGAGCAGAAGAGCGTGGATGTCGTCAAGGACGGCGTGAGCAGAGTCATCCTGACCAGCGTCGGCCAAGGCCCTGTCAAGACAGACGAGAGTCTGATTGATGAAAAGGGTGAGCCGGTGGTTTAAGTGGAATGAGCCTCTTAAGCAGTCGTTTTATCTTTCACATTTCACTTTTCATTTTTCACTTTTCTATTATTCTTATTTTGTTTCTCCTCCTCTTGCACTACCCACGGCTTAGCTTTTATTTTGGAGTGTACTCTCGAAAAAGTCAGGAGCAGCATCTCAGAAAGATTTTTCACATACCCCCCTAATATATATACAACATGTAGATAATTCCTAGATTAGACAAGTACCTTAGGCCTATAGCGGATGACATTTAAAAAAGAATAATAACAATTTGCTTTTTCATTCCACAAATTTCTAACACTATACACATATCATGCTTTTATATCCATTGTATGTACATCAATCCGTTGAACCCGCGTCTCGTCTCGTCTCGTCTGCCAAACTAAAATTTAAAACTCCCAAGAGAGACTTTCAACTCCCAAGAGGGCTCTTTAAGCCCCAAGAGGGCCTTTTACGCTCCCAAAAGAGACAATCTCTCAAACGATTTAATCACAGGTGGGTCCTTTTTCGCCTTTCTCTCCTCTAGGCTTTCCCAGAACACGCCATCCGCACCAGTCGGTCTATACGCTGCATCCGGGTTGGCAGGATCGTCATTCTTCTGATGGGCCTGTTGCTGTTGTTGGTCACGACCATCGCCACTATTTGCAGCGCCTCCCCAAGCACCAGTAGTAGAAGAAAAAGTACCAGTAATACCTAGTTCAAAGACTTCGGGGATGCAAGTCTCGCAGGCCGTCACGACGTCAGACATGAGTTGTTCTACGGCGAGAGCGCGCTCGCGCATGCCTCGCCGCAAGAGGCCCTCGACGAGACGCTGAACTTCGTCGCGGACGCTACTGACGCGCTCAATGAGTCGGCCGACGGAATTGACAAGGTACTCTTCCTCGTAGACGCTGCCCTTTTTGCCGCGGGCACGCTTGCGTTCCTCGCGGCGGCGGTTCTTGGATGTTTTGCGCGTGGCAGAGGTGTCGACCGTGCCGGTGCGGTTGGTGTATCGGGTGAAAAGCGAACTGCGGGCTGTAGAAGTGTCGCTGGGGGCGAGGGAGACGTTGTCTGGAATGTCTGCGCCCGACGGGTCTGCGCCTTCGAAAAAGGCAACTATTTGCAGGGAGTTACAATGTTAGACTTCCAATCTTTTTTGATTTAAAAGAGAGAAAAGAAAAAAAAGAAAGCAAAAAGAACGAAAAAGAGAAGAAAAAGAAAAGAAAAAACAAAAGCGGAAGAAATTATCATAAATAGGCAACTTACGCGGATCCTCAGTCTTCTTCACCCTAAGTTCCCGGATCCGGGGTACTTGTGCGGCGATCTGGCCCTTACAATCGGAGAGCAACTCGGTAGTGCTTGCCAAACCCTCTGCCAGACCAACGTCGATGACACTTTCCACGAGATCCTGGCGGCGGTGCAGGCCCAACACGCGTGTCGCTTCGGCAAAGTGGTATCCTCGACAGAAGGTCCTTGACGCAGTCTCAATGTCGGAGAGATGGTCGAGGTAGATGGTGGCAGCAGCGTAATAGTCTTTAGACTCGGCAAGGTCTTCTGCGAGAAGATCCGCCAGAGTTCGAAGCTGAGATTCGGAAAACGGAACCGCCATGGCGCAGGAGAGGGATTCGCGCCAGAGATGCGCTCGCTGATACGCTTCACTGGCTGATGTGTAGTCGGAGAGGTATTCGTATGCTAATTGCACACTTCTTAGTCCTGGCTCGACTGGAAAATGAGTTGGGTTGATACATACTAATACCTGCCTCCTTGAATTTCGAGTTGTTGCTCAAGAAATCAGCATAAAGGCGCATAATTTGAGATAGATCCTTCTCGTCGTAACGGCAAAGTGACAATGCATCCTTGTATAGCTCATACTTGACGGTGTACGCAGTGAATTCGTCAAAAGCTTTGAGCTCTCGCAAATGCAATAGAGCTTTCGTGTGACGTCCAAGATGATTGTCAATAGAAAACTTTCTGCGTAAATCCGACATTTCCTGGTGCTTTTGAAGAAAGGGGAGGTATTCCCGGGGATCCTGGACAGCTGTGAGTATGTATTATCGCCATTCAGATAATACGGTCACGAACCTTTTGCGACTGCTGAGCAACAAGTAAGGCCAGCTCAAGGTCGTAGAGTCCCAAAGCATTGTCATACAAGCGGTTGACGTCGGCTAAGAAACAAATGTGCTCCACAGCCTTTTCGGCCAATTCAGGCTTGCTCACTGCAGATTAGAGCATTAGCAAATGGTGAAAACTATTATTTCTCGGGTACGACTTACCTCTGAGGCCCCCAACGACCAACAACCCGGCGTCCAAATCTGGAGGAGATTTACAAACATGTGCAGAAATGATATTCTGGATATGTGTTGACTCTCGCCCCTGTAGCGCATCGAGGAACGCGTCGCAGATTCGATTGACTTTGGAAGTTGGACTAGAGGATTGAGGAACTGCACCGATGCTATTCAAGGAAGCACCAGGAGCACTGCCGATATCCAGCTTGGATGTACGGATTGTCTCTTTGTACATCATTTGTGACACGTCCTCTTCTCTGTAATGGTGTAAGGTATTTCCTTAAGTCAAAATTTAAAGATTGAGACTCGTACCTCAACTGAGACAAGAAAAGATCAATATGCTCAGGCCGCTTGATCTGGTTAATAAACAGATCAATATTCTCCATGAATTGCTGGGGCGCATGATCGTGCAGAATGTTCATATCGACTCGTTGATTTCTGCATGCGAGGAAGGCAGATTTGTACTTCTTTTTCGCAATGCTTCTTCGGATACCAGCAAGCACAAGCGCTCTGGGAAAGATGGTCTCGAGGTTCCCTCGAGGCATTTGTAGCGCCAGAGAAAGACTGGTTGGCATCACTGTGACCAGTCTTGCTCCACGCTCAATACTCCGGCATCGCTCATCGCGTTCTGGGTCGTCCGATGGCACTTCTAGCTCTGTTCATCATTAGTGATAGTTCGTCCACTTCCAGTGAACCTTCGGACTTACCCTCAGCGACGCCCATGTGAATAAATTTCAAAAGATGTTGTGTCGTTGTGAATATGACATGAGCCGGGCTAACGAGAAACGAGGTACAGCCTTTGGCCAATAGCTTGGAGTTGGCATAGAGGGAACCATTTCTTGACAAGCCAAAGGCAATAGACTTTTAAAACGTCAGTCTTTGCCAACTTCATTTTTTGGAAAGTCTGAATGACTTACTTCTCCATTATAGTTCACCACTTCAACCCATGGGCAATGAACTGGAAAGACTGCAAATTCTTGAAACTGTAAAGTAATCAGATCCAGATTGTCTTCGCTCAGCGAAACGCTTTCTGAAACGGAGTTGTCATAAGACTCGTAGCAGATTGTGGAATGATCTTCTCTGGGGAACAGCCTCGAGATTCCAGGCCCAGATATTTCGTCACAACCCAGAAGCTCTCCAGAGTCAAAGTTGAAGCTGAAAATCGTGCTTGAGCCCTCTTCAGAGACAAGCACGATGACAGTACGGTCCCCGAGAAATGCAATCTGGCGAGCTTGAGCATTCTCGGCTACAGGAAGCTCAAGACGCTTCTGCTCGGTAGGCGCGGGTATGGGCTTTACATCCAACTTCCATTCGAAGAGACTGATCTGATTCCTATGAAGAACAGCAATGCGTGATCCTGAGCAGCTAATGGCTGCATCGACGGCAACGTTGCTGAGAGGAGCTTCATGCAAAGCCATGGGAGGGGGGGTATTAGCCAGGCGAAGAGGTGTCAGTTTCAAAGTTTCTATAAGAGATTAGTTTCAACCCATTCAACAACTTTGCAGGTCAGTAGGATTCTTACTGCCATCGATGACAGCAACGGCTCCGAAGTCATTAGGGGGTGACGTAGAGCCCTTGGCGACATCAAAAATGTACTCCAGTCTTTGACCGGCAACTATAAAATGTCAACAACAGTGTCTAATGGACAAAATGAGCTTTGAAAAGGTAAGATACCTCCGTAAAAAATTGAGAGTGACAACGCCTTCTCCGTGTGCCAGGTGACAGAGACGGCTTCGGATCGGTCCTCCGAGCTGCTAGTCAAGAGCTCTTGCTTCAGATAATAGTGATAGTTTCCCATTGTCCATAGCTGAACTCTATCAGTAAAGCAGACAGCGAGAACGGTCGAGTCGATGTTCCAGCGGACAGTGATATCACGAGCCCAGGTTTTCAAATCCTCCGAGTCGACTCGCAGAGGAAACTCGCCATGCCGCAAACCATTGCGTTCAAAGAAGACGACCTTGGCATGATCCTCAAACCGTTGGATAGTTGCCATAAGGTTCCCAGCTGGTCTCCAACTCAAGGCGCCCTCGAGGCCATCGACAGGCTCACTAACATTATCCAGCATACCTTCTCTCGAGTAAACTCGAATGAGACGGCGCTGGTTGGACTCAATGGTACTGATAGCCAGATACGCGCCATCGCCCCTCCAGGTAATAGTGATACGCCCATTATCATATGGACTTAATGTTCCTTGGTCGATTTTTTCTGGCACAGTGGGGTCCCGCAACGCCTTTGCTCTTTTGCCCTGAAATTGTGTTTCGCGCTTCCCCCATCCCACAGAAACATGAGCCGAAACATTGACATCTTCCGGCGTCAAGGTTGCTTCCGTAATGCTTTCAAACTCTCTGCTCATGAACAATAGGGTATTGGAGCGTGTGCAGATGGCAAGGAGTTCCTCATCAGGTGACCAGCCCGCAGCGGAAATGCCAACATCCACGGATCCCAGAATTTCAATCTGGTTTTCTCCTGGTAAAGGTTGCTCCCTCACGATGATGACATCTCCACCTTCAAGGACAAGACATGCAGTTTGCGTATCAGAAAAGTAATGCAGGTCTAGAATTTTGTCACATGCCAAATCCGGCAGGGGGCATGGAGCGTCCCAGGCGACAATGTCGCGAACTTGATTCTTATTTGAATCAATTGCAGGAACTTTTCCAGGAGCTGGGCCCTCAAGCCTTTTCAGTTGAATTGTCGCGTTTGTTGGCGACGGACCACATGCGCATATCAAAGCGTCGGTAGCAGCATCCCAGACGGTGGCCGTCAATGGCAGGTCCGAGAAGGGCACGACTGAATGATGCACATTTTTTAAGTTGCGCATTTTCAGTTCAGCATCGAGCGCAGTACTTGCCCTCGCTTTTCAGCGAAAATTTGATTCTTTTCGCCTCTTGTCAAAATGCTGCTGGAGCCGTTGTTGTTCGTTTTCTGGACCTATGTACTTTTGTTCTACAGCGTATGCGATGAGATAATTTGCACAAAAATCTGGGACTAGACCCGCGCCTTTACCGAGCCATCACGGCGAATGACTTTTGAGGTATTGATCAATGGGATGCATCTCTCTACACAAATATTCACGTAGATTGAATATTTGCTCAATTCACAAGTTCACAGAACACTAGATCTGGAGCAATTAGAAGCAATATGTGATTTGCGATAAATTTACAATTAGGATGACTATCATATTGATCCCAACGCAACCCTACCCATGGGGCGTCCAACGCTGATACGCCGCCTCTATCATCTCCCCCATCCCGATCCCAGCCATTTACTGGTTCTTGTAAGTCTGCCAGGCTGTAGAATACATTGTGAGTATGGTTCTTCGTTGCTACCATCAATTGAGCAGCGCAAGGGGAGCGCTTACCAGCAATGCCGAAAGGAGCACCGAAGCCGACAGCTAGCTTGAACGTCAGCAACCACTCGTCCCCAAATGACATGGCAAGTGCACCCACCCATGAAGGTCCAGTATCGGACGGCGAAGAACTTGGTCAGAGGGTTGAAAGGAATGTTGCTGCGGGGACCCTCAGGGTAGTGGTAAGGGCTGGACATCTGGGCCCGGGTAGTGTGGAAGCCCCGACGGGCGACCTGAGAGGTCATGGAAGTAGCACGGGCGGCAGAGCGGGCGAGCATCTGGGTCAATTAGTACCTTCACAATGTTCTCTATCTGTGGCGATTGACGAAAATACCTTGACAGAAGCGTTGGTAGTGGAGGAGTGGAGAGGTAAAGCTGGGGGGATGTTTGTGAGGGAAGTGATGATGGAGGTTCAATAGTCTCTCGTCTCGCTAGTATTAACGCTCTTTCCTCTCTCTCTTCTCTGTCTCTCGCTCTCCCACACAAGTTGCCGCGCGATTGGGAGCTTTCCGGAAAGAGGCTTCGCTAAATTTGCCATTTCTGTCGCAAAGTCGCTGGACAGTCTAAACCTCCGACTTGTCCAAAGATTTGAAGATCATACACTCAGACCTATCGGGAACATTTCAAAAAAAATTTCATGACCAATTTTCTCGGCCTCTTCCACAGTCATTGACGCAGGCGTCGAGACGAGGAACTGTTCAGCGTCGAGATTTTTCACCAAAATATATTTTTCCATCTTCTTCGGTCGAGCCCGCGACGAGCGGCGTCATGGATGAACTGTTTGACGTTTTCGAGGATCAGCCTCAGGCTGCAAAGCTTGAAAATGGCCAGGATGATAAACAGATCAAAGACAAGAAAAACAAGAAGAGACAGGCAAATGGGGATGTTAAAGAAGTCAATGGAACGGATTTGCCAAACGGCGATTCACCGGAGTCGACTGTTAAACAACCGGAAACGAACGATCGTGTGGATGGTGTCAAAGAGCAACCTGATCTGAAGCGACAGCGACGAGATACGGAGCCCGAGCCGGTTGTGACCGATTCCTTCGAGACAGAGCAGTCTCGCGAAATTGCCGCTTCAGCCGGCTTGCTAGCTGTCAAGGATGGAGATAATGTTGTACTGTCGCATCAGGTTCGACACCAGGTCGCTCTGCCTCCAGACTATGACTACAAGCCTCTATCCGAGCACAAGCCTCCGGCGGAACCGGCTAGGGTCTGGCCATTCACGCTGGATCCCTTTCAGGCCGTTTCAGTTGCATCGATTGAACGGGGTGAGAGTGTGCTGGTCTCGGCCCATACCAGTGCCGGAAAAACTGTTGTCGCCGAATATGCCATTGCACAGAGTTTGAAGAACAACCAAAGAGTCATCTATACCAGTCCGATCAAAGCGTTGAGCAATCAAAAGTACAGAGAATTTGCCGCCGAGTTTGGCGACGTGGGACTGATGACGGGTGATGTGACCATCAATCCAACTGCGACCTGTCTTGTCATGACAACGGAAATTCTTCGATCGATGCTTTACAGGGGTTCAGAGATTATGCGAGAAGTTGCGTGGGTAGTCTTTGACGAAATTCATTATATGCGAGATAAGTGTAAGTGACCCATCCCTCTTCGTGGCCTGTTTCTTTGGGTGTTAACTTGGATTTAGCTCGAGGTGTCGTCTGGGAGGAAACAATTATCCTCTTGCCGGACAAGGTTCGCTACGTTTTCCTTTCCGCTACGATTCCGAACGCTATGCAATTCGCCGAATGGATCACCAAGATGCACAATCAACCATGTCACGTCGTTTACACGGATTTCCGACCTACCCCTCTTCAACACTACTTCTTCCCGGCTGGAGCAGACGGTATCCACCTGATTGTCGATGAGAAGGGTGGTTTCCGCGAGGATAATTTCCAAAAAGCGATGACTACAATTCAAGATAGACAAGGCGATGATCCAGCTGATGCGATGGCTAAACGCAAGGGCAAAGGCAAGGACAAGAAGACGAACAAAGGTGGAACGAAAGGTCCTTCTGATATCTACAAGATTGTCAAGATGATCATGTTGAAGAACTATAATCCCGTCATCGTCTTCAGCTTCAGCAAGCGCGAATGCGAGTCGTTTGCATTGCAAATGAGCTCGTTGGCCTTCAACGACGACTCGGAAAAGGCCATGGTTGCAAAGGTGTTCAACAGTGCGATTGAGATGCTTTCAGACGAGGACAAACAACTGCCTCAAATTCAGCATATCCTTCCCCTTCTACGGCGCGGCATTGGCATCCACCACTCCGGTCTTCTTCCCATTTTGAAGGAGACGATTGAGATTCTTTTCCAGGAGGGTCTGATCAAAGTTTTGTTCGCAACCGAAACATTCTCCATCGGTCTTAATATGCCGGCGAAGACTGTCGTCTTTACCAGCGTGCGCAAGTTTGATGGTGTATCTCAACGCTGGGTGACGCCTTCAGAGTTCGTGCAGATGTCTGGTCGAGCCGGACGTCGTGGACTGGACGATCGTGGTATTGTGATTATGATGATTGATGAGAAGATGGAGCCCGGTGTGGCCAAAGAGATTGTTCGAGGAGAGCAGGATAAGCTCAACTCCGCATTCTATCTGGGGTACAACATGATTCTCAATCTCATGAGAGTCGAAGGGATCTCCCCGGAGTTTATGCTCGAGCGATGCTTCTACCAATTTCAGAACACTGCAAGTGTTTCTGGACTGGAGAAACGTAAGCCCCCCTTGAATCCCACATTCCTGAACTTGGGTTTTGCTAACGAAAGCCTCAGAGTTGCATGAACTCGAGAATGAGCGCGCCGGCATGGAAATCACCGATGAAGGCACCATCCGCGAGTATTACGACCTACGACAGCAGCTCAAGACTTACACGCAAGAGATGCGCGATGTCATTACCCATCCCAACTATTGCCTTCAGTTCATGCAACCGGGTCGGCTCGTCAAAGTTAAGCACGGCGATCACGATTTCAATTGGGGAGTGGTTGTCAACTTCACCCAACGGCATCCTGGCAAAAATGAAAAACCAGAAGACTTCACCCCTCAACAATCTTATGTTGTCGATGTTTTGGTGCAGGTGTCAGCCAATAGCACAGTCGGCACGCGAACGCACCACGATCTCCCTCCCGGTGTCAGACCACCAGCTGAAGGAGAAAAGGGAAAGATGGAAGTTGTTCCGGTTCTTCTCTCATGCATTGAATCGATTGGTCACATTCGAGTATTCTTGCCCAAGGATCTCAAGTCGGCTGATCAGAGAAACACTGTGCGCAAGGCTCTCGAGGAGGTTAAACGACGCTTCCCCGATGGCATTGCTGTCCTGGATCCTATCGAAAACATGAAGATCACAGACGACTCGTTCAAGAAGCTACTCAGAGTAAGTTGCCTTGATTTAGCTTATTACTTGTGCAGTAGAACTAATTATTCGTCTTCAACAGAAAATTGAAGTGCTCGAGTCTCGTCTCCTGGCGAACCCGCTTCACAATTCTCCAAGGTTGCCTGAGCTTTACAACCAGTATTCGAAAAAGATGGAACTCGGCAACGACGTCAAGAGCCTTAAGAAGCAGATTAATGCTGCCTTGGCTATTATGCAACTAGACGAACTCAAATGCCGCAAGCGAGTTCTCCGACGTCTTGGCTTCATCAATGAGGCAGATGTCGTTCAGCTCAAGGCACGCGTTGCTTGCGAAATCAGCACAGGCGATGAATTAATGCTCAGCGAGCTCTTATTCAACCGCTTTTTCAATGAACTCACGCCTGAGCAATGTGCTGCAGTCCTTAGTTGCTTCATCTTTGAGGAGAAGAGCAACGAAACACCTACTCTCCGCGAGGAGCTCGCGAAACCATATCGAGAGATCCAAGCGCAGGCTCGCATTATCGCCAAGGTCTCTCAGGAGAGCAAGCTTCCCGTCAATGAGGATGAATACCTGCAGACATTCAAGTTTCAACTTATGGAGGTTGTGTTCGCATGGGCGCATGGCGCTCCATTTGCTCAGATCTGGTAAGTTAATTTCAGACCCATACTCGACGCAACGAAAACACCAGATGCTAACTCATGTTTTAGTAAAATGACCGATGTATATGAGGGTAGCTTAATTCGACTTTTCCGCCGACTGGAAGAGCTGCTGCGCCAAATTGCACAGGCTGCGAAAGTCATGGGCAGCGACGATTTGGAAAAGAAGTTTGAGGAAGCGCTGACCAAGGTCAGGAGAGACATTGTTGCTGCCCAGTCCTTGTACTTGTAAGGACGCTTGAACGTTTTATTCTGGGGAAACTCTTCTTTTCTTCTTTAATTTTGAAAACAGGATGGAGTTTGGCGCGGGCACTTCAAGTAAGCTTGGCATTTTGTTTGTCTATTGTTGATGCATAATTAGGCTGTCAATTGTTGGGGCAATCTTCCTTCTCCTGGGCATTTTATACTGCGGACGATCGGCATGATCTTGGAATGGCCGAAGAAATCACTGTAAATAACATTGTGCGGTGATGTATGCATAATAGACTGTATGCGTGCGCAAGATTGTTCGGAAATTAAAAAGAATTCGATTTCGCCTTTCAGAAACCCTTGCTCATTGTGGTGTATATGCTTGTCGAAATAAATTAATATACAAAAGGGAATAAGAATGTGGTCAGATAATACAATGCACATCCAGTTCTGCCGCTGCTTTTCTCCTGGCCGCGAGCACAAATGAAAAGTGTAAATGGAATCGAAATAGGATATGGAAGCAGAGAAAAGAACAGGTTGGGTGTTTATTTGGGCCACTTGGTCCATCCACGACCATGACCACGCTGAAAATGAAATCGTTAGCATCAATCCATGTCAAATAATAACTCTAGCAATAGGATGTATTGGCAAAGTTGACGTACCTCCTTCCATTGTTGGATGAGTTTGGGCATATTGAGCATGGCCTGTCTCCTGTCTTCCAGACGATTCTTGAGTGTCCGTTCCCACAGTTTGCCCTTGACCTTCTGGCCCACACCAGTGCCCTTTACACGCAAACCATTCTCTTCCCGTCTTCGCAATCGTACTTCGGTGCCTTTAACGGTGAAGGGGAGCAGTTCTTCGACGCCATGTTCTCTGGCAAGCTTGACTAGTTCTGCCTGACGGCGAAGAGAAAAAGCAGGATCATGCCATTTTCCGGTAACAGGATGCTTTTGTGCCTGGAAAGGATTCGGTATAGATTCGACTTGCGATTCTGTGGTCGTTGACGCTGCTGGCGTCGTTGACGCTGCTGGATTTGCGGGACGGAGAAGCGGCGGCGGATATCGCGCAAAGAAACGAGTCAATCGTGGGGGAAGAGTCTTTGCAAGGTTGACGTATTCTTGATTGACCCCCATTTTCGGCTCTACTTCAATCCTGGGGGCGGTGATATGGATTCGTGGATGTTCGATGTCTGGCGTCTTGAAGCAATTCAATCTCGAAATAATCGTCGAGCACGGCTACAAGCGAATTTGACGTGAATTTAATCAGTGAATTTGATTCGACCACATTATTGCTGGTACGATACTCTTTATCTGCACGGAAAATTAGGTATCCCGATCACTCCGACAACAAAGAAAGAGGTGTCTTACGTAATCCGTACGCTTTGACTGCACGCCAACCTCGATTCGACTCGTCAGTTTTGGAGGAGACACATACCACCACCTCCACCAACCTCGAAACCCTTCTTTCACTACCACTTTGTTCGTTCAAGAATGAATAGCCTATTGTCAAGCTATTCAGTCTTTCCTCCACATTTACACGAGAATCAGCATACTCGGCCGTCGCCGCTTCGTTCAAGTTTGTCTCTCCTCTGGCGCCACTCATCTTTCACCGCCTTCCAAAAGAAATTCTTGGATTAGCATGCTGACCCTTTTCCCCACCCATAGTGACAACTCCACCAAGCCACATGCACGCCGGCATGGCTGGACGAAAGCGAAAGGCTGACGATGAAGACATCGAATCGGATCGATATGGATCGCACGATTCGATCAGCAGCACCGACAATGACGAACGCATGTCCGCGTCACCAGCCAACTCACCCGCTATTGTCTCTCGGCATCTCGCACATGCTCACTCTCACAACCAAAGTCACCAGCAGCAACGACACATTAAACGATCTCGACCAAACGTTTCTGGCCGTCCTCTTTCCCTTAACCGCCTGCTCGAGACCCTTAACGCAGACGAGATGCGGACAGTCCTTCGATCGATCTGTGAACGACACCCTGTGATTGGCTCCGAAGTTGTATCGACAGCACCACGGCCAAGCGTATCATCTGCACTTAATGTGTTGAAGCAGTATGAAGAGTCACTCTTTGCTGCTTTTCCTTTTGGGGGCAACTCTAGATCCGACTATACCTACAACCGCATTCGTGGAGCACTCATGGAGTTGCTGGATGCTCTGAACGACTTTAGTCCTCATTTCCTTCCTCCAAACGAAAACCAAGTATCCACATCGCTGAGCTTCCTCGACGGCGCTACCGATATGATCCATCGACTGCCAACTTTTGAGTCATTCCAAAACAATCTTCCCAAATCTACTGCGTACGAAGAAATTGCCAAGGCCTGGGCTCTCGTGATTCGAGAGGCAGCGAAGCGAGGAGGTGGCATTCAATTACAGTACGGCGGATGGGACCAAAAGCTTGCGAAACACAATGAAGAGTCACAAGGAAAATTGCAGGATGCCGTCAACGAGCTCACTGCCAGCCTGGGTTGGATGGGGGGTAACGCCATTCCTTCGCCGGGATCCCAAATGACTGGGCTCGGAGACATGAGCTCCATTAGGGCACAACTATTGTCTGGAACCTATGGTGCAAACCTCCCCGTCCGTGTCGGTCCGTGGTAATTGCTGCCTTTCCATAAGACGACCTTAAACATTGACGCCAATATCGGATCCCTGTCAATTCCCCTTTTTCATTTGACTCGGACAACAATTACCGAAATCTTTTCAATACTGGCTAGACGATAGACGCAAAGCCAGGAATTAGAAGCCAATGGGCACCCTTTCAGCAAAGAATGCAAAGAGACATGTTCAATGTTCAGCTCATTAGATTGGTAAATAAACCTACCTCACTGCCGAAGACAAAAGACCACGCCAATTTCCCCAAATACCCATTTTCTTTAAACGGCTGCAGTCAGTGTCTGTCGTTCCTCAGGACATCACAAACTCATCTGGCCGCTGCGCGGTCATTTGCATTTGATCCCCTCGACACATCCTCTACTCGAGACCACCCCGGAAATACAAGCTCTGTATTCAGCCTCTGGAAAGCGACCGACAATAATTCCTCACCCTCGGTTCCACCTCATCTGTCGTTCCCGTGGTCTGATTTATTCTCCTCTATCATCAATTCCTTCCGGTCTCAGAAATATCATCATAAAGCGTTGTGGCGCGTTGACAACCGCTTATTCCCTCATGACAATCACGACTTTGTTCTCTTTTTCTTTTTCTCTTTGCTTGACCCTATCTTCTCTTTTGTTTTCGGTCAATATCTCCTCTGTCGTCATCTATAGCTAGCGAAATCCACATTCTTTCTTCTTTTTCTTCTTTTCCTTTTTTTATCTTCATTTTCATTTTTTTTTTCTCTCTCTCTTAAACATGACTTGTGGCTCTGCAATTGCATCATCATCACCTTCTTGCATTCTTACTGGCAGGTCCTTTTCAATTACGTTTCAAGGCGCAGATACAAAGTCTTACATTAGCATAAAGCCCGGCGGATAGGTGTTTTCTACTGATAACTGTCTTTCTTTCTCTCTTTCTTTTCTGCTTCCTCTTTTCCTTTTTCCCCCCCCTCGTTTTTCCTCGGCACTCTTTATATCGATACACTGCTCGAGTGCTTTTCCTTTGCCTTTTTGGCGTTTTCCTTTTTCCTTATTTTCCTTTTCCTTTTCCTTTTCTTTTCTTTTCTTTTCTTTTCTTTTCTTATATTGCTCCTCATGTCCATTTTCTTTTCTTTGCTACCCCTGATTACCTTTTTTCCTTTCCCCTCCTCGACTATCAATACTTTAAGTCTCTAGCTTTGATAAAGATTTGATAATAAAAGATCAAATATAACTTCCAATCCTAACACTTTATATTTAAGACGCTCACTTCTTTTCTTGATTCGGTGATTCATTTCTCTGGTCTTGAATTACACGTACTTTGGTACTGGACAAGAGGTGCCAGTATCCCAACTCAGTTCACAACTCGCATTCTACTTGTAAACACGTAATGATTCGATTTATTAATAGTTGGGAGTTACACAGTGGTAATGAAAGTACGCCGTAGTGTTTAGTAATAAGGTATGAACGTAAACGCTTCAGTGTCTGTTTGTTTGATGTAGATTGCTAAAGATTGTTTGATTTCGTAGCTTCGTTATGACATGTATTAGTATCATGATGACAAATTAGTGGATCATATAAAAAAGAAAGGAAAAGAAAAGAAAAGAAAAGAAAACAGCAACACGCCTTTGTTCGAGTGAGCTTCATGCCGGCTTGTCTCACAATTGTATACTGTATATAAGCATGCTGTGTTCGCTGTCCCAATCGTGTATCCTGCCAGTCTTGTAAATAATGGAATTCGTCAAATGAGGATTTTTGTGGCAACACTGAGTAGCCACGCTGCGTCTTGCCATCCGCCGCCGGCTTCTTCGTCGCGAAGTCCAACGTGGTCCTGAGTTTGTGCATCCGTTGACAGACCGTCGGCGGCTGGGGTTGCGGAGATAGCGGTGGTGTCAGTCGCGGTAGTAGCAGCAGCAGCAGCAGCAGCAGCAGCAGCAGCAGCGGTGGTGGTGGTGTTTGTAGTGCTGTTAGTGGCAGGGTCTTGTGTAGTCGTTGACGGTTCAGCAATATGAGGCACATTTAGGCCTTCTAGTGCGTCCATTTGCTGCTTCAATACGACTCGCTCCGTCTCTTTTCTACGGCGTCTGCGGATCATGTGTTCCTCCAATCTTTCTCTTTCGCGTCTGCCATTGCCGCCGCCGCCGCCCTCGTCGTCGTCGGCATCCTCGTCGTCCACTTCGAATAGAGTCCATCCAATAAATCGATCAACCCAGCCACCTAGGCCAAAGCCCCGCTGTCTCGTAAGACGCGCAACGTCGCGGTCTACTTCACCATCCGAATCCTCAGCTGCGCGCTTTTCTTCTGGGTCAATGATGAAATCTGGCTCCATGAGAGACGGGTCTGTTTCATCAAAGTAATCGCTTCGCTCTCTGTCCCGGAGCTCCCGAGGTGTACGAAGTGCATGTGCGCCGTGTTGTGAGTGACCGTGAGTCAACAAATCTATTCGCGAGCCATGTCGCGAGCCTGGTCGGGAATTGCGAGCTGAAACCACACGGGATGTGCGGGTCGAGACGGGCGAGAATTCGTCATCAGCGTAGAATCCCGCAGAGTTCCGCCGCCGGCGGTTCCATGCGTCAATGTCAAGAGATGAGCCTCTTCTGCCCTCATTGATGTAATCGTCCTCCCCCTCGGATTCTGATGAGCTACCTTCCCGTACGAGACTTGTACTACTCTGGCGAGAAACGAGCCAGCTTTGTCCCTTGGATTCGCGCGCTTCAGAGGTCAGGGCGGCGCCAGCGCGGAGGAACCATTCGGATGGTTCGGTATCTATGGTCGATGTTCTCCTTGACCGTGTGGCTTTCGGTCCGTGTGGTGCGGGACCGCCCGTCGTTGATGACAAAAGCGTTGCGGAAGATTTGGATTTAGGGATCGGCGGGAAATACCCCACGGGAGGGTGAAGAGAGTGATGCAAGCGCACGCGTGAACTTGAGCGAGACAAGATGCCTGGGGTTGTGGGGGCCTGCAATGAAATGTTAACTCTGTGATTCAAGCACCAAGATAAGTCTTAAGACGATCAAAACCTAAGGGCTTCGTACAGATTTCCCCTGTATATATGATGACCTTCGAGGGGTCATGTTGCCTCCAGATTGCTCTTCGTCCTCTCCATGGTGAGAAACGCCTTCTGAGGAAGGGAGGGACAATGGTTTATTTTCAATCAGCGGACTAAAAGCCAGGTGTTTAAGATTCGGCGTCGACCGGCGAGTGTGCCGGTTCCACGCAGGCTAGCAAAACAAAAAGGTAAATCAGCAGAGTATGCTAGGAGATTAGCTTCAAATGAAATACATACATCCATTGCAACAGGCAATCTTGTCAGAAAGTATATCTTTAGATGAGTATACGTAGTTTAAAAGTCTCTTCTCAAAATCATGGGCAGCTTGAAAGTAGGGCGAAAGAACGAGTTGATGGCGGAAAGTAAGGGGAGAGAAAATGTTGGTAGGTGAAACAGGGACCAGCGGAAGAAGTTGGGGAATCTAAACTGTGGGGTCCCAGACGATCCGGGGTTGGACCGAGGCGGTGAAAGGGATCAAGTCACACGTGAACCTGCATTTGCTGCCTGTCCTCTCTGGATGCCCAGCAATCGTCAACACTTCAAAAATATCAAAAGAATAGAACACACATTTTCATAGCAGTAATATACTAGTAATCTAAAGATGCTAAAATAGACAGAACAGAAGATCATATTTATCGTAACTCAGGACTAACTACAGAGGGAAAATCTCCGAATCTATCTACCTACATCAAGCCACCTTTTATTTTATATACAAGAAGTCGCCTCAACAATTCAAGATTACTCTACAAGATTTCCTTGAATTGTTGACTTGAGATGTTACCTCAAGAGATTTGCGGCCTCTTTCCCCCAAACTAATAGCTTCTAGCAAAAGTGATCAGGCATTGTACTTGGGAAGTGTCTTTAGAATGCCGTTCCGGGAGATTTCCTCCATAGCTGTTGTAATCTCCTGGATAAATCTCTTGTCATTACGCAAGTCATCACCAAATAGACTCTTGATGCTGAGCAGCTCAACCGGGTTGTTGCCTCCTGCACGAGCCTTGGCCTGGAGCTCCTCCCGCATTGGGTCATTAACCTCGAATGGTTTGCCGCTGTCATCAACACCATTAATATAATGGAACCAAGCCGCTGCGACAAAACATAGGCGGCGGAAAGGGCCAGTAACCCAAATTGCCTCGGCAATCGACGGCATGATGAACTGTGGAATCTTGCCCGAAGCACCAAGGCAGATACGGGGCAGCTGGTCCATGATTGCGGGGTTGGAGAAGCGCTCGATAAGTGTGTTACAATATTCGTCAATGTTGACACCCGGAATCTCTGGCAAGAGTGGCTTCACCTCCTCCTGCATCATCTGCCACACAAACTTGCGGAACTCTGGGTTCTCCATGACTTCGTGGACATATGTGAAGCCTGCTAGCTGACCTGGGTAGCCAATGGCTGAGTGGCTGCCGTTGAGCAGCCGCAGCTTGTGCTTCTCAAACTGCTCAACATCATGGACATTCTTAACGACGTTGACACCGACTTTGTCAAATGGTGGACGTCCGTCAGAGAACTTATCCTCGATAACCCACTGGATGAAAGGCTCCGTGGCGACTGGCCAAGCATCCTCGATGCCAAAGTCGTCTGCGAGTGCCTTTTTATCGGCGGCGGATGTCTGAGGTGTAATGCGGTCAACCATGGCATTCGGGAAGGCACCTTGCTCAGCAATCCACTTGGCCATCTCAGGGTTGCGAAGGCGGGCAAATGACTCAAGCATATGGCGGGTGATGGAGCCATTCTTCTGCATGTTATCACATGACATGACTGTAAAGGGCTTGAGTCCCTGCTGGTGGCGCCGTGCCAGGGCGGCGTAGAGGAAGCCGAAAGTGGTGCGTGGTGCCTTCTCGTTGGCCGGGTCGAGGTCAAACTGGATGTCAGGGTGCTCGCTTTGCAGCTCGTGTGTGTTCTCGTTGTAGTAGTAACCGCTCTCGGTGATGGTGAGCGAGACAATGTGGGTATCAGGGTGTGCCATCTTGGCAATCACGGCCTCGCGGTCATCGGGGGCAAAGAGGTAGGAGTTGATGCTGCCAACAACGTGGGCAAAGCTGCCCTTGGCTGAACGCTCAATGACAGTGTAGAGGTGGTCCTGCGATCTCAGGACATCGCGCATGGTAGCGTCAAAGGGCTGCAAGCCAACACCGCAGATTGCGAAGTCGGTAACACCATGCTTCTGCATCAATTGGTCGACATAGACAGCCAGGTGAGATCTGTGGAAGCCGCCGACCCCAATGTGGACAATTCCCTCCTTGAGAGCGCCACCGCGCTGGTAGGTTGGAACCTTGACCTTTGCCTCACCTGCCGTCGAAATTTGCGACAGGTTTTTGTCGGTGAGCTTGAGAGGAGCCATTATGATGAGATATGAATTGGATGAATGACAATTGATTGCAGCTGGACTCAGGAAGATCACCACCGTGATATATGCTTGAGACTTTTAAAATTCAGTGGGGGGGTGCCAACATTGGGTTTATGCCGTCATACTACGGTATGTCAGTTACGCATTCTCCCCTGTGGGGTTGGGCCGCCCGATATCGCTGAATATGATTGGTTTGCACCCATTTTGCTACTTTTTGGAAAAAGCCAACTAAGGAATTTACTAGGCTTAAGGTAGATTGCCCAATGCCGAGCATCCACGCCCAAAGATTACGGAGCGAGGGGTAACACTCGTACATTACGATTACTCCGCTATGATGGGGCTCGGGGATATAAGCAATGACCCACCAACACGTCGGTAGAACAACATGAACTAGGCAAATATTCCGTATGACACCAAGCCCATCTACCGTGTTTAGATTAAAAGAAGTTGATGCTTCCCATTCCGGTACACTTCTGCTGTCGCCAACTTCAAACTATTGCGCCTCTACTTTCCTAGATGGAGATAATTCTAAAGGGATCTAAGAAAAATAACATGGGCACGGAAAAGAGAACATTTGACATTCAAAGGTACGCAGCATCCTAGACAATGTAAAATAACTCGCTGCAAAAGCTTGATCCGAGTTCTGCTTGACTCAGTGGCGATAACGTAGGCGGAAGAATCTTATGACGCTGTGATATGTCAAACAGGTTAAAGTTAAACATGGCAAACGACAGGAAAACAAAAAAAAAATAAAAATAAAACAGACCCGCTAGGGAACGCTAAGCATTGGTATATCAAATGATAAATCTTTTAGAGCATTAACCTCATCACCGCGTTTTACAGACATTGAAAGTAGCCTCTAGATATCCAGACAAGCAAATGGGATCTTGAACGCGCGGGTTTGATCAATCGGGCAAGAGATACCCAACGAACACCGAGGACGGCAATGACCGCGCTGGGTGAGACTGATCGGTCAAAATGTGGTAGGGCGTGGACTCGTGTGGAGAAGGAGAGTGTGACGAATAGACCGACGTGGATGGCGCGAGGATCTGGAAACGAAGATGAAAGGAAGAGCGGATCGTGGCGAGTGTTGGGTTGGATTTCATCTGATCGTTTCCGTCTCCAACTGCCCAGTTGCGGTCTGATTCAGTGATTCATTGATTGATGAGAATACTTCACTGGACCAATCAGCCGAGGCGTCCTGAATCTGACTTCTTCGAAACATTCGTGGCAGCTGCGGCGGGCGACAAGGAGTTTTGAAGTGAATGCGTGGATAGATGTGATAAGTTGACAGGATCCTCGTCTCCACTTGGACCGAGCATTGACGGTATCGGTTTTCGTCGGGCCTTGGTATTGTTGATTCGCGGAACACCCTGGATAACACGAGGCTCCTTCATCAAGGTCGGGTCGAGCTTTGCCGGTACTGGATAGTAACGAATATCGTAAGCCCAAGGTATTTCATCTTTTGCTGGTGCTGCTATGGTATGTAGCGTAGCGACGGTGCTTGACCGAGAGAATACGGTTGCAGATGTGCGGCCATCAAAATTTGATGGTGGGATTGCGCCGCTATCCATGGTGGTAGATTGTGAGAGCTTACTTCTGCTGACAACTTGTCTGTAGTCGCCTGGAAAACGACTACTGGGAGGAGTGGCTGCTGCCGACCGCCAGATGTGATCAGTTGTATCGCAAAGAAAGTTGGTCACTGGATCGAATGCAATCCGTCAGCATCACGTCTCTGCAGACCACTCCACAATGACTTTAAAAGCACCAACAGGACAATTTTCACAAACAAAAGCCTGAATGAAGAGAGAGAGGGGTGCATGGGGTAGGAGTAGAGAATAGCAGACAATGAACTCACCTGATTTGGAGAAAAGAGAGCTGCGGCCGCGATTTTTCTTGGACAAAATGATCTCGTCGAATAGGACGATCGAAGGGTCGTTTGGTCGTTTGCACTCCCGCTCGTGAATGAACTCATTGAATCCTGAGATTGGATTGGCAGATGATTAGAGACGATATCCATGCTGGAATTGAATGCAAGGCTTACCCTGAGTTTGCAGTAACATTCCCAAATATTCAGCATTTTCTCGGGGCATGCTCTTCAGATACCCGTCCATGTTGAAATGGTAAATTTGACCATTCTTCCGCTGCTCGCCCGTGGCCGGGTGCAAGCTCTTCCGATAAGTGTAAAAGAGACTCGCGAAACATCGTACAAATGCTGCTCGTACTTGATCAGGATAAAACGCTCCAGGACAGACAATGCAAATTTGCTGAGAGCATCGTCCATGGGCAAACATATTGCACCCTGCCAGAAGAAAAGAGAATTAGCTATCAGGTATATGGTGGGTTTTGAGGGAGTAAACTCATCATACCCATGCATCGGTAGATGCCCTCCTCTGCCCTTTCATCGCAAACGGAGCATATTGATCTTTCGTCATGAGGCTTCCAATTCAAGCAGTGTCCCTCCACCCAAGTTTGAGTCTGAGTGTTGCGGACCGGCTGCATCAGGATATTCGGCATCACAGTCGAGGCAGCCAAAGTAGATGGCGCATACGTGGACGGCGCATAGTGCGAAGTGGACTGATTGTCGTTGAGCGTTGAAGTAGAATGGCTGACTGCATGGCCTCCAAAGGGCATGCTAGGGCGTCTCAATGTGGGTTTCCTGTCGAGACCAAACTGAAATGGACTGTTAGTCACTGAAACGAAAGGAACGCCCAGAGGGAGAGTATCTACCGAAGAGCTCCGTCTAGACGCAACGTCAAAATGCCCAGAACGCTTCTCGCGCAGTGTAGCCTGAATACCATAGCCGCTATCTGTCCTGGAGATGGCCGTCGCAGGAGGTTGGGCAAACTGCGATGAAGTAGGTGAGAGCTTTGGAGAAGGGGGTGCGCTCCCTTTGATGGTTGTGCTTGTGCTTGGCCGTCCATAGTCATTGTTTCTGGCATGCAAAAAAGCGTTGAAGATAGGAGGTCGAACAGAACTCTGCGACTCGGGAGCGCCAAAGCTGGTTGAGCTCTGGCTCACATATTTGTTAAGATTGCTAGGAGCCGGGTTTTGCGTATAGATCGAGCTGTTTTCGGTCGACACCGCATCAAAAGGATATGTCTCAACTGCATACGCTGGGGGCCCAGTGGGCACGCCGTATCGATAATGGTGAGGAGCGGCAACCTGCAGAAGAGAGACTAGCTTTCTTCGTTGCTGCCGAGGAAGAGGAGGCGGGAGCGCAGTTGCTTCGATTTGATCGTGATCAAGGTCAACCATCAGGAAGTCATCATCGGGCAGCTCGATGTTGTCATATCGACGCTCAATGCCGACAATATACGGGCACGGTGCCTCCAGCGCTTGAAGTAAACGTGCCGGAAGAATGGGGATGTAGACGCCTGCCCAAACTAAAGGGTAAAGCAAGCTAGTGAGTGCTTTGCAGGCGAGGTGAAGCATAGCCGTATGGGACGACAGGAATATAATGCGAGATTCGGACAGTGCAGCCTATGCCAAATTAATTAGAAACAACCCAGGACAACTTTCGTAAATAGAAGGTGCAATGGCCTGCAGCAATTCGAAGGGCAGCGTACCTCGAACAAAATTACGATATTCTGTATAGAGAGGGCGCGGAACAAAGCGTACAGATCCGTCTAGCAGTTCGTCAGCGAAACCCATATCCGTGGAGCGATAAGGACTGTGCAAAGCATGTCACTTACATTTCGTGAGCCTGGAAGCTCGTTCACCGCCTCTTTTCGAGCGAAAAGACGTAATTCTCTGACAGCAATCTCTACTTGTGTTTTTGAAGTCATTGGGCTCAATGCCTCTGTGCACAAGTTTACAACGTATCGCTCCAAGGGCTGCCACATGCCTGCTTTGGGAGAAGTCGGGGGCACCCGGAGGACAGCACCTTGTGTCATTGGCACTACAATGGCTCGGAGCCATTCTTTCCAGAAACTCGTCAAGTTAGCATCACGGCCAAGCACACCATATGCTCTTGGGATCCAAAAGCCCGAGTCTCCATCGGTGAGACCGTCGATTTTTGAAGCCGCGCCATGTCGGACTGGTCGAAGCAGATCCGTCATTAATGTAATTTTCTCCTCCACCTGTCCAATCTCCTCTTCGAGGCTTTCACGGGCGGCCGATCCTGACGGTACGGTTGGCAGCTGGGTCAACAAACGCGAGAGTTTGGCCCGCTCCGCAGCCAGCCTTTCGCCAAGGCTGCTTGCCAGCTCCCTCTCCTCGTCTGACATGTTGTCCCGTCGCCATTCTTCGCATTGTCGTTCGAGTTCTTCAGCTGCCTCTTGCTTTAGAGGCAACCATATAGTCACACAGATGCCGTAGATTCTGGAATTATCTCCGGAGGTCATAGCAAAACCATGCCACGTTGATCTGGGCCGATCATCAGAGGATACAATGTTGATGTCGTTTGGAAACGCAAACATGGGAATGTAATCCGGGAAAGGTCCTCTCCTCTTCGCTTCATCTGCGACGCTATGTGAAGGGTATCGATCAAGGAGGACTGGTTCAAATTTACGCTTCAAGGGATGCATATTGGAATCGGCATTTAGAGGTTGCGGCGTGGGAATGACGGAGTTGTAGTTGCTTAGTCTCTTTGATGTACGGATAGATGCTGCAATGGACACCAATCAGTATTCTGCGCAGTAAATTCCGTGGTTCTCTATGCGGGCAAGGGGTAGAGGAGGCAGCAGATTGATGTAGTGTCTAACCTTGGCGTGCTATTGAGGGTGCGCGCTTCATGCTGTTCATGTCCCTATTGTTCTAACATCAGCTTTACGAAGCCTCCCTAATTTCTGCGGCAACTTATGGAAGATGAACCTGAAAGAGATGCGCCGCTTAATACTTTCTGCGCCGCTCTTTGGCGTGGACGCATCCTCGCCGACGATTCGAGGTGGCTTTGCTCGAGGCTTGGAACGCGGTGTCGTCACAGTACCGGCGCTAAAGGACAAATCGTCCTGCCATTCATTAGACTTGATATTCTCCTCCCCTACCAGGAATTGTCTGTTCAACCGTGGATGCTCACCAGAAAGGATTCACGCTCTGACGCAAACTTTCGCAGGGCGACGTCGAAGTCGGCATCGCTGAGACCAGAACCGCCCAATTGCGGAGCTTTAATAGTTGCGCTGCTCCGATTGCTGCCAGTTAACTTGGGGTCGGGGGACGTGGTCGATTGGATAGATCGTCGCGACTCGCTGGACGCATTCGCTCGGCCACGCGGGGACGGAGGTTCCTCTTCTTCAAGCGTGCTATCCTCGGCGATGGTCGAGGCTACTGGAGGCGCGGGAGCGCCATTGCTCGACGCTCTGTCTCCGGAATTTGCCCTGACTTGCAGCAGGGAATCAGAGTCAATACCGGCAATCCAGAAGTAATCGGCGAGCGGTGCCGAGGGCTGAGTGGCGGACGCTACTGGAGCCATGTCATCCAGCTCGAGCTCATCGGACAACGGCCGCAAAGAGAAGCTTGGGAATGAGTATTAACGACGAGCTGATCAAGTTGGACACCTTTGCTGCCGCGTGTTGCCGTCTCCGTCGATCAATGGAGGAAGATGTTGTGCAGTGTAATCGAGCAGCCGACACGCTCAATTCGCCAAAGGAATCCCAGTTTCAGCCAACGTGGTATAAGTGACTCGGCACCGAAGCAATTTCTCTTGCAATCGAACGCTGGATGAAGAAGGACGATGCGTGTCGAAATCAGATAAGGAGGTCGAGTGCAAATGGGGATGCCAGCAAATGGAGGAATGGAGAAAAAAGTTCAGTGCGTCGTTGTGGTGTAACTTGACAGAGTCGGTCTGAGGATTCACTGATTGGTGGTTAGCTGTTGGCGGTCGTATTTGGTAGAATCCAAGGCCCCGGGAACAGTTAATCGAATCAGGGACGCACAAAACGATGTGCGGGAAGGGAAGGGGGGGCAAACCGAGATACAGTTAAGAGGTGGAGCCCAGGCGACAGATATTGTACATCTCTCGGGGATCCCCTCGTCAATAATTCACCTTAGGTACATGCAGAAAGGGCCACAGCTAACAGTCTACGCCTTTTGCCCCAGTATTCGTGGTATTTGATTACTGTACTGGTCTGTACTGGTGCCGTATTTGACTAAAGTTATTGTGTACAAAGTACTCGACTGACTGATGGCGCAGGGACTGCGCTAACTACGATAAAATGGAGGTCAATGCGGTATGCAGTGGGGAGAGAGCACGACGAGACGGAGACGGACGACGGACGACGGAGATACACGAGTGAGAGAAAAAGGGTGGAGAAAGGTTGCCCTTGAGGCAGCAACAGAGGGCACGGCGATGTCGTGCAGGTAGCTAAATTACCATTAAACCCTTCCGAGTCGACCAGGCAGACGCACACGCAGACACGCTACTTTGGCAGAAGTCATCGACACTTTCCGTATGGTAAGAGATTTTTGATTGACGCGTCCGACAGCCCCATCTCTGCATTCCGTGCTGCTCGGAGGAGGAGGGTGGCAATGTCTGCTCTCAAAAGACATGTGCAGCGTCAAACGGCCAGGGGAAGAAAAAGGAGTTCGGTTCCAAGACTCGAGAAGGACTACACGATGATCCCTATCCTGATCGCGTGCAGTCGAGCGTCAAGGGGCCTCAATGGTGCTGTTATGGGACGCGATGAACGGGGTCCAAAAAACGCGAACCCTTGGGCCGCTCTGGCTGACTATGCTCAAGCGGGTAGGAGTCAAGGCACAAGGCTAACTGCGCCATCATCTAGTTTCTGTGTTTTCGAATGCGAAACGCAAGTGAAAAGTGGACGGCTATTGTTGCTATACCGCTCGGAGCGATAGTCAAACTCGGTCGGGTAAAGTTCAGGGCATCTCCAAGTCTCCAGCTGCCCCAAGGGTCTAATCTAACCCTTAGCACGTGATGACGGACTGCGCGATATCTGGACTTTTAACCTCCCCTTCGAGATACTGGTCGCTGGTGCACTCACGCTTGACCTCATTGACCCGCAACGAACCTCGGAACCCCTCTGTTCCATCGCTAAATGACAAGTAAACCCACGGCAACTTTAGATTTCCGGACAGCCTGACGGACTGAGCTACCATCATTTTTCCATCGTCATCGAGCCACACCTTTTTCACTTGCTCCTCCCGCGTGGGACCCATTTGCGGCCATGACGCGCGAAAACGACTCCATGTCGGCCAATCCGAAATGACGATGCTACTCGTAGAAAATGGTACTCCGCTAGATGCCTGGTCTGCGGGCCAATCGTTAAACCCCTCGTGTGCTCGTAAAAAGGATGAAAGACAAGTGGAAATTGGACCCTTGGAAAGGAACGCTACCACGACTGCACTTGGGTCGGTGTAAACAGGACCGAGTAAAATAATTTGTTCTAACAAATTTGAATGTATTCGTGAAGAGTGCCAGTGTACTGGCTTTCAAGCCTGCATCGGCTGAAATGTATGTCCGTGATTTTGAGCTGCTAGACCGCTACCACTTAACAGATGTCAGAAGAGACCGCCTTTTGTTGCGCCAGGATAATTTTGCAACGATACCCTTCTGCTGCAAAGGTGTCGTGCAGGACGTTGTATGATGCAGGGTAAGCCCTGTCCCTAAACATGGAATCCCAGCGATTTGAAGTAGCCATCAAACTTTGTGTTCTCGCAAGCCTGCAAATTCAAGGAGAAAGTGAGGCCGAGTAGAATTTGAAAGATTGGACCAGGATTATTTGTAAAGTGTATCCATATTTAAATAGAACACCTGGCCAGACTCTGAACGGAAATTGTGTATGAAGTATTGTAGTAAACAAATCTGCTGGAGACGGCAAGCCTGACGCGGCTTGCGCCAGGTTCGGCGCGGCCATGCGGTGCAACCTTGCTTAATTCATGGTGGAACAGGCGTGGGATTGGGCTTGGAGCAGGGCCCAGTTTCATAGCTGCATGGCGCATCGTCTCCGAACAACTCACCGCATCAGCCGTCTGACAGTCATAAGACAGTTACTAATGCGGCATCTCAAATGTTACATACCTTTGTAGAAGCGTATTTATAAGAAAATAGAAACCAATTTTCGAAACTCAATTGATACATCACCAGTTCGCTAATCCATACAGCAGCAGATTTCGGTTATATTTTCATTAAGCGAAAAAACATACATCAGCTGGTTCCGTGGTGTAGTGGTTATCACGTTTCGTTTACAGTAATGTAAACTCTGATCCGAAAAGGTCGCGCGTTCGATCCGCGCCGGAATCATCTTTTTTGCTTTTTACTATCCACTATTTTTATTTATCTTTGAAAAAGCTTCTTTTGATAGTGTACTTATTCTTTGTGGAGAGATATTGGTGCAGGTAAACGGCCCGGGAAACTGCTGGGCGAATAGGCAATACTTATGACCGCTGAAAATGGTTAATTGTAATCGAGTTTCCTCTTGAAATCTCCTCATCATACAGCTAATCACAATCCTGTTGTGGTCAGCTGGCACAGTAATTTCTATTCCAGTCAAATTTCTTAAAGTGCTTGTGAATTTACATTCTTTTCTTTTTCCTAGCTATCTTTCTTGGACAATCTGTCGATTCACTGCCTTTTATTAACAGTTATCATTTACAATTCTTGCCAGTGATTGCTCGCAAATCAGCACGAACTCTGAACCTCTGACGAATATAAATATGCCCCGAACCCTCAGGCTCGGATTCTTTTCTTTCATTGCTTGACTTGATCATATCTTTGTTTCATCAACTCGAGGTCTGCTCCTTTCTACAGCCATGGTGTTTTATGCATTTAGTTTTTGGTCACCTGGGTCTTGGTCATGCCAGATTATTTCGATCTGTCTCCAAATATTTATTGTTGCTGTTTATTTTTCCACGGTCGATCCAAAATAATACTCCGCAGACCCTAATCACCGGTTGGATTTTAACCGTCATGCCGTACTTCAATCTTTTGTCCTCATCTGAGGTGGTCTGGTCTGCAAGCGTTGTTGAGCCGCTTGCCACTCACACTCGTCCCCAGAAGACAAAGCTCCCCCCCTCACCTGTCCTTGGGACCGAGGACTGGACGCCCTGAAACCTGCTTGTCGCCACCGCCTGATTTTCGGCCTGTCGCGGTCGACTCCCTCCGTTCCATTGAAGCGGCGTCTTGTCGTGCTGGAGATTGTGGCAGGCTACATAGGAACAGAAAATCCCTTTTTGTTTTCTCTTTAGCCTCATCAATTCACACTGAACCCTGGTGGTCGAACTATCTCATCTCGTAAAGAAATGACCTAATAACATCTTCCCATGCGAAAAGACATGCAGCAAGAGACGGCGCATCGGGGCTGCAGCTGATGTACTCGGTGCATTCAACGAGAGTGGGAAAAAAATGATGGTATTTGCAGTCAATATCACACAATTATCAGCTTGTAATTCAAATCGAACAAGAAAACGTTTTTGATAGGAGCGACTGATTGAGGGAATGGTCCGAATGGATACCCTTCATCTCCGCGATACCACTAGAAACAAAGGGCTGTACACGAAAATGAACGCGACCTATGCATCGCCATTACACCGGTTCTCAAAAGAAAAATTTCTTTCCCCTTAACTTGGTGCAGGATGTGGTATTTACAAGCAAGCGTCGACTATGGCTTTTTCTGACCCGTCCCTATATCAACACAGGGCGGCCATTCAACAATGACATTGAATGACGCTCACCTGATAAAGAACAAGGACACACAGAACGATCGAAACAGTAGAATGATCAAAACAGTACACTGGTTAGCTCCTATATTCTATTTTAATGACCTCAGCAACCTCAATCGCCAATATGGCATAAAAGAGTCACTGAAGGATTGCATCTTGGACGAGTATCTCGAATAAGTAACTTCAATTATCGAGTTATATCATTATTATGGAATTTATTCTAAATGTCGTGGTCCAGCCATGAAGGGGGTATGTTGGCAGTATAGCCATTCTGGCCACATCACCAGACCACCTCGTTTATTTCGATCACCTATGAAGGCGGCCCCAATATAATATTTAGCCTCTACACCTTTAATAATATTAATTACTCTGCTTTCTACGCTTTGAATGACCACACTTACGCGTGTTTCTGCCCCTTCCGCTGCCTGTAAGGCTGCTTCAGTCGACAGTATGTAATTAAATGAAGAGGAACGATTTGGATTAGATTGCCCGTCATCGTTTCCTTGACAAGAGCCATCCTGTAGTAAGAAATCCGCCATCACCCATTGAACTGCGCCATCGAATGGAGAGCTGGCTTTGCGGATTCTCCAATTCCTCCTTCGACCATGTGCCTTGATCGATAGTGCTTTCAGGCCCTCGTTCAAGCAGAAATGCAACCTGCATGACATCTCGAGGATTTAGAATAGGCAGATCATTTACACCTGATATTTGTTGCTGGCCTGGATCCGGCAAATCCCAGTTGAGCGAAGTCGATATGAATGGCGGTTTGGGATTCAATGCGACGTCCTGAGAATGGTCTCAGTGTTAAAGCTAATTATCCCCGATCATTCATGCATGGTTGCATTCTCACCTCTAGAGTAACGGGGTTTTCACCCGTATTTTCTAGTTGTGCCTCAAGAATAAATCGAGGAAGACGAGTCGGTTGAAATGTCTTAGCATTCCCAGAGTCTGCGGCCACGAATGGGAGTTCTGCGCTCTTGGTTCGAACGGCGATTTGTTGCTGCGCTAGGAATTGATAGAGTTTGCGAAACGTTCTGACTCGCCCGCCTGCAGCAGGGTGTTCTCCAAGCCCTTCTGACTTTGCCGATAATCGCGTTTCCGTGTACGTGACTGTTACTGCCTGAAATGATCAGTGGCAGTTCCCTCTGGGAAACGTGTTTCCAGGGATCGCTGTCGATCCAGAGCGCTCATACCAAAACATGAGTCCCTTCTTCCTTTAGATCAAATCGAACAATCCGTTGTAATGAATTTCCCGGTTCCAAGGACGGGCCTTTACTGGCTTCCTCGCCGGCCACGAGATCCAACGGGACAGTTTGCGACGGGGTCTGCATTTCAGCAGCGATGCGAACACCGCTAATCAGAGGCCCACTTGCAGATTCTAGAGACTCATTGTTGATACAAAGCGTACATGAGAATGTCTCTCCCACATAAGCTGAGCCAAAGGCCGGCGGTAACGTTAGCTGTGAGATCGATTAGTAACTTTACATATTGTTGAAAGGAGGGGCAATATCATACCAGCGGACTCAGTATAAATTGCCCATCGACCTCTTCACTTGGGCAGCTCAGAGCAGCTTCGGGCGATATCTGGGGTACATCCGTTGAGGTTACAGGAGGAAGTGGATATTGCTGTGACAGAGAGGGTTTGGATAGCCTGTACAAGTTCTTAGTTAATCTCCGAGCCTATTTAATAGGGAATAGGATCTATACTTTCCTCAGAACCTTGAGGCTCAGCGAATGAGCCTGCTTGTGTCCATCAAGGACAGATTGTCGCCGTTGGTGAGCCATATCAGCGGGTAGCTTGCGGCTATGTTTATGCCAATATTGTGTGTCGCAACCAAGGGTAACTAATACAGCTGCTCTATGGGGTCGTCCAGCGGAGAAACGTTCGCTCCGACCGGGGAACTCGGGAGTTCCGCAGACAAGTTGGCTAATCCCTTCTGGGACCAGATCAAGATCATGCGATAAGATTTCTTCAGTTTTGGGGTTCTTCATCTTCAATTGACTTATATTTTATTCTTGCGTTTTTATATGCCCGTATATTGACCTTGTATATATTTTATTCTTCATTACTCGTACATAATTTTTCGAATCAGATCTCCTTTCTCATACAATTTCTTTTCTTAATTGATACCTTTCAGTATATACAATTTCTACGACGCTTACGAGTCACGAATTCTTCCTTCCATTCAAATTTTATAAAATGACATCACCAGCGACAACGGCAGAATCAGCATCCAATGACGGGCAATTGTCCTTGAAAAGATTCTCTAATCTGACATTGAAGTTAGATACCCCGAAAGGTAATCTTGGATTGCATTGACTCCCCACAAGATACGACCCATGCTTTATCAATTTAGTTCTTGAGAAGAAATTTTATGCTCACTTGATATCAAATCTCAAAGGTCGCGGAGTATTCAGCACAGTTGATATTGCCAGAGGTACTGTCATTGATATTTCTCCTGTCCTGATTCTCGAGCCCGAGGATAAAGCTTTGGAGAGTAAACAATTATATAACTATACGTAGTTAGTAACAATCCCCTCATCCTTTCGCTCCAAGCATTTGGTCAAGGAAACCATTGCAATTGACACGTACATTGCTCCAGTAATTGGCCGTATTCTGAAGGAGAAACCGGGAAAACAACAATGAGACAAGCAGTGATACTAGGTCTTGGCTCAATGTTTAATCATTCCAACTTCGCCCAGAATGTTGGGTTTACACGTGATCCATCAAAGTTGGTCATCGTTTATACGGCTTTACGAGATATAAAAGCCGGAGAAGAGCTTTGTAAGTATTACCGCTTCCAATGACGGAGAGATCAATGAAGGGTTGAAGAGATAGACACTGACAGGTGGTTGCCAATCCTTGCACAGGTATATCGTATGGCTCGAGACTGGCTTTCAGGGATGCAGATGAAGATAAATATCTCAGCGACCCAGAAGAGGGAAATGATCTTTTAAGCAAGATTGAATTAGACGATTAGATTTTTCCATTTTTTGACTACTAACGTCAACTCTTAGCTGTAGCATTTAAATAAAACAGAATTTAAGTTTGGGCCTTCATCCTTCCCAAGAAAAAGTCACGAAACACGAGCAATATTCTCCAGGCTCTCCTGCAGTTGCGAGCTGATGGAGTTCAAAGCGCCTCAATCGGATTGATCGAAGGCTGCAAATATTATCAGTACAATGAATGCAATAAAAAGACCGCTGAGTCTTGACAGAAGAATGAGCCACGGGAACAATATTCTTTTGAGTGAATAGAATACTTGCAGGATACTGCCACGCCCTTCGATACTTTTGGCTGCATATCCTATCTCTCTTTCACTGTCCTATGGAATCGTCGTCAAAGGACGCTTTTTGTTAAGACAGCAAGGATAATCGAAGAATCAGATGCAATGCGAAAACACCACCAACTAAAACGGGCAGCGATCGCATGCAGACCATGAGAAAAGAAGTTTCTTCCAAAAGCTAGTATTACAAACCAGGAGGTGGTGGAACCTAAGTAATCGGAGCTGTGTCAGAAAAACGCGGGAAATGAAGTTAATGGGGTTCTTTTCTGACTTACCGCGCTGTACATGCCGCCTGGCGGGGATCCTGAGGGCGGAGGCGGCGGTGGCTGCTGACCGCCGGGAGGAGGAGGGGGTGGTGATTCCCCGGGAGGCGGAGGAGGAGAATTTTGCTGTTGCTGCTGCTGATGTGCAGCCGCAGCCTGTTGGTAATACTGCTGGTAAGCAGCGACGTAACCCTGATATCCACCATATGCGGCGTATGGATCTTGACCAGAAGCGTAGTATTGGGCATACTGCGCCGAGTAATCCGCAGGGCTAGACACTCCAGGTGCCGCCGCCGCCGCTGCAGCAGGTGCTTGCGTTGAAGGGCTCATAGCGGATACAGGAGAGTTCGAATAGCTATTGTAGCCACCATAGCTTCCCTGCCGATCTGACATTCGGTTATGACCGCCGCCACCGTAACCGCCACCGTAACCGCCGTAGCCATGGGAAGGCGGAGGATTATCCTTGAAGCGCTGGTACTGCTCCTTGACATTTCCAAGTAAATCCTCACAAAGTTCCTTTGCATGCTGCACTTCACGTGGGTCCGGACCACTGCAACTCATTAACTGCCTGGTCGAAAAGAAAACAAAAAAATGATCTGCGACAACTTACGTCACGTGCAGGAACATGGGCTCATCGCTTTCACGATTTGTGCCATGCTCCATGAAACCCGAGCCGCGCCCCTTGATCTGCACTCGGCAACGAGTCTCTTGTTGGATATGTTTGACATATGAACCTCCGTGTCCAACAACTTGTGCACGCAAGTTAAAACCTGGAATAGGTTCAAGTCCCACGGGAATGCGCTCCTCGGGCCATTTGCGCTGTTAAATTTATGAGTTAGCACAACGTCCAGTGAATATGAGTTGAAAAACGAATGACAAACCCGTCCAAACTCGTCTCTTTCAACAGGGTCGGGCTCTCTCCTGCGGAATCGTCGTTCATCAACCAGATTCGGGAGTTCCTGTTTCATAAGCTCTTCAATTTTGGCGATAGCTTTCTCGAGACCTTCTTTGGTTGTGCTGGTGATATGCAGATATAGCGGCGGATTCTGTGATAATTTTGCGTTAGATATTGTTATATCCCCTCTGATAATGACTACTAGGCAATCAGTGACATACCGCAGGAGTCGACATGTTCTTGTCGGGATAATAGTTTCCTCGGGTAGTGACATCTTTAAAGTAATGAGCCTCTCTATTTCTTTAATCGTAAATAATGGTAATTGAATTCAGCGTACCGGCGCCAGTCTCATCTTTGATCTAAATTATCACGCAGCGGAGGTCAGCAGATGCCAAAGAGGGGTTGCAAGGTGAGGCTAGGCGCTCTTGGTAAGCATGACTGTCTTTCCACAAAATAAAGGGGAAAGAATTTGCTTGAAACAGAATATTTCAATGATTGCTCTCGGCCCAGGCCCCTTTGGAGTAGCACTGGCACACTCTCATTCATACAAGCAAGACAGCCTGAAGATTTATCAGTGGAAACGTGGTGGGGATCAAATTTACCATTTTCTGCGTGGAGCCTTTGGTCAGGGTGTATCGGTTGCGAAGGTCGTTTACTTCAATGTCTCGGATATAGTCGCCGTCAGAGATATACGTCTCGCCATTTTTATGTTCTGAACCAGCCGGAGGGGAGGAAGCTTTGCCAACAGGGCTTCCCGTTGCTGACTGTGGGAGATGGTGTTAGAGAACAATCCCAGCGCTTCATAAATAAGGGAATATTATATATATACCGAGCGAATCGGAGGCACATCAACATGCTGAATGCCCTTTCTGGCCTGGATCTGGGCGTTGATTCTCGCAGCGGCGGCAGCTAGAATCGGAGTATTAGCAACAAACACCAACGGGCAACAACAATGCTTGCTAGGCTTACCAGCGGCAGCAGCAGGGTCCCCAGATCCTGCCTTCTTTTCGTCCACAGCTGGGCTTGCGGTCTCCCTATTTATTGGACTACGGCTCCGACGGGATCGAGAGTCGCGACCACTTGGGGACCTTGAACGGCGGTCAAAACGAGAACGTCTGGGTTCGTCACTTCCATGTCGATCGCGAGCTGGTTCGGTTTGATCGAAGCGCGAGCGCTTCCTACGATCTTCCTCCATTGCAGTAGCTGGCCCCTGAGGAATATCTAGACGCCGGCAAGCAAATAAAAGATATACCTCTGAAAAGTGACCCTGAATGTTGAAACTTCGAGTTACCAGCCAAATCATATCCGCCGATCAAAGACGGTGAGTCACGTGCATATATCACTAATCCCTGTCTGGTTAAGGTTGTAACGCAGATAATCTTTGACCCTAAACCTGTTCAAGCCTAGCAGATCTCCAGGTTATTTGGGCCAATAGATTTTCATAAAATTAGTCCCCCGCTTGCCGAGTTCGGCCCTTGACCCATCCGACTTTCTCGTCAGCCAGCAAAGAAATAATCACAGTCACGATTGCTCCGTGTCTCCCTCCGCTCAATCGACACCGCGCGAGAGAGACACAATTCAACAATGGCATCCCGCCGAGCTGTCGTGGCATTGGGGGCCACGAGAAAGTCCCTGGCCACCACCGGCTCCTTCGCGGCCAGGAAGAATTCACCTTCGTTGATTGTTCAGTCTACTCAACGCCGATGCACCGGAACTTCCTCCTCGACTTCTGCGCTTGCATACAAAGCTCTGCACAGCCGCATTGCACCTCTCCCGACAAATGAGAACCCACCGCAGTGGTCGGCCTCTGCTGCCGTGTCAAGCATTCTCTACGAGACGCCCTTGCCCTCCGCGGCCCCGCAAAAACGGCACGTTTTGAACTGCCTTGTTCAAAACGAGCCTGGTGTCTTGTCCCGCGTTTCGGGCATTCTGGCAGCACGAGGATTCAACATTGACAGTTTGGTTGTCTGCAATACTGAGGTTGAGGATCTTTCCCGCATGACAATTGTCCTGACCGGCCAGGATGGCGTTGTTGAGCAAGCACGTCGCCAGCTTGACGACTTGGTCCCTGTTTGGGCTGTCCTCGACTACACTGATGCTCCTCTCGTACAACGTGAGCTGCTGCTGGCCAAGGTTTCTATCCTCGGTCCCGAATTCTTCGAGGAGCTGCAGGCTCATCACCGTGAGATGACTGCCGAAGACGCCGAGTCGCTCGAGCGCCTCCGAGCCGGAGATGCCTCGGGCAGGGCCAAGGAAATTAAGAAGGATTTCCACCCCAGCAAACTGGCTGTCAGCCAGGCCTTGCGACACAAGCATGAGCATCTGGAGGCTATCACCCACTTGACTCACCAATTTGGTGGCAAGGTCTTGGATATCAGCACAAACAACTGCATCGTGGAAGTGTGAGTCATTGAAAGAAGTAGCACATTTGCCATATCTATGCCTGACTAATTCTTTCCCAGCTCCGCCAAGCCTACCCGTATCGACTCCTTCATGAAGCTTGTTGCTCCCTTTGGAATCATGGAGTCTGCTCGGACAGGTAAGCTAAGAAGCTCTCTCTCACTTTCCACTGCCCCCTTTTACCCTCCAGCTCTACTTGATCAATCCCCCCTCGCCTCCTTCTGTACATGAATTTGTCATTCTCACGCTCCAAACCTCTTTCTCACAGGACTCATGGCTTTGCCTCGATCTCCTCTGCACGCCCCGACGGAAGAGATTGAAAAAGACGCCGGCGAAGTCGTCGACGCCAGCACTCTTCCCCCTGGATAAACTATCAACGAACTTTTCTATATTGGTATTATTTTCTTTTAAAAGGATAGTTTGATTTTCTTTTATTTTCGGCATTAAATCTCAAGTACCATTCTAGCTCCTTTGTATTTTTACATCTGTGTCAATTCACATACCTTCAGGGTTAGCATTGAATCTACTATAATTTCTCTATATAATTCTTCAGCTCATTTGCTTCAGTTGACTATTCCCACTGATTCATGTTGCGGGTCTCGAATTGAATCGCCGCAATTATCAAGCACATTTGCCACTGACGATCATCTTTTGTGTATTATAATGGTGCTGTAAAGAAAGAAAAGTGCATGATATCCGTTATTCTATCTTTTGCCGTAAGGCTCACAATCCGATTCCAACACGCCTAAAGATGGGCATGGATCGAAGGATCAAAAGAGGGCCAAAACAATGAGCTTGCGAACCAGGCAATGACTCATATATAAGCGACTCATAACATCTCGCATCTCCATACTTGTGAAAATGAAAGCCAATGCGTACGCTAGAGTCGAATCTTGGCCCCGATCCCACCGCCTTGGAACCAAACCGTCGTACCCCATTCGCCTATCCTCACGCCTAATACTGCCTTGGCGTCGAGTTTTAGAGAGCCACCGAGTGTGCGGCGGACGGCATCGTAGCCCACGCTGTTGAGATTCCATGTGACGGGCAATCTTGGAGTTTGTGAGATGCCCGGCGGTATTGCAATAGGATAGTTGTACACGATTCTCCCAACAGGTTCGGTGTGGTTGTAAAAGGCAGTCGCATCGATATGCGTTATATAGAGCGTCGTGTGTGGAAGAGGGGAAAGCAAGACGAAGGTAGCTGTTGAAGTAAGGAGGTGCATCTAATTAGGTAAATATCGAGTAAGTGCGAGATGCTCAGTGATCAGTCAACGACAGAAGGGAGGCGAGATTCTAGTAGTAGGCTTGTTTGCAAGGTAGATATGCAGGACAAGAAAATTTCTAGAAAAAAAAAAAAAGGTAGAACGTGATGCTAAATCTAATCTTTCCACTACAAAAGACATGAAATGGTGACTAAAAGAGCAGGGCCAGGACATGATTAGGGATCAGTTGGAGCGAACAGTACCGTTGCATCCTTGATAAACTTGGGTCCTTGGTCGTCTTCCCCATCGTCATCGCCATCGTCAGGTGTTTTTGGTGCCCGTAGCCTTGGGCTTTGGATATCAATCTCTAATGATGAAAGGGCTTTGCCAAGCGTGGGCTGTGCTGGAATAGAGCCCTCGTGCGCTCTCAACGTTACCGTTGTATTATATCCTGAATCACATAAAGTCAGTGTGTAAGCCACGGAAAATGATAAAAGGTGTTCTACCGGAAATATACTGAGACAAAAGCTCCTTGCCTACTTTTTCTCCTTCAGGGCCTCCCGATGTCGCGGGTGCCCAAAGCGCCTCGACAACCACATTTTCATTTGAGCCTGGAACAATTAAGATGTTTTTGGCCGTGGCATGCCCAAGCATTGTACCATTGGATAGAAATTCAAAATCGACAAAAGGTATAGCTGCCGAATAGTTGGTGGGGTTTGTAAAGTTAACAGAAGCCTGGAGGGACAGCGATGACTCTGTGGTTTCAAGTATTTTTAGAGAACCAACTTTGGGCGCAAACGACTCCAGGCCTTTTCCAGCTATCGCTAAGGAGTATTAGCCATGTTGACACTTCTTCTCGTCAAAAGTATATCGGTGACCAACGTTTTATCGGAATGCTTCCTTTGGCGGGGATCCTTTTCATTGTAAGCTGACCAAGAACGGTGTCCACTTTGACATCGACATCGGCCGCAACTGTCAAAATTGCCTCTTGTTTCTGAAAGATGAGTTTCTGCATCAGTTCTGCAAATGTATCTTCATTGGTAATCTCCAACGGTGCATCGTTGACAATGGATTCAATTTGCAGGTTGGTATTGTTGCGCTCATCAATAACGCTGCTTGAATTGGCTTCTTGCCATTTGTGGAGGTCGAGAATGCCAAGTTCCTTTCCATGGTAGAAGATTTCCGCACCAGCCCGGACGCTTGAAACATTTAGTGGGAAATTCACAACATCTGGTACGGTTACCACCGCCTTCACGACTGCGGAAAGCTTTGGTCGTGCCTCTGGCGTGTCAGGCTCCGCAAACGGATCTGGCAGATTGATGTGGACATTTTCCAAAGAGAAGTTCTTGATCAAATCCTTGAAGCTGTGTTCAGGAAATGGTATAGGCACTGTGACACTTGATATTAATTCCGCAATCCACGGAGGCGTAGTATCCAAACCAGTCTCTGATCCTCGAACGTAGAGCGTAGTCTTCTGACCCTTTAGATAACCTGTGAGCAGCAGGTCAAGGGGCGACGAATGCGAACTAGGACAAGTTGAAGTGAGAGTATCTGGGAGCTCACGAACAACCCCGCTTGCGTTGACATGGACAGGCTGGCGCGGTTCTATCATTATAGACTCAGTAGTTGCATGTGCCACCATAATATATGGCTCAGATGGAACGCAGTTCGGTACTAATATGTTGAATCCAAGAGGAGGCACTGTGAACTTGACAGGGTAATTATTGGAGATCTTGAGCGAAACGTTCGCACTCATTCCTTTCGAAGACTTCGGCGTTGAAATCTCGCGAATTTCCAAATGGTCCACATGAACATTGGGAATTTCTGGAACATCATCATCTGCAAAGTGATTAGCGTCTTCGCAGTCTGCAAGTCAGCTTATGGGATAGCTAACCCTGGAAAGTCAGCGTCGTTGAAATTTGCTGGGTCCCCAGCTTAAATATGCCAGATTTCAGTTTGACATCGGCCTTCCCTTTGACTTCTAATTGACTCAGCCTGTCGTCCAACCAATCTTTAGCCACGCGGCTCAGAATTTCCGATTCACCAGGTTCAATATCCGTCAAGAAATCAATATGAGTCGTTCTCCCGTTTCGGAGATTAAAAACGATGCGAGGAACTGTTGCTTTGCCAAGTGCTAAATCACCATATTTCGGGAAATACACCTCAACGACTGTCGGCCCACTCTCTGCTTTCCTGGCAATCCAAGTCCCTGCACGGCCAAGATCACGTATTGCTTTCTTGTGGACACGAGAGGCGTCGAGAACGAAATCACCTTGGATTCTGGCCCGGACACCAGAAGATGTGAAGGAGTCAATCGAAAGATTCGTGGGTTCAAAAATCATTGCTGTTTCTGCATATTCTTGCATTGCCCGTGGTGTAAAGAACCCTACGACCATGATAACAACGACCAAGGCACACAAAATGCACAACGCTATTATGGTTGGCCATCGCCGACTCTTCCCGCGGCTGGTTTGAAAGCGCCCCTGAAGAGACAGAAGCGCGGCTGCTGCACGATTTGCTACTGATGAGGAAGAAGCATCATCTTGTTGTTGACCACGTTCTCGAGCGAGTAGAGGAGTAGATTCATTCGAACTCTCCGATGGTCGAGAGCGGCCTGTCAGTGTCGATGATGAGGATGATTGCGGCCTTTTAGACGGATTGTCATTATTGCTGAGCTGTTCATCGCCCCTTTCGGGCGATATGTTGTCTTCATTCATCACTGGTTCTCGTCATCAGCGCTTCCGATAACGGATGCAATTGGTCGCAGAGCGATATCGAGATATGTATGGTAGAGGATGGAGTCACGATTAGTGGAGCGAAGTAGTTTTCAACATTAGAAGTATGATTCAAGCTCGATATATCTGACCAGACGCCATTGCATGAATATTTAGGAATAACAGTATCTGGGAAGGTTGAAACCTCAAGACACGAATGTCGTCGTCACCATCTTGGGCAGGATACTCCCAGCCTTAACCCCGGGCAACCTGCCACTTTAGTAAAGCGCGGGGTGATATGGCGCTAGCGAGCCAAGCGATCCCTGGCCGGAACCTCAAAACGGAGAAACCGTTCAGATAAGTTGGTAGTGGACAGTCTTTCTATACCACGTTGCTTGATCATTTTGCAGGGCAATGTTTCTGTAATGAGACTTGACATAAGTTCGGTGAAGTCTGATTTGCTACAGACTCGGCTTCCCATCTAGAAACCTTTCTGTAGGAATGCAGTCATGTTGAGGTCCATGATTCCAATGCCCATCGTGCCTGTGTTATACCAACGGCCTGGCCATGAAAAGACACATGGCGAAGAATTCTTATGATATGACTCCGATATTTCCATTGTGTAGTGGTTCAAAAATCCTTAATTTAAGAAGTAAAGAAAGGAACTTATGAGTGATATTGTGTCCTGTTTGTTAAATGTTCGGGTCCTCTGCTGTCAAGACCCTCGAATCCGCGTACGCCAGATATTGACACATGTCACTTAGGTATGCTATGCTATGCTAAATACATAATGATAAAACTTGCGCCGCTTTCCCAGGAAAAGTTTAAGGCCCCGACTCCGGAATTTTCTACAACAGTAAAATGAACACAGCGTTCTGACGCTTGGGTCAGAAATAAGGGGAGTTATAATACGACTCTGATGGCAGAGCTAGTCGGGAATACTGCGAATATCGGTCTTGACACCGATTTAGAAGTACGCTAAGTAAAAGAAAAGGAGAATACCGCGAATCAGGCAAGGACACCATGGCGAAAAGAGGATGGAAATGTAGGCGCTCATGCCAGGAGTGCACAAAGAGAAAGGGAAAATGTGCTGCAAGAGCAGCCGGAACCAAAATACGCAAAAGCGTTAAGAAGGAAAAGATAAACCCACAAAGAACCAGAAGCCTCAGGATTATTAAAAAAAACAAAGCTTCTGACATCCAGATCGGAAAGAGGAGAACTTGTATCTGGATTGATAGCCGCTCATAAAATTGCGAAGATGCAGCAACGCTTGTACAGCCACCGTAAATGCTGGCGAGGAAGAAAAAGACCAAATACTGTACAAGTCTCCAGGTAATTATTGGTAAGGAGCGAAAGGTGACAGAAACGACGTGCAGTGGATTCGACATTTCGACTTGAGCTCTGAATATCGTTTTCGGCGCCCAACTCAGATTCGTGAAACTCTGCTATGCTAGATTGAATGATGTTTCATCTAGGATTGATCCGGAAGTTGGTTGGCTGAGTAGAATTATTAACTCAACGTCTCCCCTGTGATGATGCTAGGGATTCCGTCCGCTCATAGAGAGCTCCTCCTGGGAAGAACCCGGGGCTATTCATAGTGCCTGACGGCGTTGACGGTACAGTGGCTTGGACAGCTGGTCCAAGGGCCGCACTGAGCGGTGTCGCCGGTAATGGTGTCACATATGGACTGCTATTTGGTGCAACAGATGTGGCAGATGTAGGAGCAGCGATAGCGCCAAGAGGAGACATGGATACTCCTAAGGCAGATGGGCCGAGGAAGCCAGAGTGCGTCATTCCTGGCTGAAGAGGAGGAATTGTAGCTGATTGCGACCCAAGCTCACTCCAGGGTGACTGAGTGATGAGTGCCCCAACCTCTCTAAGTTGCTTCTGCGGAAGACGAAGCGCGTGAAGCACGTCATTGGGAATGAGGTCATAACTTCGAGCTTCTTTAACGAGGAAGGCAAGATCAACAAAGGCCTGGAATTGTTAGAGTCAATACACCATAAGACCAAAGATAGATTTCATGAGATATGGATTCTGACCTTGAGCCAGTTATGGCAAAGTTGCCAGAATTCACGCTGACTTCTGATATTTGGATCTTTCAGTTTAATTGTGGACAGACAATGCTTGAGTTGATCCGTGACATTAATAGAAGCCATAGATTTATCGCACAAGTCTGTCCAGGAGCCTCGGACAGATGAGGATGCGCCCTTAGCATTTGCAGTTTCAGAGCAACGAAGAAAATGAAGTCTGATGGCAGGCAGAGCATTTAAAACCGAGTCACATCCAGTGCTTAGTCTGAGGTAGATTTTCTCAAACAGTCTCTCTTCGTCAATCACTTCACCATGTCCTAACATTGTGTTGTTTCTGGAACGCACAGTAGGCGTAGGTACAGCAGGAAACGTGTCAGTCGAGCGTGGTGTGAAGGAGAAGCCGTTCGTTAATGTGTTAGATCTGCTGCCTGCATACTTAAACGGTAGAGGGGGCTGAGTATTAATAGGTTGTAAAGCACTGCCGTGTTGAATAACTGTTCCGCTCCTCATCCGTGTGCCAGGTGCAGGTCGTTCTCGTGTAGGTGTAGCCGAACGCCCTCGTCGAAACATTGGGGCAGCCACACGTCGTGGCACAAATCGCCTGCGACTGATACTGATTTTGGATCGTAGATGTGAAGTGGCATTCCGTATTTCAACAAGGCCTCCAAATACCAACAAGAGCAAAGTTCGTATGTACTTTTGGTCCCCTTGTTCGATGATTTTTGATGCGTTGCCAACAAGTAATGAAATGACATGTTCGTAAGCTTTGATGCATGTCAAGCACGCACGCTCGACGCCTTCACTGGACTGAGGTGGCCCTTCTTCATCTTCCTCAAAATTGTCAAACTTGTGAATTTCCCTGTCGAGTTCTCCCACGTGCGTTGTTGCATTATAGAAGACACGCTCCAAACTACTGCGTTTAGAAGGACCATCGCGGGCCAGAGCAAGAAGGCTTGAAATGTGCGGGTGCAGCTGAAACATGGAATAAAGGACGCTTTTTGCCGCTTGAACCAGAGGAGACGGTGAGTCTGACTGACGTTTATATTCAGGGAGACTTGAAAGCCTGTTGATGAAAACATTTCGGTGGCGCTCGTTCTCGATCGGGCTTGCTGGACTTGATGAACTATTGCCACTGCGAACATCCCCGCTATCTTTCCCACGCAAGATCGAGCCATGGCTCAGTCCTCTATAATGACTAAGGCGGTTGGTTCCAACTTCATTTAAGGTAGAAAGGTCTGACGGTTTTCTAGTGATGATGCCACCCATCCGTTTCATGCGATTGTTGGCCTGGAGAATGCTTTCACTGTTGCTGCGATTACGTTCATTGCCCAAAGCAAGCGGTGCAATACCAGGTCGACGAGCTACAGAATTCTGCTGGGATTGCATTCGATGATGTGAACGCTCTGGGATTGGCGGTGGCTTGCTAGAAAGTCCTAGGGCGGTCATTGGATCGATGCCGCTTATGCTTGGCTTCACCGGAAATCTGCCACCAGTGCGTTTGCTCACACGCGGCTGCTCCACTGGTCCTTCGCCACTATGGCCGTTCAGCTATTGCACGAAATCCTAAGATATACTACACTCACCTAGATTCAGCTCCTGACTCGTTTCCGCTTTTGCCCGATACTGCGGCTTGCCTTAAAAATCTCTTAACCTGGACGGTGATAAGAGTGTCTTTTTCGCTGTCGAGAACTGGTATTTGTCTTTTATCCTCCAATTCTAGGATACTTTTCGGCGGGAAAATGAGAGGATTCCCTTCTAACTTCAGAACTTGCAATGTTGTGATATTGCCGAGGCAGAATGGTAGCCGTTCTAATTTGTTCTTTTGAACCGACAACACTTTCAGTGAAGTCAAATTACCAATGGCATCAGGTATCTCTTGAAGGCTGTTTCTGCTCAGATCAAGTATTTCTAGGGATGCTAGCTCGCATATCTGATTTGCCATTTCTATTAGCGCGCAGGAATTTGCGCGACATTTATCATTTAACACTCACAGTATTTGGAAATGAACGTAAGTCATTATAGCGAACATTCAAATAGCGCAGATGAGAGCACTGAGCGAAGTTCGAAGGAAACTGTCGAATTTGATTGTGTGGGAGTGCGAGTCTAAGAAGCCCTTAGTAATTGATGCTGCATACCCAATGTCATCGTTCGGTTTTGGAGGATAATGAGCGGACCGTACCTCTCGATATCATCCTTTATGACATTTACAACATCCTCGGTAAATTTCTCTATTTGTTTATGCCCGAGATCTATCGTCAAGCCAGGTTTAAGTCTCCCTCCAACTTCAGCATTGTCGGCATCAGTGTCCGAGACTTGCGCGACCTGCGCTTCCCGTCTGGCAACTTCGACCGCTTCCCGAACAATCACAAGTAGCTCCTCATCTGATGTTGGACGGGCCAGCTTGAGCATTGTATGTTGTGAAGATGTTATTGGACGGACAGTCTGATAGGGCCCGGAGGCGTTGAGGTTGCTGGGTGGTTGGGACGCGGCTCTGTTCCGACTGCTGTCAATTTCATCCCGAGGGGACTCTAAAACAGCCTCGCCTGGTGACGTTTCAGGACGTCGTATTGCTCTCGGACCGCTCTCCATGACAAGGTGTGGTGCGTCAAAGAGGGGCAGGCAAAGTTGATCGCAGAAGGGGGGCGGCTACAACCAGCGCAAGACTGGTATGACGAAAGGCGGCGACAGTCGACTAACTCGATTTATCTGGGCTCGAAAAGACCAGCGCGATTCCTAGCATATTCTTTGAAACGGTGACTCCCGTCGCAAGGTAATTAAAAACTTCTTTGATCTGAAGAAAGTGAGATTGACTTGGAGGACATGGAGAGTCGATTAACTCAAGCTCGGCTTTAGCGCGAAGGCTACCTGACAGGTTGAGGGGGATGGTCTTCCGCTTCATGCAAGGCACCCGCTCCGCTCGCTTAGATTGTTCCGGGGCGTTTATCAGCCGCCAGGCCGCTGTGGAAACCCCTCGGCGACGAGCGAGGATCGTAGATGGACTTTAGGGAGTAATCTGACAAATATTATGCATGCACGTGATGGGGCTGGCACAGCGTATTGATAGATTTTTTTGTATCATCGAGCAAAGTAGGCTTTGCCAGCAAACACATGTCTATATTCATAGCTCCAGGCGAGTAGGCTGGGTCTGCATGGTTGCCCTCGCTATAAACAGGCTGCTTGAAATTGGTCGATGGTCGAGACATGAGGCGGTATATTGTATACTTCGCTCCTTATAATTCTGTGTCGAATCCTGAAAGCCTTGGCTTTCTGCTGGCTGTGGCATATCTGAAGCAAATTATGCAAGATTAATTGTTCACCACCATCACAGCATAATCAAAGGAGATGGATCCTGAAGATTAAATGTCTGGCCAACTGTCTTTCAAATATAAATAGGAAGAGAGCGCAGATTGGCGTCACTATGCTAATGTACAGTAAACTCCCGCAATAAAATCTCTTTAGAAAAAGAAGGACAAAACTCATGAATCTATATGGGAATACCACAACCAGCCCCTAAGGGTGGAATACGGCTCCTCCACGGGCTTCTTGCCCCTGCGCGGGAACAGAGCCACTGAGTTCGTCGATTCCAGCCTCCATTTGCGACTCGTCGGATCCCAAATCTGCTTGTGCACCGCTTGTTCCGGAATAAGCAGCAGTGCGAGCCTGCTCGGCAGCGGTGACCATCTGAGACGCCCATTCTTTCCACTGCTCGAATGCCTTGTTCTCCAATTCCATGCCGACTTCGAGGTAATTTTTACCAAAGTATGCGCCTGTCGAGAGTGCCTCCTCTTTTGCTACTCTTCTTTCCACCTCCTCTTCGTGTCGCAGGGCATAGAACTCTTCGCGCGCTTGATCATAAGCTCTAGCGACTGTCATCTCAGGTACATTGTTGAGCAGCCATAACTGACGCTGGATGACACTGGATTAATGTCAGCACAAATTTCTCACGTTCTGCAATTAGATTTCATCCAGGTATGCTCAGACACACCTCTCGCCGTCCAGCCTTCTATTTGGCTGTCGCATTTTGCTCCAATCACAATGCTGCGCGTCTTTTCCATCATTTTCCAGAACCACCCTAGGGCGAGCAAGTTCCCAGGGATGATCCGCAAAGAATTCTTTCCGCATAGCGTCCTCGGGGTATTTTATTTGCTGAGGTTGGAACATTCGGCTAGGCTTCTTTGCTTTATGCCTTCGCTGCCGCTCTTGATGCTGAACAGGCTGGTTACGCACTAACGCTTGGGTCGGAGGAATCTGAGCGACGACATCAAACCAGCTAGGAGATTGATTGATGCGTTTGGTCGCGAGCAATTGAGCCGCTGTCTGGTGAACCCGAAGGGGCCTGAAGTCGTACCGTCCCATCTTCACGCAGTTGTGGGCCCGACACCCACAAAGGTGCTCGCAGGAATGGGGAAATAAATTGCGTTATTGTTCGCGTGTCAGTTTCGTTTGAAAAGGAGATTGACTCGATATGAAGCCAATATGGGCGAATTGGGCCGACGAGGACGCACGAATTGGTCTCCTCGGGCGATTCTCTCAAGTTGATTTTGATGGACTTTTGATGGCGGAGAGATCCGTGGGCTGCGCGACAGCTCTCGTATTAGGAATAGCGCAAAGGTGGACCGACATGGGACACCTTGGCCAATCATAGATGACAGTCGGGCTCTACTTTAGTCGAAGATGGCGGATTACCCGATTAAGACAGGTTTACCCCATACTCCGGGTCTTCCCCAATGTTGCCCCATCCCGTCTTCCCCCTCCCGAGCTATTGTGCTGTATTCGTGTACGGACAGATGAACGAAGGACTTTCACTCGATTGATTTCACCTCCTCCATCTCCAGACAATTTTTCTCAGATTGATTAGTCCAGCTCTGGCACGCTCGTTATGAGATTTACCAAGAAAATCGCAACTACCACATGATTAATCCTCTCGGTCATGACACAATGTCTCGCATGACATGTCCTTCTTCGGTGCTCTGGATCGATCAGCGAGCTGTTCGATTTCACGTCGGATGAGCTCTCGCTCTCTCCTCCTCACATTTTTGTGTCCAAAATGCAACATTCGGTCCGTGGCGACATCAAGAAAACCGCTCTTCTTTCATGCCGCCCATAAATTGAATCAAAACGTCTCATATAACGCTTCGGGGGAGATCGGTGCTCCTCTGGTAGATAACCAGCATGGTACCAGTGAAGCTGCTGCCAAGCGTCTTCTCTCAAGACCGGTCAGCCACGGAAAACGCACAGCTAAGCCCTCACCAAATCATGTGAGAAAATGGTCCTCCTCGACTCGCTGCCAGAGCCTTAGTCAACCTGTCTTCATGCAGGCTTCGCGTGAGGATTTCAAAGATCTGATTGATCATTACTATGACCCACTGGATGGGAGAGCAGATCTGCAATGTCATGTACCACCAACCTTGCTGTTCGACACGACGACAGTGAAGCATGAGAGCTTCGAATTGCTCTCAGCTTCGGACGATAAACCAAGGCCAGCACCATCCTCTGAGGAAGACTGTTCCATAAATCGATTCACTGCGGCTATGGCAAAGGACAATATTTCAAATGATGACTTATTTGAAATATATAAGACCATACCTCGATCGTCATTGAAATCATTGCCGGCCAAACAGATACGGCGCCTCTTACATCGTCTTATAATTGTCGAGAAAAGAAACGAGCGTACGATGTTACAGTACCTATCAATTGTTGATGACATGAAAGATGCAGGCATACCATTGACCTCGGGAGAATGGAGTAGCGCTATTGCTTTCGTCGGACGATGCTACACCAAAGTCTCAGCCGCCGATGTGAGATCGGCCCTCTACATTTGGAAAGAAATGGAGGCAGATGCAGGCGTAACAGGGACAAACGTGACTTTCAATATTTTGTTTGACATCGCGGTTAAAGCAGGTAAATATGGCCTGGCAGACATGATTTTAAAAGAAATGCATGCAAGGCGATTGGAGTTTAATCGATTTACGCGTGTTGGATTGATATTTTACTACGGATTACGAGGCGACGGCGACAGTATTCGAAAGGCCTACCGGGAACTAGTTGATGCTGGGGAAATAGTGGACACTGTGGTGCTAAACTGCGTCATTGCATCGCTGCTCAGAGCTGGTGAAGCCGGTGCCGCAGAACAAGTCTTTGGTCGAATGATGAAATTACATGCGAAGCAAGCAGGCACAAGATTGTTACCACCTCGAGATTGGAGGACATCGCGGAGGCTCGGCAGAGTCCTTGCAAGAGCTTCAAGGTTCTTCCGCGACAAACCAGAAGCCCGGATGGGACTGCAAGCTAGCTCACCTGTCGCACCAGACCTTCGCACTTTTTGCACACTTCTCACCCACCACGCGCTCGAAACGGGCGATGTGGATAAGTTATCCTACTTCCTCGACGAAATGCGCTATCTTGAGATTCCTGTGCACGGCCGCATCTTCCTCATTCTCTTCCAGGGCTTTGCAGTTCACGGTTCAAAAAGGTACAGCTCTTGGACGACGTCGCTCTTAGAGACTGTTATGGATGCTTTTCTCCAAGCATTGCAGGACCGCCCTGGTGATATATTTTGGAGTAAATGGATGACGGTACGGATTGTTCGTGCGTTCAATGTTTGTGCTGGTCAGCAAAGAGCTCTAGAGATTTGGCAAGAGATACTTAGCCGGTGGCAGCCTAGACCAGAGGAGCTCGATGCCACCAGCAAGCTCCTGTGCAGCATTTTGACGCAACCTGAATCAGCATCTAGCTCAGGCAAGGAATAATAGTGTGGCTCGGCGTGTTTTCAGTTTCGAAACCTATCTGATGAAATCAATGATTATAATGAAGTCAAGTCAGTTTACAAATTGAATATGGATGATCCAGTTATGCCGCATATACTTCTATCTTATATCATGACGCTTTTTGGAATATGATTCTTTGAGGCCCAGGGTGCATTCTGCCTCGGAGTATCAAGGTGCAACCGAGAAGCTGGCGGCATGCAAAATTGGCTGGTAAGAGTATTTCTTATGCTTCTGCATAGAGCATCTTTCTACCCTAATTCATCTTGAACACAAACAGAACGATTTGGTCATATTTCGATCGTTAAAGCTGATTAATTTTCATGTAGTATGGTATAAACAGATATATTGTACAAGTTTATACGAATAAATGTATCAGCTATATAAAAAGGATCCTCGGAATTAAAAAACGCCTGCATATGAATTGAGACCAAATCGTGAACCGGATATCATCAATCGAGCGCTTCTCCGCTCTTCAATGCAATTATTTGGAAATGAAGTTTCGCAGAGAATGATCTGCTTCTGTTGGAATCGCCCGTGTATTTCAAGGAACAGGCTTTTAGACGCGCTCCTTCAGGAGGGCGTGGGCCAAGATGGGCCAGCCAAGGAGAACGGCAGCAGCAGGGACATATCTAAAATGAAACATTAGCAACTTCACCACCACAGGGGTTCTTGCATGTTGCATGGACTACTTACGCAATGCCCGTGCGACCGACTCGTCTCAGATAGACAGAAGATTGCACCGAGTGGGCAGCTTGGCTGACAGGTCGGCGCGCATGAGGATGTGGCTCAGCGACAAAGTTGCGAACAGAGGCAAGGAAGCCACGGCGGGGAGTAGCAGAAGGCATTGTGATGTGTGTTTTGGCCTTTTTGATTGCCTTGTTTGTATGTATCGGTGAGGAGAGATGTGGAGTGACTGCTTTTATCCGAATGTGCAGTCGTAAGAGTTGTGGTCTGGTGAGTGGAGTGACCTTTTGTGACAGTTGTTGCAGTTGCTACTTTGTCGTGTTTGAGAAGTGGAGAGGAAAGACTTTGAGTGGAGAGTAGATAATTGTATATATATAGAGTGGAGGGGAGAAGAGAGATGTCTCGTTTGCTCTTGATGCTGATGGCTGATGCTGAACAAAAGTTCGACTGAAGAGGGATACTACAAGTGGAATATATACTACTCATCCGTATTTCTTCTCTTACCTCAGATTGCTCAGTATTATCTTTCATTACGAGACTATCCGCGATCTAGCAACAATTCTGGCGCAAAGCTGGCCGAGGCGTGCCGTTCATCCCGCCAGCCGGCCATACTGAATGGGCAGAATGACCACGACAAAGTGCACGAGGACGAAAAGCTTACGGGGGCTAGGTGGTAGTGAGGGACCAGAATCAGTATAATGGCCTGAGGTGCCTGAAACTGTGCCTGAGGTATCCATCACTCCGTAGCAGGGTTTGTATGGGGCAGCTGTCAAAAACAAAGGAAAATCAGGAGATGTTTTGACGTCTGGTGCGGGAGGAGTAGGGAACACATGGTTGCGGTACCTCTGTGTCTGCGTGCGAAAATACGGTTTTGCCTTGGGGCGAGACTCTGGCGGTGGCTAGTGCACGGTTACCCCAGAAAAGTGCCTCGTGCGGGTAAAGCGTCGAGCCTAGACGGGCAAAGATTCCAGGTAAGGCTGCTGCGTTACCGGACAGTCCCGGTAGATTGGCCTGAGATATGGCGTGAGCTGTAAGCGCGCCTCTCCGCGTTTGTCCAGGTGGGAATTCTCCCCTGTCCGCTACGAAATATTGTATTGTGAGGAGTTCCTCATAGCCGTATCCAGAATTTGGTCGCTGGACCCTGTACAATTCTGATGCTAGGCTTGTTTGACACGGGCTTTTGACCTTCAATGCAAACATCGTGATCCATCTCATTACTTTTAGTAGATTTACATTCATAGTAGTCAATTTGCTATTATATAGAGTATTGCGCCTTGCAGATATCCAAGAGTGCAATTCTCTCAAGTAAGAGTATCCTCAGGCAGAGAATACGTCGCCAAGGATGGATGGATTACCCACACGAGAACAGCAAAATATACGGACAAATGGGAACTGAAGGATTAGCGATCACATTTGAGCCATTCATGCGGAGTTGTGGCGGAGTCGTCATAAAGCATAGCGCTGAGAACCAAAGGAAGAAAATTGAGGAAGAGAAAGCAGCCTCAAAGGTGCGCAGATGCGCCGGCTTAGTTCTTCAGTCGAACGACGAATCTCATGATGTGGTGTGACAACCACCCGGCGAGGTCCGACGACCTGGGCTTTGCTCGGTCGGGCGCAGTCGCTAAGCGACAGGGGGTGCAGAATGACAGCTTTGGAAATCCCCCCGCATTTTGCCGACAGAATTTCTCATTGCAGATACTGCGGCTGGGGAAACAATGACATCAATCAAACACGAAGTGCAAACGGAATTTCTTCTTTTTTCTTTAGCTTGTTCTATTCTATTTTATTTTTTGTGTTTTTTTCTGATTATCTTATGTATCTCTTTTACTTTTCTGCTTTTGTTAAATCAGTTTTTTGTGGATTATGAAGTACGCTGTGTGAAATGCCGAGAAACGACGAATACCTCTCTACACTGGTCAAAAAAATTAATGCTTTAGCTGAAATCATATGTTGGACCAGCTCAAAATGATTTGATTGCAAGAAAATTATTTGAGAAATTATTTTTGATGTATGATGACAGGAAAAGATGCACATGTACTAATGCAAGGAAGGTAAACAGTATTTGAGCAGCTGGTCCTCACCACCCGCACTTAGGGTTTTAATGCTCTTTGCATTCATTTGCATTGCGGAAATGGAATTGGCATGTAATCATCCTCGCATCGAGTATGCAGATACCTAAGGATAACTCTCCAACCTATGCGGAGAAGACGGCGTTATCTCCCATGGCATTATCACGTGCCCGCGCGCTACTCTTACGCGTAGACGCGAGACGCGATTTCTCTGGCGAATAAACGCCGCCAAGGTGATTTATTACATATCATTCTGGGGTAAGCGTTTATGAAAAAATGACTCTAGGTGTTTTGGAGTTTGATATCATATAGTGCTTCTCCGTTCGAGCATTGCTGCTTTGTTCTATAGGACAATACTGTGCTTTCTCGCGGTCCCATTACGTCCACCCGAATTTAAGCTCTTATAAACGCATCTGCAGCATCCTCTTCTACTTATACCGCTGTAATGCTGTTATATTATCCAAGGGAAATCATGAGAAGATTGTCTCGTCCGAACAATTGAACAACCGAATATTGAAACTCAAGCTGGGATTATGGCACCTATGGACCATGCACCAAAAAGACGGAAGACGAATGGCCACAGGAAATCAAGAACCATCGACATTGATTTTACGCTGAGACGTCTTTTCGGCAAATCAACATTTAGGTGAGTTTGCTTATCTTTTCTTTCCAATGATTGCCAATATCCGGCATGTTTCAAAGATCCTTCTCTTTGTCAATAAAACATTATCGATGGCTTACAAAGGGATTATTCAACTGCAGGCCTCTCCAGCGAGAGGTTATTAGCGCAGCCCTTGAGGGTCATGACATTTTCCTGCAGGCCGCGACCTCTTTTGGCAAAAGTCTATGTTACCAACTCCCAGCTGTGGTTGACTACGGAAGTATGTGACAATAATTAACACTGAAATTTGGATTTAAACTCATGAACGCATGCAGTCACAATTGTGGTCTCACCTCTTCTGGCATTGATGGTAAGGCACGACGATTTTATGTTGGATGAATTGCATGCTTACTTTCTAGAATAACCAAGTCACATCGCTTCAGGCTGCGGGGATCAGTGTTGCAACCATCAACAGCAGCACCCCGTCTTCTATCCGACAAGCTATTTTGGAGGATCTTCGTTGTGGTCATCCACATACTCGCCTCCTCTACGTTACGCCTGAATTCTGCATGACAACCACCTTTCGAAAGAACCTTCAAACGATACACGAACAGAGAGAACTTTCAAGAATTGCTGTTGACGAAGCGCACTGTATTTCTGAATGGGGCCATGACTTTCGACCATCTTTTAAAGAACTTAATTATTTCAAAAGGGAATTTCCAGACGTACCAATAATATGCGTGACAGCAACAGCTACGCAGCGGGTGCGGGATGATATAATAGACACACTCGGCCTTAACCGATCCAGCCTTAAGACCTTTACCATGACAACCAGCCGACCAAATATTCATTATGAAGTCCGTTTCAAGAATGACACAGATGATCATTACGAAAATTTTGTCCGTTGGCTCCGCGCTGTCTATGCTCGGCGGGCTTTGTCGGAACGACGGACTGAGCTCGAGGCACAGAGCACCCGCTTGAGCAATGTCAGTGGTATCATATATGTTCTGTATCGCAAAGATTGCGAGTCCCTTGCGGGTCGGCTAGTTGGTGATGGGATCGGAGCCAAACCCTATCATGCTGGGCTTACAGCCGCAGAAAAGGAAGACCATCTCCAAGGTTGGGTGGCTAACCAGGAAGGGTATGATATCATGGTTGCTACCACAGCTTTCGGAATGGGTATCGACAAGGAAGATGTCCGATTTGTTGTCCACTGGCAGATGCCCAAGAGTTTCGAGGGCTACTATCAAGAGGCTGGGCGGGCGGGCCGGGATCAGAAGGCGTCTGTCGCAATTATGGTACGTATAGAAATGTTTAGTTTCTCTGTTCGGCGCTGCGTTGCTAACGTGGTGAATTATATAGTATTATGCTCGGGAGGATCGTGATCGTATCATTCTTCTCCAGCAACGCGATGCTGGAAAGTCCAGTAATGGTCGCTCTGCTGCCAGTGAACAAGCAGTAGCAGCCAGGAACCTCTCACTAAATTCGGTATTTCCACCATATAGCTTCTCATCTCTCCATCTGGACAGGTAGTTTAAGCGCTATGGCAAATTGCTGACAATAATTATAGCTCATAAGTTATTGTGAAACGACCACGAAATGCCGTCACGCTCTTATTGCATCGTATTTTCATGACCCTGAGACACCGCCATGCAAATATGCATGTGATTGGCACAAGGACCCCGCCGGTCTCTTTGCTGCCAAAGAACGAGATCTTTGTCCGGAGGAGTGGTCTGAATAGGCCTAAATTTGACGGAACAATGACCATCTATCTACTTAGATGAGCTTTATCACTCTCATGCTGAAGGAGGCGACAATGTCTACATTTACAAAACGCCCGTTCTCAGTCCGGAAATGTTCACGGGGACGCGGTCAAGAACCATAAGCGTGTTACACATTGAAAACGATCATGTAGTAATCGAAGAATTTCTCAGCATTCTGCTTGATTGCAGACATCTTCAATGATAAAGCTAGCTATATTTTTGATATACTGAATAGAAAGGGAATAACATACAATGTTAGGTCGATGTGCCGTAATATTTCTTCGAATCTACCTAAGGTGTAGAGCACTTAGGGTGTCGCATGCACGTGCCCGCGCGATGAGCGATTGATAAGATGCTTATCATCTTTGACGTCAGAGAAAACGGTACAACCAACTCCACCATTGGACCAGCGCCATTAGGAATCGAACCCAATATCAGTTAAATACACACTCTTGGCACAGTCAGGAACATCGGCGCCTTTATGAGGTCCACGCGAGTAATTAACGTGGGGATTTAGCAGCTTTTTACACAAACAGCAACTGTTTTGACTACGCGTCGCGTCGTGGAAGAGATGATTACCCATTCGGCACCAGATCGTCAATTATCTGTCACATTATCGTCAAAGGATTACATATTTATTCCATAAGCCGGATAAGTGCATTATTTCTCATGCCAAAGGGAGGGATGGGGTCACCATCAATCTCAAAATCATCGCAATTGAAGCGCAGTCATGAGACCGGCGACTCGACGGAGGCTTGCGACACTCTTCCTCCATTACCAGATGAAAATTTTGGTAATAGCTTGTCAAGAGCGCATTTTGGTACCATTGGTGATGCCAATTTTGTAGCAGATGCCCCAGTTTCTACGGATTTCGCAAGGCAGAGAAGTGCCGACGACTTCCAAAATCATATTCCGCAAACCGGCTCTTCAAGGATCCACTCCCAGACGACTAGATCAACCGAGACCTCTCAGGCGCACTCCGTGTCTCCAGAATCCAAACGCAGAAAAACCGTTGCCCCAAGAACTCCCACTAAAAGAGAGGTGATTGATCTGACTGGCGACGATGACGACGGCGACAACGAGATCCACAGAAGAAATCCCAACAGCCCTTCAAAATCTCGTAAAAACCCGTCCACCCCTAAGAAGCAAGAAGAGAAAAGGCTGAGAGTGTGAGAATTTTCACCTTCACATCACTGCCACCCACTAAATGAACCTAGTTTCCGCAACCATGCTCCTAGGAGCTACCTGGTCAAGTTAGAGCGTGCTTTGACCCAAAGGTCAGTTCACCACGTGTGAGATTAATAGGAATACCTGAAAAATGCTAAAATGATAACAGAATGTTTGTGCTCAACCGATCTCGAGAAGGCAGCACCCCAGAATCTCCATCTGAAGTCATCGATCTTGCCGGTAGCACGGGCAATGTGTATGGTGTGACTATCGCTCATTTGCCTCGATGCACGTGTCCTGATTACTCTAAAGGCAATCAATGCAAACATATCATATATGTATGGATATTTCCGGTGTCCAATTGTTGAGACTGCCAATAAAAATAAATAACTAATAAATGTAGGTGCTTGTGAACATACTGAAGGCACCCGAACACCTCCAGTATCAACTTGCGTTCCTCACATCGGTATGGTTGCTCAATATGCTGTAACTGATTGGAACATATTTTCTAAATTGCCCAGGAACTGCACACAATCTTCGAAAATGCTCTTCTCCCCATTCACAAGGTGGAGAAGAGTGAAGATCAACACCCTGGAAAGCGCAAGCCAGTGGAAGGAGACTGTCCGATCTGTTTTACAGAAATGAAAGCAAGTGAAAACACTGTTTGGTGCAAGGCTTCCTGCGGAAACAACATCCATAAGGACTGTTTTCAAAAATGGACTGATAGCCAGCAAGGGCTAGGAGTCACCTGTGTTTACTGGTTCGTCTCTCATACATTCTGATTTATCTCTCGTTTCAATATCTATTATTTTACTTTTGCTTCACAAGTCTGAAAGTCTTATTTCAGAGATCCTGTCATCACAGACATGCGAAACTGACTTTGGAGTAGCCGAGCGCTCTGGCCCGCAGATGACGATACTTTTCAGAGAATGCTCAAATACGGAGAAGTCAATGATGAAGGCTATGTCAATGTTGGTGAGCAGCTTGGAATGTCCGAAGACCGAGGTATTACGTCTTTACTACCCCTCCCTACGTCATCGCCTGAAACAATGTGCATGCTGACTGACCGTTTGCTTCAAATAGATACTTCTACGTATCACTGGCCGAGAAGGCGGCGCCGTCGCTACGGTTCTCCGTACGACTGGTGGTACTGAATGTGTCTCTTCGCGCATTATAGATATAAAAGTGACTTTTGAATGGCATTTTGTCAATATGCAACTCCGTCTGGCAACCTCGAAAGTCGCTCCATGGCAGTACTATCCTCTTCCTCAAATCTATGACTTCTCACTTCATCCAAATTTGGCCTATGTCCGCGTGTACGACCCAGGTCCAAGTTGACAGCTGAACAATCGACGCAATATGGGGGCGGATATGTGCGCGAAAACAATTTCGAGCAGGGATGGATTGATCAAAAAAGCTGTTTTTTGACACCACGATGAGGTGTCATTTCACAACCTTCATGTTATTGTGGCAATTCGAAATTTGAGTTTAAGTCTCCAGCATTATGGCATCTCAGATGCAATACGGAGTACTGGAGAGAAAGTTGGATTGATTAGTCAGCCAACTCGGGCTTAATTTCGTCGCGGCGCCCGTAATACATCGAAGGAGATTCGGTGCTTCGATCGGCGATATCTCTCAGGTCCGCTGGGTTTTTGCTCGATCCATACTCAGGTTAGCCTATTGAACGGACAGGACTGAGTCACTAGCATGTTCCGCAATTCCCTGAGCGGTGATACGTGGACGAGTCCCGCCTTACATGCTGTACGAAGTCAGGTTCCGCCTCACTTTCAGTGCCGCGGACATGCCGCATTCCCTGACACCAATTACTGTGGAGCAGTCAATACTTTGGGTTATCTACTTGGAACTAATGTATCAGCTCGGCCTAATGATTTCCCATTATGAATGGAGTTAGCATCGGTGGTATCTATAACGCTGGAATCCTTCAGCACGGATAAGCAAACGAGCCACATTCCTCGGTCGTGGGACTTGTGGCGTTGCAGAAGTGATCTAATCGTACCGAGAGAAGAGAAGCACTCGGGGGAATTCCCATGCTGGTGGTGCCACGACCGGTAGCTTACCGCCTGCATGGCTACGACCGTGTGGACCTTCTCTCAATTTCTGCCATAAACAAGGCTGCGGCTGCCCGGTCTTCAGCTTGTTGGACTTTGGGCGTTGGACTTATGCAGGTGCATACATACTGCAGATCGCGCAGTTAAATGTCTTTGCGTCACCCACAGCGTTCCCAACGGCCAGTAGTAGCCCAGAGAAAACGCAAAAATTCTCTATGATTTCTTTGAGAAAGGAGAAAATTCGACAGCTTCTCATAAACCAAATGCACGATGAATGGAAAAGAAGAAACGAACGCTATCTGGCATTAAGCACTCCTTGTTTTGACCTCTAAATTCCCTTCTCGAACATCTATATTCGGCCTCGCTAAGGTTTGGAATGTCAGGGGGAAAAGCCACTAAAGAGCGTCGAACCCCTTGTTTGGGAACCGAGAACGGCTTAAAGTGTCGGGGCGAGGTTAATCTAACCTAAGTGCCAAGCGATGCTTTCAGACGCCGGAATCGACCCAGATGTTGTCGTGTTTCCTTGTTCGTCATAATTTCATGGCGGTGAGCCCCCCCCCCCCCCCCCCCTGATAGCAGATGGCGGATGACAAGTGCGTCTGTCAACCTCAGCACAGCAGAGATGAATTGGCGACGTGCCATAGGGTGAGGCGTGGGTTAGTCACTGTTGCGAATAGAGTTTACGCTTTCAGCTCCTGCCATACGCGTCCAGGGGGCTTTGTGCTTTTTGCCTTACTTCCCTCAAATCGTCCAATGAGCTCCCCTAAGACGTGCCGTTTTCACAGTGGTCAGAGGTCTACTACTCTAAGGGACTGTCTCTGAACCAACGATGTTGATGCTTTGCTGTGCGTCCCCAATGTTTGGTTAATACTGAATTCGTGTGTGTGTCGTCGTTGATTTGACTTCTGCTTTCAGCATAGCCAGTAAATGGAATTTATGCACACCTGAGTGTCTTTGCATACTGATTTACTCTTCGCTTTGTTCTTTATGCTGACCGCATTTGCCAACCGTTCTCGGCGCGGACGTGAGTGCAATTGAGATGGACATTTTGAATCATCTCCCTCCCTCGGAATCCCCTTGTATCTTGGTCTGCAGGTTTCCGCTCGAACAGAATCAACGAGGACTGATTCATCGCCGCACAAACGGACAAAATTTTTCTCTTCACTCCTCAAAATAGCGGCGCTCCATATGCATCTCCGGTGATTTTACGACTTTGATTATTCTCCATTCTCCTCCGCAGAGAAAACAACTAAATCCGGTTTGCTCGCAAAGCTTTCTACACAACGCATCGCCCGGCCGTTGCGATCAGTCACTTTGGCCGGCGAGAGCTGGAATTGGATCGAAGAGCTCGTATTAATACAAGCTTCAACCGGCGGCCATTGAAAACTAAAGCAATGCAGTGTCGCGATGATGGCACCAGCCTTCCGGGCAAAAAGGCTCCAAATGCTCGATCGCTGAGGAAGCGTCATAAACCTAGTCCCACTACCACCAGTGCCGCCCGATTACTGCCGTTAGGGAGGTCGCATGCTGCAGATGGAGAAGAAGAACAAGGTAGCTTGGAGGGTTGGTCTTGCGTACAAACAGATGATCTTCACGAAAATTCAAAAGATGCTGCAGAATTAAGTCAAGATGGAGAGCGCAAAAAGCCACGGAGCTCCTCTACATTATCCATAAGCACTGGCTCCCTACAGAATCTTGGAACAGAGTCATCAAGCCCAGATCAAGCTCACCATGTTGGTGTGAGTCGGAGACACTTACACGCCTATCGAAACGCCAGCAGATATCCTCCTGTCACGAAAGATTCACTCAGCGAGCTCGACATTGTCATGATCATCAACAATCCCAAACTACGACATGATGTCAACTTCGATCGCGCTCTACACTTTCGACCAAATGATGATGGTGAGCAAGGATTGTTGAAGAAAGGGCTGGCAGAGCAATATTGGCTCGCTCTTGTACCGGAACTTACAGTCCTTGTATTATCTGATCTCGGAGACGGTGTCAGTCCAGCTCATAATGCAAAGTTAGACTTCAAGTCACTTCAGAAGCTTGTAAAAGAGGGACCCAAACGAGTGCCGATAATGCTGAGGGTCATCAAGGACATTTTAAAAACACTCGTTCCAGAGCGAGACCACGGTATTCTCGACGAGACACTGGACGTGCCGTTAATAATGCAACAAATCCAACGCCATACTTGTGACCTGGCAAAACTTTCTCAGTGGCTTGCCACCTTGCTCAAGACGCATTGTGCACCAATGAGAGACAGCTGGGTCGACGACATGGTGGGAGAAATTGGCAAAGGCCTCCAGATTGGCGATATGAATATTCTGGTTGATGGACTACGGCTCCTTTTTGGCATCCTTGAAGCAATGAAGCTGGTAAGTCTCGGAGAGTTTTGATCGACATAGTTGAAAATGTTTCTAACCCTGGCAAAGGACGTAGCAAATCATCAAACCAGAAGCCTCAGGCCACTCCTGATCGAGGATACTATCAATTTTGAGCAAAGATACTTTTTGTCGAATATTGCTAATCTGCAGATTGGCATTCGCCATGCAACGGATTGGTATCGCAACACTGGGCTTACTCTCCGATCGCAATTAACCCGACGAAAAGGCGCTGATAAAGAGCCGCACCTTGCACGATTTTTGGATGCACTCATAGCTACCACCTTCTCCGCAACAACCATACGTCGCCTGCCCGACCCATTTCGGTTCGATGCCGAGCGCATTCAATTGCTGCATGCAGACATTCGTGGTACCATAATGTTGGATATTTGCTCACGTCTCTATTCGTGTCTCCTACAGTCATCGGGCTACAATCGCCCCACGACAGGCCAGACGATCAATTCATTACATGATTCCATTATCAGCATAGTAACTACCGGCGAATCCTCGGCAAAATGGACAGGAGACGCCGGTAATATTGCTTCCGAAATTGTCCGCTTTGCCAGCAAGACTTGCAACATTAGCATACCGTCGCAATGCGATTATGTCGAGCAATTGGAACGCCACTTGAAAGATGGATTCAGGCAGGATTCGGAATTATATGTGGCATCACAATTGCGTTTGGAGGAGAGATTGTCGCTACTGGTCGATGAATACGTCCAGACATGCTCGAGTCTTTCCGAATTGGAGATCTTCAACCTTGCGGACCCTCGAAAAGTCGGCCAAATAAGTGACGTGGGCTTTCGCGGACTTAATGATATTGCGGTTCGCCTGGCTCACATCGGCATCCTTCATTGGCGAGTATGGGGCCCGCTGCTCTACGCTCGTGCGAATCCCGAACTCTCTGGCTGCAACGATGCAGGGGACAATAGGGACCATCCAGCAGTGTCATCTCGGCAGCACTAAAGCTTGAACACATGAGGAAGACACGAGAAGCAATTGAAGGGCCCATATTAGAAGATGTCATTAAAGGACTCCCTCGCCCAAATTTTTTTTCCCCTTTCAAACGTCATTTAGCAAGCGTTCATTGTATTCTGTTCAATTACTCCCATGCCTTATATCCATTTTAATTTGCATAGCGTTTGCGTTTACATTCTAGCTTTTACTTTCTCATCATTGGCGCAGCATAAGAGCGAAGGCGCAAGATCGGATTCATTTCTGTCTTTCCTTTATTTCCTTTTTTCCCCGTAGCTCATCACATTTAGGCGATTATTCCACGAGCGGTTTCGCTGGCCACAAATTCATGCGATATTCTCGCACTGCATAATGGAGTCCTTTGGTCCGCCATTTTCTTCTTCTTTTCCTTTCAAATCCCCGCATTCTGTCACTCCGCTAATAATTTTTTTTTGGTTGTCTGAGAAAAATAAAACATCCAATAGATCGGCGTAACACTATCTTGCGCATTCATTTAATTGAGATTTCTTCGCTATCTACATTGCACCGTGAAAGATGCTCTACCATTGTACTCAATGCCGTTGCCAAGATTAAGTCTGCAGTCCTTTTCTAGTAAACGACCAGCCCAGTGAGCCGAAAGAAACAGTCTTCCAAGTTTTGCTGTTGTTACTACTTCGACGTCTCTAGAACATGGTCCAGTGCTCCAGCTACAATGCGCTGTCGATTGTACTCCCACCGCACCCATGCCATGCCTTGAAGAAGACAATCTGCAAGGTCATCTAATTTGCCCATTTGCAATTCATTTTCTCCATCTGAGCTTGACATGGGCCCTTCATCTCTTGTCAACTCTCTGCCAGCTTTGCCCGCAGCTTGTTTACCTTTCTTTTGCGTGGACGACGACGGCAACGACAAGGACGACTTCTTGCCCCCCCTGCGAGAACTCGTATTGTTCTTATTCCATTTCGCAAAGAAAGCCCTAGCTGTATCTATCGCATCTGCACCTACTCGGATGCCGATTTGAGGTGATGCATTCGTCGTCGTGCATGTCTCACCACCCAGAAAGTTACTTTTGAGCCAGTTCCCTACAATGTCGATCTTGGAAGCTTTGTTCTGAGATTTTGAATTTTTCGGAATTTTCGGAATTTTCGAGCTTTTCGAGACCGCAGAAGTCCCCATCACTCCAAGCTCAGAGTCCGTTGTCTCGCTTTGGTGCAATTTCGGACTCGTCATTCTGACCATGCGATCTTCTAGCCAGAAAGACGCGACTTTCCCGGGCGCAACTGGCACGACTGCAGGCACGGCGGGGATATTCGAGAAACTGTCGGATTTTCCCTCGTTGCCAGGGAGCTTCTCTTCGCGGCACAGCGTCTCAAAGACAGCGTACAGCATTGCCTCAAACATGTTAACACGCACCGTCCACTCTTGGATGGCAGCGGAGCCCATGGACCGATAGCGCTGGCGCTCGATTAGAATCTGAGAAGGCCGGTAAGGCAAGAGAGTCTTGGAGACAAGATCGTACGCGTGCCGAGCATATACTGGGGGCTCGAATGCCTCTTTGGTGACAAGACTGGATGTTGAGGCGAGCCCAGCTTCGTCTTCGGGATCGAGGCTTGCCGCGTTCGCTGAAACCAAGCGATTCTCGTCTCCTACGTCTAGTTTTACGCCGCCCGACGAGGAGACTGGCTTTGGAGCAATGGCGATACGCTGCCATGCCTGGATAATTGGAGTTGGCGGTGCTGGGTTTACTTCGTCCTGTGGGCTTTGGACAGGGAATGCAGGAATGTCGAGAACGCAATACGCCAGGTTGCGGATGCCCATGTCGACGCTGATGATTCGTGTGCTTGTCTGGGTTCCGGATATTCCGGCCTCGGTAATGAAATGGGGAGATGGTGCTGAGCCATGCTTTGATTCCTGCGGATATTGAGGTAGAGGAGAAGGCAATTTGGGTATGAGAAGCTCCTTGCGGAGTCGGGACAAAAGGACGGCTTTTGTTCCGCTCGAGTTGATTCCGGTCAGGGAGGCAATGGTCTTGAGCTGTGAGACTTTGAGAGCATTGAGAAATGATGTGCTGACAGCCATTCCATCATGCGGAATGAAGGCAGGGGAAGCAAGCGGGGTGGTCCAGAGCACGTGGTAAATTTGAGATGTGATGGCTTTCAATGTTTACAAGGTGTAGTCATTGATGATAGTTGGGAAATTGAGGCTAATGAAGGTGCAATATACAAGGAGAGTTGCACGCCGTTCTGATACAGAGCATTGCCACCGCGGATACCTTTGTCGTGTTTATGCAAGTATCCTCACAGCTTTGATGTTTTGGTGTTGATCATTCTGACCCACGTCTAGACACTCGGTAAACAAGTGATAAAGTTGCACCAGTACAAGTCTACGGAGTATGTTCCGAACTCCGACCAGAGACCTTTACTCAATGACTATCAGGCTATCGGGTCTTTAAAGGCGTGTTTGCCGCCAATTGCGCGGATCATGATCAGAAAGGAGTGACTGGCTACAATAATGCACATGTCAAATCTTTGCCAGCTGATGCTGCTAGATTCTACAGATAAGCTAATCGCGGGCTTCTCAGGTGGCTTCACTTCAGTGTGCAATCAAGTGGCCGTCAAGGTAGTTTTTCTTTTTGCCTGACATTGCCTAGCCAGATTAATAATCCCGGCATGTGCTGTCGCTGGGCTACCTAGGGGGACATGGGCTCGGGCGGTAGTTGGGAACCAAATGTATGATGATGGATGATGTTATTTGGAATCGCATGTACAGTGACGCTACCGACCTGAACCACTGATCGGAGCACGCCATTTCAGAGACCAAAAGTGCCCATGGGAATTTGGAATTGGTAAACATTATGCGGATTCCGCAAAATGGTAATTTTATCGGTTATCTCTCCGATGATTGATAACTTGGAGATGAAGCAGTGGTAAGGAGGGATGTCGCTGATTGCTCAGCCAATCGGCCACTAACTTAAGACGTAGCTTAGCTGTGAGAAACGCTCTACTAGTTACAGTGTAAACTGTTTCTCTCTCTGCGCTTCATCCACCACACACCCCTCCTGTCTGCATCCAGTCAGCAAAACCTTACCCCCACCACACAACTCGATCTTGCCCCCTCTTCCCTTCTCCCTTTTCTTCTGTCCCTCCTCTCGTCTCTTCTTTTCTTCCAAAATTCCAGCCAAGCTGTCTTCCTTCACGTTCTTTCGCTCCGTCCATTCGGCTTTTGCCAGGACGGCTGCATCTCCTGCACCTGCTGCCCGGCTCACTGCCATTTCTCGCCAATTTTCTACATCTCCATACGTCATGGCTCCGATTAGCAAAGAGTGCGAGTATCTCGTCATCGGCGGCGGTAGTGGTGGTCTTGCCTCTGCGCGACGAGCCAGTGGAATTCACGGTGCGAAGAGCATCGCAATTGAGAGCAAGCGTCTCGGAGGAACTTGCGTAAATGTCGGGTACGTGAAGCAATCCCTATCCCTATTGCTTACAAACGCTGCTGCTCCCAAACGAATGCAAGCTGTTTTGAGTTGTATCCAATAAATTACAATTTTTCCTCTTGCGAAGAGTAACTGCTGAACTCGACTTGCAATCACTAGATGCGTGCCCAAAAAAGTGACATGGAACGCTGCGGCCATTCGCGAGACCATCCACGAGGCCAAAGCCTACGGATTCAGCGTGGAGGAGACGGCGCCATTTGACTGGACTTCTTTCAAGCACAAGAGAGACGCTTACGTGAAGCGATTGAACGGCATCTACGAGCGAAATCTTTCCAACGATAATGTCGAGCACGTACATGGACGCGCTCGTTTTGTGGGCAAGAACGAAGTTGCTGTCGCAAAGGATGACGGCAGCAGCGAGACGATTCGGGCCAAGCACATTCTGATCGCGGTCGGCGGACGGCCAAACGTGCCCTCGGACATTCCCGGCGCGGAATACGGTATCACGAGCGATGGCTTTTTCGACCTCGAGAAGCAGCCGAAAAAGGTTGCTCTGGTCGGGGCCGGCTACATTGCCGTGGAGCTCGCAGGCATGTTCAATGCGCTGGGCTCCGAGACTCACCTGTTCATCCGACACGACTCATTCCTGCGGAACTTTGACCCGATGATCCAGGAGAAGATCACGGCCGAGTACGAGAAGAAGGGCGTCATCATCCACCGCCAGTCGAGCCAGAGCAAGGTCGAGCAAATCCCCGGCAAGGACGGCTGGTTGAACCTGCACTACAAGGACTCCAAGGGCGAGGGCGTGCTCGATATCGACTGTCTGCTCTGGGCCATTGGACGCGCGCCCGAGGTCGAGGATCTCGACCTCGCCAAGGCCGGCGTCCAGCTCGACCACAAGGGCTACATCTCCGTCGACGAGTTCCAGAACACCTCTGCCGACAACATTTACGCGCTCGGCGACGTGTGCGGCAAAGTCGAGCTGACGCCCGTCGCCATCGCCGCGGGCCGAAAACTCAGCGATAGACTGTTTGGCGGCCACAAGGACTCCCATCTCGACTACACCAACGTGCCCTCGGTCGTCTTTGCCCACCCCGAGGTCGGCTCCATTGGCTTGTCCGAGCCCCAGGCCCGCGCAAAGTACGGCGACGCCGACGTCAAGGTGTACAAGTCCGAGTTCGTCGCCATGTACTATTCCATGATGGACCCCGACCAAAAGGGCCCCTCGGCCTTTAAGATTGTCTGCGCCGGCCCAGAGGAGAAGGTTGTCGGCTTGCACATCCTCGGTCTCGGCTGCGCCGAGATGCTCCAGGGCTTTGGTGTCGCGGTCAAGATGGGCGCGACCAAGAAGGACTTTGACAGCTGCGTGGCCATTCACCCTACTAGTGCCGAAGAGCTGGTAAGTTATTCCATCGATATCCTTTTCATTTCATTTATTTCCCATATATTTCCTATCCTTCGTCATTCCTCATGCGTTCTGAAACACTTCATATCTCATCTGGAAACTAACACGTCATGCCAATCGAACAGGTCACCATGCGGTAAAATACCAATGTAATTTAAATAAATTCCTATAGATCAATTGTATTTTTTATTTACCTTTTCAATTTTTACAAAAACCCCTAGCCTCCCGCTTTCTCCATCTGGCTAGAAAAGAAGAAAATCGGGTGATAAACTTTTAATGGTGAAAAACGGGAATAAACTCTAATGGTATAAGACATTTGAACTGTAACAATAGTATTTCCAACATGATCAAGTGAATCGAGGACCCTGTGTAATAGCATCACCGAGAATTCCATATTTTTATGCATATAACAAACCCTCAAGTACGTTTAATTGTTTTATTGTTTGGTCTAGCATGCTTCGTACACTAAGAACAAGCTTTATAAAATACACAGACGAAAAAGTATACTTTGTAGATCCGAGAGAAAAGTGCTGTATACATATCTCGCCCCCTCGCCCCAGAGCGGTGGCATACTAGGTCTTCGAGACCCTAGAAAAAAAGGGCGGGATTGTTTTCCAATTCACTGGAGACGTATCACTGCAGACTACCGGAGACTCCTCCAGAGAAAGAAAATTGAAATGGAGGGAAATAGACATCAATTGAAAGAGAAGAAAGCGCTTTTGATCGTTACAAGTATAAAGTATAATCCAAACCAAATATACAGATTTATCCAAAGCATATGAGGCCATAAAACGAGATATTTAACGGGCAATGCGCAGATGGAATACCACGTAAAGAAATAATAATAATAATAATAATAATAATAGTAATAATAATGATAAGAATATAAAAAAAGGGGGATATGGATATCAAAGAGCTTCTACGTACTCAAGCACGCTTGGCTTTGGCAAGCACGTTGAGGGCGCTGCCGGCAAGGACAAAAGCAGCCTGGTCGACACTGAGGGTGTGTTTGGTAGGGATCTCAAACGTCTCGCCAGTCTTCTGCTTGGTGACGCGGAGGGAAACGTCGCCCTTGCCGCCGGCCTTGAGGACGTCGTAGAGGCCAATAGTGGCAATGTCATCGCAGGCGTCGATGCGGTCGTAGTCGGCCTCATTGGCAAACGTCAAAGGCACGACACCTTGCTTCTTGAGGTTGGTCTCGTGGATGCGGGCAAAGCTCTTGGCGAGGATGATGCGGCCGCCGAGGTAGCGGGGCTGGAGAGCGGCGTGTTCACGAGCGCTACCTTCGCCGTAGTTGTGCTCGGCCACGACAAGCCAGGTGCGGCCCTGGGCCTTCCAGCGCTCGGCGAGCTCGGGAATGGACGAAGTAGCCCCGTCGACGTCGTACGCGACATTGGTCTCGCCGGTGGCGGCGTTGACGGCGCCGATCAGAGTGTTGGCACTAATGTTGGGGAGGTGACCCTTGTATTTCAACCACGGGCCGGCGGCGGAGATGGTGTCGGTGGTGCACTGGCCCTTGACCTTGTAGAGGACGCGGACGCCTTCGATGTCGCCCTCGGGGAAAGGCTCAAAGGGCTCAAGGACAGCCAGACGGCTGGACTTGGGATCGACGATAACCGGGGCGGAGGGGTCGGGGATACCGGGCGTGGGAAGGAAGTCCGGGTTGCCCTGGGCAAAGCCGGAAGAAGGGAGGTCGGAGCCGCTAGGGGCGGAGAATTTGAAGGGCTTGCCAGACGGGGTGGGGATGGAGTCGGTGATGGGGTTGAAGGTGGTGGAGCCGGCGTAGGACATGGCGGTGACAATCTCGGGAGAAGCGAGGAAGTTCATGGTCCCGCGGTTACCGTCGTTACGGCCGGGGAAGTTACGGTTGTAAGATGTCAGAATGGCATTGCTCTCGCCTTGCTCGACACCGTCCGTTCGCTTCCATTGACCAATGCAAGGTCCGCAAGCATTGGCCAGGACAGTTCCACCGGCCTTGGAGAATGTGGAAAGAGTCTCGTCACGCTCCAGAGTGGCCCGAATTTGCTCGCTACCGGGTGTGATGAAGAAGTCCGACTTGGGCTCAAGGCCTGCTGCCTCGGCCTGCTTGACAAGATCCTCGGCGCGGGTCATGTCCTGGTAGGAGCTGTTGGTGCAGCTACCAATGAGGCCAGCTCCGAGAGTCTCAGGCCATTCGTTCTTCTTCACAGTTTCACTGAACTTGGACAAGGGGGTGGACAGATCGGGCGTGAAGGGACCGTTGATATGGGGCTCGAGACTGGAAAGGTCGATGGTGATATGACGGTCATACTCGGCTCCGTCATCCGCCCGCAGGAGGTTGTGGGGTCCCGGCGACGAGGCAATGGTAGACGCAGCGAGGGCAATGGGACCACGGTGAGTTGCTTCAAGGTAAGGAACCATGCTTGGCGAAAAGGGGAACAAAGAGGTCGTTGCTCCGACCTCAGCACCCATGTTGCAGATAGTAGCCATGCCAGTGCAGCTGAGAGACTCAACACCAGGTCCGTGGTATTCAATAATGGAGCCAGTTCCACCCTAGGAGCATGTTAGCAATGCGACCTCGTAGGGATTTGAATTCGGAAATCATTTCTTACCCTGACGGTCAATTGGCCAGCCAGATTCAGGATGACGTCCTTAGGGGCAGCCCAACCGCTCAGCTTGCCCTCCAAACGGACACCGAGAACCTTGGGCGCCTTAAGTTCCCAAGGTGCATCAACAAGCGCATCAACGGCATCGGCACCACCGACACCAATAGCAATCGCACCCAGACCACCGGCGTTGGGGGTATGACTGTCCGTTCCGAGCATCATCAAGCCAGGCGCGGCATAGTTTTCCAACACAGTTTGATGGATGATACCAGCGCCAGGAGGCCAGAACTCAATTCCATACTTTTTAGCAGCGGATTCAAGAAAGTCAAAGACTTCCTTGTTGCCAGCAATTGAAGAAGGAAGATCAGTATCGGCTCCCCTCTCACCAACAATCATATGATCGCAGTGAATGCTCGCTGGCACCGCAGTAGACGGAAGACCACAGGACATGAACTGCAGTAGAGCCATTTGGGCAGACGCGTCTTGCATGGCAACCCGGTCAGGCTTGAGCTTCAGGTTGGCAACACCGCGAATGTTTGAGCCATTGTCGGTACCGGTCAAAAGCGAATCCTCAGGGTTGTCGAGATGAGAGTAGAGGATCTTCTCGGCGAGGGTCAACGCACGGGAGGAACCCAGAATTCTCCGAACCTCACTCATACGTTTGAGGAGTTTCGGATAAGGAGGTGTACGGGATGAGAGATCAGGCGAAGAAGGCGAAGCGGATTCTGTGGCAGTCGCGAGGCTTCTGGAAAGGGCTCTCAAATTACTCGACTGCAGGCGTAGAGGGGCAGAGCGAGAGGCCTAGAAAAATATTGATCGTACTTGATAAGCTTCCAGACAACTCGAAAAAGCAATTGTTTCCATTAGAAGTTGTATCACAACGTACCGTCAAGGCCCCCCGTCCAGCAGGTCCAAGAGCCGGAACCCTCATCTTTTCCAACTCAAGAGCTCGTTGGTTGCAGTGTGTTTGAACCTCTATCTGGGATTACAGAAAATCACAAGCGACATCGGCGAGGAAATTTGGAGATTGGCGTTTTGGTTCATCGCGTTCGCCGTAGAGAGCAGCTCAGCAGAGATTGACTCATCCTTATTGGCCGAAACGCAATGATGAACGGTAGCATCAACAGAATCACATTTTAGTGCACCATGGTCTTGAAAGCAATACACAAGTTTTAGGGAGGCGGAGGTGAACAAGAAAGTTGTCTCTTGTCACAATTTCAATTTTCAATGCCTCATCAGCAAAGATTTCAATCTAAAGCACTCGATCTTAAGCAGTATACTTAAACCATATGGTATACCCAAATTTCTAGGAGAGTCCTCAAACGCGTGGGGGCAGGGATCAGAACAACGATCGCGGGGGATTCTAGTGTGTCAAACTGTATATGTGCGCCCAAGGATATTGACAGGAAAGTATTGTGGGTCGGCCAACCGTAAGGCGATATTTCACAACACATAAGATGGCAATATATCTTTGCAAGTCATATATGAACAGCGTTTGTAGCTATACAATCTAGTACATATCTGCGACAGGCCCGAATGTAGATGAAGCTTGCTTCAATTTAATGTCATGTGCATGGTCACGCTGCGTCTCATTCGAAAATGAATGACGAAAACGCTTCGCTCCTATCACTTTAAAAAAGATACAATGAAATGATGCAAGTTGGCTGCCATATATAAATCAATCCCGTCCTGGCGATAATGCCATTGGGGGAAAACAGAGAAGAAGGGCAATATTTTTTTTACCGTCCCCGAAAACTTGTGAATTCTATTTACTGCACTCAGAGAGCGATGACGACGCCAGCGGCGAGGATGGCGGCAGCGGCAAAAGATCCAACATTGGTCTTGGCGGCAGCACCAGTGTATTCAGGAGAGGAGCCCGAGGTGGTGGCGGAGGGAGTGCTGGGAATAGTGGCGTTGTTGCCCGAGCCGGATCCAGAGCCACAAGTGGGAGCCGCATAGCCCGACGAGAGGAAGCCAGAAGAGGCGCCGTAAGAGGCACCAGTAGATTCGCTATTCATCAAATTAGCAGGCAATTCAAATCGTCGCCGTTTCGTCAATGGGTTAATTACTCACGTCAACTCAGAAGTCTTGGTGCAGCCGCAGTTGGTGTCATAGAAAGTCGAGGTCAAAACCACGACGGTGGTGGGCACGCTGCTGTTTCCAGTGGGGTAAGGAGCAGAGGTAACAGTGGCGTCAGCGGAACCAGTGCCCGTGACAGCCGGGGATGATGCCAAGGAGGATCCGGTGGTAGAAGCAGAGACGGACGAGGCACCAGTAGACGAGGCAGCGGTGGAAGACGCCGCAGAGGAGGTGGCCGAGACGGTGAGTCCGTGAGCCTGGCAGACACTGGAGAAGGCGCTCAAGGCAGCGCTGTAGGTGCCCGAAGCGCAGTCGCTCTTGAGATCGCTCTCAACATCGGAAGCCTTGACGCCGCAGATGGTGGGTAAGTCGGCGGGATTGGGCTGGTGGCTGTCACCAGGTTAGCTATTATTCCCCTCTACCGCACGCAACGAATAGCATATAAAATGGCATACCCAATAGCAGCCAGAAGGCAGGCCGGGGGAGTGGCCGCAGCAAGCTGAGCCGAAGCGGCAAAGAGAGCGAAAAGAATGGAAGACTTGGCGAACATGATGTAAGATGTCGTGGAGAAAAATTAGAAAAATTTGGGGAAATGGATTTGAAAGTCGTCGGTGAAGTTCGTTGAGATGTGCTAAAGAGCGACTTGGTGAAGAGAGAGACAGAGAACGATTGTGAATGTCGAAATGACTGAGCGAGAGTGGTGTGGAGAGAAGAGAGAGTAGAAGAAGAGGAAGAATAGTTTAAGGGTGGAAATTGAAAGGAAAGAGGTGTCGTAAGGCAGAGGACTGAGGATTTGGTAGCGAACGCGTAGGGGAGGAACGGTGGGGGGGGGGGGGGAACAATGAGGGTGTCAGGGGGTTCAAGCGTGAGTTAGGGTGTCAAAGAAGAAAGCTGAGTGGACGAGCATCATCTCTCGGGGGCAGTCGGTGGTCGCTCTCCCGTGACTACTCCCCTGTTTTTTTCCCCATCATGACGAGTGTCCCGGCACAAAGAACAAGACCAAGATCCCAAAAAAAGGAACTTGCCAAGGGGAGAGCCTGAGAGGTCGACGATGATCGGAACTAAAAGGGAAGAACGAGCGAGAGCATGGGACAAGACCCACATGGGCGAAGAAAATGTCAAGAAATGGATAATTTTGGCCGAAGGGGACCCCTAAAAAAATGAGTAATGGAATAGTTACTACGTAGAGCCTGGCGGGTCGTGGCGCCCGTCTCTTGCATTTCGCTTGTTCCTGGCTACGGCCATATGGGGAATTGGTATGTGGCTGCCGTCCTCTCTGTGACAGTAAGTGAGCGAGAGAGTGTGAGAGGTGTGTGTGGGTGCCTTGCTCTTTCCTGATTGATGCTGCGTGGCGTGGCTTCCTTTTTAGTGTCCGCCCACCAGTCGTGTCGGCACTCGGCAATTTCATTTTAAAAACGTGGATCGAACGGACCAGAGGAAAGGAGGAACTGCCACTAACCAACTAACCACCAATATCCTTGCCATAACCTACCGTCTAAAATACCCATATCTCATGGAGTTTCATTGAAGATTTTAGGATTTATTTTCTTCTTTCCTGGCCGTCGATTATGAAATCAGACCGCTCGTCACGTGGGCGGCGGAATGCCACGGAAGCCTCAGCTGGAAGTAGAGCACCGTGAATGCGTTGCACTTATATGGACAGATAATCTTTGTGTATCTACCTATAGTCTAGGACCCCTCCCGTGAGTGATTGCTAGGATATCATATCATATGGTGAAGAGATCCGAATATGCGAAGCTGAGGAGGGCGGGCCTATCTCCCTACCCAACCCCAGTTTTCCATCCATATCAAAAGCGGGATCAAAAGGTACATATCAAAGTCAAAAAGCCAAGACAATGTTCATTACTGAAGCTGTGTATATTTCAAAACTCAAGACTTTAGGTTCTTCTGTTGGCTGTCAAATAACTCACCAAGTGCTGATTCCTCGGCTCTTGGTTAATTACCCAGACGCAGCCATTAGATCTACGGACCAGAACGCTTCTGCCGGATGAGGCACGAGAAGGGCAACAATTTGCTGGCCACGTCTGCCGTACTTGATCGCGGCTTGGCGGATGTTGCGAAGTTCGAAGATGGTGAAACAAGCTCTACTTACGACCAAGATAGGAAATACCCAGAAAATCCATTTTACGGCACGAATTTTCAGGCCGCATTGAAGAGTAGATTTGATGTGGCGCGCAAACATCGATGCAACGTTCGGGGCCTGGAGTGAGAGATTTCCAGGTGCGTCTCTACCTTCTCCAGTAAAGATTGACCAGACTTGAAAAGATGGTTAATCGCCCAATTTAGATGATAAAGGATCCGCAATGCAGGATTGTATCGTATATGGAAAGGTAGCGTCGAGGATCATGTTTTCCAGTATCTTGGACTACATTGAAGAGGACTTCCCTCTCTGGGTTGGCTTGTTTTTGCTACCGTCAGACTTTGTAGCTGTATTGCAAAAGCTCATTGATTCGATACATGACGACCTAAGTATTGCTTTTGATCAGATATCACAAGGACAGGGCTCAACACCGTTGCGCAAAATTTATGTCGCCGCGATAGAGAATGGCCAACTGCAAGATTTCTAATATCTCTTCAGCAAGCTCCAACGATATGTAAGTTGGAAAGGAGAGAAAGGAAGATCTAAGTGATTTTAGCGTGGGACGGATTATAATCATACTTCATCTTAAGCAGCTTGCCCAGCTTTTTCCTCGTAACGCAGTCTGATCCGATATCGTGTCATTCCGTTTCGCTGGCTATGCAATTCTCCTGGAGAGCAATTTCAGGATCCAGGAGACCGCATCACTGACGCCATGGCCAAGACTGGATTTGGAGAAAGTGGCAAGAATTGGAAAAAAGGAAAGAGAGATTAAAGCTACCCGACCGCCATGAGACTTTGCGGATGATAGCCTCAGTATAAAGATAGTTATATTAAGGTGACGACTGTACCCTCTTCAATGCGTATAAACAAGATCAAAATGTCGGGAATTGAACAGAGCCAGGACTTGGAAATACGTATTTATCAGATGACCGATGAATGTACGGCGCTTTGACGCTAATGCAAGGCAGGAACACTCTCTCCCCCTTCGGCACCTTCCAGACAGAGAGGTAAGGGTTTGCTTGACATAAATTCCGTACATACAGTGAAAGGGCGGATGTCTGATCTGCCCAACGCTCCTGTTCATTTCGTCTTTGGTCTTTCCCTGAGAACACATATTTATACAATGTCCTCCTTTGCGGTGAGCCTAAGTTGTACCACCTCGTCTTTGGCATCTTTGGTGGTAGGAGCTACTCAAGAAAAATAAAATGCTTACGGTGTTGGAGCAGACACACTTCATTCATAATTTTGTGCTCTCAGCAATCTCGGAATAATTGGTATTTTGCCTGTGAACCGAAAAATGATTGAAGGGTTTTTGAGATTGATCAATTATAGGTTCTGTTTGCCCCTCCAATGTTTCAAGTTTTGTGATTGGATACGTTACCACAGTAGTATTAAGGAGATACGAAGGGGCTTAGGGGTCCGGGTGATTGGCGGGTCCGATTAACTACAACGAAAAGCCAAAGCCTGCTCAGCCGGGACGACGCAGGAGGGCACGTTCGTTCTTTTCCGTCGTCAATCCATACAATGGCCTTACTTTCTGTGATGGCCCCTGCACTTGGCGCTTGAACTGTGCATCTCTTAGATCTCTGCATGCAAGGTCAGGGCTAGGCATGCCCTTACCCCGTGCTTGAGCTACCCTATGGTGTCCCACCACTTACTGGTTTGACCTTCCAATGGACTTTTTACACGATACCTTGGCTGGGCGTCATTATGTACCAGCGTAGGCCAGGTTACTCCGCAAAACATTGGTCTAGCCATTATGGTAATTCACTCTTTCCTCGTCTTATTTACCCACAGAAACGTCTGGTTTTGAGAGCTGACCAGTGGACAGGTAGGGTTTGCCAAGATGCTGGATTGGCCTTTCGATGCCCTTTCTATCTTTCGCTGCAACTAGTGAGGTAGGGCCGGTAGGGCAGATCTGGTTGGCGCGCACAGTACATGGTCCTTGCGCAGGACTGGGAAGCGGCCACCATCTCAGATTGCCCTGCTGGATAGTTAAGGGTCCGTGGTCTGACCAGGGTGTAGACGTTCGACGATATTTGAGAATGGAATGCCAAATGCAGTAACCCCGACGAAGCAGGCTTAGAAGCCAGAGCAGACACGTCTGTTATTCGCTCGTATGCGGCGCTGGCTCCTGTCTACTCCGGTAAAGAGAAAGCTTCGTTTTCTAAAAGGCATAGTAGGACGAGAATGAAATTTCACACTCTGCGGTTCTTTGCGTACCACAATCAACTCACTTTCTCAAGCCGAAGAATTTTTTGCAAGTAATTTGCGACTCAATTTCTGATCATCCTTACTTTGCTCAACACCGGACTCACAGACTGCTTAGCTAACTAGACGGTTCAACTTCCTCGTTGAACCTCTGGAAAGACAGGCTGGCACTAGTTTCAGCCCTGCAGCTACCCAAATGATGGATCTCATTAGACCGGGTAAAGCTGGACCAATGGCATGATCAAATGCTCACGATGAGCGTTATCGTCACAATCACGGATGGCATAGGCTTTGGGGAACATTAGTAACGCTCATAGCAAGCACATTGGTGAAACTTTGAGCTCACGTTGGCAGTACACTGCATGTCCAATTACCTGATTGCAAAGGATTCTCTGCACTCAAGCGGACAGTATCACTTTCAGCCCAAAATTGGAGCCAGTAAACACAGGATCGAACTGCGATAATCGTCATCTTGAACAATAATCGTGAACGATATTTAAGCCCATTCAAAATCTCGGCGGCAAATGTGGCGCACTCAAGCAATTTGAGCAGGGCCGTTGAGATTGACATGGAATGTTGATCGGAATGCGCATGTCTCACGTGGAGTTTTTTTGAGCCCTGTCATCCGGCTTCATTGATCTCATACCCTTTTCTATCTTCCATACAAAACCGTGTGGAGGAGATAGAAAAAGTATGGTAGGCTCTATCGACGAGATCGAAAAGGTATGCGGAAGTGGTATCCAATCTTTTGTAACCCAGATGTTTCTGAACAAACGAAACCCGAATACGTGTTGCTTTTACTTTACCGCCAACAAATTTTCGTGCCTTGCTTAGCTCTCTGTACCTTATAAGTACCATGGTCCTAATTTCTTTGTCGTCTTGAGTTCTGCAAAGTAGACGATGACGCAGGGCGCAAGGAGCCAAACGCGCATCAAGCATGCACAGTGCATCCAGTCGTTCCCACCCCTCGTCTCTTTGATGCCACAACCCACGACTCAGTTCTTTGTTCGTGAGAATCCTTACCTTGCCCAGCGCATCAGCATATCTGAGAGTTATAGAGAAAAAAAGGCAGAAAAAGGAATGGTTTGGCTCAGGCTATAAGACGCAAGTCTTATGCAAGGTCTGTAGACGTTCGACGATAATTGAGTTGGATATCCGTTTCCGGCGTCCAGCATGCATTGATTGGACGGACCCGACGACCTAAGCAACAACCATGCAAAACCGTTGGACGCACCGTCTGATATGGACCGGACCGCCGTTTTTAAAACCAAAAGGATGAGAATATGGAAAGGTAAGGTGTCTTGCTCGCTCGCTCGCTCGTGGCGCCGTTGCACGCATTAGATCCAAATGTTACCTGCGACTCTTTTTTTCACACAATGGGTTTGTTCTGAATAATCGGTGGTTTAATATTTTTGCAGAGCAATATCCAGAGATTGCTGTCTTCTTGAACTTTAGCTAGTAATAGATAATTTTTGATGAATGTGTTAAAGTTAAGTCAGCCTTCTGAAGCCGCAGCTGCTGCCGCTGTTAGAGCCGGTTGTTTTGGAAATACACTTTCATGAAAGTCAGAGTAGAGTAGGACAAAAATCGGCGATATGCAGAAGGGCAGGTAAACAGCAACAGTGGTGTTTAAGACAAAGTAAGCCCTAAGGAAAGAGATAGGTTGCATAAACCTTTTGATTCAAAGGGCGAGGTCGTCATTGGATCGGAGGCTCTGTTCATCCTCCCGTGGCTTCTCTATAGAATGAGATTCGTTTGTTCGCGCCCGCTGTCACAAATCCTTCACTTCTGCCTGTTTTGGGCAGCCATTTCACACTCCATATGGTCTTGTCTGTCTCGGTATGCGTCGCCACGCAGTCGCGAATGTCGATTGACCACACTTTGACTTTTCCGTCAAACGCTCTGCCGTAGGTGAAACAGTCAGCAGGGTATGAGTCGGACATATGCAAAAATGGAGGGGGGAAAGAAAATAGAGAAAGGGGTGAGAGAGAACAGCATTGAAAGAAATAAAAAAGGAGAGGAAAAGCAAAATGGTAGTGTACGAACCCACTAAGGAGATATTCTCCCGTGTAACTCCAGTCGAGAGAAAAAATCCATGCCGCATGTCCAGTTAAGTTCGCCACTTGCTCTCCCGATGCGACATCGTAGAGCGCGATAATCTTCGAGTCTCCTGCCGCCGCGAGTAATTTTCCTCCAGGCGAGAACGCAACTGCTCGAACAGGCTTCACGAGACCTGACCAGACAAATCAGCCAAAAGAAGCTGCAAGAAGGTGAAAAAGAAAAGTCGAGTCCGGTTGATCCTGAATGGGATACGTACTTGGCAATGAGTGGAGGATTCGCCCGGTATCATTGTCAAAAATGTAAACACTGCCATTCTCATGGCCTGAGGCAGTAAATCTGCCATCGAGCGACTGTAACCAGCAGCATTAGCTTCTCTTTCCTTTCCTTGCCACTTCAAAGGGCAATATATGTTCCCATACCAGATCAATGCTCATGCCAAAGCTGCCTTTTGTCTCGTACTGTCTAATTTTCTCCCGATTTCCCGACGTCTCCCAGACATTTATTCGTCCATCGTATGTCGTGCTGGCTAGATACTGGCCATCCTCAGACAGCGCGATCGCCCATAACTCGCCGGCCTTGTTTTGATCTGTCGAGTGCCATTTCCAAGTCAATATATGCGATTCCATAATCCAAGCAGCCGGAGGGCTTTTTTTTGCTTTCCGTACCTTCAATGTCACCCTCCAGAGCCCAGTGTCCTTCTTGACCTTCACTAGCTTGCGCGGCCCATATCTTGACTTCTCCGCCAAAGCCTACACTCGCGGCCCGCTGTCCGTTTTTGCTCGTAACGACGTGGTGGCATCCTAGCTTGTGTGCTCCGTCGAGAGATTGCGTGAGTGCATAGTCGCCATCTGCGGTAGCGTGGACTTTCAGCGAAGAAGCTCCTGATGCGGAAATGACATTATTCGATGTGACTGCCAGTGAAAAGATATCGGTAGGATGTGCTGTAGGTTATATTCCGTCAGCTTCATCTCATCATTGAGCTATGCTTTGGTGGGGCAGTATCGCGAACCTTCGTCGATGGTATGTGTGGTCAGGTATTGCTTAGACTGCAAGGTAGTATTAGGGACGAGGTATAGATGCGGAACAGAGGCATATGCATAGACAAACCATGATTATTTCCCAGAGCAGGTGCTATAATTCTGGGGAACCGTTGGCTGTTTATGCAGCAGTGGAAAATAGAGCGGCGGGCAGAGAGTCGATCCGTCTCGCGAACGGAGTGGGGATACGTCAGAGCTGCCTCGACAATTGGAATTTCACATATATTTCATTTCTTTTTATAGTTTTTATAAACCATATTTTACGTTATTTACTGGTAGAACTGATGTTGATGAAATTTTTACATTTTGCGGCAATCGTGGGGCCGCGCGCTCTAGATATATATAAGAAAAAATATACAAAGAAAAACCTCCGTACCAACGCCATGTCCGATGCGATAGATTGTCCGAAGTGGTATATATTGGCATGCATTGCCAACAGATGACCCACAGTAATAGTACACAAAGCATCCAGAACCCATTGAATGTGTCGACATTAAGCTTGAGCCTTCGACGCCTCGCCAGCAGACTCGCCGGCCTTGCCCAGCCACATGTCTTTAATAGCTATGGGAAACCGTCAGCAGCTGCATCAAAGCTTGCATTGCCAGTAGAGCTTTTTACCTTTGACACAGTGAGGACACAGTATATGAGCTCTCTTCACATTTCCGCATGAGGAACACCGGTTCAACGACGTCACGTCCTTCAATCCTTTACCAGCCATTTGCCGATGTCGCTTCTTCATGTGCGAGGTCTTCTTCTTGGGGACGGCCTTCAGGATTGACTCCCACAGTCCTGGTATTATTGATGGAATGTTGAGATGGATGGCGACTGGGATAGCGAAAGAGATGGAGGGCAGCAGCGGAAGAGCGAATCGTCGCGTTTGAAGCATTGCTGAGCGGGATGCAAATGCGGTTGCCTCGGAGGAGATGAGCGGAGCCACTGCGGGCAAAGACGAGCGGACAGCGGATGAGATTGATAGCGCCATTGTGAAGAATGATAAGATCGTCCACCTCAGATTGAGAGAAATGGCTTCAGTGTAGGGTTTGAGGTGGTACCCCTCGTCGTGGTGAGATCCTGATCGCGAAGAAGCACAGAGGCGACCAAAAGATTTCGGGTTGAGGCTCTACGATTGGAGTTTGCTCATGGACGGAACTAGCCGCAAGGGGTAGAGGGGAAACCAAAAGACAAACGAGGGAAAGGGAAGGGACACGGACCGAAACCCCCGACTAACCAGGTACCAGTGAGTGTCACGACTAACCGTAAACTTACCCCTTAACCATCCCCGTCAACAATTATCCTCCCCCAGACCAAAAGCTCGCCCGAAAGTGTTCAACCTCATAGGGTCTCAGTCGTGATTTTCGCGTGACATCTTTTTCGATTTTTATTTCTGAGCCTTGGGACCGCTGGAAAATTCCTCGAAATGGCTGCAGTCAACGCTTTGCCCTCGCAGCCTTCCGCTGTTTACCCTAACAGCCACGTCGGTTTCGACAGCATCACCTCTCAGATTGAGCGGAAGCTGCTGAAGCGCGGCTTTCAGTTCAACGTTATTTGCGTTGGTGAGAATCGCTCGAGCCATGAAGCTTTATGGAATCAAGAATAAAAAAACTCATTGCATTTTTTTCTTTTATCTAGGTCAAACCGGCCTTGGAAAATCGACCCTCATAAACACAATCTTCGCCTCCCACCTGATTGATTCCAAGGGCCGACTTACTCCGGACGAGCACGTGCGATCAACTACCGAAATCCAGGCGGCATCACACAGTATGTTCTTCTAATTGACTTCAGCAAGCGTAATTAAAAGACGCTAAGCAACCTTGTTAGTTATTGAGGAAAATGGCGTTCGTCTGCGCCTGAACATTGTCGACACTCCCGGCTACGGAGACCAGATCAACAACGATAGATGGTAATATTTCTAAAAATCGAGACATGTGCAGAAAATCGAAGAGACTGACTCGAATCAGCTGGGACCCTATTGTCAAGTACATCAAGGATCAACATTCCGCCTACCTTCGCAAGGAGCTCACCGCGCAGCGTGACCGTTATATCCAGGATACTCGCATTCACTGCTGCTTGTTCTTTATTCAGCCTTCCGGCCATGCGTAAGTCGAGATCTAGACTTCAATATACGTCAGTGCTAACACTGCGTAGTCTCAAACCGATTGACATTGTCGTCCTCAAGAAGCTCTCCGACGTCGTCAATGTTGTTCCTGTCATTGCCAAGTCAGACTCGCTGACCCTGGAGGAGCGCGCTGCATTTAAAGAGAGGGTTCGTGATCAAATATTTTGATCACTCGTCTTCGAGGAAAGTCACTGACACATCCATAGATCAAGGAGGAATTCTCCTTCCACAACCTTAAGATGTACCCCTATGACAATGATGAGCACGATGACGAAGAACGTGCATTGAACTCACAAATCAAGGTTTGAGATGTCAACCTTTGGTTCGACATACGAAAGCTAAATCATAAAAACCAGAGCATCATTCCCTTTGCCGTTGTTGGCTCCGAAAAGTCTATTGTCGTCAATGGCAAGCAGGTGCGCGGAAGACAGAACAGATGGGGCGTAATCAATGGTGTGTCCTTTACAAGAACTTGTTTCCATTTCTTTAAGTCTCTCCAATGCTAATTGATATATAGTCGAGGACGAGAACCACTGCGAGTTCATCTACCTGCGCAACTTCCTCACTCGCACCCACCTGCAAGACCTTATTGAAACAACGTCCCAAATCCACTACGAGACCTTCCGCGCGAAGCAATTGCTCGCCCTCAAGGAAAGCAGCGCCGCTGGTGGCCATAGCAGCCGTCCCATTAGTCCTTCAGCTGAGCGGGAATTGAGCCGGAGTTCCCAGAGCAACACCCAACGTAATACCCTGAACGGATACTAAGTCCATTTAATCAAAGTTCTATGTTAATTGGCATTTTTATTCTTCTGCGGATGAAGAGTTCCGTTTCTTCGAAGCCCATCAGCTTTTGCCCGGCCTTGGCATTTCTTCGAGCTCTAACTGACAGATATTTATTGCTTTGACCTCGGCGGCGGGAAAAGAGGTAAAAGCATGCCCTTATTTCATATACCTATTTTATTTTATTTATTAAGCTTGTAGTTTCTTCTGCTTTGACCAATTAAAACATTTGTAATTGCATTTGCTAGACTTGGTCTCGGCGTGATATTAATCGCAACTAGCATCGTATATCAATCTGAGCTAAAGATCCTGTTTCACCTTTCTAGACCAATGCATTAAGGAGAATCCAGTCTCTGAAATTTACTTGAGAAAGTATGAAATAAATCCCGAAAACTAGTTGGCTTTTCTTCTATATTTATCCCATTCGTTTGGAAACTTCGGGAAACTTCGAGACAATTCCTCATAAATGTTTTCCGGACCAAAAGCGTCATAGGGGGAGAAAAACGTCAAACACATCATGCAATATACAGACATATAAAGTTTTCTCTAATATAACGGGAACCACAAGACAAGCCGAAAACCGGGACTATGTCTCGTTTACAAATTTAACAGGTATCAAAAAGGTCGTGTGGGAAAAATGCAAATAGGAAAAAAAAAAAAAAAAGAATTGAGCCGGTCTCAAGGGGACTAGCTTCGTGGCTCATGAATCGCCCATCCCCGCAACGACCTTTCCCCCGCGCTCCTCGACGCCGAGCAAGCTGCCTGCGCCGTGTCTGCCCTCGAGAATAAACTCCTCGAGCTCTGTATATGCAGCGTCCAGATCGTCGTTTACTACAATCTTGTCGTGCACGCCCTCGACTTTGGAAAATGCCATTTCGTTCTCGGCCTGCTTGAGCCGCTTCTGGATCGACTCTTCGGTCTCGGTGCCGCGGCCGCGCAGCCGCTTCTCGAGTTCTTCGAGAGATGGAGGGGACAGGAAGAGGAAACGTGCATTGAGGTCGGTCTTTTTGACTTGCTTTACGCCCTGTACCGTCATACGAAAGTTAGCTTGCCTCTTGCCTCTTGCTGTTTTCTTGCTTTACTTCGTCTCGTTCTTTGGATATGAAAGAATGAGCAGGGAAAGGGGGGAAGGGAGAAGTAAAGAAGGGGGGAAAGAAGGTCAAGGTCTACAAACCTCCATTTCAATGTCCAGAATACAAATCTGGCCATTCTCCGCAATATTCTTGACCGCCTGGACGCTCGTGCCGTAGTAATTCCCGCCGAACTGGGCATGCTCGATGAAGCCGCCCTCGTCGACGAGCTTCAAAAAGTCGTCCTTGGTCGCGAAATAGTAGTCTCGGCCATGTTGTTCGCCGGCGCGAGGTGATCGTGTAGTGTCTGAAATATCACAACGCTTTTGTGTCAGCTAATTTCTTCTGTTGTAGATGCATGTATCTCCAGCGCGCCACGTTTGAAGGGGTTATCAAATGCGCTCGTGCCGCGAGAGAAGCAGTATTTATTCTGGGATGGAGCGCAACGTACGGGACACGGAGAAGCCGAAAACGTTAGGATGAGCGGCAAATAGGCGCTTCAGGAGGGTTGATTTTCCAGCACCGCTGGGTCCGGAGACGACAACGGGTCTGTTCTTCTCGACGGCTACATTGTAACAGGAAGTAATTGTTAGCCAAAGGACTGCGCAGAAGATTCCCGTAGGCAGTCACGAGAGAAAAGATGCTAGAGGAATATGGGAATGGCTGTGAGGACATACCGGTAGGAGCCATTGCGAAAGTGCGCTGAAATATGCGATTGGAGGCTATGCTGTGAGGAAATGATCGAGGGAGTGCAGTGCACAATGTCCGAAAGGGGCGCAAAAGCATGAAATAACAAGATGAAAGGGGAGAATTGGGAAAGTGGAATACTTTTCGTTTGTTGACGACGTGGTCTGGCAGCCCCAAGGGCGGTGTGGGTATGTGAGTGGCCGTCGCACAGAGGGGTCGTGCCTGGACCCGGGGGGGATTTTAGGGGATCAGTGCACTAGCCAAAAGCGGTGAACAGGTTAACATTGCAATGTTGAGTATCCGATGCAACAAGTACTCCATAATTCAGGTAATTTTATATTTTCAACAATCAAACAATTATTACGAGAACTCAAGATAGTTATTTTGATAGTAATTCATTAGAATTAATGTTGTATAGTGATTTCGGATGAGTATATATGGAGCACGAGAAATGATATATCTCATTTCCCCCAACGTGAAATACAATGACAGCTGTCGTCCGACATCGATGTACATGGAAAGAAAGGTATCAGGGGTCGGAATTGTCTCTCGGTTCGTACGAAGCAGGTAGATGAGATGTAATAGCAAAAATCGGTGCAAGTTGCCCAGGTATCATAGCAAAACGTTTTCTAAGCGGACATTATGATGGTTTTGACGTATTCGACACAGCACTGCCTCGGCGGGAACTCTTTGCCCCTTCATGTGCTTCTTGCTCCAGAAAGCTTGACCATAGTTCGGCCAAGGATTCCTTATGATTGCCGCTCTCGGACGGAAGCTCAGTCAAAACGGTGGGAGTACTTGGAGTGCGGTGAAAGGGCGACAGTGGTGCCCTGAGATTACTATTTGATGTACCGGGTCGGGCAAGTCCAGCTTGCTCTCGTTGCTCTGGGAAACAATCAGCATAGGCAGAGGATTTGAGAAAGAAATAGACTTACCATCCGTCCAGTCCAGCAGGGCGGCAATTAATTGGAGGACCTGGAACTTCTTTGGATCTGCTCGATCCAGGGCGAGGAATCGCAGAAAGTGATTTGTGACAATTTGTCTGGAAAGAGCGGACGTTAGAAGAGCATGATGGAGTAATTGGGAAACGTGACTCACCTGTCAACATTATCCTCAGGTCGACCTCGTTTGAGAAATCTTAGAGCCTTGGTTAAATGGTCATTGAGAATGACCGCTTCATGCCGCAATTTCCCAATCAGCAAGTTCTTCTCCTTGACCTCCTTTTCAAATGGCAGAGCTCTTTCTAGCTCCTTCTTCGTCGAATCCAGAGTCTCTTCAGCTTTGCCCGCCCGTTTTTCTGCCTCCTGAACTTGCTTGCGAAGCTCATCCATTTGTGCTTGAGAATTTTCGACGAGTTCTCGCAACTCTGTTTTGCGTGCTGGGTAAAACAGTCAGCTTTGTCCGTGAACCAACCGCAAAAGTGGCTTCCTACCATCTTGCATCTCCTGCAGAGCTCTTTGCAAACCATCCACTGTAAGTGACTGGCTATCTCTTTCCGATGCAGCTCGTTCATAGGCTGCTCTCTGATTTGAAAGCTGATCCTCGAGGTCAGACACGCGGTCGCTCAAATTCTCTCTGATCGATCGCTCCTCCATGGCCAAGACCTCCCAATCCTGCATTGCTTGTTTTGCTGCTTCGAATTCTTCTTTGGCCAATGCTTCTCGCTTTATCAAATCTTCTCTCTCCTTTAACCAGTTCTGTTGAGAAAGGCTTGACCGATCTCGAAGGCTTGATAATTCGTTGGACATTTCTCTTTGGTCATCATTCAGCCTATTTAGTTGTGCTTCGAGGGAATCATTCGTCTCGGCTAAACTCCGGTTCTGCTCTTCAAGTTCCTCAATTTGAGACTTGGATTGTGCCAATGCCTCCTGTTGTATTCAAAGCAGATAATTAGTCAATTGCCATTGGCATGCATGCCTTGGGTAACCAAGTTGACCTACCGCATCGGCTTTCAAGCGTTCGCCGAGTTGAGACCTAATGGTATTCACTTTGCCGAGAAGATTGCGATACTGAGATTCGGCATGCTCTTTTTCGTTTTGAGCCTCCTCAAGCTGTCCCTGCACCGTAGAAACCTCTTGCTCATGTTTTCCTTGAATGTCTTCTAACGCTTTTCGTAATTCCGTAACTTCGGCACGTAATGAGTCCCGATCCTTCACCAATGCGTCTAATCGTTCTTCAGTATCGGACGGCTGTTTGCTCTCTTCGGTTTCGTCCAGTGGTGGCTGTGGTATTGATGTCGTCGATGGTGCATCTTTGATTGCCTCAGCAGGGCTGTCTGCATTCTCCTCAACGGCAGCTTCGCCGTCATCTTGTTCCTCCGGTTCATTATCAGGCTCTTTGGCTTGTCCATTGGCTGTAGGTGAAACTACTGGAGATCCGTTGACAGGTGCACCATCCTATGGTGCCATTAGCGCATGCGCGACATGCATGAAAAGGGGCGCTATGGTATCCCTACGGTAGGAGGTTCTGTCTTTTCCGGAGCTGTCTCCGGCTCTTCGCCCAAAGGCTCAATCACCTTTGAGGCATCGCCATTGGCCTTGGCAGCTGCAGCCGCCGCCTTCTTCTTCTTGTTCTTCTTGTTCTTAGACACTGCTTCTGTCAGCACCGAAACACTCCAAACCCGTGTTGAGCTCAAATAGGGAACGAACCTGGTGCAGGAGGGTTATGAACCGGTGTCGCACCCGATGCTGCAGACATGTTTGCTCAAGCAAAGCTGTCAAAGAAGAACATATGTTGCGGTAATTCGATATTATCTGAACAAGAACAGGCTGCGTAATTGAGTCCCACGTTGCATTCTGGTTGGCTCTTTCGCTAAGTTCCTAGATTCGGCAGATCATTGATCCAAACCCGGAGACGACGGTGGCTTGGGGGAGTTGGACTTGCGGCGGTGCAGCGACCTCTGCGGCATATGGGAGAAGTGCTAAGGTAAGTTAGGTAGGTAGGTAGATGCATTCATGTATCGCTACTTCGTAGACCCACCCGATTTGTACTCCATCAAGCGTACCACTACTATCAGGCGCATTGACAGGAGATGAAAGGGCTTTAGGCAAGACGCAGCTGCCCTCGTCTAATTCCCAGCCTAACTGTCGTACCCTATAAATTCTTCCTCCGCCTCCTCGCCCTCTTCTTTTCTCATTATTTTATTGTCAAGATCCTCAACATACCCTTGTACGAGACATTTGCAACCGTTGTCTTTACACATTCCCGAGTGATCGAGAGCGACTAATCGCCTGTCTAATCCTGGTATTTGCTCGAGTTTCGGCTCTTATGAGCATATCGGGTTCGCTTTTGGGCGTACAATTCACTCAACCGTTCTTCGTAGATTTGTTTAGTAGCCAATGCACATGTTTCAATACTATAAATGAGCCACACTCATTTATCTTTAAAAGACCCCGTCTACTGTAATGCTGTCGGTGCCATGCGTGATGCACGCCGCTGACTTTGCCCACTGAAAGCATTGGCGTTTGAGCACGACTTGTTACTCGATAACGCAGATAGCTCCTTCTCATTGGCGTCATTCTCAATCAATGAAGGGCCCTTCAATGCTCAAAAATGAAATGATGATTGATTACCTAAAGTGAAGAGCTAATATCCTAACCAATTGAAACATATATACGTATAAAGCAAAGGTATTCATCTACGCAGCAGTCTTCTTCTTCTTGGATGCTTTAGGCTTGCCTCCTTGCTGCTTCGTCCTCTTGGTTTCCTTCTTGCCATCCTGCTTAGCCTCATCGTCTTTCTTTTTTGAGGCTTCCGTCTCAATTTGCTGAGACTTGGTCTCTGCCTCTGCAGGCTTCTCTGCAATCACAGAGGTTTCGCTGGTCGTTCCCTTTTTGCCCTTTTTCGTTTTGTTCACCTCCGTCACCACCACCTTGTTTGGCTCTTCTTTCTCCACAACGGCTGTCGTCTCGTCGACCGTAGTCTCTGGTTGCTCGAGAAGCTTCGCCTCGGAAGATCCTTCAAGAGCCTGAGCTTCCTTTTTCGGGACGGTTTCGATGGACTTCAGCTCCGGAGCGGTGAAGTCATATCCGATTTCCTTAAGCTTTGCCGCTCTGGTTTGTCTCTTCTTCTCCTCGCCCGCTACCCGCTTATCCCAATGCTCCCGAGTCTTTGCAAGGTTCAGCTTCCTGCCCTCAAGTTTGTTCCAAGGAACTCTCTTGAATCGCTTGTTTGCTCCCTTCCATAGGCTTTCATGAATTTGCTCTTTGGGGACGACTTTGCACTTCAAAATGTGCCCGAACATCAGGTAATTGTTCATGGTGTCAGCAACAATGCGAGCAACATCTCCGGACTCAAATTCAACAAACGCATAGTGCTTGCTCTTGCCAGTCTTCCGGTTTCGCGAGAGACGTAGTCTGTGGATAGCGCCGAACTGTGAGAAATATTCCCGCATTTCATGCTCGTAAAAACCATGAGGAATTCGGCTATATTATCATCAGCATAAGCCCGTGGAAGTATGCTTTTACGCAGAGAAGACCTTACCCAACGTAGACAACACCGGTCTCCTCGGGCTTTCCTTTCTCCGCGCTCTTGAGCTTCTTGCGCAGCTTTTTATCGTTTGGAATTGCCGGTACGTTTTGACCTTGTTCAAAGCCCTCGTCATCGGATCTATCTTCTTCGTCGCTGCTTTCAAACCCCTTTAGAAGGGCCTCGGTCTGATCTTCTTCCTCATCACTCTGCGCATCTGATTCTGAGGCATCGACATCTTCAGCAGGTGGCGGCGAAGCAATCTTGATCTCCTCGGATTCTTCTCTCTCGATGGTCGCAGGGGCAGCGGTTTGTTGCACCTTCTTAGACTTTTTCTGGGTGATTTGCGATGGCGCAGGTGCCGCTGTCGAGAGTCAGAGATGAAGATTAAAATTGCATTAATGAGACTTACCCTTTCTCTTTTTGGTCTCCGGTGCCATGGTCAATTTCCTTGCTTTGTGCCTGATAAAATAAAGACCGGCAGAATTTCACGGTTGTGTTGGATCTCCGGGACAGTAGTTACGACCCCGAAGTTTTGCGGAACCGAAACTTTTGTCCTCGCTAAAATTATTCCCGACCACCGTTAGCGCGATCTGCCATTTATCAGATGGCACATGGTGAACGAAGATCAATAATGATTGACATGGTAATCAGCCCAACATGGGCAAGAAAAACAAAGAGCTCTCCCATGAGGAGATTTGGGACGATTCAGCTCTAGTCAGGTCTTGGGATGATGCTCTAGAAGAGTACAAGGTTTGAAACTCCAATTACAATGCCTTACTTTGTGACTATATGAGTTTTCTAACATGTGACGTAGCGCTTTCATAGCATTCAAGCCCGGGGAGAAAACGTGGACGATCTTTTGCAGAAATTGGAGGCTGAAGAAGATGGACTGGCCGAGTAATTCTCAATAGATTTTGGTTATGCATTTCCGCTAATTCTAGGTAGCCCTGCTTCTGGTCAATTACGCCAGGAACTTGCCCAAGGGGAGGTTGTCCAAGAACCGGAGCACGACGAGGTCATGGAGGATGACGAAGTGAATGAGAATAATGACCAGCGCACGAAATCAGAAGATGTGGCGAAGAATGAGGGAACCGAGGTGAGAACACCTAATTTTTCCTTCAAAATCTACAGTCAGCTAATAACAAAAGTCGTTACCTGAAACCCAGCAAGCTGCTAATGGAGATCATTCCTCGAACGCGGTGTCAATGCCGCCCCCTATCCCGTCAGCCCTGGTTGGAGCAGGTAATTCTTATCTCGTGACTTTACGCGGTACCTTGAAAACGCATGCTGACATGATTAGTGCAAGATGATGCCCTTAAAAACTTGATGATGAGCTGGTACTATGCCGGCTACTATACGGGGTTTTATGAAGGGCAACAGAAAGCAAGGGGGCAAGACGAGAAGAAAAGTTCTACTTAAATTGGTGTTCGAATCCCAGAGCATTGTCTTATATATTTTTCGACACCGCATATACGATTGTACAGAACTGGTGGGGATATTCCTGTCTGTGACCTCTGCATGTCCGCTGACGCTAGCAGAGAGTGAATAACGGGATATCAAAATCTTTCTAGCAGGGACTAGGATCACGATTTGCAAATCTCTCCGCAACAGCAAGTAATTATACCATAGGCTCAATCATGCCCGAGCAGAGAAAAACAGTATTCGATTTATCGAGGTCTCAAAAGGATATTAAGCTAAAGCATATTTAATGGCGTTGTCCTACTTAGCCTCCTTTCGCCGTATGAATCAGTCGCTAATTGGATATGCGTGGTATAAAAAAGCTCGTAGCGTGTCGTGTGGATAACCTCCACTTCCGTCCTTAACACCGGTTTTGGTGAATAATTATTTCTTGGCCTGGCCTGCAGCGGCCTTCTTCGCTTCAGCTGGGGTAGCCGTCAGTTACGCTGTCTCATAGGCTGATCATGTTCGAATGGGCACTATACCAGCTGCCTGCTTCTCACGCATGATAGCCGCCTGGTCTTCCTTAGTGCGAGCAAACTCTGTTCCGGTTTGCTGTTTCCATTACAAGGAGAATTAGTCTTCGATTCAGGGGAAATGGTCCCGAGCAATTGGTGTGGAGAAATAAACGTACCGTGTTCTTCTTTTTCTGTAAACAGAGTCGGAGTCAGCAGCGTCCGGGCTGGGAGACGGCGGCTAAACTTAGCGAACTTACCACTTGGGATTGTGCTTTGAGATTCTTCTCTCGAGCTTTGTCACGCTGGTTGCCACGAGCCATGACTGATGTTGTTCGGGCTTCTGTGCGAAACCTTGCTTGACTAGATCACAGTCTGGTGAAAGATTCGAGGATGCGAAGAAAATAAAGGGACAGGATGGGGATTTGGTGGTTCGGAACTTCGTGGTGGTTTGACTCCGCGCTAATTTAGGCGGCGCCGAGACCGAGGTCTGGAATTAAGATAGAAACAACAAGAACCTCATACGGATATTAATGTACATTGCAGTACTGTCGCCGGGAAAGGAACGTGGGGCAATCATCGAATTTACTCTCCCAACTGAACGACGGATATGTTCTTACTTCTACCTACCTTATCTTCGGGTTTACCGAGCTATCATGCTTCTTAACAGATGAGAGCGCCGGTGTGGTAGAGTCAACCCTGCATGCTTACATTTGACTATCTGTGACTATCTGCTCACGCTGGTAAAATAAGTCAACTTATGTGGCAGGTCGGACTCTTGGACAAATTGAACCCAATGCTCAGAGATCAACAGCCTGATCCTGTCATCCAATCATGGGCTACCACCTCTGACAAGGTCTTTTGCCGCCAGGGGTGCTTCTGATTCTGCCCCTGGGGAAGCCTCACCTTTCTGAAACTCTGCGCTTGAAAAGGTGTGGACACTGATATCCAGTCATTGCTGCAGAGCTTCTCAATTTGACGACCATTTTGACGGCTGGTAGAAGCCGGAAAGCAATAAATTTTTTTACATGCTAACGCAGCTCTCGCACCCTGGCTTCACACCTATTGATAATCGCTAGATACCTGCCAGCTGTGCGAAAAAGCTCCTCGCCATATTGGCCAACTGAGCATGAACAATTCCATTCCTATCTACGTGTTTCAAATTTGGCTCGGAATCGGGCGGTAATGCTGCCTGACCTCATAGGCAGTATCACCAAATCTCGTGCAAACGAACCTTTCTTATCGTTGCTCGTGATACCGCTTCACCATGTGAATACCCCGGCAGCATCATGGAGAATTAGCAGGGCAGTCATGAAAGTGATGCCTGGGAAGATCTCATGACAGCTCAGCCGCGATTGTTTTGAGACTAACATTTCTGAAAATTTCCCTTACCCTCTGTATGGATTTATAACTCGCTCTCTCGGAGGACCTGTTCGTCTTTCTCAACCCTGAGCATTCTTTTTATTTGAATATTTGCAAATCATAAACATTAACTTGTTAGACTGCTGGTTCAGCTCCAATTCTTCTATCTAAAATCCACGGGCTCCGACGCTCTTCCATAGCCGCTTTAGATATTTTCCCGTTGGTCTGCGCAGGATTATCACCGACTGCTTCGCAACAAGTCAAAATGCCTTCCTTCTCTCATGCTCTGGCCGGCCCAGGCTATATCATTCTCAATGTCTTTCGTGTCTTGAATGTTCTCAGCATCATGGCAATCATCACCGCCAACTGCGTTCTGCTGATCAAACTCCCAGTTTACACTAAAGTGCGAATGACCACAATGTATTGATTTTCCTGAAATTTGCTAACATATGCGTTAGTTTTTCGTCTTCGAATCTATAACGCACGCCATTGTCATCAACATTTGCAGTATGGTGTTCCCGGATGCATCTTTGTGACCTAAGCTGATAAACAGCCCGAATTAGTTTTCCTGATCTCTTCTGAGCTTTCACTTTTCCGATCCTATTTTTACAGAAACTGGCCGCTTCTCAGTCCAATCCGTGGTTTCGTGACGCTCGGCCTTGCAATGGTCGTTCTCGGAATCTCAACCTTGGGAACTTTGAACAGGCAGTCTTCTTCTGAGCAGTCACTGGGCCTTGCTTTCTGGCGGATTGTCGCTGGATCAGGCATTGTTGCGATTGTTCTCGGATGCTTCAACATGCTCAACGTACGTTCGCCTGGCTATTTCATTTCTACAATGCCTATTGTCGAATGAAGGAATTTGAGACTAACATTGGCAAGCAGAGTTTCATCTTCAGAGACAGCTCGAATGGCGTGACAGCCCGTCATGTTCGCTCATATGGTGCAGTCGCGCCCCAAAGAGCGCAACTACAGATGGAATCTGCCAACTCTGCCTCTTGCAAGTTGGGTCCCTATAAATCGTTTCGGCTTTGTCGTCAATCCACTCTCCACTCCCATCACTCCGAAAAGATTTCCCTTCGTTCCAGTCCTGTCGCGGAAAAGGTTCAGCCACTTGGGCCAAGAGTGCCGGTGAACATTTCTGCACCGCTCAATCCGAACCCTCAGTTTACGGACTACGTGCGGATATCACCGCCAGATATGGCGCATCATCCGGCTGCTTCAGCTGGGAATGAAATGAGACCGTAGCAGCTTTGATTAACCTTTTATCCTTGCTTTCTTTTCTTGATCTTCTGAGCACGGCGTTCTTATTCCTGTATGACCTTTCGATTTTCGTCCAGACATTCACTTTGTTGAGCAGTAGTCTTGTCTGAATGTTATTCCTAGAATTTTCTTCTTATACAATCTTTTCCGAAGAAGCAGTTGACGGAGCGAGGCTTCTAGAACGATGTTCATAACATGCAGTAAATCAATTTACTTTGCATCTTCTAACAAATTATCGAGACTTGTCATGTAAATATTGACCTATGCTACTACAAAAAATAATAAGACATCTAAACCCAATGACAAAAAGTACTCCATAGTATGTCTATATGCAATGAAACAGTCAATGCCGTTGATGCAAGATGCGCCATGTCCAAAATAGCAATCACAGAAAAAAAAAAGACACAAAAACGGAGGACAGCTCAGGTATCTGGCTCTCCGCCTGGAACCGCACTCACAATGCGGGTCGCATACTTCTCGGCATCATCCATGATGACATCGACATTTGTCCGTCCCAGCGCAACGTTCATTCCATCCACGACTTCCCGATCCTCGAAAATCTCCGTCATCACTTTATCCTCCGCGATCCAATACTTCTCCATGAGCGATCTGAGCGGGGCATCCCGAAGAATCACATTGCGCATCATGCCGAGAGACTGGAGCTTCCTCTGCGCCGCTTCGAGCATCTTCGTACTATTCTCAATGCGCATCGCCGGGGGCGGGGGCGTCACGAACAGCCTATTCGTCGAGGACAGATACATGCCCCATCCCAGCAGGGCATCCAGCACCGCGAGGCCGAGGCCACGATAGACCTTTCTGCGCCAGTAAAAGGCATCAATATCCCCAACGCGTAGTGCGCCCGTGTTTGCTACTTTTGCATCATAATTGATAATCAGATACACCTCTGCCGCAGCTAGGCCGATGCCCGCAATGGTCGCGCTCGTGCGCCAGATGCGCCCTTCGCTCTTTGACAACAGCGGCGATGTGACGAGGCCCAGGAGTCCAATGTGCAGTAAATGCGGCGCCAGAAGAGCGGGGATGGCATAGTACAGGTACGTCAGCGGCTCCTCGGAGTTGCAGAACTCGCAGTTCACGAGCGTGTCTGGTCCGTGGGTCAGGTAGAGTAAGCGCGAGTCCATGTTGATGAGTTTCGTCTTGAGAATCTCGTCGGACGGCGTGAGTGGTCGCAGGGCAGCGAGTCGGCTGAAGAGGACGTCGGTGGGTGTTTGCAGGCGCGAGCCCGTCAGGGAGAATATGTTGGCCGGTGCGAAATAGGGAAAGGTGGAAAGAAGCGCGAGGGTGAAGCTGATGAGGAGCAGGTTGAGAGCGATAGAGACGTGGGATGGCACGGGTCGGATGGGCACATTGTGGGATTGGGAATGCGCGCGCAGATTGCGATAGTAGGTGATGAGCTTGGGCAGGAAGAGAGGCCCAAGTGTGAAGAGGAGTGTCTTCAGACTGTTTAATTTTAACGAAAAAGAGTTAGTTGGATGGAAACTCAAGGTGTATAGGTTGGGAGGAAGGCAAGTGAAAACTCACGTTGCCCAGGACAGCATTTTGAATATGCTGCGGAGTGCTGGTACGAGAGGGTGAGGCCAGCAATCGGAGTGGTGGTGGTTGGGAAGAGACTGGTGGGCTGCTCGACCACTTTGTTGTAGCCAGCTAAGGTGGTTTATTATTGTACACCGAGGCAGCTTCGCTTTCGCTATCGATAGTGGATGTCATTTAGGCTTGACGTGGGTACCGTAAAACATAATGTTAGCATTGGTCCGACTACCTCGCCGTATTTTTTAATATTTCTTTAGCGATTCGAGTTTGTCTTCAATTCTTTCCACCACTGTCGCTTTTCGAATATCGTCAGGACAGACCATAGAAATGGTCCCTCTGAATAATGAAATCCGATCCTTCTCCATTGGAATGCTATATAGAACAAATACCGTCCCGCAAAATGAACTCACCAAGACTTACCATTACAGCGATTTCCTCCCTTCCCATTAGAAAGCGTACGCGTACGGCACTATCGAAGCTTTGACGATCTCCTTTACATGGTCTCCAAAGTCAAAATGAATGCCAATATAGAAGCAAATTCCTCTTCATCGAAGAGGATATCTCACTTCGTGTTGCAGAGTTTGAGCACTGGCTCTGAGAACTCTGCGTCAAAATTGATGAGAAACATTCCTTTATTTTACGCAAAATATTGTTCATTTCAGCCCTTATGGTTTGAGAAAGATTTAGAAAAAATGATATATATACATGTCAAGGAAAAAGTTTCATCATCAATCATCAGGATTGCTTTTTGCTCTCGCCCTCCTCACCCTTGGGCAGCTCTGTCGAGCTTGCAGCTGGAACCGGGACCTTTTGAGGCTGCGCCTTTCCATTCTTGCCATTCTTCCCATTCTTGCCATTCTTCCCAATCACAAGAGCAATCCCGGCCGTAAGCGCAGTATGCAACATCTGAATGATGCTGGCGCATGCAATTCCCCATATCTGAATGCTGACGCTACCCCTCGGCGCGCGGGGGAAGGAGAGAATCCACTCGACATAGCTGGGCAACCAGCCCTGGGGGATCCAGTACATTGGCTGCTTCGCATACCAGAATTGTAGAACGAGTCGAAGACCATTGGTGCACGCGTAACGGCCAAACGTAAATGTGCTATCGAATGACGCTTTCGACGCGTTGAGAGAGGAAGCTGCAAAGTGGCATCTGTTAGCATCACACCCATCCACTCGTTTCCCCCCACCACGCCTGGCGCAGCGGGAAAAAGGAAAGAGGAAATACATACAAATCTTCTCGTATTCTGCAAGTGTCTTATCATGGGCTCTTCGCAGCTTAGCCCACTTTGCGAATTCGTCTTGACTGCTCGTGGCATTCATTTGGGTCCGCAGCTTGACCACTTCCCGTCGCAGCCGGACTTGCTCTTTATACGCTTTTGCGGTCGGCGTGGGCCCTTTATTGTAAAGCGTCCATATCTGCTCCTAAGTCAGTAAAGCTTCTTGCATGATGTGTGTAAATTGGCGTATAGATGCTATAGAGCACCGACATACCCAGTTGTTGAGCGCATTGGCGCCAAAAGAATTGATCAGATGAATGACCAGCTGGAGGACGAACACGATGAGAAGGAGAGAAGGCATCTTGTCGGTATGCCCTTGGAAGTCTCTATCTCATAGATCTCGTATTGATATTTCCAAGGACGAGTCCCGAGTATCTGGGCTGTTGCCGTCGAAAGCTGCCCGGGACAGTTGAGCTTGTGTATTAGACGAACTGAACTGCGGCAAGCAAACGCAGCTACGCAATGGGGAACCGAGCTCTCGTTCGACCCGTATGTCTAGCTTAAAGATCCTCCATCCCAGCGGGCCAAAACAATGGCACAGCCGCCTGAAATTCCACATTCAAGTCTACATTATGCCCCGGAAACCCGGAAATCCGGAAAAATGACAAAATAAATTTTCATCAAAAACCATGGAACAAGAAATATATACACGCATCTCGACATTTCTTGAGCGCTGGAAAGGAATTAAATTCGAATTCGAAATCCTTCCTTCCAGCCTAGTCCCTGCTCCAGCAGACGGACACCTTCCCATCATTGAAGACGGACCCAGTTTCGGGATTTCAAAACAGGGCTTAATCCGGGCATTTTGTTTTGCGCGGACATTATTTTTTCAGGCCTCAAATGGCCTTTCTCCTGATCCTTGCAAACAACATGATTATTTCCAGGCGTCTTCAATCATATTATTATTTGACCCAGAGCATTTGACGGCAGCTAATGCCCGGAAGAAGCGATTATTTGCTTTAAAGCGCCATGCATCTAAGTTTGGTGCGTTGGGAAATGCACAAAGCCAAGAAGAAGAGAGGCCCTTGAAAAAAGCGGTGCATGAGGAATTAGTATTTCTCGAAAGCATCTTAACGTCCCCTTTGCATCGGCATTCTAAATCGCCCACGCTATGGTATTATCGGCGCTGGATATATACACAATTCTACGACATTGTATGGCTCTGGCCGGCGTCAACGCGAAAGGAATCTCTCACAGCATTCAATGAGACAGATGAAGCAACAAACCTAGCGTCGACAATTCCCATGTCTGAGCTTAGACTTGTCATGAAAGCAGCAGAACGACATCCCAAAAACTACTACGCGTGGAACTACGCGCGAGAAATGATATATCTTGCAGATACCTGGCGGTCTGCTACGACTACGGTTTTTGCCGACAGCAATAGGAGTGATCTATACATTACATTCTGTCGAAGCGTGCAAGAATGGTGTTTGACCCATGCGAGTGACACTTCTGGCTGGTCATTTCTCTTATTTCTCCTCCGACGTGGAGACAGAGATGTGGACTACGTGTCTGCAGTGCCACTGCAGCTCGTACAAGAGGTCGTTGATCTGACGCTTAATTTCAAGTGGGAGCATGAAGCCGTCTGGTGTTTTCTTCGGAGTGTCCTTGCTTCGAGCGAGATTTTGAGCGTTGATCAGAGGGAACAGCTTCTTGCTAGAATACGTGACAATTTGGGACAATCAGCTAAATCTGGCACGGAGAATAATATGGAGAATGATATCATTTCTCTTGCTGGAAGTGAAGGTGCATCAAAGGGCACGTCGCAGGAGAAGGGGTTGCGGTGGATCAGCGTTTTCAAAGAAGATATTGCGTGAGAAGTGCCAGGCGATTTCCCAATTCTTGGTTAAGTGGGCAGTCTGCTCAGCTTGAAATAGGCCGGCCGGGGAGAAGAAAATCGTCACACCGTCTATTATGGTGCATCTCAAACCTGGATACGCTCTCATTCACAAGTTCACAAACCCGCCAGCTGCGGGCTGATTTTCGCGGACTGCGGATAATAGAGAATGCGGCGCCCAGCTGAGCAGATGCATATGATCAGGACGAAACATTCTTGATCTAAGCCAAGCCAGCTTCCATAAGCGACGGCAATCGATGTGAGAGTGCACAAGTCAAGCAGACATGACTTGTATGTGGTATGGATACAGGAGATCCCCCTACAGCAAGCCAATGCCTTATCTAAGTTCAGCGCAAGAAGCCATAAGGCCATCCAAGTCTGCATCTGGCCCGGGTTCCATAAGATTAGAACATTTGCCAGATAGTAAGCATACGAATCACAAAGGCAGTCACGTATTTAGAAGAGCAATCATTGAAACATTCTGCTTATTCTGAACCCATTTCAATTGCAAATAAAAATAAACGCCATGATATGCCTGTTGGCTGTGGTATTGCAGGACGATTGCAATGATGTAAAGATAAATAAAGACAGGAGAAAAAGGATGAGCATTGTTGACGGGGTATGTACAAGGGGAAAGGTCATCAATGTAGAGGTCTGAAGATGGTGTCCGGGTGTGGAGTAATTTTGAGATCAGAGGGTAGAAGAAAATGGCAGGGTAATGATGATGAGATCGTCTCCTCTCCACAGCTTCATCCGAAGCTGAAACGGGCTTCTAATAAGGTGTACTGAAGGTCCTGCTGTGCTGCATCAGGACGTGCTCTGGCTGTGGGCTGCACGCGCAGGCTCGAACAAACGACGTCTAGTCCTTTTGATTTAGAACGCACTGGATTGCACTGGATTGATATGTCCAGTCTTTCTCTGAGTGGTCTGCCGCTCAACCGGCTGTTCCTCTTATGATGATTAATCGGCTTTCCAATGGCCAGTTAGCCCGCCGTCAATGTCGGCCTTGCCGAGATACAGCTCCAGAGTGTACAATGCCATTGTACCGCCGAGATTGATCCAGCGCCATAGATTTCCGCCAGCATCACCGACTTGGCTGGTCAACCATTCCCCCGCCACGCCGTCGCCTGCTGTGGACGAAAAGTGCTGCATCAGCAAACTCGTGTAGACGGCAATCAGTATGCTCGGACTGAACCAGCTTAGAAGCCCAAGAAGTTTTCCTGCACCGTCATCATCTTCAAGCGAGGCTTCTTGAGACAGCGCACGAGCCCCAGACTCCCGAACAGCTGGGATGATTCTAGTTGAGGCGTAGAGGACAGAAGACCGATACATGAGAGAGATGAACACTGAGGGCGTGATTGTACTCAATGCGGCCAGGAGAAAATTAAATGCAGCATGAATGGTGGAAGGTAAGATCGAAAGAGCATGCAGGAGCGTGGTGTATGGAGCCATGACGGCCGGCGGAAATGGGGGGAAATCCTGTTGAGCTGGCGGCGGGACACTTTCGGCTGGGTGAGAAGGTTGATAGTCTGTGAAGATTTGATAGATGCAAAGGGTGATATAGGCAAACTATTACTTGAATTAGCATGAAATTCTCACGGTCTGATATTCTCCGTGGTAACCTACAAGAAGTGAACTCTCGACTGGATTGCCCTTTCCACTTCCAATTCCCCACGCGGCCAAGAACACTGCACAAGTGATGGCGACGCCAATCAAGGTCGCGTCAACATTTCCAATTTCGGGAAAGGTTGTGATCCTCCAGAGAAAGTATACGGAGCTTGAGATGATAGAAGCCGACATGACGAGTAAACCAATCTACGAAAAAAAAAGCATTTGATCAGTCATACATCTCCAAGAAACATGATTTGACCAGGTACTGACCATCCAGCTTTCACCCCGTTCTCCATTAACGAGCCACCGACTGATCTGCCCAGCAGACTGAATCACTAGCAGGCTGCAAAATCCTTCTGAAAGCTGAAAGACAGGAGTGGACCATTGAAGGACCTTGTCCCAACTCCCGATGGTTGCCGTCTCAAACAGGCCATTGTGCCCAAAGAGCCATTCACTCAGGCCTTTGTCCGCAGCTCTTTTCCCGTCAAAGGTGCGCTCGATCCATCCTGCGCTACTGACAGAGTCCACAGAAAATCTATTGAGACAGGCAATCATAAGCGTGGGAAGGACAATCCATTGCGTCCAACTGAGCGCGTGCACGAGACCCTTTCGAAACCGTGACCTTTCTGGTGTTGCGATCCGAAGTACGCAGTAAAGAAAGTAATAAGTTGCAAGTGCGAGGGAGAATGCCAGGCCGCAGGTCCTTCCGCCGACGTCAAAAGTGAGGGGCACCGTGAGCAGGATAGACACCAAGAAGACCGCCGAAGAGAGGATCCGGAATAACCACATGAGTGCAACAAACAGGAGGCAGGCGCGAGAGCGCAGCCAGTTTCGAGGCGCCAGTCAGAACGATTCAGTTTCTGACTGAACGGATTGACGCACCTCGTGCACGTCAGGGCCTTTTGAAGGTGGGGGGAGGGAGAATGTGGGTTGATAGGGCGGTGTGAAGCAGTTCAGAGTAGCGCTGATGAGGCCCAGAACTTGCTGCAGCTTGACCGACACTTTAACCGCGTTTGTTACCTTTTTGGCTACTTATCTCCACGTGGCCATGAGAATCGAAACACTTTTGATGCAATTTATCAGCTAATGTGAAAAAAAGAAATATCTCAGATCCTTGTCTCCATGGGTATATTGGTAAGAGGATACACTCTCGTAAATGTTTGACGCAATTGTGGTTCCTCAAGCAAAGGTCTAGCTATGTCTTGTGGATGGCGTCAGTGCCTTGGGACAAAATTGACCCTGGAAAGTGTCGTGTGTGCATTTTCCTGCTTGTAAAACCAAACACATTGTATCAGACACAAGCTTGATTAGGTATGGAATCCAAGGCACTCTGAGACTAAAATGATCCTCGATCTATGGAATTGAAATTATCCATCTTATAACTTGTGTAGCTGACCTCAAATGCTACTGAGTGTCCGGATCAGAAATCACATGCAACATTCCTGCCTGGCTCCGTTTCAACAAAATACTAAAGAATTCTGAACGGTATCCAGTGTTATGTTAAAGCCGATTTTCATTTTAATGAAGCTTTGCATGATCGTGACAATATTCAGCCGAGTAGATTGACTGCTTAAGCATCCACTATGTGATTGTGTAATAATACCTTTGTTATTGGATCATTTGGCTGCCAATAGCGGGGACGGTGTGGCTGACAGACCCTGAACACAGACAAGATCTTCGCTACCGACACACCCACCAATACCAAATCTTCTAGTTTACCCGTGGTAGGTAGAGATCTCAAAAGTTTCCGTAGCAAAAATTAAAGTCTTGCGGAATCTTTGAAGAAATCGAAGACGTTTCTTCTCATCAATTGTCGTCAAATTAAAGCAGATACCTATCTAGACCTCCCCTCCGTTGCATGTTCCGAAGATTCTTCAAAATGGCCGAAGAAATTGCTTCCAAGAGACTGAAGGTCGATCGCTCCACCCCCGCCGTCATTGGCACCCACAAGTAAGTATCTCTGCCCCGAAGAACAGCTCCAGCCTGCTCCTTTGGCAGAACATGGGCATTGCTGGGATCTTCTATCTTGGGGCGAAGGGCATAATGTTGACAAATGTATCTGAAAATTTATAGTGGCCACTTCCACGCCGACGAAGCGCTTGCAGTATACCTTCTTCGACTCCTGCCCACCTACAACCCATCGACTCTGATCCGTACGCGCGACCCTGCTTTGCTCTCGACATGCCACACCGTCGTGGATGTTGGCGGCGAGTACAACCCTGCCTCCAACCGGTATGATCATCACCAGCGGACATTTGACACGACTTTCCCCAAACGCGCGACCAAACTGTCCAGTGCAGGTCTCGTATACATGCATTTTGGCAAGTCGATTATTGCCCAACAGACCAAGCTGCAGGAGGAGGCGGAAGAGGTAAAGGTTCTGTACGAGAAGTTGTATACGGACTTTGTGGAGGCCTTGGATGCGCATGACAATGGCATTTCCGTCTACGATCCCAAAGATACCGCCCACCTGCAGAAGCGATTCCAAGATAGCAGCATCAACTTGGGCTCCCTGGTCGGCGACCTGAACGCCAACTTTGAAGATACCGAAGGCAAGTCTGCCGAGCAGCTTCAGAAGGAGGAGGATGAGCGTTTCTTGCAAGCATCGAGCCTCATGGGCACCGTGTTCCTGCGGAAGCTCGAATACTACCACCGTGCTTGGCTGCCGGCCCGGGCTGTCGTACATGCGTCCTATGCCAAGCGCAAGGAGATCGATTCCAACGGCCGTATCATGGTTTTGGAGCGATCTGTGCCGTGGAAGGACCACCTGTACACTCTTGAGGCAGAGCACCCTCAGGAGGAGAAGGTCCTGTATGTCTTGTACCCTGAAGGTCCTCAGGAAGGCGCCAAATGGCGCATTCAAGCGGTTTCTGTCGCAAAGGACTCGTTTGAGAGCCGCAAACCATTGCCCGCAGCCTGGCGCGGCGTGCGGGACGACAAGTTGGACGAAGTCGCCGGAATCCCGGGTTGCGTCTTCACCCATGCTAGTGGCTTTATTGGTGGCAACAAGACATTTGACGGGGCAAAGGCTATGGCGGAAAAGGCTCTGGTGTTGTAAAATATCGGAGTGTGTGATTTGATATATTCACGTGGCACCATTTGAGGATGTTGTTGATGCACCCTCGAGTCACTGGCTTAAGGCTACCGGAAGTTAAGACCATGAGTTGGCGTTTCTTTTAAAAGTGTAATAAGGTTCCCTAAATGAGAATAAAAACGACCTAAGAGTCCCATAACCAGGGGTCAAGAACACCGTAGCATCCGAGCAACATTTTCTCCTCCGTGATACTTCCGATCAGCCATCCATCACAGAGGGTTCGAAGCAAATGAGACAAGATCATCAAATGACGATATGGAATTGTTCCCCCACTGAAAAAGGCAACGGCAAGTACAAGAGAAAATATCAAAGCATCTGTCCGAGAAACGCCAGCTTGAATTGCTTGGGACTCGGTGGTGGTGCGTGTGCGTGTGCGTGTGCGTGTGCGTGTGCTTGCTTATGCAACCATGGCGGGCCGTCAGCTTTTGCCTTCCAAACGCGCCGATTGAAACCCCTGTCAACAGCTTCTGGTCTATCGTTAAGAAGGCAGTAACAACAAATCTCCGAGACTCCTCTCCAGCACTCCCCTCCTAGTGCTGCCACCGAATCGGCACGCCCTCTCTGGCCGGGGGCGGGCTCACTTTCACCTCTCGAAGCTCCGGGTTCTCGGGTTTTTCGTCCGGCTCGCCATCGTCAATGCTTTGGCCCCGATGCAAGAAGCTGCTTTCCTTGACCGGGCTTCCGTTCTGCATACTATGACTGTGTCCAGGCTGGCCGTTGCCGTTGCCATTGCCATGGGGTCCAGGAGAGGGGGCAAGATGAGGGATTGTTTCAGGAGAAGGGTGCTGAGATCCAATCGAGGTCACACCGACATCAGTAGCTTTTCCGGCTTTTGAAAGCGCATAGTCTCCCGAGTCGAAATACTTGCGTTCCTGCAGTGCCCATTAGATTTGTTCACGTCGCGCGTCGCAGACCGCACGTTGAAAGGTAAACTCGCTCACCTTGAGTTTGTTTTGAAGAAGATCATTGCGGTTTGGAAGCTTTCCGTAAAGTCGGAAGAGGCGCTGCTCCTCCTCGGAAAGCGACTAAATTGCGATAAACACCGGGTTAGCGGGAAATGCAACCACGACCGAACAGAAGAGCCAGGCCCGCAATGAGCTGTAAGCTTGATGTGTAGATTGATTAACACTTACGCTGATATCAATCTTGTTCTTCTGGTGAGGATTCATCTTGGATTTGGGACGTCTCGTGCAGTCAAGGAATAAGTGGACGTTCAAAACTGGCTTGTTCAGATAGATCGGCTAGAACTGTGGCTCGCAGCGTTGATTTTTGATGCGTTTCACACTCAAATAGCTTTAAAAGCTGGTTCGACGTGAATCTGGGTTTTGATGTCGTTGCGTGGTGAGAGCACTGCCCCGCTTTAGGCTTTAGGTGTATAAAATCACCTAACGAAGATACCCTCTATCATATGATAAAGAGGCGATTCCCGCTAGAATGGCCGTCAGCTAAGCGGTTCAGCTGTGAAGAGACGAGTGATAAGAAGCGCAGAGGAAGGAGCGACCCGGGACACGAATGGTGATATACAATGACGGATCTCAAGCGGTGGTGAAGCGAAGTTACTGGAGCACGCACCTCGGCGCAGGCAAGCGTGGCCTGAGCAATTGTAGACTTTCGTCACCCTCGGCTATACTTGTGTAGAAGAGTAGAGGGCAAAGTTGCCTCTGCTTTCGCTTCTTTGCTGCCGCGAAAGGCTGTCGGGACTCTCTGGTTTTAATTGACAGTCTCTTTGGTTGGAAAATATAATAAGGAAGGCAGCTACTCAAAAAGACGGCGAGAAGGTTTTGGAGGGGAAAGAGTTATATGCAGGAATGGCGGCCGGAGGGTTCTGCGAAGCTCGGCAAGTTGACAAGCAACCTTCCGTTTCCTTCACGGCCAAGGAGCCAGGGTGCAAGTGCGATCAGTCCCTTGTCTTAGTGGACGATGACTTGGGCTGGGCTAGAGAGGGATAGTAGACACTTCTTGTCTTTTGGGCGGCCATACTCTGATAAACTTCGACTGGGGGACGACGTCACGGGATGCGCAAGCCAATGACGGTCATAGTAGCGCCGCATCAAGGACTTATCATTGGCGGGATGGTAGGGATGCCTCCCACCTTCTTTGAAGATAAGTTACTCTAACTAATGTGTGTCCCTCTTGTTCCATCCAACTGTGAAACTTTGGGTTTCGAAACAGCGTGGTCCAGCTGTAGGTCGTGTAGGTCGCCGGTCTCCCTCCTCTACGGCAGCGTAGCCTGCCAAGTGCCGCTCCACGGATGGATGCATCCAGAGAGGGCATGCTACTCGGTCATTAACGCGGTCACAGCTCGTCTCCGTAATCTCTTTCATGTGCTGTTGCGTCAAGCATTCACATATAACCTTACCGGTAGATCCATCATCATCATCATCATCATTCCGTAGCTCGCTGTAGACTAGTGATCGCCATGACCCCCCCGCTATAATGAGGAACGGATGGTGACCCTTCGACGGGCTCGATTGGTTACCAGGATGCTTAGGGATGGACGCCGAACTTGAAACTTGGTCGCGGACCCCGTAGGCCGACCAGGTTGCTCTCCAGCGGGCTCTCTACCTTAGGTTGGTCGGTATGCACAAACCTTACTGCGGTAACAATGTAAGTGTATCATATCGGTGGTTTTATGTGTGTTCCGGAACGAGACGACTTTGGGATCGCTTAGTAGCTTAGCCTGGTCGATAAGAGCAAATGCACGATCGTGTTGAAGAAAATATCAATACAAGTGTTTGCAAACGCTCCACCTTTTTAAGGGTCTAGGAGATAGCAGTATCACATGAAGACAGCCACATAAGACTGGCGGGAAGATATCAAAAGAAGAAACAAGAAGAAACAAAAATTGACCAACAATGGCCTTCACTCAATCGCCTCAAGGCGGCCATGCCGGAAAGACTTATGTGGTGGAGCACCTGGATCCTGAGTTAGGACCTTGGTCTGCTCTTGAGTACCTCACCATTTCTCGAGAATCGCACGAGAATGGCGCCAAATTCTGTCTCTCTTCTGTTCCTGAGACGTTAAAATTGCCTGCGGAACTCCAACACGTGCAAGGCTTAGAGGTCGAACACCGCAGCGTAGAGACAATTTACGCAGAAAAGAAAGGTTCCGTCTGCCTACTGGACCCTGCGGCGAAAAAAGAATTGTCGCCAGAGGATGCGGGCTCATTTGACGTCTTCCTATTCGGAGGCATTCTTGGTATTGCAACCCCCAAAAATGGTAAAGATATTGCTTCGAGAATGATACATGCTAACCCCCTGGCATTGTCTTAGGTGACGATCCCCCTAGAGGTAAATACCGTTGTGTCTGTGTATTAAGATATTTGTGATCACACTGATGCTAAGACGGCTTTTGCTAGATCGTACCTCTGAATTGAGAAAGAAAGGCTTTGAAGGCCGAAGACTAGGGCCTGTTCAGATGACAACTGATACCGCCGTAAGGGTGACTAGGATCGTCATCCAGGATCAAAGTGAGTTAAATTTTCATGCTCCAATGTCACGCAGTTCTGGGAGCTAAGCAATCTTCTCAAAAGTTCCATTGGACAAAATCCAGTATGTGGACTATCCGGAATTGAAAATCAATAAGCATGAAAGCACCGAGATGCCCTTCCGCTATGTCAAGGACAAAGACGGTCGGCCCACTATGCCTGAAGTATGCCCCTCCGGCTCTTTCACTTGGGCTTTTAAAGCTCAATGTCTTTCCTTTGTTAATGATACTAATGCGGTGCTTATCCTAGGGTATGGTTGAATTGATCAAAAAGGACTCGGAGAAAGCCTTGGACGATATCTTATAGATCTGCTAAGGCTAAATTAAATTCAAAAGTGAATTTACGTTTTTAATGTCATTCGTCATGGAAAGTAAAATCTCGTAGCATAGTAGACTGCACAAGGGCGGTTGGCTAAACAACCGTCGTGAGACTTCCGCCTACGCCAGGAAATTGGATAAAGTAGGTAGGTTGACCTCTCGAGCATAGATCCAATGGGCAACCGTAGAGTGTATACGGTGACGCATACGGCCACTTGTTTCGCCCTTCGGGACACCTAGCTAGATGCTCCGGAACCCTTTCCGCCATTTAGGATACTCAGCCCAAGCCAGCGAAACTCCGATATTGCATTCTGCCTTCAATAGGCTGAAAAGCCCTCTTGATTTGTAAAGGCGATCCGATCTGGGACGTTTTCCGATCATAATTGTACTGCGCTGGCGCATCGTCTATCCCGGGCTACTGTACACCTGAAAGTCCCTTTCGGGGTTGTTATTCACCCCATGAGGATTGCGGACAGACGTTCCTGAAGGAAAGCTGCATCTTCCGGCTTTCTTACCTTTAAAAGAAAATGCAAGCATATGGCTACTCGACCCCCAGAATAGCTCTCCACAGTCGAGCTTGGGTGGTGTTAATATGCAATCTACTACTCTGCTCCTTTTTGACGGGCTCAGCAGCGGCCGATAAGGCTGCTGCTGACTACTTTGTCCATGACTTGCCTGGCGCTCCAGATGGCCCATTGCTAAAGATGCATGCTGGGTAAGTGATGTAACCATACTTTTGCCAGTCGATATACTGACGAACTTCCAAAGGCATATCGAGATTACTCCGGAACACCATGGAAACTTGTTCTTTTGGTTTTATCAGAACAGGCATATCGCGAACAAACAACGTACAGTGATCTGGTTGAATGGAGGCCCTGGCTGCAGCTCCATGGATGGGGCTTTGATGGAGATTGGACCATATCGGCTAACAAAAGACGGAAACCTCACGTACAACGAAGGGTCCTGGGACGAGTTTGCGAATGTGCTCTTCGTGGACCAGCCGGTTGGCACTGGTTTCAGCTATGTAGACACCGATAGCTACATCCATGACTTGGACGAGATGGCAGACCAGTTTATAACATTTTTGGAGAAATGGTTCAGTCTTTTCCCAGACTACGAGCACGACGACGTAAGTCCAACAATGATTTAACGCATCTGCAATCACCAGAGACTAAAATGAGTGCAGCTTTATATAGCAGGAGAATCATATGCCGGACAGTATATCCCCTATATAGCTCAGGAGATCTTGAACCGCGGCAAAGGATGGATGCTAAAGGGCCTGCTTATCGGAAACGGTTGGATTTCACCCGTGGATCAATATCTCTCATACCTGCCGTTTGCCTACAATCGTGGACTCGTCCAAGGTGATTCAGATGATGCGAAGCGGCTCGAATCCCAGCAATCCGTTTGCACTCAGGCTTTGAACAACCCCGATGGGGCCAACCACGTTGACGTCGGTCAGTGCGAAGATATCCTTCAAGAGCTCCTTCGAGTTACAAATACCCACTCGGACGGCGGCAAGGGATGCATCAACATGTACGATATTCGTCTGTCTGACACTTATCCGAGCTGCGGAATGAATTGGCCCCCAGACCTAAGCAATGTGACACCTTATCTTCGTCGTCCAGAGGTTGTCAGAGCTCTTCATATCAATCCTGACAAGAAGGCCGGCTGGACGGAGTGTTCCGGTGCAGTCAGCAGCAAATTTCGAGCTAAAAACTCCAAGCCGTCTATCCAACTCCTACCGAGTCTGCTGGAGCATGTGCCCATCGTACTCTTTTCGGGCGATCAGGATTTGATTTGTAACCATCTTGGCACGGAAGAACTAATCCATAATATGGAATGGAATGGAGGCAAAGGTTTTGAACTTAGCCCTGGCACATGGGCCCCACGTCGTCACTGGACGTTTGAAGGTGAACCGGCTGGTATCTATCAAGAAGCCAGGAACTTGACGTACGTCCTCTTCTACAATTCCAGTCACATGGTACCATTCGACTACGCACGGCGAAGTCGGGACATGCTTGATCGATTTATGGGTGTGGACATTGCCAGCATTGGCGGCGTTCCAGCAGACAGTCGAATTGATGGCGAAAAAGGCATAGAGACCAGCGTCGGCGGGCATCCAAATAGTACGATTGCAGAGAAAGAGGAGGAAGAGAAATTGCAGCAAGCGAAGTGGGATGCTTACTATAGGTCCGGTGAAGCGGCTCTCGTTGTGGTCGTCATTGCTGCGGCTGTTTGGGGCTGGTTTGTCTGGAGAGGCCGAAGACGAACCGCAGGGTATCGTGGACTGTTTCCAGATACGAGCAACGGTCATGTATCTGAAGCTCACCAAGGACGCTCACGAACTGTTTCCGGCTTGCAGGCATTCAAAAACAGGCGTCAAAATGCAGATCTCGAAGCTGGCGATTTTGACGAGAGCGAATTGGACGATCTGACGGCGCCGAACTCCCATGGACGCAATGAGCATGATCGTGAAAGATATAGCCTAGGAGGCACAAGCAGCGACGAGGAAGATACTCCAGATGCAAAAGGTCGAGGGAATCTCAGGAAAGATTAGAGCTTTGAGTCAACTTCTTTTAGTACACGAATCCGTGCCATTGGGCGCAACATTTTAGAGTATCTAGTATCCCGGGAGTGATATATAAGTTATGGAGTTTCGTCAACGCAAAAAGCATTTTCTGGCTAGATATTTCATGGTAGTTTGTGTGCGAAGGAGCATTTAGCATTGTCTTCGGGTAAAACGAGATTATAGGGGCATCTCTGAGCGTTGGCGATGATGTCTTATAACAATCAACCATGGCACCATTTCGAGCCGGCTGGATTCTCTTGAGGAGCTCCATAGTAATGAAGATCCCGATTTGCTTTTAAGATAGCTCATGGGCATACTGGACCGACCACTTCTTTGCTCTGCGACGGTTGTTTTTGCAGCCTTGCATCAAACACAACTATTGATTGACCTTTTGGCTGCCTTACGTTACAAACCCTATAATCTAGGTAAATGTACGATATTGAAGTCGATGTTCTACGAAAGCCGGAAGAATTTCCTTCCTGAACTGTTTCAATACTACCTAAACCTACGCATATGCAGATAACATCGACCTAACAGCGCACAAAAGACCACAGATTGGAACGTTCATCAGATACCTTATGGCAATCCTTTCTCGTCAAAGTCACCGTCGCCACTTTGGGATCGACGGCAAACTCGGGGCTTGACTCTATGAATTGGTATTTCATCACCTGAACGTTTCCCAAAATGTTGGCTAAATGTGATCGAGTCTGACTCGTTCGACCGAGCTTCTGATCGGGCTGCATCTCTGGCACTTCTGCTCAGGAAAATGAATGCATCGCACGGCCCAATCCGCTTTGCATATAAGCTACAGACTCCTTGAAAAAAACTTCAAAATGGGACCCCTCGCCTCAAGAATAAGCCCCATCGAGTTACCCCCGTTCCTATGGCATGTTTCCACCCCAAGGGAGACGACGGGCAATCGCATTACTATCGATCGCGACGAAAGTATTCTCAACGTCCCCTGAACCCCTCAGTAAACCTCGGATTGTAACCAGCACCTTATCCAAGAGCCGCAGAGTCAAGCCAGATGACAGCAGTAATGGCAGAGCGCGGACTCGTATCTTCATCCATATGGTCACTGCCACCTGCAATCAGAGACCTAGCTAGCGACAATTGAAGTCGAGCAGTGCTGGAGCTCGAAGAAACCAAGAGAGAAGACGAGAGGTAGCCGCATGCTTCTATGGCGACGCGTTTCCGCAGGCCTGCAAATATGCAGGATGTCCGGGGACTTTCTCCCAAAGCAAATGGCTTTTCAGCTGAAACATCCAAAGATGTCTCCGTTTGTAAGCTTCGACTGCGATTCTTTGAGCGAGGAGTAGAGAAGAAAAGAAGAAGAAAAGAATTATGAAGAGCTGCTGGTGGGCTAGAAAAGTAGTTTTGGCGATCACGTGCCGAGTGGATCTAGCGTGGAAAGCGCGTATCGCCTCGAGTAGAGGGCAAATGGTGCTAGAAAGTTACGAGTACGGGAGTACGTTTTACTGGATACGCCTACCTTAGTTATATTCAAATAATTATCAAGGTTTGTAGTGTTGAGGCAGATGAAACGAAAAATCAAGTAAGCATTCTGGAACTTCGTTGTAATTGCCTGACAGCTGCCTTGAGCATTCAACCAATCAATTGAGACGTGAGGATACCCAAAACCGTGGTCAATGGACGCAACCTATTGTGCCTGCTGGTGCCTATAAAATCCTTACGTAAGCCATAGGTTCAGCACGCTTGCATATTCTACGCGGGCTAAGTTATATATCGTTTAGAATCTAAGTTTGGCAGTTGAACGGCGCGAAACCTCCGACGAAAGCGTTGCTCCTCTGAGGACTTGTCAAGACTGCCGGAGCTTCAATACAGACCTACAAGATGTCTGGACTTTTCGGTGCAGCGGCGACTTCAGCGGCCGCTTCCAACCCGACGCAGGGCGACCTATCCAAAGACGTTGCTCTGAACAATCCTCCGGAAGACAGCATTTCAGAACTCTCCTTTTCGCCGCAGACCGAGCATTTAGCAGTAGCATCTTGGGACAAGAAAGTTCGCATTTATGAGATTAGTCCTACGGGTCAGAGCGAGGGCAAAGCTCTGTTTGAACATGAAGCACCCGTCCTGTCGTGCTGTTGGTCAAAGGTAGGCTCCCACACAGTTGTTGCTTTGGATCTTGTGTCCCGAGATTCCCATTATGCTAATATTTTTCTGGCTTTTGTATAGGATGGCGGAAAAGTTGTAGGCGCTGGCGCTGACAAGGCCGCTCGACTTTTGGACCTTGCAAGCGGCAGCACGAGTCCACAGCAGGTGGCCGCTCACGAGCAACCCATTCGCACCGTTCGATTCATTGAAGCGCCCGGCTCAGGTTCGCCGATGCTTGTTACTGGATCGTGGGACAAGACGGTAAAATACTGGGACCTCAGACAGTCGAACCCAGTGGCAACCCTGCAATGCCAAGAACGAGTGTATACGATGGATGTCAAGGATCGATTGCTCGTTATTGGTACCGCGGACCGATACATCAACGTCGTAAACTTAAATGATCCTACGAAATTTTACAAGACAATGCAAAGCCCACTGAAGTGGCAAACGAGAGTGGTGTCGTGCTTCAACGACGCAACTGGTTTTGCAGTTGGCAGTATTGAAGGCCGCTGCGCTATTCAATACGTTGAAGACAAGGATAGCAAGTATGTCAATTCCTTTCCATTCGTGGATATAATATCACATAGACTGACATTTCTGTGTACTAGCTCCAATTTCTCCTTCAAGTGCCACCGACAAACGCCCGCTGGGCAAACGAGCACCACCAATGTTTACTCTGTCAACTCGATCAATTTCCATCCTGTGCACGGCACATTCAGCACCTCCGGAAGTGATGGCACTTTCCATTTCTGGGATAAGGACGCCAAGCACAGACTCAAGGGCTATCCTGAAGTCGGTGGAACCATTTCCGCCACCGCATTCAACCGCACCGGCTCGATATTTGCTTATGCCGTCAGTTACGACTGGAGCAAAGGATATGCTTTTAATACTCCCAATTCGCCGAACAAAATTATGCTCCACAGTGTCAATGGCGATGAGTGCAAGCCTCGGGCGGGAACGAAGAAGAGGTAAAAACAAAAAGAATTCAAATGAAACAATGGATTATGCTTTTAGGGATTCCTGACTTTTAATTTCGCGCTTGCTTTTTTCCTTTTTTTTTTTCCGCATTGAAGGCTCGAAGCGACCAATCGGTTTTTTGTTTGTTTTTTTTCTTTTTTTTTTCCTTTTCTCTTCCGCTATCTTCGTTTTTTTACCCCTCTCTTTCTTCTTGTCCACCCTGTTTCCTTTTATCGAAACTTCCCTTTCCCCCACAGCAATGCATATTTATCCAGTCGAGTACGGAATGGCGCAAAGAATCTGAAGGCGTCGAACTTTGTGTTTCGCCCGCGATTGCATGGTCGTTGGCTTTGATGCTCAAACCAAAGGGGCATCCTGAGTTGTACATAGTCTCTGTCTTTGATTCATTGATTTAATGACCTAAAATCGATATCCTTTCTCATCAATAACAAACAAAATTTTTGATACTTGTACATCCATCTGAAGTCAATGATGAACCACATCTTGGAATTGGAAGACAGCAAACCAATACTACAGCTCACTGCACTAGGTAAATGAAAATTAGTTGAAGAGCGTCTCGAATATTTCTTTTAGTAATTTAGTAATTTAGTAGTATCTCTCTAGACAAAAAGAAAAAAGAAAACGATATAATGTGCCCGAAACTTCTAAGCCCATCTCCTTTATGAAAGATCTAGGTTGCAACATAGATAGCTGAAGGCCTTGACTTTGACATGATTTTGACATCCGCACGCACTCGCCGCCCATCCTCTCAACACCCTGAAACACGCTCCTCGTCATTTCATTCATTCATAATGCAGCATCCCCGAGCATGACTTGCAAATCGCAAATCGCCTTCACTCCGCCCTCTCAACTCGTGCGCCAAATATGTCGCGGACTATGTCTTTTGGTAAGATTGTTTATTTCTTGAAATGTGTGTGGAAAAAAAACTTCCGGAATCTGCTCTCTCTATATTTCATCTTGTCGCAGAGGGATATGACAAAAAAACAGGACTCTTTTCGGGGGGGAAAAAAGGGAGGGGGAAATATGTTGAGAAGTAAGAGAAAGAAGAAAAACAAGATGAGTGAAGAAAGAAATGAAATGTCTAAGATGTTTGCAAAGTGGCCTGCTCGACGCCCTTTGTCACGGCGTCAACGGCTTCCTTGTCGTCGGCGATAGCCTGGGCACCGCCCTTTTCGGCAGCCTCGACGGTCTTCTTCTCTGGTGCCGGTTTATCCTTCTTCTCGGCCTTCTTTGCCTTTTTCGCGGCCTTCTTGGCGGCGGCCTTGGCAGCTTCCTCCTCCTTCTTGAGGCGGTCGGCCTGAGTGCCGCCGTACATCTCGCGCCATTCTTGCTCCTTTTCGGCTTTGATGTTGCTGAAGAGGTACTTGGCCTTGCCAATCTTGTGGCCGGGCTTGATGTAGTCGGCGGTCCAGGTGTCAGGGATCGGGAGGAAGGGGACCTCGAGCTGCTCGAGGATAGATTTTGAAGTAGCGGGCATGTAAGGAGCGATGATGCTAGCGAGGAGGTAGATGAGGTTGATGCCGATACCGACAACGGCGGCAGCACGGTCTGGTTCCTCGGCGGCAAGCTTGTTGTCTAGACGGTTGCTCTGCAGGAAACGGTTGCCCCGGTCGGAAATGCGCATGGCGGTCTCCAGACCAGACCGCAGCTTGACGGCCTCGAGCTCCTCAACGTAGGTCTTCAAAAGGGAGTTGATTTCGTCCCGGGCCTCGACGAAGCTAGGGTCGTTGAAAAGCTTGGTGTAGTCGGGGAGGATGCCGTTGTAGACCTTGGATCCGACAAATTTGACTAGACGGTTCACGAAATTGCCGAGGTTGTTCAGCAGCTCGGAGTTGTTGGCGGAGATGAACTTGTTCCACTCGAATTGAGTGTCACCCGTCTCGGGCCGGTTGGAGAGGAGGAAGTACCGCCAAACGTCTGGAGGAATGCCGGTGTCTTTGGCATTGTTTCCAAACACGCCGACTCCGCGAGACTTTGAGAATTTACCATTCTCATAGTTGAGGTATTCGGTGGTCGAAAGGTGGTGGAGCATGGTCCATTTGTCTCCGGTACCCAGCTGGGAGCCGGGGAAAATGACAGTATGGAATGGCACGTTGTCCTTTCCAAGGAATTGGTACAGCTCAACCTCTTCTGGGTTGCGCCACCATTTTTCCCAGTCTTTGGTATAGTTTGCCGTGATCGAAGGGTAGCCAATGCACGCATCAAACCAGACGTAAAGCACCTTATCCTCATAACCAGGAAGTGGGACGGGCGTGCCCCATTTCAGGTCGCGGGTGATTCCTCTATCCTTCAAGCCTTCCTTGAGCCAGCTCTCGGTGATCATGCGCCCGTTCCTAGACCAAGCGCCCTTTTCGCTCGACTTGGAGAACCATTCTTCCACGGTGGGCTGAAGCTTGTCAAGGAGCAGGTGGATATGCTTGGTGTCTCTGGGCACGGGAGTGGCACCGTCAAGCTTGCAACGGGGCTTGATCAGATCGAATGGATCGAGAAGATGTCCGCACTTATCGCATTGGTCACCACGCGCATCTTCATAGCCGCATCGTGGGCATTCTCCCTCAACGAAGCGATCAGCAAGGAACGACGAATGCTTCTCGCAGTATGGCTGCGTAGTGGTCTTTTCGGTGAGAAAGCCGTTCTTGTGGAGTTTCAAGAAGATGTCCTGAGCAATGTCGGTTTGTTGCTGGGTCGTCGTTCGCCCAAAATAATCAAACTCAATCTCAAACCACTTGTACACTTCGGCGTGGACGGCGTGGTATTTTGAGCACAGCTCTTGCGGCGTCACACCTTCCTCCAGAGCCTTTGTCTCAGTCGCAGTTCCATACTCATCCGTACCGCAGATATAAAGCGTAGGCCGGCCGCGTGCCTTGTTGTATCTTTGGCGCAGTGGTCAGTATTCAAAGTAGGGATATCAAGAGCGTGCAGAAAAAGCGTACTTTGAAAAAACATCGGCACTAAGCACACTGCCTACAATGTTCCCCAGATGGGGGACGTTGTTGACATAGGGCAAGGCGCTAGTAATCAGAACATTTTTCTTTCCCGGCTGGGGTAATATTTTGGCAGTTTCCGCCATGATGAAATTGTATTGAGGTTTTGACTCAAAGGGACAGCGTCGCGGACTAAAGTTATTTTGTGAGGGCTTAATAGTGGGGTGAGTCAGCCCCGCGATTCCGCAATCGCCGGCCAAGCGGGAAACTCCGCCTGTCTCCGAGTAATTATTTCCACAACCAACTCGATCAGAATGGGCGCTCGATCGGCGGAATCATTGGGAGACGATCTTTTCGATGGTTTGCTCAATCTGGAGGACCAGTTCTATGATGATGGTTACCGTCTTGGTTTGGCAGATGGCGCCCAGGCGGGACGTATAGAAGGGCGTACTTTTGGGCTTGAAAAGGGCCTTGAAAAATACCGCGCAATGGGCAAATTACATGGCAAATCCACAATTTGGGCTGGAAGGCTCCCTAGGACAAGATTATCAGGATCTGCGAGAAGCGCAAATCAATGCAAAACTGCGCCCGGTTCCGGTTCTCTTGAACAATCTCTCAACGGCAAGGGTGACCAAACTGAAAGCCACGATTTCTTAGCCACTCTTTCAGCCAACCCGCGGCTGGAAAAGCACATCCAGACGCTCTACGCTCTCTCTGAGCCAGCAAGCCTTTCAACTCAGAATACCGAAGATGCTGTGTCCGACTTTGATGACAGATACAAGCGAGCAGCTGCAAAAGCCAAGATTGTGGAGAAGCTTGTAGCCGAAGAGATTCGGGAAGAGGGACAGACGACTTCAGGCAACGGTCAACGTGGTACTGAAGGAGATGGTGGGGGAAGCATAGAGGATGTCAGCGTCCTCAAAGCTCGTCACTGACATCCCTACTTTTCTTCACGACACACCGTCTATTGGCTGTTCCCAGTCACGGCATCCAGCTTCAGATATGGTACGAATTCGCTGGATATCAGTCATCAGTAATCAAAAATCTTGAGGGCCTCGTGCACAAGATGGTCATGTCGGTAAGGAATGCCTCCAGGCCGCATATTGGTCTTTATATGACCTTTGTCCGAACTAATTGGAATGTAGCAGTCCCTATCATCACTTTAAATAGTTCTCTACAAGCATTTGCTGGAGACAACGAGGGAATACGGAAGTACACGAGACAATGGGCCTGGAATTATAATGACAGTATTCCCTGCCAAGAAGATATTTCTGGAGCAAGCCAAGGAAATTTTTGTGGTTGAAGAGTACAAGGTCAGGGAGTCCTTGTACATGTATAAGGTATTTTATGGAAACAAGTCATATCAAAGTAAATAAATATCGCTCTAGATTGGCTGGATATTATTATGAGCAAAAGATTACCGTGCAGTATTCGGAAAGTATTTTGTGATACAAATGCTCCACTTGTTATATCCACAAGTCGGATAAATTGTCGTTATGACGTATGTTCATTCCCCCGCGCTAGGACCGCACGAGGTAGCTATGACATGACCAGAAGAAGCATTTTATAAGGCCAAACAATCAAGCACCGCCAGAGTCTGCTTGCATCCAGATTATCATCAATCCTATCACACGTACCTTTTCCAAAGTTGTTTCAAAATCTCAACTAATTGAAAGCTTGACGACATAAAATTGCCCACTATGGCCTCTACTGAACAGCTTAATGCTCAAAGACTCTTTTCTGTCAAGGACTATGTTTGCCTTGTCACTGGTGGCGGAACTGGAATTGGGTTAATGGCCACGCAGGCGTTGGCAGCCAATGGTTTGTACTACTCTTTTCTTCTGTTGTTCAGATTCATTAACACATTTGATTTGCAGGTGCGAAGGTCTACATTACCGGTCGAAGTGAGTTAAGACACTCTTGTCCGTGCCTCATCTCCATACTCATGTTACTTGTGTGCAGGATGGGAGGTGCTTGAAAATGCCGCCAAAACGCATACCCCTGGAATGGGTGGCCAAATTATTCCGTAATGCCGTCCTGTGCATCTAAATCATCGTCTTCTTGGCTAACCCTTACAGTGTCGGGCCCTGTGATGTGACCAAAAAGGACGACCTTGAGAAATTGGTTTCTGAGATTTCTTCCAAAGAGAAATACCTTAATCTTCTAGGTAATTGCACACATTTTCTGCAGCCCTCGAGATGCATTGTTTGCTAATGTTGGTGTAGTCTGCAATGCTGGCATTGCAGGACCAAAGGCAGTGCCTGAAGGCTCCGAGGCTAAGGAACTGAAAGAGAAGCTCTGGAATAATGAAGACTTCGAGTCATGGAACAGCACTTTCAACACTAACGTGTCATCGGTTTACTTCACTACGTACGTTGCTCAAATTCGCTTTGAGGGGCTGCATAACTGAACAATTTAGCGTTGCTTTCCTTCCTCTTCTGCAAGCTGGCGTCGAAACTCATGGCCATCGCTCAGCTTCCGTCATTGTAATCTCCAGCATGTCTGGCCTGATGAGAAATGCCCAAGGCCACTTCGCTTACAACGCCGCCAAAGGAGCTACAGTACACCTTTCGAAATTGATGTCGGCAGAGTTTGAGAGAACAGACATCAGAGTCAATAGTATTGCTCCGGGTTACTTCCCAAGCGAGATGGTAAGCCAAGAGTCTGATGGAATCGTTTGTATGAAGCCGCTGACATCATCTTGTAGACTGCAAAGGCAAGTGATGAAAGGAACAAGAGTGCCTTGCCGGAAGAGAAAGTGCAAGAGAAGGGTCATGTCCCTGCACAAAGAGCTGGACATGACGAAGAAATGGGTCAGGCAGTGGTAAGTTTTAATTATGGTTGCCTGGATGCTGTACTTTCCACTAACTCTGGAGTAGCTTTTCTTGACGAAAAACCGTTACGTCAACGGAGAGATCATCGCGGTTGATGGTGGTGTGTTGAACGTTGTCGCTGGACGCTAAGAAACGAATTACGCCTAATCAAATATTATTTATCGATGAAAGTCTTGCTTCTTGTGCTGGCACTTTGCAAGCTTTCCTTACCTCGCTATGGCAAAATTTTGTATTGTTAAAAGCAATATTATTTGATGATGATGCAATTAAATTGAAATTTGGAAAATATCCTATGTTCGACATTTGAGATATTAATCTTTCAACGTCCTCATGGTCAGAATCGCTTTCAATGAGCTACTTCCGCTCTCGTTGAGCGGGCAATTCAATGCTTTGATGATCCCTTCGGGCCAAGCAAGTCATCTAGAAACCCGCTCCACAACGTCTTCAGTGTTCCAGGTTGTTTCAGCTCCTCCGCAGATGTGCCTGCCAGCTTACTCGCCACGTTCGAGAGGCTGTCCGCCAAACCCTGGGTGTTGATTCCCGCGGCAGAATTGTCTAGGACATCTGTGACTGCCGATGAGGTTGAAACGTGGCTGTTGTCCGGGCTCACGGTGCTAATCTCGGGGCGAATGACCTAAACAACAGGTGATTTAGAAACACGGGTATATTCGATATTTCGGGGCAGTAATTATGTGAACAATTTTGTTCAATGTTTGCTGGTTGCCATGTCATAGATCCAGGAACTTGATATGGAGGGGAATATTGTGATAGCATACAAAGCAAAAAGGACTCACCGTGTCTATGGCTTCAGTAGCCTCCTTGTTAGCACCCGAGCGCTGGGGAGCATAGTTGTCAGGCAAGAGCGGGACTCGGACCCATTCGCGCCTCTGCTCCTGCGACTCACTAAGGTCGGGCATGTAGGCGAAATCTATGGTGGAGTCATCGCGCACGGCTCCCATAGCTGTCGAGACATTGAATTCCCGTTTCAATTGCGGGGTAGCTGCAGAGAGGGTTGATCGCTTTGAGACTTGTTGCACAACCGACGAAAAACCACGAGAATGTGCGATATCGTGGCTCATGAGGCGTTGAGCCAGCTATGCATTTACGTGGGAGATATCAGCACAAGGATACAATGACGTTCAGGAGCAGCGACACACCTCTGCTTTAGACCCGCTGACTTTCAAGGCCCTCCGGCGGCATTCCGACTTCAAATCAACTAATCTCTGAGGAGCATACTGTGAGGTCCTCTCCGACGCAAGCAATGGGGACGGATTGGCAGCACTGCTGGTGTCATGGAACATCCGAACTTGGCGGTTACCATTGGGGAGGTACTTCAAAGCACGGGAAGAGCGACACGATAATGCAGCCATAACGAAAGATAATATTGCTTTGATTTCTGAAAGAAGCTATGCGAGCCAGGCAGTATGGCAGGGGATGTGGTCAGATGGAGACGGGTCAGGTTCAATGGCAATGTTGAGAGGGGGCTGTTGGGTAGAGGGACAGCTACAAAGGTCTAGCTAGAGGAGGTCGTTATCAAGCATCATATCATGCATGGTTCCACAGCATCAACACATGGGCCTCTCCAAAAGGGAAACCCCCAATGCTTTTGCGCTGGCCCTTCGGGAATGGGAAACCCATCGCTTGGAACCGAACTCGGGTACTCTTGCTGTACTCCGATAAGTTGGGGCCATTGAAGAGGTGCAATTGGCTACAAGGGGGCGAGGGGTACAGAATCACGTGTGCAGGAAAAAGATCTCTCACACGTGATGAAGCAACGCAATGCAGCTGCAAAACTGTTGACGCGGCCCTGAGTCGTCAATTTTTGGTCCCGGTATTTGATCGCCCAGACCGGCGGGCGACCATGGGAAAGCTCGTCTCAGATCCATGGTGGCGTCTGCACCAAAAAACCCCATGGGCTCAAGGCACAGCGTACACCGTAGAGGAGGGAAAAAGATGCGGAGGAATCCACAACGGATCGACTCGCCTACTGCAGGGGATACCCTTTTTGGTTGCGGCCCGTCTCCTTTTGAACGGCCAATAATGTGGTCTGGTCGCCTCAGACTCACCCACTTTATGGTGGGTCTCTGGGCGGATGAGGCGTCATGGAACGGGATCACCATTCCTTGTGTGTTTAAGCTTCTGAGCGGGACACGTACTCGGGCTGATCCAGCGTTGTTCGACCCCGGAGTGGCCCCGATGTCTGCAAGCGTTTTCGTTCAATGTTCAGTTTTTTTCGTAAACTCAAAGCCTCAGGCTTATAACGAAAACCTTTTTCCTTTTTATCTTTTCTCTGGTTTCCCTCTTTTTGATTGCTGCTCTTTTTGCCTCGCTTTGCTTTGCTCAAAGTCCATCCTTTGAGTCTGTTGAAAAATTTATAAAGGCCCTTCTCGTTGAGCCTGAATACCCTCCTTGGCTGGGCCTTGGGAACAAGCGTTACTTCCTTTTCCGCGTGTGCATCTTTTCCTGTGCTCTTGCCCTCTCTATAGAACCATCTTATCCCGTCGATCGGGCCTGAAGATACCTCAGAGCGCATTTCATTCCTACAACACTGAAACACTTTTTGGAAACGTCTGCTGTCTTACTCGTCAGATCAATATCTGATTTCCTCTTTCTGCACTTCACTATTGGATTGCAATTTTGTTCACCATACGCAAGCAGTCGTCTGGCTTGAAATCTTCGCTCATCTCGGTGTATCCAACTCTCCAAGCAGGTCTCGGTTCTTGGATATGCGCTTTACCCACTGGATCCTTCACGTTTCTTATCTCTCAACATGTGTTCTCGCGCTGCACGAGTCCACGACGAAAGGTCAAAATCCCGATACTCCGGTTCTAAAAATTAGTCGTCCACTGCCTTCAGTAAGATACAAGAAGATTTTTAATTGCAAAATGTCCCGCTAATTGTTTTTTAGGATGACCTCCATCCCTTCATCCGCAATGTCAAAGAAGTTAACCACTTGATCAAAAAGTACCGAAGCAGAGGGCTTCCCGGTCCCGATTTCGATGAGGCAGAAACCCTAGCCTCCGTAAAGAGGACCATTGAGCGACGGGGAACTCCCGTAAAGAGAGCACCGTCGTATACCATTGCGACAGGCGCACAGCCGACCGAGACAGACAGCATGGCCCTTGAGCAGGATGGGAACGATATCTCATATCTCGCGGCATTCGAAATCGGGTCCGGCTCAACTCCTTTAAATCTCCTCATCGATACAGGTGCCGGAGATACATGGGTAATGGGCTCAAACTGCACGACGAAATCCTGCCAGGCGCACCATGTATTCAATCAGACTGACTCGAAGAGCTTTTCCAATACCGGAAAAGACTTTAGTATCAGATACGGCACTGGCTCAGTGAGTGGCGTAGTGGTTCAGGATACAATCTCATTCGCAGGTTTTTCGATTAAGATGGCTTTTGGTGCAGCCGACCAAGCATCAGACGACTTTCTCGCATACCCTCAGGATGGAATACTTGGCTTGGGACGGAAGCGAGACGCCGCTATGGGCATCCCTACTGTCATGGAAGTCCTGTCTAGTGGTGACCACATCACGAATAGTATCTTCAGCGTCTTCATACAGCGCGAGGCGGACAGCGATAGCGGAGAGATTAGCTTTGGCACCATTGATGACTCAAGGTTTGAAGGTGACTTGGCATATACAAGCACGGTCTCTGATAGCACAATGTGGGAAATTCCCGTGGACCACGCCGGTGCTGGTGGCAAGAATGGCGATTTGTCAAACAAGTCTGCCATCATCGATACCGGAACATCTTACATACTAATGCCGTCCGACGATGCAAAGGAGGTTCTGTCACAAATCTCTGGCTTCAGTTCCAATGGGGATTCTTTTGAGCTGCCATGTACGACTAACACTCCTTTGCAATTTACTTTCTCGGGGTCTGTGTTCAATGTTTCCTCGAAGGACTATCTTGGCGGCGAGACTGGCAATGGAATGTGTTCTGTCAACGTTGTCGGGCGTCAGGCATTCGGACCAGACCAGTGGATTCTCGGGGATGTCTTCCTGAAGAACGTCTACGCAGTTTTTGATCTTGACAAGGATCAAATTGGTAGGTCTCAACAATCACTGGTAAATTATAGCAATCAACTAATTGCATGATGCTAGGCCTTGCTCGCAAAAGCACAGCAAACCCTACAAGAAAAGCGCCGAGTACGAAATCCGGCGGAGCGTCTCCCACAACCTCGTCTTCGCATACAGCCGCCTCTAATGCTGCAACTAAAACGTTGCAGTTAGCGAGCAGTGCCACATCTACTACACAACAGAGTGCAAATCAGAATTCTCGATCTGCTACTCATCTGCTTCAAGTACCGTGGTTGTTGTTGTCTCTGAGCGTCTTGGCCCCATTGGGATGCCTTTTTGGATAGAATTTTCTCTTTCTTCCCCCCGGTATTCTATGGCGTTCAAGAGTAGGATTATGGTGTTATTGGTGGTACATTGGGGGTTTTATAAAATAGACTTACGATAGACGATGATAATGAAAATCGTCCCATAAAATGTACATTTTAATCTGACCTGAAGACGCTTATTCGAGCGAGTGGAGGGCTGTTTGCCAATGCGGGTTATTGCCGAAGGCGGTCAACCATACAATCGCCGCGTCGGCCACTTAACTGTTCCGTAGACCCTGAACGGCATCGGAGGTCGGGGTTGATAGAGACAGAAGCGAGCCTTCGGCCACTCGATACGAGCTCCTCCGGCAATTAGTAGATTCATAGTGCATCATTGTCGTCCTCCATGCATGAACGTACAATGTTATGGCCGGTGCTGAACTTCATAGTAGTCGGAAGGACTGGCCAAGTGTCCCAGAGACAGAAGAGGCGAGCTCCTTGCTCTCGTCTCATTCCTCGGAGACGGAACCTTTAGAACGCCCACCACCACCGCCTCGTCGTCAGTCGTCAATATCACAGCCTCCCCCAAATGGAGCTCCTCGAACCCCCCGTACTCTCAATCGCGTTCGCTTCGATATTGATGAGGAGTCGCCTCGAAGCTCAACAGAGGAGAGAAGGATGTCGGATTCGTGGACGGTGGATGATGACTTCCTCGCAGATAGTTCACCTTGGGGAAGGCGAGCCAGTGGAGGACAGCGCGCCCCTTTGCTGACTGATGTCGAAGCACCAAGTGTCACGGTCGCGACTGAGGCAGACTTCAATGCTGAGGACCACTTGGAAAGCGCTAGGCCGAGAAGTGGGATGAAAAGTGCATTTATGAACATGGCAAATAGCATCATGTGAGAACGCCAACATTTATCTCAGAACAACCACCATTGCAAGCTAACATTGGTCAATTATAGTGGCGCTGGCATCATAGGTCAGATTTATTATGCAAAACCGGTTATCTATGAAGTTTGCTGCTGACAGAATTGCAGGTCAACCGTACGCGCTCAGACAAGCCGGACTGATTACGGGGATACTTCTTCTTCTAATCCTCACTATCACCGTACGTGACTAGATACACTTGACGGATTTTCACGGACTATAACTCAATTCCCTTACAGGTCGATTGGACTATTCGTCTGATTGTAATCAATTCAAAACTCAGTGGCGCCAACTCTTTTCAATCGACCGTGGAGCATTGCTTTGGCAAGTCAGGGCTAATAGCTATCTCAGTCAGTCACCTCCCACTCATTTGGCGTTGCAGGAGCTAACATATTCAGGTGGCACAATGGGCTTTGTTGGCTTCCTCTTATAAGTAATGGTGTCCAATTATTGCTACTAACCTATATTTTAGTGCGTTTGGTGGCATGCTTGCCTTCTGTATCATCGTCGGCGACACAATACCTCATGTGCTCGCAGCATTGTTTCCTAGTCTTCCAAACCTTCCATTCCTCTGGCTTCTAGCAGATAGGCGAGCAGTGATTTTGATTTTCATATGCGGAGTTTCATACCCACTCTCTTTGTATCGCGACATCGCAAAGGTAAAGCAACTGTGGTAATTGTATACATTCGACGAGCGCTAACCCTCTGAAAGCTAGCCAAAGCAAGTGCCTTAGCATTGTTGAGTATGATTGTCATTATTACAACTGTCATCACACAAGGACCGCGAGTCGCGCCAGAATTGAAGGGGAAAGTTTCTGGAAGTATCTTCATGAATAGTGGCATATTTCAAGCAATAGGTGTCATTTCGTTTGGTATGATATTCTTCAGTCCCTTTTTTTTGTTGCTTATGCTAATCAATTGAAGCATTTGTCTGCCGTAAGCACCCAGAATGCGCAATTCTCGATTTTAACTCACATGCCTGTGTAGACCACAATAGTTTATTAATATACGGATCCCTGAGGAAGCCGACACTTGATCGTTTTTCACGTGTCACTCATTATTCGACTGCTATATCCATGGTCGCTTGCATGGCTATGGCACTCTCGGGGTTTTTAACGTTTGGAGACAAAACTAAGGGCAATGTGCTGAACAATTTCCCAACCGACAATTACATGGTCAACATTGCAAGATTGTGAGTGTCTCATACTCTGTTATATCAAGCTCTCACTAACATCCTGTAGCTGCTTCGGCCTCAACATGTTGACAACTTTACCTCTTGAGGCCTTCGTGTGTCGGGAGGTCATGACGAATTACTGGTTTCGAGACGAACCGTGGAATCCGAATCGACACCTTCTATTTACGACATCCTTGGTTTTAACAGCAGTTATCTTGTCCCTGATAACTTGCGACCTGGGCGCAGTGTTTGAGCTTATCGGCGCCACAAGTGCGTGCGCCTTAGCTTACATTCTCCCACCGCTTTGCTACATAAAGCTCAGCAGTAGAAGCTGGAAGACCATACTCGCAGCGGTTTGTGCCGGATTTGGGTTTTTGGTTATGGGAATCAGTATCCTGCAGGCTGTGGCAAAGACTATTAGAAGTATTCTTTACCCTTACTTTCCCGCTCGGATATTTGCTAACTGCGTTCAGATGAAGGTGGTGCTCAAACATGTTAATGTGGCTTCTAAACATAAAACCGCTGAGTCCCATAGAATTATAGACCATATCCCTTTGCAGACTTGCTCCTTCCTTCGATCATAAATCGTTCCTGATATTTAGAGCTCTAAGTGATCCTTCTTTCACGAGTATTTTCTTCCGCATTGTAATGTTGAGATGTTCGAATCCAGATGCATTTGCATGATTCCCAGTCAGGCAGGTATATCGGAATATGCAACTTCGAAGGAACTATTCATTGATCAGCCTGCTCTTTTCATACTAGTGGATTGAAGTTTCATATTCTTGTCATGTTGCTTTCCGATAGAGGATCTGTTCGTCGGAGCTGGAGGAAGGAAAAACGAACGCTAATCTTTCTTGATGCATATATGGCAACAGGTTGAAGCGGACCGCGATCCGGAAAATTTGAAAGAGAAGGGTTACCGGGGAAAGAACAATTAGGCAAAGAGACAAACTAATCTGTAAGGGCGTGATGGAAATGATGTGCGTCGTTAAGGGTGGTGTCTAAGCTATAACGCGTTTGTATCAGAGGCGGCCAACTAAGGCTCATCGAACAGCGACAGTTCCCATGGCACCACGAGATTAGATCGTATTGTTTTTGCACATTAACCGGTCCAGTCTTTCTCTAATCAACGGTTTCTCATTTTCGAATTGTAATTCTCAGCGAGTCGCGTCACATCCGGGAGCTTCCGTTGTTTGTTTACTTTACACCTTCCTTCGACTCTTCCATACTCATTACAGAATCATTGTCTCTATCCGGGTTTTGACCCTACGACGCACAGAATCTTTTTCTTTTCTTTCCTATTTTGTTTATCCATTCCGTCTGTTTAGGACGAGGAAGAAATAGTCGGAGATTATCCGTCCAATTTCACCGGTCTTTACTGGACTGTGGCCTCTAACATCAGTTAGGTGAGTTTCTGTCAAGCTCAAAGATCCTCGGTGGCAAAAACGCCTCTTCTGCATCGTCAATGGCCGGCGTTCCCACTGTGCCATCTTAGCTTATGTTATTATTCCCTGCACTTGCAATCTCTGCCACAACTCCAAGCCTCTCAGGATCTGAGCACTTGATGGATTCAAACTACCGATGTAGGCGATCTAAGAGTCTTGTAGCTGCAAGCAGAAACAGAACAATCGAAGCTTACAACGCGTTGTAGAAGCCAAGGGTACCCTTAAACTGTCTCTGTCGGTCATTAACGCTTACGATACTCCCATTCCTTTAGAGAAACTCACCGCATTCTTTCCAATCCTCAAGTGCCTTTTGACCGGGGCCTGACGGCGATATTTTCACGAACCCTTACTGCAAATCGCTCCATATTACACCAGTGGAAAGTGATGACTTGTGGTTAGTGGACCGAGTGCTTCGGATCATCACTTTGGTTTGTTTGCTTAGGCCCTTCACAAACAACAAATTTCGAGATGGATAACACGGAAACCCCCCATTCTGTCGTGAGTCGACACTCACAGCCTTTCAATCGAGAGAAAGCAAAGATGGATCTTCAACTAGTGAGTTGTTTCCCTTCCCATGTATTGGTTGGCTGTCAACAACGAGAAGTGCTCGTTTTTCTGATGTCCGGCACTCATAATTCACTTTTGAGTGAGCCACTTGGTCCAAAAGCTTCGCGAATACTGGGAATCAAGAAGCTTATCGTATCTCTCTATCAGAATGACTTAGGGGTCAAGCGTCGAGACGTGATCTCTACGCAAGACGAACAAAGCCATGGAGGGCGCGCAGTGAACCTTCAGCTCTTGGACAAAATGAAACGTGCGAATGTTCCAGGCACCAAAGAAGCGGAACTAACAAAACAAAACAAGGCTCAGATTACACTTTGGAAGAGTATGGATGTTTCGTATTGTCCAGCCCGTCCGAAATTTGACTAAACATGATACAGACGCAGCCAGCTTGGGACTCATCGAGGCAGACCAAGAGGCCCTGAAACTGCATGAATTGAATTCGGGCCAAAGCCATCGTGTTGCATTGACTGCGAGCCTCTTGGAGGTTTTCCAAAAGGGTCCGTTAAGCCAAGGGGTACATGGAAAGTCCGGCAGAGGAACCAAAAAGGCGGGCAGAGGTGGAGGCATAATTGGGACTCATGGTCGAGGAGATTTTCGAGCAACTGCACACGTGTGAGTCCACCCATCCATCTCTAAATGTCTGATGATGTAGTAACATTCAGTACAGGCCTCATGAGGTGTCCAGCAAAGGCACAACATCTACTGCACCAGTACCTGGTACGCCTATCAGAGGTCAACAGCGAGGTACTAGCGATCCTAAACGTACGTCATCCACTAGACCAACTGTTTGGGAGATACTGGAGGATTCAAAAAGGTCGCCACCCTGGAAAGACCCCGCCATACCTGTCCAAGTGCAGAGAGGGAAGAAAGCGCTGCGCATGCCAAACATTGGCCCAAGAGAAAGACAAGTTTCATCTCGACCACGCCGCGATGAGAAAGACGTCCCGCAGCTCGCAGACCCCAATAGTTTCTTGGCGGCTGCTTCAGCGCAGCTTGGGCACCAGCGGCAAGCTTCACCTGCTACGACGAAGCCTCTTGGGGAGGTCGCGAAGCCACAGCAGCTCCAGCAGGTCGAAATCAAGGTTGAGACCTTTCCTGCCCTTCGTCCTCTCAGTGAGGAACGCGCAAAAGCTCCGGAAAATAAAACCTCCCTGGAAGAAGTCATTTTGACTGCCAAAATAGAGGGCTCAAATAAAGAAGCAGCAGCTTCTGCGGGCAGCAGCGATATTGTTGCACCATTGGTGAGCTTTGATGAGAGTTATGGGGACGAAAGCGTGCCATCTTCTCGCCCTCCTAATGCATCCATGAATTTCGAGGACTTAAAGGGCTTGGACTTTATGCCCGCTCTGCAAACAGCAGAGGATGAACGCCAAGACGTAATTCCCGGATCACGGCCATCGAGGGTTGACACTGCCACCGAGTCAACGGCGTCTGACAGTGTTTCGAGTGGTCTCTCGCACATCCTCACAGGGTTACGAAATTTGAGCTTGGAAGATCAGGTATCAGCCTTGGAAGAGCAACTCCACCGCATTCGTGGACAGCTTTCGGTATCTCGCACCGCGGGCAACGAAACCATTAACAACAGCAGCGAGCAGTCAATGGAGAAGACGCATCCGAACGCAGGAACCAAAGAAGGATATCGCCACGGCCTCTTGGATTATGAGGAAATGCAAGCTCCCTCTCAAGAGAGTATTGGCGAAAGCACTCGACACACTGGCGGGGCTTCTTTCGGTCCTGACGATGCTCAAATTAGTGGGTGGGAAGGTGTGGCAGAGCCTGCTTTGCAGGCCAAGATTATGCACACGACAAGCCAAGGCGATACCGGTATGAAATCTGCTCAGTGCCTACCATCATCAACTTCCACCCAGCAGCCTTCCGAATCAGGTGATAGTCGAAAGATTGCAGATTTTGAAGATACTTTGTCGGTTTCTGGCGATGTTCGTGATGCACTCAACCCCCGTATGCCCCTGGCCGCGTCCCGCTATGCATTTGCTCGCGGTCCAGTCAGATCGAGAGCACAATCATCTTCTTCTGTAAGCTCGATCATTGGTGATCACCAATTCCTCTCAACTTCGCGCAATCTTGAGACTGGAAACACGGATCAATCCTACTCAGCAACCCCGAAACTGGGTCATTCGCGGAAAGAGTCCAGTGTTTCGACCTCAAGTGTAAGTGGGAGTATCCGGAGCGCTGGAGACGCTGCTCCCGCTCATCCAAATTTCTCCGCAAATCCGAGGGCGCCGAGAGCTCGTCGTCCAATTTCGAGCTCTCCTAAAGTTATTGTTGCGGGACTTATTGAGTCTCGATGGGGCAAAGAGGTCCAAGTCCATTCAGACCTGAAAGGGCATGTGGCAGAAGCTAGCTTGAGCAATCAGTCTCCTTTGATCTCGCAGGGCTCAGAAAGAAGTCAGGATCACGAGACAATTGCCAGCGGAGAAGGCGCTGCGAGCGTCAAAATTGAAGAACCAACTATAGCCACACAGAAACCGGGTGAGCTCGGTTTGGTGAAGGAAGAAAATCCACTTAAATCCGCTTTTCCCCTGGCGCCTAAGCCGGTGTTGTCCAGCACTAATCTTCTAGCTCAGAGGCCACGAAATGTTCCCGTTCATACTTCTTCCAGTGCGGGCTATGTTGCGGACGAAAAATCTACTGCTCAGGTGGCTCTATCTTCCAAAGCTTCTGCCAGTTATGGATTAGGCGGCTTGGGAGGCGGCATGGCTGAATCAAGATACGCGGATGCATGGAGACCGCCATCCCCCGCCAAGAGCAAAGTACTTTTGGGGCTGGGCTTATCAGCTTCCTTACAGGATAAAGGCTTTTTCAAAAAGGAGAATAAGAAGCCAGGCAAAAATTGAGAGCGCCCCGATCCTAGGTGCATCAATTTTCAGCGACCCCTACTGTGGCTCGTCCGTGAAAAGCAACGAAAGCTTCGGATCAATCATCAATGCCCGTCTCTTTCGCCTATCTCTACCGATATTCCATTGTTTCATATTTCAAACAACCTTAAGCTTCAAGAGGATGAAAAGCGGAAGCCAAATAGAGAAATTTTCAGACATTACAATCGTACGGCCAGACATTTGCTGCCATTTTTGAGATGGCGCATGTCTTTGCTCATCTCCGATCTCCTAGATAATTTTCTTTCTTATCTATCTTTGCCCTGAACCTTCTTTCTTTTTAATATTTCTTTATCCTTACTTTTTTTTTTTTTCCCCCTCCTGCTCCAAATTCTAGAATGTGAATCTTGCTTCCCCCCTTTGTCTACATTCATTTCGACTCTTTTAGTCAAATAATATTTTTTTCATTTTTTCTTGTTATCGTCATTAAGCTCTTCAAAACAAGCCTTGTTCATTTACAACAGAATTCGGTTCCAATTCCCTCATTTCTTTTTTTTTCCCCTTCACTTTTCCTTCTCTATGCCCATTTTCTTTTTTTCGTGCCCCTTGCGAACTTTCTTAAAATAGCCATGACGAAGCTTTGTAACAGCAGAGCTTTACTCTTTCTTTTGCCGTCCTTTGTTTGTTCCAAATTCCACCAAGAACACTTCCCACATGGCTTTCTCTATTGTGTATCACACTATCATCGGATAATTTTACATTCGCCCTTTGATAAAAATTAATTAGTTAATCAATAATGTCGTCTTAAATTACCAAATATCCAAGCCTAAGGTGAGGACCGCTGTCAGATCTTGGAGTGCATTCAAATGAAAGATCCGATTCATGTCCAAGTGTAAACGGTAAACCTCAACGCGCTCAGTGTATGAATCTGACCGCTATCTGGAGTTTGTATAGGTTGGTAAAAGTGATAAGGATATAAAGAATATAAAGAATACAATAAACTACCTATGTATAAATTGGTATCATATGCGTAAAATCATTTCATATATCATGCAAAATTTGCATAAAAGTAAAAAGAACTCGCCCTCCCCCCCAAGCCGCTCCAGTAGTTGGTGGTAAGGGTCGAAGACACGAAACACAAACCCAAACTGTGCAGACACCCTGGCTTCCAAGACCCCCGATATATATATATGCTATAAAGCTTCCATGATCATTCAGTATTTCGTCCGGATTTTACACGAGGTGACGAGGCTGTATAAGGTATAGGCTTATAGCTCACGACAAGAACGTGTTCTTTGTCTCTTCGATTACTTGTGCAAGTTGTTTCAAGGGTACAGGTTTTGCAAAGAACAAATCCATACCCGATGCTATTGCATCGCGCTGGATACCTTCTTGTCCAAGGCCAGTCAAAGCAACAATGGTTGCAGGTTTTGGAGTACGCAGCTGTTTTTCCAGCTCACGGATATGCCTTGTTGAATCAAGGCCGTCCATGATGGGCATGGAGATGTCTGTAATTGATTGAATGATTGATGAGAGATTGAAAAAAAAAAAAAAAGAGTGTTTCTGACCAGGTTTTTGAAACTCACCCATGAGAATAACGCTGAACCTGGCGGGCTCCGCCTTGAATGCTTCAAACGCCTCCAGACCATTATATGCCACCATGTAGTTGCATCCAAGCTTTTTCATGTACGTGGTTAAAATCCGGGCATTGATTTCGTTGTCGTCCACAACGAGAACCGTAATGGCCGGATTGCTGATTTCGGGTGGCTTAGGAACCTGACTGTTTTGGGTTCGTTCATTGTCCATCAAACGACCGCCCTGGTCAGGGCCAGCCTTACTGGAGATGGGTGCTGCTTCATTTGACGGATTTGGAACTTCATTAGTAGATGGGGTGGAGACTTTTGTAGTTCCCACTTCTTCAGGTAATTCAGTCGGCTTTGCATTATTTGCATTGGTTGCATTGGTTGCAATATTTGAATCTTCCCCCCTAGCGGCACCAGGTGCCACGCTGGCGCGGTGAGGCAGCTCAGAGACGTTCGAACTCGGAGCCGCATCTTTTGCTTTAGCAGCTAGATCATGTCTCTGTTGTTGACGCTGGGTGCACAACTTTAATGTCTTCGCCATCTTCTGAGGCCCACACGGCTGACAAATGCATTCGACGACTTCCGCATCTGCTCTTTCTTGTATAATGGACCACATATTTTTCGTGCTTGCTGGAGTTGAACAGATGACAATAATAGGAGAAAAAAGGCGCTCGGGAGGATGATCAAGAGTAATCGACGCCAAATCCAGATCCTCTCGGGTTGCTATGTAATAGTCGTAATGGCCTAGCGCTTCGGATGAACGAGCTGTGTGTACAACCATATCAAACCAATCTCGACACAATGCCTCCAGAGATGAGCACAGCGTCTTGTCAACCTCCGAATCTCTCAACACCAAGATCCCAATAGTTTTACCACGCGTCAATTCCCTCGCCGCTGTGGTCACTGACATCTCATCTGGAGAATTAGGAGGAGCCAAGTCCGGCTGATGCCAAAGGTTAACCCTAGTGACGACTTCAGTGCCGAAATCTTTCCGGGAATTGACCTGAATTTCTCCTCCTAGAGATGATATTGTTTGTTGGGTTACATGTAGACCCAGCCCATTTCCGGCAGATAGTGTATTCTCTTGTGAGAAGGCAGCAAATAAATCATTGTCCAGGTATGCCTGTTCCATACCACTTCCTGTATCTTTCACCGTCATGGTGACCTGATATTCTGTAGGCTTCCCTACGACATGCTGGGGATTCTTGATAGGTGATGCATCCAACATTATAAAAATATATCCACCTGAAGTGAACTTCAAAGCATTCCCAAAGATATCCATGAGAATACGCCGCCATTTACCCGGGTGAGTCAAGAGCCTCCAATCCATGGCACGGCGAATATCCAATATTATTCTTACTGGTCCCGAGCTGGAGTCGGATTCTTTGCGGTTCCTTGAAACAAAACTGCCTGGTGGAGCTGTTTCTCGAAGGGTGGACATTGAGCCATGTAAATAAGCATAACCTGCAAAGACGCTTTCCGCGACCTCTTCCAAGATGGCATCAAGCTGTACAAACGGCAGATGTTTGGAGCCATCCATTGTATCTTGGAGGGTATTGTCGGCACCTGTCCGCATACCACCTCGAGGTGAATGACGATCGCCATGGCCTGCAGAGGCTCTTGAAGTGGATTTCCGTAGCTGGTTGATACCTGAGTACTCAAGAAGATGGTCAATGGTGTCCAACAACGTGTTGGCGCAAGACTCAATTGTGTGAACCATTGATTGTTGGGAGACATCCATCAAGGTATCGCTTAAGAGCTCCGCAGTACCACAGACCCCATGTAGTGGTGATCTTAATTCATGGCTCAAGCTGGATAGCATATCCGACTTTGCCCGCTCCGCATATTCGGCGCCGAGCCGGTGCACCTCTGCCATGAGACTGTTTCCAAGTGCAAACAAGAAAGTCAGTTCGTCATCTGAGGTAAAGACTCGATGCGGGGTTCTGGTCCATGCAACGCAACCTGAGTACCATCTCTCCTTGTCCGAATCCCACAAGGGGATGACAATGATGCTTCGGGAACCAGGAGCGAATTGAAGCAAGGCATTCGCATCTTCTTGTAGTACCCGCTTCCGCGTTCTCTTGTATGTCCTAACTCGTCCCGAGCTCTTGTCCCCAGGTTTGGTAGGCGCATTTTCGCGCTGGAAGAAGCTCTTGAACCTCCCATCGTTCGACTCATCAGATGAGGATATCGAGCCATCTTCAGAAAAGTTAAAGATTTTGCCTCGGGGATACCGGTGCAAAAGACCCTTGACGAACAATTCCGAAATCGCGATGCTCCTGTTGCTTATGACTTCGTGATTCACGCTGGACAACTCCGTGGTTGAAAAGCCTAAAACTTCACACGGATCCACCCACTTGCCAGAATCGTAAGTGTTTGATGGATTACATCCCGTCGGGCTTGAGGAGACCGCGGAAGAATTGTCATCGTCGCTTAGGGCAGAGCTTTCGGAGCTGCTGTAGTCTGAAGCAGACTTAGGGTTGTTGACCAGGCCACCATAGGATGCAAAATTTGCATTGAAGTATACGACTCCTTCAACTTCAATGGACTCACGGGCTATGTTAGCTGCACGTGAGAATGCACCTTCCACCTGGTTTGAAAGAGTCATGTTGTCCCCCTGTCTGGGCGACTTCTCGCCACCCTCGGATTCGCTCTTGGCATGGGAACTTCCGTCAGTCGTTGACTTAGGCAATGAATTCTGTTGCTCAAACCGTTGACGAACACCCTGGACACCAAGCCGCTGCCGGGGTGATTGGGGTGGTGGCAGATGCTTCGAAGCGAAAATATCTGCCATAGACTGCGTTGCGTTCTCTGATCTCTGTTTTGTCTGTTGCAACTGATTGATCTGTCCCTCGAGGCCTTCGTCACCATCCTCCGCATTTTGGTCCTGTCTGCTAGATTGCAGCCATCTGTTCCGGAGGCTGCCCTTTCCTTCGTTAAAGCTCCCAATTCCCACCATCATCCGCTCGGCCCGAAGATGTTGCAGTTTGGACCTGCTGTTCTCTAAGTGATCCATGACTGTCAGTGCCATGTCTCCCAGAAATTTCAAGGATTTCGTGTCCAGCATATTGTGAGGTTTATTATCCACTACTGTGTAGGCACCGATTATAAGACCCTTTGGAGATATAATTGGAACACTGGCTAGAAAGCGTGCATGGGGAAAGCTGTTGACGTCGCGAGAATCTTGGAAACGACCATCCTTCGTAAGATCCGGCACGGCTAGGATAGTGTTGTCTGGCCATTCGGCGGATTGAGGGAGGTCCAAGACATGTTTGCAGAAGCTACGCTCATATGATAGTGTGCAGCACCCATGCCATAACTCGTCATGCTCATTATGATGCATGTCATTCTGTAAGCTCAATGTTCGCGTGGCTTCAGCAACGACATGTTGGTTGTTAGGGCCAAAGAGTGATATCATTGCCCACTGAACATCCAGCCTCAAAGCACCCAGCTGCGCGAACGCGGTGAGTGCAGCGTCTGGGCATGACCGCGCCACGGAATCTTGGTACTGGGTGTCTTTGGACACATGCTGGTCGAACGGTGCTTGCAAACAATATGGCGGCAAATATCTGAGCAGATGATCCCATAATTAGTTTATGAATCTTCTGCTGGCTAGTGCATGTCAATTACACTTACTTGTAGAATTCACGTTCCCAAGTTGTGCCAAAACCTACCAGTCCCTGTTTTGGTGCTGGGAGGGACATTGGTACAGTGGCAATCAGAGAAGGCCTTTCGAATCACCTGTCAAAAAGCAAGGAGGTCTAACAGATTGCCTGACTCTTTCCCCCACCCAGCACAGACGGTAGATTTCTTTGCAGAAACTCTTAATTGCCGACTGCCACCGCTGTCGGGTTTCCTACTCTAGGGTGGGCGATTCACAGGGTCAAGGGTACGGCCCACCTTCAAGGCAATCTATGTACGAATACAGTAATCGAATTCCGGATAAATAGCATGGCTAATTGCGGGATTTAGTGGGTGCCAAATGCAGAAAGCCTGCAATAAATCGGATACCAAACCCACGAATGAGAGCACTGCTGCATTGTCCGTGTTGGGCCTGTACATTCTGTGCAGGTGGACTAGTCGCTGATCTGGTTTGGAAAACCAACCAATCAAATTCAAGGTTTCGGTCCTATATACGAATGGAGTACTAACAAGCGCGTGAAAAAGAGGCGGCTCGGAGACGGAACAACGTATTGGCGGAGTGGTCGGGGAACATCACGGGTCCCTGAGGACTAGAAACGAACTTTAGGGTCTAGCGATAGGGCATGGTGATTTATAGGTGGCTCTGCGGCGGTAAGTCGACGGGCCAGAGATTAATCTAGTAGAGACACTCTAGTCCGAAGGATCACAGTATACCGAAATACTAAACAACTACAGTGACAATGTATGCCGTTTCAGCGGCTTATTATTAACCAAAGTACCACTCTTGAGAATGAAATATCCAAATTACTCAACGGCTATTCTTTCGTCTACGTGTGTTGAGTCTTGATTGTGGATATTATTGGAACTATATCATCAGCATTTGATGTTATCTATTGTCCACTCCGTCTAGCAACATTCCCTGATAGTTCACCAAGTGAGGCCTTTTATGTCCCATAGAGAAAAAAGAACTAATCTCAGAGAGAAAATATTCCATTGCACTGTACGTACGACGCTAATTTTGATCCATTCCCAAACTCCTTGCCCTGATTGCAATCTTTACACTCCCAATGAGCCCAATGCCTGATGCTTTGCAATTGAGAAGAATCCTTGCTATGTGCCAGAAAATGCAAACGGCAAAGGAAACAAAATCAAAGTATAACTGATAAGACTAGATTCCAAGCGCCGTAGAGTAAAGAGCGCTTAAGGCGTCTAAAAGATGATCGTTAGAATGAAAATGTGAAGCGAGTCATCCTTCTGCAAGTCGTGGCCGCTTCAGATCAGTCCCGGAAACTCCACCGCCAGTATCAAAGGGTGCATTGATGTGTCCGGCAGTAACATCTCCTAGGGCTTGGCGAGACCTGTGGGGGAAATATGTGTCAGATTGTCTTTCATATAGCTATACGTTCAACGTGATAAGTGAGCGCAGGATTGGGTAATATATTTTTTCACTTACTGCGCTGGATTTAGCTCTAACGGTCGCTTGATAGGTGCAGGCCCTGGTGGTTTGTATGAACTGCGGTTCTGTAATGGGCTTGCACTTGCCCCAGGCATACCAATGCGTCGGTTTGTGTCTGTTTGTGGATTGATAAAGTTGGCTCGTGGAATGGCCATTGCTGTGCTACTTGGCGGATTTGAGACGCCGATGGACTCGCGGGTGATTGGTTTTGTCTTGGAATGATCGAAGCCACTTGTTTTGCGGATTGATGGGCTTTCTGAGTGGGGATTGAACGCAGAGGCATCATGGGGGAGGCTTCCACTTGTGTTTTGTAAAGACTCCGCAGCTCGTGCGGTGAAGAAACCCACTGGAAGGTCTTGCGGAGGGCGAGTTGCCTGAGGAGGTGTCTCGGCAGGGTTCGACTGGTTGGAAAATGAAGGTTTTGTCTGGACGGGCGACTGAGGTTGAGGTTGTTGCTGGGGAAGCGGTGGTGGGATGGTCGGCGTAGGCTTGCTTGTCGGAGGCTGCGCTGCAGCATTGTTAAGTTGAGATGGGTTCTGAGGCTGTATAGATTTTGATACGGTCGTTGGATTTCCAACAAACCGCTTCTGCGGGGGAGGAACGCTTGCGGCGCGATTTCCAACCGACGGAGGTGGGTTCCGATTAGGCACTGAAGGCAGACTAGGAGTAATGCTCTGGGGCTTTCCTCGTGTACTAGATGTTTGGGGTCCAGATGGAAGTTGTGTCTTGGATGACAGCGGCCGCCCATTGCCTGGCTTGATATACGAGACACCACTGTTTTGAATGCTTTCGGGCCTCGTGACATTTATCCTATTGTTTGGCGGGCCAGAAGGCGTATTATCAAGTACTATCTCATCGGGATTGCCGTGGTTGTCGCCACACGATTCGCTGAAGTCAAGTAATTCGAGCTCATCCGCCGCTATAGCCCGGTTAGATTGTAAGAGATATACTGGCAAAAGGAATTTGACTCACCATCGAACTCATACTCAGCCACAGCAGCCGAAACTTTCGCTTGTTTAGCAGGCTGGCAGTAACACGGTAATTCATCTGGACCACAACTCACTTGGTCTGCGAAGTGGTGCCTCATCACCACTGCTTTCCTTTTTGATCGGCGCATAATCCGGGTGTCTGTGGAGGTTGTCCACATCCCATTTTGACTGATTGATCAGCACCTTGTTGTGGACTGAGCCGCCAGGAAAGCTTACCGGAGCTATCTTGACCTTTGTAATTTTGGATAAGTAGTCCTTGTCATATATGCAGTTACCCAGAACATTGCCAAAATTCCGGAGAGCCCGCTTCAAGGCATCTGTGGTCCCTTCTTTCTTCGCCTTCTCAAAAGCCGCGGCCTTTCCTTTACAATTTTCAATGTGACCGTATCCAATGTCCTGCTAATTCTCAGCAATTGAAGAGTAATTCGAATGCTCCATAATCTCCAAATACCTCGTGGTATGTCCCATCCTTGAGCGTCACGCGCACGATTACCGATAATCCCAAACTAATCTTGCCAGTGCTTGCGCTCTCATCCACCTAGTACACCGTGGTTAGTCAATAATTCTGGCCATGAACTTCAGCTAGTCTCACAAAATCTATTTGTATATTTTGAATCGCAGATGACCATCCGTTGAAACCGAACACTTCGTTTGCTAGATTGATACACTTCTCGGCGGCCAGATAATGGACTTTTTGGCCAGCAGCGCCTGGACGAGAAGATATATATTCCGGGCCTAGCTGCTTGTCCAATCTACTCTGCAAAGTGGCAATCTCTTGTGCCGTGTACTCTCCCACATGTTGCTTTTGTTCGTCAAAAGGGTTCGCCACCACAGGCGTGGGACGATGCTGGTCACCCGGCCTTTATTTGGTCAATACTTGAAAACACGCACGACAATATGTATCTTACATTGGCATTATAGAATGTATTTTTCTACATCAATGTGAGGGGAAAGCATAATATGCTTGCCACTTTGATAGATTGAATCACTCAGTTGTCGCGTCTTCCACGATGGTCGACGCGTTCTATGTCGGGTCCCGACACGAAGCAGGAGCGACATCACGTGATATTGCGGCCTGGTCAACCAGCCAACAGCCAACAAACAACCATCGTAAAGCCGCTTCACAATATCTAAGCAGCAAAATCGCTCATAGGATGAATAGAATTTTTCGTCTCTGGCAGCCTAAACAGCTTTGTAGGTATTTTTTTTTTTAAAAAAAAAAATGGCCGTCTCAGGATTCACCATGCCTTATAAAACCTAACAGATGTACGGCTCCGAGAATACAGCAGGTCGCCCAAATGTATCCTCAAGATCGACAGAACAAAGTCTGATTGAATTGGTCATGTTTCACGTCTCCTGATAATCATAATAAGAATAACAATATGCACAAACGCCCAGTCCCGCCGCAATCCTCAGGGCCGCGCTATCCAACAGCTACTTCAAAATCAACGCCGCACTAGGAACCAGTCCAGCCTCTTTCAGGGTCTTCCCGAAATCTGTACTGTCAAAGACTTTTCTAGGAAAGTTTTGTGAGAAACTTTGCACTTCGAAACCACTTTCCTGACCGACGGCTACCGCAACCTCAAATAAGGTCGTGTCCACAGGGAAGGTTTTTTGAACATTTCCTTTAGGGGTCTGGAGCCTCAAGCGGGTTTCAGTGTAGGCGGAGGCAGGCTTTGGCGTAGAGGGCGGAGCTGCAGGCTGCTCGACTACAGGGATAGCGGGAGCCCTCCCCTCCCTCTTGGCCTTCTCGGCTTCCGCTTTAAGTCGACGCTCTTCCTTGTCTGCAGCAATCTTTGCTCGAATTCGTTCTTTTGCGGCGACTTCCTCGTCTTTCTCTTTCCGCCGTTGTGCAGCATGCTTTAGCTGTTCCTTTCGCTGAAGATCCTCCTTAATGTCTTGGGTGTCCCTGTTGGCCTTCCGGCGGATAGCCTATATGACATTGTGAGTCAGCTGATGGTCATGGGGAAAGGCAACATTTTCGGATCTCACTTCATTTCTCTTTTGCTCTTCTTTGTCCTTTTCGGATTGTCCGGCCTTCCTCTCGGCCGCTCTGCGCTTCAATTCTTCAAGTTTTTCCTTCTTCTGCTCCGCAGTAAGCTCCGGGATCACTTCGGTACTCTCGGAAAAGTCGACGTGTTCACTGGAGAATCATTAGCATTTTTCGTAAAAATTTAATTTGGAACTTGTACATACGTTTTGGATGCATGAAATTCCGCTTGCCCATGGCTTCTGAACTTCTTTTGACAAACATTGCAAATGAGACTTCGGGCTTCTTCGCCCGGTTGTAAGGCGGGCGGTTCATCACTTTCGACGCCTTCGCCAGAATCTGAACCTTTAATTTCATCAAGCGGTTTATCCTGATTAGCTTCTAGCCATTCAAGAGCGCCCTGAACTGAGAAATGGTAATCAGCCACATATGCCCATATGAAGAGCCATGGTGAACAACTGCCCCTCCACCAAGCAATACTTTCCAGGGTACTCACGGCCTCCTGATTTTTTTAAGGCAATTTCTGCACGCTCCTTCTCAAAGCCCATCTCAAGGAGCAGATTCATATCTGATGAAGCCATGATGGGTGGTCTGTTTGAGCTCTAGTTGGAACCAAGGAACCTGTGCTGAAGTTTAGATAGCTCGGTAGCTCTGACGGCGATAGAGACTAAATGATGAAATGGCTCGGCTCGTTTGGGTAATATTACAGTTACAAGTACCTACGTAGTTACCCCAGATATTATATACATGACTTACCGTAGGGGACAAAGGCAGGTGGGTTCACAAATAAAATATTCCAGGAGAGTGAAAATAGAGGCTAGAAGTGAATACTAGAAATTACGTAAATGTTTAGAGAAAGAAAGGCATTATCTTTGTTGTGAGAAAATTCACAGAACCTATTACAAATGTTGTCAAGCTGCATTGAAGCGGGACGGGCCTCGCATGCTCGGTACCAGCCCCGACATCATCGTTGTCGACTTACGCCTGTAACTCTCCCATCGCACTCTTTCTCTTCCCTAACAACTCTCTTCTAGCTGTGCAGCGCCCGTCTGTCTCGCAGTCTACACTTTGACACTGCTCAGTCCTTCTTTTGTTTTCCAAGTAGTGAATCGATAGATTCTACGACTTTCCTAAGCGACTTTCATCATGTCTATCGAACTCCATCCTCCGGAGCTCGGCTTCCGACGTTGGTTTCCTGCTTCGAGTATGAATGGCACATGAGTGGTAAACTGATTAGCCTTGCAGGCCCATTTACGAGAGAGGTCGCGCAGGTCTTACGCCTCATCAACAACAATCCAGAGCCTGTCGCTTTTAAGGTACAGTCTCACGCTCCTTCTCCTATTTACGTTCACCTGCTAATCTAGGTTATTCTAGGTTAAAACTACTGCGCCCAAACAGTACGTCATTCGACGCGACCTTCCGTTTCTTTGCTAAATCTTGTCAATAGATACTGTGTCAGGCCGAACTCTGGACGCATAGAATCTGGGAAGGAGGTCGAGGTTCAAGGTAAGCGTTTCACAATTGGACATGCCAAACAGCGACATTGACATAGGCCACAGTTCTGCTCCAAGCCATGAAAGAGGATCCCCCGGCGGATGCTAGGTGCCGAGACAAATTCCTCGTACAGTCAGTGGCTGTCAGCGCTGATCAGGAATTCTCCAATGTAGCCGCAATCGTTCGTTCACCCTGGTTGTTTTGAAAAGATTGGGAGAAACTAACACTCTTCAGTGGGCACATGTGGAAAAGACTTCGAAATCATCTATCCAGGAGAGGAAGATTAGGGTCGTCTTTCTCCCGGCAGAGTCTGAGACCCCGAACGGTGCTGTATGTTTGGGCTCGTCTTCTACTCTTGCCAATTATCATGCTGACTGACACTTTTCAAGTCTGGCGCGGATGCAGGAGCATCGAGCCCGCCCGCTTATCGGTCTGTTTATTCTGAGCAAAGCCCTTCAAGCTCTAACGCCACTGCCCCTGTTGGTCCGGTATCCAAGCCCGAGTCTCGTCCTGAGGACAGCAAGGACCTGGGCCACATTGTCAACACTGCCAATAATCCGGAAACCTTTGAGCGAGCCTCGACTTCTAGCGGCAATGCTGACTCTCAACTCGCGGATGCGCATGCGACCATTTCTGGCTTACAGAGACAGCTGGAGGAATCGGGCTTGCGACAGAGGAAGAGCACCACCACACCCCAAAATTTCAAACAAGGCTCTACCGCTAGCGCCGGCGTCCAACAGCAACAAGCCGCAGCAAGCGGAGTGCCCGTCCAGATTGTGGCCGCGCTGTGCCTTATAAGTTTCCTGCTTGCGTACTTTTTCTTCTAGGGGTCGCCAGGAAGAATTCAATGCAAGAGGAGACTCTGGTCGACTACTTCGTCTTCATACTGCGCCAATTAGCGTCTTTCTTACGATAAGCTGAGCAAGGTGGTCTACTATTAAGACTTGATGCAGGCCCTGTCCGGTAAACGTCGGGTGAAACTCAAGGTTATGGGTCCTAATGTTCTGACACCCTTCATATTTGTCTTCTCTTTTCAGGAGCCTTTGTTATTCCCTATTTCTGCGCCACAGTTGTGTTGTCCGTTTGAGCACATGAATTATAAGCTCCTCGCTTTTTTTTTCCTCATTTACTAATGGTTTTTTCATGGTCTGTTATTCCTGCTACAATGCCCTGAAGCGCTTACGTTTCTGTAAATTTATGCTCTTAGAACATGAATTTAAATCAGACATATCCTTTTCCAATGACGTTTTCTCAAAGTATTTCAGAAGCTCTGAAATGTCTTTATTGCTGCAATAGCCATTCTCGTATAAAAAATATCTTCAATTTTAGTGAAATCCACAAACGCCACTTTTAATCCAGCTCTCTCTATATTCTCTGCGAGCACCCATTCGAACCTAAGAAAAGCAAATGATTCTTTTGTCCCGCTCTAATGCTTATTTCACGCCAGGAATCGGTACACCCTTGGCCTCATTCGCTCCTAACTCTTCTTCCTTCCATCCAGATGCGCCGCCAACCAATCGGCCGCCCTCCTTCCGCTTCACGCGGCACCAAAGACTGACTTCCTTGTCCCAAATAAACTGCCAGATGACGCCAACCCAGCTATCATGTCGCGGGAGATCCGCATAAAACTCACGCGCCATTTCATGAAGCGCGGGCAGGCGAGTCCACGGCACAGCCGGGAAATCGTGATGCTCATTGTGTAAACCGACATTGTAAGTAAGCAGATTGAGCGCGCCGTAATACGAGTATGTCTCTGGCAGAGGGGCCTCGGTCTTGGGATCAATCGTTCCAGGCGCTGTTTTCTCAAAGACGTAATGCTCTGCGATGAAATGACCGGCACATGGGTGCAGAGAGCCTGCCAAGAAGGAGCTAATCAAGAAGTACATGATAGCTTTTCCGCCGACAAAGTGAAACATGGCCAGGTCAAAAATGACTTGTACAAAGACGTTGCATAAGTGAATTGGCGTCACAGGAAGCTGATACACCATCATCGGGCGAAGTGCGTAGAATAGGATCTGGAACGTGCAGAAAAAGGCCTTTCCTAGGATTGAATCAAGGAAGAGTGCCTCAACGGCTGTGGGGAGATCTGTATCGAGGCCATCGACGCCGAGAGATTTGTGGTGCGTAAGATGATATGGCTGTTTGTTGAGAAAACATCGAAAGGCGTTAGTTGATGGCTACTCTGGCTTTATTTTGTTGATGAGAACTCTACTTACTCGGAAGGCCGCGCTGTACGGGATGCCAATGGGGAGGTTTGCAAAGATGGCAAACCAGCGGTTGAGCAGGGGAGACTTGAAGGCCAGGTTGTGCGAGATTTCGTGGATGGCGAGGAAAAGGTTCTGGTTGGCAGTCGCGCCAATGACGTATGCGGTCAATAGGAACGGCCACGATAATATGCTGGTATTTCGAAGAAGGTATGCGCAAGTAATTTGGAGAGAAACGACGCCGAAGACGACATATTTCGTCAAGGGCTCCGTGCCGCATAGTTTGGTAACCTTTTTGAAACCGGCTGCTGTCAGTGGCAGAACACAAGAGTGGTCGAACCTGGGGCAGAGACACGTACCTCGGGATGGGCCTTGATAATAGCCTTGCGTCGTGTTCGATGAGGCTCCTCGGTGGACGCCCAGAAGAAGTCGTGAGCATCACGTCCCATTGATGGCGGCTCTGCTTCCTTGGGAAATTCTTTGCGGGCCACGGGCTTTGCTGTGTCCGGCACAGGCCGCGCAGATGTTGTCGTCACAGTCGATGGCATGCTTAATCTCAAAACCAGTCTGCCGAGGCCGTAGTGTTTACGAGCTTCAAAAGAGCCCGGAAAGATGAGGTGCTAAGGGTTGGACAAAGGTTGTATGAGAAGATTTTGTACGAGTGTAGCTTTTAAGATTGGCTGCAACGAGTGGCAATTTGATAGCTATATCGGGCTCTTGCACCCCCCCGCGCCCCTACAGGGAAATGTGGGCTGAGGCGTCAAGGGGCGGTGGGTTGGAAGGAACACTTAGAGTAACCGTGGTCCACTTGGTCTCCCTCGGTGTCTTAACAAATCAGAATGGCATCTGGCATATACGAAGAACAGGGGAATTTTGAATATGTGACATGGGATATTTCATCGTTACAGTACTGCATGGCTAGAGAATTCAACAAAGTAAAACCAGAAACTGCTTTTTATGACACCAAGGTCATGGTACGATGTGTGTCCTACCAGGGATGAATTGCAGTAGGGGTCATGCGTGGAAAGGCATCGCATCTTATTGAGCTGTCGCTAAAGCAAGGGGTCCCGCAATCCGAGCGATCAGGGGTAAACGTGTGTCTCAGAAGATCTTATCAGATCACCCGTCTTACGTTCTCTGCAGGACAATCCACCCATTCGTCAGAGAGCTTTCGGGTTCCTTCATATCCCATATATATCAAGAAGACGATAATTTGTCCCTTTGATAGTACGATGCGGCATACGAAATTATTGCAATGGAACATTTAATGCCCCCTTGACTCATTCCATAGTCATTCAAAAGAATACGTGCCCAGGTACCTAGACATTATAAATTAAAGGCAAAATGTTCAAAAAAAATATTTTTTATTTATAATTGCATTGTTTATTTCAAGGCTTTGTTACTCATTCCTTGACAAGCAGATAAGACAGCATTTCTAGCTCCCAGTCTGTTCCTATAGGAAAGCCTATTCAGACTTCGATTGCTCAGTACATTCGACAAGCTTCATTTTCAGAAGCAATCAGTAATCATCGCCGCGGCTGATGACCTCCTTCACGGTGGGTCGCAGCAGGAGCGTCTGGAGAAAGTTAGTTTCAGAATGGCTGAACTTGGAGAAAAAAACACTTACGTGCTCGTACTGAGCAGTGTAGGAGCCCTTGATGTCGCACAGCGGCGGGTAAGACTCGACAATGCCGCTAGCAACGAGATTGTTGAGCTGTCACCCAAAGTTAGCTGAGAGGTCTTTCACAAAGTCAGGGAATTCACTTACTCCAAGAAGGTACTTATCCTGCCCAAGCCGATCCAAATACCGGCGACAGAAAGGAAGAGTACCAAAATTCTTGTTGATGACATTCAACAAGTTCTTCGCGGAAGACAGCCGCAAAGAAACGTTAGGAGCATCGGGAATTTTAGAGTAATGAGAGACCTCGCCCTAAACAGCAGTCAGCGACAATGAACAAGTTGAAGAAATCCTGGTGTAGACTCACATCGTCTCTAACATAACCCTTTCCGGTGCTTCCGAAAGTCTCGATGGCGTAGGTTTCACCCTCCTCCATCTTGGTCTGGTCTCCACCTTTTACGATGGGGACACTCTTTCCACCGTGGATGATATGATGACCAATGGTGTGACCGTTCAGGTTCCGGATACATTTCACCGGGAACGTTTCACCGCCAATCTGGACCTCATAACTCTCCATTACCTCCTGAATGGAAGCTCCAATATCGGACATTCTCACGTCGATACCAGCTTCCTATCGGTCACTTGGTTAGCTCTGATCAGAAAAGGATGCCATTCGAGGATTTGATTTTACCTTGACACCTGCGTTCGTAGCCTCTCTAACTGCCTCAAGGAGGTTGTCGTAGGTATGGTCAAAAGCAACAGTAAAAGCACTGTCGACAATTCTGCCGTTGACATGGACACCAATGTCAACCTTCATAACGTCCTTCTCCTGCAAAATCATCTTGTTCCCAGCGTTGGGGGTATAGTGCGCAGCACAGTGGTTAATGCTCAGTCCAGTGGGGAAACCCATGCCGGCAATTTTAGCATCACCCTCCTCAAGACCCATGTGTCCCACAAGTCTACGGACGCTGTCTTCGATACCGTTGGCAATCTCGGTCAAAGACTGTCCAGGCTTAATCCATTTCTGGGCCCACTGGCGAACCTGTCGATGGACCTCCGCACCCTGGCGGTAATCAGACAGGAAGTCATTGTTCATACGATCAAGATATCGCTTCTCTTCATTCGTAGTTCTATAAGCGTTGTCGTCTTTGTATTCGACAATCTGCCCCTCGTGATACTGTCCATTCGGGAAAAGGTCCGACACACGGACACTTGGGGGAGAGGTCTGGGTTTTGGGAGCACCTGAGGCCTTCTTCTTCTTGGGCTTTCTCTTGCGCTTCTTCTTGGCAGCTAGAAATTGTCAGACAGGAATGAGACTCAAAACATGGGTATTGAGAGCTTACCACCAGTCTGGCCTCCCTGACCAGCGTCTGCTTCATCGTCTTTGTCGTCATCCGATTCCCCAGGATCGCCGTCAGCATCCCCACCGGCAGAACCGCCATTCACTGTTTTGCCATTTGTTTTCTCGTCACCGTTCACTACAACAAAGGTTAGCATCTTAACGCAACATCTAATGTAGGCCCCGTAATTACAGTTGAGCTTGGCAAGCTCCTCATTAGCTTTAGCAGCCATCTTGCCTCGTGACAAGGTAATTCTTGGAGCTGCGAACCCTCTGAGAAGAATTGACCAAATGGTAGGTGTAGGCTACACGAGAACCCGCATCAGGCTGCAAATTTGCACCTTTGTCACGTTATGTCCCCGTAGCCGAAACCCGAAAGCCGCTACCCCGCCCTTGCTAATTTATCAGATGATCAGATTAAAGGATAATGGCCATTCCGCCAACGTCATAACTCAATAATTCAACAAAACCCACACTCAATTTATCTTTGGAAATTTATTGGGTTTTTATCTCTAAAATATCAATCAATTGTAATCTTTAAGAATGAGGGATGCCGTTACGCCTGTCGTCTATCCTTCTGCATCCATGCACTGAAAAATTATCGGCGTTCTGCTGTTGCCAACGCGCCGCTCTCCATTCGAGTTTCCCAAGGCACAGCGAGCATCTAAATCATTATGAGATTTTGGGTCTGGAACTTTCAGCTTCGCAGGCCGAAGTGAAAAAGTATATGGATAAACACCCTTCTTTTCTCAATACTTATTTGTTTACTTTTGTACAAAAAATCTTACTGTGATAATCAGACAATTCTATAGCCTATCCAAGACCCATCATCCGGATCGCAACCCCAAAGACCCTGGCGCCTCGTCAAGATTCGTAAAGATATCCGAGGCTTACGCAATTTTGGGTAGCCCACACAAGCGGAAGACCTATGATCAGCATCTTCAGCAAACGTCTTCGACTCTAAGGGACCGCCGAGCCGCATATGGAGGCACGACAGGTCCCGCTGGTGCCAGACCCGCAACTGGTCTGAGCCGGAGGCGTACACCATTCCGTGGGCCTCCACCAAGCTTCTACCGCAGCGGAGGCTGGGATGCACACCAAGAATCAAGAGGGGCCCAGGCCGACTTTTCGGCTTCAGGAAATTCTTCCCGGCGCTCTGATGGCGGATTTGGGCCCGGTGGACCTACCAGCGGGCTGGACGATGATGTACCACATTTTGATCGGGAGAGGCATCTTCGGTCCCAGGAGCAACAGGAGGTTAGGCGCCGAAGGCGCGAAGCATCAAAATCACATATTCGTGAGCCGGGTGGGAGCGTTTTGATCAATTTCATCCTTGTTGGGGGAGTTCTTTCCTTGGCTATTTTCCTACCGGGCTTGTTCGAAAGGAAGTTTCAGAAGAAGAAAAAGGACGATCAAAGCTAAGTCGCTTTGAGAATCACTAATGGCGCAGCCGATCATCTTCATCGTCCATTACAATTAAGCACAGATAGGGTAAAATGTAAAAATTAGAAAAGACGCGCAAAGGCTGTACGGAAAATCGTATACTTTGATTAATTTACAGATCGGCAATCAAATTATGTTCCCACAATTACCATTGCTGACACCTTGGGGCTCCCTTTTTCAAAAATGAGATACCCACTACCCCTTCGGCTACGTCTAGATCATGTTTCAATTTAAGCCTCGAAGGTGAAGCTGGCGCCAACCTAGCCAGGTGAATTAGCATGAGCCCTTTTTCTGGTTGAGATTAATTTGCATACCTTGTGGGCAGCCTCGTTGAGCTTCTGAGTGTCGAAAGAGGCACCAAGGCCAAGAGTGACACCAGGGCGGAGGAGGACGTTGTAGGCAAGAGCGGCAATGCCGCGGTCATTGATCTTAGCCTGTATTGCAACAAGAGTTAGCAAAATTAAAAAGAAAAAAAATTGCCCTTCATGCAAGTTGAGAGGACGTACCTTGGCGAAAGAGGTAGGGTCGAGGCGGTACTTGCTGGCAACCTCAAGGCCGACCTTGTCGCCGGACTTGGAGTCCCAGGTAGCCTTAGCGCCAGCCTCAACCTGCGAGTTAACCTTGTGGTAGTAGGCAGCGGAGAAAACGCTCAAGTTGTTGGTGGCAGTGATGCCAGCGCTGTACTGAGCAGCGTTGTAGCCGACGGCGGCGGAGTACTTGGTGATAGCAGCCTTCTGAACATCGTAACCGGCCTCGGCACCGACGAGGAAACCGTCGTGGCCAAGAACAGCGTCAACGACAGCGGTGGGGCCCTTCAAAAGGTCGAAGAAAGCGCGAGCGTTGAAGTTGGGCTGCTTGAAGTACAGGTTGAGCTTGGCACCCTTGGACTGGGTGCTGGGGAGGAACTGGGTCAAGACCTCGGCCTTGAGGCCCTTGGCAATGGTGTTGTCAAGCTCAACCTTGGTGTCAAGAGAGTTGAGAGTGGTCCAGGCCTGAGTGAGGGTCAAACCTGCAACACCGGATGTGTTAATAAAGCCATCACAAAAGAGCGAAGGAGACCGAAGATCCAAGCTAAGGCGGTGAACTGCAGCGCAAAGCAGATGAATTGGAGAGTATTACCAGAAGGCGCATCAGCGTACTTGGCCTCAATCTACATGGTTGAATTGTTAGCGCATTGAATTCTTGTGAACTTCTGGTTCGCAAGGGGGGAAGTCGCATTACCTGGCCTCCGATAGGACCCTCGTGGGCAGAGCGGCCCTTCACGTTGAAGCTGACGCCATTGGGGGCCTTGGACTTAACCTCAAGGGTAGCTAGAGAACATTAGCAGGTCATTCACCTTGCGAGTTAGCAAAAGGGTGGAATTACCGGCGGAGGTGTGGTAGAAGTCCTTGTTCAGAAGCTATGAGAAAATCAGTTTTGGATGCTCAACAACGTATCAACTCAAAAGTCGGACTATTGCGTACGTCGTTGCTGGCCTTGGTGATGTCGGAGAAAGCGGGAACAGCCATTTTGATGAATAAATCAATGGAATTTGCCTGGATTGGCACGGGTTAATAGAGCAGGGAATTGTTATCTAGTATATTGAGGACAGAAGAGTTTGGGGGGCAAGGTGAGAGAGAGTAGCATGGCATCGGAGAGGAAAGGGACGTGGCAGACTGGCGCCTGTGATTGGTTGCTGACAGCTCTCGCTTGGCAACGACGCAACCTCACAGGACACCCAATCATACGGCATCCGATATTAGAGCTTGATCCACACGGGCAAAACACATGGAAATTACAACATTACTATTGAGTGTTCCAGAATTGCCATTAACTGGTGGTACTTTTTATAACTATCGTATCTACAAGCTTACCAGATCCGCAATACTTTTGAACTGACTAGCAAGGGTTCTATGGACGACCAAAAGGATATTGTATGACGAAACTAATTGCACAAAAACCCAGAACTTGATTTGGGCCCCAGGTTTACCCGGGGAATCTTGAGACTGTTTTGAATCAACTTCAACACCGGCTTTACCCAGTGTAAAAGTTACGGGCCTACTCTTTGCCATCGTAACGGGCGACGTGAGACGAGATAGCCCTGAGAAAGTCAGCGTGGTCCGGGTAGGATTAAGGTTCACATAACTTACCGTCCACTCGGGTCGGTCTGCTTGGACCAGGTCGGGGTCCAGCGCATGACAGTAGAAGCGCAGGTTGGTGGGAAGTGTTCGTCAAACATTGTGCGATACCAGTAACTGTAGCGGTTCTCAGTACCGTGCTTTAAGGATGCAAACATATTGAAACTTACGCCTCCTTAGAATCAGGGATATCATCACCCCACTCAGGCTTAGGGTTCTTCATGTCCTCATCGGTGACATGGATCTCGGCGTTGTCCTTGAGGGCATCAATCCAGCCATAGCCGACGCCATCACTAAATTGCTCCTTCTGTCTCCACAGGATATGTTCAGGGAGGTATGGGGGGTTGTCAGGCTCGTCGCTAGTGTCAAATGCCTTGCGCAGGATGTATTTTTCGATTCTATCCTTCGTAATCATCTTCTCTGCGGGATCCACACTCATCGACGTTTCCAAGAACTTCATCCAAAATTAGCATTCAGGGAACGGGTCAGTGGAAAACATGACTAACCTGTTTGTCAAGGAAAGGAACGCGGGCTTCGAGACCCCACGCAGACGTAGACTTGTTGGCTCGCAAGCAGTCGGCCAAATGTAAGTTCTTGACCCTTCGAACAGTCTCCTCGTGGAACGCCTTCCTATCCGGAGCGGCATGGAAGTAGAGATAGCCACCGAAGATCTCGTCACTACCCTCTCCACTGAGGACCATCTTCACGCCCATCGCCTTGATTTTACGGCTGAGGAGGAACATAGGAGTCGACGCGCGAATTGTAGTAACATCGTAGGTTTCCAGATGGAAAATAACGTCGGAGAGAGCATCAAGGCCCTCCTCGATGGTAAAAGTGAAGTCGTGGTGTCTTGTACCCAAAAACTTGGCGACTTCAAGGGCGGCTTTGGTATCCGGAGCGCCAGGAAGGCCAATGGAGAAAGAGTTAAGCTGCGGGAGGATTGTGACAGAGGACAGTTCATTGTCGTCGTTGATTCCAACAAGGCCGTCGGTAGATTTCTCGAGCGCCTGAGCATCAGTCAAGCCCAGCTTCCTCCGTGCCTCTTCTGACTTGAGGGTCTCGCGCTGAGCAATGGCAGCCACAAGACTGGAATCCAGGCCACCTGACAGAAGTACACCGTAAGGGACCTCGGCCATTAATCGCTTGCGAACCGACCTCTCAAGGGACTCGCGAATCAACTTGTAGTCCACTGGCGTAGAGGGCACGTTGGTAGGATCCCACCAGTTGGGCTGGAAATATCTGGTCATCTCGCCGGTCTTGGAGTCATAGACGTGACCGGGGGGGAAGGCAACAATCTTGTCGCAGACGGGGTGCAAGCACTTCAGCTCGGAAGCGAAGTAGACAGCACCAGGCTCCTTGCTGGAAAATCCTTGGTAGAAACTGACCACTCCGATAGGGTCGCGCGCAGCGATGGTACGGTCCTGTTCCTTGTCATACAAAACCCAAGCGAACATTCCGTCGAGATATTTCGGTGCGTCCAGTCCATGTTCCTTATACTACACAGGGTCAGCTGAAGGAATTGTGCAATGTGGAAAAATGATCATTACCAATGGAATGATAACCTCGCAGTCGGAGTGGGTCTGGAAGTGATACGGGTTCTTCAGGCCTTTGCGGAGAATTCTGTGGTTGTAGATCTCGCCGTTGACAGCAAGAGCAATGGTTTTCTCGTCATTGACCAGAGGCTGTGCTCCGGAGTCTGTGAATACTTAGCATTGGCCTGATCCTTGGGAGAAGCTGACCTTGCGGAGGATTCCGCCACTCACCAACGCCGACGATACTGAGACGCTCATGTGCGAGAACTATATTACACACTTAGTTCTGAAATGTTCCGGCTCAGGCAAGAGAAATACATACTCGTGTTGTTGGAGATCAAGTTTCCGCCTATCGATTGTAAGTATGTTTCTCAGTGAGAGTAGTCAGTTGGGATTCACGCACTCCAGTCAGGGCCACGATGACGGATGCTGCACCGCACATTAGCCTCGTTGCGTTACAGATGGGGGACAGAAGAGCTTACGCCTTTGCCAATTTCAAAGCGGTTGGCTTGAATTTTTGCACATCAGGGTGGCTGTTAGAAAGTAATGAGCAATTCGTTTTGCTATCAAGGTGGGGCACTCTTCACCCCACATTGAAGTGAGCCAGAGTGCAAATGGGCAATATTTACCAATGGCAAGCAAAAATACCACACATCTTGATCTGAGGCTAATGAAATATCTTGGATATTACCAAAAGCCGGATTGAGGGGTGGAGGGAGCGGTTGGATCTGGGTTGATCTTTTGTGCGGGATGTGACATTTAATGTTCTTTTGGACCAGAATTCCGCGCCAATTCCTGAGTCATCCGAGACCGGTGCACTAGCGCGGACCTTATCGCAAAAACACCCAGATATTCCACATTCGGCGCCTTTCCTATGGTTTTTCTGGAACATTTCTTAGGTTTATTTATTTGACCTACCTTTGAGTTGAATATCGCATTGACGTTTCACTTTTGCGTAGATGTTCCAGGTGATTTCTCTGGGACTATTGGTGCCAGCCCCCATGCACAACTCTTCCTCGGAGGTGGGGACCGACCATCCATACACATAGTGCCTTTTACTCATAGCTATTAGCTACGCTTTGGCTCCGGCCGAAAGAGTCAAACGCTCTCGGCCCTATGCCAAATCTACACTTTTTGTTCACTGACAAACAAACATACATGCGATGCACCAATCGATGAAATTGAGAAAAAAAAAAAAAGGTAGGTAAATAAGACCGGATATCAACCTCTTCGAAATATCTAGATGTAGAATAATATCCCATGAATGAAGTTTCCCTCAAGCTCAAGAGGAGCTTTTACATACGCCCTTTTCCAACGCCCAGTAAAGATTTCGAAGTCGGCAAGACTGGTTAAGGGAGCCTTTGGCAGATGATTGAACTATGCAAAATGCGAAAAGTCGTCCGCCATGCCAGGACAACTTTGAGAGAGTCAATAAATTGACTGTCAAACGCTGCAAATGCTGCTACGGACATCTCAAAGCGCGGGGTTTTCTTTCACAATCTGCTTAATCTTCTTTTCGTAGGCAGGGCGGTCCCTTTTGAAGAGATTGTAGGCGTCGGCTTGTGCGGGTGAGTCTGGGTTTGGTTCGTCAAGCAGGTCCTGTATTCCCAGAAGTATATCCTTTATCGTAATCGCCGGTTTCCATCCCTCCTCTTCATTCAATATCGACAAGCAGACGGTGCCGGAGGGGTAAACGTTTGGATGAAACAGCGGCGGCTTGAATTTACCTGAGATCGTTAGTGAAGCGTAAAAACAATTGAGCAGGGGGCCAGGCTGCGTTACATTTCGGAGGCTTGGTGGGATACTCTAAGCAAAGTCAGCATCTTTGAACAGTCTGGCGCAGCTTTGCGAATTGAACTTACCATCTGGGAATATGACATCTAATTTGAAAAGACCGCCTTCCCACAGGGTTTTGTCCTTGCCGGGAACGCCGCAGGACCAGAATTTCAAGTCCAGGACACCTTGAGCATTCTTTTGCGGCTTCGCAAAGAATCCGAACGGATGATCCTTACGCCATTGTTTCCTGGCGACAATCAGCATCTTGCTACCGCGCTTGCCTTGATCACCGGAATCTTACCGTTCCTCCTGGAGGCGGTTTAGACACAACGACATATTCGTCCCCTCTTCAGGCAATGCTATTGTCTATGATAGCGCGAAATAGATGAAGGTACCGTATTCAAGGACTTTGTCCGAAGAACTGGTTGCCTTTTTGTGGCGTGGTTGTCCCCACAGGGAATGCGGCGAGAGTTGTTGTTTATTGAAGGTGTCAGGTTGGGCGGGTGAAAATGCTACTTCCGCTATTATAACAGGTACAGTTCAGTAGAGTCGCACAGTAGTATTATAGTTATGTAACTGTGCTGATATGGGTAGAATAGTGCATATGCGGACCCAGGAAACCCCACCATACAAACAGGGAGAGACAGGCGAGACAGGCGACTTGTTTAGAGTGACCAGCGGGCCTCGGCTCTTGTTATGGCTGGGCCGAGGGGCCCTGACCAAAGCACCTTTGGGCAAATGTTTACGGCGCGGAGCCACTCAATAGGCTTTCTCATTGATTTCGAGAATTATTACGTCTTTCAGGCGCTGCGAACCCAAAATGGCTGAGAAAGCTCACGATAAAGAAGACCCCCAAGCCCCTACTTTTGGAGACCCGGAAGAAGATGACCTGGACGACCTGGACGGTTCGTCCTCCCCATCCCTACCGTTTTGCGCATGCTGACAGATCATGTAGAAATGCTGGATGAGTTCTCTGCTGCGAAGATAGATTCGACTGAGAAGAGTTTGCCTAGTTCAAGTCAAGGGAAACAGCAGGAGGCGCAACCTGCGACTGAATCGGGTGCTGATGACGACGATGATTTCGCGAACCAACTCCAGGCTGGCATGGCGGATTTACTGGATGGCATAGATGACAATCCCGAGCTACAGAAGCAATTTGAGGATTTGATCAAAGGTTTTGGAAATGCTGCCAATTCAAATCCGCAATCAGATCAAGCTCAGTCATCGAAGAATGATAATAACAACAACAATCAGAACCCGTCTGCTGAGACCGAAGAATCGTTCCAAGAGACGATACGCAAGACCATGGAGCGCATGCAGGATTCAGGTGACAAGGCTAGTGCCGCTGCTGCTTCGGATAACTCGGACGACATCCTCGCCCAGATGCTGAAGGAAATGCAGAATGGTGGCATGGAAGGAGCAGGTGGCGGCGAAGATGACTTTTCAAAAGTTCTTCTTGGAATGATGGAGCAGCTTACCAATAAGGACATACTTTACGAACCTATGAAAGAGCTGCATGACAAATTCCCCGCCTGGTTAGAAAAGAACGGGAAAACCGTCTCCCCATCAGATTTGGAACGATATCAGCGGCAGCAGGGGTTTGTAGCTGAGATTGTGCAAAAGTTTGAGGAGCCGTCATATACGGATTCAGATCCGAAAGCAAGAGAGTTTATTGTGGAAAGGATGCATCAGGTAAGTTGAACTACTCCGTTTTATTAAAAGTTCCAATCTAATTCAGTCTGAAATAGATGCAAGGGGCTGGATCTCCGCCTGCAGATCTGGTCGGCGACATGAACTCTGCACAAGAAGCAATCGCTGATTTCGATTCCGGATGTCCGACACAATAAATTCCACCAACGCCATATCCCGTAATGAAACCATACGGAGTTAGATCGATCAATCCTCCATTAAAATGCGCCCCCCCCGTTTATGCTACTCAACTCCATTGCGCCATGATATTTACCGGTGATTAACTAATTGTCCTCCAGACATGAACGGTTCTGGTCCACGCGATATGATAACATGTAGAGCGAAAACCATTCCGTAAGGCTTCCGCTTTTCTGATTTCGATTCCGTCAGGCTTTTCTAAAGCCTCGTGGTCAACCGTTTGATGTATCCATTTCCTGGTCCTTTTGTTCTTGAGGCGGTGCAGCTAGGAATTGTGCTTGCTGCTGGGGTCCAGCTACCTCCATAAATAGAGCATCATATTCGTCGTCATCGCTGCCGAAAGTGGTCCAAGAGTCCTCGTTGTCTCTCGGATTGGAGACCATCATAGGCGGAAGAGCGCTTATTTGTTCGTCCTCATATTGCGATATATCCTCTGCCGCTGTTACAAGTCACATCTAATTAGCAAACATTACATTGCATATGATGAAACTTTATGGTCCTCTAAGATGGACTCACCCATTTCGATATTATCCGTCTGTTGCCCTTCTTCTGCCGCTTCCTCGTCGAGGACGGGCGGTGCTGATCGAGCCAACTCTGCTTCCCATCTCTTTCTATCAGATATGTAATCCAGTCGTAGATACTAAACATGGACACGTCTAGTTAGTACCAGCACGAATTCTATCCTGGCGTACAACACCCGCTCAATGTAGTCCAGAGGAGGGGAAGACTAACATGCTCTGCGCGCGAGTCCCATCGGCGTTCTTCGCTTTCTTGTTTCATTTTCTTCAGAAATAAATCCCGCCTTTTCTCTTTGCCACCGTCTCGGCTTTGTTGGAAGGGCGTTGGCTTGATCAGGCGCTGTGAAAAAGGGATTCGGGATGGCGGACTTGTATTCCGATCTCTTCTCGATTGAATGTGACTATTCGAATGCGAGGTAAGCGGACTGCTGCCGGGGGATTGGTTGAAAGCATCGCTGGGTTGTTTCTGGTGCTTGATCGGAGGAGTCGTGGGAGGTGATGGCGGAAATTTTTGAGGCTGAAGAGCAGAATTGGGACTGCCATGGTGTAAGGGAGTCGTAGAAGGGTTATGCATGCCCCAGTCAAAGATTGCAGGCGGTCGCGGATCCATGATAGACATTTTGTTCGCAGACACTTCTTCCTCGATATATTTGAACCGCAAATTAGATTGTATTCAAATTCAACATTCTCCTTCTGGGTGCCTGGAGTTGTATTGGTTTTTCCGCATCTGCCGTGGTAGGGGAGACGCGCATGGGATTGTCGCGGTCTCGCGTCACGTCATATTAAAGTGTGACCCTGCCCGTGACGACGCGACCGCTTCCTTTTTAAGCATTTTGTCGTTCAGCTAATAAGTTCACCTACTACGGAAGTTATGAAGCAATGTCATTAGTCCGCTAGAACGATACGATTATTTAGGTGACTATAAATATTCCCTTGTTCAGCTGTAGCATGCAACTGCCAATGCTTGGTTATTACGGAGTATTGCTTGTTTAAGGAGAATGTTTTCCGCCACTCTGTCCCTCTGTAGAACTACAAACAACGAAGGAGTACATTGAAAACAATAAGACTTTTTGAAACAACCAGCAGAATCGTTTCCCATTACTAGGAGGCATCTTTCCCTGTGGCGCTTCGGTTGTCACCACTCGTCTTGCGTTTCGAAGGAATCGGGCGCTTGATGCATATTATTGAGTAAATTTCCATACTGTAAGTACTATTTTTAGTAGCCTCGTTCGTCAAATCTTAAAGGCTGGGAAGCAGCTTAATGCAAAAACTCCTCATATCCCGCTATGCAATGCATGAACTCATCCCGGAGGACGGAAAACATATGTGATATCAATGCTGGCCCAAATATAAATCCATCCAGGGACAACTGTAAAATACTGCGAAGCACAAATTATGACCAGATTCTAGAAGCATCCGTAACGAATTTCGTAAAAGATCATGAACGAAAAACTGCGGCACGAAGACCGCTCATTGGGTGTTTTGTCAACAAATGAGCCTTGCCTTTGCTAGAAATTGGCTGCAGTATTGACTGGCCCTGGGCGGGTATGATATTGGTCAAGCGTTGATCGGAAGGGATCGCTACCGTTGGCACTGCCGGTCTTCTCCTGGCCAGTTGATCCCGGTTCCGAGCGCATCAGATCATCGTCTTCGTCATGCATGCCCTTCCGTCGGCCCCAAATTCGCCATGCAACGATACCTAAACCTCCAAGGATTATCGCGCCTCCGACGCCAACGACAACGCCAACAATAATCCGCTTTGATTTGTCACTGAGGCCGGAGCTGCTTGAGCCTTCGCCAGAAGACTCAAGGCTGGGCGAATCGGTAGCCTTGGCATCTCTCGTCACCGGTACTACTGAGCTCGTAGTGACAGTGTGCGAATATGTGCTGCCACCACTAACGGTAACTACTGTCGTGACGATACGCTGTGTCGCACTCGTGACAATGGCAGAGGCAATTGTTGTCGTCTTGCCGTTAGACGTCACGGTCGCCTTGAAGGGAGTTTGTGAAGGAGTTGAGGAAGCTGATGACTTTGCGGCGCCTGAAGACGTTTTCTGCGAGTCTCGAGAACTACTAGTTGAGGTCGAGGTGACCGTCACTGGATTATTATCGTCGGAGCTTGACGGAGCCGCAGTAGCTTCTGTAGTTTGGGACGTGTCGCTGTTCTCGGACGTCGTCGGAGTTGTGGTTGATGGCGTGGAGGTAGTCTCATCCGATGTCTTCGTGGTTGGAGTAGTTTCGTCGGTGGTGGGAGTGCTCGTTGGTGTATCATGTGAAGTGGTAGCGGGTGTCGTTGTAGTGGCGGCTTTGGATGCCGATGCCCCCGTCCCTAGAGGTGCATTTTGGCGTCGATAAAAGCCACCTTCGACGTGGACCGCCGAAACGACAGACAAGATGAAGAGGAAAATGAGGATGGTGCAAGACAACCTTTTTGAGTTGATCGCCATGATGTTCGACGAAAGTGTTTCAAGGGAAGAGGATGCTGAGAAAGAACGAGTGTTCGACGAGAAAATAGCAAGAGTCCAGCCCGCCTTCGATCTGCTGTTTCAGAATCGAAGAGAGCGGGAGCCGGGCAAAAACCTGAAACCTTGTTTGGATGAACGAGGGACACGCTGGTAACGCAGAATAGGTCTCCCAGATATTGATGATATTTGTGACAGGAGGGAAGAATCCGGAATTTTAGGAAACGAACGACCAAATTATGGACGCGAAGTCCGTATGGGTATAGAGAATGTCGAGAATAGTCGTCGGGTTGTGGGATAAGCTGACCAAATAAAAGAGGTTTGCCCTCTTCGGGTGACAGCTCCTTTTTAAGAGAGAGAGACAACGTGCAAAGAGAAGGTGGTTCGGGGCTTCGGATTAGTGATGGGGGTCCAAGGCAAAAGCGAGCAGGGGGTGGGGTTGAGAGCAAGCCGATTTGGGAGCGGAACAGAAACTTCGGGATGCCTCACATGCACCAGTTGCCTGCCGGGAAGGCGTTCCTATACTCAGCTTTTCTCACCAGCCGTTCAGTCTGGCCGGTCTATTTGAAGCACGACCCTGAGTGCTTTTTCCGGTCACTAGGGGCACGCCAACTGGTCCCTCCTGACTAGACCTCGTATAGGCGGCCAGGCGGCTAGGCTTTACCGAAGCCGGCACTCTCCGTTTCACACGCTCCCGAGCCCGTTTTAGCAAGCAGACGACAGCGGCATCTGCTTGCCACTGCGGGTTTGTAACAATACTCCGTAAATGATGCAGGCAATTCCCTATAAATTTACGAACCGTCTCATGATTTGGACTGTTGGTCAAACAAATACTATGTCCTCAGTATATATCATCCGAGACAAGGACAATGGATTGTCTGGGCTGCTTGCTTCATCTTCGACTTTTGTACCAATATTTCACGGCCCCAGAATAAAAGAGGCAAAAAGTAATAAGAAAAAAAAAAAAAACAAAAAAAAAAAAAAAACAAGAAACAAGAAATAAAAACAAATCCACACATTTCAATGCTCCATCTCCCAATGTTCTATCGGAATAGTACACAACGACAACGAAAGAACCTGCGCATTGAACCCCTGACCATGCTGAAAGTACCATGCCACTGCAACCTAGGGAGGTAGGTGGTCAACCAAGGTAGCAATTCCAAATGAGTTGGGTTTGGCATTATATCTCCAAAGTCTCCACTTGCACGTAGAACAAGCTTGGGCAATACTTTCGAATGGATTCTCATCAAGCCGCCTCTTTCATCTGCACAATGACCGCCTACGAGAAGCCGTGCGAAGTTGTCAGGCTCGCTCGGCCAATTGCGGCTGTGTTTATCCTGCTTTGGGATACCCCCATATGATGCGATGATGTAGCATCGGCAATGAAGCCGGCCGATGCGTGGGTGCGACATAGCTTAGGTATCACGGCAAGCCATGCTCACCGGTCTTTCGCGCTCTGAATCAGACTCTCTGCCCACACCGTAGACCTGACTTCATCGAGTTTGTTAACTGAAGAGTCAGCTTATAGTGAGAATTTGGCGATGATCTAGCTCCTCAAGTTAAATAAAATACACGATTGACAAGCGACCTCTTCTCTGTACCAGTGAAACGCGAATCGACTTGCTCCCAGGTCGGACCGCCGGCCATTGAGCTTTCTCGCATGTGTCATAGCACGTTTAGACCCGCCCACTTTAACAAATTAATCTTAGGCGCAAGTACAAATCCCGCAACATTTGAGCCCATAGCTTTTTGCCGCCCAGGGTAAAGTCTGCCATGAGAAACTCCCATTAGCCATCGATCGCACGTGTGTTCCTCCACACTGCTATTATCTCATCTCTGGCCTCAGCTCGTCATTCCTGAACAGCAAGCAGAATTCGCTTTTCTGCCATTGGGTACTGGCCACTGATTGGATTGCCAAACGAGGCCATCGGCATTTGGGGGCAGGTTTCCCCGGGTCTCATGTTTCCCCTCGTGGCTGCGGGGATCAAAGGGTCCCTGCCGTGGAATGAAGCCCTTTCAGGTGTAGCAGGGTCCGTGTCCCTGGCATCATGGATCTTCTTGCTGGTAGTGCAAACCCCGCCTTAGACCCTTGGCCATAGGCCTTTCGCTCACATCATGTTCAGGTGCCGCAGTTGGTTGAAAATTACAAGCAAGGAAATGCCGAAGGAATTTCTCTTGTTTTCCTAGCTTTGTGGTTTGTTGGAGACATTACAAATTTTATAGGAGCTATCTGGGCAGACTTAGGTAGGTGTCATAGTTCATCAATCGAACCCATTTCGTTGCTCTTACATGCTAACTCTACACCCTTAGTACCTACTGTTGTGAGTGATCACTCATATGTGATAGGAGCCTTGACTGTTCCAGTGTCTCATCGTATGATTTACCTTCTAGATTGCCCTAGCCGTATATTTTTGCATTGCCGACCTCGTCCTCATTGTACAATGCATTTACTACAATCTTCTGAGTGCACGACGGTCGAAACGGCAAATTTCGAATGCGTCGGCCCGGTCTGAGCCAGACGACCCCGAGCGTCCTCTTCTCGACAGGACAAGGCACAGCAGTGACAATACCAGACTTTTGGGTTCAAGGCGACGCTCATCCGCTTCCCATAGACACAGAGGCAGCCATTCCTCATACAGGCGGAGAGACTCACTTTCGAAGATTGCCGAAGACGAGAGTCCGGCGAAAGTATGGATCAAGAACACGGTGACTGTCACTCTTATATGGGCCGCTGGCGTCGCTGGTTGGGCTATCGCCTGGAAGACTGGTGTCTGGACGCCAGCAGATAATAATGGCGAGGAAACAAAAATGCCCGCAGGCGCCGAAATCCTTGGATACGTGAGCGCGTTGTGCTACTTGGGGTGTGTAATTTCCACTTGTCGTGATCCCGGCACCTGCTAATTCGACAACAGTGCTCGCATCCCGCAGATCATAAAGAATTATCGGGAAAAGTCTTGCGAAGGTAATTTTAAAAATTCTTAGCTTTCAATCATGAACATGGCTGCTGACAATCGTAGGGCTTTCATTGTTATTCTTCGTTCTGTCTCTCCAAGGGAATATCACCTACGGAGCAGGGGTAAGTCTCAATATTTCGTGTCGGTACCGCTCCTACTTACGAATCGCCTAGATACTTTTCCACTCGGTCGAAAAGGAATATTTTATCAAGAATATCCCTTGGTTGATTGGATCCCTCGGGACCATGTTTGAGGATATCATAATATTTATGCAGTTTCACATATACGCAGATAACCAGGAGACGAGTTCGGCGATTGAAGAGCGTTGAAGATGGCTAGCTTCAGTTTTCCGCTAGTATATGTAATGCAGAAGATATATACCTTACGTCAACCACTATTTCCGTAAGTGCATGTTGGATCGCCTACTTCATCCTGCTACCAGGCTATAATATCAAGGAAGTGTCACACATCATGCATTGTCAAAGTTAGATAGCGAATCACGATTGGGTTCAAATTGACTCACATACATATTATTGGCAGGTCGAAGTTGATACAAGACTGGACAGCATTCTTGGATGTGAAAATTTGACTTTCACCTTGACAACTTCTTGGAAGGATAAAATAGATGGAGAACGGCATGCATGTCTTTGTAAGCCGAAGAGAGACACAAGCGCAGATAGACTTCACACGACATTGAAAGTAGAAAAATAAATGGAAAGACACGGTGATCAAAATTGCTATGGCAATCTATATCGTATGAACAGCCGAATCCTCCCCGCCACAACCTTGTTGGCACCAAATGGAGGAAGTATGAAGAAAGGAAATGGAGACCCGAGAAACCTTTTAGTCGAACAGACCGAAACCCATGTCCTCGTCCGACTCCTCCTTCTCTGTGAAAATGGTTAGCAATCCATTCTTTTCGAATCAATAACCCTCTTTCGGGCGGTAGGGTCTGTGCAGTAGAAGCGCAGAGAAGTGCACCCTGCGAATTGTACGTACCCTCCTCCTTCTTCTCCTCAGCCGGAGCAGCCTCCTCAGCAGCAGCGGCACCGCCAGCAACGGGGGCGGCAGCAGCGGCACCACCACCGGAGCCAACGTTCGTCAAGAGCTCCTTGACGTCCTTGCCCTCCAAAGCCTATCAACCCAGATATGTCAGCTCAAATCCTGCAATGCCTTTCGACCAGGCGTCAATCCTGGGTTGTAAGAATTGTCCTCGGTACCTTAGCGAAGATAGAGGTCCAGATGGGCTCGACTTCGGCGATGTTGGCGGCCTTGATGAGAGTCTGGAGCTTGTCGGACTGTATCCCAAATTTTCAGTATGACGAACAGAAATGCAATGCGACAGATGCGGAGAAACGTACGGTGATCTCGACGCCATCGTCGGCGAGGATCAGAGCCGCGTAGGAGGAAGCAAGTTCGGCAGTCGACATTTTGAAGGTGCTGAGAGGCTGTATGGCTCTTCGCTGGCTGATGGTCGTGGGCTGTCGAGATGAAGTCGAATCTCCAAGTGTTGTCGAGATGAATTTCGGTTCAGATTTCGATTGTGCGAGCCCTTAGCAGTCCTGATACCCTATTAAGTTTAGCGGCTCGCGTCGCCCAAAATCCGATATAAGTATTAGTCATCACTGTCGAAAGAGGACGATCCCTTTGGGTATCATTGCCGAGGACCGCCCGGAATGGCCGCAGGGTCTCTTTCGTGCTCGGTGCTGTGTGCTATGGCAGCCCCTCGGTCAGTTTCGGGACCCCGCGAACAACGTCAGTGATAAGGCCACAGCTACCCAACTTTCCATCATCGTACGGAGTCCACGAGTAACAACACGCACTACGCCTGTCTTTTATTCGAAGATAATATCATATGATGGCGGATTCTCCAGCTGTTCAAGCCCCGATCGATCCAAGAGAGCAGCCGATTTTAGACAAACTGCTCGCTGTCCGCGACAACCTGTCGTTACTAAAGCAAGACCGAACAACGTATATTAGGTCACAAGATGTGATGTCCTTATACGACCAAGTCATTGAGCAGGTACTTCAGCTCAATGATGTTCGTAAAGATAACAGGTCTCAGCAAAGTCGAGGTGTGCCGAATCGAGTCGTGGTATTAATGACAAAGCTATCAACTAATCAAACATTCAATTCAAGTGGACACTGTTCTCGACGATTGTTTCCAACTGATATCTCTCTTCTTCCTCACAATCGGCAAAAACAATGAGGCGCCTGCTGTGTACGATGATGCCACCCCCAAATATTCTTTGACCTCTAGCTCACACTGCGCAGCTATTCTATGACTTCTACGATCAAGGTTGGTAGTTAAATCATTACTCTCCCAATACTTCCTCTGACAGTGACAGCGACTACTGGACCATCTCAAAGAAGCTGCTTTCTACTCCGCCAAAGACCTCGATTCGATGAGCGGGACTTTAGAATCGTTACGCGAAAATCTACGACGTGGCTCTAACACGTATCCGCCTGAGCTTCTAACCCTGCTGGAGGCGCGTCTCACTAAATGCGAGAGCTTGCTCCACGAGCTTCAGAAACCGCTATGGAATCTCCCGGCCAGCTTGACCCCAATTCATGAAAAATTGGTTTCGATATTAAGGTTGATCGCAGCTGCCAACACGCGACAAAAGGTTCGATTAATCCTTCCATCTTTTCATAATTGAATGCTGATTGTTTATAGTTCCCAGCCGCCGAGGTGAAGTCCCTTCAGGAACAACTTTGGGAGATTCAGGGAACACAGACCGATGGAAAATTTGTCGCGCCTGATGGCACTATCCCCGAGGGCCAAGAAGTAGTCCTCGAGCTCTTTGGAAGGTGCCTCAAGTGGGCCGGAATTGTCCTTGAGAGGTAAAACTATCAGAGACACATTTTGTGGGTGAATACAAGCTAATCCTGCCTAGGGAGGGGCGAATTGATGAACGAGTCCAGCCCACATATGCTCGTCTTTTAGATATCCGGAATCAGCTAGAGAAACTCTCCCTTACCCAAGCATGGTCTCTACGAGAAACCGACCTTTACGGCTTTCAGCGCCAGCTTGATAGAATCGACGAGGCCCGTGTTAATGGCGAATTCGTTGATCATCGAGGAGAACCGGCAGATCTCCACGCTCAGCGGGTAAACTTTCCAGGCGCAATAATGAGTGAATTTCCACTGACAATACCAGACACTGCTGTACCTTTTGCGACGGAGTTACGCATACATTTATGTTGCACTTATTTCATCTGAGCCTGTTTCAGAAGCATTGCTCCCAATATTCAATCAACTTCAGACTCTCCGGAAGTGCCTGATTGAAGTCCGTGAATCCGGCGGCGTTTCCTCGCCCAGAGAACTCTACCCCTATAGTATGAAGGTTCGTATTTGCGATTCTGGCTATCTCATCGCCTGTGCACAACGAAGAAGAAAAATTTGCTGATTCCTTGCGTAGTTGAATTCTATCGATAATATGCGTGTAGACGGTAAATTTATGGTTGGCAACGATATTCCGGAAGGACAAGGAAGTATCAACTCGCTTCTAGCGGAATGTTTCGATCTATGCTACGAATTGAGAGTGGATATTGAAGACAAGGAATCCAAAGAATGATTTATGTACTTCCATGGGTTATCGATAATTGGAGTTTTAGCGGAGCTGGCGTTCTTTATTCTGGAGGCATTTTCATCTACACGCTCAAATCTCCAAGCGCACGTCTCAAAATAGCAGTACAGTCTTACTCTTAAGAAAACTAGCATGCACAGTAGGTCTCTGAGGGCTTTTTGAGGCTTATATACAATCAAAGCAATCTTGCTCTCCATACATTTCATAAATGGAAAGCACCGATTTCGTAGTCATTGTTCATGTCGTGCTTCTTGTTACTTTGCATATACGAGGGGAAACTTGTTCATCCCGGCGATAAGAAACGTTGTGACCGCCCCCCATCGGAGCGCCGCGCCGCTGCCGACGCTATATGCTTCGGTTCTACTCCGAGCCCCTCCATTTATCGGAGTAAAGTAGAACGATAAACAAGTGAGTCAAGTTCTATTTTACCACATGTCTCTTCAATTGCGTAATTTCCAAGCATTATTGCGGCCTCTTTCGAACAGACACATACTTCCCCGTACCTTTTGCTACCCTCCTTCAGAAGCCATCCGCACGCACACACGCACCATGTCTGCCGATTCCAAACCCAAGCAGGAGTGGATTGCCATCCTCCCCGACAAGGTCGGCGCACTGGACCGACGAATGAGTGTTCGACAGTGAGCTTCTCTTGACCCTTCAGAGTCATTTGCCCTTGGAAACAATTGTATTTGTCTGCGCATGCGCATCTTCTTCCAGCGTTCCCCGGGACGCTTGGAATTGAATAATGGGCGGGGCCGCGTTGGTTCTGCTCGAACCATTGCCCGGAGCTGCTCCAGGCTTCATTAGGAACTTCACCGCGAATAACAACGCCGTGTCTATCTCTGGATTGATATGTATGCTAATTATGCAAATAGGGAGCATTTTGCCGGATTGAACCGGGATGCGGAAAAGGGTCTCTGGAAGCTCGGCGGTATGTCTTTTACCCTGCGGATTATTAGAGGATATTTGACAGCTGAAAGATTCATAATTCTGAGTCATATATTGTCATAAGAGTTGGATTAGACATAAACAGTATAGCTGATGACTGGGTTGGTGATATATAGGAGCATTCCTTGAAGATGTCCCGAAAGAGGGCGAGGGCTTGAAAATTAAAGGAAGCGTGATGGTTGCGCAGGCGGACACAAAAGAGGAGGTCCTTGAGGCCCTCAAGGCTGATCCCTATGCTAGAGCGGATGTTTGGGACTGGGATGCGGTATGTGGATGCACGATCATCGTATCAAATCATAAGAGTTATTTACTGACAATCTTGGTTTTTCGAATTCTAGGTTCAAATATACCCCTTCAAGATTGGCGTTTTGAAGCCTTAGACATATATATATGTAATGATAGAAATGAGCTATATGCAGGAAAATAGAGAGCCATGGCCCCTTTAGGTTCAATGACAAGATTGTCATATCGCATCAAAACAATTCCGAAATATGCAGACTCTGAATTATGTGCTAGGCATGAACGTCGAACCCAATAGTATTGATTAAGCCTGAAAATTTTCGTTTCTGGTTATCCTCATTCAATACAACCACGCGGCTGGCGGGTGCGTCGAGCCCTGAATTCATTGCACAGGTTTATAATTTGGCCTTTGGTTCACTTTGTTTGAGCATAGCGTCGGCAACCATTCTGCGTTGGATCTTTCCGGTAGCCGTCTTTGGCATCACCTTTGCAAAGTATATCTGAGGGCACGTCAGCAAGTGAACCATACTCTTAAGGCAGCAGACATCCTCACCTTTTTGGGAGTTTTAAATTTGGCCACTCTCTGCACTACCCAGGATCGGAGTTCATCTTGGCTAAGCTGCTTGCCATCTTTGAGAACGACAGCGACACCAATGTCCTGCCCGTACATTTCGTCGGCTATCGCAAAAGAAACAGCCTCTGCCACGGCAGGATGCTGAGCCAGGACATTATCGAGTTCGATCGGACTGATCTTCTCACCGCCCTTGTTGATGAGTTCTTTAATTCTACCGGTAATGATTAGGTAACCGTCCTTGTCTTTCTTGCCTTGGTCGCCAGTTCGGAAAAATCCATCTTTAGTGAAGGATGATTTGTTGGCCGCTGGGTTGTTCAGGTATCCCTTTGTGACGTTCTCGCCCTTGATGCAGATTTCAGCTTCTGAGCCCTGGGGAACCTCGACGCCTTGATCGTCCAGAATCCGAACCTCTACCCCTTGGCCAATGCCTACACTTCCTGGCTGCCGCTTGCCAGGAGGTAGAGGATTCGAGGTCATCTGGTGTGCAGCTTCCGTCATAGCGTAAGCTTCCAGTACCGGAGTATCAAAGGTCTTCTCCAGATCATGGAACACCTTTGGTGATAATGGGGATGAGCACGATCGAATGAATCGAATATCAGGCTTTGTTTGCGGGGGCGGGTTCCGAAGCAGAATTTGATGGATTGTCGGAACCGCTGTGTACCAATTTGCGCCATGCTGAAGAAAATCATTCCAGAACTCGGAAGCAGAAAATTTCAAAGGAATAATGGCAGATCCTCCAGAGGCCAAGGGTGCGAGTAGGCCAGCAAGGAGCCCGTGAACATGGAACAGGGGCATCACAAGCATGGTTCTATCCTTGGGGGTTAGTTTGTATGTGCCTTGGATGTTTTCTGGAGACAAAATCAGTCAATTGTCCAATTAAAGCAGACTTGACAATGCTCACTCATAGTACGGGTGAGATTTCTATGCGTCAAAGGGACCTGGAGTTTGTTAAAATTTAGAGCCAATGAAAACAGAAGTGTTTCTTAGCATACCGCCTTTGGTCTACCTGTTGTTCCGCTTGTGTGCAAAACCAAAGCAATGTCGTCTGGTTGCGCTCTTTGCAGGGCTTGGTTCTGTTTCCCTTGGAGCTTGCCAAGCTCCTTAACGTCCAGAGCAACTTCATGACCATTCCAATAACACTCGGCAATTGCTGCATTGTATTTTCTTGCAGCCCTGACTGCAGGTACATTGTCCTTGTACGCACCCTTTGGCACAAGTGCGACAGCTGATTTGAGATCGTCAATATAGAATTCAAACTCGTCTTGCTTGTATGCGGCATTAAGAGGAGCCGCGATAGCCCGCTGCCATGAAGCCGCAAGGAAGGAAACGACGAATTCGTAAGAATTGGGTAACGCAATTGAGACGGCCGCTGCAGAAGTAATTCCCAGAGCCGCAAGTTTGCTTTGAAAAGAAGACACCTCAGCTGCCAATTGCCCATACGATACTTTAAGCGCAGAGGGCTTGCTGGGTATTATGATGGCTAGCGAGTCCGCCTGAGTTGCAAGTGAAGTTTTGAGGGTCGCCATAGTTTTGCAATGTAAATTTTGATAGAATGTGGGTTACTATGGCTTCTTATCTTCTATTTGACTATTGTGGGAATACAAGTTGAGGAATAAAGCTGGACTTATACTGATTCAATCCTGACGTGACGTGATCGGCGGCAGCGGAAGTTCCGAGCGGAACGTGCGAGGGGATCCTGGGGTGATGCTATTGTCAAATTAGTTAAAGCGCATAACTGGGTTAGCTCACTTGATGCGAGCTAAACGGACTTTAAGCATCAAGACTATCGAAACGTCAGACTTCCTAAAAGTTCGAAACCATCTCAAGTCTTATTTTCCCCTCTGCGAGGGAAATAACTGAGATCGTGTTATCATGGCTTCAGATCCTACACGACCGCCAGCGAAGTCAGGGATGGTATCTTTGTATGCCAACCTGCTCGATCCCTCTGTTGATTCCTCCGGCCCCGGAACCATCTCTCGCGCGCCTGTTGTGTTTAAGCAGCCTGGTGCTGAAGATAACCCGCAGGATGGATCTTCGTCGAAGAAGCCATCTCTCAACAATGGTATATTTCATACATTTGATTCTAAACAGTATTCAAAAGATTCCTTTTTACTCATTTACGTCTTGGAACAGCTGCTCTTCGTTTCCAGCCAACAAGGCGGCCACAACTGCAGGCACAGAAAGCAAAGGGTCGACCTTCTCTCATGAAATCGCAGCTTCCCCCAGCCAATAATGCAGGTGTTGCAAAGACATCAAACAGCAATGAGAGCACGCCTGTCCGGCCTCCGACTATGAGTACTTTAGCCGACTGGGCGGCGGCTGGCGATGACGACGACGACGTCAATGGATTCTATGCGCGAGATCCTCGCCAACGTGGTGGAAGGAAGAAGAGGAAGAAGAACAAGGATGATCCGATGATGGCTCAAAATTGGGACGACATTTATGACCCTTCTCGGCCCAACAGCTACGATCTCTACAAGGACAGTGACGAAAAGATTCGTGAAGTACAGGAGTGGAAGGACAGGCTCTATGCGCATAAGATTCAAAGGAGGCATAGCAGCGATCTTGAAAGCGAAGACGAATATGGCTCGGGCAACCGCTATACGAGTAAGTATTGGCTTTTACTTGCCAATTGAACGCCGTTGACAAGAATGATAGATCAATTTGCGCCTCCCTCTTCATATTCATTTGCGCCACCTACTTTCGACGATACGTCCAATGAGCCACCGCCTCCTCCACCCGCAGAAGTGCCTGATGATGCTACCGGTGACGATGCATATACTCGACGCCTGCGTATGTCGACAATGCAACAACAGCCTGCACCCCCAGCGTACGAGCCTCCTTCCTTGGATCAGCAAGTTGCCCCTCCTACCGAAACAGAACCTGCGTCGGGAACAATATCACGGGCTCCTGTTCGCTATGAAGTCCCCGCGCCAGAACCAGCTGAGGAGGCTTTGGACGCTGATATGGATCGGGAAGAGGAGCAAGAAAACGGTGGCCAGGAAGAGGACGAGCCTCGTTCTCTCCGACCTGGCCAGAAGGGTTTTGCCGAGAGACTAATGGCAAAGCAGGGTTGGACCAAAGGAAGTGGGCTTGGAGCCACGGGATCCGGAATTATAAACCCGTTACAAGTCAAGATTGAGAAGAGGCGAAAACGGCCGGATTCGGAGGGTGGAGGATATGTAGATGTCGGAGGCAGAGGCAGGATCATTGGAGGCAAGAAAGGACCGGGTGCCAATGCCGACCGTGATGAAGGAAAATTTGGCGCTATGAGCGAAGTCGTTGTGCTCCGCAACATGTTGGGTGGAATCGACCTTGACACGGAGCTAGAGGATCACGGCGACGGAGGGCTCATGCAAGAGATTGGAGAAGAATGCGGTGAGAAGGTAAGTTATCCACCAAAGTCGATTGCTTTGCTACTGCTAGTCGGACATTTTTACTAACCAGCTGATTCTCTCTTCCACAGTATGGTCGCGTTGAGCGGGTTTTCATCAACCGAGAAGAGCTTACAGTCTTTTTGAAATTTACCAGCCAACTTTCCGCTTTACGAGTGAGTTTTTGCCATCTTATCTTACAAGATTGTCTATGCATTAACTCTTGATTCTTCTTCCCAGGCCGTCAATGACCTGGAAGGACGCATCTTCAATGGAAACACCATTGCCGCCCGCTTCTTCAACACCGAGAAATTTGAAAAGGGCATCTACACTTGATTAATCTTCTGATCAATTTTCGTCCCCTCGCTTTCGCGTATTATCAATATATACCCAATGCTCCGTTCGCCGTCCGAATGGCCAGCGAAATCCACAAAATTTCTTTGTCAGAGACACAAAGCACGCGCACACCAGGCGTATGCTCAATGGAAGCGTAAATTCTTGATAGCATCTCATCGCGTCTGATACCGCTGGCATTTTGTGCCCATTCTCGCCCGGGCCATGACGCATATTCTCATACAGAGCCACATGAACACATGACCACATGACCACATGTTGACTCATTATTGTATTCTACATCCGGCGTTCAACTTCCAACGGATGAAGCCTTTCAGTGCACAAATTTGTATGCAGGAAGCTCCCTCCCTAGTCTCCCTACTCTCCTTACTCTCCCCACGGCTTTAACAAACACATCCACACCGAGCCGAGTCTTGCTGTTTGGTGTTGTAAAATTTCTGGCATTGCACCATTGGATACACTTAGTATAGCCAACGACAGCATGCAAGCTGCTGTGAATATGAACCGCAGTTTACCGCTCATTAATCGCCATAAGTGTGGTTGTGACTTTGACTCTTACACACACGAAGTAAATTCACTTGCAGCGTTACCTGTACAATAATAATAATCTCTATTACCACATCCACCCTTCCCAAGCTCATATTAACTCTTTATTCTACTCTACTGATATCCCTTTTCTACGGTTATTCACATCAATATGCCTATCTTTTTCCGTATCCTTTCCGTATCCTTTCCGTCTCCTTTCCGTCTCCTTTCCGTCTCCTTTCCGTCTCCTTTTCCGTATCTTTATCCTTAATCCCTATCATTATCCGCATCCTGATCCTTACCTAGGTAGTTATCCGTATTCTGATCCCTACTTGTCCTTGTCCGTATCCGTATGCGCATCCTGATGCTTATCCGTAGGTTATCCCGTATCCTTTTCCATTTCAACGAGGCATATCGTACTTCTTACCAAGTCACCAAGACCTTTGAACGCGACGTTTTCTTTTGACACTACGTAGTTGTGAGTGACCTATCTGTTCACCTGTCTGTCTGTCCGTTTACCTATCTATTTATCTACCTGTCCAAGAACCCAAGAAAAGAAGGAGACCTGAAAGAGGAGAGCCGGGGAGGAGGGTCAGGACAAAAAGTTCGATCATGGATTCGGAATACCATACGTTTACTTATTTTTGATCTACTCCAATTGAAAAGAGAGACAAGAAAGGGAGAAAAAAACGAAAAAAAAAAAAAAAAAAACATAAATACAAAACAAAACAAAACAAAACAAAGAAAACGCAGGATGCAGGATGCAGGATGCATGATCCCCAAGTCCCTCACGGAATGGATCAAAGTTCCAATAAACGTCAAAACGTCAAGTTAAACAACTTTTCATCTGCTGCACTAATGAGAAAACTCCCCCCTCGAAAAAAGGGGGTGATTTCATGTTCATACGAAAAGAAAAGATTCATACGTAAGACAAGATACATACGAAAATAACGATTCATACGAATGAAAAGATTCATACAAAAAGAGAAAAGATGAATAAAAGGATAAGGTAGTTAGGTTATTTAGTTGGACATGATTAAGATACATTCACAATTTATAAAATAGAAAAAAAAAATGAAAAATGAGGAATGAGAAAGGTTAAGCCCATCTTCAAGTGTAAAAGGTTGTTTTCGAGAAAAAAGATGTTTAAAAAAAAGGTGGGGAAGGGGAAATATCGCGGGACGGGAATTCGAGATTAAAAAAAAGAAAGAGAAAAAATTTGGAATACTGAAATTCTGTAGTAGGGACATGTCGTGTAGGGGGGGATAAATAGGGCGGAGCAGCAGCAAAAAAAGAAGGAAAAGGAACACATCAAAGCCGTAAACGCCATATTGCACAACCACGCAGGAGATACAGGAAAGGGAGGTCGGCATTAGACACGTCGCAATGGCTCTTTTGGTTGTTTCTCTTTCTCCTAATTCTCGCCCTGTTGACATAAACTCGACTGACTCGGATAGAGGAGTTGGCCTCCGCATCCACCACCGAGTTTTGTGTGACAGGAGGAGAGGGGGAGAGAAGACAGAAAGATAAAAAGAGCCATGCTTCTGAGAAAAGCGTGCGGATGATACTCGCTACTCAATGCAATGATGAGCACGAGTACATTCCCCATCCCTGACCGAATCCTGCTTCTAAACCGGCCATTTTCGCCCTTATTCTAGTGTTTCCCGTAACATTTTCTAAGCCTCCGGCTCAACGATAATCCCGCGAGCCGTGGCTAAGAGCAGAAGAGGAAAAAAAAAAAAAAGGGATCAGAGGACTGCGGAAGTAAAGACCCGAAGAGTACACGATGGAGGATTGTCGGAAGAAAATCGAAAGATTGACCGTCAACTTTGTGAGAATGAGCAAGTGGGTCGCCCCCTCTATGAAACAAAGAAAAAAAAAAGAAAAGAAAAAGAAAAGCCAATGGAAGGTGCGACGCTTATCGTTTAGGAAGAGAGGATGGACACTCCGAGTATCACCTCGATCGTACATCGTCAAGTGAGAACGGAGATTGCTGCGGTCTCGGTACGACGGCATTGCTGTCGAATAAGACAGGCATAACCGGCCGGGAATAAAAAGAAAAGCTCATCGTAAGAGGATGGCACTCCATCGATTTCCTTTGGCATCACTCTGAAACCCTCGATCCTCCGTTGTCGGCTTCTGGAATTATACATCTCGGATGCGAAAATGGACAGCGACTCCAAAATTACATGGCAGGGCGTTTACCAAGGTTACCCGGCTTCTCCTCGGTGTCGATATGCCAGACGACGTAGTTTGGAAGGCCAACGACTTGATAGCCAGCCCTCTTAGCCATTTTGGCGAAGCCTTCGGTCTCAGCTTGGTTCTCAAATGCGTAGCATGGGAAGTTGATTCCTGTTTCCCGAGGATAAGCATTCTGACGGCTGGTTATGCACCGGGTATTAGTAGGGCTTACCAGAACGGTGGACGTCAGCCTTGACCACAATGTTGACGCCTCCAATACCATCCAGATTGACTTCTTCGTCCTTGTTGTTTCTCCAGTCGCCCAGCTTAACCAAGTATGTCCGACCAGTGTTGTATTCCTTGTAACCTAATCAAGAAAATTAGATCTTATCGTCTACGATAATGACTGTGATTTCTATTTACCCTCTGCGAGAACGACATTTTTATCGAGCGAATTGGCCAGTTTCAGTCCTCTTTCAGACTCAATCCACGAGTTGTAGTCAACTAAGAGATTCGTCAGTAAAAAGCGAACAAATTTACAAAAGAAAAAAAGGATATAGGAACAGAGGAACACACATTTCCCTTCAATATCCCGGCCGTTGGCATAGCGATGGAACCAGATATCTATCAAACTTGATCAGCATTCAAGGCCAAAATAGGGCTTATCCTTTTTAAAGAGGGAAATCATACTGGGGACAAGAATGTCCTTATCGTGGGCAATGAAATCCTCAATAATCTTCTTTGGGCTGTCTACAATGTCGACATCTCTCCAGTACACCCAAGAGTGCTCAGGCTTCAGAGCAGCAGAAAGGAGGTAGTTTCGAGCTCGTCCCATGGATTTTCGTCGTGGACCTTGGGCTTCGAAGCCATGGCGTTCCTCTACAGACTGTCCAGAAGCAACACCAAAATCCTTTTGAACAATGAGAGCGCTGCGGAAGGGGATGTGATCGGTTCTCTGTTGGATTCTCTCCAGCTCGCTGGCGAGGATTGCCAGGGTGTCATCGGAAGAATCACCGACCAGGAAAGCGAGATCAATTAAATCGTGACGGTAGGTCAGCTCCGATAGCAGGTCGAAATATTTGTTGATATATGGTCCTGCATCGCGCAAGGGGGTCAAAATGAGGACTCTCTCCTCGTTCGCTAGAGCCTGAGTGGTCGATTTGATCGGATTCAGGTCAACTCGTTCAATTGTGCTCGAGTTGATTTCAATAGGAGCATGGTGGTTGAAGATGACAGGGGTTTGTGAATGTGAGTTCCACGCCGCGTACTCATTAATCGACACATCCGAAGGTGGTTTCGCGGGACCCCAACAGTAAAATCTGCAAAACCAGATCACACGTTAGCATTGTGTTCTTGTAGCCTCCACGGCAATCTGGCCATCTCTCATAGACGCCATGTCGTGTGTGTAGTGAAAAGGTTGCAGCGTCGCACCTTTGCATATCAGAAGCAGACATGCTGATCGACCTCCATAAAAGCATCACGACGCCCGCGGCGGCCAGAAAGACCAAAAACCTCGTTCGCAGCACATAATGAAGGACAGCTCTATATGGAGGAAGTCGTGCCTTGGCCGACTTCCACGTCACGCCGCCTTTCGGGAGAAGCATGATGAACGAGAGACGTGAGAGCGAGGACCGACGGGGATTCTAGGACTTTCAGCACCGCCGGTGCTCCAATTGTAGCGAAATGGCCCCGGGGTTGGGCGGCTCAATTTGCGTATATCGAGTCGGGATGGCGAAGATGCAGCGTCAAAGCAGACGTAATGATAGTTTTGAGGGGAAAGTTTAACCTGGCGATGAGATTTGGGGTCGACGTTGGTCGAAGCTGCGCAAACTGGGGCAGGGAGGTTTAGTTGGAATAGGCCTTTCACCCCTAGGGAACTCCCAAGAAGGTACCTATATGTATCGGAGTGCTGGAATTTACCACTATAGAGTACAAATTTAGTGAGAGAAACGATTGCTTTGCTTGCGACGAGGCCAGTCGAGCCAAATTCGCTTGACTATCTGGATTCGTCACTGGGTTGCGTTGCGTTGACCTCGGGACGGCGGTTTCTGCTGCTGCCAAGACCGCACCCAACGCCGCCCCCGTATTCGTCCACGAGCATATCACCGAATGATCGGCGTAGTCCTCAGTCTGGAGTGATCGATGCGGGAACGGCCGACTGGAGAAGAATTTTTGGAGAATTTTCGCACCAAACCGGGAAGGAGCTTAGGCGGCTAATCCTCCAGACTACAATGGTTAACTCAACTGCTTACTTGTGGGGAGACAAGACCAACCTCCTCATATAACTTCACTGCGCAAAATGGTGGATAAGTAAAGGTAGGTAGACAAATAAGTACCTCACACTTATTCATCAATTGCTTTATTGCATTGCAATTTGACATCTCGATGCGGAACTGCGTGTCCATACAAGGCACAATACGCGAATAAACGTCGCAAGAATCCAAAATTCCCGCGTATCAGCTTCTCCCCCACAACCCGTATATCACCAACTTCATGCGAAAGAAGAGAAGCGCCTCAAACTAGTTATGAAGCAGAAGATCATTTTCCCCAATTTGAGATTTATAACGCCTGTGAAGGGGCTTTCTCTATCCCTTTAAAACACGCCTCGTTTAGCTATCCCTTACGGTGACCTCAACTACTCCGTCCCTCCGTAACTGCCCATGCCCACTGTTGTCGTTCTCGCTGATAGCGTCATGAACCATCCCACCAGAACTGATAGACGACGATACCCAAGTGTCGCTTACTTCTAATTGGAGAGAAATGGTGGGTAGAGAGGAGGGGGAGGAGGACGATAGGTAAGGTAGGTAGGTAGTTACACGTCAATCAAGGGCCATTGTAATCGTCGCCGCGCCCTGCGTGATTCCTCAAGCGCGGGGGGCCGGGAAGGCCCCTCCTTGCCCTCAGCTCAGCCAGGCACATCCACAAAGTGAGCTCATCGTTAAGTATGAAGCCGTCAGCTCCCGCCGATGTCCGTTCAAAAAATACCAGGTGATATAGACCTCTGGTCGATTTGATCCAGTGAGATGTATGCAGATCTGCATGGATCAGATCTCTTCAGCATTGTTCAACTACCGGAGTAAGTAGTGAGTTGGTACGTGCGAGATTCATTTGCGGGGAGATGCATTGCACGAGTTGCATTGCACGTCCGTAGCATCACCTCGAGAGAGAAACGAAATCTGCGGAAACGCCAGAGTCAACTCAGGAAAAAAAAAACGATATGTTCGTCTCAAAATGATCAACGGATCGATCTTGGGGTAGATTTGATATACCGGACATCCCGAAGCACAGATGACAAGGGGGACCCATGGCTTTTCCTAACAGATATACCGGAGTAGCGAGAAGGCGTTATGAAACTTATCACAAAGCTCGTCCCTTTTTTCCTTCTATCCATCCATCCCTTTTTCCTGCGTTTGAAGGGAACTCCTCCCAAGAGCCACCTTTTTTGTTTTTGTCAGATACGCACAGGGAAGGGGGAAACTCTCCTTCTTTCCCCCACACAGATTCCCTTACGTAGCCTGGCCCAAAACGGCTTTCTGCGACCGCGGCATCAGGGAATCTCCGGCCGGCATTAGCTTTGCAGCATCAATGCGAAGGCAGTTCCTGCAACATGAGCCGAAAGAGACATACGTTTTGACTCTTTCTGGGAGGTCTCGTCGGCACGAGATGTCTCGCAACTTTTCCGTTCGTGGTGGCTCAATGCTGCCGCCACCCACATCAGGGCAGTCATTGAATCGCCTTGCTTTGAGCTCCCCTGCGCAAGTCCATCAGATGGCGTGACCTTCCACTTCATTGTAGCCCAAATATACTAGAGTCGTAGAAGAGAAGACGACGAATCATCACAAAAATCTCCATGGCCAGAATAACCGCCTCGGGGCTGCTATACCAGTCATGTAACACCCTTTCCAAATAAGCCCCCGTGCCTAGAGTCTCGTGTTTAGCAGTAAAACGACAAGATTTGACAGACCATTATCAAGAATTGCGCATGTACACAAGGGTATCTCCCTCTCAAAGAGCTTCGTGAACAGTTTTCTCATGCCCTGAAGTTTGCCGCTACCGGCATCATATTATAATAATATTAAGAATACTAATTAGAGATAAAGTAGTTCCCCGAAAATTCTTTTTGTAAATGCAATACTCCCAAGCACGCCACCCACCCTGAAAATCGCCATTTTATGTGGCTGTAGTACAGATAGAACCAATACCAGGACCTTTAACCATTGCCCCAGATTACCAATAGATGTTGAAATTTGCCTGCCAAATAAAGACATTTTGACAATCCCCAACGTTTGTAATCGTAAATTGAAAATCTTCGCCGTATGGATATCATTTTGCCAATGGAGATAAAAAAGAAATGAAGAAGAACCAACCGCCCGAAATAGCAAGCCCGGAAAATTTTTTTTTTGGATATAATTAATCGAGAATAAGACATACTTTCAGCCTTTGTGGAACGATTCCAAGTGAAGGAACTCTTGATTGAGAGGATTTGCGGGCATTGAACGCTGGTCGTACCGCGGAGTGGACCGGCCACTGGACGGAGGCGTCAAGACATTGTCATGACCATGCTGCGTCTCAAGAAAATGGCGAACAGCAGCAGCATCAGGTCCATCAATATCGGCAACCAGTCTAGCAATGGCTGGTAGCAGCTCCTGGAAAGATTGAATATAGGCGACGGACTCTTTCAAAGTCGTATCCTTTGAACTATCGGCCGCACATCGAGGGACAAGTTTCCGGAAATTGTTGATGGAAATTCGATGGCTCTGTCTCCGCGCCATCTCCGCTTGGTTGTGAGCATTCTTGATGTTTATAGCTGGCTTGGAGACACGGCTCGTGCTCCGGTGCTTCTCACCCAGCTTCGGCGAAAGAGAACGCCGATGCTGGCGCGGCCATTCAAAATTTGAAAAGGCTTGAGAGTTAGCCGGAGCTGATCCTCTTCGGTAATCAATATAACTTGGACGTGCTGAGGCTTGCTCTTGAAGTGCTGCGCTGTTTGATGACCGGTAGGTGACCGGTCCGAAGAGAAAGCCTTTCTGAAATCCTCCTTGTGGAGTTTCAAGCTCATGAGCTGATTGAGGTTGCTTTTCGTATACTGAAGTGGACGCTGGTTCTACTAGGGCGCCAGGAGACTTCACTCCCAAAGGGGCAAAATCTGAGGGGATAGCAGATTTCATGGTCTCGTAAGGCATATGCCGGCTGAGATTCGCTGCGGATTTGAGGTCGCCTAAAGTCTTGCGGTGTGCCAAGGTCTGCGTGAAATTGCCCGTGGTGGGGTCTGCCCTTCTCGTTGCAGCCTCCTCGGACGTAACCATGGTGTTGGTCCCGTCTCCGGACCTTAGAGCATCCACAGATCGTTGCATCCTAGGCTGTGGTGCGTCATTTGGAATCATCGGTGTACGTTGCAGAAGATCGCCACGAAATATTTCATGAAGAGGTGGAAGCCTTCTGCGGCAAAAGTTTAGCCCACATCCTCCCACGGAGGGACACTGGACTTACTGTCGGTCCAACAAATCGGCTGAGAAGGACGAAGTTTGCAGAGCCATGTCTTTTCCCTTTTGGAAGATTGCGATTGGTATAGAGAGTAGTGTGATTGAGGATGCGGCCGTTGGCCAGGCTCAAAGAAGATTACAATGAGCTTTAGGATATTTTCAACAAAGCAGAAAGAATGAACGAGGCTTTTTCAAAGGGAAGAGTTGCTGAGATTGCGGATATGGAGGACATTGGAAGACGTCTTATATAAACGTACAAAGGCTCAACGTAATCAAATGCACAGAAAAGCATAACGGGAAAGCTATTGACTTGAGCGCAAGGAAACCATAAACGGGCCAAAGACCCTGGCTCCGGACAGGGACAGCTGCATAGCGTGCAGCATCCTCTCAAAACCCATCCGATCGGATTGCGCGGGGGAAGTTGGTCTGCGGCAGCCATGTGTAACTCCGCCAAACAACAATAACATATGAGCGAGGAGATTTCTCACAGAGGGCCCAGACGCATCGCAACCAACGGGGAAAGGTGGCGGCAGCGCTTGCTAAAAGTGACGTGCGGAAGCTTCACAATAGCGTCCGACGAGACGAAGCCTAAGCGGGGTGAATTGAGAACGCATGTACTCTGTGTGAAAAGAGTAAAAACCGGTCCACCGACTGTAAAGAGCAGACTCCTTGCGTCGACCCTTGCATTCGCCATAAGGAAGCGAGACAATCGCACAGGTCATTGCGCTGTCCGTTCTCATCGTCAAGGCGTCGTAGGATTTGTCAAGAGCAGAAACTTTAAAAAAGCATATATCAGGCCAGGGGAGAAGAAGAACACTAGACGCAAGGTTGAGATAGATCGTCTTTTCAACATGATACATTTCAGGACAAGATGAGCCAAAGACGACGGGCGTCATGACGGCAGCAACGCTAGAATCGAGGAGATCTGCCTCGATCTCCGTTCATCTAAAAAGACAGCAAGCCATTGCGCAGGGGGGCCCGTCAAGTTTATGCAGCAAATGTGCCTCGCAGCACCCGTCCCCGGGCCGATCGAAGCCACCAAAGAACAAGCAGTGACACTTGTGTAGAATAACATAGCTCGAAGATGTTCTGACAGAGAAGGACTTTTGTTGCTTGTACAGCCGGAACGGATCTGGTATTTGAGCATCATTCTCAAATACAAGTCAATTGCCACTATCTCATATTAGCATCAAGTATAAAGAGTGAATGTTGACTTTCTGTCAGGAGATGTGTAAAGACCGTGCCAGACCGTGCCAGACCGAACATCACAGTACACTACCTCAGATGCTCTATCCCAAACTGTCTTATAGCACTAAAAAAGCATTAATGACCGTGCAAACGGAAGAGGAAGCCGACTTTTTACGGCATCGTACTAAGGTACGGGGGAAGAATACACGTACATCCGCTCACCTCGTCTCGAGGGAGACAATTTGTGAGTTCAGTAAGGTAAACTGACATGTCACACGAAAGACGCTAGAGACGGCTGCATGCTTTTGAAACGGTCACCCCCACCACGAGCCCTGCAGGTCCTGCCAGTTTCGAATCTCAAAGAGCACCTTTATGGAATACAAAGCAGATCAAGATTAGTTTTTCGCTGCAAATTAGAATTGAACTTATAACCGTTTACTTGCCTGCTCCAATTTGTGCCCGTCGTGGATGAAATAATCAGTTGGCGTTTTTGGACGAGACTGCGTAGGAATCGTAAAGTCGGTGGGTGGGTAGAGTAGCAAACCAAAGGCGCTTAAAAAGGAAATCAGCAATATGCTGGCTCAGTCTTCACTCCAACAAACATAGTAGAAAAGGTTCTTTTTAATTTGTCTCAAGTACGAGAAAGCATTAATGGTTTCCAGATTGTTAGGGGGAAAGCGAGAGGAAATCGATTTCAGGGAGTAGACTACACTGGGGTAAAAAGCATATCGACACGAAAGCAGGTCCAAGGGCAACTGAACCAATAAAAGTCCCGTAGACCAGAGAGAAAATCCGCTGACCGGGGAAATTAGAAATGTAGCTTGACGTGCAGCGACTCCGAAATCCTAACGACGCACATGAACACATCCGATACCTCCTCCGTCCCAGCTTATTGCCAGACCTCAGAAGCAGATGAATCACATCGACATCAGAGAGCATGCAATTATTTAAAAGCTGGCAAATAACTCAGAGAAATCAGGCGTGCTTGGGAATCGGAAAAGTGCACAAGGGCCGATTAAATGACATCGTTGTAAAAAGAATAAACACACAAAAGGCGCATATTAAGTCTAAGGTACGGAAATGAAAAACGCCAGATGTGAATTTTATACTTAGAACGACGAGAGCAAAAGACCGGCAATCATGGAAAGACCCATGACAGCGGCAACATTGACCTCAAAGCGACCGGCAGCGCTCTTCTTGCCAGTAGAGGAGGGGCTGGTACCGCTCGAGGTGGAGCTACCGCCGCTGGAGCTGCCAGAACCCTTGGTCTGGGGGTGAGCCTGGAGGCCCTTGCAAGTGTAGGTACCCTTGATGACCTGGTTCGAGTGGTCCTTGTCAAATTGGCTGCAGTCGAGCTGTCCAGAGGACTGCATGTTGAAACCACCGCGAACGTCGTTGAGGGCGGGCAAGGCAACACTAGGAATTCTGTTAGTCTCATACTTTAATTTCATCCGGCGGAAAAAGGGAGGCTAACCTGGTAAAGTTACCGCTGAAGTCGATAGCGCCAGCAACGGTAGCCAACTTGGTGAAGCCGTCAATCTGGGAGAGCTTGGTGTTGTTGGCAATCTGGTAGCCACCGCCGATGGTCTTCAGCATGGGAAGGGAGATGTTGGTCAAACCCTCGTTGCTGACAAAAACGAGCGAGCCACCAGTCGAGGTCAGGTTGGGGGCAGCGTAGTCGGTGAAGTAGTTGGAGTAGAAGCCCATGGAGCCATTGACGGTAGCAAGCGAAGGAGTCTTGACGCCACTGCAGTTGCGGAAAGTCATGTTGTAAGCCCACTCGAGGTTGGGGAAAGAGGCGGTAAGGTTCATGCCGTTGGCCTCAATGTTGAGGGACTGCGTAATGTTTCCAAGCTGGACCTCAATCGACTTCAAGAAACGGTTGTTGTTGATGTTAAAGTTGTCAACCATCTGCAGATTGATGCCGTCCAAGGAGCTGAGCTGGGTGTCGGTGATCAAGACATTGCCGGCCTCCTGGATAGTGGCAGCAAAGTTGAGGGTTTGGAGGGCAGGGAGAGCAACCCACTCAAGGCCGCCGACGCTGGTAAGCTGAGGAAAGTTAAGGTTGGCAATAATGGTCAAGTTGCTCAACTTGAAGTCCTGGCCAATTGTCTTGAGACTGTCGGCCTCAAGGGCGCTGAGCTGAGCAGCACTGTCGGCAGTGAGGGAGCCAGTGATCTCCTGGATTCCGGGAATGGTAAGGGTGCCAGCGGCCTGGGTAGCGACCACGATGTCTCCAGAGAAGGTGGAGCAGGCGGAGAGAGTGGCAGCATCGCCGCTGTTCTGGATGGTGGAGGTACCACTGCAAGAAGAGGAAGCGGCTGGATATTACAAGTCAGCTTTCTACCTTGGACAGAATCAAAAGTTGGTCCATCTCTTGACACGACGGCGAAGAGGGCCAAAGGCCTCAGCGAGAAGAGGATGGCTCCTCTACGCGTGCAAAAGAAGACACAAGTTGAAAAAATTCCACACCGTACCTGACGCAGTTCCAAGAGCCGCAAGGGCTGGAAGAAGATACTTCTTGAAAGACATGTTTCGTGCCTGTAGCCAGTCACTGGTTAGTCTCACACTGAAGCTCCCAATTTCACCTAAAGATACTGATAGAAGATAGAAAGTTGAAAAATCCACTTGCGACAGGAAATACCAGTAGGATTGATGCATTCGCGGCAAACGAGAAAGCCAGAGGAAGAGTGATACGAACCTGAGGAATGATATTAAAAGCTACCGGTAATATCTGGTGGATAACAGTTGCCCAATGTCGACAGAGAGGGAAAGAAAATTGGAAATCGAACGAGTGTGGAGAAGAGAAGCTATGCAACAACAGAAATATTCAACTCCTCGACGGCGTCGTCACGTTGCGCGAGCTGATGCTGAAGAAGGAGAAGGGAGGAACGAGTGTGAAGAAATGTTGAAAGAGGCAGGGAGGAAAAGGGATGCGAGGCGAGCAATTTGTTGTGGTCGACAGGTCGTCGTTCGTGGGCGGGACACACATCGAATGAGTGTGGCGCTAAGCCCGAGAGGGGAATAGGTGCTTCAACCAAGTCTCTTTCAGTTGGCACACCACTGGGCAAAAGGCACCAGGGGTGTGTTGACCAAGAGATAGCGGAGCAGAGAAATTTCCCCCCGAAGTCAACCAACCCCGTTCTCTAATTCTCAAAGGTGGGAATTATTATTAACTAACGCTACTCCTAAGCTATGATTTACCTGCCCGACGGACGGAACAGGCGTCCTTTCCCTAGCTCGGTGTAGACGGCCCCACGACCTGCCAACAATCGCCTATGAGAAGCGGCGCTTCTTCACGCGAGCGACATCACGGTAACTCTGTTCGGCCAAGGGTCACCGCTGGTTAAATTGAACATGTATGGTTCAGGGGTCATTGGACCGAAATCCCCCAATTTCCAAGAGAGCCGCGATCACCATGTACTCTCACAAGAGCATCAAATCAGTGCATTATGCCTTTGTACTCCCGCAAATAGGTCACTGCCTCTTTTGAATTGAACATGAGAAGATGCTGCGTCATTAATCGATCGCGGAGTCGCATCCTTTTGTCCTGGCATGTGGCAATTACGTATTTCTCATCCGTGCATCGCAAAAGGACACAGAGTACTATGAATGTGTGCGAATCGGAGGTGGGGTGTCGAAAAGTGCGAGGAGGTTGTGTTGCTCTTCCAACCTCTTACATTCCCGTAGGTGGCTCAGCTGTGAAGGGTGCCGAGGTCACCACCACGGGGGAGAAGCCACCTCGAGCCAGTACCCATTTGTTCGTCTCGTTAATGATTGTGGCACCCTTCTTTTCCGATGAACCTCATTTTGCTCGATTCCCTCGATGGGACGGCCTGACCGAACCGATAATGCTGCGTTAAGGGAAAGTCACAATCTCCCAAAACCATGACTGCTCCTCAATTGTCCAATGCACAACATACCAGAGTATCTACAGCAAAGCGTTGCTTTTTCAGTTCGTTTCTTTTGCCGTTCGGTCCCCCTTTATTCTCCTCTCAAGGGATCGAAATGAAACGCACATGCGTATCGCTGCTGTAGCTAAAGATAGCCAGAGGGGGATGTCCGTTTCTAATCAGGCAATTCAGAGTTTCGGCCCCTCTGGTAGCCCCCCCGACGAGCATTGTACTGAGGCGGTACTTTCCGGGAGAGCGAGAGCCGCCTGGCACATGCCCTCTCCGGGTACCATGTAGTGACATCGAGTTGGCGTCAATATATCATCGGCTTGAGGGGTGGGACCCACTTCTTCTGCTCTTACGCTGTGAACTCCACTCGACAGGAAGGCCGAAATCTCGGCGATGGTAAAAGGGAGCGAGGAGGGGGGGGGAAGAGAGCGAGATAGAGGGAGCACGGGCGGGTGGCCTTTGCTGCTCCGGATCTTCAAACCCCTGCGAGATGAACAGGGATATTTTTACACTAGTACACGTCGGCCTTGCCTAATTTGTCTCTGGCCGCTTCGGGGTTAGGGGTCTCAACCCACTTTTTCAAGGATTTGAGTCGATTTGAGGTGTTGCAGGGTGACTGGCTAAAGTCCCTGATTCTACCAAGGCTAACAGGACGATCTCTGAAAAATTAACAATGAATCTCTCCGGTTAGGAATTGATCGAGTACGAAATACTCCGTATAGCATCACACCCACTCAAACTTAGTGCAATATCCGCTTTTCTATATACAGCTCTGCTTCGTCCTGATATTTTGTTGGTTATATGACCTTTTGCAGTTGTTGGGCCCCAGTCGTAATTTTTGCAAGTGAACCCTTGTGGCGTTCTTGGCCACCGTTAGATGCACCTCGAGGATGCATTGACCATCCGCTGTTGAGATGCTGGAACCTTAAATCCTTTCGAATCTCAGTCTCCGTTTTGTAAGTCTGAAAGTCGCACATGATCTAATGACTTGGACGACAAAAGGAATATAATACAGTATACCATAGTTTAATGCATTGAAGTAGAGAGCGTGGGTTTGACTAATTATCAGCCTATATGCCATCGAGGATGGCTTTTTAACTTCACTGTAGACTGCGGAGGTATACAGTACACAGGTTGAGTAGTTTCCTGGCATACGTACCTTAGACAGGGTAAGACCAGCTTATTTCTTGGTCGCCGGCTCATCTCCGTCCCAGCGAGTTCGAACTGTAGTACCTCGATTTTTTACAGGATTCTCGTCCTCTTTGGGACTTGAATATGGCCACATCAAGTATGGTGCGAGTGAAATATCAATGTGATGGACCAGTTTTGTTTTTTTCCCCCCTCATATTCCCCCCATCCACCTACTGCCCTTGAAAACTGAAATCATCACATAAATTTCGATTGACGGGTGTATGAGATTGACCCAAAACCATTTTGCAACTTCACTATTGTTTTCTTTTATACCTAGGCTTTCCTTGAACTCGAAAGTTAAGTCACTGTATACATTATAGAGAATTTGAAATTTAAAATAAATATGAAAACATAATCTGAAATCAAACGGTTTCTGGAGTAGCACAATGCGCTTCGCACAAACCGTTGTCCCAAAAGAATGGACACGTCGTAGATGCTCTCTGTTTTTGGATACCGAAATTATACGACACAGTAGACCAACACCCTGATCAACATAACCATAAAGCACCCCGGTCTACATTTTTCAGTTGATCAATTTACGAGACAACTTTAGCCCGAACCTGGAAAATTTTCTGATTAATTCCCTTGCGCGAAAACACTGAAGTGTCTTGAGGTATTTATTATTACTCCGCGTCGTAGGACACGCAAGAGAGCTGAGTGTCACAGATGCCTGTTACACATGCAACGCTTGAGCAGCCATCGCTTCGAATACAATGGTGAGCCAACAAGAATCGAGTAAATAAGGGAAATTACACATGGGGATCAACGCATTGCAGGAGACGGCGCCATAAAATTACAGGGGGCTGAAGCGAAGCGGGAGGATCTTGACGTGAGCCACAGTGGCCCCCTAATACGAAAGGTATAGGGTTCAAACTGCGATCACCAGATCCGCGAAATACATCAGCCAAGAAACTAAATAACACTATGCGGCCTTATACAATTACTCAATTTCAAGTATAATCGAAAGCACACATCAAATGCATTGACAATTCTAATTTGCTAAAATAATTACAAAGTATTTTCTGCCGTCGAATTCGGATCTTTCCGACTCCTGCTCTAATGAAGTTCTTATTAGGAGACACCATGAAGGGAGGTTTTTTCCTCTTTCGAATCCAATAAAAATCCGTTAAGAAACTGACACTGGGACGCCACCACATTGTTGATTGAGGAAGTAATCATGGATCGATAGACTTTTTGCAGGGCAGAAATTAAGGAGGTCAGCAATCGCTGCCGGCTGGAGCGTGCTCGAATCGGAACAACTTACATAAGCAATGACATTATGGAGATTAGCTTGGCAACGCCAGGCAGCAACAGAGTAAACATTGAATGACTTCATATTTTGGAAATTGTGCTTGATGCATTTTGCCAAATCCAAGTCAGCCTGGATTTATGAACTGGCGTTTCACACTTTCACGAAATCCATTATACCCGGGGAACATGACCTCCCTGAGAAGGTCTGCGCGGCTCAGTGCTACGCCGTCAGCGTCAAATGGCGATTATCAAGCACCTAAAGACAATCAAGAACCAAAGAAGAAGCAGGTGACAGCAAAAGCCACGAACAAGGAACGAAATGGCAGACCAGAGCCAACTCAGGCAGCAAAGGCACCGTCAACTCCAAAGCGAAGAAGAGCTGCCTCTCCCACAAACGAATTTTTATCAGTGACGCCGAAACGTCAAAAATCCGCATCCAAGGATCCAAGCTCTCGCCCAGAAAACGTGATAGTCTCATCATTGACAGAGCCATTGATGCGGCTGGCTGAACCGCACCAAACAAATGCACCTTTACGAACCCCAGGAGGGAGTCGTGTTGTTGCCTACGCAGATGAAGTTTTTGATTCGTCACCTTCGAAGCCGGGTTTGCCACGACCTACGACTACAACGGGAACTCTTTTGGAAGAGGCGTGTGCACATCTCATTCGAGTAGAACCTCGCTTGCAAGTCCTCATAGAGAAACATCGCTGTCATATTTTCTCCCCAGAAGGTCTTGCAGAGGAGGTGGACCCTTTTCGTAGCTTGACTAGCGGCATCATGGCACAGCAGGTATGATTTTTGAACCTGTTGAACCTGCTCTAAGGAGCTTCCCTTACATGAATAGGTCTCTGGCGCTGCCGCAAAATCTATCAAGAACAAATTCGTAGCATTATTCAATGAACAAAGCGATAGCGCTGTAAACCCGTTACAAACATTTCCTACACCAGCACAGGTTGCGGACTGCGATATTGCCACATTGCGTACAGCAGGTCTATCACAACGCAAGGCAGAATATATCAAGGGTCTAGCCGAAAAGTTTGCAAGCGGAGAACTGAGCGCGCATAAATTGATTCGAGCTAGCGACGAAGAAGTCCTCGAATCTCTCACTGCAGTTCGTGGGTTAGGACGATGGTCAGTAGAGATGTTCGCCTGCTTCGGCTTGAAACGGATGGATGTATTCTCAACGGGTGATCTTGGCGTGCAGTGAGTATTCATTTGACGTGTTGACAGAATCAGTTTCACTGATCTGTACGAAAGACGCGGCATGGCTGCTTATCTAGGGAAAGATGTTGCGAAACTCAAAGCGAAAGGCGGAAAGTGGAAATATATCTCCGAGGAGGAGATGCTTAGGCACGCTGCCAAGTTCTCTCCCTACAGGTAAGCTTCTACCGGGCCGCCCATTTCCGTTGCCGATATCTCATTTGACATTCGAATAGGAGCTTGTTCATGTGGTACATGTGGAGAGCAGAGGGAGTAGATATTGACGCTGTCGAGGGAAAATAAACTGCTCTCTCTGCCTGCAAAGCTCAGTCACGATATAAGAAGAAGGGTGGATTCTTTTGCTTTGGACTAGACCCAGAACGGCGGTTGCTGTTGTCGTCTGAGATGGGAGCGCCGTTCATTAGAATAACCCAATTCCGGTTGATACATTTTGGACTCTTCTGGGTCTTGGCATGACCAGTATTTCTGCTCAACAAGTTCAAAATACAAGGGTACGTGATATATTGATAGTGCCAATAAATAGCGCTTTGTATCGTCGCTTGGTACAGAGAATTTGATGACGATTGCTGCTGTACAAAATAAACATACACAAGTCTAAATTCCTCCTCTCATCCATCCACTAGCATGGCGTACATGGTATTCTCAGCGGACCGCCTTGCCAAAGGTGAATTTAGTTCTTCCGTCGGACGACCATGGAGTCCAGGTCGTTGCGCTCCTTAGATTGTGCCTCAATCTCCCGAATGATAGGCGTCAAGTAGAGGGTGTCCTAGGCAATGATCAGTATTGCGGTCTATTAGGCGCTTTCGTAGTGACTGATTCCATTAACTCACCTCGGAAGCCTTCGTCTGCTGGTCCTTGGGGAGAAGCTGGTGGGCGAGCGAGGCCTACATGCTGTCAGCAAATATTCATTTCATAATGACGGGCCAAGACCAGCTCAGCCAATACTACCGACCTGGACTGCACGGCGGAGACGGAAAACACGGTCGTAAGCCTCCTTGGGGGGGAGGCGCTTGAGAGCCAATTGAACGGCCTCGGACTCCTCGGGGATCAAGTCATCAGCCCTGCGGAAAACCTGTCAGTGGAACTTTTCCAGAAATTGACAAATTGCCATTTCCATGAGCTTTGCCGGCAAGCCTCAATGGTAGAATAAAGTTGAAACGAGGGGTTTTTCGTACCTCAATCCGAGCTTCCTGTAGCCAGCGGCATCGGTGTACCAATTGGCCAAAGGAGTCATCCAACGGCGCAACCAAGGGCGTCTGACAATGAAATTGACGGAAGGCGAAGCCATTGCGAAGGTCTAGGGGCCTGAAGAGGAGCGGAGGAGGATAAAATGCAAAGGATTGAGAGCACGAATCGTAGTGCTAGGAATCGCGATGACCGATGGGAGTGAGGTGCGAAAATGAAGCTTACATAATCACGGTAATCGCCTCTGACATGAGGTGCATGGCCCACTCTGATGCGAATTCCCCAGTAAACGGAGAAAGCGGTTACAACCCCACGTCGTCTACATCTATCGCACAAAGACAAGATATTCAATCAGCAAGGCCTTGCTGTTTGAGACGGTGGTACTTTGGCACGAGAAAAGTATCTAGGTACTGAGGAGCACTTCTCTTATTGTCAATCCGTCAAATCATCTATTTCCGTGACAGCCCGATAACCTCGGAATAGCGCTTTGTCGCTAATCAGTATCCCATTCAAAACCAAGGCATTCGGCTGCAACGAAGCAATTTGCGGACAATCTGACACGAGATCCCACTCTTACCAATTTCACCTGTCAATGGAGTCCGATAACCCGCGTTAATACCTGTGTCTCCGCACGCAAGTGCGTGGGCCAAAACCCGCACATCTCGCCTTGACAGCGTCAACAGATACTTTTCCGAGGAAGACCACACCATCGAGACACATTCCAAGACAAGCCTATCAGACCAAATCACCCATGATTTTGTTAGCGAGGTTATTTTGATCACTGGCCCTCAATCAGAATGTCCCTCGAACGCAAAGAGCCACCTTCAGGCGCAACACACTATGTTCCACACACACCAAAAACACATGTGCAATCCGGGGATGGCGGGGTCTCCAATTCTGACTCGCCTTCCCTAATTACCCGCCTTGAAATTTTATCGACAACCGTACCAAAGCCCTACATTACCAGTTTCTGCGGAGCCAGTGGTGGGGTTGCTTCAGGAATCGTGACCTGCCCACTAGACGTGATTAAGACGAAGTTACAAGCCCAAGGTGGTTTCCGAGGACGACGGGATGCCAGTGGAGCTGCCGTCTACCGTGGAATGCTGGGCACTGCGCGAGTGATATGGCGAGAAGATGGCATTAGAGGAATGTATCGTGGACTCGGCCCAATGATGCTGGGTTATCTTCCGACCTGGGCGGTATATCTGAGTGTCTATGACAGTGCGAGGGAGTACTACTATACAGTGATAGGTAACGTGGAGATTACGCAAACGGGCACCATGACTTTTGGCTAATATAAATTCTAGACAATAGATTTGTCGCCCGAGCACTTGCATCCATTACCGCCGGCGCTTGCTCTACAATGGCCACAAATCCAATCTGGGTCATTAAGACCCGATTGATGTCTCAAGGCAGTGCGCGGGTAGGTGACAATGGAGTACGAGCACCATGGCACTACAAATCCACACTTGACGCAGCACGTAAAATGTATAAAAACGAAGGTATATTAGCCTTTTATTCTGGACTTACACCCGCTCTTCTCGGCCTCACACACGTTGCCGTACAATTTCCGCTTTATGAATATTTCAAGAAGCAATTTACTGGACTAGAGATGGGGCAGCAACAGGAAAACGACAGTAGCAACCACTGGATCGGAATATGCACCGCTACTTTCTTGAGCAAAGTTTGCGCAAGCTCAGCAACTTATCCGCATGAAGTTCTCCGCACTAGATTACAGACGCAGCAGCGATCTTCACCTGTTCAGTCAAACGAGGGCATCTCATTCCGTGGGGGCCTGGACCGACATCAAAAATTCGGACACCCACCTGGTGCGTCATCCTCGGATGGCATGATAAATATTCCTCGCTATCAAGGCGTCATTAAGACCTGCAAGATTATTCTCAAAGAAGAAGGCTGGAGAGCATTTTATACGGGCATGGGTACAAACATGATTCGAGCAGTGCCGGCAGCTGTGACAACCATGATGACCTACGAATATATGCAGAGCACCATCCATCGATTACAAGCCGAGGGCCATCGAAAGTTAGAGCTCATGGACGGCGATTGAATTTCCCAACCTGGGATACTGCTATACCCTCTGTCCGCATATTGTGCTTTTATGCTCGAGCATTGGTCTCTAAATCTGCGACATCTTTTGAACCAGCAGCGGATCTTGTTGAAACTTACGGCGCTCGCGGCGTGGATTGGGACACTTATACTTTTTTTTCCTACTATGTTTCTGTTTTCTTTTTATTCTTCCTTTTTGCTTCCAAAACATGGAGTTGGCTCAGAAGCTCTTTTTAGCTGATTTTGAGCAGTTCAATACGCAACAAAGCGAGCATCAGGCGAGCATTTTCTTTTCTTTTACTTTTTGCCTGTCGCAGTTCTCGCCTTGTATTTTTGCAACATGCTTTCTAGGGTCACGGCCGAGCAATATCCTCTTTTCCTGGCCATGTGTGTAAATAGATTATTAATGCCAGCTTTTTGTGAATAGAGTTCTCTGCAAATCCTTATATATCTACAGGAAAGTTGGTTGAGGCTGCCTGGTAAATACCCGGTAAAAAGTAAGAGCTTTTCATGACCGTCTTGAACAAGCGGCTCAGCCATTCATATATATACCCCGGGCTCCAAACACTTCGGACACATGAGCAGACCTTTTACTGCCGTCCACCCATTCTCTCTGCCTTATACATGGTCCTCGCAATACCCCGAAGCCCAAGCAGAGCTAGAACAACAATCGTGAAGAGCCTCAGCTCAGAATCCCAATTATTCCCCTTTGGAAAAAGCAAAATCCATGCCATTACGGCCACATTCTGCGCCGGGTATCCGTCATCTGTACCTGTACTTGTACCTATATCTGTATCTGCATCTGCATCCTCCTACCAGTACCTAACCTGCCTAAACTTTTAGAGGGAGAGGTTGGGGGGAGGCTGTATGTATGTATGTGTGTGTGTGTGTGTGTGGTAATAAAAGACAACCATAGAAACGAAAGTAAACGAAACTCCCCATTGCTTGTTGCTTGCTCCTATCAATTTTCCATTTTCATTCTTCATTCTTCATTCTTCATCTTCCGGTGACCGCTTCCCCAAATACCCCATTCTCTTCTTTAGCGCCTCGTCACCAGGAGTGTTTGACGCTTCACTCTCTGCTGCCTTGTGCGCCTCTTCAAACGCTCCGTCTTTGCCCCCCCGGCCCAGCATCAGCTGATGCACGACCCCTTGGTCCTCGGGCGGTTCCAGGACGCCGTGTCGTCGCAGGCTCTCGTTGCGCCAGTTGATCTGCCCGCCGTCGGCCTCGCGGTGGCGCTGCGCGTTGCGTTTCGCGGCTTGGATCGACGTGCGCGCGTACACGAACAACAGACAGGCCATGGTGAAGGCGGCGAGTGGAGCGGCGACTGTCTTTGGGTGCCAATTGTATTAGTTCATGGGGAGCTGATGATCGTCGGGATGGTGATAAGGAGGGGTGGCAGAGGTGGGAGATGTACGGCGCGGAGAGAAGGGCAGAGGGAAAAGGACGAAGGGCAAAGGACGAAAGGTGAAGGGTAATGGAAAAGAGGAGGGGTAAAGAGGAGGAGTGAAGAGGGCAGATACGGATGAGCTCGAAGACATCGAAAAGGATAAAGAGAGAAAAAGCAAGGGAAAAATTGGAGAGAATTGAAGGAAATGGTTCAAAGTAGACGTACTCGGCCATTGATGCCAACTTTGCGAGCCATGCTTCTTTTCAACGCAAGACTACGAATCGGTGGAGGAATTAGATGGTTGTAATGGGAGATGCGTAAAATAGTGTAGATTCACAAGATGTATTGTTTGATACAAGAGACCCGGGACTGTGTCTCGGAAGATGTTCAGATGTTCAATTGGTATAGTTGTATTGAAAATAAAGTAACTTAAGTGTTTCTCGTAGAGCTAGGAAGCTATTCCCAAGTCCCCTCCAAAAATGAACGACGTCACGCGAGTTTACCTATAAGTTGTAACTCGCAAAAGGAAAACGACAAACTAAACCCGAAGCTAACACCGGTCTATAAACCAGCCAAATCGCCACAAAAGGAAAATGGTAAACTGTACTCCCGTAACGGAATAAAAAAAATGTGGCCCCCGGGGGCTCTCGGCGTGTCTATATGATATCGAAGTCATCGAAGTTATCCGTCTATTGGTATATTCGTTCGCCCCAAAGCTCAAAACTCCTGCTGTATGTTCCTCTATCTCTCAATTCGATGCCTCAAAAATAAAAAGTTCCAAGTCGTTTGCGTTTGTCAATATTCGGTTTTTCGCGAAATGGTCGTCCCGCAGATACGGACAAAGGTGAATCGAATTCGGTGATGTTAACTATGGGAAAGCTGGTTCCCTAGTTGGATACAGTGGAGCTATGGGATAGACAAGATATCGAGAATGCTATTGTCATCTAAGGATCAGAAGATCTCATAGAGGCTCGCAGGCCATCGAACCTTGATGGACGGTCATTCGGGCCAAAGTACGATTTCAGCGTATTGTTGGTGCCGGCGTTGCGCTGTGTCACTCGGCGCGCGACCATCATGGACGTCCGAGTGTAGGCGAGTAGTAGGCATGCTCCAGTGAAGGAGACGACGGGCAGAGCAAGTGTCTGTAGACATATTGATATTAGCCAAAATAAGTTTGAACAACTCTTCAACCAATTCTTAGAACAGTTGCAGTGGAACAATAGACAAGAAACATTAGAGGTGGGATGCCTCGCCGTGTCTTATCGCATGGTTGCCTCTGTAGAGCATGTTGACGGGATTCTCACGTACACGGGCAGTAAGCTTTGGCGGCATTTTTGTAAATAATTTAATACGTAGACCGTAGTGCCTTTTTTTTTTCTGCGGGGTTCGCTTCTAAAGAAAAGGAGGTTTCTAATGAAGAGTAAATAAATATTTCTTCTAGATGTGAAGCTCTGAGGTTATCAAGCAGACGAAAGGGACCAGACTATGGTATTTATACTGCATCCGACAAAACACCCCGAACAGGGATCCAATATATCCATGGCGAATATCTATCATTGTATTTTGATATTAAAAACCCTATTGCAACATAAGGTATGTACTTATCGCCATAGTCGAGTGATTACACCCTGGAAAACAATCTGAACGGTGAGACGTTTCATACCATCTTGTTGTGTCAGCCATCACCTCACGCGAGCACAGTGGGCAGATTGCATGAGGATATGGCATGACAACGGCGCGAATTGCGTGGACTGCCATGGGTTTTTCATGCACTGTATCGGTCAGGAATTCCATTTATCAACTAAATAATATGTATTTGCCATGCCACAATTTTTTAGTTGTTCGACGACTTTCTCTTCGAGTATTATTATTATAGACCAGATTTCAGTTTCAGTTTCCATGTCAACAGCCAGTCAGGAAGCCTCGCGCACACCTTAATTGAAAAATGATTTCAATATGCGTAGTACCTTCGTACAAACTGGCCTCGATAATAGATCAGATTAAATGTTTACATTTAAGGAATGTCATTGAAGATGAAATGACTGGTAGTCTTCGCAACATCTCCAATCGTGGATAGAAGTATATCAAAAGGCCGATATCACCGCTGATGCATATCGTAGCGCTAGAAATCGACTGGATCTTATGCCGTATTTCCTAATGGATACTAGCAGCCGTATATAGTAATAGATATACGATTTAGGAAGGAACATCCGTAGAGGTGGATTTGGTTCTGCGGGGGGAGGGGAAGGGCGGTTTCACTTCGAGTAGCCCTGACACCGCTAGGGCTTTAATATCTCCTGATCATCGTTCGTGGCAGAGAACTAGCCGCTGATAATGACCACTCTGTATACCCGCTCACCGACATTCTCCGAGATATGGACAGTGGAAATGGTTACCAGCATATGCAGTAATGTATAATTAGTATTGTTGTTAATCACAACCAACAAGTGGCATCTTTTGGCTTGCCGCCTTCTATAGAAATCCGTCTATACACAAAATCGCTCAGAGTAATCAGTTAAAAAAAAAGTATACTACAAGAAAGGTAAGGGTATGCCAGAAGTCTGTGGCGCCCAAAGTGAATAAAAGGAGTAAAAGGAAAAGGAAAAGAATGAAAAGACCAATATGCGCCTCAAGTGTAGCCAAACCCTCTCCGAAGTGAGAGGTAAAACTCGTACAAAGACAGCTTGAGTTCAACCCTCATGTACGTCGCCCAAGCCCCGAAAAGTCTAAATAGGTTATGAGGCCAGAAAATGCTTCCACTGGCATGAAGCTGTTCCATCTTTTCCTGGAACACGGTGCGGGAACAGTATCGAGCTAAAATCAAAAATGTGCGGATAGGGCCCTGCCTCGTGTGTAGATTTTCGTCCAAACTTCGAGCTGTTTACGTATCAGTATATGAGAACCAAAAAAAAAAAAAAAAAAAAAAAAAAAAAAAAAAAAAAAAAAAAAACAAAACTCGTTGGGAACTTATTTCGAGACTTACTCAAATCGTTGGTCTTGAGAATAAGCAAAATAATCCGCGGTACTTGTCCCAGTAATTGAACAAGTTGCTGTAGCATGCCGTCGCCCAGCGCGTCCGAAATGTTGTCCTTTTCTTGCGCCGAGCGAGGCAAAGCCACCGACTTTGTAAGCACTTTGTAGTCCCGGCCAGTAATAGCGCTGGCAAACAAAGGAAACTGCTCGTCTGTAATTCCTGCGACCTCATAGGCGTATTGGCGCATCTTCTTTTCGTCTGCGTCGATAACGGCAAGCCAGAGCTTTGCATAAGCTCGTCGCATCTGTAGAGGAATATCTCGATACAGTCCGTGATCGTATAGGATTATGTCAAAGTTTGGCCTTCTTCTTGTCTCATTCTTCCGAATCGCAATATTGCCGCTGTGCGGATCACAGTGCAACGGAGCATTTTCACCAAAGATCATCTCGTTGAAGAGGTGAGAAAGCGCTGCTGATACCTCGTCGCGATCAATTCCGTTCGAATCGAGAAACTCCAAATCATCTGGCCTGCGACCAGAGACATTTTCCATTACGAGAATTCGTTTCTGGCTCCATAATACTGTCAAGAATTCAGCTACACGTTCTGCCACAAGCGTATATTGGACTGAGAGTTCGCACCTTCCGGAATGATAACCGGTATACTTGGGATATTCTGAAAGTGTTTTCTCGCTCTGGTAGCATTGTACCCTTCTTTGGTGAAGTCTAGCTCCTGCGGAAGGGAAACCCCCGTCTCTTCTGAGAGCCATTCGAGATCGTACTCGGGGAAAAAGCGTTTTAGGGTTCGGAAAGAAAACGACATAAGAGCCAAATCTAGTGGCACCCATTCCTCCAAAGCCGGATGTTGAACTTTGACTGCAACTTGCTGTCCAGTCTCCCTGACCGTTGCCAAATGTACTTGAGCTAATGATGCAGCGCCGATCGGTTCCGGTGCGAAATACGAGAAATGCTCCGATATCGACTTCCCCGTGTCCTTTTGAAACATTTCTTCGATTGACTCTAGGGAAGAAACGGGGCATTTGTCTTGAAGGGGGACGAATGTCGTGGTCCATTCTAGCGGAAGCAGATAGTTCATGCTGCTCAAATGTTGTCCAAGTTTGATAAATATTGACCCGTTCTTTTCGAGCACCCGTAAGGTGCGCTCGGCGCAGCGCTTATGACAGGCCTTGAGTAGCGCATCTTGTTCCTCATCGGATTCCGTTTTGTTGTTCAGTGTGACACGATAACTGTGAATCTAGTTGTAAGAACGATGCTGTAGTTGAACACGCGCTCTAAATACTAACTCGTTGATGCAGACTGCCAATGTGCTTACGACACGACCTGTCCGCTCTGCTGCTGCATATCCATGCTTCACATCGTCAGAAAATGCAATAGCCCCTGCACCTATTGTCCCTCCGCCAGCAGCGAAAAGCAGAATATTCTTCCGGCCGTTGCGAGATGTGCGGTAGGGGTCGGCGGTGTAATTCGGACCTTGCGATGAGGCAAAACGCCTTTGGTGCGAGCGGCAAACCCTACATGTCCATAAACCAGAGCGGAAGGCCAGGTTCGAAAATCTGAAGCCTCTCATCACTGAGAAAGGGTAGCGCTCGTGAAAATCGCAGGTTGCGGTCACTTTTAAGAATTATCTTTCATGTTGAGGATGAATTGGGGCCAATCCGCACTACATGTCTTTTCGGCTCACCGTAGACCTCCCCGACGTCGGGGTTGACGTTTTTCCTCCGCCTCTGCCGCGATATCCAATCTACGTTAGTCGGGTCCCTTATTGCGATATCTTATCATGATTGATCCTTCTTCTTCCGATGCTCCCAGGTACTCAAACTCAATATGGCCCCTCACATTACGATAGTCTCTTTAAGTCCAGTATGGATTTCAGTGTATTTGATCTCAAGAATGACCAATGACATGGCCAATAATTTCTCAATGTACAACCAGGATTTCGTTGCGCCGAGTATATGCAAGATCGAGCATTGCTCGCGTTTGTTAACCCCTATCCAGACATCCGAGACCTGAACCCTCAAACACCGTATTTATATCAAACCCTTTCCTTAGGACGCAAAAGTCCTACCCTATGGCCATCTCGACTCGTCACTTGTTTGACGGCGTCGCCTTGAATTCTGGATGGAGGACAAAAGTGGACCTGGAACAAGGGCTGCATGCTCATCCTTAGAAGGCGATGAGGTGAGAGAAGGCCGGTGAATTCTGCCTGATGTGCGCGGCAGCCGACTTTTGCCAAGACCAGGACTACCCATGCCGCTAGCCGTTACGCCCCCTTCGCGGCTCATAGGTCTTAGTACCGGCGTCATGTTTGTGCCGCTTCGCTGCCGACCTTCTCTCCCGTCCGCATAGACAGGCCATTGCCCTGAACGAACATATTGTGGAGTCAGTGGCGTTGATTGGCTCCTGATCGGACCAGGCGGTGTAGTTACGGCACTTGACCGTCTTGTAATAGGCCTTCTACTGCTACTTGCCGCTTGCAGCTCCCTTTCCAGACCAGACTTCACCAGTTCACTGGCCATGTTTCTGACAAGCACGGCAGGATCTGTTTCCGCCAGATTTCTGATCGTTCCCAAAAGACCATAGCGTCGAATAAGGCCACCTCTTTCGTCGCTAGCATCACAAATGCTGCGAACAATACGGAGTAGATTCAGACGAACCACGGCCTTGTGGTGTGTAAGCTTCTGCAAGATTCGCGAGAAGAGATCCGCGCGAGCCAGTGAAAGAGCTACTGTTGGACTTAGCCGCAGTAACTTCTGCAAAGGCTCCAGGAGATTCTCGAAAGCATTCGCTTTTGAAGTGGTGAAGCATTGAACAATCGCTTCTGTGAAAGCACCGTCCAGAAGACGCTCTTCTACTTTCGCAGTTTCTTCCTGCAACCTGGGATACAGTCAGATATAGCTGATTAAGCCACAAAAGCAAGCCACTTACCAAACAAATATGGCGTCCAAAGCAGTGACCTGCCAATATGGGTCTTCCAGAAGCGAAATGTAGAATTGAAGACCTTTGTTCTGCCAAAGGTGCTTCCGACCAACCTTTCCAGAATGTGCCATGTCACAAAGAATGGGCAAAGCAAACTCCTTCAGCGGACGCTCAGTCTTGACGATCCGCAACAGGAGCGGGATAATGCCATTCAACGCCGCATCTTCTTGTCGTGTCTTGTTGAGTCGGCACAAGTTGTACATGGTATTCAACACTTGATTCGAGATCTCTCGAACGTGCGGCGCCCTCATATTGGAACTCAGTAAATCGATAAGGTCATCAATGGCGTTGGAATTCTGCAGGGTATCCAAAGTGGTAGAGAGCATCGATAGATTTTTGATGAACTTGAGCATAGTGATTTGATGGCTAGGTGTCATGCGTTTGAGGTCTTTTAGAACAACTATGAAAAACAATAAGTTACTAAACATGATAAGCCAGGATTGATCAACTTACGTTTCAAAACTTTCCGGTCTGCTACGAGCTCTTTTACGTGGTTCTCTGCTTGTGAGAATAGGAGAAAAATGTTTGCAATACGGCCTTCACAGAGCTCTGCAAGTTCGCCTTCTTCATCCAAGACCCGATTCAAGATCATTGATAACGGATACAAAACTGAGCTCCTGGAGAAGATGCGACAGAAATCATTCTTGGGCGTCGGTCCCTACTCTTGTCAGAAAATGCCAACAAATATTAAAGGAAAGAATTACCTGAAGTTCGAAAACGCTCCAGACACCATTTACCCCAATCAAAACGAGGTCCCGTTCAGCATCATAATCCTCTTCTAGAAATTCGACCAAAACGTTAAGACCGCCACAGCTGATGAACATTTGCAGCGTCAAAGTTGAAGTCTGGTACATTTGCCGCACAAATGCTGCCGCCTCTAGTCGGATCTCACTCGAGTATTTTTTGGATGCAAATTTTGAAATGATTGGAATGCCTCCGACAAAGCAAAGATTTTCTTGTATTTCGACGCTGCTGAGAATAGTCTGAAAACCAGATCAGTGTCGCACCACAAGACAGTCCAACACCGATGGCTTACCGTATTAACAATCTTGAGCAATCGCAGGATCACATCCCGTCTCTTGCAAGTCTCGAGAATTTCGAGGATGGGCAACATTCCGTGCGCGCTTATTATGACATTTTTCGTTTCTGGTGATTCCGCAAGGATATCGATCTCGAAAACATTTAGTGGATTTGGAATTTGTAAAGCTGGTGGATACATACCAGTTTCTCTGTCAGATCTTCAAGTGTGTCCTCCTCTTGGGAGACCTTGAGCGAGCCGACCAGTCCTTCAACTTGCATGCAGAGCCTTGCATATTTGTCACGCGCGATATTGGCTTCCAGATCTATGACCTCGTGAGCATGAGAACCGGGCGCCTACAGTGGAAGAGACTTTACCTAATTCGTCAAAATCTTCTTCGAGTTGAGCAAAAGGATCATCCTCATCGTCTTCGTCCCCAAGCTTTCTGAAAGTCAGACCGAGGTTATAAATTTCAGTCTGGCGGAATGCATCTAGGACATACCCATGAATTGTTGGACAATTTCGAGTTCAGCATTAAAGTATTGTGCTCCGAACCACTGTCACTTTCTGGCTTTTCTCGTATTACTTCGGGCTTTTCAAAAATATCGGAGAAATCCTCGTCTTCCTCATCTTCGGCATATCTTTGTATTTCAATGGACGATCGTGTCCTCCTCATCATCCCTCGAGGATCAGATAATGTTGGGCCATGACGTCGAATATTGTTACTCGACTGTTGACTGGTGTTAGACCGGGGCAAGCTTTTGAGATCAGAAGGATGGAAGAGTTTGGGCGATAACGAATCTCCCTTCTGTGACGCAGTCAGCCAGATGTTTTAGCCTTGCATGGGTAATGCAGAAATCTCTTACTTTCAAGTTTATGAGCTTCTTCTCGAAAAGCGAGTCGTTGCTCGCGACAAGATCAGAGTAGTCTTCCACCGAGTTTTCTCGGAAAAGAGCGGCTGGTCTAACAGGGGGTGGGGCTTTCATTTGAAGACGCTGTAGGCGAGGCTCCGGAAGCTGTGGTTCTAGGTCAAATGAAGAAGAACGTCGCGACCTTGAGTGCAGAGGATGCTGAATCCCTTCTGGACTTGTGCCTTTGGGAACATATGGGCGGATGGTTTGCATTGGATCGGGTTCAGCAATCTGCAGTGGACTTTTCATTGTAAGCTCACCCTCGAAATTGTCGTCCCAGTTTTCTTCCTCTGCAGCTGTTTCAGCGGAGGCAAATGCTTTCAGCTTGTCAGACGAGAGCATGCCTCCAAAATTATCATGGGGTCGCAGGTGAGGTAGTTGGAGAGCACTTGGAGAAATCGCAGATGCAAAATCATCATCCCAGTTGTCATGGGTTGACCTTTGGGAAGAACGAAAGTCCTCTACGGTAGCGCGAGGCTTGGCCATGCCGAGAGGCGCTTTTGCGGCAGACGTTCGTAATCGAGGTAGGCCTCTTCGCTCAGGGATTGGACTCGACGAAGGCGGCCGCGAATGACGGCGCAGGGAACCGGCGTTGGGAGACTTGAGCGCTTCATTCCATTCCTGCACACTTTTGACGGTCTCATCGTACTTTGTGGGCGCGGAGGGCACAGTAGCATCCGTTCTGCGGGCGCTGACAATCCAAGGATGTTTGAGAAGTTTCCGGGCAGACACTCTGAGATTCGGGTCTTTTTGGAAGCATTGCATTAGAAAGTCACGGACAGCCTGCGTTTTGTCAGTGGACAGATGGCCATCTTTTCGGCAGAAACATACAGGAGAAGCGCCTTCAGGAAGTGGCGGATGGTCGTCATTTACAATGCGAAATAGTGCAGGCATAGGCTGAAGCTTATGGTACGGAGGTTTGCCGTCTAGTAGCTCAATCACTGTGCAGCCAAGGCTCCAAATATCAGATGCTGTCGTCGCTCCAGAGAGTTCAATAACCTCAGGAGCCATCCAATAGGGAGTGCCCACAACGCTCGATTCGTGCAAACCGGTCGTTCGAGTGGCGACACCAAAATCGGCCAACTTCACAAGACCCTCCTTCGTGGTAAGGATATTAGCGCCCTTAATGTCTCTATGGATCACACCTTGCTCGTGTAGATAGAGCAGGCCGTGAAGGACCTGAGACATATAAAGAGCCACGAGGTTTTCAGGGAATTTTCCGAAGTTTTTGCAGATGGAATGGAGTGAGCCATTTTCACAATATCTGCTAAGGCTTAGCTGTTGTTGTTCACCGATCACGAACCTCTGAGAGCCTACTCGAGAACGATGAACAAAGACTCGGCGGTCTTTTCGAACCCATGGTACTTGACAATGTTCGGATGCTGTTCTAAGTTCAGTCTCTCAAAATCATTATTTGGGTGGTCAAGGACTCCTGACATTTAGATTTTTCAACAAGTCGATTTCAAGCTGCAAGTCTAACGGTCAGCACGTGCATCATTTAAAAGAACAATCTACAAAGGAAGCAATAGCAGCATACCATGATCACTCTTAATTCGCTTTTTGGCAAGTCTGCGAGCTTTACTTGTTTCACTGCGACCGTTTCCCCAGTGCCCCAATTCAGAGCTCTATAAACCGAGCCAAATGCTCCTTTCCCCAGGCAATCCCCCAATTGCTATGTTACCAGCGTAAGCCTACGGATGCGGGGTCATGGAGAAAACATGCGGACGCACATAATTCTTCAGGCCGGCAGCGTCCTGCGCTGCTCTTGCCTTCCCATCTTTCCTAGCCAGACCGGGAGTATTTCGTCCGTTCCTTGCCTGCGAGGGCGTTGCGCTCCCGGGTCGATTGTGGCCAGCCCGATCGACGCTGCCGCCGGGGACCTGCGAGGGCATGTCGGGGCAGTGGTGAATTGAATATCACAAGGCGAGATAGAGCGACTTTCTCGAGTCCGTAGGTGCCTTCATAGCAGCGTGACGAATACTAGGTTGGCTCCTTAAACGATCGTCATGCTTAGAGCGTTGCCGCTGAGGGTCGATTCGATAACGTAGCAGCTGTTCTCACCCCTGCATTTGCATGACCTATCAGCAACTCATTCAAACAAGGTAGAATATCGTTGATTGACCAGGGACAGGAGCAAGAAGGAGTCATAAATTGTACAAAATTTACTGACCAAGGTTACCAAAATTCCTCGCGTGCTTGTTCGTAGGAGTTGTTGGAAGACTCGTGTATACTTGCCCCACTGTGTCAGTATTACATTAGGTCCATGCGTGTCGTGTAACAGGAGCACGGACTCGATGGTCTCTGTAGACGAAGAGCACGGCCCCTTTTGAAGCCACTTCCAGGTACTGTATGTTTACCCTCATTGAATGCCAAGTTCTGGATTTTTATCTCTCATTTTGATTAACTTCATCATATCTTGAAATCACAGCAGCGCAGGTTATATGTGCTTTTACTACCAAATAGTTAGATTAGGCTGTTAGGGCGACTGTTGATAATCTGGGGAACACTTTGACTAAGACGTCGCTAGGGAACATGTTGGATGATCCGAAGGGACGCTGCCCAGAGCGACATGGCAAATTAGGGACAGCTTGAATTTCCAGCGATCCTGTAGCAGGAAAAGATTAGATGACTATTGAATACAGTGATGAGTTAGACTGTTCTCATGGCCAATGTAGGATCGGAGCTCAGATGGGATGTAAATAATAGTTAGAATCAGGACACAAGAGGAAAAGCAAACAACGCGCTCAACTTTTATCTGCTTTTGATTGGCGCATGCCGCATTTGACATATGAAGGCGCTATCCTGGAGAAGACCTAGTTTCAGGTATATTATCACGCAAATCACATGTAAAAATACTTTATATAAAGTATCGAATGTCTCAGGCTGCGAAGGTCGATCCTCCACGCGCCAAACGGCGCCGCCTCGGCCCCCCCATTAGGATGTCGCCTCTCAGCTCGGTCGCGCGACTCTCCTTCGTCTTCTTCGGACCCTGAATGATACCCATTATTAAAGATTAGAAAACATAAAGACAACACAATATCCTTTGGCCTTCTCTCTGGAGACGCAACCTTTTATTATTTGACACAGCGAAGAGCGTTTGCATCATACACGTCTTCCTCTTGTTTCCTGCCGCAAGATTCTCCAATCTCTCTCTGCGCCGACCGCGCAGCTGAACCCGCCTCCTTTTTGCGATCATGGGTCTACCGTAAGTACCCCAGTGTTGGCTGATGCTTTTTACATGTTCGCTTTAAAAATGCTTGCCGTTTTCTGCCAGGTGTCCAGTGTCAGTCGTCGTATTCTGGGTTTGCTGATCGATTTGTACTGCCAGAGTGTTTCGTGAACCTGCCGCTGCAGAGCCAAAGGTCGCAACGAAAGCCGATGCATCAGCGCAATCCAGATCTGCGATCCGGCGCCAGCGCGCTGTCCGACACTCTCCTACTCGACCGCGCCCGGTATCGCTCGCAGCGTATCGCTTGACGCCGAATAATGAAGACAACGGCGTTCGCGCCTTGATGGAGATTCTCCGCGGCGATCGCACGCCGGCCGCTGACCTTTCAGCGGATTCCGAAAGGCTTCAAGCCGAATTTTCACATCGCCGTTCTATGGAAAGCGGGCGCAGCATACTACAGGATGCGTTGAGTTACGAGCGCCCCGGTCGGCGAATGAGGGAGGTTTTTGCCCCATCAAGACGTTTGCCTCCTCCGTTACCCCCTGTTCCGGAACCTAGAGACTACAGCGGGACTATGTCGCCAGAAGAGGCCGATCTGGCTCCAGAATATCTTCAGCCATATGTGAGAAGACTACAGTCTTCGTCCCAACCCAATAACCGGACCGATGGCCTACCTTCGGGCCCGAATACTTCGGCCCTCCGTCTAGGATCTGCTTCGCTAACTCCCCGCTTTGCACCGGCTTATTTGTTTGACGGAAACCGTACAGAGATGCGCCGGTCTGATGCTGCGGAGAACTCAATGCATTTTGAAGATGGTATCCCAGATAATAGAAATGCTGGAATTGACGATCTGCCGCCACTCCGCCGTGTGGGACATCGGAGTATTCTCGACGGACCTATATTCGAACGACCATCTCGGACCCGCCAAGAGTCTCACCGTTCCCTAGGGGCAATGGATGGACTCGGGGACCGAGAGCGTAGTTTCAGTCCTGAGGATGACCCTTGGGAGACCCTTCTCACCACCATTACCCCAGATACCCAGCTTCCGAGTCCCGACTCTTTTTCCTCCGCCCTTGCCTCGGCATCCTCTTTTACGTCTAACCCCGCAACTACTGGCGGTCTTCATCTGCCTCCTCTCTCATCTGAAAGTTCGGCATCTATTCACATCTGCGATGTTCCCACAGAGTTCGAGGACTCCGACACGGAGGCCGAAGGCGATGCGGATAGGAACCATGGCAATCCTTCAAGTCGACCAGTCCAAAGTCTGTTTGGCCTCTCCGACAATATTAGAGATGGTAGTGAAGACTCCAGCCGTGTGCCCCACGACTATCTAGATCGGAGGGGGTTTGAAACGTATAATCGCGAACACGAGCTTCAACAGCTGCAGTCAATCCTCAGTCGCCTTGGAAGAATGAATAATACCCTTCGTGAATCGGCGGGCCTCACCAGGCCCGAAAGTCGGCGTGAACGTGAGGCCTAATGGCTAAGAGCCACGTGGTCAGTTTTGCCACGCCTGCTTAAGAGAGGGAGAGCTACCTCAGCTTTTCGTTTACAGTTTTTTCTTACTTGGTGGTCAAGGCTTTGCTGTTGAAGACCCCTCAGCCTTGCAATTCAGTCAGCTTTTTCACCAGCGAATAAAATAATTTACCTGAGGACAGAACCTCTGGACATGCTGGCATGGACTCTGGTTTCACTATCCTCAGCCCCATCGACTTCCCTGAGTCGCACTCTCTTGCTTGGAGTATGAAGTCGGGAACTCGTTGTTTTGTTTCACCTTCGGCTTGCTGTTGTGTTTATTTTTCACGAGTTTGGGATACGGACTAAAAAGCATCTGTTGATGTTCGGGCGCAAACTGTTGGATCGGCAATCATGACAACGACGATGATATATTTCTTTGCTCTATTGGCGCTTTAAATGTAGCATTATCTGAGCGATTAATCGACCTCTATACCGCGCTGCTTGCGAATCGGAGCAAAAGACTCCGAGGACTCCATGTCTCATGAGCGAACAAGTCATAAAAAATAATTTAAGTAAATTGAGTCGTACTGTGATTGCCTTCACTGTTGAGGCTTGTTTTGTTGCTCAGGTGCCCAGCTCTGGTCTTCCCTACTAACAACAATTTCGTCCACATCCAATCGGTCATCAACGATTTCTTTGCCGTTGACAAGATCGTTTTCTGTTACTCTCGTGTGGGCGGCATCTTCGTTTTCTGCGATGCCGGCCTTGACGTGCCGACGTACGAGCCGTTCCCGCGCGACATCGAAATCGACTTCAACGAACCATAACTCGTCCATGAGTGCAGCAGCATCTTTCCAAGGAGATTTATTCAGAGACAGATAGTTTCCCTCAAAGACGAGAACACGCATGCTCGGGTGGATTGGGATATCGTCTTCTACAGGATCTTTAACTGCATGATCAAAGCTTGGAGCATAGAGAGTCTCAGCCTCAGGAAGGAGGGGCTCTCTCAGTTTCTTAACCAGTCTAAAAAAGGATTCTCCATCAAATGTGAATGCCGCCCCTCGTCGAGCGTGGGCGGTTGTTGGATCGGGCAGCGCTGACAACTGTGCCCTGGAGAGATGATAACCGTCCATCGGGATAAAGCCTGCAATTTCTCGTCCACCTGCCGCAGCGCCAGGTGATTCCTTCTGATACAATTCATTGAGTCGTTTGGCAACAATGGCTGCAAGGGTTGTCTTTCCTGTCGAGAAAGTAAGGACTGGGTTATACTAAAGCTAGGCTGTTTAATCAAGAACAAGGAGTTACAGATTCCCCTCACCTGACCCTGGAATGCCTGAAACTGCGATGAGAAGTCTCTGCGAGGGCTTCGTCGCCTTGTATTTTGCTGTAATAAGTTAGCCATCCTCGTTCAACTAATTGTAGTGTTTGAAGAACTCACCCCACGCCTTTTGGACCAAGTTCTCAATTTGGGAATCCATTTTGATTCAGTAGGGTATTGTAAGTGAGATTTGGAAGGCTTCAAGTTCAAATCTGTGAATTGGTTTTCCGTGCTGCAATAGAGGAGAGAGCACGACACTTTTGACAGAGCCCACAACACCCTCAGCGGGAGCCCCACGATGTAACGTCACTGCGGATATCGCCTCGGCTGATTGGGTTGACGTTTGTAGACCCGCGGGCTATCGGCTTTATGATTTTCCGAGACAAATCGCTCCATGCTCGCGATCTTGAAGTGCAGGAATAATCGCAAAGTCGAAATTAATCTAAACTGAGTCCAGTTTGATTACATTGAGCCATAATGGACGTGGAAGGGGAGTTCTTAAATATAGGCTTGGATCTCTTGAGCGATGAGGAAAATGAGGACAAGGCCGCAGACCGCACCGGTCAGACAGAGGAAGCGTTCCAGAGAGAAAAGGCTAGTTGGGAACCTATAATTGAGCGTGGAGAGGTACAATTAACGTCCAGCAAGCATTGCGAGTTCTTTTCAACGTAGGCTTGAACTGACACATTTGCAGATATGGAGATCCATAAAACTACCGCTTTCGACCAGCTTAAACAAGCCTGAAGGTCAGAAGCTGCTGCACGCCGTGGAAGAATTGTATTATTTTCGGCGTTTCAATGAAGCAATTCAATTCATTGACAGAGCCCAACCTCAGCTCGCTGGAGAAGACATCAAGGCGGCCATGGCTCGCTATAAAGAGAAATGCCAAGCGAGAGAGCAACGTGCAACAAAGTCTTCAAATCCCAACCATGGCAATTTGGGATGAAATTTCTACCATTGCGTCGGTGAGTTCGCCGCTAGACGCAGACTTTTTCACGGCATCAAAAAGCACAACCCTACGCCTCAAGGCTTGTATCACCAAACATGTTATCATTTAGTCCTAGCCTTGATGGGATGCGCGAAGCTGGGACAGCGAATCGGAAAATAGAAGTTTGCCTTGGGCAAGTCAGGGTGCACGATTCTAGAAGATTCATACAGCTGGTCTAGGACCCAGATTGTGTTCTACGGTAGTCTACCAAGGAAGGCTCATCGTGGAACAGGCAACCATAGAAATTACACAAGCTCTCGTCTCTGGAGTCATGAAAACAAAGAGAGGAACAGGGCAAAGAGCAGGAACAGGCTACACGCAAGAGTACACGTTGCGCACCGCCACATCCAAGGGTTTAACTTAGCTTGAAGCGGTCTCGGGTAACTCATGGGAAGGAACTGGGAAAGTACGCAGGGGTCTTAGGGGAACCGCCTCAGATTTACGCGAAGCTCTATGTATCGCGTCACGAGACGTGGTTGTGACGTCAACCTTGTTGTGGCTCTTACTGTACCTAGAAGCAAACATTTGGCGAAAGGGAGGGGATTTGTTTGAGCATGTACTCCGTAGTTGCAATCATTAATTGCCATTTACCTGAATGAAGAAAATTTGCATGACTGGACAGGGGGGAAACATGGATATTCATCGAATTGGAGCCGTCGATGATCACGACAGCGAGATGCGTAATTCCCTTGTCACTTTTGGATTTCCCAGCCACCAATGATCAAGGCATGTGGGAACACAATTGCGTGCGGGTTCCTCCGCACTTGTGCCCATTAATGTGGGGTAAAACCGGCTAGATCAGGTAATTCGGGCAAGAGTTGCCATGGTAGAAGCTAGGCGACCTTGCATTCACCGTGACGCCTTCTGCTCTCGACGATGTCATTGTTGCTTAACGTGACCCCCAGCCACGGGACCCGGCTGCCCTTCAAATACGTCTCGTCTTCACATCATCCCCTTCTTTTCTTCTTCATCCATCAATCCATTCAATTTCCATCCATCAAACATCTTCAAAATACATCTCGGTTTCGACCAATCTACAAACAATCGCAATGGCAACTCTTCACTGTAAGTGATAGCCCCTTTTGTTTATTGAATTCGTGCTCTTTCTGCCTTTTCCACACCATCTCTTCTGTTTGACTTCTCTTCATTCCTAAAAGACACTCCCATGATAATTCCCCTTCACTACCTGCCTTTCCCTCTATTGGCCCGCTTTGCTGTTTCCTTTCAACATTATACTAACCTTCCAAACCAGACCTCCCTCCGGTTAAGCCTTCGGCTATTGCCCTGGGTACCATCTTCAACCACGCTGCTTCTCTCGCAGTGTTAACTCCCGTTTTCGGTGAGACCTACCACCGTGCTCAGGCTGCCAACTCGAAGGAGGAGTTTGCCAAGTCGAGGGAGGCTGCCTCCGCCGCTGCCGCTTGGGGTAGCTCTCTTGTTGGATCTGCTTTACAATCCTATGGTGTTGGAGCTTTGATCAATGCTACTGGCACTCTGAGCTACAAGGGCGCCGCTTACTTGGGAAGCTTGATTTTCTTCGCCAGTTCTGCTCCCTCGGTATGTTGACATTTTTTTCGTCAGTCAATGGAAAAGGAAACAAAAAAGCTTACTTTGAAATAGTTCGTCGCCCAGATTGTTACCGAGAAGCGGCCATTGGACACTGTTGCCGTTGGCCTAGTCTCGCGCGTCTTCGAAACCGTTGGACTCAGCTTGTTCCTCACCTGGTGGGGCACTCGCACCAACCCTTTTGAGTAAACAGATGTGCTTGCATTTCCAAGGACAGGGATAAGGGTTCAGGAGTGTTATGGGACCTCGTGACTTTTTTCTTTTTCTTTTCCTCAAAGTTGCTGCTGGATTATAATGATTCTCTTCTTCCAACTGATTTGTACTATGAATAGCTCACTCTTAGTGGGTTTGTATCAATACTGAATGGGAAATATTACCGATACCTGAGCTTTTAAGAGAAAATTTAACTTGATCAATCTATGCTTTTTTCTTGCCTGGCAAAAACATGTTAATTGGTTTTCCGAGACGTAGGACGTTCAATACTTTTTTGATCAGTCACGCGCAACTGGCTCAAGAAGATATAAACCCCATTCAGATATCACCAAATCACGTTACTAGTAGGGCATGATGGTACGTATGAATGTCCATTTGCTTTAGTGAGAAAAGGGATTAAGGCCAGTAACCATGCCACCCAATAACTTGGTTTACCCTGAACTGTTCCTGATTAACCGCTTGACAGCCAAAGCTTTAGATTACCAGATCCGCTAGATCCGAAACGGCGAAAACTTTTTTTCCCTGCAAATGGACTGGAAAAACAAATGAGTGAAGACACGCTGTGAGATAAATCCAGAAGTGGCAAGGGTCTAAGAGACAGTGATCAGAGAAACCGCAAAACAAAACATCAATGGACCTTTGTTAGGTTTCCACGTCAAAGCTCGATAATTGTTCGGTTTCCAAATTCGCAAATCACTACGCTCCTGCCCTTGCTGGATGTGAGCAGATTGCTGTCCTCTACCTCTGCACGCTTCTTCTTCCCTGAGGAAAGTAGCGCCGCTGAGGAGGAGAAGAGGAAGAATCATTGAGGGTGCCTTGGCGTAAGAAGCTGCTAAGCGGCCTATGGCCCTGGCTCTGACCCTGGCTCTGATCCTGTCGCCCCATGTGCGAAGTCGACTGCCGAGAAGGGTAATAGCTAGTTCTGTGAAAAGCAGAAAGGCCCCTACCCTCGAAGCGCGAACTAGTCGTTCTGGGCGGATACTTGAGAAAGTCAGGCAGGGTATCCGCTGTCATTGATGCAGCACGATCATCCGAGAAGACCTTGCGGACTGGAGGATTCATCAACGCATTATAGAGGGAAGTCCTGCCGCGGGTGCTGGTTTCGGGAATGGGAGGAGGCATGTCCTTGTCGTTTTCCTGCCAGAAATTGCTGATGTCGCTCCTGATACGACCATCACCTCCAAGGATGCCACGAGATGTATCGGCAAATGGGAAGCGATTCGAGATCGATGGAATATTGTCTGAAGTGGGATATGTATGTGCGAGATTCTTCTTCCTTTCCTTTTCGAGCAATGCATCAATGATGTCCCCGCCTCTGCTTCTGAATGGTTTGTGACGGAAAGTGAGGCTCTCTTTTCGGGGTGGAGGATTCAATCTACTCTCGCTGGCCTCGTTTTCGAAAAAGCTGCTTTTATGGAGCCTAGTGCCGGCATTTTTATTTCTGCGCTCCAGTATAGAAGGTAGGTCATTGGGAGGAAAGGTGGTTTTAAAAAAAGGACTGGCTACAGAGCTGGTGTCAAGATGGCGAGGGTTGGTGTAACGTCTTCCTTCATAGCCTCGACCACCGCTTATACTGGGCGTAGAGAGTGTATCTGATAATCTGGTATTTGCGTATCTGCCAGAGGCAGGAGTTGAAAACCGTTGGACTGGAATTTCGTGACGCAAAGGGGACACAAAGGGGTCGTTTCTCAAGTCAGCTTCTGATATACCTCCTGCAAACGGCGGCGGAGCGAGGTTGTTTGTTGCAAGTGGAGATCCCGTCGAGTATCGTTGCACTGGAAAGTAATTCTGAATGGGATATGCGCGCTGGGGAGCCGTTTTTGCCCCATGTTCGCCGGATTGCACTGTTGGGCGGATGAAGCTAGTTTCGTGATACATAGCCTGTAAAAGTCCGGGCAGGGGCTGGGTGACATCCTCGCGGTTTGCATTACCGGTCTGCTGCTCCTGAAATAGAGAAGAACCGCGAGAGGCAGACTCAGAGAGAGTCTCGTTGTAACGAGAAGCCGGGAAATTCTCTTGGAACTGGCTCTGTCGTTGTGGGGCGTCAGGCTTCCCTCCACGAAACTCTGTGCTTGATGGTTTCAGAGACAAATTTTGTAGGTTCATTTCAGGAGAAGCAGCCAGAAGGCCAGTGCGAGCTGCCGGATACGAAGCATTACTTGGGTTGTGGCCTTGTCTTGCTATTGCGGAAGACACATTATTCGCCTGATTTGTAGTCTGCTGCATCAAGCCAGTAATGCGGCTGGACCCTGGCAACGGTGGTGGGGGCATGAGATCTCTGCTAAGCAGCTTTCGGGTTGGCTTCGGAGCGTCTGGGTCGAGAGTCTCGTTTGATGGTCTTCTCCTCTTGGCTGAGAGGTTTTCGGTTTTAAGGGGGACCCCAGCGTCTTCTGAATCAGCATGACTAGGAGTATAATCTGGAGCCGCCAATTTTACTGGTGTTGTTGCAGTGTCTTCTTGAAAGCTAGCGTTGTGTGCACCTGAGTGTAGATCCTTCGGGGTGGCAGAAGCTACATCATCTGCTTGATCTCCTCCAGGCAAGGCATTCTGCAAGATCTTTCCCTGGACTTGAGTTGCCGCATGGCCAGCGGAAGGATTCAATGAATGGTCCAGCTTGTAATCTGTCTTGGGGGTTTCCAGACCAAGGATGATCAATTGCTGCCTCATCATTTCATTTTCCCTAAATTCTTTTAGTTCCAATTGTTTTCAGTTTTCTCCAAGACATTTTACCTAGTCAAAGGGTCCAGTATCTTAACGAAATGTTTCAACTCTGCCTCCCTGGTCTTCCAGCTCTCGAGCTCTGTAGCCCGTGTCTCCAGATTTTCAGCATAGCTTTTCAGTTTTTGGATTTCTTGCCGTAGTTCTTGGTTGGTATTCGCCTCGGCTGTGAGCAATTTTTGAAATTCAATCTTTTGGTACTCGGATGTGCTCAACTTCTCCAGCACCTTGGTACCGTACCGAATAAGTGAGAGATATTGGAACTAGAGTATCGAAGTTAGAATGCATTGCAAGCAGAATATCAGCTTAGACTGCTTACCCTCATCGCTGAAAGTGCGGGTTCTGAACCTGTGACGTGTTGTGGAGGAACCACAAAGTATTCTTGCGGAATCTCCGGGTCGTATTGACCAGGACTGATCCCATGTACCCAATACAACCTGAGTGGCGTTGTTATGCCTCTCTCATTGCGGCAGATTGGACAAGGCGCTTTTGGGTGAGAGCCTGCTGCGTAGAAAGGGACACCTAAGGTATCAACAGTGGTTAGCTGAAAGTTTTTCCCTTCAGATCCCTTCAAGAGAGGTTATTTCGTTACCTCCTCCATCCAGATGTGCCCCACAGATCAGATGAGTGCATTCAGCCAGCCAAAATTTAGCGGTAGAGGCGCCAGGTAAAGCGGTCCCCCCTCGGAGTCCATCGCTGTCCTCAGCTCGGGAATACACGTCGGAGATTGAAGCTTGACAAAAGCCACAACTGAATAGAATCCCAACCGCAGAGAGACCAAGGCTTTTGCCTGGTGCTGTGGTGGCCATCGTTTATGGTACTCTAGGCGAAAGAAGAGCTGGAAGTTCTGGTAGCTTGATGCAAGAGTCTTGTTTGCTCAAATGGTTTATTTGGGTTCCGAAACTTCAAATGTCCCCAATAAGCAGAGTCCAACAGCGCTTAGAGTGAATGATACCGGACCAAGGCGTAATGTAGACAGAACTGTAGAAGGAGCATGAATGGCCCCATCGCCGCGGGCAACAGTCATGCTGCTCTGTTTCTGTATTCTACATGACAAGCATTTTCTACGCCCATCGTGGAGGCAGCCCAGAGTTCTCAGCTGTGGATAACTTATCATGTTGCGAAATGAGGGTGATCTGTAGTTTTGCTAGCGCACGTCTTTGATTCCTGTACATCTCCTGACCAAGAAAGAGAAAATTAGCAAATTGAAAAAATCTCCAGTTTGGAAAGCCAGTGTGTAAGTTACCAAGAGAGATCATAAGATCATTCGTAACAAAACCTGTTTCTTTAAGTTCAAGGACCACGATTTCTCGACAAGGTCTAAAGAAGGTTGAAAGAGAAAAGAGTCGAGGGGCGCGAAATCTGTGCGTTTAATGAACCGAATCATTCACCAGACCTGATGAACGTTCCATAATTCACTAAATTACAGCACAGACCATGGAATGGTTTCTTAAATAAAGTACGTATACATCTACCACTGATTACTTCAATTGAGGGAACTGCGACACAATTACGTGACGCCGCTACATGCAAAAGTCTCAATGAACGAACCTCAAGAGAGATCATTTCTAGACATGAAGTAACTCCCACTAGACTAACATTGGACACATTCGGAAAATCATTAGAAAGCGCAGCGTAGCCAAAGAAAATCTTGCTCTAATGCAATCACCCACAAAGCTATTATCTCTCAAGTTTACACAAATGTTCGTATTTCATATCTTGATATTCGGTCAGTAATATGACTTTTTCTCTGAAAGAAATATAAACTTACTCTTCAGGGTATCCTTCTCCTGTACTGATTTCGTATTTCTTGCCCTCGGACTTTCGAGCAAGGTTTGCTGGCGATGGTGGCAAGCCATCTTGTCCGAGCACGTTTGAAATGGTGGACTTATTATTTTCGAAGAAGGTAGATAGGCCTTTCCCCTCGCCCTCTTCCTTGATCTGGGTTAATTGTCTTGTCCCTGCTTCTCCTATCTGTAGTTTATCTTCTTGGGGAGCAGCTTTGCTGCCGACTGATAAGAGCCCAACAACATCCGCTGGTTTGACGATGCTTGGCTGAGCATAACTGCGTCGCGTATCACGTTTCCAATATGGATTCTCAGCAATGTCTTGGGCGGGAACAATAATTCCCATGTCGTAGTCTTTGGGATCGATTCCTCCAGGTGTCGGATTGCGAAAAAGAGGGTTGAGGGGCACCCCGGTTGAGCGGTTAGGGTCAACAGCAAGTGCTCTTCGAATGCGCTCCCATATTCCAGTGGATTGAACGGTATATTTCTGATTGATTGGTGAGTATTAATCTCCAACGTGTTGTGCTATTAGTAAATCGTTACCTTGTTGACTGCGACAACGCCGCGTGCTGAGAGAGCCGCCTTGGCGGCCGATTGGCCTGACATTACTCAAAAGGAGTGATATGAAGCTTGATCTTCTTTGTGATTCAATAACCCCCTAATGCCGGGTGTCTGTGGAGTAAGTTCCTAACAACCTTGAAGATAGTGGAGTGGAGGCGGAGAGCAATGCGGGTGATGAGCGATGGTTGCTCGGTTGGCCTTCGGGATCTCCACATCCTGGGGTTCAACATACGCTAAACTCCACATATTAATTGTTACTTAGTTCGGAAGCAAGCATTCTCTCACAGCCTGCTACAATAAACCGCGGAGTCCATGGGCACGATTGCGAGCACCGAATCTCATGACTAATGATCTGAAACGCCCATATTTGGAAAATTATATACATTGTACTGCATTACTACTAACTCGCTCTAAAAGAAAGACTTGGTATATCCGCACTCAAAAAGCTGGAATCAACTGAGGGAAAACACGAAAGATAACGCGACATTCTTAATAAG